ACCTAACCTAACCTAACCTAACCTAACCTAACCTAACCTAACCTAACCTAACCTAACCTAACCTAACCTAACCCTAACCTAACCTAACCTAACCTAACCTAACCTAACCCTAACCCTAACTAACTAACCTAACTCTGTATGTCGTCTATGGTATTCTGTATGCTGCCTACGGTAAGCCTCGGTATGTCGCTTACAAGTGTTTTTTGTATGCCGCCTAGAAATATTTGTATGCCATCTACGAGTATCGGTACGTCGCTTACAAAGTATCTTTTGTGTGCCGCTTAGAAATATTTGTATGCCATCTTACGAATATTTGTATGTGGTCTACGAACGTCGGTATGTGGTCTATAAGCGTTCGTATGCAATGTATAGTACTCTGTATGTGGCGTACGGTATTCTGTATGTGGCCTATAGTGGCTTATAGCATTCTGTATGCGGTCTATAGTGGTCTGTATGCGGTCTATAGCATTCTGTACGCGGTCTATAATGGTCTATAGTGGTCTGTATGCGATCTGTAGCATTCTGTATGCGGTCTAGAGTGGTCTGTAGTGCTCTGTATGCGGTCTATAGTGGTCTGTACGTGGTCTACGATGGTCTATAGTGATCTGTATGCGCTCTATAGTGGTCTGTATGCGCTCTATAGTGGTCTGTACGCGGTCTATAGTGGTCTGTATGTGGTCTATAATGGCCTATAATGGTCTGTATGTGGTCTATAGCATTCTGTATGCGGTCTAGAGTGGTCTGTATGCGATCTAGAGTGGTTTGTAGTGCTCTGTATGCGGTCTGTAGCATTCTGTATGCGGTCTACAGTTATCTGTATGCGGCCTACAGTCACCCCGGGTCACCTCCGACACCTCGGTCACCTGGTCACCCGGTCACCCGGTCACCTTCGACACCTCGAACACCTCGTCACCCGGTCACCCTCGACACCTCGAACACCTCGGGTGACTCTATAAAAGGAAGGTGACTTGCTATATATGGGTGTCACCCGACACCTGAAACGATACATCTGTTTTTCTGATAAGTACTGTAGGTTGAGCGGTCACCTCGACACCTCGACACCCCGGGTGACTCCAAAAAAGGAAGGTGACTTGCCATGTTTGTTCTGGTGAAAAGTATTATTTTATTTTTATAAATGCGTGATAAATGTGTGACATAATACATCGACACGAAAAGATAACGTTCCTCACCGAACCACTAACCGAAACACTAAACCTCACCTAATCCTCACTCTAATCCTCATCTAATCTGACTATAACCGAAACTATAACCGAAACACTAATACCTCTAATGTGGTGTGACTCTAATATAAACCTCTAACGGATACTCGAAATAACGTCGTCTGGTGCGTCCCTCGTAAATATTTGTATGTCGCTTAGAAATGTTCGTTTGCCGCTTAGAAGTATTTGTATGCCACTTACAAATGTCGGTATGTCCATGTCGCTTACGACGCTCTGTATGTCGTCAGTGGTAAGCGTTCGTATGTCGCTCACAAATATTTGTACGCCACTTAAAAATATTTGTATGCTGCTTAGAAATGTCGGTATGTCGGTTACGTCACTGTGTATGTCGTCTACTGTGCTCTGTATGTCGTCTATGGTATTCTGTATGCTGCCTACGGTAAGCCTCGGTATGTCGCTTACAAGTCTTTTTTGTATGCCGCCTAGAAATATTTGTATGTCGCTTAGAAATATTTGTATGCCATCTACGAGTATTGGTACGTCGCTTACAAGTATCTTTTGTGTGCCGCTTAGAAATATTTGTATGCTGCTTGGAAATCTTTGTATGCCGTCTTACGAATATTTGTATGTGGTCTACGAACGTCGGTATGTGGTCTATAAATGTTCGTATGCAATGTATAGTACTCTGTATGTGGCGTACGGTGTTCTGTATGTGGCCTACAGTGGCTTATAGCATTCTGTATGCGGTCTATAGTGGTCTGTATGCGGTCTATAGCATTCTGTACGCGGTCTATAATGGTCTATAGTGGTCTGTATGCGATCTGTAGCATTCTGTATGCGGTCTAGAGTGGTCTGTAGTGCTCTGTATGCGGTCTATAGTGGTCTGTACGTGGTCTACGATGGTCTATAGTGATCTGTATGCGCTCTCTAGTGGTCTGTATGCGCTCTATAGTGGTCTGTACGCGGTCTATAGTGGTCTGTATGCGGTCTATAATGGCCTATAATGGTCTGTATGTGGTCTATAGCATTCTGTATGCGGTCTAGAGTGGTCTGTATGCGATCTAGAGTGGTTTGTAGTGCTCTGTATGCGGTCTGTGGCATTCTGTATGCGGTCTAGAGTGGCCTACAGTACTCTGTATGTGGTCTACAGTTATCTGTATGCGGCCTACAGTCACCCCGGGTCACCTCCGACACCTCGGTCACCTGGTCACCCGGTCACCCGGTCACCTTCGACACCTCGAACACCTCGTCACCCGGTCACCCTCGACACCTCGAACACCTCGGGTGACTCCATAAAAGGAAGGTGACTTGCTATATATGGGTGTCACCCGACACCTGAAACGATACATCTGTTTTTCTGATAAGTACTGTAGGTTGAGCGGTCACCTCGACACCTCGACACCCCGGGTGACTCCAAAAAAGGAAGGTGACTTGCCATGTTTGTTCTGGTGAAAAGTATTATTTTATTTTTATAAATGCGTGATAAATGTGTGACATAATACATCGACACGAAAAGATAACGTTCCTCACCGAACCACTAACCGAAACACTAAACCTCACCTAATCCTCACTCTAATCCTCATCTAATCTGACTATAACCGAAACTATAACCGAAACACTAATACCTCTAATGTGGTGTGACTCTAATATAAACCTCTAACGGATACTCGAAATAACGTCGTCTGGTGCGTCCCTCGTAAATATTTGTATGTCGCTTAGAAATGTTCGTTTGCCGCTTAGAAGTATTTGTATGCCACTTACAAATGTCGGTATGTCCACGTCGCTTACGACGCTCTGTATGTCGCCAGTGGTAAGCGTTCGTATGTCGCTCACAAATATTTGTACACCACTTAAAAATATTCGTATGCTGCTTAAAAATGTCGGTATGTCGGTTACGTCACTGTGTATGTCGTCTACTGTGCTCTGTATGTCGTCTATGGTATTCTGTATGCTGCCTACGGTAAGCCTCGGTATGTCGCTTACAAGTGTTTTTTGTATGCCGCCTAGAAATATTTGTATGCCATCTACGAGTATCGGTACGTCGCTTACAAAGTATCTTTTGTGTGCCGCTTAGAAATATTTGTATGCCATCTTACGAATATTTGTATGTGGTCTACGAACGTCGGTATGTGGTCTATAAGCGTTCGTATGCAATGTATAGTACTCTGTATGTGGCGTACGGTATTCTGTATGTGGCCTATAGTGGCTTATAGCATTCTGTATGCGGTCTATAGTGGTCTGTATGCGGTCTATAGCATTCTGTACGCGGTCTATAATGGTCTATAGTGGTCTGTATGCGATCTGTAGCATTCTGTATGCGGTCTAGAGTGGTCTGTAGTGCTCTGTATGCGGTCTATAGTGGTCTGTACGTGGTCTACGATGGTCTATAGTGATCTGTATGCGCTCTATAGTGGTCTGTATGCGCTCTATAGTGGTCTGTACGCGGTCTATAGTGGTCTGTATGTGGTCTATAATGGCCTATAATGGTCTGTATGTGGTCTATAGCATTCTGTATGCGGTCTAGAGTGGTCTGTATGCGATCTAGAGTGGTTTGTAGTGCTCTGTATGCGGTCTGTAGCATTCTGTATGCGGTCTACAGTTATCTGTATGCGGCCTACAGTCACCCCGGGTCACCTCCGACACCTCGGTCACCTGGTCACCCGGTCACCCGGTCACCTTCGACACCTCGAACACCTCGTCACCCGGTCACCCTCGACACCTCGAACACCTCGGGTGACTCTATAAAAGGAAGGTGACTTGCTATATATGGGTGTCACCCGACACCTGAAACGATACATCTGTTTTTCTGATAAGTACTGTAGGTTGAGCGGTCACCTCGACACCTCGACACCCCGGGTGACTCCAAAAAAGGAAGGTGACTTGCCATGTTTGTTCTGGTGAAAAGTATTATTTTATTTTTATAAATGCGTGATAAATGTGTGACATAATACATCGACACGAAAAGATAACGTTCCTCACCGAACCACTAACCGAAACACTAAACCTCACCTAATCCTCACTCTAATCCTCATCTAATCTGACTATAACCGAAACTATAACCGAAACACTAATACCTCTAATGTGGTGTGACTCTAATATAAACCTCTAACGGATACTCGAAATAACGTCGTCTGGTGCGTCCCTCGTAAATATTTGTATGTCGCTTAGAAATGTTCGTTTGCCGCTTAGAAGTATTTGTATGCCACTTACAAATGTCGGTATGTCCATGTCGCTTACGACGCTCTGTATGTCGTCAGTGGTAAGCGTTCGTATGTCGCTCACAAATATTTGTACGCCACTTAAAAATATTTGTATGCTGCTTAGAAATGTCGGTATGTCGGTTACGTCACTGTGTATGTCGTCTACTGTGCTCTGTATGTCGTCTATGGTATTCTGTATGCTGCCTACGGTAAGCCTCGGTATGTCGCTTACAAGTCTTTTTTGTATGCCGCCTAGAAATATTTGTATGTCGCTTAGAAATATTTGTATGCCATCTACGAGTATTGGTACGTCGCTTACAAGTATCTTTTGTGTGCCGCTTAGAAATATTTGTATGCTGCTTGGAAATCTTTGTATGCCGTCTTACGAATATTTGTATGTGGTCTACGAACGTCGGTATGTGGTCTATAAATGTTCGTATGCAATGTATAGTACTCTGTATGTGGCGTACGGTGTTCTGTATGTGGCCTACAGTGGCTTATAGCATTCTGTATGCGGTCTATAGTGGTCTGTATGCGGTCTATAGCATTCTGTACGCGGTCTATAATGGTCTATAGTGGTCTGTATGCGATCTGTAGCATTCTGTATGCGGTCTAGAGTGGTCTGTAGTGCTCTGTATGCGGTCTATAGTGGTCTGTACGTGGTCTACGATGGTCTATAGTGATCTGTATGCGCTCTCTAGTGGTCTGTATGCGCTCTATAGTGGTCTGTACGCGGTCTATAGTGGTCTGTATGCGGTCTATAATGGCCTATAATGGTCTGTATGTGGTCTATAGCATTCTGTATGCGGTCTAGAGTGGTCTGTATGCGATCTAGAGTGGTTTGTAGTGCTCTGTATGCGGTCTGTGGCATTCTGTATGCGGTCTAGAGTGGCCTACAGTACTCTGTATGTGGTCTACAGTTATCTGTATGCGGCCTACAGTCACCCCGGGTCACCTCCGACACCTCGGTCACCTGGTCACCCGGTCACCCGGTCACCTTCGACACCTCGAACACCTCGTCACCCGGTCACCCTCGACACCTCGAACACCTCGGGTGACTCCATAAAAGGAAGGTGACTTGCTATATATGGGTGTCACCCGACACCTGAAACGATACATCTGTTTTTCTGATAAGTACTGTAGGTTGAGCGGTCACCTCGACACCTCGACACCCCGGGTGACTCCAAAAAAGGAAGGTGACTTGCCATGTTTGTTCTGGTGAAAAGTATTATTTTATTTTTATAAATGCGTGATAAATGTGTGACATAATACATCGACACGAAAAGATAACGTTCCTCACCGAACCACTAACCGAAACACTAAACCTCACCTAATCCTCACTCTAATCCTCATCTAATCTGACTATAACCGAAACTATAACCGAAACACTAATACCTCTAATGTGGTGTGACTCTAATATAAACCTCTAACGGATACTCGAAATAACGTCGTCTGGTGCGTCCCTCGTAAATATTTGTATGTCGCTTAGAAATGTTCGTTTGCCGCTTAGAAGTATTTGTATGCCACTTACAAATGTCGGTATGTCCACGTCGCTTACGACGCTCTGTATGTCGCCAGTGGTAAGCGTTCGTATGTCGCTCACAAATATTTGTACACCACTTAAAAATATTCGTATGCTGCTTAAAAATGTCGGTATGTCGGTTACGTCACTGTGTATGTCGTCTACTGTGCTCTGTATGTCGTCTATGGTATTCTGTATGCTGCCTACGGTAAGCCTCGGTATGTCGCTTACAAGTGTTTTTTGTATGCCGCCTAGAAATATTTGTATGCCATCTACGAGTATCGGTACGTCGCTTACAAAGTATCTTTTGTGTGCCGCTTAGAAATATTTGTATGCCATCTTACGAATATTTGTATGTGGTCTACGAACGTCGGTATGTGGTCTATAAGCGTTCGTATGCAATGTATAGTACTCTGTATGTGGCGTACGGTATTCTGTATGTGGCCTATAGTGGCTTATAGCATTCTGTATGCGGTCTATAGTGGTCTGTATGCGGTCTATAGCATTCTGTACGCGGTCTATAATGGTCTATAGTGGTCTGTATGCGATCTGTAGCATTCTGTATGCGGTCTAGAGTGGTCTGTAGTGCTCTGTATGCGGTCTATAGTGGTCTGTACGTGGTCTACGATGGTCTATAGTGATCTGTATGCGCTCTATAGTGGTCTGTATGCGCTCTATAGTGGTCTGTACGCGGTCTATAGTGGTCTGTATGTGGTCTATAATGGCCTATAATGGTCTGTATGTGGTCTATAGCATTCTGTATGCGGTCTAGAGTGGTCTGTATGCGATCTAGAGTGGTTTGTAGTGCTCTGTATGCGGTCTGTAGCATTCTGTATGCGGTCTACAGTTATCTGTATGCGGCCTACAGTCACCCCGGGTCACCTCCGACACCTCGGTCACCTGGTCACCCGGTCACCCGGTCACCTTCGACACCTCGAACACCTCGTCACCCGGTCACCCTCGACACCTCGAACACCTCGGGTGACTCTATAAAAGGAAGGTGACTTGCTATATATGGGTGTCACCCGACACCTGAAACGATACATCTGTTTTTCTGATAAGTACTGTAGGTTCCACTCAGTACTGACAGTTCATGCACCTCGAACGGCCGTCCAGGACGGCCACTCGTGGCCAGCGTGGTTTACCTCCTGTGCCACCTGGCCTATGCAGCCAGTGGAGCCTCTCCGTGCATGGCCGTCCACGACGGCCACGCAGGTCAGAGGCCCCTCACCAGCGCTAATGATGATGCACGTGCCCTACGGCACTGTCCATAGGGTTCGGCAATGGCCTTCTTCCTAAAGCGGACATGTACCCCTAGCCCTCGGCTCAGCGAACCCCCATCCTAGGGTTGGGGCCCCCCGCCCTCTGCGACCCTACGGCCGGCCTAGGGGGCCTCATAACCCTAAAGTGGAAAGAGCTCCTCCAGGACATTCCAATGACCATCCTCCAGCCACTGTAACACATGGCCAGGACAATGGACTTCCAGGGCCACATCGACATACCACTCGCCTAACTCCATATTCTCGGTGTCATAATCTCTGAGAAGATCATTCAAAGACTCCTCCCGGTCAAATTCGAATGTTCCATTGTGCACGGTGGCATCCTTTGTTCCACGACATTCATGGACGAAAAAGGCGCCCTTGAGATCCCGATCTTGATCGCATCTTCGGATAACCTCCCTTCCAAACTCCTGAATGTAGTGTCCAGGCACATCCACAGAGTGGTGATGCAGCTGTCCTTGCCTATCCTGAGCCTGCGAAAAAGCTTGCTCGTAGCTGACAGGCCAATGAGAGACATTGGCTGGCAGGATTTCATTGATCGTGGGACGAATGACCTTATTGTATAAGTTTTTAAGGGCCGGCTGGGGTACGCGTCCTAGACCACCAGATACGTAGAGCCGCGGGAAAAACAATCTGGTCTGACTGCGATTGGCCAGCTTCCCAAATAATATGTTAGGGATCTTGTGTAGCTGGACGGAACGTTGACCCTATGATCTGGATTAGCATAGTGCGGACTGCGACCAAAACCACTCACCTCCGTGGTCTGTATCTTCACAGCCATGTGAACACTGGTGGTGAGTGTTTCTCTGAATGAGGGGATTGGAAACACCGCCAGCTGTGATATGTAGGGTAATGATCGGGAAATACCCAACAGGGAATCATAGTCTCGACGAATGGTGTATTCATCCGATGGGGGGGCAGCAAAGCCCTGGCGAGCATTGACGAACACGCGCCATTCCGAGTGGTTGACATGTTCTCGACCAGCCAACATGAATGTTACAAAGTTCCAGACTCTGTATTCATCGTCTTCATCTGCCAAGATTGCTTTGGCACGGTTGACAAATTGATCTAAAGTTCTCTGCGAGGTCGGGAGCAGCTCGTCGGGATAAGGAGGCATTTTGGCGATGTGGGATGGGGGCATTCCTCGACCTGTTTATATGCAGGCGGCTTCCGGCTAGTGAATGCAAAACTAGTTTCATGGCGATGGTGACGCCGATCATCAAAACTTTTAGCACGGCGGATGTTGGCTTTTCCGGCTACTGCGCACTACCGGAGGAGACTGGCCGTCGCCGACGGCCGCGGGGGGTCTGTGCTCCGGGCGCTTGAGAGGCTGAGTCATGTGGCACAGAACGTTCACCTGGCGGATGCAGGTGGCCGTCCACGACGGCCACTGGTGGTGTAGCCTTTCGCGGCGCCCCCTCGCCGCGCTGGAACAGCTAGCTGAGCACCCGCGCGACCGTCCCCGACGGCCATACCTCTGGGCCCAACGCATTGACCAGTGACCAGTTGGTTGGCAGGACACGCGCGGCCGTCCACGACGGCCAAAGCTGGTGTGGGCAGTAGCTCAAATGCGATGTAACTATTTTTCTACGGAAAGAGTTGGGAATCTCTTACTTCCGAAGCAGCATATAGTATCAGGTGGTTGCAATGCTTTAAGGATGGGTAGGGTGCTGATTGACTGTCGTAGAAACTTGAGCAATAATTCTGGTTATGGTTCGTGCAATTGTATCTCAATTTCAGCCGGGCACTGCATATAATAGTCATCTTATTCGTAAAATTCATAACGCTGTTGTCAAAAAATACATGCGGCGCGACGAGAGGAGACGACAAGGCAGACGACGAAACCCGAAGACGCGCACAACCCTTCTCACTTCCCGCCTTTACGCGGCTTGCCCCTTTTATCCTTAGGCAATTGGTCGAAGGTTGTGGGCTGCTCGTTTTTGCGAGCCTGCTTCACGACTTCGGCTGCGGTTCTCCGCGTGCTCCCTCGAGTGACGCGTCGGGGAGGCTCAGGCGCCGGCGCCGGCGGCTCGTCGAATTCTTTGATGGAGTCTTCATCCGCCAGTGAACCTATAAGGAATGAGATAATGAATGAAGTGAGCGATGAGACTTACTGAGTTCGGAAGGCGGCTGAATGGAGTCCCGCTGCGAGAGGTCCGGGGTCTCAGGCAGGTTGACGTTGTGGCCGAGCTCGAGGGAATTCAACGAAGGGGAAGTGGGAGGCGGAGGAGACGGTGCGATGAGAGTATCGTCGACGTTCATAGGAGCCTCCGTGGTGGACGCTTCCTCCGGCTGAGCCGATCTCTTCGCCGCCGGCTTGGGTACCTCCTCTTCCATGCTCTTGCGGTCCTTACGCTTCGTGCCCGCATGGACCACCTCCTCAGTCGCGGTTGGCTGAGCAGCCTTGCGCCTGTTCTGGTACGTCACCTTGGGAGTCTTCGAGGGGACAGGGGCGGCTCCGGAAGCGCCAGGAGTTGGTTCGTCGTCCTCTTCCTCGGAAGAGCTGGGAACGACCGCTGAGCTCTTCGCCGCTTGTGCCTTCTTCCGTGGCTTGCGCTTCCCTTGGGGCGGACCCTCCAGCACCTCGACGTCGGCGTCGCTGACGTCCGCCTGCTTTTGCGAAGGCTTGGGTTTAGGCACCTTGGTCTTCGGCGGCGCCCTGGGCTTCGGCTGCGCCTTGGGCTTCGGCTTGGGTGCCTTGGGCTTCGGCTTGGGTGCCTTCGACGAGCCATCCTCGTCGGGTTCCGACGGATCCTCGGTGTCCTCGTCGGAGTCATCGTCTCCGGACCCGGCGTCGTCGTCGCTGCCCACAGCAAAGACCTTTTCTGCGGGAGGGTTAGCCACAATTCGTATTGAAATCAAGTCACTTACTGATCGCCGTACTCGCCCCGGTGAAGCCTTGGTGCATCACCGCCTTGTTGAACGCGATGTTGTTCAGGAAGACGTCTGGCGTCTTCGCCGCAATAATCCTGTAGACGAGGACCGGCTTTGCCTGCGGGGGCCGATGAACCCTACCGATAAGCTGCTCGTCCTCCTGCGCCGACCACAGAGTATCCTGGTGCGCGTCCGTTAGTTAAATAAGCAATCTGAACGATGCAACGACGTACCACGACGATCAGATGGTTGGCGCACGCGATGTTCATGCCCGCCAGCCCGACGCCGGACATGATCATGACGCGCGGTCCGTCTCGATCCGCCGCCTTAAACTCCTTCAGGCTGACTTGCCTCTGCGCGAGAGTGGTGTCTCCGTCGTACGTGACATACTTGATGCCGTAGAGGTCCAACACCTGCCGAACTGTGAGTAAGACATGAAAATGGGGGATTAGGTACTCACCGCCCCAATCAACGGCAAGTGGCTGGGGAAGTTGATGTATACGACGATCTTGTCGGGGCTCCCGGCGACCGGATGAAACTCCACGTGGTCAGGGTGGTTCCCAAGCCCAGGGCCAGTGACCGCCAGCGGTGCAGCGCCGTCGGTCTCGAGATGGTGCTGCAGGACCTCGACCAACGTCTCCAGCTTTTTGGAGGGCTTGTTGCGCCAGTCCTCCAAGGTGTTGGGGAGTTCGTACTCGAACTCGTGGTTGCACCCCGGATGGGTGAGCGCACGGCGGATGTTGAGGTAGAACGACTGAAAGAAAATTTTATTAGCATCGTGACACGATGGCCTTGCACGGCCGTCGTCGACGGCCGCGCGTGTATGGAACACCAAAAATTTGGTCAATCCGCGCAAAAGGGCGTGGCATCCTGCGCGGCCGTCGCCGACGGCCACTCTGTGCACCGAGTCCAAAAGTGGAACCTCGCGCAAGGAGCGCTCCCTCCCTGCGCGGCCGTCGCCGACGGCCACAGCGCGCATGGAAATCCACAGCTGCCAAGCCTGGAGCAGCGGCGCCTTCCCGCGGGCTGGAGGAGGCGTGCACAGGGCGGCCGTCGTCGACGGCCGCGCACAATACTCGATGCGAAGAGAAAGATAGTGCTCACCTTCCCCGACGTGTACTTTGCCTGCTTCGCCACCACCCCATCCTCGATCATCTGCTTCGCGATGTCGTCGAGATTGTCCAGCTCGTACTGGTGCAGATCGACGACGAGAGGGAGATGGATATACGGGGGCAGCCCGGAAATGGGTTGTCCCTCGTTGTCGACCGACGCCTGCGTCCGGCGGATGACGGCGCCCTGGAAGCCGTGGCGGATCACCTCGATCCACTGGACAATCTTCTCCCGTTCTTCGCTCTCGTTGATCGTCGCGGCCGCCTTCCCCTTGCCGTGGACGATGTTGAGGATGTGGGTATCTTCCCCCGACGCCTTCAGCACTTTGCGATCCCGTCGTGCCGCCGCCCGAATCTCTCGCTCCATCAGCAACGCGTTGTCGTCGTTCTCGATTGCGAAGGCCAGGAGCTTCAAGAGACGGCCCATGTTCCACAGGTCCTGTAAAGTCATCAGCAGCTGTGAGCGGGTACTGCCTATTCGAGTACTCACCGTCGGGCGCGTCATAACCGGAGTCGCCGTCAGCACGATCCCCATCGCACTAATCTCCATCAGGAACCGTGCCGCGATGTAGGTCCAGTTGAGCGTCCGGATTTCGTGCCCTTCGTCGAGGATGAAAACTCCCCATTTCGTCGCGAACAAGGTCAAGGCGCCGTGGGTGGCGAAGCGGAAGTGCTGCACCGGCACATCCCACCGCGGCGTATTGATCGTCAGAGTCGCCCTGGCGTCGTCCTGCAGCGCCTGTGTCCACGTCAAATGAAAGCCCAACTGACCAGAAAATTGTACTCACCGTGACCGACGCCAGCACAATTCTGTGGCTGGGATCGTGCAGCGACTTCGCGTACACTTCCTGCCACCAGTTCTCCCGCGACTTGAGCTTGTTTAGGTACAGCACGACGTCGAAGTCGCGCTTCAGCAGGTACCGCTTGATCTCGGCCTCCCATTGGGGGATGAGATTGGCGGGCACGGCTATGAGGGACGGTCGCGCGTCGAAGTTCCCGTCGAGCTGCTCGTTCGAGCGCATCTGGCGCTTTCCTGTGCTCAAGTCAGCGCGTGGCCGTCCCCGACGGCCACAGTGCAGTGCTCACCTGCAAGCCCGGGGAACCGTCCGTGCTGCGTGTAATATTCGCGGTACCACTGCCGCAATGCAATGACACCGACCGCTTGCATGGTCTTCCCGACGCCTACAGAATCCATCAGTAACACCGGCTCACCGTTGATCATCTTCAACATCATTTTGAGCATGCCGACGAGTTGGTGCCAGCGCGGCTCCAGGTCCTCGAGGTCCTCCGGCGCCAGCTTGTCGAACTCCTCGCTCCACGGGTCAACGAGCCCCTCCTTCGACTGCTTCTTGCTGAATCCGGGGATCCCCTCCTTCGGAATCCCGAGGGCCTCTAGCAGCTCCTCCCTCGTCATTGTCTTAAATTCTTCGACGCCGTCCTCCCACTCGACTTCGACATCGGGCCCGTCTGGCACCTCGGGCGCGACGCCCTCTTCGTCGTCATTGGGCCCGCATGCCGCGAGCACCTCCTTCAGCTCGTTCTGCATAACGAGGATCTCCGCCGCGGTCGACAATGAGTCGAGCGCCTTGAGCATCGCTCGCGGGAGTGCTGTTATGCCAAGTCAGTTCTGCTGTCGTGCCTGCACGGCGGAGCACTCACTGCGGGCGCGGGTCTTGTCCCCGCGTTCTTTCTTCAGCGCCTCCTGCATCGCCTGCAGCGTCGCCTTCCGCGCCGCCAACTCCGCCACCAGCGCCTCGTCGCCGCCGTACCGCTCCAACTTCGCCATGAGCGTCTTGATGTGGCCGAGGAACAAGCGGAGGTCCTTCTTCGTCGGCGTCTTCTCCGACATCTCTGCGCAGCGTCAGTCTCAACTATGTCCGCAGGTCCGCCACATACCTTTCCACAGCCTGTCTACTTCGGCCCGCTTCTTCTTCATCGCCGTCTGGTCCCGCTTCACCACCTTCCTCCACCTCTCCCAGCAATGGATCAGCAGCACGCTGATGAACTCGTTCGGTCCCTTCTTCGGCATCCGGTTCTCATACAACCCTTCTGGCCCGAGCACTCTGTATATCGTCACCTCATAAAACGCCCACAACACGGCGTCGGTGGCGGACGGCAGCTTTGCATATGTGAGTACTTTTCCGCGCCAGTTCAATCCATACACTCACCGTGCTCGTCTTCATCGCCCGCATTACCGTCAACGGGTCGCGGTTCGCCTCTATCAATATCTCATCCACCCTCGCGTTCACCTTGCACGTACGATACGTATCCGCCACCCATTGGATCCAGGCGTTGCGCCCCTTGCTGTACTCGTCCGTCTGCCTCTTCATGAAGTCGAACTTGTTCTTCGCTTTCGTGTTAAAATACTTTTCCACGAACGCCCTCACCGCCAACACCATGTTCGCGTCCCATCCCTCGGGCGGGTTCTCCTCGGCTTCCGGTGACCACGGCGGGTGATCGGTGCGCACCAGCGTCGCCCAAGTCGGCCAAGACCACAGGTCCTTTTCGGCGGCGTGCAGATCGAGCAGAGCTCCGGGTAGTATAACAGTAGGCATAGTGAAACTGACTTGTTCGACGAAGGGGGTTGGAACAATGCCAAAACTACCCACTCGACTGATCTTATGTACCGTCGAAACAGTTTCTCGTCTAACGCGTCTCGCGATATCTGATCCCACGAGGCAGGTCATCTGGCCATCACCGACGGCCGCATGTGGTACAGCTCCTATACCATGAGGTCGACGTGTTGCAGCATGTACGTACACGGATGGTCGTCCCGGACGGCCGCCCCTGCTCCTCCTCGCTCTGCCATGAGGCATGCGTGCTGCAACGTGCGTGTACAGGCATGGCCGTCGCCGACGGCCGCGCGTGGAGGGCTCCCTTTACCCCGCCTCGTGTGGGAGGGGTGGCTTCCTCGTGGCCTAATTATTATTATGCCTCCGTCCCGTCACCATATCCGGTCGCTGATCCGCTTATCCACCTCGATCAGAAGATCCGATCTCGATCGATATCCCTGAAGAACACTTCTCATATTCCTTCACCTCGGTGCAGAACATCCACTTGTTCGCCGCTTCTCGGGACTGCGTCCCGGCGGCTCACAAGTGGATGTTTGAGGATGAAGGAATATGATCCAAACTTGCATTCTGTCCCTCCATCCTTATATGCGCACACACTGATCATCTCTTGGCTCACACCTCTTTTTTCTTTTTTTGTTTTGCGCACAAGCATATTTGGTGAGACAGGTTCCGCACACTGCAACGAAAATGGCCGTCTACGACGGCCACTCATGGCCAGCGTGCTTCGCCCCTCCCGCGCCACCTCGCCTGTGCAGTCATATGTGCCTCTCCGCGCACGGTCGTCCGCGACGGCCGCGCAGGTCAAAGGCCCCTCAGCCAGCGCTAGTGATGGCGCACGTGCCCTACGGTAGGGTGCAGCAACAGTCCCCTTCCCAAAGCGGACACCTGTTCCTGGCCTCAGGTTCAACTCAGACCTGGCACCCCATGCAACTCGAACGGTCGTCTACGACGGCCACTCATGGCCAGCGTGCTTCGCCCCCCCCCACGCCACCTCGCCTGTGCAGCCACCTGTGCCTCTCCGCGCACGGTCGTCCGCGACGGCCGCGCAGGTCAGAGGCCCCTCACCAGCGCTAGTGATGGCGCACGTGCCCTACGGCACGGTCCGTAGGGTTCGGCAACGGCCTCCTTCCCAAAGGGGACGCGTACCCCTAGCGTCCGCTCGGGGAACCCCCACCCTAGGGTTGGGGTTGCCCGCCCTCAGCGACCCTACGGTCGTCCTAGGAGGCCTCATAACCATACCATTTCGCGTTAGTAAGAATAGCAACCCGGCGCAGCAAGCAAAGTGTTGGAGACGGGTGTGAGCAAGACGATGAGTAGCTAGGGCCGCGCAGTGACGCGCAACGACGAGAGAGCGAGTGCCAGGATCCCACTGAGGCCGCCGCTCGTTCTGAGCAAGCTGCAGGCGTCGGGAGTTTCCTAATAGGGGGAGAAGATCCAGATCTCACTAGTAGGTGGCGTCAATCGGCACAGCGAGCTCGCGTTTTACATAACCATGCCACCGATAAGTATTGATTTCTCCCATTTTCCTCGGCGCCTTCAGCCCATTGCGTGCTGTCGGCCCTAGGTACAGCCTTACTCGCCCTCGGGTGTGCGCTAAAAACTCGCAGACATCTCGAATCCCAGCGTTGTGGTCTTCCTCGGCACCCCTAACAGGTGCCCTACGGTAATTATTCTCTTTGGCACTCCCCAGTCTTTCTGCCGCTGTGGCTCTGCGAGCTTCGCCAGACCCCCGCAACGTTCTGCGTACCATGATCACGCATCGCTTTTCCGACCCCGACGACCCCCTATCGCGCGCTATCGCCCCTCCTGCGAACGAGACCGCAGAGGAATGCACCGAGCGTCTAGCACGCGAGGCGCACGCGCAGCACGTAAGCGATGAAATCGACGAGGAGCTGCTCCGGGATCATCTAGTGTTCAAGAAGAACAAAGGGATGTTCAAGCTCCTGCTGCTCGGCCAGAGCGAGAGTGGTGTGTACTCCATACTGCTGGCATACGCACCATGACTCACCCGGGTGCTCGCAGGCAAGTCCACCACCCTCAAAAGTGAGTGAACCAGCTTTATTCTCGAGCACACGCCACTGACTGCGCGCACACAGACCTCCAGTTAACGTTCGCCCCACAGGCCTGGCAGGTGGAACGCACGTCCTGGCGCGCAGTCATCCAGCTCAACCTTGTCCGCTCCGTCAACGCGATCCTCGACGTGCTCGCTGAGGAGATGGCCCCACCTGCGCGTGGCACTGGCCCGTACGGCCAGACATTGCCGACGACCCCGTACACGTCCCTACCCTTTTCCTCAGTCTCCCGCCCTTTGTCACAGACGCAGCAGACACCACCGCAGTTCACGCCAATGCACGCGCTGCTGAAACTCCGACTCGCGCCCCTCCGCCGCGTCGAGGCGGACCTGAAGCAGCTACTCGGTGCTGCGACGGGGGAAGTGCCAGGCAGTCCCGCGTCGACGATCGTGAGCCTGTCGCAGTCCATCCCGAACTCGCCCGTAGTCCTCGTGAAGGCTGAATCGGCCGACGCGCCGCAGCAGGCAGACGTTTTTGTACGCTCTCACCGCTCGTGGCGGGACGCGCTACAGGAGCAGTGTAAGGACAAGTCGCGGTCGCCGCCTGGTGGGAATAGGAGGGAGCAGAACCGGAGCGGGGACATGAAGCGTGCACGGGAGATGTTGGATGACGCCACTGAGATTCTTGCGGGGTGCCGTGAGGATATGCGGATGTTGTGGGACGACTCGGTCGTGCGCGCCATGCTGCGGAGAAGAAGGCTGAAGTTGGAGGAGACACCCGGATTGTGAGTCTTTCAAGCTTTTGAGTTTTCCACCTGCGTTGCGAGGTCTCTACCCCCTTTTGCCCTTCCGCCAAACTGAGACCACTTGCTCCTTTGCAATATTACTTGGATGTGATGAGTGGAGCACCGACGCTGCAAGTCAGGTTCTGCAGACGAGTAGCGGTTTCGTTTGGGATATGGGCTTGAATTGCTTCAAGTAATGACTTACGTTGTGCCATGACTTTGACAGAATATGTCAATGTCACCGATTCATCTCGTTACGTGACAACTGTACCTTTCCTTCTTTCCGATGTTTTCGGACATCAGACCTTTGCACCTCTCGCGACCGAGAGAAATCCTAACATCGAGAATGCTGAGCTGACCAATTACCACAGTTTCCTGGATGACATCGACCGCATCTCACAACGCGGATACCAGCCCTCGGATGACGACGTGCTACGCGCCCGCTTGCGCACCGTCGGCGTGCAAGAGTACAGCCTCGTATTCGAGGATGGTGAGTCCCTTATTTATGCAACTTCTCCTTTGTAACTCCCCCAATCTGTGCTCAACTGGGATTTTTGGGACACGGATGATGCTGACTTGCTCAGCTCCGCTTGCAACAGCCGCAATTGACACGGGCGGCCTCGTCTCGAAAGAGTGGATAATTTACGACGTAGGCGGCACACGAACGTCGGTACGCCGCCTTTCACTCGCGATCATCCGCCACACGCTGACTTTCTCCATTCATGCTCTTACTCAATGACGTTATGAGTGCAGCGCGCCGCGTGGGTCCCGTACTTCGAGGACGCGAACGCGATCATCTTCCTCGCGCCGATCTCGTGTTTCGACGAGCTTCTCGCCGAAGACCGGAGTGTGAACCGGCTCGAGGACTCCTTCGCACTCTGGAAATCCGTCGTTGGCAGCAAGCTCCTCGCACGCAGTGTCATCATCCGTGCGTTCGCTTTGAAGTCTCTATTTTTTCCAACAGCACACTGATTATCCTACCATTCCTTTCCACAGTGTTCTTGAACAAGTATGATTTGCTCCAGGCGAAGCTCGGCAATGGTGTCAAAGTCAACAAGTCCATGCCGAGCTTTGGGGACAGGCAGAACACCGCCCCTGTTGTCGCAAAATGTATGAACAATTGTGCAGTCTAGCCGCTCGACACTGAGTGCTGAATGTCGATCTATATCCTCAGATTTGTATCAGAAGTTTCGCGAGCAGTACTTGCAGCTTTCCCCCGAGCCACGCACGTTCTACGGGTACCTCACCTCGGTTGTAGTGCGTCCCATCTTTATGTATGAGGTGACTCGCTGCTCACCTTCGTGTAGGACGCAAAGGCTACAGCGTCCACGCTAGCTTCCGTGCGCGATGGTATATTCCGGCAGCATCTCAAAGAGGCGGATTTGGTATGATGAGCCGTCTAGCATACGACTCCGACTTGTATATGCTTCATGTTCCAGCACAGATCGATAACATTGTACAATCTAGACTTCTGCGCATAGAGTAATCTACAGTAAATGTTCCTGTTCTTCGATGTTTGTTCTCAGTACCATAACCACCGGCAGGTGACCTACCTACATGCTCCTTCACCTTGCTGTATAGCAGCATAGAATACATCATCTGCAAATCCAGCCGTGCTGTTCATATGTAGAGCTATATGTACAATTTCAGTGATTATATGGAAACACAGTATTATAACGGCCGCCAGCCCTCGCCTACGGGCCACTTCAAGTTATCCCTCTCGACCCCCAGAAGGTCTTTCCTCGCGTTCTGGCCTTTCTCCATCCTCCGCCTCCGTAAGCGCTCCTCCCATGCATGCCCCTCCGGCTCCTCCGGGCCCGTATCAACATCCAAGTCCTGGTCCACACTGCTCTCATCGGTACCCAAGCCCACGTCGCCGTCTCCGCCGCTCTCCCCGGTGTCAGTGCTGACGAGCCGCTCCTCACTTCGCTGCATCATCCACCGTGGCCCGTTCTGGTGCTGCACGAACCCGCGACGGGTGAGCCCCGCCTCCGCCTTGTACCGCGCGTTCTCGAGGTGCGGCTGTGCGCGCTGATGCAGTCCCACGAGCGTCTTCTGCAGGCTAGCCATCGGCGACCCCTCCGACATCGCGTCCCGTTCCTGCCGCGGCCGTCCCGCGAGCGAGGACGACATCGAGAGGTGGCGCGAGAGCCCTCGTTGGCCCTGACTGTAGCTATGCGTCGGCGGCGCAGAGGGGAGCGTGCTCGGAAACGACGCATGCATGGGCGACGGGACGGGAGATGTCAGCTCCAGCGCAGTTGGCGACGGGCTGAGCTGTACGCTCTCGGGCCGCCGTCTTAGTGGCGGAAGCACCGGAGGCGGCGATGACGAGCGCACGCTCTTCGACCGGAGCGTACGCAGCGAGGGCGCCGAATTGGGCGAGCCCGGAGAGTCGGGTGATGGTGGGACCATATCGCCTTGCCCTGCCAGTATCGGCTTGAGGTCGGGGTGCATTGGTGGCGGCTCGTTCGGCAGATCGACGAACGCGCGCGGCGGTGTGCGTGAGGGAGACCGTGCACCCACGCTTTTGCTAAGAGGGCCCAAAGAGCGTTGGTACGCCACGTCCCGTGCTCGGAACGGCGAGCTCGACACCGTCGCGTGCGCCACCTGTTCAAAGGATCGCGCGGTGGCCGTCGACGACGCCGGCGGGCTGACCCTCGGGCGAGGCGGCAACGTCGGCCGTTTCTCGCGCTCGCGGGAGCTGACCGACGGAGATTTGGATGAGCCCGACCCGGCCAGGTCCTTCATCGGACTGATACTGCGCGTGCGCCGCGACGTGGGCACGCTACTCTTCAGCACCTCCAGAACCCGCTCCTTCTCGAGCCGCTCCTCCGCCTTCTTCAGACTCTGCGCCACCCGCCCCGCCTGCAGCGACTGCTGGATCAGCGTGTTCGTCGGGGGACCACCGTATCCGTGGTGAGTGGTATTCCGCGGCTGGGGAACGACGAGGGAAGAGTGTCGTGGTGGAGGCGCCGGAGCCGCGGGCTTGCGCGGCGGAAGAGGCGGCGTCCTAACTTCAAGCGACTGGCGCGTGGGAAGAGGTAGCGTCCGGACCTCCAGCGACGCGCGACCAGGTGCGGAAGGGCGCCGCGCCAGAAATGGATTCGTGCTTGGCTTAGGAGGCACTGGCGGAACCACGTCGGGAAGCGACGCTGGAGATGAGGTTCGGGATTTCTCGACCGTAGGCGTGAAGAATGGATTGACATCTGGCGCTGGCGGGTCAAACACCACTGGCTGCGATGGAGGTGGGTGTACTGGTTCCGCCGGTGACGAAGGGAAATCCGGGTGGGCTGCGTATGACCAGTTAGATACTGACGTAAATGTAAGGCGCACAGAAGAAATAAATGAGCAGTTGTCAAATATTAAACTTGCATATACTTTCACGATAGGGATACAATTGACGCCACGACCCAACGGCGTAAAACGAGGCCAGTGCACATTGCAGTGATAAGCTCTTGGACCAGCAAGAAATACCTCGACATCTCACGAGTTCGAGCACTGCAGGAAGTCGTGCATAATTATATGCGACTCGTTTGCCGTGGAACAGCACGTCTTGTGCGTTAGCTTGATTGAAGGCCCGGAAACTGGCTCAACACGACACGCCAGGGCAGCAGGCAGCGCCCTGCCCATACAATGCAGCTACGACGTTGTTCGCCGCATTGAAACAACACCACTACCAGCACGTAGCGATACGTGTGGGCATTGGGGAGCACATACGCGCATCACACAAGTGACAGATCGTTTGCTGGGCCGCAGTCCGCTACACCTAGCCAACGTGTCACTTGGAAACGCCGATTGTGCAGCCTTCGAACCACAGGAATACATGGAGGCCACCACAGTAACGATAGTAAACTCACCCTGGACGAAGACAAGTGAGGAGTCAACCTGCTTTCCGTGCAACACGTGCGTGATTAGCCTGAGCACGGCGAAAAACTGGCCGCCATTGATTGCGTCGGTTTGACCGAGATTGGGACAGAACAGACGCAGAACCTGGAAGGGGAAATGCCACAACTAGTGAGGACGGGCGTCAAGTACGATGAGGTTCTGAGACGTACCGAGTCGACAACGGGAGGCGCAATGGTGGTGTAGCGACCTCTGAGCCACGCACGGGCTTCGCGCACGCCAATTTTAAGGCCCTCGTAGTAGGCATCGTCGTGCACGGTGAGAGAATCTGGGTCTGCTTCGGCGAGGTCGCGCAGCGAGGCGATGTAAAGCGGATATTCTGAGTCGTTGAGCGCGGACACATGCAGGATAAGCGGACGCATTCTGCGTCTTGTGCGTGGAGTCTGATGAACAGAAAAAATACAGTCGAGACGGTGAGAACGATGATGAGGGAGCAAACAGAGGAGTGCAGGTCGATGACAGGCAGCACAGCACGCGCCTGTCATCGTGCCCGCGTAAGCGCACCAGCCTTTCTTGGCTTTCTCCTAGCCTCTTTCCAAGGGTTTCCGAGAAAACACAGAAAAACCTAAAACATATCCTCACATGTCACTGCGATGATCCCTTTTTTTTCAACTTTTGTTGTCGAAACCATCGTGTTGTTGAAACCATCGCCTTCCTATTGATATGTCGATTTCTCGTCGAAGCTCATGAAGATGGCTCAGTGTGCTCAGCGGACGATGAACATATTATCTCCATCGTTACAGGAACAGTACGCATGAAGATAATTGGACAGAACATAATTTCCAGTCACACCGGTAGGTATATTGCGTACTCTCCAACGAACTCACTACGAGGAGACACTGGTAAGCCGAACCTGTCAGAAATTACTGCGCAGCGAAGATACTCTATAATTGCTTCGGATCCCATGCAAGACTTCTCTGACCTCGACATCTTCCATGGTTATGCACAGATCACGGCTAATCCCATCGGTTTTTCCTTTCCTGTGTCAGAGGTAGGTGTTCTTTTACTCCATAGTGAAGATTCTCTATGATTGCTACCTTCTCTAGCTTCGGCATCTACCATGGTTCTGCACAGCTCACGGATAATCTCATGGGTAGTTTTGTTCAGGCGTCTATCGAGGTATGTTTTATTTTGTTCGCTCAAGGCCGAGGCGTGACTTCCTCAGAACCACGCTGTGCGACGTGTAACATGGAGGGGAACTGCCATGTCTGCATCTGCCTACCATGACTTCCACCGTACAGTTGCATGTTCCGATCTGTCTTCGCGTTTGTCTAACGTCGTCCCAGTGTGAGATCGCGGTCTGCGCACGTTACGGAATTCTCGATTTAATTACCCCAGTGTCTTCGAACCGTGCCCAGACAAGCGCCGAAACTGCCAGGACATGCGCCTGGACACGTGCAGGTCCACCCCTCTCCCCTGCGCTAGCTATGGAGATGCAAGATTGCTCAAGCCCACCACTAGTTCCTCAGTTCGCATATCGTGTCCCACTCTTTCCCCGAGGTATTCTCTATGCCTGGAGCTTACGTACGGTCTCAACCGCGCCGTCGTACAGAGACACGACTACCTTTCCCATGCGAAGGCGAGCCACGGCCGGACGCAGAGTTCTGGTTTGCGGACGGGAACATTGTTCTCATCATGGACTGCACCGCCTTTCGAGTACACCAGAGCGTGCTCTCTCGACACTCCGACATCTTCCGCGACCTCTTCACTATCCCGCAGCCTGCTGACACAGAGACCATGTTCGGCTGTCCCGTTGTCCAAATATACGATCCCCTTTCGGATATACGCCTCTTGCTACGTGTCTTGTACGATGGTGGCAGGTGTGCCTCCATCATTCCCCTGTTCTTGTCCCCGGGATATGCTGACGCAAATGAAGGCATTGTTTAGAGCACAAGCCGGAGCTCGAGTTCGCGATCGTGGACGTCCTGGTCAGACTCGGACACAAATACCAGGTGGAGGACCTCCGCGCGGACGGCCTGGCGCGGATAAAGCGGGTCTTCACCGACAACTTCGATATGTGGGATTCCCACTCGCGGTCGGGGAAAATGGGCACGGAGCTTCTGCGCCTCACACGCCTGGACGCCATGTCCGCGGTGAACCTAGCGCGCATCGCTAATGCTCCGTCCCTGCTGCCGGTCGCCCTCTATTATTGTTGCCAGCTGGATATTTATGAACTCTGCAGGGGTGTGCCTCGCGCGGATGGCACGACGGAACGGTTGTCCTCAGAGGACATGGATCGGTGCATCGACGGAATGTCCACCCTGGCGCAGAAATGCGCCAGCGGAGCGCCGCTAAAATTGGCATGGAAGTACGCCAGGTGTACGAGCTACGGACGATGCGTGGAGATCAAGCGTGAGCTCCTGGTGAAGCTCCAGGGTGCCGAAAAGCGGTTCGACGCTCTCGCTCCGATGGATGACGATATTGACTGGCTATGCGCGACCTATGGGCTGTGCGAGGAATGTAAGCAGGTTATGAAGACGAAACACCTGAAGTATCGACGTCGGGTCTTCAAAGAGCTTCCGTCCTACTTTGGCCTCGTCGAATGGGCACAGCTTCGAGCTGCGGAGGCTGCGAGCAGAGGTGGGATCTTTCTGCCTAAATAGTTTTGTATTGACATCGTTTCTAGTGACGGACGATTCTCGTTGTAATTTCCGAACCAAGTAGGCACGAAGTCTCACTGTTCGTCGCAAAATGGCCCTACCAATGACGTTAATACCAAGTCAGCATCAGTGTTCGGCCGCACAACCGCCTGCGATCCATACCCCTGAAGAATCGTACTTGATGTCTGTTCGGAAGTCTGGCGAATCTTCTGCATTCGAAAACAGGTTGACTCTGAGTTACTAATGCCATAATGTCGGCTGCATGGTTGCGAATGCATCGTTCTCAGGAGACGAAGTTGTAACGTTTTATAGGGCATGTTCTACTTTCCCAGCCACTGGCAATCCCTTCGTCTTATACTTTGAGTAGAATATTAATGACATGATGCAGTGTTTGTGCTTCTCGGTGAGACGCGACACGTGTTCCAAAGCCGTTCAAACTTCAAATCCACGCTCCTGCGCCATTCGCGCCGCACACCTCTTTCACCCTCTTTTTAGTGTTTTCAAGAGCGAGCAAGCGTGTGGGAAGTTCCGGGAACATTAAATTTCCACGACAGCGATGTCGGAGTACTGTAGCCCAGCTCCTTTGACGAAAACGTCGTCCTCTTTACGCGGTGCACCACTTTTCGCGTCCACTGACTCTATCCGGCATTCCCAGGTCGACAGGCTGTGGGAGTCCTTCTGATGTCGAATAGTGTCGTTTGTTTTTGATGTTCTTCCCAACGATCTTTGCTCCAGACATGAACTGCAAGATAGTTGGCTCCTATCCATCCAAGTGCTGCGACGGCCGCCATATATATGCACCAGAGAAGGCTTTGTTTAATATAGACAAATTCACTGGACGAACTCCCGGTAGTCGTATTGCAAAACTATTTGCGTCCTTCAGTACGACTACATGGATTTCGGCTTGGCCGCGAGAGCCTCAAGAACATAGCGCTAACGTGCACAATATTCGGGGATATATGAGTCGTAACCCTAAGGTAAAGGATGGAACATACTATGCCGCTGTTAAGGAGTATTATGGGAGACATTGCCGGGTCGGCCGGATTTTAGACGCGATCCAACATCCGTGAGTTGTTCCTCTTCTCTCGTTTGGCTATCCGTCAGTAATTGTCTGTGCAGCAGCTCAAGCATAGCGAGAACTTTCGTGAGATCGGTCTCCAGCTTTTTTTCCGCGTTTACTCCCCAAGTCAGACATTTCAAGTACGAAGCTCGTCGGTACAGAAAAGGTCTCTTCCCCAATGTCGACTTGAAACCATACTTCTGATCAATGGAAAATGGCACATCCCAATCCCTGAGATCCGTCTATTCGCTAACTTCCGTACTCTCGTCTGGCGGGTAAGCGGTCTCCAAGTCTACCGTCACGCAGCTCTGCTTCCTAGCACAGGCTTGACGCGCTTCGAGATCGCGCTCTGCTGTGGGACGGCGCCAGAATTGGATGCACCGAACCTGCCGACTATGTTCCTGTCTCACAGGACCCGATGAGATGCTTCCTAACCATCTCAGAAGCAAGACCAACTCATGAAGATCTATATAGAAATTACGCCGCTTCGAGATTTCATTTCTGGTCCAGTTATCCCGTCTTGAGGTGGTAACGGCTCTGTCTGGAATCCCGTTGTTGATTTCTGCATGCGCAGTGTCAATACACCTCAGGACTTCAAGCCCAGATTTGCTTGCTTGGAGATTCTCACGCTTCTCAAGGTCGATAAGCTCGATGATATGTCACTTTGTGATTTTGGTGAATGTGAAATTGGAATCGACTTCGAGAAGTTCGTCATAATGATATCCGCTCCGGTTGCAAACTTGCTAACGGAGCATCGCCAAATTCTCTCCAGGATCCCATGGCCTCGAGCTATTCGCCTTCACTGCAGAGCGCATTCCGCCCACAAGCTCGGACATCTCCATGTCAGTTGGCCGCTTAACAATCCGTCCAAGGTTGGTGGGTCCTTCTTCACCAGGCTCAGCGGAGCTTGCGAAGATCTCCATTTGTTACATTACCGATGGAACGAGCGCGTGCCGCTCATTATGTTTTCTTCTTTGACAGCACGCTGCGAGAAGTTGAGCGTGACCATAATGGACTTCGAGGCGAGCGAAGCTGATCTAAAAAGGTGATCGCGTCGCGGGTGCTACCAGAATAATGCGGTTACTGGTGTGAATTGGTGGAGCGCGTGGATGTGCGCCGACGCACAAAATACCGTCCTGCTTGAGGACGCGTCCATGTCTTGTTTGTGAAATCGCACGTCGATCTTCATAATCGTGTTCATGCTCGTTTGTTCTATTTTAACGCCCGCGGGTTGGGTTTCTTCCTACCGGAGAACGGCCATCCACATCATTCCGTCAGTGACTGGGAATGCCAGGCTGCTCAGGGTGCATCTTAACGACGGGGACTTCCGCTTTGTAGCAGTTCGAACGTCCGCCTTAGATACAGTTACCAGCAGCGCGGGTAGTATTTATCTCCGTGTCCCACAGGTATACATTCGGGCTCGACAACATTCCGATTTTCGTGAAGTTCTGTGCCACTGGATCCTGCGTGCAGTCTCCGAGGAAGAGCGTGCTGATCCGTCCGCGGGGGCTTCGCGCTTGTCAAATTTCAGCTCCTGCTGAGACGTGGGCGAAGCATGCGAAAAAGAACGCCTGTGGAAGAACCACGACCTCTCGACGCAGAGCGCTTCCCTGCGGAGGTCACTCCGCCAAACTCCTCGCACTCACGCACGCATCTCGTACGACAGATGCAAGAGGACATGCGCGTTGGCGGACTGGATCTCCGCATCCAATATGTTCGTCGTGGAGACTTAGGTTAGGGTTCTGTGGTTGCTGTTGCCGAAGTGACTCCAAGTTGAGAGCCATAATGCAGTGACTTCGATTAGTATGTAAGACCGCTCGGAGTCGCTACATGCCCCTGTAACTGGTATCACCGTGAAGCTCTTCCACCGTGTCTTGCCGTGCTAGCCGCGCTCGAGTGGCAATTCTCGCTGTACCGTATGCTATAGGTGGAAATGACGCTCTGGCTGGTCCCAAGTGCGTATTTGATTTTTTGAAGGCGGACTTTTCGCACGAACGTTAAGGTATTCACAAGACGTTGATGGCGGCCCGATGTACGCCACGCACTTCTTGGAAATAGATGAAGAAGGTGTCTTGATTGCAAATATCTTCCGAATTTTCATGGTCTGAAGGCCCGCAACGCCCTACGTGGATGCAACAAACGTTACGGTGTACCACGGAAAAGCCGTGAGGGCAAACCCATTTTTCATCGTGACACAGGGTATCATCGCCGCAGTGGGCGGGGACCATTGAGCGAATTGTCCGCGGTTGCTAATTATTTTGGACTTGATCGTTTGCTCTTTGTACGTGTAAATCGATGCACCGCTGAAAAAGATGACAGTGGCCCATAAATCAATCCGATTGTCGTGCCGATGGCTTTGCATTGAATTTGCAGCGCCGCAGACACGAGGGCGAACGGGAGCACTTCGTGTACTGACGCAGGAGTGTCTAGGTCTGTAACGGGTGCCAAAAAAATATCCACGTATACAAATTGTGACCGTGGACATTAGATGCTGGATTTACTCGTCAAAACTGCGGCGCTCACCTTCTGGCAATTTCAGTGATTGTATTTGCATGTTTTCTGGGAGCATTTGCCGAAACGCGCAAAGTCCTGAGCTCGACAAAGATGAGTTTCTGATTTCTGGTGAGACACTGCAAAAGTAAAGCTACATATGACAATGTATGAAATCGCAGGCCTGGTCCCTGTTATTTGTTTCTGAATTTCTTACCCAGAGAGATCATCGATCAAGATTGTGCGGGGGCAGAAATGATCGTTGCATACAGTTAGGCGCCCATGTTGGACAATGGGCGGGTTGGCGACGAGGACGGCGCGCACGTTGTGCTCTCGTCTCCACGCTTGCTGCTCGCTGTCTCCGTCGTTGAGCTCGACGGCTCCCCTCGCTCTTTTCGATCTTCTCTCTCTGCCGCTGGTCGTACACTCAAAGTTGGATACCCGGTGCGGACGATTTTGATCGCATCGACCTAACGCGTGGCGCGCGGTATCTTTTCCCTCGCTCACGACCGTCACGACCGTCCTCAGCGACTCCGAGTCTGTTCTACATACCCCGCGCTCTGCGCGCCATAGCTCACCATGAGATTCGGAGACTTTTCGACTCTCTGCCATCAAATGCCATCCTATCCATGGTGCAACCTCTTCTATCGGCAGGTACAGCCTTCTCTTCTTTTCCCTTCTCTTTCCACCCTTTTAATTTTTTATTGGTAGATCGAACACCATGCTCCCTTCGTCTTCAACAATGTCTCTGCGAACGCTACGTCTGCTCCCGTTGGTGTCAACCCGGAATGCGGCATTCCGCGCGTCGGTTCTGACAAGTCGGTTGGCAACGTCGCCAACATCGTCGTATGCGGCCTCAGCATCATCTTCATGGTCTTGCTTATCGTATGGACGAGTAGACGGAAGGCTGCTGTCGGTGAGTGCTACTCTCCTGCCTTACTTTTTGTTCGTCCGTCCCGAATGCCGTTGTCTTCGCATGCATCCTTTGGACGTTCCCACTCCGGGCCATTCTGAAAACCACAACCTCTCCGCTCATCCACGTCGTCCGACGATTTGGCTGTTTCCTAACCCTTCTACGGCTCTTCCCCATGCCTTCCTCATCGCCGATCGGACGTCAGACATGTGATGTCTCACCTCACCACGCGTGTCTTCGCCCATCGACCACGCGTCCTCGCTTGCCTCTTTCGCCTTTCATCTATATTCCCGTGTTTCACCCCTTCGGTAAAATCGTACTGACCGTTCGCACCTGACAGGTCGCGTCGAGCTGCGAGAATTTTTCGTCCTGTATCTCCTCACACTTCCCTTCCAGCTAATCACCACTGGTTCGTTCCTCGAGCAGGGATCTACCGCTCTTACCGCTATCACCGGCGTACATGCTGGCCTCGTCGCCGCGACGTTTTGGGCGCTGCTTGGGACAGGCCTCGTCAGCACGCAGGTGGTGGAGGACGGTACCCTAAGTTCGCTAATCGTAAGTCCTCGCAACTACGTCAATTTGTCTTGTCGGGTTTTTTTACGTTTACTTGGTGCCCTTCTCATCGGGCCATCGATTTATGCTCGCTCCATGCTAATTTCGAGGTATCATTGAAAGCCCTTGAATTTCTTCATCCTCGCGTTTTTCGCTGCGACAACCTATATCGCACTCGACGTGGGCTTCTCGATCACAAAGGCTTTGGGGCCCTTCAATCCTCCGCAAGACTTGTCCAGCGTTCCACTGTTCGTCCTCACAAGCATATGGCCTGGCGCGTGAGTCCGCGTTTTGTCTTTCTCGAATGAAAATCCGAGTCTGAAGTGCACTCTCTCCGTAGCGCTGCGCTCATCTATTTTTGCGTGATGCTGTACGTAGTGCTCGGCATCCTGAACGAGGCACGCCCGGTGTGGTACTACGTTGTCGCCGCCGTCATCTTCGTCCTCAGCCAGCTGGACTACTTCTTGTTGAACAAAGTTATCTGCAAGGTGCGTTCTACGTTTCTTCTTACTGCCCTCTTAGTGTGACCGTGGTGAGCTAACAACGACGCAGGGAACATCAGCGAAGATTGATGGGTCGTTCGTCGCGACGATCCTGGAAACCGCCGCGGTCGGCGTCATATACCTCGGCTGGCGAAGTATCACAGAAGGTGCGTTTTGTGTGTTCGCAGTCTGGAATAGACGATCTGACCGTTCCCACTGCCCTCTGCAGAATCGTGGGACGAGGATATATACTACCCGCGATAATACCCACTCCCCTTCCGCGGCCTCGTCTGGCGCCCCGCCTGTTCTTGTACACGCGCCGACATACGCGTACAATATACACTATCTATCTATCTATTCATTATGCGCGTCCCTCCTTCGGGCAAACTCTCGATATATCGGCTTCTACCCATACCCTCTTCTCCGTCGCGGATTCCATCTCTCTTCGACTCCGATTTCGTCCCGTCGCGCTGTCGGTAGTTGCCTTCGCGTTCTGTAGACCCGCTGTGGTGCCGACCCGGGCTTGCCAGTGGAAGGTGCGGCGATAGCAGTTGCGTTCGTGGTAAGTTATTGTCGAGAGAATTGACGCGAAGGTGCGGGTATGGCATGGGTAGAGTGCGGCAAGAGCTAATGTGGGCTGGACCACTAGAGATTGAACTTTCGTCCTCGTTTTGGTTTGTTCATCGTGTGTGTTGTACTCCCAGTATCTGTTCTCTCAATCTGATCCGTCGTCGCATGTGGAGCCGAATTTCTTACGCGGCGGTTTTTACGCAAGGGAAGAGTGCGTTGGCTTCCATGGCAGGCTGTGCTGTGCGCTCTCGCCCCGTTTAGCCAGGTCAGAAGCATTTGAGTGTCGTTGAATGTAATCGTACAGGTATGGCTGCTACAGTATCTGTGATCTATCTGAATCACAGCGGACGAAGTGACCTATGAAATACACCACGGAAGGCGATAAAGAAAACGAAGGACGGGCTCAACCTCGAGCCCCAATATCAAGAAGGCCCGCACGCGGGGAGGGAAGTAAGGAAGGACTGCATCCAGCGATCTGAAAATTGTTCGAAGACAACACACCGACATGAAGTCTACTAGAGCATCTGCAGCCGGGCTTTATATCAACCGCTGTGTTACTATCTGCGTGACGTCGACGCACACCCAGCCTTCTTCGTCGTCGTGCCGCATCACCCGCCCTAGCCGGTCAAACAACCGCGTCTTGGGGCAACAACCCTCCGCCTTGTTCGCCTTGGGCTTCCTGCGGTTTAGCAACGGAAGCGGAAGCGGAGGCGAGTGGGTAGCCGGGGAACACGGCGGGGACGAGGGAGAGACGTGGTTATAGTGTTCGCGCGCGAGCACCTCCGCAGGGCTTGCAGGCGCAGAGTTCGAGCTTGAGCTCGAGGAGGAACTTCGGCTGTGCATGGACACCAACGGAGACCTGCGACCGTCGCTACGGTGTTTCTTGAGGCGTCGGCGCTGCTGTTCGAAAGGCGCAGTGAAGCAGAAGCGTTCCAGGCCGTTCAGCGCCGTCCAGGACGACGATGATCGCACTTCCGCGTCATGTGGAGCCGCGCCGCCTGCGCATGCCAAGGCGCTTTCTGTGTCCGGCGGGAAATCGACTTCAACGTAGTTCGTCGTGGAAGTAGTCGTGACGGAAAAGGCCGATTTCTGCGAAGAAACAAGTAAGATATGCACAAATGACACAGAAGAGAGGAAGGAGACAAACCACGACTGACCAAATTCAGATCTACGAGAACCGGGGCAGTACCAAACGATCCTCTACTAGTCAACCTCACTGACTCGCAGAAGCCTTCATCGACGACAGGGTCCCCCCTGTCCGTAACGGTGGCAGTCTCGATGCAAATCTCGGGCGTTTTGAGACGTGGATATTCTGAGCGCTGGCGGCGCGAATGCGCCAGGCGAGCGTGCTCAATGCATGTCCTCAGGAGCACTCGGTAATCCGATTCATTGCCCTGTAAGAGTGAAGGCGGAGAGACGCCGAGCGCGATCGAGGAAGCGAATGCGGGGCTTGGCGGAGAGAGTTTCGTGCCAGGTGGATATGATACCCAATGGGGGACCACCGACGAGTAGTCAATCGTTTGCGTGTCGTACCCATCTGAGTAGTAATTGTCCAGCATAAACGCAGTGCTTGGCGCGGTACTTGCTAGCGCCTGTGCAAGGGCGTCAATAGTGAGGACCTGCGACTGGCTGTCGAAGGCGTCCCGCGGTGCCTCAGAAGCGACTGCGTTTGGACCGGTCGCGCTGGCGGAATCAAGCAGATGCGCTCCAGAGAAGGTGATCATCCCTTCCAACGGGTCCCAAACTGCCGCAAACGTGAGGGCCGTATGGGGTGGTACCATCTCGGACCAGCGGTGGTCACTACTCGGAACGTGCAGAATCTGGGTCATGCTGCTGGCTCGGATGAAAACGCAGCTGCAGTCTTTCAGCGCTTCCGAGAATAGAAAGGTGACGTGGTTGCTCACCTCGGTGAAGCTCTGTGAGTAAAGAAGGCCTGTCAGGTCGCGAGAACGGTAGCGGACACTCTTCCGTGCTACGGGGAAGGTTAATGAACGAGATTCAGAGCAGCAGCAGTAGACGTCGAACGAAGGGAGAGCGATATGCCCGCACACAACAACTGCCCTTGAAAAGATGGACTCGAGGGAGAAAGAAGAGAGAACGATGAAATCCCCGTCGAGCCACGCCTCGTGTGCAACTGGGGAGACTCATCATCGAGGAAGAAGGGGGGTTCTCGTATTCTAGGCGGCAAGAACTGGGATTCGCAGGATTCCGTAACTGGCCATGGGAGAACTGTGGTGACCGGCAAAACGCGTTAGACGCGTTGTACCAATTCCGCCCGAAGTTGATGGGGACGCGAAGCATGAACGTTAGAAGGTCGCACTTAGAGCATTGAAGGCATGCCTGCGAGTGAGAAACTCGAGTAGTCATGTCCCAAGCATGGGTCCAGCCCTGGACATTGCCTATACCACGGAGCAGATAGTGTGTGCCTTCGTCACACGATCCTATAGGCCTAGAGCGTGACAGAACACGTCAGACTGATTAGCAGCAAGCCTACACTTGAAAAAGAAATGGAATAAGCTCGACAGAACGCACCTTACGGACAAGAAATTTCCATGCTTCGCCAGATCTCAGCGCTGTGAAGGAAGTTAGAAAATGCGCAGACCGTGGATAATCTGTCGGTGTAAGGAGCGGCTGCGTCCCAATACATGCTGGCTAGCGCGAAGTCATCACCAGTGACGCCGTGGGAGACATTGGGTAAAAAGGAGTACTACTGAAGACAAACGCTATCAAGCAGGTCCTCAGAGTCCACGACGACAGACTTTAGCTAGATAACCAGACGGTTGAGCAATTGCTGGAGCAAGTATTGAGACCGGGCAGTCTCAGAGACAGCGTAGACAAGACGTGAGAAGAGCTTTCGGCTCCATTCAGCGTGCAGTAATATCGGTAATGAGGCGGACGGGAGGAGATATTCAAATATCGTCATGCATGCGAAAAGTCGCAGTCGCCGTTGAGTCTGCCAATGAGTGAAACGATTATCCTCGATTAAGTTTTCGGACAAAGGGTAAACCTCTTGGACGAACTCAGAGAGCTTGCTGTTCTCCGCGCACGCCTCGCGGGCAGAGAATGGCCCTGCAAGAAGTCAGCGATAGCGATCTACGGAGACGAAATAGGAAATGACGCAAGATCACTTCCGAAGTGTGAGAACACGACAGCCACGCGGACGGAAACGTTGGTAGCACAAGACGCGAGTCTGGCGCCAGTCACGCGCAAAATATCGGTCTGGAGAGGGACGGGTCAAAGTTGAACGAAATTACGGAATGCGGACACGAAAGTTCCGTCGGCGATGCATGTGGATAGCTATGGATCAAGAGAAAGACATCCAGACGGTATGGATGGACCAATGAGACGCGACTCATTGCACTCACCTGCACAACTACCTCCCAGACTGCCGAAACATCTCAAGCCGTTTGAAAAACATGCAGAGAAATTTTCTGAAGAGTCAAGATCGGGACACCATTCTTGCACACCGACGTGAGATGGCATGTGAACCAGAGTGCGTAGCGCGATGCAACCGAATTCCAAATCCTGGTACCCGATCGACGAGCAATATATTTGCAGGAGATTTCTCGTAGCTTGGACCACAGCCAACGCGTAAAAGAACGTTATAAAGCATAGCGAGGTTCACAGCTAAGCGTCGAGATGTTGGCATATTGAGTAGCCGTGTATACCAGTCATCGAATGGGGACATGATCTAGCCCGAAGCAGCAGGCAGTCAAAAACGTTCAGGCAGAAACCGGATACGGCAGACGTAGAGTTCATGGCATAGCGGTACCGGGGAAGAACGATCAACGCCACCAGGATCTGCAAATGTAGGCGACCAGAGACTAAATATGAACCATGCTCATGACGCGCCGTAAGAGAGCCTCACGTTGGCCGTATTCGTTATACGAGCTTCCAGGACATGACTAGCACGGGACGACGGAGAGCTGGGGATATGTGATGCAGGCGATTTGCACGTGTGTGGGTTTTAGGGATTCCCCCGAACAGTAGTGATCGACTGGGATCCATGTCTCCATTACGAGATTAATAGGAGTGGAACACGACACCATTGGCTCTGTCGAAAGAGATAGAAGTCCGCGGTGTGGTATCCGAGGCATGTTGCAGCGAGTAACCAGCGAATGAGCGAGATGATACAACCGTGCACTTACATGAGTACGCTCATTCAAAGAGGTGACTTTGGAGCAGCCGTTGCTCGGCTTAGTTGATGCTGTCAGCTTTATGCAGGCATGTGCATGCACAAAACTATATCTTGCGGCAAAAACGTACCTTAGACTCAGACAACACAGTGGCATACGCAGTTGGCAGCCTTTCTATTTAAACGTTAAAAAATCAGTAGCCAGAAAGGCGAATACACAAGTCCTGCGTACGGAAAGACTTTCTCAGTTTGGTTGAGCCACGGCAACAAAATCACCCAGCAGTTGACAAGGACGGTTGAGTGTGAGAATGGCCGGCAAATGCCGGAGGATGCCCTTGAGCGCTAGGACCAATTGAATACTTACACAATATCTTCTTTAGCAGCTTGGAAGCCTGGAAATATTGACAAAGGACTATATCCTGTGCGCTGTATGTGACAGGCTAAGGGCAGAGTTGTTTCTCTTAGTTTTCACCATGCTCGTGGCACTTGCCAGTGGTATTTAATGATCAGAGCCTTAGTCGACTGTTACTCGAGGCTTTCTATTCTTATCAGAGTGTCTGTCTGGGGAGCTTGTCCAAGCGGTCAGCTCAATATTCATGAGACTACAATGTTCTAGAGCACGATACGGAGGTCTAGTTTGCGCACGGAAACATGGTCTTCGTCGATAACAACAAGTAGCAGAGTGGGTGCTTTCTCCGTCTTGAGGTCTCTCAGGTTTTCCTCGCATCGCTTGAAGCTCGGCTACCTGTCCGTCACATGCACGATGTTTCTGCCTATCTGCCCTACGTGCTGTGTGCTGTGTACTCTATGGTGCCTGACTTCGCAGAAGAAGCTCGTGAGGACAAGCTGGATCGGCTGATGACCATATGCACGAATGAATTCAATGTGCGGGGTGCGCTGGTTAGTAGAATCGAAGATATGGAAGAGCGTGCGGATTCTTGCCTGCGCCTGCAGTCCTATGGGATCTCGTTTGTTAATCCGGCTCACCTCACCGGCACATCATCTCCGATTGCTGTATAGCTGTGCTGCATAACGGACAATGGGAAAATAATCAGTGAGACAACGTGCCCTTGTAATGTAGTGGCTTGTCAGTTCCCGGAGGACCTGCAATTCAAAGGTGTATTGAGGTAAGCGTTCCGAGTCCTAGCGGAGACGTTCGCTCACCGGCCGAAAGACGTGTTTTCTGAGTCAGTCCCGACTATTCCGGATATCTGGCGTTGGGCGATGCAGTATGGTGCTCCGACCAGTGGTACTCAGACAGTGGGTGAGTGAGTGAGTGAGCTGCATGAACTTCCGAACCCGATGTTTTCACTTACACATATTAATCCGCTGCGAAGCTGCATTATTTCGAGGTCTCCAGGATTACGCTGAACTCGCTCTAAATTTCACACCACTCGTTTTCTGGGCGTATTATGCTGATTCTACAATCTCATCGTTTTCTTTATGTATCAGCCTGCCGGAAGCGAGAGTAGCCGTTACACTTAAATCCTCTCATCCGGCCCTCCACGGTTCGTATCACAAGTACTGGTACCCGCAACAGTCACTACTCATGGTCGAGTCAATTCATGCAACGGTTCCGGTACAACCCTCCCTATCTCTTTCGACCACCCTCCTTCGCAGAAGGCCTTCGAAGAGCTCAATGTGCAAATCCTCTGCGGTCCCCACACCCTCACCATATCATCGTGCGCGTTCTTAGACACATTCTGACAGCTGTACGCAGCCCTCCTCTTGCATGTCCGGGTCGTGACCCGTGATGGCATTGTATATCGCACTAGGTACGTCCTTGCCAATGTCTCGCTTCTGCGAGAACGCAGACTCTCCGAAGACGATTAAGCTGAATTCGTCTTGTTCGTACGTCGACGTCCGCGATGGTATTTCTCCCTAGAATATTGTGGCAGAAGTTAAATTTGAACACAGCGAACTTGAAGGTTAGCATGACGAGTGGAATGACGTCAAGCAAGCGGCGCACGCCGCCTTGAATTTATTGATGACGGTCCTCATGAGCTGCAGAACTTTCATTCATGTCCTGCCATGTACAATTCATAGGATGGTTTGTATGACGTGGCCACTATCGTCTTCTAGGACGATCGCCTCGATCAGGATGGTGTACCGTCCTACTGTAATGAGCACTTTGACCCCCCTTCGTGACCAGTGGAATCGCTCAGGGGAGCATCACGCGCTCCAGGACCTATTGCCCGATAAGCGGGGTGCATGGAGTACACGGGTGATGTGCAGCTTGCCTAAGCGTGCGGCATGGAGAACGTCCGTCATGACGTTGTAGTCTGCCCGTTGGGGAACCAAGTTCGACATGAATCCATATGTATCCTCGACTACTTTGCAAGGCGACGAGGAAGTCGAGCGCGTCATCGGGATGTTGCGTGAGATACCGTTATCGTAATCGCGTAGGCACATACCTGTTCTATCATGTCTTGTTTCGCTTCTTCTGACCGAACGTGTCCATCTTACGGTACGTAGAGCTGCTTATTCGGTAGCGTAGCACGGGCCTTGCGCTTGGACTTGTTGTGAGTAGCGTTATTATCCCCTCGAATCCTTACATAGATCGCTGACGGTGATGGTATTGCTTAAACTATGGTAGCTGAAGTGTTTACAGACATGGCTGCACTAGTTCATATACAATGAGAGGTTGTGGGTGATTGTGGGTCCAATGACAGCACGGCCAAACGCGTCCAATCTGATGTCACCACCTCAGGGATTGAACGGCGATACTGACATTGAGCCGACGGTAGGTATTTCACCGTGCACGCAGGCACAATGCATGATTCCTTCTTCCAAGGCATCAAGACCTGAATAATGGTGGAACGCACGAAAGTCAGATAATCCAGTGGTATCATGTGTGCGACATTCAGCACGTCACGAAACATGTCGATGCATAGCGGTATATTATCCGCGAGTATTGACAGAGAATACGCATTGAGGATAAACGGACTCGTACAGTCTTAATGAAAGAAGGTCCACGAATCACGTCTCAGCCATTGGTGATACGGTAGAGCATATGGCACCAGGGGTAGGGGAAATCGGCAGGTATGGGTTCAAGGAGTAGGAGCTAATACATACCAGCGCAGCGCAGGTTCCTGCCATCAGAAGTTCAGATGGCAAGGCATAATCGACGGTTTCACGATCGGTCGCAAGTCATGCGACCTGCGTTGAAGACCACTTTGTGCGTTCCGAACAACGCAATCATGCTCCATGACAGGTCACCCCCATAGCTACTGTGCACATCGTCGATTGGGAAGATGGGCATCAATGATACTCACCTAGACTAACAAGACAACTCTCGGCTTCACGAAATCTCCGGACTCTGTCGCGGTCAATTAGCATCAGCGCGTCTTTGGATACTTGTATGCCGAGACAGTCATTTAATTGATTTGGGCTTCGCGCCCGGTTTGCTGCCGCACATGTGCTGAGGGTATATTCTACGAGTCGCATCCGCACTCGCATCTAACCATCAAAAATTTCTTCTAACAGAGCTTGATCGTAAGCTCATACATGACGACGCGCCGTTGGCTCATGTATCGTCTCGTTGACACCGAGCCGCAGACTCTGATAAAATAGAAACCTAATACAAGATGAGTATTTTGAACAAATAACTAGAGGATAGCGCTCACCTCCGTGTCGGCAGGTGAGTGACTCACCACATATTCTTGTGACCACGCATGGGAAAAACATTCTGGGACATCCCAAATTCACAAAGACAGATACAGGAACGCAGACTCGATGCCTGAAGCCAGTGACAAAATGACACTTGAATCGAAAGGCATTACGCCGTCAGCATCTCCCTGAGCTATTTGATGTCGGCTTTCAGTCTTACATTCCCAATCTTTCGTGTTATCGCGGCGAAATTCGTTAGCGTCCGTAGCAGCAAAAATAAAGCTCTTGTACACCACTTCAACAGATCGCCGCCAGTTCAAAACCGGACAAAAGAAAGCAGAGCAAATCGATCTTCGAGTTGAGACCAAGGTCGGGCTGACAGTACACCGGGCGCTGCCGAGCTGCGCGCTGGGCGCTGGCTAGCGCTCGACAAGCTGTGCGAGACATTGACGACGACGAGCTCATATTTCTTCGTCTCGGTCTCTCTACTTTACCAACGTCAGGACTTGCTCGTTAGAACGTGTCTCTCGTCGATGCCATGAGCTCCAGCGGTGGTCTTTCCCGGAGACGGGTCCCCAACTCTTCCTCCTCTCCCGTCGACGACGACGATCATGATGCCTGGGGCCTTAACGGCACATCTTCCAACGGAAACGGTACTCCCGTACCGCAGCAGGGGTCCGTCTCCAACCTCTCGCATGGAGGTTCGGCTTTCCAGGGAGGCAGCAAGATCGCGTACGACCCTCGGGATTTGGAGCGCAGCGACGAGGACGCCCGCCAAGGCGGCAAGGCTCCTCGATTAACTATCATGGAAGAGGTACTCCTACTCGGACTGAAGGACAAGCAGGTGAGTCTCGTCCATACCGTGCAAGATCTTTGCCCGCACGGGACTTCGGCTTGCATGTTGCATGCATGCATGCTGACTTGAATGACCGGAGATTGGTGTCGCTCGCATTCACGGAGAAAGTCCCATCCACTGGGAGACCCGTCGCCGCTGGTGTCCGTCACCTTTCTGTGTATATGTAATCGTCTCAAAGTCAAACGCCTCGGGTCAAACTTTAACACGGGCATGCGGGTCGAGATATTCGTGCATGGATACTGGAATGTGCGACGCTTGCTGTTTTCTGACTCTCGGACTCTGGTGCACTCGTGGTGGCATCAGTCATAGAGCGCGGTTGCCACCACCGCTGCTGGCTCTGCAGCGGCCGTGTCGTTGCAGAGGTGGCGACAGCGCCGGACCCTGCAACGCAGCCACGCATGCTTCAGAAACTTGGCGACCGCCGTCGACAGCCATGCTCAGCGTCTTAGACGCCGGCTGGCACAGGCGCTAACCGTCGGCGACAATGGTGGCATTGACGAGGGCTTACTGCGCGCGAGAAGGCGCCCCACTGGTCGCTTGAAGCATCGCGTTGTTACTGTATTGTTGTCACTGCTTTCATTGTGAGACCCTGTGTCGCAAACGCTAATACGCGTATTTGATACGAGTATTTGATATGCATTTTTCTAGTGGATGGGATGTCTGGATTCGCAACCCGAAGCTGAAAGAGATCATGCCGTTTCTTCCTATGTCTGTTGGTGCGGAGTATCTCGGCACCGCATGGGTGTTCTGGCACACGACGTTCGCGCTCTGACCTTTACTTTCGTTCATGCCAGGGCTACCTATCCTTCTGGAACGACAACATCTCGTACGCCCTGCGGGGGTGCATCCTCATCGAACTCGCCCTCCGACGACGAATCGCCCTCGTACGAGACCCAAATCGGCGGCAACTGCCCCCAGCTGAACGCGTACTGGAGGTGATCGACGACCGGCAGACGGGCGAGACACTCCTCGACGAGACGCTGCGAATGATGAAGGCGCAGGAGGGCGAGCGGATGGCGGTGAATACCTGGATAGACCTCTTGAGCGGTACGTGCCTTCCACTTCGACGCAGGCAGCCGCTCACCGGGCGCTGGCGCCCAGGCGAGACTTGGAACGTGATGAAGATCGGTTTCCAGCTGAAGCAGGTCCGGGAGCGGCTCGCCAAGGGGCTCGTCGACAAGGGCGTGCTGCGCACCGAGAAGCGCAACTTTCTCCTCTTCGACATGGCGACACATCCTGTCGCCGACGTGCGCACGAAGGAGGCCATCGTCTCGCGGGTGGTTGCGTTATTGACCGCGACGACGTCCGCCGTGCCTGCAGTGGCGCTGGGGAAGGAGGGCACGCAGTGTCGCGCCGCGCGCGGTGTCTGTCTCGTGTGCGCTGCGTATGCGGCGAGCGTGCTCGACAACGCGTTCGGGCGGCTGACGTACGAGGAGCGCGAGGGCGCGTTTCAGCGCTGCGACGATATCCTCGCCGACTTCTCGTGCTGGCCTTTTGGGGGCGCGAGCACTGCCAACGGAAAGGCCGGCGGGTCCACGCGCAAGCGTGATGCTGCGCGGATTGGCATGGGCAGTTCGGCGATGGGTGGGCGCGAGGCGGTACAGGGGCTAGTTAACGAGGTGAAAAAGGAGATGGTCGGTGGCGAGGAGGACCTGTCGTTCGAGCTCGTCGCCGGCGTGCTGGAGGTGCTGTCCAAACTGGATTCTTTGCTGTGATATTATTTCCTTTCCTCTGTCATGACTGTGATGTCCGTACCTCATTTATGTCGTTTACAGAACTTGTTTATACGCTAGTGAGACCTGCATTTATTCGCCCTCTTGTCTTCACGTCACCGATTTGGCCAGCTTCCATGCTCTGCATCTTTGCTCCTTCTTGCACCACCACTTCACCGGCAACTTCTAAGGTTGCGAGCCCATGAGACCGTATTCGTGAAGAGGACGTACCGTTCCCGCGGTAATGCCTCCCGAACTTAATCACTTCGGCCCATCTTGCGCTCGGGTTTGAGCGCCTGCTTGCTCTGCCAGGCATTTGTTCCATACGGAGAGTCTCAGTTCAAGGCTCAGATACGTGAGACATACGTCGCGTTCCTCCACGTGCCGGTACGCCTTCCCTGACCCTTCGCTATCGCTGCCAGGCTCTCCATTCCCGTGAGTGATCTCTGAGCCTCTAGTTTTTCCTTGTCATAGACAATAAGATTCATCAGTTTATCACTTCACTTCACGATGTCTGTATCTCTTGCAGAACCACGCCCAAGTTCCAGCAGCCGCAGACTTGCAGAGGATGATGGCGAGCTACAGCAGGATGCAGATTTCTGGTTCGCAGATGGCTCGATCGTCCTCATTGCGGAGAACGCCACGTTTCGTGTCCACCAAGGCGTGTTGTCCAGACATTCCGAAGTATTTCGCGAACTCTTCACAGTTCCTCAGCCCCATGACGAGCAGAGCGTGTACGGCTGCCCCGTGGTTCGCCTTTACGATTCTCCGATCGACCTGCGATACCTGCTGCGCGTCTTGTACGATGGTAGAAAGTAAGTTTACATCCTCCATACAGTGCTTGTATTACCGGCGTTAGTTAAAACCATTTACAGACATTCTGTGAAGCACGAACCGAGGCTCGAGTTCTCCGAAGTGGAAGCGGTGGTCAGGCTCGCACACAAATATGAACTTAACGAGCTGCGGGAAGAGGGCGTGCAGCGTATCATGGCCGTATTCACGGATGATTTCACCGTATATTCGAGATCGGATGAGGTCGGTCGCCCACGTCTTTTCCTACGTCCATCGGATGCCATATCAGTGGTGAAGTTGGCCCATCTCACCCAGGAGCTCACCTTGCTACCTCTAGCGCTCTACGACTGCGCCAGACTCAGCGCGACGCAGCTCATGGAAGGCGTCTCTCTCGCGAACGGCACCATCGACCGCCTGTCTCAGGAAGATCTGGCCAGGTGTATCGATGGCAAGTCCGTCCTGGCGCACAAACGCGCGATGGTGATTTTGGGCACGTTCGTTAAGGGGAGCCATGAGCGTGTGCACAGTCTGCAGTGCGCTACCAACCTCCGCGTGTTGCTGCTCAGCCTCACTGACCAGCTCCCTGTGGGGTGTCACCCTCTAAAATGTCTGCGCGATTATATCGACAAAAGTTGCGAATGGGGCAAACTGTGCGACAAGTGCCGTCAGGTCATGCACGCAAAGCACCTCGAGAGCAGACGGGAGATCTGGAGGGACCTACCTTCGTATTTCGGCTTGGACGACTGGGACAAGCTCCGTACTGCAGGAGCTTCGGCGTGAGGTGAGGTAATGTCCTTGCACGCTGGCCTATTCATATTGACGTTATGAAGGTTATCACAGCTCTGAATCGCGATTCAAATATCCATGACTGAAGCTGAAGATTAGGAACGCATTGCGAGATTGACAGAATTTCTCTGACCCTGCATCGTACGTCTCAACTCGCACACCTGTCTCGCCGTTGTTCCGCTGTACTGCATACAGATTAATTGCCTTGTCGCCGACCCCGTCATTAACCCCAGAGTTGTGCTCTCGCAGTAATACCTGGGCATCAACCAATGGGATAGTAGATAGTCGAATAGTTTTTGCCTCGTCGTGCAGCCAGAGATAGGGCTCGTGATCGGATGTACTCCCTCTGATCTCTTTTCCTTACCGTTGACCTGCAGTTCATCGGAAGTAGGCTTTTAAGTTGGAGGAGATATATTCCGGACCGTTGGTATTGTATCGTGCCTCTGGTTCTGAAATGTGCCTTCAATCTTTTGTCTCATGTATCGGTTGTGGAGCCTTGTCCCAGAGATGCGTAGTATCAGATACACTATCAGATACACTCGGCGGCCCCGTGTGAACAAGGCGCTACGCTCGTGCCCCTCATCTCGACTCACCTTGTACTTGTCCACATATATGGGCTCCATTCCGACCTAGTAGACCAGAGAAGAGCCATCCTTTCGTACAGATCGTCCACCATGCTCACCGATTTCCAGATCTTACTCGGATTTCTTATCTGTGTTTGCCTCCTCTACCGCTTCAGGCATCTCTTTACAGATGATGAACCCCCACCGGAACCGTCAGATATAACGGTGAATAAAGAGTTCTGGAAATATGGCGGAGACGTCTTCCTCGATGCTCAGAATAGTACCCGCTTTCGTGTCCACAAGGACGTACTCATTCGCAATTCCGACGTATTTCGCACTGATCTCCAAGTGCTGGACTCTCGACGCGCCGATGCGGATATCGTTGATGGTTGTCCTGTCCTCTACGTGGCGGATTATCCCGATGATCTTATATATCTGCTGCGTGTGTTCTACGACGACAGAGCGTGCGTGCTATCTATATGCCCTTCTGAGGCCGATTTCTCTTCCGCACACTTATCGAGTTCACAGCAATCGAATGGCGTCGCGCGGTCTTTGCGTGCTTATGGAAGTGGAGGCACTTACCAGGATGGCGATCAAGTACCAGGTTGCCGACGTGCGGAACGACTGTGTGTCGCGGATGAGGTCGTTCTTCACGGACCAGTTTGCGGATTGGGACAAACACATGAGTCATGGCGGTTTAAGAAGCGATTCGATCAGATTGGAGGCGCAGAATGAGGCGATCTCCGCGGTAAACCTCGCCCGCCTCACGGGTCAACACTCCATGCTGCCCACGGCTCTGTTGCTGTGTTGCGATATACCTCAAGACGAGCTCGCGGCAGGCGTACGCCTTCGAAACGGCAGGCTCGATCGCTTGTCTCCTGAGGACCTCAAGAAGTGCGAGGAGGGCAGGAAGACTATCAAGAAGGCACACCTTGTTGGACGGGGTCAAATCTGCCACTTCGGTACTGCGGGCTCGGATTGCCCTCGCAAGACATGTGCGGAGGTCTTAGCAGGCTGGCTGTCCACCGATCGAATTGCCTTGGAGCGCTGCAGCGATCAGTTTAATCTGGCGGAGCACGAACTCTGCGATTACTACAAGCTGTGCGAACAGTGCAGTGTAACCGTGCGGGCAAGCATCATTGATTATCGGCGGGCATTCTGGAAAATGCTGCCCTCCTTCTTTAAGCTTGGTGATTGGCCGCAGCTTTAGGTCGTCGTGGAAGGTGAGCTTACTTTGAGCAGCTGTACATGGCGGAAAATTGAGCTGACGCTCCGAATACAGTCGAATATCATGAAACCAGCGCCTGCGTAACCGTGACTCCCGAACGACTCGCTTTTTCACGTACACTCTACCATTGTTTCTCATCTTCTCCGTCAGAATCACTTGTCTTAGCCTCTCTAGTCGACGTCCGTCTAAATCTCTGGTGTCGCCATCTCCGCCAGTATCCAGATGCGCGTTCTTCAAAGTCGCCAATGGGCTACTGCGCATCCCCTCTTCCTCCTGAATAACGCCTTCCGCTCTCGAAGTGCTCTGGATTTTCCCTGCTCTCCAATGTCTACCATTCTATCGACACTATCCATCCTCGTCATCGCCGTTCGCCTTCGATCGCCCTGTCTTATTCAGGGCCTCAGGCATACCTCACCGCGTTCTCTACGCGTTGATAGATCGGACATTTACTTGTGTACTCGTTATGTGTTGTTATATAGTCCTGTCGTCGTCGTCCAGTGTTCATTGCTTTCACCACAAACTGACCAATCTGCGTAGGTTAGAGATATGCTCTCGCGTTCAGTACTGTTGCTCTAGTGTCTGCATCCCGCTTAATGAGTGGTCTGCTCTCGAATTCTACCCCTTGCTCGTATGTAGTACTCTCGTCGTTGCTGCTATACTGCTCGCTCTGTTACGTCGTGGCTGTACCCTGTTTGGCTCTGGGATAGGTGTACAACGTATCCTGTTCTTTGTGCTCGTGCTATGTTGCTTGCTCTGGCTCATAATTATCATTGTTCTGAAGTCTACTACTTTGACGGGGCAAGAATCTGGATGAGCCAGTGTCGAAACCATAGTAGCACTGGTCCATGAGCAGCGTCTAAACTGATTGTGCTGACCATGACAACACCAGCTGCTCTGTAGTCACTGGCGCGTTGTAAGATCTGGATCTGGGAACGTTGTGAGATCTGGTATGTATTCATCTTCGCTCGTAATTCTGAATATTCTCTTCTGCTACAGGCACTCGCATCTGAAGAACATCAGCGTTCGTACTGTATTTGACCAAGCCAGTTTCACGTTCTTAACTGGAAGTATTGGCTTGTTGACGCTGTGTGGTTTGACATGCTGCAGGTTTGCGCTCTGCGTCGGCCTGATCGATCTTTGTATGCCATGCGCCACCCACGTATAAATGTGGCTCCGCGCTTCTCCCGATGTCACAAATATCACCTTCTTCTGTCCTTCCTCCTCACTGGCCGTTGGTTCAAACGATAGCGTCAGCAATATGTCACTCATGCAGACCCTGCCATCAGAGCTCATCGAAGGCATTGCTCGTGCCGCCTACGACGAAGGGGAAAACAAGCAGGATGTCGCGAGTTTAATGGCTACTTGCCAAGCGTTCCGCACTCCAGCAAGATCCGTGCTATGGGAGTCGCTGTCGAGCATCGTCCCGCTACTGAAGATACTCCCTGAGCGCAGGTGGAAAATGGTGCAGGAAAATGGGAGAAATGCCTTTGTACGTCTCTATATACTCATCCGATGTTTCCGCCTGACGACAGACCTTCGGCAGCAATGGAAGGATTCATGGGTATTTGACCGCTCCCTTACAGCACGACTCGAGGCCTATGCAAGGCTTGTCAAGAGGTTCAAGTGGAACAAGCAGCGAGACATCACAATCCCTTCTCTCAACGCGCTTCTCGTAAAGTGGCCCGGTGTCCTATCGAATGGCATATTCCCGCAATTGCGCTATCTGAAGTGGGAGGAGGACGAAGTCGACGATGCGCTCTCTTCCGTCTTTCTTGCACGGATTCCGGGAAAAAAACTGCAAATGATTCATCTCGGGTGGTCACAGAATGTTGGTCCCAAACATCAGGCATTGATTCTCTTTGCGCTCCAATTGATTTAGTGGTCAAATTTGGACCATTTTAGACTGCACGCAGGCTATCTACCTGACCCGACCGGCGTCGGACACCCTCTCGCACTTTCTGACAAGCGTTGTTCCACCCCGTGGCTTTCGCACGTTTGAGTGCACTTCTGCTCCCGTTGGGTACGATGGTGTCCGCACACTGGCAAACATGCAAGACCTGCAGATTGCGGCATTCTGGCCCAGTATCCCCGACTCGTTCGCCCCGGATAATCCACAGGAAACTGAAGCAAGCTTCTCAAGTTTGCGAGAACTTCATATCAATTCCACGGTGCTCGGTGAATGTACTCTTCAGGTCCTGAAGAGTGTGAAGTCAGCAAGCATGCTGGTCTATCTGTTGACATGTGACGGCCCTGCACGCGGTAGCGAAGCATCTCGTCGTGCTCTCCCGGGAGCCGTTCGCCTCTAGCTGCGCCATGTGGGTATTCTCAGTCCATTTCGTTACGACCCAGGCGCTCTTGAAGAGTCGTTGTACTCTATCACTGCGGAGACGTTGGAGCCACTTCTACGCATTTCCAACCTCCAAAGCTTCATCCTGCGCTGTTCCTACATAAAAGTGGACACTGCGTTCCTCGCCGGGTTGGCTGAGGCCTGCAAGTGCCTCGAGAAGCTCTACTTGTATTCCGAGAAGCTGATGCCCTTCTCCTGTTTGCGCACCGTAGCGCAACAATTTCCTCGCCTGATATCTTTCGGGTGTCATATTGACGCGAAGAACGTACCAGAGGAGCTGCCACAAAAGCCTGATGTTCCGTCTACCCTCGGTTCCCTTTCCTTGGACGTGAGCCCCATCTCGAATAGTGAGCTGGTCGCTGAACATCTGGCCGTGCTATTTCCGGAGCTTGAGCGCGTTGTGCATGTGCATAAGTCAGATGGGAAGGAAGCGTTGCTGTGGAAGGCCGTAGAGACCAGGTTTGTGCCAAACCGGTATCGCAGAGAGTATGTACCATTGCGCGTCTAGGATTCGTAGGGATGCCTCGCCGATGGGTTGATATGTTCGTTCTTTGTCCTGATACGCATTTACGCCCCCGTTGTTCCCGTATGTCTCGTCTGAGTGGGCCAAGTATCATTGTGTACTTATTCTTACACGAATGCTACATTGCTCCTGCCTCTTTTTCCGTTCAGCTAGGCCAACTCGCCTTCCTGCAGTGGTCATGGGATAGATGTGAACCGCCACTTAGATCCGACTTAAGTATACATGTTATGTACATGCATCCTTCGGCAACGCGATACAGGGAGTTATGTATGAGAGAAGCTAGGCCATGAGACGTACGACACGCAAGAAAGACAAACGTGAGAGACAGAAATCACAGTACAGTATGAAGGGAGGATACATGCAGGACTAGTACCGTGTTCCGACTAGAGATCTAGGAGATATAAATGGAACGAGTTACAGAATTCGAGTGTTCGGTGAGAGAGCATAGGCAACATGGTGGGGATTAATGGCATACCAGGCCGAAAAAAAGACCAAAATCCGGAGTTGTACACGGCACATCTGACGACAGCGTTAGTGTTTCTTGACGCGATGTATAACATATCTCGCACCCATCTCAATTCGTCGAAGACGCAGGCATTGACTCTCTGAGGCGCGACCAATCATCCAAGCCAAAAATTGATGGAAGGTCATCCCAAAATTTGTGGTGCCACTCAATACTTCTGGACTTCATGAAGACCGTGCAGTCGGCACACGGGCGCCCCTCCACTGCCACAACATCAATCAATTCACTTGAGAGCCCCAGGACGTCAACACTGGTCAGTTCTTTGACGTGCTTAGATGTCCCCATGAAGAATTTACGCAGAGAATTCGCACACGTGGACCATCGAGAACACTGCGGACTGGGCGGGACCCAGAGACAGAGAGTTCCTGCAAGGTGTCCAGTAGTCAGCGTTGGTATTGCGCTAACGCATAGCTCGAGATCCGCGGCAGATAATTGGGCCGAAGAGCCGTCAGACAGGGTAGCCCCTTGGAGCAAAACACGAGGCTGGAGGAGGCAGCATATGTACAGTGCTGTTGGCAACATAGTGAGGGAGTCAGTGAGTCGTGCCAGACTGACTGCCATGATAGCTTCCGAGGCCTTGAGGGACAAAACTGGGCTGCAGATGCTATGTACACCGCCTAATGTTGACCTCTGCAAATCCGTCCAAGTTGAGAAATCGTCTGTGAAGATTGTTTTCATCCTAGCAAGCCCATCTCTGCAGATCGGCTTGATGCCATACTTGTGCGAGAGGCGCACGAGAGCGGCTACTTCAGAAAATTCAAGACACTTCGCGCGCTCAAAGTAAGACCTAACGACAATTATACAGCATCCAGTGAATTGAGCCCCGGCAGTTTACAGGCAGAAGTTGAAGACGTACATGCCGCTGTCATAGAGAACGCGCAATAAGTGTTGCAGATCTGTCGGAGAATCTGACATGTGAACGGAAGGGCAGCCAAACATCGTCTCCTCGTCTACGGGCTGACTAAGGATGAGAAGGGAGCGTAGGACTTCAGAATGTCGCGAGAGCACTCCCTGGTGGACGCGGAATGCTGTGCGGTTCGCGATGAGCACGATGTTGCCGTCCTCGAACCAGAAATCTGCATCCTGTTGGACTGCATCCTCCGAGATAGAATTCATCTCTATATCGGTTGTTGCGCGGTGTGGAGATGGAGCTAGATACGTTGACTGGATATCTAATGGGACTTGCTACCCTTCACCTGGAGTGCATAGCGAGTTAGCAACGTGCCAGAAAGTGCATCCTTCCGAACAAAGAAGTACTTCGCGCACGTTAGGCTGGTGAAATATATTCACCATATGAAGAGTTCAAGGGTCCGGTATATATCTGAACGAGACACTAGTATACACTCACTTATTGAAGATGGCCGCAAAAGGATGAGTTCAACTTGCTCGATACAAAGGCGACGCCGCATCTCCCTGCCGTCCCTCACCCGGACCGGGCTCCGACTCTCCCGCACCTGCCAGTCTTTGCCTACTCGCAGCTGAATCTAATGCCAGGAGAAGAGCTTCAACAGGACGCTGAATTCTGGTTCATAGACGGGAACATCGTTCTTATCTCCTTGGACACGGCATTTCGCATCCACCAAGGCATTCTCTCGCGGCACTCGGAGGTTTTTCGTGATTTATTTACAGTTCCGCAGCCCGCGGTCGAGGAGACAGCCTTTGGCTGTCCAGTCGTGCATTTGTCTGATTCTCCTCACGATCTTCGGCATTTGCTGCGTGTCTTGTACGATGGTAGATGGTGCGCACGCTCTTCTTATTGCTTTCCGATATCGCTTGGATGTTAAACAAATGTACAATGTATAAGATACTATATGAAAAGCGAACATCAGCTCGACTTTGCGGAAGTAGGCGCTCTCGTCAGGCTCGCGCACAAATATCAAATTGCGGACTTGCGCGAGAACGGGCTTGCGAAGTTGAAGATGATCTTCACGGACGACTTGGCCGTATGGGAGGAGTACTCAGATTCACGAGATACGAAATTCACGGGCATACGCTGGATCGAGTCCGACGCGATCTCTGTGGTGAACCTGGTTCGTCTCACGAACGCGATGACCCTCCTCCCCGTGGCGTTTTACCTCTGCTGTCAACTGCAGCCACACGAGCTCACTCGCGGGGTGACTCGCCCGGACGGTACAGTCGAACGCTTATCTACGGAGGACCTCGAAGTCTGCATCAGAGCACGCGCAATGCTTATGCTGGCGTACGGTGCCGGGTGGATGGATCTCTTCTCGGGCGTCAGTAACGACTGCACGCAGGGTGCTCGATGCATGGACGGTCTTTCGCGCATCGGGCAGGCGGTACTGCTCAGCTCAACGCGCGCGCAGATTTCGTACCACAGCTGCCTCAGCAACCCTCGCAATGTGATCGCCGCGAGGTGCACGGACCACCGGCTTTGTGCTGCGTGCGTGCGGTTTATAACGAAGAAGAGCCTCGACTGGCGTCGTACTGTCTGGAATTCTCTCCCCGCGTACTTTGGCTTGGGGAAGTGGGAGAAGCTCAAGACGGCGGAATCTGCGGCAGACTGAGAGGTGAGATCTATTAGCACTCTGTATGATGTTAAATGTGAAACTTTAAGCTCTTTCAGCGCATTTTACCGGGATTATCGCCTGCTCTGCAGGACGGGCGAAGTGTCTCCATCCCTCCTTCGAGATGGCTTCCGTACAGACCTTGTCCGCTACCTTCCCACATTGTGATTTTCCGCCTCGAATTCGGACCGTCAATTCTATCCGTTCTCCAAATTTAACAATCCACCCCCACCTTCATGCTCATATGAACATGTCCGAAAAGCCGTGCCGAGCCCCGTGAATATTCGCAACCCATGCACCCACATCCGTTCACAGGAACAGCAGAGCGGCCCGGGGGATGGAAATAGTGGAGCACTGAAGTGGTGGGATGTACACGTTGCTGTCTAGTGTCAGAGGCCTTAGCCGATCGAATGGACTATCAGTTGACTGTGGGCGAGGATGCGTTTGTGGAGCGATATCAAAGCAAATATTGTAGATGTTCTTGTGTAGCGCAATCTATTTGCCAATATTGTTTATTGACGTGCGACGATAATTATGCGGGATCTCGTGTAGAGCCAAGCGATCCAGATATCGATCTGCGCCACGAAGGTGGTTGCCGAGCAGTGGTTGAGTGTGCCAGTGGGCGTCTCCCACAGTCCTCTCCTCGATCATCGATATCCTTGAAGTTGCAATTCACACTAACCTTTTCGATGTCTGGAGATCGTACTGGACATATAGTAGCAGATGCACATTCTGCCAGCGACACCAGTGATCCGCAGCAAGACGCAGAGTTCTGGTTCGAGGATGGTAGCATCGTCCTTATCGCTCAGGATATCGCCTTTCGCGTTCACCGTGGCGTGCTCTCCCGACACTCTGAAGTCTTTCGCGACCTACTCAAGGTCCCTGGAAAGCAGGAGGAGAAATTCGGCTGCCCGTTCGTACATCTGTCCGATTCCCCTGCCGATTTGCGATCTCTGCTGCGCGTGCTGTATGATGGCGCAGTGTAAGTGTCTATCGGGGACCCCGCTGTCGATTACAGGCCGTGCTGAACACATAACTAGATCACACCTCGATTTAGAGACGCCACTCGAGTTTGCCGAAGTGGCAACACTGGTGCGTCTCAGTCACAAGTACGGTATCAAAAGTCTACTGGAGAAGGGGCTCGCTCGGCTGAAGACGGTATTCACGAAGGGATTTTCGACATGGGAGTCTCTGCACTGCACGGGCAGCTTCATCGAGATCTCTGTCATGAGCCCATTCTTGAAGGCACAACCAGAAGATGCGATAGCGGTCGTTCGTCTAGCGCGCTTGACGGGAGCACTTACTATGCTACCCACGGCGTTATTTGTATGCTGTTCACTGGAACCGACGGTGCTAACTCGCGCATATACTCTTTCCGACGGGTCCAACAACCAGCTGTCTTTGCAGGACCTAGAGAGGTGCATGCGAGCTGCCCCAATTCTTTCCAGTTCTTTCCAGACTAGGCATACCCTCTTACACTTAGAGACCAGTCCACAGTGCGAAAATCACCGTTATACCCCGTGCAGCAGTAGACTCGCCCGGCAGCTCAAAATTTACTTCGAGAGCAACACTGTTACCTGCCTCAACGTCCTTCATGGGAGGCAGTCGTCTATACGAGATTCTGGGGTATGTGGTGCTTGCCAAACGTTCATTCAGAAGAAAGATCGCGAGCGGGGACAGAAGTACTGGGCTGATCTGCCATCATATTTTGGTTTGGGAACGTGGGGCGGTCTCTCAGACTTCCCAATTGAACATTAGGAGACTTGTTAGGTGCGAAACACAATTTCTGAATGCCCCCGAGTAATACTGAGGAGGGCCGTTCTACAGTTCTCCCAGGTTCATGAGGCTTGTGGATGGCGCGATGCGTGGACGTTCGAGTCCGTTCACACAGCTTCATTACCTGGAGCTTATATGCACACCACATAGAGCAAAGCCACTCTTAACTGAGCTGCCTCTTTGATTCTACGCTCTCGACGCCGCACGGCATGGTAGACGAGATTATGCTAGCAAGTTCTCCTTCCGTCTCCCTGTGCTCATTCTTTTTCATCCTTACTCGCTATCCCTTGTCTTGTTCAAGTTGCGGTTACGATCTCGGCGTATGGTGCAGGTGCCGTCGTGACACTTCAAATTCACTGTGTTTTCGCCGTTCTAGTAGGGGGTCTGCTACGAATAGGCTACGCCAGATAGAATACATAGTTTGATGGGTAGCCGAAGTCGCAATGTGAAGATAGGCGGAGTAGGGCAGATAGCGAACATAGCTGTGACCCCCACTGCTATGTCATAAATCTTGATGTGAAAGATGTGTGCTAGCCCACATAGCTTATGCATCGCATTTGGTGCACGATCTCACTTATCTACGACCATCTGCTACGTGAGCTATACTACATCACTGTGCTCCTTTCTATACAGGCTTTCTGGTGTACCTTGCACCAGCTACATTGGCTATTCCACGTAGCGATTTCAAGCTTGACGTACATATAACTAGTGCTAAGTTCAGGCCTCCATCGGCCCAAGCGCATCATCGTGTCCAAGGTCAAGTTCACCTGGCGTACACTACATGCTGGTTCCGCGCCCTTCCATCCACAGATTCACTGGCCCGTTGACCGCTGTCTAAACATATTTCTGGCGTGCCGTCGCCGTCACCTTAAGAGCGAGGAGTGCTGCGTTGCCTTCTATCTCCATGACATGGTCTCTGCATGCTCTTGGTCTCTCGGGTCATGGCTGAACATGCGATGTGCTCTACAATTCTTGTGTTTGTCCAAAGTTGGGATGCTCCATTGACACCTCTCGTGACAGGTATGTGAGAAACAGACTGCGTCGCAAACCCCATCGGAAGATCGACATGCAAAGTCTATTCTGTTGCAGGTGTGATTAGGTATGCAGTAGGGGATGTGAGCGCATCAGGAGTATCTACTATTAGTATATAATGGAATAGACGGGTGTTGTTGATGGTAGCCATGGAGCATCGCCAATATAGCTGAAGTTTGATATTTCTTGTAGCCTAGGAAGTGTATGCTGTAGCTTCTAGACTGCTAGTGACTATGTGCTGCGCGGCATAGCCAACGTATCACCTTGTTCACTACAGGGGATCGCACAGTGAAAGATACACTTGAAGCTTGGTAACCCAGCTTGGGGGTTGATATGCAGAACTATGCGGCGTAGCCCAGGTCCTAGTTATACCACGTATCCATGGGGGTATCTTGCACCCAGACATAAGGGCAAAAACGCAGTGATTTTGCTCTGATAGCTTTTCCGGTTATCTGTCCTTGCATTACTACTTCTCCGTTACTGATCTTCCTTCTGTTCTGGAAGAGTATATATTGCAAAGGATTCTGTTCTGTACTACTACGATTCAGCCCACGAAACATCGGTTCTCATTATGTTTACTTCGCGGGCGCCTGTTTGCCACGGCGAGAATGGTGGCGCGTTTTGCTCTGTTCTACCGCAATCCCACTTTGCTCACTGCATATTTCTTTCTTTCCATGGAGTCTGCGACTCAAACACCGTTCTGCCAAGACGTCGAGTTCTGGTTAACCGACGGTGATACTATCCTCTTGGCGAAAGTATAAGGCTTTTGCGGCCTTTGGTGGTCCTTAAGTCGCGGGAAATGCACTGAACCGAGTGTATTTGGAAGGCAAGTTTTCAGCGAGTAAAGTAAAGACGAAAAACCCATCTACGCAGTTGAGCGCGTATTCAACGCCTCGGCTAACTCCGATGCCTCGACTACTCTATTCCTCTAATATCCTTACACCCTCCTCCTCCAAAGCGAGTCCGGGGGGGAGCGAAATACAGCAGGCTGTTGAACCTGCGATTTGAGTAGGGGTTTGAAGAGAACCGCCCGACGAGCGAGACGGATTGCATAATTCCCGGTTTAGGGCCAAGATTCCTGATTAACATCGAGCACTCGCGCACACTCGACGCGGATAAAGGAGCAGTGACTGCGCGGGGCGGAGGCCAGAGGCAATGGCGGCCTTAAGGTACAGCGGGAACCCAACGGATCCATCGCAGTACGATAGGCATATTTAAGCCGGGTTGCCATTGACCGCTGCAGGATTCACATCCGTTATCACCGCGTCCTGTCTGGGAACGGGTTCAGTCAGCGTGTTGCCCACAGGATCGCCGGCTATGGTGGCATGGCCGTCCTGGGTGCTGTCAGCGGCAGTAGGGGCAATATTTGATGGTCCCGGAGCAGGTTGCTCTGGCGCCGCCTCTGCATTCGGTCCGGGAAGAGTTCCGCGGGCCCAAACTGACAGTGCGTCTGCTTCCTAAGTGCTCTTTAGCTGAGCTATGGAATAACGTGTGCACGGCTTGCAGTGAGCCAGTTCGCCGTGCAATGCGGATTCCTAGTAGTTCGGGTTGGGGAGAGGTGAATTCCGGCCGCGGGCCCCGGCGTGAGGGGCCGAATGGAGGAGGCTGAAGCTCGTAACGCGCAGCGAATTTCCACCTGACGATGCCTGCGAGGACCCGACAAATCAGCGGGCGGCAGGTGGCAGACGGAAAACGCAAGGGGAGCTTGAGCGGAGAGGAGCGCGGAATTCAACTCGAGCGTGAAGAGGCGGAAAGACGTTGAGAACACGGCTTACCACCGCTAGGACGCTTGTACAACAGGAAGGTGGGTGGGATGAAAACCTTCAGCGCGGAGGCTGTAGGCGGAGGAGAAGACGATGGCGCCAAAGGCGCCTATTCCTCCGCCATCAGCCTCTCGCTTAGTAAGCACTTGTTTGACTTAGTTGCTCGCGAGCTCGCTACTAAGTCAAACTACACTGTGCCATCTGCATATTGACGCCGCATTTCGCACAGTGAATTGCGACATCGCGGAGACGATAATTGTTCGACTCCAAAATAAGGTGTACATAAAGTGTGCTGGCTACAGTCACACTGGCAATGTTATCCTTGAGAAGTTGGCCCATGAATTGGTGCCAATCCTCATCGAAGTCGGAATATTTGTCTGGCAATGGAAAATTCTCCAAGGCAATCCTCTCAGGTAATGCCTGCCCGACTTTCTTTCTGATCATCTCGCGGATAGTTTTCACACCATCACGCATGAACGAGTCGTCAACAGCGGGCAACGTATATCCCGGCTGTGGCTGTTGTTGCTGACGAGGTACACTACCACGGGGCATGCTATGTCTACCCTGTAAGTAGCTGGGACTCCGTGTTGCATGCCTGTCAAGATTACGGACAGACGGCCTCTTGGAGCTCTCGTCATCATCTCCGTCATCTCCATCCGAGCCGCTACCATGCGGACTCGAGTTGCCATCACCATCCGGAGGACCGCCATCACCGCCTCCACCAGGGAATCCACCAGAACGGAATCCCCGACCAGAGGAGTGTGGTCCGCGACCACGCGCGGGCAAACCTCCACGATGCGGCGGGTTGTTGTTACCACCACCACCAGGTGGTTCCGGCGGCGGTGCATCACCAAATGCGGTGCACAGTGTGGCAAAGGGCATCGCACTACCCCAACGCGCATGCATGTCTACGCGGGACTCGGCCTGCTGCCAGGTCTCGTTGATGCGGGCCTCGCGCTCTCGACGCCATTGTTCTGCCCCGCGCGCATCCAAAAAGTGGGTTTGGCCATTGAGACGAAGGTTGTACATGGCATCCGTCTCGTTTCGGTCGCGGGGCCGGAACAGCATGTCGAGCGACCTCTCGACATAGTCGTCCGAGTTGATCGGCGGAGACTGCGGCCGATCGCCTTCAACGCCAATGGGCAGCCTCGACTGATGAGTTGCCTCGTCTGCCACGCGAGATGAAAACTCGCGTAGCGGGGTCTCTAAGTCGTCAATCTCGGGGTTCTCCCGCTTCTTAATGCGGAAGTATGGAGGAGCGAATCTTACCAATCGCCTCCTCAAAGTCCCTTTGAGCGTTCACGGCTCTAGCGCGGGTAGCATTGGCCTCATGGGTGGCCCGATTAGCATAGCTGATGGCCTGCTGGTAGGATACGTCGGACTCATTGAACCTTACCTTTATGGCAGCAAGGAGGTCCTCCGTGTCGTTCCATAACTGGCTGAGCTGCGGCTCATCCATGTTAGTATCAGGTACACGGTGCTGATCACCGACCGTGTTGTCATCTGCAGCGCCCGTGCGAGCATCACGGTCGCCCGACATATCGACGACGCCATCGCGCTCTGATCTGCCCGATCGCGAGGGATCAGCCTCACGAGACGGGTCACCGGCGTCATTACGAACGTCGGCAGGTGGTACCGGTTCATTCTTGTCAGTGGATTGGCCGCGATCATCGACGTTGTCGTCGTCGTCGGCGGTGTCCTGAACGGTACTACGCCTTGTCTTCATTCCACCAGCTCCGGTGGTGACGGTCACAGTGAAGCTTGTAGGGTTCCTCTTGGCCGGCATGTCGACAGAGAAGATGATAGAAGCAAGGTCTTTTCGAAAGAGTGTAGAAAAGGGGTTTGTTGCCTAGCTAGAATAGACTTCACTAATACCGAGGTGGCATCAGCGGCGAGTGCAAAAATGTATAAGGCTTTTGCGGCCTTTGGTGGTCCTTAAGTCGCGGGAAATGCACTGAACCGAGTGTATTCGGAAGGCAAGTTTTCAGCGAGTAAAGTAAAGACGAAAAACCCATCTACGCGGTTGAGCGCGTATTCAACGCCTCGGCTAACTCCGATGCCTCGACTACTCTATTCCTCTAATATCCTTACAGAAAGATACAGTATTCCTTGTTCATGCAGATGTGCAGCTTTACTCTGACATTCAGACTCCCAGATCTGCTGATTCAGATGTGAACGTTGGGCGCAGGATACATGAGTCTTCTGCAGATCTTCGGTATCTTCTGCGATCACTGTATAATGAACGGTGCGTACTCGGTTCGGCCACAAATGTCGTGTTGCTGTTGGAATTTTGACTCCGCATTACCAGGTGGCCCTCTGACGAGTGCGACAGTGCACTATTTCCTGACGAAGTGTTCGGCCTGGTCCGCACCACCCTCAAATATGGCATGGATGACCTTCACCAAAGTGCGCTGCAATGCATGAAGTTGACCTTCACGAACAGCTTCCAGCAGTGGGAGGTATACATGGCTGCTTGCGAAAGAACAGGCCACTCATGTTGTTCGAGGACGCGCTGGAGGCGGTGAGCCCAGCGCGTCGCACGTGCACATTCACCATGCTTCCTATCGAGCTCTACTGTTGCTGCAAGTACCCTCTATACTTGCTGGACAAGGCGAGAACGGACCAGCTGCGCAAGGACTATCGGGCGATATATACGAAGGCCCGCGCTAAGTTGGCTGAAGTATGCTGTTCCGTCCAGGCCCGCTTACTTATCATTGTATATCGACGCTATGCAAGCCTGGAGATCATGGATATTCTTCTTTGTTGTATATGGCCCGAGGACTTTCCGATGCGGCCTCCAGACCACGACTTCCTCGCAAATCAGGACGGGGTGATCGATGCTTTGTGCGATCTCTATGGGATAAGAGATGCGAGCGAGGACATCAAAGCGAAGCACCACGAATTGTTGTGCACACTGTGGACAAGGCTGCCATCGTTCTTTAGCTTGACATGGGAGGGCATGCAGAAGGAGGAGGATATGTGGAGGAGCATCGGACAGGTGCGCAGAATGTAAGGCATCCGTTGCAATTTTCAGAATTCTTGATGATGATTTCATTTTTTCTCGGAGCATCTTCATGTCGCTGAGAATCATGTTACGGTAGGAAAGCTAGTCCTGAGATAGCTTTTCGCATGGCACCGACGAACACGTAGTCTTCAATAATAGACTTGAGCACTGAGCGCTAAGCCGCGGTGTAAGCGAGTGGGCCGTATTCGGTATCGCAGACAATCGCTAGTGTGTAACACACCTGGTTCAATACACGCCCACGATTTCTCTCCTCTGTTCTTTTGCTTTCGACACCTGACTGAGGCTAAGCGGCATCCTTTTACTACGCTCTAGCTACATGTTCTGATTTACTTGTAGGACCGACCCTCCCGTGTCGATAGCACTAACTAGTCCTTTTGCTATCGATATCGGACCGAGGGGCTAGGTATGGACCCGTTCATGTTTAGGTTTCAACACATGCATCCTACAGAACCCCGAAGATCTAGCTCAAGGCTGAACCGTGAGAGCTCTTCAACTTCTTCAGCACATGGGAATTTTCCAACAAGTTCACCGATTGCAATACTGAATTCTCATACACCTCCCGAGGGCGCTTCGACGCAGTTGATATCCAATCAGGTTGCTTGTTGAGATGGCCTAACTTGGATGTATCGGGTGGGATGAATGGAATTGCATGATCGTCCTCCGGCCACCCATCCATCGCCAGCGCATCATTCAGTGCCTGCAAGAATGCTGCGTGTGTGAGGGGTATGATATTGGTCTTCAGATTAGGCCAACAGATGGACTTCCCGACTAGAGCCGTCAAGGATTTGAGAAGATGCATCAGAGGAGCATTCTCTCGAACTGTCAGTGTGTCAAGAAGAAACATTATCTTGTAACTTTTGGAGGAATTTTCGTCGGCTTGGAAAATGTTACCACAAGCTGAAGAGCCATGGCGATGGTCATGATTGGTATGCCTGAGCACGAGCCAGACCAAAAACCAGTAAAATGATTCCAGGTCGTGATGAACTTCATGCACGACTGGTGTATCTCTGGCGAGAAATTTGATGGGCATGAAAGCTAGCGTTCCCTACATGTATGAGTGAGGAAATGCATTTCAGCGACATTCAGCAGTAACTCACAGTTCTCTCTTTCAATTCCATCAGGAAAACTACACATAGTCTTGCACGTCTTGCGCAAGATGGTCAAGACATCCAAGCCCGCAAGATAGCAGTCTTCTCCAAGACAGGTCCCTTTTCTTGGACAAGACAGGTTATCTTGACCAAGAGCAGCAAGACACCCTAGACAGTGGGAAAGATCAGTGAAAGACACCGGCAAGATCATCTTGTATTTATTTGTTTACGTCTTGGGAGGCATTATCACATGCAGAATCATATATAAATAATATATTTCCACGTCATTCACATCATTGAGTACCCCGACTGGTAGGCCTGCTATGCGATACGAATATACAAGACTGATCTGAAATGATTGAGATGTCACTGGGATGCCCACAACTTATGAGGTAGAGGAGTCGCACTTACCTTATTCCTCGTCCGACTGGAGCATGAATGCTTCCTCACTGACGATTGTAGAAGCAGGTGCGGCAGCCTTTCGGGTCTTCATCTCATTGTACAGCTCTGTTGCTCCATCCCAAATATTCTCCCAATCTTCGTCAGTCAAGGAGTCAACAACCAGGAGATATCGTGATGCCCTCTTGTCCTCAATGGTCCGGCCATCTAAAAACTGGATCCGATCACCCCAGTTATCAGCGGAGAAGTGTCCTGCTATGCCGGATGGAATCACTTTCATTCTCGTGCACCAAGCCTTGAGTGCACACTCAACCTATATAAGTTATGTCAATAGTTAGATGTTCCGTATCAAAGAAATGAAATGGAACATACAGCCTGAATGGAGAGAATTAGCGCCCCACGGGGAGGCAATGTGGATCGTGCTTGTCCCGGTGGAATAGCAGTGAGTGCGTTCAGATGTGCTGTAAACGTCCTGAGAATGAGTTCGGATTGAAGGTGCCCCTAGTTCACAGTGATTAGGTTACATTAGCACTAACGACTGTGATGTAAAATGGCATACCTTCTTTTTGACACCACCACCCCAGACATTCCATAGAAATGGCGCATTGCGATTTCTGGGGGTATCAATGTTGCCTAGGAGGAACTCAATGTATTCGGCGATTCTCTCCGGACTGTCAAGTACATCTGCATTGTCTGCGATAAGCTTGGCGATGGCAGTGAGGGCAGTATCACCAAATGTGGCTCGCCAATCGGTAATCCGGTAGGTTGTCTGAGATAAGCTTGGGTCACCAACTCCGAACACCGGGCAAGAATGAAGCACCAATAAGGTAGTAGAACGGATCACCTTCTGTAATGCCATACTCGACCTCGGGGTACACTCGATCAAAGATGATTTGCACATCTGAGAGAGCAATAGATGTCCATGCAGGTAGAGTGCCCGCATGCTCACGTGCAAGTGGGATGAAGATACTGATGAAGGCAGGGTGCAGATGATCGGGAATGTCACTTGTTATCCACTTCTTTCTGAGATTTGAAGCACCGTGACGCCCCTTTGCCGATGTACCTTGCTGTTTCACCTCCGCGTTCTTGCTGATGGTGCTGATCCCAGCATTGGGAGTTTTGACTTTGATCTGGGTGAGTACATCACGCTTGACGATCGTCAATACAGAAATGTAAATGAGATGCAGTTGCTCACCCGTGTTATATCTACCACGTCAAGACGGCTTGTGACTCCATTTTTCATGCCGCAAGATACCACTGGAACATCCAAGTGGGAGATATCATGTTTGCCCATTGCAGGGGGGCATGGGCCGGGCTTTGCATGAATGTCATTGCACCAACTCAGCACTGCAGCCTTACCTGAAGTATCAGGGAGTGCAGCATGTTTGGCAGAGTCATCGTCAAGCGCATCATCAATGTAACCTCCAAATTAGATTCCATCACTGTCTGCGCCCTCGCTGGCACTCCATCAGCAAACTCGCAAGAGTCTGGGGCATCTGGCGCCAGACCCGCCATGCGCCGCCATGCGCCGCCATGCCACCAGAAATGTCTATGGTATTATAAATGACCTACGAATATCCATGATATGTATTTATGGCACCATGCAACCACCACACTTGCTACGAATCCATTCACGAGCCACAGATTAGACAGACAGAAGCCATGGTTTCGACGAATTGCCACAATTCAATATTCATTTTATGGTACATGATACTGCGCTACTACTACTTGCCAGTCAGCACCTCAGGCAGTCTAATGACAAGCTTGCAATACCAAGCTTCAAGTTGACCCTGTTGCACGGCTGTGTTGGCACACGGTAATTCAACATCAAAACGGAATGCTCACCTTCAGTCATCATCGTCCGACATGCGGATGTCATCATCAACGTTGGCACCACCTTCGGAGGAGTCTGCTGTCAGATCGATCGTGAGGTTGTTGTTCCTGCGTTGCAGATGTGCATGTGCATCTTGACAGATTGCGTGCCACTTAGGCTCCTTCAGGCCCTTCGTGCGATTGTAGTATATCTTTGCCTCATTCCCCCACGGCTCATCTTTGAAGCTTTCCTTGGAGTTCCTCGCCCCACCATGACGTGCACTGCCATCGGGCTCCTTCAGCGAGTTCATCCCGTCCTTCCATACAGTGAGTGCCCGCTGTACCTGGGATAAGAAAAATTCAGCTGCCAGATGGGCAATGACGGTGCAATAGACTGACCGCGGCAGTGCACAACGCAAGCGCTCCTGTGGGCTCACCATAATCCACCTCGCTTTTTATGGTGAGTTGAAGGTGGTAGGCAAATGTTTCCGTGATTAGAGGGCCACGGAAAGTGCCCGGATGCGCCTGGCAGATGCTCTCAGCCATGCGAGCAGGCATGAAAAAAAGAACCCACCGTGGACTCAGGGTCTAGATACAAGAAGTTCTTGTTGTTTAGGCGTGCTTCTATCCAGGCCTTCCTACGCTCAACGGTGGTGTAGTTGCCCACCATATCCACGGACTCCCAAATGGTGTCAATGATCCGTAGTGCCGTTTTACCAATGTCGCTACGATAAGTGCGGAGTGCCGCCTGGGCCTGAAGAAAACCAGCCAGGGACACATTGACACTGAACATAAAACATTTTGTAGCAGAGAATTATATGACGCACCACAGCGTGGATAGCGGGGTGCTCAGATCGTAGTTTTCCATCAACGTCGAGTTCCGGCAGGTCAATAAAAATCTTCGTCCAGATCAGCCTTACCGTACTCTTGAAATCTGAGTGGCTATTGGAACCGAAAGGGTCGGGGAGAGTAGCAGCCCAGGTAATAAGTGTCGGGATGAATTTTCGCTGCCAGACAAGAAGCTGCCTTCCCCGTGCCGCTGGGAAAGGTAGGTCTTTGTTCGACCAGCTTGTGGCAGCTTGTTTGTTCACACGCCCAGCTCCGCGTTCCTTCTTATCAATCTCCGCGATGGCTGCAGGCTTCAAGACGATGCCCACCTGCAGAATAAGAATGTATGTCTGGCAATACATATGGAGCACAGAAGAGACACCTACTGGTTTGATCTTGACCAGATTCGTAGCAGTGGAACCTTCACGTTGGGTATCGTCGGTCTGACGAGTTGCACGCACAGCGTGCAACACTTCAGTACCCTCGTCCTTGTCGAATTCCCCTTCAATTGGCGCATCTGATTCCCCACCGTGAGTGAGTGAGGTTTTTGAGGAGTTATCAGAACGAGCTAAATATCTTCTCCAGCCCGGCTTTAAGCCACCAGTCTCCACCGCCTTCGCACACTTGTTCTCATGTGCACTAATGAAAGGCTGTGAGTGATTACAACAGTCGTCAATGTCACATTTGAGAGCTGACAGTTTTTCGCTGGCAGGGGCCTTGCATTTCGTCGCCATTGATGAAGCGCCGCGTGCTGGCGCTGTTGGCGCTTCCTTGCGTTTGTCGATAATTTGACTTCTAAGTGCTGTCTTGTTCTATGTATGTGATTCAGCAATGCATTTATTACTCAGGTAGAGTGACAGTACTGCTTACCTTCTTGTTTCTCTCCTTCCTAGCAGTCTCCGAAGCCAAGAATTTCTTCCATGTTCCTTTCATGGAGCGGCTCAAGCCCGCAGGCTCCATACCAATATCCTCTGCACCTTCATCACCAGCATCAATCCCACCGAGTTCCCCCGTAATCATTGCGACATCAAAGTCTGAGTCATTCCCAAGATCCTCATCCTCATCCTCGGCATCACCGCTTGGTGCGATGTAGTCGAGATCCTCCCCGCTATCTCCAGCAGAATCAGCAATGTCGATTTCTGTCTCTCCAGCATCATCAACCTGACCTTCCGACTCTGAGTCGAAAGCAGATCCTGGAGGTATGGAAGGCTCTGGGCTAGCTCCGGCAAATGTGGGTGCCTTAGCCTCGCCTTCCTCGATGCTGCTGATAGCCGAATCGTGGATCGCCTTCTGCACTATGGAAGTATGCACAAGAGGTACGTTGATCAGATGAAGATCAGGACGCAATGACTGACGTTTTCCATCTTCCCGTCGCATAGAATCCTCCCTCTCAGCAATCCGATGAATTGATGCAGTCCGTTGCTCGGCCTTCTGTGCTTTCTCAAGCTCTTTTCTTTTTTTGTCTGCTTGTATCTCAGCTTGCATGCGTCTCTTCTGCTTGGCATTGATGACGGGACCAGCGGGATTTTTGTTCGCAGTTGAGCGACTGGGCCGCACGACCACAGGTCTCGAACCTTCAGCATCAACAAGGGGAGAAGGATGTGGTAAGTTGGATGTTGCTTTCTTCGGTGCCATCGCCCCACCAGATTAATGATAGATGGAGCAGTACAACGACAGCCAGGCAAGGTGGAGGAGCACAAAGAAATGGGATAGAGGTAGAGCCTGAAAATTTTGACTCCGAATGCTTTCCGATTCCACACGCCGATCGACTGACTCAGTTGAACCGTCCCGAAGTGGTATGTCTGCGTATCTCCCGACTATTGCGTAGCTCTCCTGCTAGTTATGCCTGCCAACCTCAAGTCCGTTGAGCGCCTTCCGTGCACCTTTGTCAGTTGCCCACGTCGTTTCAAAAGTCAAAAAGGGCGCACGCAGCACGTACAAGCCTGTCACAGGGGTCCCCCAGTGAGGAACCATAACAGTACTGCCTCTCAACCTCAGCATCCACGCCCTTCCTGCTCTCCGATTCCCGACGAGGGAGGTTCTCCTCCTTCCCAGCATAGTACCCCCCCTCCATGTCCTCGAGCTCGGAAGATCATCCATCCGTATCTCACTGGTAAGACAATACTTCACCAGTATCACCACGGCTGTGATTGAATTACTTATCCAGGTGCTCCATGCAATGTTAACGGTGCCCCTTTGCCACCAGGAACTCCACCTCAGCCTTGCGTGACAGCTGCTGCTAATGACTGGTCTCCGTTTGAAGGCGAGGTGCCATTCAAGACGGCCGACTTTCTTTTCCGGAAAGTAGAGATGTCGCAGCCGGATATTGACTACTTGATGGAACTCTGGGGTTTGTCCTTGATGAAGCACGGTTCTCTTGGCCCATTTGACAGCTATGATCACATGTATGCTGTCATTGACGAGATTGGAGAGGGCAGTGCACCATGGAAGTGTTTTGTCAGTCAGGGCGAGGAGAATCTCCCACCCAATGCCCCTAACTGGCGCCGCGAGGAGTATCAAATTTGGTACCGTGACCCTCAGACTGTGATCGCCAATATGCTCGACAATCCTGACTTTACGGGAGAATTCGATGCAGCTCCTTATATCCACCTCGATCCCAGCGACAAGCGGCGATGGGGTGACTTCATGTCGGGGAATTACCCATGGCGCCACTCTGTAAGTGATGATGAACTTGCGAGAAATCCGAAACTGATGCTCTGTTTCAGAAGACACAAATTTTTGAGGAAGATCCTTCGACAGAAGGTGCAATGTACGTGCCGATTATCCTCGGGAGCGACAAGACCACTGTCTCAGTTGCCACGGGCAACGTGGAGTACCACCCGTTGTATATGTCTATTGGAAACATCCATAGTTCAGTCCGCCGAGCGCATCGTAATGGTGTTGTGCCAATCGGTTTTCTGGCCATCCCGAAATGTAAGTACCAGCAGGCATTCATCTACCGTAAAGCTAATGATGTGAATGATATGCAGCCGATCGAAAGTATGATAAAGACCCTGCATTTCGTGCATTCAAGCGCAAATTGTATCACCAGTCAATTGCTTCGATCCTTTCAACGCTAACGTCGGGCATGTGTACACCCGAAGTCCGTCGGTGTCCTGATGGTCATTTTCGGCGTGTTGTATATGATCTTGTGGCTTTCATTGCGGATTATCCCGAGCAAGTCTTGCTTACTGGGATCGTGCAAGGCTGGTGTGCGAGGTAAGTTTTTTAATCACTGTATATTACATTCTTGTCCTGACAACGTTAACTAGGTGTACAGCATTTGCCTCTGACCTGGACGGTTCCGAAGCTTCAGGGCGACGATCGAAAGACCTCACAAGTGACCTTATTCAAGAATTTCAAGGACAAGGTACTCTACTGTGGGACAACTACGGAATCGATGACGAAATCATTATAAGTGGCTCTATTCTCATGAGAAGGGAAGGCAGCTCACAGGTCCCTCTAGCCATTTACAAATGAGTTTCCGCGAGCAGACATCCATGAAATGATATCGTCGGATCTGCTTCACCAGATCATCAAAGGCTCCTTCAAGGACCACCTCGTCACCTGGGTTGGAGAGTATTTGGTCACAGAACATGCCGAGAAGCGCGCCAACGAGATCATGGACGACATAGATCGACGGTGAGTTAAGCCGTCCATGTCAAGCAATCCTTTACTCACAGAACCATAGAATTGCCGCTGCTCCACCGTTTCCAGGCCTCAGGCGATTCCCTCATGGACGATGTTTTAAGCAGTGGACAGGCGACGACTCTAAAGCACTGATGAAGGTACGAACATATTGTTTGTACGATTCCCCGCGCTCACCTACTGTAAGGTATACCTCCCGGCAATTGCTGAGTATGTACCCGCGGAGATGGTTCGGGCCCTTAGTGCATTCCTTGACTTCTGCTACCTCATGAGAAGAACCGATTTCGATGAAGAGACCCTCGCTGCTGTACAAAACTCCATCCAGCGATTTCATTGCCACAGGGAGATGGTGTGCGAGAAGACTTCTCTCTGCCTCGACAACACTCTGTCATACACTACCCAGACCATATACGAGAATTTGGAGCACCAAATGGTCTCTGCTCATCCATCACTGAGTCACGGCACATTACTGCCGTCAAGAAGCCGTGGCGTCGCTCGAGTCGGTACAATGCGCTCAGCCAGATGCTGCTGACCAATCAACACCTTGACAAGTTAGCCGCTCTGCGCACACATTTTGTCGAACGAGGTATACTTGCGCCTGCCCGTCTGCCCCCTCCTACACCATTCGACAATGATGAAGAGGAAGCGGGGCCTATTAACGATGACCGTGTTTTAGCGGAGGTCATATTGGCTCGAACAAGAGGTATGCAATTTAACATTCCGCTGTCTCTCACCACGACTGACATTGCATCAAGAGCGATCCTACCCCCGTTATCTAGATGAACTTGCCGCAGATATCAGTCAACCCCAGCTTCCGGTGCTCACACGTCGATTCCTGTACGACCAGATTCACCGACACGATCCGGATGCAATATCAAGTAATGTTGTCGAACTGGATGACTGCCCGATTGTCATCAATAAGATCTCCGTTTTCCACTCTGCCGTCGCCATTTTCTACGCACCCAGTGACATTTTTGGTATCCATGGAATGCGACGTGAGCGAATACGATCAACACCATCATGGCATGGTCACCCTCGGAGAGACTGCACTTTTGCAGTTGAAGATGACTCACAACCCGGGTTCAAGGGTATGAGTGTCGTGCGAATACTCCTATTTTTTTCATTCCAGCATGACAACATCGACTATCTCTGCGCTCTGGTGGAGTGGTTCAGGCGACGCGGGAGGGCAGTTGATGCGAAGACAGGGATGTGGATTGTAGAGCCAGAGTATAAATACGGTCAGCATGTCATTTCTGTTCTGCACGTTGATTCCCTTCTGCGCAATGCGCACCTCCTTCCTGTTTTTGGTCCTCGGCCACTGCCTCTCAAATTTCCCTTCTATCACTCACTTGATTGCTTTGAAGCTTTCTACGTTAATAAATATGCTGATCATCACACGAACGAGATTGTATTTTAGACTGTAGATAGTACAATTCTATGTCCGACTCATTCAGGGTATATGGCTTGTGTGGGTTGTATGGTATTGACACGACTTGACTGTGGTGACATCTGGCGAAGAAAAGCCAAGCATGGCACCATAACTACCAGACATTCCATACGCACCAGAGCGTGCCAGACTTGTGCGAGATTGCTGATGTCGGGGGCATGCTCGATGGTCTGGACATCGAGCGAATTGAGGTGCAAGTGCTGCTGACATTGGACTTACGGCTACATTCTAACTGCAGAGGTTTCCAGCTGTCAAGAAGTCCACTAAATGTATTTCCGGTATCCTTCTTGATCTTCTTTGAAGCTCTGAAGAAAGACTGGTGACTGTAAGGTCATGTTTGGAAGGGCAAAACTTGCGTCTGAGACGGGTAGAGCTCAGACATAGACTTCCTTTTTCCCACTGCCTCACCCTTCTGTGAAATGCCCACAGCGGATCTCTGCGTGATTACATCTGCATGGCCCTTTTTGACTTTCTTCTGTCTGCGCTTCTCTGGCTTACCTTCATCCTCTTCATCAGCATCATCACCTTCGTCATCTTCACTGCTTTGCTCAATATCATCTGGTTTGTACTTATCAGAGGTATCTCCCCCTTCATCATGCTGGCCGGGCACTTCTCCATCTGCGAGAAGATGTCAATGATGTTCTGAGTGCTAGTGACCATCGATGCATGCACCGTTCTCCCCAAGTTCGTGATTATTAGCAGGTTGCTCGCCTGCAGCTATGACTTTCGCTGCCTGTCTCGCACGATGTCAAAGTATGATCTCTGATCCTGGGGGGTGATTTGCTTGCTGATCCGTTTGGTTGTTGTGTAGATCCATTTGATCCTCAATGCTGGCAACATGGGCTATGGCTTCTGCTTTTGCAGCATTGGCAGATCTCTCTGCCTCTGCCTCCACTGCATGAATCTCCACCATTTCTTGTCGTGACCGTCGTGGATTTGGTTAGTCGGGCTCGCCAGGATGAACTGTCCAGTTTTTGGCCCGTGTCATCATAGCAGGTGGCAGCTCAATCTTGGGTTTCCGAGCCATGGTGCATGATTGACGCATGGAAGCAGAAAGTAAGTGTCGCAAAATTTGCGCCTGCTTACTCAAGATGTTCACCGCTAGATCGGGAAAGGTCCCACACTCTATGCCATGACTTTTGCTTCACTATTGCAATTCTCAACATGCCATAAAAATCCCATACATTCCACCCTCGCAGCATCCCGTGCCCTGTCACTGGCTGCAGAAGCCTTTTCAAAAATTCCTCAGGTCTAAAGCAACATGTCGACGCAATTCATTCGCCCACTTTACACCGCTCATCAAACTATGATGCTAGAAGCCCAGCTGAAGTAGCTGAGCACCTCGATGAGGACAATGACCTCGACCATGCAGCAGGAGACTACCCGATTAATGATGGCCTGCTTGCAGACCCTGCAGATGAGGACGCTGGTGCAGAACATGCACGCACGGCATTTTATCCATATTTGAATGGTACGTTGTTGAGTTCAATTCCTTATATTCTATCACTCATACTGATCTTCTCCATGTATTTTCAGGAAGACATGCGATATTCACGGTCAATATCTTCCTCGAGGCACTCCCCCACCTCCACGAGATGATCCACCTCCGAATGATTACATGTCGTATGAGAGCCGTGCACAGTTTGAGATAGCTGACTTTCTCTTTCGCAAAGACCAAATGTCTGGTGAAAAGATTGACGAGCTGATGCAGTTGTGGGCAGCGACTCTTCAAGAGAATCAACATCCACCATTTGCTGATCATCACGATGTTTATGGCTCAATTGACACAATATCTCTTGGAGATGTCCCTTGACAGCTCTTCACAGTCTCGTACACAGGGATTCGCCCAGATGACAATGTCCCTCCATGGATGGAGGAGGAATACGAGGTTTGGTTTCATTGTCCACATGAGGTGGTACGAAACCAGTTAGCCAATCCCGATTTTGCGATGGAGATGGATTATGCACCCAAGTGTTTTTTTGACAAGGACAACCAGCATGAGTATAAGGACTTCATGTCTGGAAATTGGGTATGGAATCAAGCGGTGAGTTTGATTAACACCTGATTTTCCTGGACCCCCCTCTGATATTGAGTATAGGATTTGATAGCAGAAAATCCAAGTACGCATGGTGCGATGTTCTGCCCCATCATTCTTGGCAGCGACAAGACTACGGTCTTGGTCGCCACTGGGCAGAATGAATACTACCCTCTTTACCTTTCAAATGGGCTTGTGTTCAACAGCATGCGACGTGCGCAATGCAACGCTGTCTCTGTAGTTGCATTTCTCACAATCTCAAAGAGTAAGTGGTCACGGATGTGTTCATGTTGTGGCACTAACTTGTGCCATACTAGCCGATCGCCAATACCAGGATGATCCAAAGTTCCGCAAGTTCCGCCATCAATTATTCCACTCCTCATTAAACCAGATTCTTCAGTCACTACTTCCAGAAATGACAAGTCCTGAGGTCACACGCTGTGCGAATGGACATTACCGCAGGATAGTATACGGTTTAGGTCCATATATTGCAAATTACTCAGAGCAAGTCCTTCTGGCTTGCGTGGTGCAAGAATGGTGTCCTCGGTAAGCTTACTCAGACATTATCGGCCAGAACGAGTATGTTCTGACTTTGATGACATCCCTAGATGTACTTCACATTCCGAGAACCTTGATGCTGATGCTCCACGACGCTCGCACACCCATACGTCTGCCTTGCTCGATGTGTTTGATCTCAAGACACTTTGGGATGATTATGGGGTGGTAGGTGACTTGGTGGTAAGTTCTAATCTCCTCGAGCTCTAGCCAAAATATTGAACACATCATAAAGCCATTCACAGCAGGTTTTCTGTGAGCAGACATACATGAATTGTTGTCTCCAGATATCCTATATTAACTCATCAAAGGTACATTTAAGGACCATCTCGTGACATGGGTTGAAGAATACCTTATCATTGTCCACGGGAAAGCCAGTGCGGCATCGATTATGGCAGATATAGACCACCGGTAAGTACTTGCACATTACCTTTTTACTCTTTGTTCTCTCGTACTCATTGTTATATTAGCATTGCTGCCGTCCCAAGTTTTCCCGCTCTGCGATGGTTCCCTCAAGGCTGAGGTTTTAAGCAGTGGACAGGAGATGATTCAAAGGCACTCATGAAGGTACGTTCAAGTCTGTGGTGCTTTCGCACCTTATGTAGCACTTAGATAATCAACATTTGAACTCTCAGGTTTATCTTCCTGCCATTTCCGGGCATGTACCAGCACAGATGGTATGCGTGCTTAGCGCCTTTCTAGAGTTCTGCTACCTTGTACGGCGCTCCGTGATCACAGAAGACACACTTAGGCAAATTGATGATGCGCTCGAGCAGTTTCATCACGAGCATGTCATATTCGAAGATGTCGGTGTTCATCTGGGTGGTTTCTCACTTCCACGTCAACACTCCCTAAAGCACTATCGGTGACTAATCCAGCTCTTTGCAGCTCCAAATGGGCTGTGTTCATCCATTACCGAGTCTAAACATATCAAAGCTGTGAAGGAGCCTTAGCATCGCTCAAGTCGCTTTCAAGCCCTCGGTCAAATGCTGATGACAAACCAGCACCTCGACAAGCTCACTGCCACTCGTGTTGACTTTACAGCATGGCACATGTTGGACGGTCCATGCATTTGGTTACCAACGATACTGGAAGCAGACGGTGAAGACGTGCCAAATTTTTGTGAGCCGAAGCCACCATCCATGCTGAATGCTTATAGAGCAATGGAGAACGACGACAGAGGGGCAATGGAGGGCCCAACGGTCCTTGGCGAGGTTGTCCTTGTGAAGTGCCCGGGTAGATGCCATCTTGCTGTATTCATCCCATGCAGTTTGCTAATGTTGAATCAATTACAGCGCGAGGTTATCCCAAGCAGCTTCACGAGCTGGCAAATTTCATTGGCACCCCTGACCTTTCAGCACTCATTCAACAGTTCCTCTATCAGCAGCTACATCCCAAGTTGAACCTCTCACTGGCTGAAATTGATGCTGATGATTACCCTCAGTTTGAAGATCGAGTATCTGTGTTTCTGTCTGTGGTCACAATGTACTATGCCCCAAGTGATCAATCCGGTGTCAGCGGCATGTACAGGGAATGTATCCGGTCTGTACCATCATGGTGAGGAGGAGCACATTGCTGAGATTGTGCCTTTGTGGAGAAAGACGAAAAAATTGCTGGATTTCGTGGACTTCATGATGTCTGGGTGCTGTTGTTTTTCTCCTTCAGATATGATTCAGTGCAGTATCCTTGCGCTCTCGTCACATGGTTCTCTCCTCTTGGAGATGGACCATGTGTCGATACAGGGATGTGGATTGTCACCCCAGATTTGGACGAAGACAGAGAGTGTGTCATGTCTGTCATTCATCTCGATTGTATGCTGCATGGTGCCCATCTCATCGGTGTCACTGGTGAGAGTCAGATCCCACGCCATCTCAAGCATTCAGACTTGCTTGATGCTTTCAAAGCTTTCTATGTAAACAAATACACAGATCATCACTCACATGAGATAGCATTCTAGTTTTTGTGACCATCCACCGTAGTCACCCAATGTAAATGTAGAATTATCTATAGTGTCTCATAACGATTTGCGATCTGACAAGGAGACAAGACATACAACAATTTCGAGCACTGCCAAGACATAACAAGACGATGTGCCAAGACATGACAAGATGTCTTTCAAAGGCCAAGACCGGCTCCAAGACAACTTTCCAAGATCAAGACCGGCTTCGAGATGGCAAGCATTCCAAGACACTCCCAAAAACTTGTAGATTTCCTGATGTCATACATCACATTATTGCTGACATGGGGTATTGTCGTTCTCGCAGAGTCTCCTTCCTCGAACAGATGGTCCCCATACCATCTGCAAGCCTCCATGATAGCGCCAATGATTGCAGGCACGAGGTTCTTCTTCGCTTGCGCATCCATCCAGAAACTACTGTAATCGAAGTCCAGGATAAACTCTTTGAAAGGTTTACCTTCCGCAATCATGATGTTACCATGACTGACGTCCCGGTGTAAGATGCCAGACTCATAAGCAAATTGATGACCTGTGTGAATTTAAACATCAGAAGCCAGTAGGGTGGTAGCAGCAAGAGCTCACCTGTCATGGCATCATGAATTGCTAGTACCATCTCCTTGGTCTGGCAAAAATCATCGATCGGGAGACCAATTATATCCAAGATCAGATGCATCTGGTTCCATTCAGTAGTCATTCCTAGATCTGAGTTTCGGACGAGTCCTGACATCGTGTGGTGATAGGTAGAATCAGGGACCACCACCGGCACCGCGCTGGCCTGGGGCAATAAGAACGTGGTAGCCTTATTGTCAAGGAGGGTAGGTGACTGGCTCAATGTGGTGACAGCATCTAGAAGGGAGATGCTTTCTTGAGAGGCAGCTCCAACGAGCACCGCTTTGGGTGGATCTGCCTGTCGTTTCTTTGGTGGAGGCGTCTGCGGAGGATGAGGCAGTAACATAGTGATAGCCTTACTCAACGATGAACTTTGCAGGTTCGTGTCTTCCGGGCAATAAGAGCCAAATAATGCTGATGGCATCCTCCCTGTCCTGCGCTCCAGCTTTGACATCTCCAGAGTGCTGAGATCCACGCCACGCACTATTCGTGCAAGCCCAACTAACTCAAACTTCTCACCTCCTTGTGCAGCATGCTTCTCCAAAAGCTTAATGCGCTCCTTAATGCATTCATAGAATTCCAGTTCAGAGGTCCAGATATCCTGTCGCCATGACTCTTTCATGATACACCTGGTCACATCCGCACCTTCATCGCTCTTCCTGACCACTTCCTGTACAACCGTGCAGCGTCCAAAGAGGTTTGGTTTGACTGATCATAATCTGAGAGTAAAGTATGTCTGCGACTCCCCACCCACTGTCATCGGAGGAATAGTCACCAGATGGTTATGCTCTAGGTCTTCAGCTGTCAATGGCTGACCATGAGAGTCAAATAAATCTTGAGTCCAGTGGACACAGCTTCCCGTCGCTCGCACGGATAGCTTGTCCATACCATTGACACCATTGCCATATGCTGGATGGACAAAGTGCCACAGAAACTCCCGCAGCTTTGTCGGATCTGTTCGGTAAGGTATCGGGGGTGATGCAATGGCGGACACTCTGTCAAATCGAAAGATGCGAGCGATCTGTTCGTAAATGCCGACCACAAAGCAGTATAAATTGTTATGGGCGAACATCAAGTTCCTGACATTTTTTGCAAGCTGAATCCTCGTCCTGGCGTGTTCTTCGCTAGAGCTGCTAGAGCTGAGCACCGGGTCTTCGCTTTCTTTGGCCTTGACCTCAAATACGAGTGAAACATTCCTCCACTTGTCGAGCTCCGTGGAATCGGGTGACGTATTGGGAACCAATGCCACCACATCCGGTCGTGTTATATGATGTTGGGGATCCCACCTCGCAAACGGAAAGTGGAAATCAGTTCGTGATGTATTGCGGAATTCAAGAGGCTTATTGTTCGGAAATTCGGATGTAATCAAGTCCAAGCCTTGGATCTAGCAACCGGATAATGAACAAGCAGTTAAAAGAATGAGCACACGACGCTCACTAGTGGATCATACATTTCGAGCTCGTTCCTGATACCAACGAGCGGAAGAAAGGCCCCGTAGATGGCCTCCTTCCTGCTGGGTACGGGGCACGGCTCATTACAAGGCACGAAGACTTTGTGGAATGTGTCGACGTCACCCATGAATTCATTGAGTCTTAATAGAATCTCGTCATTCCACAAACTCGGGTTCTCGGGATGCTTCGCCAGAGGGAGGACGACTGCGTCACGTCGCTTCTGCACATTCGGCGTTCGGAAGTCCATGGTAGATATTGGTGATTTCGGCCAGCATCCAATACTCCAGCAGCTAGAGGAGGGGATGGCGGGGAGGAAAGAGATATTTGCTATTGTTGAGACCAGAGTGGTATCGGATAACAGGGTGGCCACTGGCCACAGCAACAAGTGAATTGCCCGGTTGTGTGCCACTTATGAGTGCTGTACAACTGCGTGGGCCACCGATCCCTACTCAAATTGTCAGCGAAACAAGGGCAACAACGCCATACCAAGCCAATTGGTCGACCGATTGGTCTATGACCAATTTTCCCGTTGGGCCGATGCTCAATATTCAAACTCAATGATTCCCACGGGGGACCTCTCAGAGGCCTCTCACACGAGGTTCGAGACTAGCAGTTCACCACCGGTCGTTGGTTCGTACACTCTCTGACCTTCTTCCTCTTTGTCCACCAGCTGCCCTCAATGTCTGAAAACATTTCATCATCTCGATGTAGTTTGACGGACATGCACGAACATTCCGCTTGCGAGGCCGGTGAACCACGACATGATACACGGTTTTGGTTCGTCGACGGCAGCGTTATCCTCATTGCACAAGGCACAGCCTTCCGCGTACACCAGACTGTGCTCTCCCGGCACTCAGAGATCTTTCGTGATTTGTTCAGCGTGCCACAGCCTGCTGAGCAGGAGAGATTGTCTGGTTGTCCTGTGGTTCATTTATCCGACTCTCCCACTGATCTCCAACATTTGTTGCATGTGCTGTATGATTGCGGACTGTACGTCATTACCTTTGACCTACATATCACTCTGCAATAGTCGGTGTACTGAAGATTACTTGGCAGATCATACTACAAGCTCACACCAGGGCGGTTCAATTTCGCCGAAGTGGCGGCCGTGGTGCGCATGGCGCATAAGTATAGACTCGATGAGCTGTTGCAGGATGGTATCAGCCTGGTGAAGACGATTTTCACGAATAACTTTGAGAATTGGACAACTCTTCGGTGGAGAGAGGAATTTCTGATCCGATCACCATCTCTGAGCATGCAGGTGTCAGATGCCGTCATCGCCGTCAATGTCATACGTCTCATCAGTATCCCTTCGATGTTACCGACCGCGCTCTACCTATGCTGCTTTCTCTCACCAACCGAGCTCATCCGCGGTCGTGCTTGTCCAGATGGTTCCACTGTTAAACTTTCCTCGGAAGATCTAGAGAAATGTTTGACAGCCACCCCATTCCTTCATTGCGGAAATGACAGAAGGCGCCTGAGCCTGATTTCCAGAGCTGGTCCGCGGTGCTCAAAACTTTCCGAATGCATTGCGGGGCTCCCACAATGGCTCGAATCTGAAATTGAAAGTAGCGTAGACCCTTGTCCCGCTGTCCTGGAAAGCTTGGATCATGCCATCGACGTGCTAGCCATCACTGATACTATCTGCGAGGACTGCGTGGAGTTTGCGAAGTCTAGAGATCTCGAGAGGCGACACGAGTGGTGGAATCAGCTTCCGTCCCTCCTCGGTCTTGGGACGTGGTCAGACCTAAATGACTCGATCGGGGCACCTAACATATCTAAAACTGACTGAGGTGAGACGTACTCTGAATAAAGCAACAACTTGCTGACGTCTCGGTTTTCCTTTCTGCAGCTGCATTCTCCCGAATAATGGTGAGCACGCACCGTCAGCCACCCCATCCGTCTTCTGTATAGCGATTTCCTTCATTATCACCGACTCTCCTACGAATTTTCTCGTCATTCTTTCGACACTGATAAAACAACATCGCACTGCTCCCGTATCCCCCTTCAGTCCTTATCTACAGTTTGCTGTAGCGGAAGATCCTCCTCACAATTTTTTGGTGCATGTCTTTGGTGAAATAAATAATTCCTCCATGAATGGCTCTGAATCTGTCGGATTACGATTATATTATTTTCTTCGCCGGCCTGGCTACGTCTTCTTCCCGTCCTGTTTTGTTGCACGAACACCCCCCCTGCTCTCGATATTCGAGCAATCCCCGTGTCGTCCTATGCTATATGGGAGCTTTGAGGAATCCCACGTAGTCTGGGATCAAACTTTGATGACAACCGTCGCAGCATTTTTGTACATCACGGTGGGAGGCACCAGCTTCTGATAATACCCGGATTCAAGACACGATTTTTGGAGCATCCCGGGACCAAAAATGTTGATCGAGATCGACAACTTGAACGCAGGCTCATCCGACTTAGATCATACGCAGATCCTCGGGAGAATCTAACAAAGGGAGAGTGGATCGCATTAAGACAAACAAGACCGCGAGATACTGACGTGCAACAGACGACGAGTGAAAGGAGAGGTCAAGATAGGTTACATGCATTCTAGAGAGTAGGGAACATCAGGACGAGTACACCGTGCGTATAGCATAGGCTAAGTAGGCAACTGAATAGCAGGAAAACGTGAGTACTGTCTTCTGTCAACTTGTTACATGTCCGCGAGAAAGGTCGCTTCCACACGTCAGATATCCCGGAGCAATACTGGCCGCTCGTTGACCCACAGGTCCACCCGAACACCCCGCTGGCGCAGATGCACAACGAATTTGATCAGGCCTGGTCGCCATTGATCTCGGTAGTCGACAGGATATGTCTGGTCAGAGAACTTGAGGATCACTTCCTTCAACTGCGAGAACTGTTCCAAAGCCAGCACTTCGCGGGCAGTATCCCACTGAGCGTCCATTCCCCGAAACTCCAACGTCAGGGTTTGGATGCGACAAGTGGGTAAGATGAGGTGTAAGTCATGGAAGGGACGAAAACGAAACCTCGGACTGGGTAGATGGATTGTACGCAGAGCGGTGCAATAAGGGACAACCTCCCCTGATGACGGTACTAATAAGCCTCTGTCCTCGCCTGAAGTTCTAAGACGAAACTCACGGAACAGAGTGTAGCGAGCGTTGGAATGATACGCCGCAGAGTGTTGAGCATCATCATCGTGTAATTCCAGATGTTGGAGCTGGGGTGCAACGGCTTCAATCAGTTTGCGAGCATATTCTTCGACTTCTCTCCTACTTGGCACTAGTAACTCTAGTCTTCGCAATGATAGAACAGATAAAGTACAGAGAAACCAGTTGACGAGCTGAAGCAGAACATCGTCTTTGTAATCGCGAATAGATAACGTTATGAGTAACGGACGACGCCTGCGAGCATCGAGCTGTGAAGATGTAGACCGATTCTTAGAAAGTGATGATTCGCGTGCCCACGGCTCTATCCCACACAGAGCCAAGTTATCCAATCGGGGGAAGGCAGAGACAACGCTGTGGAACTGAAAGACATCACGGAACGTGCAGTAGGTAAGTTCCAGCTTAACAACATTGTGGAACGTGGCGAAGCCGACAGCGAGGTGGTCGGGAGGTGGGGTGATTCCACTCCAGTTCAGCAGCGAGAGGTTGAGCGTCTGTACGGCTGGTAGCATACGTCCAAGCCGGAGTGGTGCTTGGTACATCCACACAGTCCTAGCCTTACTCGATGTCTCTGTCCTGCTCACCCATCCACTCAGGTTAAGCGTGCGCACTGCATCGAGGTGTAGATCATCTTTTGAGAATGGGTCGTCCGAGGCACGCACGAATGCCTCAAATTGGCCCTGAGATACGATGTGCTTCTGCGCGAAGAGGTGATGTTGGGCGCGCGGGAGCCATGCGTGGTATGCATCGGCACAGTTGTGAAGTGAGAACCAGTCGTCCCAGAGATAGTCTATAATGAGCTCCGCGACCTCCAGTGGAATACGTGGCATCCCAAGTGCGCAGAGATATCGATGAGTTAGGGAAGTTCAAACTGAACGAGGTCACTTCCTGGGAAGAGGCATCACTTTATCAGTCCAGAAGCAAGCCAAGGGAATCGACTCACCGTCACTACCGGAGGAAGATCGACCTCGGTAAAACCTGTTATCCACTCGCAAGTCAGCACATCTCGGCACCAGCGCTAGTACACCAAAGCGATACATACACCAGGACTTAGGATGACTCTGAAAGGATCGCAGCACACGGAGGTAGTCTGGCGCAGACCTCTAATGGTGCCGTAGCGAGAAACGATGCTAGCGAGCAAATTTTCAGATGTACGGAAAACGACAGCAGAGCTCTTACCTAGTGAGCAAGTGCAAGTCAGAGAGGAAAGGGCAGCGAGCCCCCTGTCTCTGCGCTGACCAGAAGCAGGGAGGAATCAAGACGGGATGGCGCCGTCAAGTTGACGCTCGCTGCAAGCGTTGGACAAGTTTCTTCATATTAATGCCACGATCACTGCATGAAGCCATGTCTGTCACCTCGAGGCTATTCACCATTCGAGGATTCACACAAAGCCACCGTATTCCGTGCACAGTTAACCGTCGTTCTTGTTGCCTTCACAAATTTCGAACGAACTTGAAGTCAGGAGACGTTGTGCCAGCACCGTGGAGGTGAAAGTTCCCTTATCGAAAGTACTAGTCGTCGGCTCAATCTGGACGATATTTCATCGCGGTGAGATAAGTCAGAGCAGAGATCAGCCTACTAATACCGTGCATGAAGATCCATGGCCGAAGGTCGAGATGATCGCGATCATAGGTACTACCACAAGATCTCCGCATGCATCGTCCGAGAGCTCAACATCGTCCATCTCCACCATATTCAGCTCTCCATATTTCCAGGCAACGTCTAGCATACTCATTCCACGGACTGGCGTAGTCGCGGACCCGCTCCACACTGTAGGTTTGGTAGTCACTCTTCCGTTATCATCTCTCACTTCTGCAGACGCTGGCGAATAGGTTCACCGATACATTTTCTGCAACACGGCCTCAGGAGGCTCTACCTTAACACAGGGAATAACTGCGCGTTCAGCCGGCAGAGGCATCCTTTGGCAGCCTGGTGTCAATGCGGTTCCAATCCCCACCGTGAAATTTAGGCTCCCAGCTCTAGAACACGCTAGAACAAGCTGCGTCGAATGACCTTGGAAGCCTGATTGTGCAGTCTCTACACGTAAGTTCAGTAGAGATATCTATGTGTACGACCTCGTTTACGCCATTCAGCGCCCCGTAACTCACCTCTTAGGCGTCAAGATCGATCTCTAAATACCAAAATTGTAGCTCGTATGGAGGAAAGCGCACTCAGGACGCACTTAGGACACGGTCGTCCATTCAGTCATCGTTATCAAACTCCTGCGCGGTTTATTGTTCTCCTCCTCGCATCAACGAGCTGGATCGTGCGTACTACATTCTGCTCGGCCATCGTGACATTAGACCGTTCTCTGAAGGGAAGACAGCCGTGTGCCACCTTGAGTCCTGCACGCCACCTCACCAAATAGCATTTACCGCGACGGCAACCTGCTCGTTGTACGTCTCCGTTCGTTCTTTCGTTTCCTCATGGACAAGGTGCGGACTTTATGACGTTACTTGTCTGCATGAGTGCACGAGTTTAAAGTTTACGAAGTACTGGATCATAGGTATATTCAATATAATATTGGTCTTAGTTATTGCTACACGGTAGTTACAGACGTGATGCGAGATAAAGCAACGATGAGCTGACATGTTGAATATAAACTGTTTAACAGAAGCGCATCCTGAGACAGGAGAACAGAACGTAACGAATAGAATGACAAACTATTCAGACACTGACGATGCTACCAGAGCAACGACCTAGTCCTGTGGAAATGACAACCAAAAAACACAATCGTCGCAATTGAATTCAAAACCGTCTGGCAATGGCGTTCGGCCTCGCCGGCTGTTTGCCCTTACGCCGGGCATACGATGATGGCGGCCGACCACGAGACGTGGAACTGGGAGCTGGCACTGGCAATCTGGGACGTTTGCTCGGACGGGACCTTCGAAGAGCTTCCGAAGGGCTCTCTGATCCAGAGCTAGAAGACGCTGGTGGAGGAAACCTGAGTCCCCTCTCTCGATAGTCCGCGTAGCTGTAGTGGGGCGGAATTCTATCGCCAATCTTATCGTGCTCCGGCCACTTCTTCTGGAAATACATCCGCAGCAAGAAATCGTACACGTAGTCTTGCGTCTTCAATTTCTCAGCAGCAGCTCTGTTCTTTCGAGTGAGCCGCGTCTCTGGGGTTTTCAGCTCGCCAGAGGACTTATGAGTGTAGGTGGTACATTCTGCCTGCCACTTAGCCTCCAGCTGCGCATCCAGCATATTTTGGATAGACCGCTTTTTCGTATTTCCATCGGCAGCCGCTTCGGAGCTGGTTTGGGCACGGTCCAGAAGCTGCTGGTCAGAATCTTTCTGGCGGTGGACACTTTGGTCTGCCGTCTGGGCCTGTAGAAGGGCAGGAAGGGTCACCGAGTAATGTGCCTGAAACAATTGCAAAAGCTCTTTGATGATGGTGTTCAGAGGAAGATGGTCTGAACCGTTATTGTCAAGAAATGTGATGGGCTTCTTCATCTTTTCCTTCAGGGTGCCCGTCTCTATGGCATTGCGTTTTGCAGAGCCGCAAGTATACTGGACATCCAGCGAGTCTATTGTGCCTTCGTCGAAGTATTGAGACATGAACACCGGGACGTTTCGAACGGTGCTGTTGGTGTACCGGACAACATGGAACAAGAGGACGTTGAAAAAAGCCTCGAGCTCGTCTGGGATCGTAACAGACTTCCAGGGATAGTCCAGCAGGAGGGCGGACAAAAACTGCCAAGTACCCTACGAGGGAAAATCATTTGAGCGATCGTCGCAGATGAGACTATACACGAGAAGCTCACGGTGCGGTCAGGTTGTCTCGGCTTCTTCTGTTTGAAGGTAACATTCTGTATCTCCAGATTATTGGCGTCACTTTCTCGGCTTAAATCTTCCTCCGAATCGATGTCCTCCTGGTTCTCGTCGTCTTCGTCTTCAATCGGTTTGGATAGCTCCCAATCACACAACAGCCCTGTCCTGACCGTCTCATACTCACCATCCGTCTTCACAACCGTTTCATTAATAAGCAGATTTCCTGCGCTGACGTCGCGATGTGTCAATCGGGCCCTGATAGTGGCCAGCCGATGAGCTGCACGCCGCTATGAGTAGACAGCGATGAAATCAATAAAATCGGCACTCACCATGGATGCAATTTGCAATGATCTTCACCAGCTCCCGAGTATTCTTGAAATCCTTCAGCGGACGACAAATTTCTTCGACAACGAGGCGGTAGTGGGAATGCTTCTTGATAGGATTCAGGTCGTCCGGATGGCCTAGCTTGAGATAGCTGTGAGTCACAGTCTGCTGGAACCGGCCTTCAACGTCTCCGTGACACTCAAGAGTTGGGACGTTCTCCACCTTCTCTCTGTTGAGAGTCGCGAGAATATGTCCTTCCATCTCGATGTCATCAAGATCAACACGCCATGCATCCTTGAGGAAAACGAACTTCTCCCTCTCACAATCAACTGCGATATAGCATCGCGTGGCGCCACCTGTCAATCCCGGAGCTTCGAAATGAGGTTTGCCGACCAGGAAGTGTCGCGCAGCTGGCTTTTGGTTCGCCCTGGGGAAAATGCATCTCTCTACATTCGCCTGAACTGGCCTCCGGGTTGGCGGGTCGATCTGCGGAAACGTCGCCCTTCTGCCTCCGCTTCTCTGGTATGATAGTGAATTTCCAGCACAGCCACTCGTCTGGACCATCTTCTTTGAAGTCCTTGAGATTCAGCGACTTGACAAACGACTGTCTTGCATAGTCATTCTTAGATCGATCAGAGGGGTCCACTGGCACAGCCATCTTTTGCATTAGCTTATAGTCGGCCGATCCAGACACCACAGGCACAGCAGACGTATCATACCCTTGCTGCATGACAGTCATGTAAGAGAACCGCCACAAGAATTCGCTGAGATGTTCCGTGGTCATGTAGTGGAATTTATGTGTGACGATGGCACCAGCGTGGTCCCAGCGAATAATCCGCGCGCAATCGCCCAGGATAAGAACAGTGAATACGAAGCAGCGGTGTTGGCGGGAGAAGATCATCTTGGCGTATGAAATAATCTGCCCGCGGACAGCAGTACGTCGTTGAGCGTCCGCCTCAGCAGCAGTCATGAAGATGGCCTTGGCATTGTCTTCTGCCCTTAATGAAATGGGAGGTGTCTGGAAGAGGTCCTCGTCTGTATCGACCATCTTGGTAATTGAAGGATAGAAATGGTCATACTTCCTTGAGTTTTTGAGCACCCACACGTCGTTCAGCCGCGCAAATCGAGACATGTCGTGGGGACCTTTGCCCATGACGTCCGCTAATGAGTCGCCCGGAAGCAAACTTCCAGATTTCGGCATGTAGGATGGGTCTTCATGGCTGAGTTGCTCTGGTTTAGGAGATATCCCCACGTCGTCGTCTACCTTGGTGGTCTTGTGTGCACGTTTCGGCTTTCTCTTCTTGTCTTCAAACGGATCGTCCCAGGTACGATGACGCTTAAACTCGATGGACAGGTGCTGAAGTGCCCAATGTGGCCGATCGTCCTCAGGAACGTTGTCTGACGTTCGAAAAAGAGCAGCATCGACCTTCTGTCGGCTAGGGTCGTCAGGATCGGCCTTGTTTTGAGCAAGTCGAAGAGTATGACCAGGACAAAGCTTCGCATCCTCCACGCAGTCGACCTCGAGGACTAAAGTGAGCTTTACGTGGCGCGCAAGGAAGAAAAAGCGCATACAAAAGGTTTGTATAAGTCGAATTCTCGTTTGTTGTTCCCCGGCATGTTCTCGAAGGCGTCGATAAAGTCTGGCTTTTGCTGATCCAGTGGGTTCTGAAAATTAGGGACAAAATCGTCCATGAACTCGTCGACGGGCATCAAGACGAACTTGGCGTGCATTTCTTCACGAAGCTCACACCGCTGTTCCTTGACAGACATGCGACCCGTAGCATAAGTATCAAAGCCAGAGACTTTCTTTACTGAAGGCGTGCGGTTAGTGGATTGGTGAGACATAGCTGAAGATGCTTACCTCCTCGTAGACCAGGTTGCGAGTTTTATATTCGTTGGGCAAACATGCAAACGGCCCAGAAACTGCGCAACCTCGATCAATGCACAGGTCATGGATTGATCTTCGAAATAACATTACCACCGAACTCTCCTTTGTCTATTGTTGCTGCAGCGAGTTTTGTGGCAGGGAACCTCGTGGTTGAAGGCCAACTTTCAATGCGCGTTCAGAGTGGGAGATCCCGTGCACCGCGTCTGCAGCGTGACATGCGCGTCTAGGCAGCTCGACTCGTCTTGTACTGTAATTTTCACCTTTGTAATCGGCTCTCATATGTGGTATCACCTACCAAACAATGTAGAGGCATTTTTCGGTCAGAAGCACCATTTTCACAGCCGTAACTCCTTCTCTGAGTCACCCACCATGTTGCGTTGGACGTCTCGAACATAATAGTGGCCAGAAAACGGTTTCCTTTGTCCTTTAATGAACGGCCTTCCAACTGACCGTGTGATTGGCAGAACAGGTCCCTTGGCCGCACAGCCGAGAGTTCGTGAACTGTCGCTTTGTCCTTATACAGCTACACACACCTGCGCGTGTTTGTGGCCCAGTTTATGGCGCTGGCTCTGCACAACCGTTTCAGACGCTGCCCTCGTCCACATGCAACTCTCTGGTAAGCCCTGTACAATACGAAAAGGTGCGTCGACAGTTCTTAGCACTGTGTAGATTGCGTCGCCATGATCTTCCCTCTCACCTTTCATTACGGACACAAACAGGCCGAGAAATTCATTGAAATGCAAGCACTCGTACGTCCCCACTAATTATACCAGATTCTCCACGAACACCTTGTTATTCGTCGGGAGGACAGGCCTTGCCACCCCGCATTGATCTTGGCGCGTCTCATTGGCCCCTTGCATGCGTCCACTCGCATTGTGTCGCTACTGGCAGTTGAGTAGTCCCAAACTTGGTGTAGTATATCGCAGAGACGGAATTGGAGCGCTGCTGCCTCAGAAGGCTGGAAGAGATGGCTAGACGTAGTGCGGCCATTTCTGCGGATTCACTTGGAGGTATTCTCGCTTAAGTCGCAGATCCTACTGCGTGATACCTTGGATGACGTTATCAAACGCCCGGCTCTCATTGCAAGCAGCACTATCTGTGCGACAATTGCCTTCAGTCTGTGAAGATGCGGGACTTAGTATGATGTCACGGTCTCAATTTCCTTCCCTCGTACTTGGGTGCATTGGCTTGGAAGACTGGGTGTAGCTTGGCAGGCGGACTGTGCGTCGTTCTCATGAACAGCGAGCTGGTGCACAGTGTTTTCAGTTTTGCAAGGTGCTTCCGTAAAATTGACAGTGTCCGTTACTAGATCTCACACTCTCGACTGGCCCAGCCGCATTTCTCTGCTTACTCGACACCGATGTGCCCTGCGGTTACATACGACTTGGTTCTCTTGGCGTTGCAGCACTCTCGCAATTACCTCTCTGTCCTTGTCTGTATGTTGTCTCTACATCACTTTATTTTAGCACTTATGTGAAGTCCCGCGGTAACTGGATTTCTCCGTCGCTCGCAATCTGTCCTTTCTGCCCAACTTTTTTGGTCTGTCTATGCCGCTTTCACTTTCTTCGCCTTCATGAGCATCTACATCGTTTGCAAGGGTAGGGGCGATGCACCTATGTTTTAGCACGCAAGTGTGCCTTTCAGCGGAGCATGACTGACTGTGTATGCTCCGTCCATCTTGTTGTATCCACGCCTCGTCACTTCTCAGTCGCCGACTGTCGCATTTGTTATCGAAATCTAGTGCCGCTGACAATGTCGACAGCATACGGGTGCCCGACTCAACCGTCTCTACTCGCCCCAATCGCGATTTACACGGTTACAAACGGGACATGGATGCACACCCACGACTGCAGACGGCTGAGGTGTTTGACAGCATAACAATACAGAGCAAGCACATCAACGCATCGACAGCACTACAAAACAACGGTAACACTACAAAGCAACGATAACACTGTCGACTACCCCGAGCACACATAATCATACCGACGATCCCGAACATCGACTGACACCCAGTCACCCTCTCGACTGCTGTTCCACGTATACTCTCGCACCGTTGACGCAGACGACTGTGACGGACTCGGAGATGGAGTACGTTCGGGGGGAACGCTGGTCGGATCTACGTGGTTTATCCAGTGTTGGATACCCTCAACAGAGTCGATGGAGTCGTGTCTGTATTTCTCCCGCACGATGGGGTTGTTCGGGACTCCAGACAGACTGCCACAATGGCCTTCGTCCTGGAGATCCATGAGCCTACTGTCGACTTCTTCAGCATGAATGGTTGATGAAGTGTCCGACATGTGTGCTGCAAGGCCATCTTTTGTGAGCTTTGTATCAATTGCAGGGAGACGTTGCTCACCGCCACCTTCGCCACTCCAGTCCGAGATAGAGGGTGCAAAGGGGGGTCTACGGGTGAGAGGTGGAGGGATTGAGTTCGCGACCTCCAATCCAATGGTGTGAACAGGTTCTGGTACCTACATGCGCAAGACGAATTTGGTGAGAGCCCATCAACAACACTGTCACGACAGCAGGGATAATGCCATGAGTGCTCTTCGCTCCTCCGCAAATGAGACCGGTGGTAGAATATCGCGGACCAGGCACGGTATTTCAACGCCAACGTATTCGGGCTCGTCACTAACCTCGGGTATCGTCCAGCCTCCGTCGACACCTACTGCTGAGGCGAGCCAGAAGACTAGAATTTCTTCCACGGTAGGGTCTTGATCATCTGACTTGAAGATTGGCGATACAAAGGCTCGTGTCCACCCTGTGGACCGGCCGTCAGCGCTACCTGTAAGAGGGTATAGAAGGTGCATACCTTTCGAGAAGGCACCGAACACCCAACCAGAATATGAGGTGACTACAAACCAGCGAGATCGCTCTCGGAAACAGACATCCCAGATCTTCTGCCGATTTTAGGTGACTTCTCAACTATGAGATCATTTTATCGCACCTTGCTCCACAACCTCTGACTGCAGGTATAATCCTTGACTGGACCATTCGGATTATAAGGAGGGAGCTGCAGCGAACAATCAGCTTGTATTCCACCACGGTGGTTGAAACGTACTGCTCCACAAGCTACAAATGCCACAAGATCTTGCGGGGAAAGTATCCACGGTGGCTGTATGACCACAGTGACTGAAGGTATTGCGCACCCTCTGGGAGGCAGAGGTGCAGCAGCGGCACTAAAAGTGGTGTACCGGAATATGTCTTTGTCCATGTCGATATCACGGGCATGCTTCTCAGGTGAAAAACTCCAGTCGTCTGTTTGTGGCATAGTGAGATGTAGAATGCGTTGAGAGGTTGTCAGGGGGTATTCAACGACCCAACGACAGACTCTGCAGGATACGTAAAGCATGAGCAACGAAGTCGAGTCGGCACGGTGCATGAAACTCACCGCTCAATATTGGAGACCTGCCCCCCAACGTGCCTCGGGATATTGTAGTGTGGGGCGCACGGGAGGGTGAGTGCCTCTCCAGTATATTCGTCGAGGTTGTCTGCGTCCAGTGGTGCAGATGGAATTCGCCGATCCAGGACTGCGAACCGTCCGATCGTCAGCAATGCATTGAGTAGTTGACATCTAAGCTCACAGTCCAGCGCCTCTTGGGAGAAACCTTTGGCCATTATATGCATGGTCTCCAGTCTCCTAAATGCCTGGGGAATAACCGTGAGCTGATTTTTGTGTGCTTTATGGCCATCTGGCGGCATTGGTTCAGCGGTGGCGGCGGAAGGCATGTCTGGCAGAGTCGCCACAGACATGTAAAATCTGAGGTTGCTTGTGGCAGGTCTGGCCATAATGGCCTGGAATGACTCCCATAGACTGAACGTCGACGTCATGGTGGTGGAACTTAGAGGAAGAGATGTGCGGCCACAACTTCAACGAGGACTGCAGCTTAAAAATGCTGGGAATGAAATGCAGCTGGAACCATGGAAACGCTACAACAACCATGTTGCTCCTGTGGGTGGTACGGAAACAAAACTGGAACAAGGAAAGAGATCGTTTGAGACGAAAAGCTGATGGTACAATACAAGGACAGACGAACAAGACGGCATGCCTGAAGGATGGAAATGCCTAAAAAGGACATGAGCCGCCTGCGCTTCGCCCCGGCAGGTGTGAGTTGTGGTAAGAATGTAGGCTCATAGCAGCGAAACCCGTCATAATCAAGGGGAATTTTACTATGTGGCGTTCACCCAGTGCGGTTGTATTTTTGCAAAAAGTGGTCAAATTCCCTAAGGTGCATGGTGATTTTCACCAATAAATGCCCAGTGAAAATCGCCTTCATATGTAGTGGCAGTCCAGCTGAAGAACTGCGACGAGACCATAGAAGAGACCAGTGCAATTCCAGAACGATATCTTGATACTATCAGAGATGCTGAGGACAGTGCTGCTGCATCAAGCCGTCAATAGAGCCTTCGCTGTCTCTGCCTATCTCGACTCCGTCCGCGACGCACGGCTCGTGTCCGCCTCAGCGGCAATCGCGCCGCATAAGACGCGCCCTCCCAGCGACTCATCAATCATCAATATTGCCCCGCGTCCACAGCCACCTCCGCTAGTGTGCGATAGACGAGGCTAGACGTACAGCAAGTGACATTTCTGCCACAACTTGATTCAATACTGTCCCTCATCTCAAGCAAAGGTGTGTCGGTGGTATCCCATTCAGTGAAAGACTGTTGACGTCCCGCAGATGCAAATTTATGGTGGTTACAGGTTGACAGAGGAACAAGTCAAAGCATGGTGCCACTCTCAGGGCACGGATCCGCAACCTGGCACCTATATTGTGGTTATCATGCGGTACCTTACAGCCAACCACATCCAGATCGACGTACTGCCATGCGATTACGAAGGGGAATGTATCCATCTTGTTGTGACAGACAAGAAAGCCGATTACGACGCCACGCCTGATAAGTACGAGCAGTTACAAGAGAGCGACAGGGCGCGCGCGATCAAGCAGAAAGTGCTGGATCAGGGATTCGATTCGGCCGATTTTGTCACTGTTCCTGATCCTTACAAAGTGTGGCAAGGCTGGTAGCGGAATGTGCTCCTTATCACTGGCGACTTCGGCTAGAGTCTGCCGTTGAATTTAGCGTCTCAAACCCAGGTCAATGGCTTTGGATTGATGCATGATGAACGTCTGCTCTGCTGAGCGGCCGGGTTGTCACATAGGATAATAGGATCGAACGAATATTTAGCAGAATGGAACGCAATATTTTCAAGATAACATGCAAACGTACAAGCGCCAGAGAATCCTAATCTGCCGCGCAACCACCGTCGGTTCGTTGGATATCCTTTCTATCAGCTACATCGACAAGGAGATTCGTTCATCAAAGACGAACGTAAAGGTGGAGACTATCAGGTGGTCACAACTGTGCGCACAGAATGGGTAGCCGCATCGAGAACACACGAGCGTACCCAATCGGCGTGAGAAGGGAACCTCGTCGATTCACGTCATCTGCAGATGCGAGGGCCTGCGTGTTTGACATGAGAATGCGAGCTGGGAATTAGGCGTGTGATCAAGCTCTTACCGGTGACGCTCAGACTTGTATTCGCGTGCAGGATCCCATGTGTGCATCACGAGCAATCGCACTCGGTCACATCAGGTGACAGAGAATAGTCGAATACCGGGCAATGTCGAACCCGCACCTTTTTGAATTGCTTCACGTTCAACAAACGCCCGTATGAAATAAGAAATACCACTCCTACGGCTGTTTGATCGACCACGAATAAGCACAGAATGGTAGCAAGCGGTAGTAGGTTCTGCACTGTCATCCTTGGGATAGGTTATCGCTGAGCAGGATGCATAATGCAGAAGCAGGCAGACTCACCGCAACTGCTTGCGCTTGCATAGACTTCACTATACCCAGAATACAGCTGTGGAATCATAGTGTAGATATGGCAAGTGAATAATACGGACCAAAACGCACAACATTGCCTTGGATAGTGATGGCACCCGTCTCTAAACATCGTGTCTATTTCTCGTGAATGCGCTCAATCTAATGACAGTATAAACAAAGAGTGAAATCCAACGTACCAAATAGTCGCCGACGTAGATGACGCAGAGTCCCCTTACTGAAGCTGTACCCAGTCATCCAAGCCAAAGTACTCAGGCAAGTGCTCCCAAGTCTCGCGGCGCCGTTCCAAGTCTCTCGTCTTTATGAATTGTCGGCAATTGTCACACAGGTTGTGCTTCTTGCAACGCAAATCAATCGTCCGGTCCATGTCATCCAAAGTTTCGCACTGCTGGATCTTAACCCGACGGGGGTACGAGTCCACGCTTCGCTGTAGCACAGAATGCATCGTCGCTGCGCACATCGGCTTCCTCAGGCAATCCGTGCTGGCCATAGAGTACCGCCGCATCCTCCCCACCGCATACGCGCTCATCAGCCGGGCCTTCGCATCTATGCATCTCTCCACGTCTTCTGCAGACAGCTGCTCGGTATGACCGTCACCACGAGAGACGCCGCCGCATAGCTCAGCGGCACTCAGCTGGCAGCAACGATACAGAGCGGCGGGGAGCATCGAACGGCACCCAATGACACGTGCCAAGTTCACTGCGGCTATGGCGTCCGTCGTCTCCATGACCACTGTCGATGTGTCCTCCGAGTTCGCCTTCAGGCTCGCGTTCCACGCTAGGAAGTTGTCAGGGAACACGGCCTTCAGCAGAACGAGTCCTTGCTCGCGGAGATCCTGGATCTCGTATTTCTGGCCGAGGCGCACCAATGCTTCTACTGCTGCGAAAGGCAAGCGATCTTCCCGCATAAGATAGAACCTAGCATCAAGCATTATGTCGAAACACATTGGTCAGGACTATCGACGCACCTCCTCCCATCGTACAAGACCCGTAACAGATGCCGGAGATCGGATGCGGAGTCGGAGAGACGGACGACTGGAGAGTCAAACATTCGCTCTTGGACGGCCGGTTGAGGAACAGTGAAGAGATCGCGAAACACGTCCGAGTGTCGCGATAAGACACCCTGGTGGACACGAAATGCAACGTTCCGTGTAATGAGAACGATGTTACCATCTGTGAACCAGAACTCATCGTCCTTCCGTAACTCTCCCTCTTCACCTTCCAGTTCCATGCGGATATCCGTCGAGCTGAGACTAGTGCTAGAGTCCATGTGAGCGCTCTGTGAACACAAGCAAGGGGCGTCTCCCGTGTCAATGATGAGAATCAAAGGCGAAAAACTCCTGCAGTACACAAGGATGAGGCAGGAAACAGATGGAGAATATGGTCAAGTGGTAGTGATAGTGATGGTGGCAGTGGTATATTGCGGTCTGGTCAGGAAGGGACCAGGGTATACCTCTCGGCGCCTACGTACGCTAGCCGGAGAAACCTCCGTCACGGTGGCGGCCACCGACTACCATAACACATAGAAGAATGTGGTCATCGAGACACTAGTGCCCCAGTTCAAAGTTGACCGCGTACCACTACCATCTCCCTCGCGTCCAAGTTTTGAAATAAATACGACTCACTTCGTGATGTCTGTCTCTCTCGCAGAATTGAGAGGACTCGAACGTGACAAGGTCCCTTCGAGTCCTGCGACTCGTGACAGTCTTGACGGACGGGCAAGTGTGACAGTGTGACAGTTCACTCTTGACCCTCTACCGCCATCATCCCTCTTCAAAAACATCAATAACGATTCTTTTTGTTCCTCTTGCAACTCTCCTCTCATTCCCCTTACTCTCCTTACCTTACTTTTTCGTTGTTCACCCTCTCCCTCGCGATGCCTCAAACGCGTGCCGCGGCTCGTCAACAACAAGCCCCTATTTCAAGCCCCGCCCCTATCGAGGGCCCTGCACAGGAGCGCTCCTCCTCTGCCCCCGCCCCCTCCCCTTTTCGCATCAAGATTCCTGCCCGTCGTGCCCGCACCCCGCCGCCCGCTTCTTCTCCACTCCCGGCTGTTCCGCCGCGGCCCCGGAAGCGCGTGCGTCGCGAGCCCGTCGCTGAACCACCTCTCCCCGAGGCCTTGTCCCCGTTCGCGGCCTTCAATAGTGATGAGGACATCCCCTGGATGACGCAGGCTTCCGCAAATGCCAGCTCTCCCACGCGCCCTACCCTTTCCCACCGTTCTCGCGAATCCTCTCCCATACAGGCCAACAACGCTCTGTCCACCCCCTCTACCGTTCGCTCATCTCGCGCTGCGGTTCGCGCTCTCCTTTCCAACGTGTCCGCTGACGTTCAGATGCTCTACTGGCAACGTGCTGACGAACTCAACCAGCTGTTCCTCTCACGTTCTGAAATACCCACGGCTAGTGCGACTGCCCATACTTCCAACGTTGCACTGCCCATCTCAGGTTAGTATCTTTCTACTGAACTTCGCATCAGACTTCGCCTCCACGGCTGTCTGCTTTGTTTCTGTCACTTCGGGTTGTCGCAACGCACACCTCTCCTCTGTATCAAACGCATATTGCAGCGCATATGCTTCTTTTTCGGGCTGTCGCAACGCGCACCCCTCCTTTCTTTCATAATCATGTCGCAGCGCGCATGATTGTCCTCCGAGTTGTCGCAACGCGCACTCCCCTTCTTTCACCCACGTCGCAACGCGCGTGCTCGTGCTTCAGGTCGTCGCAGCGCGCACCCCTCCTTTTTTCTATACGTGTTGCGGTGCATACGTCCACCCGCCATGCTGTTCATTTGTTCTACCCTGCCCGTTTTCATTATCTTCTAGCCGTCACATCGTGTTGGCTTGTACTTTCTGCAATTCCGGCTCGTGTGCGAGACTCACTCGTTCTTGTCTCGCAGTCAGAGTTCATGTTGCCAATGTTGCACTGTGTACTCTCTCACTGCTGTAATAGCCCATCTCATGGTGCTCACCTGCCTTTTTCCCGCAGCCACTCGCACTTTCGTGTCGCCTTCACCTTTACTCGTGTTTCTACGCATCTCTTTAGTTGATCCTTCCATTGCGTACATTGACGATCCAATGAGTTATGCCACCCTTGACGTGGCCGAGTTCGTCGCTATTTTGTAATCACGTCGCTGTCATATTGTTCAATTGGGAATGATTGTCCTTATTAATTATCGTCTCTGCAGCACGTGTTCATATCTCGGATTCATCGCCAGAAGGTCTTGTGCTTGCAACTTCGCGGCATGATTTCCCTTCGCAATCTGTCCAACTCGCTGGTAACATGTTACCCGACCCTCCAGCCGTTGTCACTTGCATGGAAAAAGGATGGAAACAGTACATTCCTCTCTCATTGCTGACCAATCAGGCGTGTAAAACGGCGGCTTTACGTGCCTTCAAAGAGCATCTTAAGCTTGACAACGGGTCTGTCTCCGTTGCGCAGGCACCACTTGACGCTCGCAGTGAAAAGCACCTGACCACCACCGACTTCATGGAAGCCTCTGGACGTTTCCTCAACATAATCTCCCTACACTATCCTGACGTCAGTGGTCGTGCACTTATCCATGACCAGTTTGAAAAACATTTCCACATGATTGTCCGTCGTGTCGATTTCGGACAGTATCCCGGCCTGTATGTTGAGTATGATATTCAAATTCGCCGTTTTCACGCTAGCGGTCGGCGTTTCCGTCCTGCTGACTGGCAACATGAGATATTCACGAACATCCGTGACGAGTTTCTACTTGGGTCGGCCTCCGGCCGGTTCACATCTGCAGGGTATCCTGTAGAGAATGCTCCCCCTGCATTCTTGTCTGTCCAGCCACGCTCGAGTGTGAACTCTCGACCTTCACAACGGACATCCTTTCGTGCAGACCCTAAGCCCAATGATGCATACAATCTATCGACACTCCTTGCCGCCATTCGGTGCTTCCTCTGTGGAGTTACTACGTACGTCGGGCGCAACTGCAAACACAATGTGCTCCCATTCCTCGTACGGCACACTGATGGGAAGATCACCACCCCGACAGGAGAAACTATCTGTTTCAACTACAATTCCAAAGGGTGCTCCGAGTCTAACTGTTGTTGTGTCCACGTCTGCTCCCTGTGCGGCAAACCCGATCATGGGGCCAATGCTTGCACAAAAGCTTGATTTCTGTCCCATCGTCACACCTTTATGCTGGTTGATTTGGCGTGACGAGCTCGAGGCTGCCGGCTGCCTCGACTCCTTTCTTGACATTCCCTCAAGTATTCGCGATGGTTTCCACATTGGCGTTAACTCTCTTCCGTCCTCCACATATATTCCGCGCAACCATTCCTCCACTTCCGATCATCCTGAAGTAATTCTTGACTACATTGCCACCGAACTCCTTGCCCGGCGATACTCTGGCCCTTTCCATCCCTCGCGTCTCGAACAGCTTATTGGCCCCTTTCGGTCTTCACCTCTTGGTACGGTTCCGAAGGCGAACAGCCCTGGCGTATTTCGCATTATTCAAGATTTTTCCTATCCTCGTCACAACCCCGCGATGCCTTCCGTCAATTCCGATATTGACAGCGATGATTTCCAATGTGAATGGGGAACTTTTGCGGCATGTGTTCTTCTCATTCTCCGTGCTCCACCAGGTACCCAAGCATCTGTCAATGATGTCGAGAAAGCATATCGTTGTGTCCCCATCGCTCCGCAGCACCAACCTCTTGTCGTTATCATGTGGAAGGGTCTCATTTACATGGACCACTGCGCTGCATTTGGTACTTCCAGTGCCCCTGGGATATTTGGCCGTATTGCCGATGCTGCTGTTCGCATTTTTCGTCACCATGGTGTTCAAGATGTAATCAAGTGGGTCGATGATTTTGTCTTCTTCCGCTACCCATCAGGAACGGCCGTCGACGGGTCTCACCTATATAGCTATGATGAGTCTCTCTTCTTCTCCGTTGCCGAACGTCTTGGATGGCCATGGTCTATGTCAAAACACATGCCATTTGCTGACTGTTTCGAGTACAATGGCTTCCGCTGGAGCATCTCGATGCGCACAGTCGAAATTCCGCTCAGAAAAAAAGGAGAAGTACTTGTCTCGCCTTCAGCCCTGGACTGCTGGCTGCAAAGTCACCCGCAAAGACTGTGATCGTCTTGTGGGTACGCTCAATCACTGCTGTCTCGCGTTACCCGCAGGACGCTCTCAACTACCTTCCTTGTACCGTCTGTCTGCCTCCTTTGCCCACACATCGTCCGAGTATGTGCGTCGCTCAGTCTCATCTGCAGTACTCGACGACCTGCGATGGTGGCATGACCAGCTCTCCTTATCATTCTGCGGGTCCTCTCTCGTGATTCCACCTCGTGACAACAGTCGTACGATTTTTGTAGATGCTTCCTCGTCCTGGGGCATTGGGCTCGTTGTGAACGGTCGCTGGCTCGCATGGCAACTGGTTCCGGGCTGGAAAGACGATGGACGTGAAATCGGTTGGGCGAAAATGGTTGCTGTTGAGCTCGCCGTGCGCTTCCTCATACACGATGATGTCTGCGACTCCCGCATTACCATTTACTCAGACAACAAAGGTGTTGTAGGAGCCTTGGACGCTGGACGGTCACGCGGAGTGCAGCAAAATCGGATCCTGCAACACATTGTATCTATGTTCGCTTCTCATGACATCTGGGTTGACATGGAATGGGTACCTACCAAAGATAACCCTGCTGATGGACCTTCTCGTGGTCAGCTACCTCCTAATACATACAAACTCTCGTGTCCGTTTACCTTACCGCGCCACCTATTACCTTACGTCTCCCCAGTTTAATCAGTGTATGTAAATGTCTGCCACATGCTCTGTATTGATTTGCAGCTCTAGTTTCAATTGAAATCTCAGCCATGTTCACAATTGCATCCTCCGCTGATCCTCCGCATGCACTCATCCTGCACAATGGTCTCCATCGACCTCAGTGCATCTCTCGACCATTTCTTCGACTTCATCCGCAAACACCCCACCGAGCGGTACCCTTCCAGACATCTTCGTTCTACACCTCTCTGCCGGTTCTCTCCATACCCCAAGCCTCGTAGCACTCACAATGCTCATGGCCCTACCAGACTGGTACTGTCAGCCGCGCAAATCCACCCGGGCGCGACTCTGATGTCCTCTGCCGCCGATGCGAAACTCCTGCATGTCCTAGATGCATCTCTTGTGGACTCCACCACAAAGAACTATCGCTCCTCTCTTAATTCCTTCTTCCGATTCTGTGATGCAGAACGTGTCCCGCCTCTGTTCCGCCTACCCGCCAGCGAACACTTGCTGTGTTGTTTTGCGGCTTCTAAGGCTGGTTTGCGCCCCCGTAACACTGTTCAAAACTATATCTCTGCCGTCCGTGCTTGGCACATCATCCAAGGTGTCAACTGGAATGGTGGCCTACGCCTCTCCTACGTGCTCCGTGGGGTTGAGAATCTAGCACCCGATCGTAAACCCCCACGTCCCCCAGTTACTCGTGTGATGCTTGAGCTCCTCCACGAAAATCTCGACACCTCAATTCCTCTCAATGCTTGCATCGTCGCTGCTGCAAACACCGCTTTCTGGACTCAATCGCGACTCGGAGAAATACTCTCACCCGCTATGCACTCTTACGATCCGCGGAAAATCCCATCACGCCAGCACCTATCCTCTCCGTCCACTGAGCATGGTGCATGCACTCTGCACTACCCCTGGATGAAAACGAAGAAGTATGCCGGTGACAACTCGACGGTCACGCGCCAACTAGGTTCCTCCGATCCAATCGCCTCACTACAACACCACCTGCTTGTTAATGACGCCCCAGTCCATTTCCCCCTTTTCACCTACCACGACCGTTCGGGTTCGTTCGTATGTCTCACTCGAAAACTTCTCCTCCGGGTATGCAACACTATCTGAAAGCAACGCGGCATTGCGCACACCACGGGACACTCCTTCCGCATTGGTGGGACAACTGAACTTCTAATGAAGGGAGTGGACCCAGCTGTAGTAAAGGTGATGGGCCGCTGGTCCTCCGACGCTTTTCTGCACTACTGGCGTAATCTCGAGATCATCGTTCCCCTCCACGCGCAACTTCTTGCACCGCGTGTACAGCCCTTCCTACCTTCGACTTCAAAGTCACGATCCCGAAAACATGTAACTTTCAAAGTGGTTTGACAACGAAACTACATTTTGTATTATATTACACCCTTCTACTGCTACATATCTGCTGCATGCTCGGCTTCGTCTCCTGGGGGTTTGCCAAGTTCTCCGCTCGTCAGAGCCTTCGTCTCGCATTGGGCGATCCTCGCGCTCACCCTCGGCACACCCCAGGCCCCCGAACACCACCACAGAGGTGCACGGGAGCGGGCATACTGCCTGGCCTCACCCACCACTAGCACTTAGCTACTAGCAGAGCCCGTACATCCTCAGTTAGTCCGGAAGACTCAGGCACGAGTTGAGAGGACTCGAACGTGACAAGGTCCCTTCGAGTCCTGCGACTCGTGACAGTCTTGACGGACGGGCAAGTGTGACAGTGTGACAGTTCACTCTTGACCCTCTACCGCCATCATCCCTCTTCAAAAACATCATCGCCCGCGGCACGCACGAATCATCCCTCTTCAAAAACATCAATAACGATTCTTTTTGCCCACCCACCCACTACCTCACACATTCTCTTACATAGTAGCTTCGTGCGTGCCGCGGGCGATGATGTTTTTGAAGAGGGATGATGGCGGTAGAGGGTCAAGAGTGAACTGTCACACTGTCACACTTGCCCGTCCGTCAAGACTGTCACGAGTCGCAGGACTCGAAGGGACCTTGTCACGTTCGAGTCCTCTCAACTCGTGCCTGAGTCTTCCGGACTAACTGAGGATGTACGGGCTCTGCTAGTAGCTAAGTGCTAGTGGTGGGTGAGGCCAGGCAGTATGCCCGCTCCCGTGCACCTCTGTGGTGGTGTTCGGGGGCCTGGGGTGTGCCGAGGGTGAGCGCGAGGATCGCCCAATGCGAGACGAAGGCTCTGACGAGCGGAGAACTTGGCAAACCCCCAGGAGACGAAGCCGAGCATGCAGCAGATATGTAGCAGTAGAAGGGTGTAATATAATACAAAATGTAGTTTCGTTGTCAAACCACTTTGAAAGTTACATGTTTTCGGGATCGTGACTTTGAAGTCGAAGGTAGGAAGGGCTGTACACGCGGTGCAAGAAGTTGCGCGTGGAGGGGAACGATGATCTCGAGATTACGCCAGTAGTGCAGAAAAGCGTCGGAGGACCAGCGGCCCATCACCTTTACTACAGCTGGGTCCACTCCCTTCATTAGAAGTTCAGTTGTCCCACCAATGCGGAAGGAGTGTCCCGTGGTGTGCGCAATGCCGCGTTGCTTTCAGATAGTGTTGCATACCCGGAGGAGAAGTTTTCGAGTGAGACATACGAACGAACCCGAACGGTCGTGGTAGGTGAAAAGGGGGAAATGGACTGGGGCGTCATTAACAAGCAGGTGGTGTTGTAGTGAGGCGATTGGATCGGAGGAACCTAGTTGGCGCGTGACCGTCGAGTTGTCACCGGCATACTTCTTCGTTTTCATCCAGGGGTAGTGCAGAGTGCATGCACCATGCTCAGTGGACGGAGAGGATAGGTGCTGGCGTGATGGGATTTTCCGCGGATCGTAAGAGTGCATAGCGGGTGAGAGTATTTCTCCGAGTCGCGATTGAGTCCAGAAAGCGGTGTTTGCAGCAGCGACGATGCAAGCATTGAGAGGAATTGAGGTGTCGAGATTTTCGTGGAGGAGCTCAAGCATCACACGAGTAACTGGGGGACGTGGGGGTTTACGATCGGGTGCTAGATTCTCAACCCCACGGAGCACGTAGGAGAGGCGTAGGCCACCATTCCAGTTGACACCTTGGATGATGTGCCAAGCACGGACGGCAGAGATATAGTTTTGAACAGTGTTACGGGGGCGCAAACCAGCCTTAGAAGCCGCAAAACAACACAGCAAGTGTTCGCTGGCGGGTAGGCGGAACAGAGGCGGGACACGTTCTGCATCACAGAATCGGAAGAAGGAATTAAGAGAGGAGCGATAGTTCTTTGTGGTGGAGTCCACAAGAGATGCATCTAGGACATGCAGGAGTTTCGCATCGGCGGCAGAGGACATCAGAGTCGCGCCCGGGTGGATTTGCGCGGCTGACAGTACCAGTCTGGTAGGGCCATGAGCATTGTGAGTGCTACGAGGCTTGGGGTATGGAGAGAACCGGCAGAGAGGTGTAGAACGAAGATGTCTGGAAGGGTACCGCTCGGTGGGGTGTTTGCGGATGAAGTCGAAGAAATGGTCGAGAGATGCACTGAGGTCGATGGAGACCATTGTGCAGGATGAGTGCATGCGGAGGATCAGCGGAGGATGCAATTGTGAACATGGCTGAGATTTCAATTGAAACTAGAGCTGCAAATCAATACAGAGCATGTGGCAGACATTTACATACACTGATTAAACTGGGGAGACGTAAGGTAATAGGTGGCGCGGTAAGGTAAACGGACACGAGAGTTTGTATGTATTAGGAGGTAGCTGACCACGAGAAGGTCCATCAGCAGGGTTATCTTTGGTAGGTACCCATTCCATGTCAACCCAGATGTCATGAGAAGCGAACATAGATACAATGTGTTGCAGGATCCGATTTTGCTGCACTCCGCGTGACCGTCCAGCGTCCAAGGCTCCTACAACACCTTTGTTGTCTGAGTAAATGGTAATGCGGGAGTCGCAGACATCATCGTGTATGAGGAAGCGCACGGCGAGCTCAACAGCAACCATTTTCGCCCAACCGATTTCACGTCCATCGTCTTTCCAGCCCGGAACCAGTTGCCATGCGAGCCAGCGACCGTTCACAACGAGCCCAATGCCCCAGGACGAGGAAGCATCTACAAAAATCGTACGACTGTTGTCACGAGGTGGAATCACGAGAGAGGACCCGCAGAATGATAAGGAGAGCTGGTCATGCCACCATCGCAGGTCGTCGAGTACTGCAGATGAGACTGAGCGACGCACATACTCGGACGATGTGTGGGCAAAGGAGGCAGACAGACGGTACAAGGAAGGTAGTTGAGAGCGTCCTGCGGGTAACGCGAGACAGCAGTGATTGAGCGTACCCACAAGACGATCACAGTCTTTGCGGGTGACTTTGCAGCCAGCAGTCCAGGGCTGAAGGCGAGACAAGTACTTCTCCTTTTTTTCTGAGCGGAATTTCGACTGTGCGCATCGAGATGCTCCAGCGGAAGCCATTGTACTCGAAACAGTCAGCAAATGGCATGTGTTTTGACATAGACCATGGCCATCCAAGACGTTCGGCAACGGAGAAGAAGAGAGACTCATCATAGCTATATAGGTGAGACCCGTCGACGGCCGTTCCTGATGGGTAGCGGAAGAAGACAAAATCATCGACCCACTTGATTACATCTTGAACACCATGGTGACGAAAAATGCGAACAGCAGCATCGGCAATACGGCCAAATATCCCAGGGGCACTGGAAGTACCAAATGCAGCGCAGTGGTCCATGTAAATGAGACCCTTCCACATGATAACGACAAGAGGTTGGTGCTGCGGAGCGATGGGGACACAACGATATGCTTTCTCGACATCATTGACAGATGCTTGGGTACCTGGTGGAGCACGGAGAATGAGAAGAACACATGCCGCAAAAGTTCCCCATTCACATTGGAAATCATCGCTGTCAATATCGGAATTGACGGAAGGCATCGCGGGGTTGTGACGAGGATAGGAAAAATCTTGAATAATGCGAAATACGCCAGGGCTGTTCGCCTTCGGAACCGTACCAAGAGGTGAAGACCGAAAGGGGCCAATAAGCTGTTCGAGACGCGAGGGATGGAAAGGGCCAGAGTATCGCCGGGCAAGGAGTTCGGTGGCAATGTAGTCAAGAATTACTTCAGGATGATCGGAAGTGGAGGAATGGTTGCGCGGAATATATGTGGAGGACGGAAGAGAGTTAACGCCAATGTGGAAACCATCGCGAATACTTGAGGGAATGTCAAGAAAGGAGTCGAGGCAGCCGGCAGCCTCGAGCTCGTCACGCCAAATCAACCAGCATAAAGGTGTGACGATGGGACAGAAATCAAGCTTTTGTGCAAGCATTGGCCCCATGATCGGGTTTGCCGCACAGGGAGCAGACGTGGACACAACAACAGTTAGACTCGGAGCACCCTTTGGAATTGTAGTTGAAACAGATAGTTTCTCCTGTCGGGGTGGTGATCTTCCCATCAGTGTGCCGTACGAGGAATGGGAGCACATTGTGTTTGCAGTTGCGCCCGACGTACGTAGTAACTCCACAGAGGAAGCACCGAATGGCGGCAAGGAGTGTCGATAGATTGTATGCATCATTGGGCTTAGGGTCTGCACGAAAGGATGTCCGTTGTGAAGGTCGAGAGTTCACACTCGAGCGTGGCTGGACAGACAAGAATGCAGGGGGAGCATTCTCTACAGGATACCCTGCAGATGTGAACCGGCCGGAGGCCGACCCAAGTAGAAACTCGTCACGGATGTTCGTGAATATCTCATGTTGCCAGTCAGCAGGACGGAAACGCCGACCGCTAGCGTGAAAACGGCGAATTTGAATATCATACTCAACATACAGGCCGGGATACTGTCCGAAATCGACACGACGGACAATCATGTGGAAATGTTTTTCAAACTGGTCATGGATAAGTGCACGACCACTGACGTCAGGATAGTGTAGGGAGATTATGTTGAGGAAACGTCCAGAGGCTTCCATGAAGTCGGTGGTGGTCAGGTGCTTTTCACTGCGAGCGTCAAGTGGTGCCTGCGCAACGGAGACAGACCCGTTGTCAAGCTTAAGATGCTCTTTGAAGGCACGTAAAGCCGCCGTTTTACACGCCTGATTGGTCAGCAATGAGAGAGGAATGTACTGTTTCCATCCTTTTTCCATGCAAGTGACAACGGCTGGAGGGTCGGGTAACATGTTACCAGCGAGTTGGACAGATTGCGAAGGGAAATCATGCCGCGAAGTTGCAAGCACAAGACCTTCTGGCGATGAATCCGAGATATGAACACGTGCTGCAGAGACGATAATTAATAAGGACAATCATTCCCAATTGAACAATATGACAGCGACGTGATTACAAAATAGCGACGAACTCGGCCACGTCAAGGGTGGCATAACTCATTGGATCGTCAATGTACGCAATGGAAGGATCAACTAAAGAGATGCGTAGAAACACGAGTAAAGGTGAAGGCGACACGAAAGTGCGAGTGGCTGCGGGAAAAAGGCAGGTGAGCACCATGAGATGGGCTATTACAGCAGTGAGAGAGTACACAGTGCAACATTGGCAACATGAACTCTGACTGCGAGACAAGAACGAGTGAGTCTCGCACACGAGCCGGAATTGCAGAAAGTACAAGCCAACACGATGTGACGGCTAGAAGATAATGAAAACGGGCAGGGTAGAACAAATGAACAGCATGGCGGGTGGACGTATGCACCGCAACACGTATAGAAAAAAGGAGGGGTGCGCGCTGCGACGACCTGAAGCACGAGCACGCGCGTTGCGACGTGGGTGAAAGAAGGGGAGTGCGCGTTGCGACAACTCGGAGGACAATCATGCGCGCTGCGACATGATTATGAAAGAAAGGAGGGGTGCGCGTTGCGACAGCCCGAAAAAGAAGCATATGCGCTGCAATATGCGTTTGATACAGAGGAGAGGTGTGCGTTGCGACAACCCGAAGTGACAGAAACAAAGCAGACAGCCGTGGAGGCGAAGTCTGATGCGAAGTTCAGTAGAAAGATACTAACCTGAGATGGGCAGTGCAACGTTGGAAGTATGGGCAGTCGCACTAGCCGTGGGTATTTCAGAACGTGAGAGGAACAGCTGGTTGAGTTCGTCAGCACGTTGCCAGTAGAGCATCTGAACGTCAGCGGACACGTTGGAAAGGAGAGCGCGAACCGCAGCGCGAGATGAGCGAACGGTAGAGGGGGTGGACAGAGCGTTGTTGGCCTGTATGGGAGAGGATTCGCGAGAACGGTGGGAAAGGGTAGGGCGCGTGGGAGAGCTGGCATTTGCGGAAGCCTGCGTCATCCAGGGGATGTCCTCATCACTATTGAAGGCCGCGAACGGGGACAAGGCCTCGGGGAGAGGTGGTTCAGCGACGGGCTCGCGACGCACGCGCTTCCGGGGCCGCGGCGGAACAGCCGGGAGTGGAGAAGAAGCGGGCGGCGGGGTGCGGGCACGACGGGCAGGAATCTTGATGCGAAAAGGGGAGGGGGCGGGGGCAGAGGAGGAGCGCTCCTGTGCAGGGCCCTCGATAGGGGCGGGGCTTGAAATAGGGGCTTGTTGTTGACGAGCCGCGGCACGCGTTTGAGGCATCGCGAGGGAGAGGGTGAACAACGAAAAAGTAAGGTAAGGAGAGTAAGGGGAATGAGAGGAGAGTTGCAAGAGGAACAAAAAGAATCGTTATTGATGTTTTTGAAGAGGGATGATGGCGGTAGAAATAAATACGACTCACTTCGTGATGTCTGTCTCTCTCGCAGAATCGCCCGACTTCAATTGGTGGTCGCGGACTTGCGGAAGACTGCGGCGAGCTACAGCAGGATGAAGATTTCTGGTTCGCAGCCGGCTCCATCGTCCTCATAGCAGAGCACATCACATTTCGTGTCCACCAAGGCGTGCTATCTAGACATTCCGACGTATTCCGCAATCTCTTCACAGTTCCTCAGCCCGATCGCGGCTTTGGCTGTCCTGTCGTTCGCCTCCACGATTCTCCGCGATATTTGTTACGTGTCTTTTACGATGGCCAAAAGTGCGTTTGTATCCCTCGTGTGACACCTGCATCAGTTTCTGATCATAGAGAAATTCGCAGGCATTGTGTGAAATACGAGCCTCTGCTCGAGTTCTCAGAAGTGGAAGCTCTGGTCAGGCCCGCACACAAGTATCAGCTTGACGAGCTGCGAGTAGACGCTCTGGAGCGATTGAAAGCCGTTTTCACCGACGACTTCGCGATATACTCAACACAGGACGAACTAACCCTCCTTATACGCCTCTCAGACGCCGTTTCGGTAATGAAGTTAGCCTATCTCATGCAGGAGCTCACCTTATTGCCTCTAGCGCTGTACCAGTGCACAAGGCTAGACACGACGCTGCTGATGGAAGGCGTATCCCTCGCCAACGGCACGATTGACCGTCTGTCGCGGGATGACCTGGCAATGTGCATGAACAGCAAGACCCTCGTAGCGCACAAACGCGATATAGCGTTTTTGCGTATTTTCGCCAGTGCGAGCTTCGAATGCATGCAGAGTCCGGTCTGCATAAACACGCTGTCCCGTCTCTGCTCCACTTCCTGTAAAATCTGAAGGGCATCACACTCTAAGGGTAGACTCGTTTCCAGTCGCCACGATGTACCGTGTGCATGTAATACTATATCCTAGAGGATGATACAAGGCAAAATTTGAGGGGAGGAAGAGCGGCGGAGAACCTTGGTATAGTATTGCGTACATACTACCTGCCGTCTGGATTCGAGACTAAAGTGGTACTTCAAGCGCAGAGGTTCTGAAATTCTAGTTCTTTTAAGCAAGTGTACTCCAGCTGAGAGACAATTGTTGGTAATTTCCCCATGTCAACTACTGTATGTGAACTGTAAGGCTGTCGCTATCGTCAGAGGGCCTGGATGAGCATGAAGAACATAGCGGCGTGGAGAACCGACGGAGGGTGGTCGGCGATGCAATCGCGCCAAAAAAAGGCATCACTGCGATGCTGACAAGAATGGGAAAGCAGAGGCAGAAGATCGTCCTGCAATTGTCGTGAAGTGCGAAGTGGAGAACCACTTTTCGAGTTCACCAGAGCGTGCTATCTAGAAACTCCGACGTCTTTCGGGATCTCTTCACAGTGCCCCAGCCTGCCATAGAGGAGAGACTCTTCGACTGTCGTATTATCCGCCTGCCGGAATCTCCCGCTGATCTGCGGTATTTGCTGCGAGTGTTGTATGACGGTAGAAGGTGAGTTTTGAAGGATCGCATAAGCGTTACTGCGGATAACGACGGTTTCTTACAGTTTTTACCTTGGTCGCGCGGATCGTCTACAGTTTGAGGAGGTAGAAGCTCTCGTCCGTCTCTCGCAGAAGTATCAGATCTATGACCTTCGCGAGCGCGGCCTCGCGAGACTGAAAATGGTGCTTACGCATGACTTCATCGTATGGGACCGTCACGGTCGGGACACGTTTTTGCTGGACTCAGAAGATACACTGCAGATCGCTATTAAGGATGAGGAGGGAATCATGGCGATCAATCTGGCGCGCCTCACAGGCGCACTCTCCATGCTACCCATGGCTTTCTACCTCTGCAGTAATCTGACTCCTTCTGAGCTCATCAGAGGGGTGACTCGTCAAGATGGTACAGTCGAACGGCTATCTGCTGACGATCTAGCGGCTTGCATGGAGGGGCGGGTGCGTCTCACTACCGCAAATACAGTTGGGAATGCAAGTATCTACCTTCAAAACAGTCCCGCCTGCTCGAGGAGACCGCTGTGTGCTGACAGCTTCAAACGGTTCTTGCGCATTGGCCTTATATTTTCGCCGACAGACTCGATCAGCCACCATAGTCTGCACCAGCGGGATGGAAGCCTGAACAACATCTGCGAAAATGATAAAGTGTGCTGGGACTGCATCACATTCCTGATGACGAGCGATTATGAAAGGAGGCGCAAACTATGGGAAATACTCCCGTCCATCTTCGGCTTAGAGGACTGGAAGCATCTTCGGGCTGCTGAGTCTGCATGACGAGTTAGTGACGACCTGAGGCATATCTCTCCCTCCGGGTACTATTGACAGTTGCTTTAGGTGTCTTCTACAGTATGCCATTCCTCGCTTTCCTCGAAGACCATCATCCTCGATCGCTCAGTCATCCTCGTCTTCTTATCAGTGGCGTAACCTCCCGACCTCCTTATTTTCTTCCTAGTGTTTGAATACAAGATATTGGAGCTTGCAGTCTCAATGTCGCATGTGTGGGTGGACGAGGTCTTCTCTCACTCCATCTCGACATTTTTATAGTTTGTATACTTGCGGTATACTTGCACGACGTTGCGAAGGTCAATCAGACGCGATATCGTTCTCATTCCTTCTTCATCGTTCTACATGCTGTTATATTTATCTAGATCTTCAGACGGTATACAGTGTACTCGCGGTGTTCAAGGTCTCGGAAACACGAATTCAAGCATTGTACTGTGGAAAAATCTCGAATTTGATCGTCGAGTGCGACAGATTTCATATTTAGAATATTGGATGCTCAGAATAGCTGCATATCTACTCGGGCTGTCAAGTATCCCGCGAGCCTCAAGCTGAGTCACCGTTAGAGAGAAGGCAAATCAGGCGGGGAGCCTCCAATATGTTGATGTACATGTAGTACGTGCCCTGACACTTTGCTGTCTCGTGGCTCGCAACTGACGTCTATCGCGGTTATGTGACGATGGTTTTCGTGCCGTATTATATCCGACCTGGTCTCTCTGCGCAATCACCGAATTTCAACCCGGCAGTCAAAACCGCTCTGAGGCACACGAATCTGGTTGTGTCCATAGGCATTGTCAACACTACAGTCATCGCCGTCATCAATTCGTACAGCCTTCACCTCAGGCATGTTTGTGATACCACGCCGATTCCGGGGGTGTATTGAGGTATTATTATTCGGCTTCGCGCTCGGGAGCTTGACTATGGGTGAGCTCAGGAAGCTTATTGTCGGAACGTATCCCAAAGTGGGTCTGCTTCGTTTCTGTGTGTGATGGTATCTCTGACGTGTTGGATGCAACGAATCATTGGGAAGATGGCATGGCAGCACATTCTCCCTTCGTATGCTGACTGGGGATGTGCCATGTATGAAATACAAAGTATCTGGCTGTCTTTATAGCTGTGATCTTAAGCCTCCACACGTATATCATTCACTTTGGCCACTGAACGGAGCACCAAAATAATTCACAGATTCGGACACAACGCGGTCACGTGCATGCGCGTCCCTGCATCAGAGGATGCCGCTCGCTTAACCAGTTTTCAACCAACCTCAACATCTGCAACGTCACGGTCGTCAGGATGGTACGCACGAGGGCACAAGTGTGCGTTTTTTCCCCACAAAATTTGCGCCATATTTTATTTCGCTCACTTATGGTGCTTGATAGTGCGAAACTCGGCCCAGAAGAACTCGAAGAAGAGACGGGGCCCGAAGGTGAGCGCCGAGCGTTCGGCTATGAGGTGTCCAGATATATAACATGTATTTGAATGGGTAGGAGAACAAGCAAAGAAGGTTACTCGTCAGAAGAGCAAACGTGAGTCCCCGGCTCGCGGCTTGTCCGTTCTATGTTTATTTTTACCTTCTGCAGCGCCCACAGCCAAGCCAGGCAAGAACATCGATGATAGCATCTACGTATGTGAACTCTATGGTATTGGTAAACAATTTTTTGATAAAGCCTTTTTTGCAGACCCTCTCAGAACAAGAGGCTTGGTCCAAATACCGCAAATATATGGCAACCCGCATACGGTAAGCGTGATTTCTGCGTCCGATATATCATAGTTAGATTCAATTACGTCCAGCATCACCATGGAACTGATGGAGCTGGGGTACAAAAAGGCCGCTATCAAAGATGTGTACAACGTTCGCGCTGGGTTCCGCAGTACTGCAGATCGTGTCAACTTCACTGAAGAAGGTTCATTCTCCTATGTTGTCCTAGCATGTTCAGAGTTTTGCTGACCCTTCCTCTCTGGTGTGTTCAGCTTGGAAGAAGATGAAACCTGAGCTGATTAGAATCCTCGACAAGAGCGTTAGAGCTGACGAAGAGGCGTTGCGGATACAGCTGACGAATGAACAATCCCGGCGATACAAGAAAAAAATGGCACGACTCCGCACTATCCTCGATGCATTTCTTTCCACCCCTGTTGCCGGCTCACTCACTCGTGAAGAGAAGCTTGTCCTGTCTTTCAACCAGGATCCATCACTCGGCATTCGCCTTATGCCAGACATTGCCATGCGAAATGACAGCGAGGCGAATACTACAAGGGACCTCATCCTCCACTGGCCGCAAATTAGGGAAAGGCTTGCTCAGGCTGCATCAAAATTTAAGCAGGAAATCATCAATCTTTATCCCCGCAACCGTTTTATATGGCACTTCCCCGATGAGCACTTCAGTCCCACATACGCGATTTTTCACCTCCGATGCACTCGGTGCAATACACTGATGTCATACACCGCCATGCTGGAACATCCCTGCCTCTCCCAGATGACCCATTTCACTGATCATACGGTTATTATGTACGAAATTTATAGGACACTGTGTCCTTACATCGATGCGGGCTACACTTTACTGAAGTCATTGGACCTTCCATTGACAACCTCGCAGGAGTATTTTGAGACATTGGGAAGGAAGCTAGTTTGCACTGTTTGTGCTCCTGACAAAAGACACCCCATGACTTGGCTATAGTTGGTAAGTTGTTGTTGTCGACACATAACATTTCACTCTGCCAATTCTGAGACGTCATTGTTGCAGATTATACACTATGTCAACCTCCAAGTTAACATGTATGGAAAGTTCAACGAGCACGGTGTAAGCAACGCGTCCGCCCATAACCTTGGCGATGAAGATATAGCAACTTACATTGGTCGCACTCTTGTGGAAGGAGCCGAGAAGAAGCCCAGGATAGTGCACTACCCTATGCACACGGAAGTGGTTAACGGGTGGAATTAACTGTTAGCACTGTAGGTAGCAAGACGTTGCTTGTATCTCGTCGCTGACCTGTAGGCTACATTCGGCGTGCATCCTGGCCGTTCGTTCACTCCGCGAGACTAATATTCTCCGACGTCTCTTCTTCCACGAGCCTCTGTGATTTCCTACTTGTACGACACTATTCCGGTTTGTTATTCAATGATTTGTTTCTGATTGCATAGATGCGCACACCTGCTGCTTCCTGGATGCAAACCATAGTGGTGATGTCGAAGTGCTGCTGTTAGATTTCGGCGTCACCCCACTGAACTCTTCACGAATACGTCTGACGGATAGTGTAAACATGTCGGCATTCGTTCGGTTCTCCTCGCAATCTGCAGCATTCATTGCCTGTCCTGTACGGCGGTGAAGGGCGCGTGCAGCCTTCCTACCGCTATTGCCTTCCGATATCGTCTACGGTCACCAAATGTACAAGATACTACATGAAAGTGAGCATCAGCTCGACGTTGCAGAAGTGGAAGCTCCCGTCACACGTATCGAATTGCGGATTTGCCGGGATGGCGAATCTCACAATTGGTCTTTGGTGTCCGCCCGTTTTCCTATCTATATATATAAACACTTGAGCAGGTGCATACTTTATCACATATTCTTTTCTCATTCGGTCACACGCTCTTGGATGGCACGCATGAGCGCGAAAATATCAGCGCAATTGGTACCTTCCTCGCAAACAAGGACACTGATAAATGCGGTAAGAGTGAAATAGGCATATACAGACAAAACGAGGTACGCGGGAAGAACTGAACGCCAGCATCGAAAATATCCAGCCACCAGACTCCATGTATATGCAAAAAAGCAGTGTAGAGATGGCATGTAAAGAAGGACAGAGAAGTGACCGGACAGAGGTGACCGAGAGAGCATTGAAATGCTAAGAGAACTCGGTCAAGTTCACCCACAGTTGACGTCGGTGTCGCTTCGCAGCGAGTTGAGAACGCGACACCTGTTTAACAGATATATTGTCAATTCTTCAAAAGCATTTCAGAAGAGGGCATAGTAATACATCGTTCACTCAGACAACACAGAATCCGAGTCTGGAGCTGCTCCCAGACAGTCACTACACATGCATTAGGGGGCACGAACGATCACTTGCACTGATGCTCAATTTTCGGCACATTTGAGCGTACGATTGACATTTGACCGCAGAAATCTAGTAGCATTTCCAGAGAAACCAGTCAGACATTAGAAGAACAATCATTTCGGGCAAAAACAGCGATCAAAACAATGGACTGCGAAGGCTGGCAGGAGTTCTAATTGCAGGCGCACTCCCTGTCAAAGATCCCGCAGAAATGGAGACAGTGGTCTAAGAACATACACCGCGGGATCGCTTGAGTGACCTTAATTTTAAGGAAGTAGCCAACGGTCCCACTGAAATAATTTGAGCGATATCCGAAAGAGTAATAATAATCAAGTCTAGTAGAGAGTTACGTGATAGAGGATTGGGACATAACGGCTGGAACGACACAAAGGGCAGCAAGCAGATGATTTCAACTCCTTGACGCACTGTTGACATGGAACGATCCCAGGTACAGAGAGCATTACCTACCGAGCATAGAAGCACAAGCGGGAGCATAACGGCAACTGGCAGCACGTCGGCGAATTGGAGTGGTCTAAACCACCTTCGTGTATAAGCGTTCCAATGCACTTGCAGCAAGTCGGCCATGACGAATGCCCAATCAAGCGCGTCTGCATTGCCGATGAACGGCCTCATTATCGATCCTAGGCATGTCTGCTTGGGGAACGGGCACCGCGTATCGAGCGGAAGATGCGCGACGACCTTCCAGTCATCCCCGTATGTAGTCCAGAAGTAATCGAAGGAAGTAACGTCACGTAGGCGGTTGCAGTGTGTGTTCGGCGAGCCAGTGCTTCATATTCTCCTCATGGCGTCATAGGTTCTTCTATCCATTTGAACGAGTATAGAGAGCGACTGAGCGCGTAGTAGGAGACTTGAGGTAGCATGCTTCCTTTGCAGGGATAATCAGCACGCGTGCGTCGGCATCGAAGGCTCATAGGATGCGAGAAAAACATCAGCATGCACCATACACGAACACGTTCTCACCGTTCGGCCAGAGATGCATTGCACCTATACGCTTGCTGGATGCTTATAGCAACCACTATAAACACATGCAGCGGAGCCCAATGGTCAAGTTCAAACTTGAACGACGGGAGAAAGAGATAAACCCCTTCCTCAGGATGACACGGAGGATCACATTTCACGCTGCACATACGGTTTTCTCCCAAACAACCACGCATCGTACGCAGCCCATCGCGCCTAATGGCTTCCAGGATGTAGGCAGTGAGAACGTCAATGGGGAAGCTGCTCGATGCAGACAGCGAGTACTTACACTAGAGGTAAAGAGCACGAAGAGAAATGAGTGAAATCGATAGACATTGATAGAGCGGAGTTGGCACAATATACAGTATATTTTGAACAGAACGTTGAAGGCGGCACTGCAAGCGCTCAACCTGACGGAAACTAACGGCCCGAGGGCGGGATTATTACGACCGGGCGCTCGGGCGCTCCTCCCGCGGTAGCAAAATCTACAAAGTGCACAGAGAGCACTGGACTTTACGCCAGGCGAACTTCAACAAAACAAGGAGTTCTGGCTCGACGGGCAACATCATCCTCATCTCACATCGCACCGCTTTTCGAATCCACCGCGGCATGCTTTCCAGACACTCAGATGTCTTCCGCGACCTCTTTACCGTCCCTCAGCCCGCGATAGAGGGGAGGCTCTTTGATTGTCCAGTTATCCACCTACCCGAATCACCCGCTGATCTGCGGTATTTGCTGGGAGTACTGTACGATGGCAGAAAGTGAGTCCTAGCTTTCAGTATCGCGTCGATATTAGATATGTTTATCGCCAGCTCATAGGTTTTGTCTTGGCCGCGATGAACAGCTACGGTTTCAAGAAGTGGAGGTGCTCGTCCGTCTCGCTCATAAGTATCAGATTTATGACCTTTGCAAACAAGGCCTGGAAAAACTCAAGACGATATTCACGCACGACTTCGCTACGTGGAATGCAAATTTTCCGGATTCAAAGGGCACATCGGAGATAGATGTCAAGGAGAAGGACGGTATCATGGCGATCACCCTGGCGTACTCCACGGGCGCAGTTTCTATGCTACCCATAGCTTTCTACCTCTGCAGTAACCTGCGTCTTCGTGACTTCCACCAAGGCGTTTCTCGCCATGATGGTACGGTTGAGCGACTGTCCGTTGTTGAAGTGGAGACTAGTGACGTGGTTGGGAAGATCAAGCTCTACAGTGATGCCAACCCCCGTTGCTCAAGGAGCCCGCTGTGTGCGAAGGAGCTGAATGCCATGCGTCTTGCCCTGGATTCGTTCTCCAATAACTCAATAATGTCCCACCGCAGTCTGCACAACTCAGATGGAAACCTGGAAGCCCTCGGGGAAGGGTCTAATCTGTGCATTCCCTGCATGCGATTCGTGGGGTGGCGTGATTTACAAAGGCGACGCGATATCTGGGAGAACCTCCCTTCCTTCTTCGGCTTGGATAGCTGGGAATGGCTTCGGGCTGACGAGGCTGAATCGTCAACGACCAACTGAGGTGTGTCTCACATTCACTTGTCGTTCACCCCTTGCATCGTTGATCATAACTCCTGCCTGCCTCCTTGTAATACACTATTATGCTGTGAGATGAGGATAACGTTGCCATCCTGCAGCCAGAACTCCTCGTCTTGCTGAAGATGGTCCGTTTCAACTTCCATAACTGCTCGCTCGTTGGATATCGAAGTTTTGTAGCGCAGCCTGGTACGTGAGTACGCGAGTGACTTCAGCGTTCAACGTTCAAAGTCCAGTGTAGACGCCCTGCGCGCACGGTGCCGCTTCGCAAGAATCGCAGCGAGTAGGGCCCCTACCAAGCAATTGCAACTACTTACTATGTAGATCCACTCACTCATTCGTTGGTGCTCTCCGTGATCGTTACTTCTGTGTGGTCAGCCCATGCTACTTGTATTCGTCGAGCTTGATTTATATTCACCATGTGTGGGATGGACTCGTTGCAAGGAGAATAAGTATATTACGTGCCGACATATCCATATAATCGTGAGGTTAGCCCTCCGAATCCTCTCTTGTTTCTGAAACAGACTTTTGGTCCTCTAGCAAACCGTATGCATCGACGGCATTTCCTTGCCATGCTTATCCGGCTCGCATGTAGATGCGTGGAATCTTCGTCCATGCGATGGGGCGATGTTTATGTGTCTGCAGCACGCATGTAAGCATCATCATCATAAAGGGCAACGCGACAGACACCGCCGTCCTCTGCTTCTCCGAGGCACTCTCCATCCCGTCCCTAGACATCGACACTGCTTCCCTCCTGTCTTCCCACGACAAACTCTTCGAGATCCCCTTCAACTCCAAGGACAGGTGGATGCCCACAGTCGTCCGCGCGCATTCCACTGTGGCGGGCTCACCCGCGGAGAACTAGATGCTCGTCAAGGGCGCGCCAGATGTGCTCTTCCCGCCTGCACCACCATCATGATGTCGACGGCTCCGTCGTTCCCCTCAACTCCTCCCGCCGCATCCAGCTCTTCATACTCCAGGACAACTGGAGCAGCCAGGACCAGTGCGTCCTGGCGCTCTGCCGACGCTGACTCGCCGACGTTAAGCTGAATATGGACACGATGCTGAGCACATGCAGACATCCTTCTCACTCCCTCACTTTCGATGCCCAGGCTGCTGCTTGCCGCGAGGAACCATGCTGTCTCAGTCCACCTAATATACGCTCGATCTCTCTATGCCCGCCCGACATGTGACTGAACCGAAGAGCACGAACTCGTCTCGCCGGATTTTCTTGGAACTTGATATCACCTAAAGCCTTTATGCTGCCGCTTGAGACTAGAAGGCAATCTCGCATATGTCTTCATATCCTCAATGCTTACCGGTGTGGTCTCTCATAACCGACGTGCACGCGCACTAGCACAACAATCAACATATTGAGGCAATTCATCCGGTGAGCCCCAATCAATCGTGTACCCACGTCCGAGTCGAGAACAATCGCTGATCATTGCCTCGCTACTCGAAATTTGCATGCGCCGTATGGCGCCAAGAGTCATCGTCAGGCCGTTTGTTGCTCTACTCTCTGCTCAGCCATCGGAGCTCTCGTTAGCGAGAATTGTCCATTCGCTGAGGTGTTCAAACCTTCTGAACAATATAATGGATTTTGACAATCGTGTTCTCTGCCTGCTCTCCGTTTCTCGACCTTTGGTCACCTGAGTTTACAGGCTTGGACATGTATCACTTTATTACTTTCACTAAGTCAGCCTCTCTAGTTCTGGTCTTTGCTATCCGTTGCTACACGGCCAACCAGCAGGGGATTCGCCGCGGCGGTCAATTCTCAATTTTATTGTCGCTGTCGCACACGTCGGGATGCACACAGGTTATCTCCTGGCAACTTTCAGCACATGGCTGTGTCGGCATCGGAGCCTCGTTTAATGGTATTCTCTCCGCCGCATCCGTGGCCTTTCCGTGCAACTATTCCTGGGAGGTTCATTTAAAGGTGGTCATCTACTCTCAGCTGCTGTCGACCGCTCTCGTCCCTTCTCTGGAAAGCTAATTAATGTACGCATCACGGAGCATCTTGTACTTCCGATTGTATGTTCATACTTGCAGAAATTTGAGGTCAGTTAACTGGATGCGTGCGCACCGCCAATGCAGGTGCAAAATGTCCAAGTCTTGTAATAAACGACCGTATGTTGAGCGCTGAGAACTCGTCCTGGTGACAGGTATTCCAGCGACATATGCATAGCGTTTCGTGTGGGCTTTCGCTTGCTTCACGAAGTTCAGGCATCTCGAGGGTAGGAGAAAGTGGCGGGATGACCTTCCCTTTGTGTGTCGCGACATAACCAGATATGATAGACACTACCGGGGAACCTGGATCGTCTTCCACGGAGTGACGTGAGCTCATGCACTTCTAAGTCAACGATATTCTTTAGCGACTATATTCTATAATGGCATCTTTCTCGCAGGTGCACCAAGCATGCATACCTGCTTCGTGTCATCAATCAAACAGCCGTCACGCACTCATTGCAATTCTTCTGACCTCCTGCGTGAACAAATTTCACACTGAGCGCTCATAGAATAGTGTGAACGGAGTAGACGATAGGCCATCTTGATGCCCAAATGATCCCGGAGCTTGCTGACCACGGCATTACTGGACAAAGGCAGAGTTTATCGTACAACTGCATCGTAAAGTGCCTCGTGACGGCAGTTCTGATATTTCTAGTACTCGGGAGGGCCATGGTGGAGCTACAAGAGTCGTAAGGGCATAACACCAAGATGGACAAAACCGAACATATAAGAGACGTAACAGGCACTGGAGGAGCAGTAAGGGACACAGTAGTACATCAAGAATGTTAGACCGAGATTGTAGTAGAGTGGCAAGGAGGCTGGCATGCATCATGACGAGCACAAGAATACAAGCATGAAGTGGGATGGGACGGGAAGCAAAGACTTGACCGAGGAAACTATTAAAACGGTATGACATGAAGGAGGTGGTTTGGCATCAGAGGACTCGAATCTCCGCCAGGTGAAAAGGAGAAGTTAGTACGCTGCAGAGCCTGAGGGATTGCAGTCACACAGCAATGCGTCACAATCAGAAAGGATTAGTGACATACCTCAAGTGGTTCCGGATGGTGCGCGCTCTCCACCACGAAGCTCTGACCAGGGTGGCAAGCAGAATAATGCCGGCAGACGTTCCCAAACATTACATTTCCTCTCCAAGTCCTTTTTCGTGAGGAATTCGTTACACTGCTGACACATCTTGGACTTTAATCTATCGATGGCGTTTGCCAAGCTGGTTAGGCAGCTATCATAGCGCAGACCGCGAGAAGGGAAGAGATTTAAAACATTTTTCTGCACACATTTTGCTGCCCCTTCGCATGTCAGGCTGCTCGAACAATCCGGACTGGTCTGGGAGAATAGTCCGATGAACCCAACGATACCCACGGTTGATAGCCCGACCCGCCCATCTATATACCGTCCCACGTCTTCCGCTGACAGTTCTTCGACGGTCCCATCTGCGCGAGGCACCCCTCTGATGATTTCGGAAGGACTGAATGTGGAACAATAGTAAAGGGCTATGGGCAGCATGGAAAGTGTACCGGTGAGACGTGCCAAGTTCACCGCCGCAACGGCATCTGCCCTGGACACGCAAAATGATGAAGCTCTCCACGCCTCGAAATCGTCCGTAAATATGCTCTTCATCTTTGCCAGACCCTCCTCGCGGAGGTCATCGATTTCGTACTTCTGAGCAAGACGGACAAGGGCCACCGCTTCCTCCACTTTGACATTGTCGCGCGAAAGATGATACCTGGGGTGCGTTATTGATGTTAACACGTCGAGTAGAGAGAGCTAAGAACTCACCGCCTCCCATCGTACAGAAGGCGTAACAGATATCGTAGATCAGAAGGGGAGTCGGAAAGTCTAACTAGGGGGCAATTGAAGAGCATATCCTGCTCGACGGGCTGCGGAACTATGAAGAGATCGCGGAAGATATCAGAATGGCGGGCCAGGACACCTTGATGGACGCGGAACGCAGTATCTCCAGCGATGAGGACGATGTTGCCGTCTGCGAACCAAAATTCGGTATCCTGGTTCGGCTGATCATCATCGAAGAAGGGTGGATCCATGCAAACGTCCTCCATAGAGAAAGCTTGCTTAACGTTTGAAGCGGATTCGGAAGTGCAGGTGAGTCCGATGCGCAAAGTTGAAGTGTTCGCCAACACGTGGGCGCCACAACCACAACGCCAGATGCACAGATCTGGATCTGGTCACCGCATTAGGAAAGACCACCATCAAATGCGTGAAGAATACCAGACGGTGGCAGTCTTCTTCGCCTTCGGCTTAGTCCCATCTCTTCTCCAGAGTCTGCAATAGCCAGCAGGATTCCTGAGGTTAGTGCTATTTACGCAACAGTCAGAGACGCGGCATAGTACCAGTCACTTTGCCTTTAGCGGAGTCATGGCTCTACAGGCAGCCGCGCGACTTCGCGCTTTGTCCCTCTTGCCACGGTGACCCCGCAGCCGAATGTAATTTGCTCCATATTATCTCTACACGTAGTCGATAAATGTCAGTGACTGGGATTTGTCAAGGTTGGCTGTCATTTACTTAGTTTCTGTCAACGTTGTCAGTGAATTATCTTGCCCGTGCGTGTTCCAGTCGTCGTTGCGCACACCACCACTATTATCGTGCTCAGTCTGCCTTTGCGTCTAGTACAAGAGAGCTGGTCATTAGACGATCACCGAAGAGAACACATCTATTCGAAAGCTTGGCGAAAGCACGATCTACGTAATACATTGGTGCACTACAGACCATTCAATGAGTGATGCGGAAACATGCCGAGATGCAGTACAATGATGCAATGATGAAGAGAACACTCATAGATGAAGCTCACAGTCCCCATAGCCCGGTAGAAAGCATGCTAAGTTGCAACGAATGCAAACCCGTACAACGATCGCTTCCTGTCGTTTCGCATTCGCTCCTTCACCACGCCCCATGTCACCCACCAGTTGTTAGCCGCGTCTTCCGCCTCGTACGCGAACATGGCGACGAGCTGGTCGAAGCCGAGGTAGCTCATGATGCCCTTGCCGTCGTCCACCGCCTCCTTCATGTGCGCATCGCGAGCCTCCGCCTCTTCATCGGACATAGTCATCGTGTGCATGATAACCTCTTCCATCTGGCGAATCTCGGTGCAGCGCGGCTGCCTGATCTCCTGGAACGCGTTGAGGAAGTCGGAGATCTGGTCGAGGTGCGAAAGGTGCGAGAAGAGCTCGGCGAGGCACGCAGCGTCCTCCACCGCCATACTCCGCGAATAGACCGCACCTGCCTGCAACTCCAGGTGAGCAGAGGAATGGGCGATAGTGACGCATGCATACGCACGTGGAACGGATGCGCGGCGCCACCAATCAGGACAGCATTTGCGTCGGGATGGACCCAGTCTTCCACTTCGAATTGTTTTAGCATCTTCGCACAAATGCGAGAGTGGCTCATGTTAATGAGCTTGACAAGCCTGGCTTGGAAAATCACAAATAACGGTGAGCATACTCGGATGACGTTACTCACGGCTTCCCCACCTGGAGTCACAGGGCCCCATAGCTTGTAGTATCTGGCTTGCAGACACCTCTTTGATCCACTCTCTGCTACTGGGGTGGAATGATCCGTCATTAGGAACAATGATATGCATTGAGTATTCTGGCAGTCCACCCTAGTCCTAGACAGTGAGCTCGGAGGGTACACGGAAATATGGCGGGGACACTGACGACGGGATTTGACAACACGGCATGGCGGTCGCCACAAATACATAGCATTACGGACTAAGCAACATAGGCAGAAATCAGTAAGGGGACCGATCACGATACTTGGCTTGAAGCTTACGTCTCCGAGAAATTCAGTGAGCTCCGGGTCCTTCAGCATCTCAGATATCGGCACAGTGACACTGGGGAAGATTCGGAGTCAGCGAAAAATCAGCAGGCACGGAAAGATGCTTCTTTACTCAAACACCACTAGATGGCATGCTTTCCGCGGGTCTTGAACGGCAAACGCAAGCTCCCTCACCATGCTTGGGCGTCCATCAGCACCGATAATAACGTTCGCCCGCAGTGTCTCCCCATCGGCTAGAAGCACACCAGGAAGGTTGTCCTCGTCTTCCAGGTCGAAGCCGACAATGGTTGCATTCCGGCGGACGACAGCGCCAAGAGCGATCGCCGTTTTCTTCAGCAAATCACGAACATCGGTTTGCTAAGTGCCGGGATGGTTTGGTTTCACCACGGGAGAGCAAATCACGGCGGACATAGGTGGACGAACGACACAGGATGGAAGGTGTTAGAAGCATTATGCGCTAGTGTGGTGGCAATGCAAACTCACGTGCATAAGAAGGAATACGCCGCGCGTCTCTTTCAGGATTTCTTCGTCCCATTGGTGTTCCCCCCAAACCTCCCCGGTCAAGTCTGAAGCAAGCTGTTAGCGTGAAACTGAAACTGAATGAACATAGCGTACAATTGGACATGGCGACGAAGCGCGACACTATCGCCATGCTCCTGCATTCTTCTTCTAGCCCCCACCCAAATAGAATCTTCGACATGTTGGGGGGAATTCTAGAGCTACCAGCCAGCTGGAAGCAAATAAGCAAATAAACTTATACAGGAAAGCTCACTCCAAGTACTTACCAAAGGACCGTCATTTCTCTGCTCGAGAACGAGTACATGATGGCCGACACGTCTGAGAGCAAGTGCGGCGGCGTATGCTCCTACACCGCCGCCGATGATCAGAAATTGGATAGAGAGGGCTGCTGGCATGGCAGGACATTACCCGGTATCTTCTAGTCGTGACGGGCCATAAGTAGTGCCACATTTTCGCGTAGCAAAGCCGGCAGGCGTGGCAGCGCATGTTCATCATGCTGCCGTCGGTTGTGAGTACTGGGGCGAGAGAAGAAAAAAGTATTCGCATGCCAAGTCAGTGTCATCACGTCCAGGGTCCTGCACATAAATTCCAGGCCGGGTGCATGGAGCTCCATGGAGGCTCACGCGCACGGCTCCGATGCGCGGTCCGCGCCTGTCCGCGCTCGTCGAAGAAACCACACCGCGCTTGGTTACGGTACTCACCAGAGCCGACGGATGAGCAGTGTTTTTCATTTCGCTTTCATTAACGTTTTATGTCAAGAAACGAAAGTTGCACTAGTAGAATCGGGTAGTGCTACTTCCATTACTGGGTGCCGATCTTCAGATCGGGCATATCCAGCCACGTGAGTCTTCATCCAGCGGAGAAATTCACTTCATCCTCGTTTTCTGACCCAACCTCCACGGCTCAGTTGGGCTCACGGTTGTTAGGCCACCTCGAGGATTCCGAGTGGAAGACTAGTGTTCATCCACTGGAAATCATGGAACAGATTCGGGACAAGGACGCAAGGCCATCGCAACATCACAGACAAGGACCGCTGACCGATTTGATAGTCCGTTTGTCCCCTCAAACGATGCTCTTGCATCGTCACGTTCTGGAACGACAGAACAATCGATAGCCCAGAAACATGCTGTTAATGAAATTTCATCCCGCGAACCTACCTAACGATTACTGACGCACCCTTGTTTCCCGGACGTGATAAGGCTGAACTATGGTTCAGACATTCGCGTTCTTATTCTGAAAGTGGTTTCTGCACAAGACCCCCTTCCTGGCTCTTGCATTCCGGATTCGATCTCGTAACCCAGATGCTGTTCAGCGCGCGTCAAAGGCACCCGCGTCAAACTGAACTGATAGAAGAAGCATGCATACCAGTAACCGCTTGCAGTAAGTAAGAACCAGGTAGATCGGCATACGTCTCACACGCGCAGCTTCTCCAGTCTATGCAGACAAACGAAATTGATCTATGAATGGGACCGCAGCGGCCACCGGGAGTTGCAAATACGCTTGCGGCCGGTGCCTCAGCTAAATAATCTCTGCCGCCTGCCATCCAAACTAACTGCCTTCTCGCCCATCTACTAGACTGCCATGTGGTCGTCCAGCGTTCTTCAATCTTTTGATGCCAGCTCATTCCGAAGTCTATGTGGTTTACCCCTTCGCGTCAAGTATAAGAGCCCTGCACCCGCCGCAGCCACCCCGTCATGCACACCACGCCATCCGTTACGTTGAGCCCCATCAAATTCATGCAGATGCTGTCAAAGATCCTTAGCTTCTTGCCGCCCCTCAAGCGCAACGCCGATGTCGACCTTCCTGTCCCCGCTCGATCAAAGGAAGAATACCTTAGCGGGTTCAAGGGATCTCACGTTATTATCCCAGATCTTTATGCTTTGCTCCCCGGTTGGAAATTCGCGGTAAACAGCAAGTACGATGTAGTGAAGGAGCGGCTTGGCACTTGGATGAATAGGTGGGAACAGCCCCTGCCATGATTTTGCCTTCGCTGTACTGAATCTAGATTTGCAGCTGGGTTGACAACCCAGAGACTTGCCGACGCATGCAACTGGCCGATTTTGCTATGCTGGCCGGATGCTTCTATCCAGAAGCTCAGGAGGAGGAGTATTTGATGGCTGCGTACTATCACCTCTGGGTACGTAGAAAGTCGCTTTGTGAATACATACTGACGCGTAATGACTTATATCGTCCTGCAGGTATTTGTCTGGGATGACGGTATGTGCGTGATCTTCAAATATAATCCAGCACTCAAGATTTCCTTCAGAACTCGATTGTGGTCCCCTTACCAACGATCTCGAGAAAGTACGGCAATTTAAGCAGGAGACAGATGATTGTCTTGAATACACCCTCGGCCCTGAGCCTTTCAGTGGGCCACGACCCTCGATGGGGCCCATCGTGGGCGCTTTCTACGAGATTGCAGAGAAAGTCGCTGCAGGGAGCACGGCAGGTGCGTCTTCATCTCACGATCTGGTAAGGTACCGGCTAACACATAATTGCCAATTAAATAGAGGCGCACGCGTTCATGTTGCGCGAACTACTGGCATACGTGGATGGTGCATGCGCGTTGCCCTTCGAGCGGAATCTCGAAGGGCAGAAAGAGCTCTTCACCCGCGAGAAGTTCCAAGCGCAACGTGTACGGAGTGGCGGATGCGGGCCCAGTCTTTCGCTATTGTTGTATGCAGGTGTTCACTCCTTCGGCATGTATAATACTCAAGAAGTCTTAGGTACCTTCATCACCTCGATATCCCTTCCTCACTTATCGATCACGAATCTGTGCAAGTCGTCTTCACGCAAGCAGCTCTCATAGTTCACCTGTGAGTACTAGCCCGTGCACGGATGCCTTGCCCACTGATGTACCTTCGTCGCCCATCAGTACCAACGACATTGTTTCGTTCGTAAAGGAACTGGTACGCGATTATTCTTCCGTCCTCGACCACATTTCGTACAAGCTAATCATCATGTATGCTAGCGAGACGACCAGCTCGACAATATCGTTCCGGTGCTCGCCATCGAGAACAATATCCCTCTTCAGGAAGCGATTGAACGCGCGTGCGACCTCGTACGAGCAGCACGGCAGACACTCGAGGAGGCCGAGACGCGGCTTCCCTTGCCAACGGGAGATGACAAGCTGGACAAGCAGATCTTACGGTTTGTGCAGGGCTGCAAGGACGTCGCGGCTGGTAACTTGAATTGGAGGTATGCAAGCACCAGCATACTCGTATTTGTTCTGATTTGATTACCCTCGCATCTACCCAGCTATCGGAACGCGAGGTACTTCGGTCGTAATCCGCGCCGTGACGGCAACAGGATATTCCTGCAGATATAATATCACGATCGTTTGCGTTGTCAGGTTTGCATTACTCTCCGAATTCCGCGGGCCGCGACGATGGAGGTGTGTTCATTAGGACGATGCACGAAAGTTGTGTATATCATCTCATGTTGTACGCCAAGAGGCTCTGCATTTATTACGTTGTCACGATAGCTTTGCTGGATTTGTATGCTTTGTTATAGATGTTCAGAACTTGATTTGATGTGCAAACTCCCTGATCATTCACCAGAGATGGCCGTGCATCGCTGGTAGCAAAGTGTGAACTGCTGAGAACCGGACGCCAGCCACTCAAGCTCTCGCGTTGTCTGGACGATCTCACATGGCGCACTCCGAGGTGCATTCTAGGGGCTCTGAGAAGCTCGACAGTGGTAGACTCATCAGCCGCAGGCAACATACGGTTCCCAAGGTCCAAGGCAGCATTTCACGGACCGCTGATAATCCGGGCAGCACAAATGCACAAGATGCCTGATAAGTTTAGTCCACGATGATATCAAAGGCGGGCGTCATTGACTGTGGGTCCGTGTGAACACAACAGGCACTTCTGATGGGTTCCGTTCACAGACGCGAAATACGGACCATCGGAGCTGGATTTTAGGCACTCACAAGCTCAGGACGTGCACGGGCGAAAAAACGTGCCGCATGACAGAAAGAGTCAGTCAGACCTATGCTTGCGCTTCTCGCGCTCCTCGCACACACCGGAGAATCCAAATCGTGACACGATGCCCAACAATCGATAACAGAGCGCCATGCAGCTGATGGACGGAGTTGATATTATCACAAAACGGTTCCCTATACTCGGTGACGAATATTTCGAACTGGACTCGCGGGAGCAGCTCAACCTAACTTTGACAGGAACTGCCGATTCGTAACACCACAAAAACCCCAGTGGCGTCGTGGCAAGTGTGTCAGGTCGAAGCATGTGCGAGTCAATGAATTCGAGAACTTGATCTTCCGAATAGCGTCCAAGGGATCTGCTAACAAGCTTAAGCTATCGGCGCCATCACCATGAAGTTTTCCCGTCCAACGGCTGGTATGTCGATCATGATACTGTACCACGCCCTGGAGAAAAAAAATCTTCAAGGGGAAGAAGCTAGAACAAAGACTCTAGATCACCTTGTCACGGCAGTGCATGTGTCCGGAAGATCAGGAATTGTGGGTGCGTGGGAGGTGCGGGCGCTCCGATTCTCGCAGGCCATGCAGCGGGATTCCCGCAACTGAGCGTTCAGTAACGTTTCGTTTGCAGCGCAGACAGTAGCAAATCACTCCTCCGTATGTGGTAAATCATCGGGTGGAAAACGGGACGGTCCTCTTTTGCAACTATCCTCTGTCAGTTACCACTGTACCGTTCAATACGAGAACTCTCGGAAGTCCGATCACCACGTATGTTCCCTTGCGCGTGCATGCGTATTCACCCGGGATCCGAAGGCACCGAATCTCGGGAAGCGCCCACTACCTCGAGGAAGATTACCAACTCGGCCGGAGTTCGTATCTACCAGGAGGCTTCGGCTTCGACCAGCAGAAACAGCTCGAACACAGGAATGCGGGACGCCTTGTGACGTTTACGGCAGCGGTGATAACTGGAGAGTTTGCTGTTCGCTGTGGGACCGCCATCGACCCTGCACTCCTTGACATCATCACGGCGGCAGCGTGGTCACCTTGGGAGAGTCGCGCTCATTTCCGCACAGCGATAAACGATATCCTCTGACCAGTACCGCTACCTCGTGGAGCCTTGGCACAAGTGTGAAAGGACGTGAACGTCGCCAGATTAAGTTCGGCTGCACCGCAATCATGTCCGCACGGACGGTACTCTGACCACGTGTACGCCTGCTAGAAGCACAGAATCCTCCAAGCAAGAATGCAAGAGCTTCGGTAAGGACGCCTTGTCCCTCCAAACTGCGATTGAAGTCTAGAAGATTGGTAGACAGGAACCCTCCTAACCCCAGTCACCACCACTGGTCGGGGCCCGTTTGATCGGGATCCACGGTCGGTTTCCTGCAGGAGTGCGAGGGACGACGGCAGCAAATTTGTATCGTTCGGCCGGTGAGCTGCTCGGGGCTGGAGAGTGGCGACGACGGGGCTAAATATTCGCTCTCAGGTCTTGTCCGACAGCTCGAGTAGAACAAATATTGGCGAACGTAGTCGGCCAGAGAACAAACACACATACGTTACTGGAAAGTCTGAGACCAACGAAAGCAGGGAATAAACTTCTTGTCGTGAATGTGGTGATTGCAGTCAGGAAAAACCCGGTGGTTCACCTTCCACCTGCCTCATGACAGTGGTCCAAGTGCAGTGAGCGCATCTCGCACCTACGCTACATCGAGCGCACGGTTCGCCTCGAAGTGAGTATCAATTCGCAACACCCAGAGCCAAAAGCCAGGAGTCTTGATGCTCTCCATACATCAGAGAATCCAAAAATCCAGTAGCTCGACGAGGTTTCACTGGAGTTCCAGGTGAGGCAAGAAGGGACGTTCGTCCGATAATTCCGAGTCGAGTTGGTGGACGCGTACCGCGAGGAGGTCACGTGGGCGCGTTTTAACCGGCGCGAAAACCGCAACTTGAATGCAACCGTTGAAATCACTCTCGAGTCCAGCTAGCGGCTCTCCGTGTTATTCAGAACCACATCGACTGCGTCAAAGCGTACAACAGCGCTTTCACAGCCTCCCCGTCAATATTCCAGCATCCGTGCAAAATCTGTTCCGGACCAAACTTCCTATGGAGGTTACTTGTGTTGCGTTTCGGGACGCGAGCTGTTGGCGCGGTCAAAGTGTACTACAGTGTCTGTGCTGAGCTGAGCTGGAAAATGCCCTTCACAGTCATTCCTGTCATTCCCACACCCTGATCCGGGGAAAACTCCCATGGAGGTTATCTTGCGTTGGATGCCTATGTAGCGACGTGCGTTTTCTATAGTTGCTGGCGGGTTCTAAACCCTCGCGTGATCTCCACGCGGTTCCGAGGAGAGGAGCTCCGAGAGGAGCCGACTCGAGCATCGGCTGCCCGTTGGCCTTAAATCTGGAAGTTGGAAGTTGGGAGTTGGGGAGTCTTTGTTGGTTCCACTCTACCTTCGAAGCCAAGTCAAAATATGATATCATCCAACACGCCACGGCGCGTCGCGTCTTCCTCACCGCGCTCTATCCGTGGGACGATCTCGAAAGCTCTTTCAACCCTGGAGTCTGCGTTTTCTCTCGCTTGCCGAGTCTCACTGACCACCAGCGCGTCGACGAGCCCGCTGCTACTCTTCTTTCACAGCCATCCGGAGCTCGACGCGTACGCCTAATACTCCTACCACCGGGTTTCGACGACCGCTCCGCGGAACGCAGGTCGGGCGTCGTCGTCCCGGTGTGCCGGAGCCGATAATATGGCGGTGCAGTGTATGCCAACGACGACGGTCGCCCGCGGCATGGCATGCATTCCGCGCTCCACCGACCACGCAAGCGTCGGCGGCATGCGTGGGGAGTTACCCGTGAATGAGTACGTCTACAGCTCTGCGACGGATGCTGTGCCGTCCTCTGACAACCGATTTCCGGATCTACGCAGCGAGGCGGGCGAGAGCACGGCAACCTAGCCATCTTCGTTTCCAAAGGCGTCCGACCGCGCCGGGGGTACGTACGTATCTCCCGCTTTCTGGCGGTCCTCATCTCAGACGCAACTTCGTCTCTGCGTATATAATCTCTCATCGTCCATCCAGCACCGCGTACGAATTTCACAGCTTTTCCCGTCGTCCAGATCCGCTCACATGCCCCCCGCCTTCGCGCTCGCGCCAGCCCGACTGGGGCCACCCCTCTACGAACCTGGGCCCCCCCATTCAGTTTGCCGCTGGCCCCGGCGCACCTTTCCCTCCGCGGGGCGGGTGCGTGGTTGGCGTCTTGCCCCGCCCGTGCGTAAGTGACAGGGAGAAGGGGGGGGGGGTGGATGGGTACCCAAACGTGGGGAGGGAGGGCACCACGACGCAAGAACGCAAGACGCCAAGGAGCAAGACACGCGCCGCGCGGGGTGTGCACACTCCTCACTTACACGCGCACCACGCAAGAGGTGCCCACGCGCGCCCGCTCCCGTCGGCGCACCCACACACGCACACGCAGCGCCGTCTCCTCCCCCCGCTGGCCCCTCCGCCCCGCCAATAACAACATAACAATACAACAACACACAACTCCCGCTCGCGCCCTCCGCGTCTCCACGAACAGCCGCATCGTGTCCCAGCCCAGCGCCGCTATGCAGGCCCGCGCTCCAGGAAGGGGACGCTCTCCCGCAGGTCCGGGGCCCCGTCCCCGCCCTCGCCGCCTCGCGCGGCCTCGCTATACAATATACATATATACATATACAGGTGCCGACGACGGCAGAGTGTAGAGTGTGCGTCCGGCTCGCGCTTGGGTCACGACCCCCGGGGGGAAGGGGGGGAACCTCCCATCCCCCGCCGAGGAAGAGGAAGAGGAGGGCGCGGCAAGGCCCTCTCGCTCGGGGCTCATGGGGGTCGACGTCGGAGACATACGTACACGTGTTCGAGTCATAAAATCACCGCACTGCGCGTTCCTTCCCTTCGGAGACGCGGATATATATATATTTTTTGGTGGATTACGGTACGTTCCTTCCCTTCCGGGCGAGGGTGGGCGCGGGCGCATGCGGGGGGGAGGTGCGGGGGAGCGGGAACGCGGGCGGGGGCAGGCGTGCACGACCATATGGGCGTGAAAGAGCACGCGGGCTCGCGGGAGAGGGTGCACGAGCGCGGGGGGGCTCGGGGCTCGGGAGCGAAGTGGGAACTGAGGTCTGAGGGTCTGAGGTCTGAGATCTGAGCGGCGGTGGGAGTTGGACGAGGGGAGATGTGTATGATCAGGGAAAACGACGCGGGAACGAGGTGGAAATTAGTACTGGGCTGTAGCTAGGGGACATAAATCGACAAGATGGAAGACGACGCAGCGAGCGTGCTCTTGGCGGGCGCACGCGCGCAGCGAGGAGTGGGGGCTACGAGGAGGCCGGGGGGAGGTCGTCGGGGGACGGCGGGGGCGGGTCCCTGAGGGGGTTCTCCGTCCTGGCCTGGTCGAGGAGGACGTCGAGCCCCCTGTCCTTGACGGCCTTCTGCAGGAGACGCGGCGGGGATCAGGACGGGGGGCGCCGCAGCACAGGAAACACGCACCTGGACGCACTCGCGGTACTGGGCCCAGAGCTTGCCGCAGCGGGCGTCGTACTCTGCGGCCTGTTGGCGGGCGAACGCGGCGCGCTGGTCTGGGGTGGAGGAGGCGGAGACGGCGGGCTCGAGGTAGCCCTCGAACCAGGCGTTGAAGCAGGCGTCGTACTGCTTCTTGAGCGGGGTGCACTCCTCTGCCAGGCTGTGTGCCATCGTGGGCGAGGAGAGAACCCTAACCCGAGCGGGAGTGCAAGTAAGAGGGACGAGCGGGCGCCTAAGGCAACGACGATGGTGCTGGTGCTCGTCATCGGCGACCTGCACATCCCGCACAGGGTGCACGACCTCCCGCTCAAGTTCAAGAAGCTCCTCGTCCCGGGCAAGATCCAGCAGATCCTCTCCACCGGCAACGTCTGCGACCGCGAGACCTACGACTACCTCCGCACCGTCTCCCCCGACGTCCACATCGTCCGCGGCGACTACGACGAGGTCCGCCTTCCCTCTCCTCTGCGCGCTGAGGCTGACATTGCCCACAGAGCGCGTTCCCGCTCAGCGTGACCGTCACCCACGCCCCGATCCGCATCGGCGTCGTCCACGGGCACCAGTCCATCCCCACCGGCGACCTCGACGCCCTCGCCGCCCTCGCCCGCCAGATGGACGTCGACGTCCTCGTCTCCGGCCACACCCACACCTTCCAGGCCGTCCAGTACGACGGCCGCTTCTTCGTCAACCCCGGCTCCGCAACCGGCGCCTGGCTCGGCTCCCTCAACGCGTGCGTCCACCCCCCCCCCTCCTTTCACCGGTTCTGCTGCTGACGGCGCCGCGCGCAGAGACCCGACGCCGTCCTTTGCCCTGATGGACATCCAGGGCCCCGTCGTCGTCACCTACGTCTACCAGCTCGTCGACGGCGACGTCCGCGTGGAGAAGATCGAGTTCCGCAAGGACACCGACGCCGCCGCCGCCGCCACCGCCGCCGCGGCGCCCCGCAGCACCGTCCTCCCCCAGAGCATCCCCGCCAGCCCCAGCCCCGTGTGGTAGCCGGCGGGCCCGGTCAGTGCGCTGCCCCACCCGCGTGCGTGCCCGACTCATGCGCCCACGCAGGCAGGACTCGACTCTGTGTAGTTTTTTTGTTGTATTTATCGCTAATGCATCTTTTCCTTCGCTGCTTGCGCACGATCGCGTTTGCGAGCGTTTTACCGTCTCCCGACTTTATATTTCCAAGTATGACAAGCTATTTCGTATTCTTCTGGTTTTCATATTCCCTATCCGATATAAATAGCTCCTACATACCTGGACAACAGAGCAGTTTTCGCACTCTGCCCGCCTCGTCGCAGTCGCACGCACACGCACGCGCGACTCGGGCCGACGCACCCAGAGTCTGCCACGCCCGCCGCATTCGGAAGGGGCGCACGCGTTAGCGCGGTCAGCGAGCTCTGAACCGAGCGCAGGTACGTCCTCCAGTGCCGTGCGCACGGGAACGCCGTTGCGGCGAGGGAACCGTGAGCGTCGCTCGTCCGCGTCGACATCGGGTGTGGGCTCACTCACGTTCGAGACGACGGCGTGGACGCAATGCCGCTGTGCGCGCCGCAGCCCGAGCCGGAGCCGCTGCCACGCCGGACTCGGATGCGATCTCTCCACGAGTATTTCAGCGCCACACCGAAGCCTCTCCTCTCCTCTAACCCAAGTGGTGGTGCCCCGCCCGAACTGCATCCCCGCTTACCGCCGTCGGTCGGCCTATCCCGATCATGTGCAGCTGCAGACACCCCACGTCGATCACTGCAGAAAATTCAGAAGGGGGCGCGACAACAGGCCAGGTTTATCGTAAACTCGCGTATTCCCCCCCCCCCCCCCCACCAGTTCAGCAGCGGCCTGCTAGGGTTCCCGAAGTTGACTCCGGCCTCGGAGTATTCTGCCAGAGATTGGGGGGGGGGGGGTTGATCGCAGGCGCGCCTTTCCATAATATCCTCAAGAGTCGACGTTGGGATACTTACACCGCGGGAGCCGATCAGCGGCGTTTGGGCTCGACTCGGAGGGGGCACACCTCTCTCGTCCGCGTCATTCCGCGCGGATTCTCATACAGCCACCTCTCCGGCCCAGGTACGTCTTTGGGATCGACCCTACGCGGCTCGTCAACACGCCCGGGAAGAAGGCGGGCTGCGTCGTTTGCGGTACCTGTGAGGGCGCACACTGATTGGAGTCTTGGCTGGCCCCGTGTTCTTGTGCGTGGGGATCTGCGCCCGCGCGTAAAGCGAGACAAGTGTCTGCAGTGTGGTGATCAACTCGAGGTGGCGACCGAAGTCGAGCTCGCGAAGGACGCAGGGACGGTTTCTGGACGGGCCGGAGCTCTCTGCTTTTGGGCGACCGTGGGTGCGCGCCCTCCGTCGACTCGTGCGACTACCCCTTGGCGAAAGCGCACTCGCGACTCGGATGTGCACCTGCAGGAGGACCGCGCTAGTGACCGGACTTGCCCTCGTGAGCTCCTGAGTAAGAGCGCTTCGGGCGTGTTTGCGGAGATCGACGGCTGCGCGGACGCGGACGTCTTGGCAGCGCCGCGGCGGGGCACAGTCGAGTGGAGGGGAGCACGATACGACGACCGGTGGTAACGGGCGAGACTTTGGGCGTGGTTCGGCCGTTTCTCTCCAGCGCTGGCTCACGTCCACGGCACTAGACGTTAGACGTTAGACGGTGAAAAAAACTGCGCCGACGGCGCGGGTCTCGCGCTGGATTTGCGCAACGCCGGACGGTGTGAAATTCGACGAGCTGCACCGAGAGAAACCGAGCGCAGATGATGCGTATAATATCCCTGCAAACCTCCAGTTTCCCCCGCACTAGCGTGGCAGCTCTCCGCCGCGTGAGTTGTCGCTTTTTGCAGACGCTCCGTGCTCGCGTTTTCGGGCAGAGACGGACCATCCACGCGATGCGCACGGAACATGGCGCGCTGTACACGGGAGTGCCGGTGCGGCGAGGAGCGTAAGCGTCGCTGGTCGACATGATACATTGGGTGTGTGGGGTCACGTTGGAGACGATGGCGTGGATGCAATGCCGCTGTGCGCGCCGCACGCCGCAGGCATATGCGAGCTCGAGCCGCTGCCGCGCCGGATGCGATCTCAACACGAGTATTTCAGTGACACCGAAGCCTCTCCTATTCGCAGTAGTGGCCCCGCCCGAACTGCATTCCCGCTTTCCACCGTCGGTCGGCTTATCCTGATGTCAGACACCCCATGATGTCGATCACTGCAGAAAACACTCTCAAATTCAGAAAGGGATGGGGGCCGACAACAGGTCCCGGTCAGGTCTGTCGGAAACTCGCAATATTCACATTTTCGCACAAGGTTAACGGCCTGTTTGGGGATTCGCAGTGACTCCGGCCTCGGAGTATTCTGCCAGACCAGAGAGGGGGGGGGGTTGATCGCAGGTGCGGCTCCAGGATATTCTCGATAACATCTACGAGTCGACGTTGGGATACTTACACCGGGGGGAGCCGATCAGAGTCTGCGAGGCGGCGTTTGGGTTCGAGGGGGCACACCTCTCGTCGTTCCTTTGGTTTGGCCCGCGGATTCTCATATAGCCAACTATCGAACCCAGCTACGTCTTTGGGATCGACCCTACGCGGTTCGTCCACGCGCCTGGGAAGAAGGCGGACTGCGCCGTTTGCGGTATCTGTAGAGCGTACACAGATCGGATTTTCGTCCGGTCCGTGTTCTTGTGCATGGGGACCATCGCGTCGGGATCTGCGCTGGTGAGTAAAGGCGGACAGCGTCTGTAGTGCGATAATTAACACACGAGGTGGTGACGACGAGAAGTCGCTCGCGAAGGGCGCAGGACGGTTTATGGACCGGCCGGAGTTCGACTTTCCAGCGGTTTCGGAGTCTGCGACTAGACAGCGTACTCGACGCGTTCGCACCTGCGAAGTTTCTCATACACATCAAGTTCTTCGATCATCCAACTGAGCTCCAAACCCCCCCCCCCCCCCCCCCCCCCCCCTTTGTATCGCCACTTTCTCCCTCTTCCCCGAGTAACCTGGCACGTCTGCGGGCTCTCCACCGCCTCCACCAAGTCACACAACACGAGTCAATCTCCGAGTGTCCACCGGTCGACGCACGTACGCGCATCCCCGCCGAAAGTCGAACCCCCCCCCTCCCCTTCTTGATCTTTATTCTTCATTACCTCCACAGGTCCACCTCGAACGCCGCCGCTACCTTCATCAATTTCGATGGCGGCACCATCTTCTTTGTCCCGGTGGATCATCAGTCGAGTCGCGTGGAGCGAGCAAGGTTACGCACCGAGCGCGCCACCCGATGGAGCACATGCGTCATCCAAAATTTGGAGAGTGCAGCAAGTGCGGGCTGGACAGCCGTTCGAGAGAGCATGATGGCGAGATTATATACGGGAGACGGGATGTCGACCATGGTTGTCGTCCTACGCATTGACGAACAGGCGTACGAAGAGATGAAACGGGGCAAGACGGAACCTCGGGAAGCGCTCACAGAATGACGAGGGCAATCTCCACGAACGTGAAGGCAAGATCCAAGAGGTAATCTGCTGAGGGTGCGAGAGTAATCTGCTGAGGGTGCGAGAGGTGGTCCATTCCGAACGTGCGTCCAAGGAAGGTGGTCCCAGATTCGAAGACTTCCAAGGCCCTTCGATTTTAATATCGAAACAATCCGAGCCACAAACTCTTTGACTGCGAAACCGCCGAAGTGTGTCTAACGGGAGAGGCCCATACAACAGCGTGTAAGATAGCCAGTGAATCGGCAGAAGTGATAACACACTAGAGACAACCGGAGAACCCTCAGTGTGAGCGAATCTGCGGAAACAAGTACATATGAAACTGCAATCGTATATGAGTCCCAACAGTTTGCACCGTCCAGTGGAGGAAACCAGAAACGAAGGACTAACCGCCACCTATCACATCGGGCGCAATCCTGATCAGAACCCTTTCTGCCTGTCGCCTGGATTCCACCGTGTCTGATTTGTGTCGCTTCTTCGACATACCTCTGCTGCAGTTAAACGTGACCAGCCGGTGGCAAGGGCAACGAAAGTCGAGAGGCAGGAGAAGTAGCGATCACCCTGAGGAACAGGCTTCGTGTAGGATCGTTTGCACACGTTCGTCTGCTTCGAGCTTTCTCAGTCATTGGTCTCTCGTCCACTGAAAAGAGGTAGTCGTTGGCTAACGAGTACGATAAGAAATAAAGCAGCATTTGCTCCGCTTGCGATGAACTTGAGAATAGCAGGAAACTCACCCGATCCGAAAGTATGCGAGAGGGTATCAAATTTGCGCCGTTTGCTTTCATCTTGCATTTCTGCGTAAATCCTTGGAAGCACTGCAAAGATTTGCCCAGTCATTCATTGTGCATTACATCAGGGAGAAGGTTATCGGCTCCGATGCTAAGCACAGTAAACGAGACAACTCCCAACTCGAGTTCAAAGGGTAGATGAGACTCTGAAATTGGCGAAGACATCAAAATACCGCTCGTGCTAGTGAACCGGACCCGAGAGTCTACGACAGACGATGCGAGCCGCCGTTAACAAGAAGGGGACTCTAGCGAAAACATACGACCATGAACGTTAGCTAGACCGATTAGGCTTCCAGACCGGGAACAGCGTCAAAATCACACCCTTCTGATTGCATGTACGACATCGCTCGTTCCCCGATTTCCCTCGGGACCTCCTCCAGTGTCCGTGAGCTGTTGCTTCCGGTGACCCGCCACCAAGAGATCTCCTTATCGTGCTCGGAATATTCACACCCGGATGACTGGTCTCTGGCGCAGAGGGAAATCAATCTCAGAGAAGGGACATTTCTCATAAGAAGCTCGGGGAATACTAGCAGATCCGAGGTCTCTGAGATAGGAGTTGGAAGAGAACTGTCCTCCGACGTCGAAGTGGCGCTAGAGAGTGGATGGACGATCCACAAGCGAACGCACATAACTTCGCAAGTGGCGAGAGCCGTGGAGAGCAACGTCTGAGTGGAACGTGCAAAGTATTGTCTGCATGAGCACATCCCAACATATAGCCAGATTGCTGAAAGAGACTTACCGCATATTCAACCCAACTCGAGTCAAACTTGTAGAAACCGTCGTCGATCGCTAAATCCAATGTTTTGAGTCTCCTGAGACCTCCGGCGACCTCCGTCCAGAAGGCATCTATCGTAGGCTTTCTCCACACAGACATGGAAAGCACGACAGGGTACATTGAGCATATCGCCCTTAGTGCTAGTTTGCATGTATCGAGATCGCAGATTGGATCACGGTCCCAATGCAGTTGGTGTACGGGATAGTTGACATGACAGTCCTCGAAGAAGACGTGGCCGCCACGAATAGATGTCAAATTCGACCAGAGTGATGTGCGCCCGCCAATCACACTCGCATGGGGCCGATCATCGGAACGTATTCCATAAGATTCCGCGCACATTTCTAGATGTCGAATGTTAGGAAAAGTCCACATAAAAAGAGGGATCGGGATGATGTCCTCGAACTGAGTTCGTGTCACTGAAAGAGACTTGACTCCGCCTAATTGGATTAACTGCCCATGTTTGTCAGACAATGAGGAATTACATTGCATATCCAAGAATTTCACGGTTTCGAGGGACTGAAGCGGTGCAAGCGACATGAGAGCTTCCTCGAATGATATGATGGAACTGATTTTGCCGAGAGTAAGCTTCCGCAGACCTGTCGGCAGGCTGCGTATGACCTGCAATGAGCTAGGCGATATCCAGTGGAGGTTCGCTTCGGCCAGCGATGGCAGTCTTGACAGAGCTGTGCAGATTCGTGGAGTACAGATGGAATTACCAAGTGTGGCTAGGGACCAAAGAGAGAGCATTCTGAGATTGTACGCTTGTTCCAGCACGTCCGCCAGCTTCATAGAAGTATATTCATTCAGAGAACTCCGGGGTCCATAGTGATCAAATGTAGATTCCGTGATGCAAAGCTCCCGGAGACGGTGCAGACGACCTGGAATGTCATCTAGGACATAGCGGCAATAGATGAGAAATGTTACGGCGGACTGGATAGTCACCACCGTAAGTGCACGGTATTTGGCAATCGTGTGGACGCCATGCGCTGTACAAGACAAGTTGATTGCATCCTCGGTTGAAAGGAAAGACACGATGGCACATAGAACGTCATGATTGAGAGAGAGCAAGCTGGTAGCTGAGGACATGACTAACAGACAATGTCAGTGCATGAGGTCACATCAGACAAGAAGATTGAGGCCACACATGAATGTCCTAGTTAGAAAGTGTCGTTGGAATGGGTGTATAGATACGTTGCCTGGTGTTCTACTAACTGCTGCTCAACGCCAGCGGCACTGGGAGCGATTAACGCAACTTCAATACCATGCATTGTGAGCGAAAAGAAAAACTGAACCTGCCGGGAGGACACAAAACTTCACTGGAATGCTATGAAATTACTGGCTGGAAGAGCTGAAGACACCGCGGTTGGCGAACGGTAACCTGCGGTACCCTCAAGGCTCAGAAGAGAACGTGAATGTGCAGCACGTGATCAGCACGCGTCGCGTGAGTACGAGGCGTTCTCGCAGTGACATGGTATGTACTCTTGAACATAGATATCACATCCGGTGCGCACGCCGCCTGCTTCCTCTTTCTTGTCCTCTGTCCCAGGCCCTCCCACTGCTTCTATCCTGCAAGCCAGGCGCGAAGTATGCGGTCCCACCGCCCCGCATCCGACGACCGGTGGTAACGGGCGAGACTTTGGGCGCGGTCCAGCCGTTTCTCTCCAGCGCTGGCTCACGTCCACGGCACTAGACACTAGACGTTAAGACGGTGAAAAAAACTGCACCTGATGATGTCCGACGGCGCGGTTCTCATTCGGGTCTCGCGCTGGACTTGCGCAAAGCCGTGCGGCGTGCAGACCCGCGACTGTCACCGTCGAGCGAGCACGGTTTCGCCACCCGATGGAGCACATGCGTCACCCATCACTTTGGGCGCGCAGCGAGCATGTGCGCTGGAGGGCCGTTCGAGAGAGAGCGTGACGGCGAGATTATATGCGGGAGATGGGGTGTCGACGACGTTTGTCGGTTGAGCGTATAATTCGCGACATTGATATTGATCTCACGGAAAGATGCCGTTTCGCGAGTACACCCATCACCTACGCACCGACTAGCAAGCGAGGAAGAGATATAACGGTGCAAGACAGAACCTCGGGAAGCGCTCACAGAATGACGAGGGCGATCTCCACAAACTTGAACACATGATCCAAGAGGTAATCTGCTGAGGGTGCGAGAGGTGGTCCATTCCGAACGTGCGTCCAAGGAAGGTGGGCCCAGGCTCGAAATCTTGCTTTTAAGGCCCGTAATTGAATATCGAAGTAATCCAAACCAGACTCTTTTGACTGCGAAACCGCCCAAGTATGTCCAATGGGAGAGGCCCATACAATGGTGTGTACGACGTTTGGCAATCGAGCGTATAGCTCACGACATCAATATTGGTCTCACGGAAAGATACTGTGCCGCCAGTACAACAATCACTTACGCACTGACAAATAGGCGAGGAAGAGATGAAACGGTGCAAGACAGAACCTCGGGAAGCGCTCACAGAATGACGAGTGCAATTTCCATGAACTTGAAGAGGTAATCTGCTGAGATTGCGAGAGTGGTCCATTCCGAACCCGCGACCAAGGAAAGTGGTCCACTTCCAAGGCCCTTCGAATTTAATATCGAAACAATCCGAGCCACAAACTCTTTGACTGCGAAACCGCCGAAGTGTGTCCAACGGGAGAGGCCCATACAACGGCGTGTAAGATAGCCAGTGAATCGGCAGAAGTGATAACACACTAGAGACAACCGGAGAACCCTCAGCATGAACGAATCTACGAAGAAAGTACATCTGAGAAACGCACAGCTGCCTGATATGAGTGTCCCCAATGTTTGCAGAGGAAACTAGAAAGGAAGGACTGACCGCCACCTATTGCGTCGAGTGCGATCCTGATCAGAACCCTTTCTGCCTGTCACCTGGATTCCTCCGTATCTGATCTGTATCCCGTCTTCGACATACCTCCGCTGCAGTTAAACGTGACCAGCCGGTGGCAAGGGCAGCGAAAGTCGAGGGGCAGGAGAAGTAGCGATCACCCTGAGGAACAGGCTTCGGGTAGGACCATTCGCACGCGTTCGTCTGCTTCGAGCTTTCTCAGTCATTGGTCTCTCGTCCACTGAAAAGAGGTAGTCGTTGGCTAACGAGTGCGATAAGAAATAAAGTATGGCACGCAGCATTTGCTCCGCTTGCGATGAACTTCAGAATAGCAGAGAACTCACCCGCTCCGAGAGTATGCGAGGGGGTATCGAATTTACGCCGTTTGCCTTCATCTTGCATTTCTGCGTAAATCCTTGGAAGCACAAAGATTTGCCCAGTCATTCATTGTGCATTACATCAGGGGGAAGGTTATCGGCTCCGATGCTAAGCACAGTAAACGAGACAACTCCCAACTCGAGTTCAAAGGGTAGATGAGACTCTGAAATTGGCGAAGACATCAAAATACCGCTCGTGCTAGTGAACCGGACCCGAGAGTCTACGACAGACGATGCGAGCCGCCGTTAACAAGAAGGGGACTCTAGCGAAAACATACGAGCATGAACGTTAGCTAGACCGATTAGGCTTCCAGACCGGGAACAGCGTCAAAATCACACCCTTCTGATTGCATGTACGACATCGCTCGTTCCCCGATCTCCCTTGGGACCTCCTCCAGTGCCCGTGAGCTGTTGCTCCCGGTGACCCGCCACCAAGAGACCTCCTTATCGTGCTCGGAATATTCACATCCGGATGACTGGTCTCTGGCGCAGAGGGAAATCAATCTCAGAGAAGGGACATTTCTCATAAGAAGCTCGGGGAATACTAGCAGATCCGAGGTCTCTGAGATAGGAATTGGAAGAGAACTGTCCTCCGACGTCGAAGTGGCGCTAGAGAGTGGATCGACGATCCACAAGCGAACGCACATAACTTCGCAAGTGGCGAGAGCCGTGGAGAGCAACGTCTGAGTGGAACGTGCAAAGTATTGTCTGCATGAGCACATCCCAGCATATAGCCAGATTGCTGGAGGAGACTTACAATATATCCAACCCATCTCATCTTGCAGAAAATGTCTTTGATCGTTAAATCCAGTGTTTTGAGTCTCCTGAGACCTACGGCGACCTCCGCCCAGAAATTAAACCCGGCATCCACAGTAGCCTCTCCACACACAGACATGGAAAGCACGACAGGGTACATTGAGCATATCATCCTTAGTGCGAGTTTGCGCGAATTGCAATCCCAGATTGGATCACGATCCCAATGTAGTTGGTGTACGGGATAATTAACATGACAGTCCTTGAAGAAGATGTAGCCGCCGCGAATAGATTCCAAGCGCGACCAGAGCGATGTGCGCCCGTCGACCACTGTCACATGAGGGCGATCGAAGGGTATTGGACAAACTGCCGCCCACATTTCTAGATGTCGAACGTTGGGAAAGGTCCACATGAAAAGAGGGATCGGGATGATATCTGAGAACCGAGTTCGTGTCACTGAGAGAGACTTTACTCTGCCTAATTGGATTAACCGCCCGTGTTTGCCAGACAACGCGGGCTCACAGTCCATATCCAAGAGTTTCACGGCTTCGAGAGACTGAAGCGGTGCAAGCGACATGAGAGCTTCCTCGAATGATATGATGGGACTGATTTTGCCGAGAGTAAGCTTCCGCAGACCTGTCGGCAAGCTACGTATGACCTGCAATGAGCTGGGCGATATCCAGTGGAGGTTCGCTTCTGTCAGCGATGGCAGTCTCGACAGAGCTGCGCAAATTCGTGGAGTACAGATGGGATCGGCAAGTGTGGCTAAGGACCAAAGAGAGAGCATTCTGAGATCGTATGCTTGTTCCAGCACGTCCGCCAGCATAGAAGTATATTCCTTCAGAGAACTCCAGGATCCATAGTAATCAAATGTAGATTCCGTGATGCAAAGCTCCCGGAGACGGTGCAGACGATCTGGTATGTCATCTAGGACATAGCGGCAATAGATGAGAAATGTTACGGAGGACTGGATAGTCACCACCGTAAGTGCATGGTGTTTGGCAATCGTGTGGATGCCATGAGCTGTACAAGACAAGTTGATTGCATCCTTGGTTGAAAGGAAAGACACGATGGCACATAGAACGTCATGATTGAGAGAGAGCAAGCTGGTAGCTGAGGACATGACTAACAGACAATGTCAGTGCATGAGGTCACATCAGACAAGAAGGTTGAGGCCACACATGAATGTCCTAGTTAGAAAGTGTTGTTGGAATGGGTGTATAGATAACGTGGCCTAGTGTTCTACTGCTGCTGCTCAACGCCAGCGGCACCGGGAGTGATTAATGGAACTTCAATATCGTGCATTGCGAGCGAAAAGAAAAGAACTTACCGGGAGGACACACACTTCGCTGGAATGCTTTCACGTTACTGGCTGGAAGAGCTGAAGACACCGCGGTTGGCGAATGGTAACCTGCGGTACCCTCAAGGCTCAGAAGAGAACGTGAATGTGCAGCACGTGATCAGCACGCGTCGCGTGAGTACGAGTTTCAGTATCGCAGTGACATAGTATGTATTCTTGAACATAGATATTACATCCGGTGCGCATGCCGCCTGCTTCCTCTTTCTCGTCCTAGGTACCAGGGCCCTATCCTGTAAGGCATGCGGGCAGTATGCGGTCCCACCGCCTCCTTCGGCGACCGACACACGATCAGACCCGGCGCGGGCTCCGGCGCAGGCTCCGGCGCGCGTGGCATTTGCCTGCTGTGGCGGTGCAGTGCGGGTCACTCACAATAGTGGTCTGAGCCCCCTTGATGTGGGCGGACTGGACGCACTACTCGGTATGTACCAGCCAAGAATCTCACTTGTGGAAGGAGAGTATTACGTGCACAGGCTCGCTCACTGGTTACGCAGGGGGGGACGTTTGTTCGCAGAACGCTTTCGGGAGGTGCATGACGTGGCGACTCCCTCGATATCAGGCGCGGCATGTATAGCCAGGGCGCGTGCTATACTTGCCTACTAAAACGACAATTCAAACCTGATCTCCGAACCAACTATCATCGCGCTAAACACGCCTGGCAGGGCGCAGCGGGCGAGCATCACACAGAAAGTCTGCAACGCCATCAACGCAGGTAGCCGCTCAGAACGCTCCGGGAACGTAAACCGGACCAGGGGCGGGATGTGCATCGGCGCCGCCATCAGCGGAAAGGCAAGATCTAGAGGGGCCTCCGAGTTGGCAGTATCTCCTTCTGTGTTACCTGTGCCGAAGTGCACTCGAACTCACTCGACCACTGTTGAACCGGATCCGAGATCGCCGACGACGCCGGGGGACCAAGAGCGGGCGTGCAGCCACATTTGCATTGAAATATAGTATATAGTATACGTATATTTTTGAGCATAGTCATTATTACAAACAGAGACAGCCACCGAAAATGGTGAAATTGTCGAAACGTCGAAAGAATGAACGGCACTGGTTCATCGGGGACGACAGTAACATGAATAGAAGAAAAGAAGTTGCTTAAGCCCAGCACCGCTGCGCCTCAGTCCACGAAGACGCAACGCTGTGACATTGACACATTTCACATGAGCGAAATGTGAAAAACAGAGAACAAGGTCCATACCAAGCTAATCTGTCGATGCCGTGCCGACGGGAGATGACTTGCGTAGCTGGTCCCAAGTGCCCAGGTTGAAATACCTCGGCAGCTCCTTCCAAAGTGCGTCTTGGTACTTGGCGATCATCCCCTTCACAGATTTCAAGCACCGGGAACAGATAACATCCTCGGACAATGTGTACTGCGCGATATGGCAATCCGACAAAGCGTCGTTACACTCAGACTGCAAACAGTCCACGACACTGGCCTTCAGAATCCTTGACAGCGCATGCGCTTTGCAGTCCAAAATGCACGACGACTCCATCTTCTCCCAAAGCTGAGCGGACTTGCAGAGATGCCGCGCTCGCAGCGCGTTCTTTCCGGAGAGGCAAAGCTTCTGATACTGCTGCGCAAGCGACGCTATGGTACCGTCCGCACGCACGACACCATGACAGATACTGTAAGGATCGAGCTGCGCACAGACATAAAGTGCCGCTGGTAACATCGTCAGCGTGTCGGTAGCGTAGGCCAGGTCCACCACAGCGATCGCATCGGTCCATTGAGTGGCCACAGAACATTTACCGTCCTCGCCCTTCCGCGCACCGAAATAGGCGTCGAAATCGCAGAGTTTATCCGAAAAAGCGGCTTGCAAGCGCGCCATGCCCTGCTCAAGGAGATCTGTGATTTGGTACTTGTGGGCAAGGCGCGTGAGACGCGCTACCTCCTCAAGCGACCACTCGAAGTTGCCGTCGCCGAACCTAGTAAGCGGATAGAACGAGTATGAGTCTCCGAAACCTGCTGTGTGTGGCCACCAAACGACGCACCAATTCACACCGTAGAAGCGCTGCAGCAGCATGTGGACATCATCCGCGCGATCTTGCAGAGGTACTTCGGGGCAAGTCGTCATTCCGTCTTCCGCGTCCGGCTGAGCAATCTCGAAAAGGTCCTGGAAAACCTTAGAGTGTTGCGATAAGACCGATTTGTGGACCCGGAAGCTTCTGCGTTCCGCAACAAGGATGATATTCCCATCGTTGTACCAGAGGCCGCGTTCGACTTGCAACGAACTGTCGTTGATGGTAGACATAGGGTGTAGGAGATGGAGTGGTTGTTGGCGGGGTGCACCGTGCTGGATATTCAGTGGCAGAACAGAGGGAGCAACTGGGGAGTTTATATATCTCGGTGGCGGCTCGGCAAAGCAACTCGAACAGCTGGAAACGACAGCACGTGATCCATACAATTCAACAAAGGGCCGAGCTCAGCTACGACCGAGTCCCAGAGACAAACGAAGTCGTCCTAGGAAGTTGCTGGAGAATCGGCAAAGCCAGGCGAGTGAGAGCGACCAGTGCTCAGCCACGAGCGACGGGCCAGCGGGTATTAGTATGGAGAATCGAGACGAGCGAAACAGATTCGATTGGGATCTGAAGAGGCAGAATGGACTACCTGTGCGCACACGACATGATTTCCCCTCGTTGAGAATGGGCAGCTTGACAATCATAAGCTTGGGGAGAAGTACGCGCTGGAACGAATCACTTATCGCGCATCGAAGTTGCAACAGCATTCACTGCGAGGTGCGCAGGCTATCGCTTACCACGGAAAAGGAAAAGGCCTGTTCGAATGAGTAACTTCTGTGAGCCTTTTTTCAAGCATACGTGATACCGGCAACATAGGGCTGCGTGGAAAGTCTGATGAAGAAACACGAGGACGCCAACTCACTACGTTAACATTAGACATCGCCTGTTGACTTCCAATGACTTGCGGCACTCGTCGCCCAAGGATTATACTAAGGATATAAGTATCTGCTTCGGCCGAGAGATCATGTCGAATCAACGTCATCTCATCAACGACGAACCTTAAAACGTACGCGAGTTAGTTCGCACATTTCATATAGGTTTGACAGTTCGATGTCGGGGCGCTCGCCGTGGTATACAAATGTGCTGTCCTCCAATCCGGATAAATCTCCAGGCCTTCTAGTGACAACTGCTCGGAACTGCCACCCGCGCAGAGGTCGACTCCCAAGTGGATATTCTCGACTCCAATTGGCAGTACATGTAAGAACGCCGCGGGAAGTATGGATATTGGGCCAGGGCGAGTTACCTTTAACAGCAGCGACGGCATCTGTGGGTTCCAATGCTTCGAGAAAGGTGTCCATACGGCCAGATCTTCGGTGAATACTGTCTTTGTCCGGGCAAATCCTCGGTTCCGGAGGTCATCGGCCTGGTTAACCACATCCGAAAATTCGAACGGCTCCCCGTCCATCAAGGGAAATCTTTTGAGACAGAGATTAACAAGCGCGCAATGGAGGGGTTCGGTCAATATGAGTTACTGAAAAACTCACATTTTGACACAATACAATATGTCCAGCAAACAACAAATTTTGGAGGAACAAACAGTCAGATTAATAACAGGGCAGTCGAACACCCTTTCCTGCAGTGGGGGGGCTTGATGATGTTCCGAAAGACGGCAGCATGGTGAGTCAATACTCCCCGATGCACTCGGAAGACAGTCGGGGCAGCAATATGAGGAAGCCATTTCCATCGGAGAATTGTATGTCCGGATCTTGCTGCAGCTCTACCCTAGGTATTTTCACGCTCGGGCCGTCACTCGTGTTCACGTTCAATGTCGTAATAATACCTTCGAGTTGTAAGTTAGAACTGGTTAGAAGGTGGAGAATGCAACAAATGTTAGACGTTTACTTGTATGAATCGATGGATGTCGAGTTTGAGGTAGAGGCTCGCGCTCAACAGCTGAGCGGCGCCGGCGTGCAGACTGCACTGACATCATGAGGGCCATAACCACGTGTGACTTGCAAGATGGCGCAGCGTGACGGCCTTCACGAACCGTCACGGTGCTACTCCAGTCACGCCAAGTCCGCCGAGTCAAGAGAGGCAAACCATCTTTACAGATCAACTCGCCCTCTCTCGAATGCTATGCCTGGAGCGGACATGGATACAAAATTGGATTCGCATACATGAAAACTGACGGACACCTAATGCTGTTCGCAGGAGAATCGGTAGTCACCAAGGTGCGCACTGGCCTTCCGTGGCATCTTCCATGCATCCCTGCTTTAACTAGTTGACACAGGAATCTGCAGGCTTCCGTCACTTATTTCCATACTGGCCGCAGCAATTTTGACCATCGCCTGCGCGTTCTGCATGAGGGCTTGTAGTAAAAGAGGAGCACTCTCTTTCGAGGGCTATTCGTAATTTTCCCAGAGAAAACCTATTCTTCGAGTGCTCATTCGACAGGTTGTCCATCAGCTAGTCGCAGTGGTACCTATCGCGTCCGTGCGAGGCGGAATCTACGAGACCGGTCTCGCTCCTCAAGTTGCGCACTGTACGCCCCGGATACACGCCACCTGAAAATACCTATTCAACGCTCGTCTGTCTGGAGCACCGTTACTTCGTCAAGGATTATGGTCCCCATCACTTCGTCAAGGTTTATGGTCTCCATTGCTGGCAGAATACGTGCCTTTCGCCAGACTTGGTCAAAGTTCGGGCAGGCAGCTGTCCCAAGTAGCAAGGTATGTCTCCAATAGTGTGAGAAAATGATCCTTTAAATGTGTACTGGCGGTCGGTTTCCCTGAGGTAGTTATCTACTGAAGACGAGAACGCAGTTCCACATGTCCCTTCGTCGACCCTTGTGCTTGACCGTCATGCGGCAAGTGAATCTCGTTTGGCTCTCCTTGTACCTATTGTCGGTTGTCTGCGTTTACTACTCGCCTAGTCAAAGGGTACAGACAGAGTAGTGAATCAGCATGTAACACATGTAGTCCGCTGGGACGGAAGCAATTCGCAACGCAGGACCCACCGACACCCACAGCCCATAAACGGCGAGTGGGGCCGGATCTATCTATCAGAAAACGATTGACTGCAGGTGTCATGTTACAGATGCTCGTGAATGTGGCTGTATACCTGGCTGTTGCTTCAAAGCGGCTTGAACATTCGGCTGGAGCACCCGCACGCAGCACACTGATGTGCTGTTGACCAGATGATTACTCGGTAGTCGGTGTTACACATCGCTGATACGGTCTCGAGGGACCTTCCCATGTCTATGGTGTGTTCCCACCCGCTCCCTCCAGGGCTAGATTCGACGAGTCTCAGATTCAAGATCTCCAAATCTCAAATCACAGAGGGGATAATGCCTATTGAGGTTCGTACAGAGCTTGCGCTGTATTATCCCCTTCGATACTACTGTGTCAGAGTGGCGGCGCCAGCCGTTGGCTCCCGCTCACATGGCTAACCCCTGTTTCTCATTGGCTTGATCAACTCTGTTCGCTGGGTTCTATGCATATCGTATTGTCTCGCTCTTGCCCAGATGACTCGGGGCGGTGGTCATCGACTCATCCCATCCTAGCTGCCGACGCGGCCTCGGTAGGTGCATTTCCGAAGCTAAAGTTCTCTCCCTCACTGCACTCACCTGTGACTTGAATCTCGAGAACTTTCGGGCCGAGATAAGAGGGATCGCGAATTACCAAGGAGTACTCTGTCTGATGTTACTATCCCCGCCCATGATGCTGTGACCAGTCTCCACGGCGAATGTTGGTATCTTTTTCCGAAGGCCCGCAAGATATGCGTTAACTATGGACAGTTGATCTTCAATCCGCGACTGGTGTTCACATTCGCATTCTCAACTTCTGAAACTCGTCGTTGGCAGAGATCTACTTAAGATTTCCGCTGCCCTCGGCGCTCGACCCTGCAGGCTGAGGTCAGGAGGCCAGTTTCTAGAGGACGTCAAACTCGTCGAGCAGTGCCACGCGTTAGACACTGTGTCTCGAACAATGTCTCGTACTTTTATCGGAAGTGTTTTGGTGCCGACACTTACTTCGAAATTCATGTGCCAGCTGGAATCCATTCACCCTTGGTTTGCTACATTGTGCTAACCATGTATACGCTGAACCACAGACGTAAATCTGCGCTCCGTCAGCCTATGGGTACAGACGTCACACTGCAATGCGCAGTTTCCCTTCGGGTACACTAGTCTATGCCCAGCCCAGCAACCAGGGCATCAACGCGCCCTTGAATCTAGGCTGAATTGCTTGGTGCAGCTCGCCGATACGAAAGTGCCTGAGTGCCTCGTGGAATTTTGTAGACAGTCGGGTTATTGTTGGCCCGGAAGACGCATCTGGTAGTCTCAGACGAATATTGGTATTTTGCACCACGAAGCTCAATGCCGTGCTTGGGTCGGTGTCATATTCAGATTGTGGTTCTAAGGTATCCTGGCATACTGTAGCTGTCTTCCATTGCCGGCACGACGCCAAAGCTCTGTCTGATGGAGGCAGAACCACAACTCTAACGGCGAGCTAGCGATAGGCCGTGGACGGTCGTTACTAACTTACACAACCTTCTCCCCTCCGTTGGGCCTCGCATTCCTCCTGTGTACGTGTTGCCTGCAAATAGATTTGTTCCAAGTTCGTTCGACAGAGAAGCACCCCAGAATGAATCCTTCACGACCTACTTATCATCCGAGCCTCGCACGAAGTGGCGTTTGAACGTGGCGAATCAAATTATGGCATCATCAATACAAGTCGGAGTAAGAAGAATCGCATTTTTTTCTATTCATTCTCCCAGCGTAAGCGAGCGGATTACCCCCTCCGTTCGCCGAGAAGAATAGAACTTGTCGAGTGGCACACGCAAGGACCGCTGACAATTGGCCAAGATGATCTAGAGAGGCCAAAAATGTCAAAATTTGTCCGAAATCGGCTTCGACAAGGATCCTCCTCAATTGGGTCGGTCTACGCTTCGATGCAAGACCCGTACGCAAAAAAAAGCACTAGCTAGGAATAGCGTATCAACGAATGGACGTTCATTCAGCTTCAGCTATCAGGGCTCAGCATGCGAGATTCTGCATCCGCTAAGTACTCTTTCGCCGGCAACGCTGATCATCGTCCTCTGATGGGTTCGAATCGCTCAGGCCGCTCGAAGCCTCAGAAGATAGAGACCATTAGAAAACTTACTCACCTGATGCCGTCCTTCCTCTGTTCCTTTGTTTCCTCTGATACGCCTCTATCTCTGTGTACATCTGAATGCCTGAGAACAGGTGATAATTTGGCAGTCAGCTGCTAACCTCATCCAAGCCAATACTTGTCGCGTAGTTCCCTAGTATCCCTGCTTACCTGTGCAAGTCACACGAGGATCGGTCGTCGCAAGAGGCTGGACGACGAGGCGCGCCGTATATGCATGGGTTTGGGTTTGGGACGGCGTCGGCACCGACGTTGGCGCCAGCGCTTGAGTGACCCAAGCAAGATACTGATCTGAGCAAAAAACGCTCTCGTGTGCTTCCTTTCGGTGGCCTGATTGTGATCTAGCAGCAAATTATTCCGTATTCCGACTTCTCGGTGGTCTTTGGATTCCAAGAATCCGAAGAAAACCAACGTTCAATTCCTTCAGCCCTTCCACCGAGCAAGGTCAGCCTGGGCAGGGGAAATTGCAGAATAGTTCATACGGTCCGATGGTTGCAAATTGAGTCAGCCTTCGGTCGTAGAGACCCAGTGCCACATTCGCACGACAAGCAGCCGACAGCGGTGCCCTGTTTGTCTACCAGCTGCCAGTGCCTCTAATGCCCCTAGGTGATCAGGGAGGCCATGGCAGGCGAGCCAAGAGCAGGAGAGCGCGATGCCTGGCAGCGTGTTCCAGCACCACGCGATTGTAAACCCGCCTGGTCAGCTTGCGAACCGCTGCGGTTGCTCCAAAGTGCATTGGCCGTGTATGTCATTATGATGTCTGCAACCCGGATAGATCGAGTCCAATTAGCCTGAGTCATGCCGAGGCAATTTTGGGCCGAGGGTCGAGTGCAGTGAAGCCTCGATGCATGCCTTGTGGATCAAATTGGATCGACGTCGACACGGTCGCGGGAAGAAGAGCGCGAGGGCCAACTCGATAGGCAGAAGGGGAAATAAAGTTACCGTAGCACCGGTGACCCTACTTCCGGATGTTCATGACAACAGAGGCAGACACTCTCGACGACGTCGCGCAGCAGAGGTTATGCAGGCGGATGATATCACAGCGCGGGCAAGATGAACATGGTGGATTATTTTGCAATGAGTACATACATTGACATGCAACAGTCCCGTCAGGATATTTCTAACATAATGATAGTGTACTTTGTATATGAAGACATATGTCAGTAAGCCAGCCGTTTTATGTGCGATGCGACGAGTCAAGTGCTGTGTAAAGATGGTGCGGGAATGGACAAGAATCTCGACAAATTCCTGGGGGAAAGATATACAAATGGTGTAAGGGGAATCAATATGCAACAGTGGTATATACAGTTTAGGAATAAGATGCCAGTTTGTCCGCGAGCTGAACTACCAACACGAGAGCGAATAATAGCAATGCAACGAGATGCGATGTGTACAGGAACGAAAAGGCGGGGCGGGTCACGCCGGCAAGGAAATGGGATAATGGCTGTAAGACACATGTGGCTCGAGCACGGTTTGTGTGTAGACGGCCGCCATGGACATGTGGTACTGCTGCTGCGCGACAGAGTATGGATCCAGATACACGATATCCCGAGATGAGCTGCTGAATCGAATCAGCGGCTGTACTGTTGTGCCTGAAAGTATCACTTACTGCACGTCCTCTGAAAATTCGTAAATCGGATACCCCGCAATTGGTTCGCCATACGATAGCTCATCCACGTATGCGATCTGATCCGGATGCATCATGCCCTGCAACTCAAGCTGAGCTGTAATACCACGCTCATGCTCGAGAATGCTGTCCGCTACTGGGGACAAAAAAGGCACGAAGGGCTTCACAGGACGCGGCGCGTAGAGAGACAAACGACTCGAGGATGTCGCCAACGGTTGAGGAGCCACTATATCGGCAGGTACCGAGACACTAGCGGCGAACGTCCCGTAGCCGTCGCATGTGTAGTCGTACCGCGTGTCCACGACCTGTACGGGCTGAGATGGTGCGTCCTCGACACTGGACGCAGTAGTGGTCTGGGCCCACTGCAGCGAATTCTCTGCAGCCTGCACCGCCCAGTAGTCGATTTCTGACTCGTCGGGGTACAAAAGCTGAGGCGAGAGGGCCATGTCATCGACTTCCTCGTACTTGGGCTTCGGCGAGAACGGGCGGGAGCAGGAAGATGTAGGAGAGCCGAAGCGGGAAAAAGATGATGTGCTCCAGGATTCGCTCAAATGAGGAGAAGGTGCGCGGACCCTCTTCTCGCGGCGGCGCTGGCGGCTCAGTGTCGATCCACGACTACGCTTTGTCTCAGAGACATAGGTACAGATGTACCCGCGCGATACGCAGCGCGCGCACGCGGGTTGCGTTCCGCTACACTGCACGCACGCGAGCACGTGTCATCAGTACGACATGACACGAGACGGAACGCAGTGATCGCACCTTTGCCTTCCGCTCCCGGCACTTGTTACACGCTTTCTCTGTGCGGCGGTTCTTCAGAGGAGTCGGGGACCGCAAAAAGATACACGTCTTTCCGTCCGGCCCCGGAAGCGTCCCTCCCTTATAGTTGTAGTACTCCGGACCCCAGGGAATATGGTACGGGATGAGATTCCAGCAGTCGTCCTCAGCTGGGTCAGCGACAGCGACGCAAGATTCTAGGCCATGCATGTCAACAGGTGTGGTAGGCGAAGATGAGGAGTCAGAGCAACTTGGCGAGACCGGCGAGTGGGGTTTGATAGAAAGCAGACCTGGCTCGACAATGATATTGAGCGTGCCCTTTGTACAGGAGCCTTGGGACTGCAACAAAGGAGGGTTGTCGCCAGGAAGAGCGGCGTAGGAACGCGTCACAAATGCGGGGTCAGTACGATGATTTACGCACATGACGGGGTAACAATGCGCTAGGAAAGTCTATGAGGAAAGATATATGGCGGTGTTTGGCCGACTTCAGGGATGGTACGGTCGAACGGGCTCGGTAGATATGTGCTGGGCTCGCTTGCCGTGGCCATGGGAGCTTCGAAAAATGGGGGACAAAATAATAGAAATTGCTGATCTCTCGCGGATCTAGTATACTTTCGCAATCAAGCTTCGCGACGATAGACTGGCTATAGCTGGACGAGTGAGCGAGGGAAGCCACGACCATGGGCAACCAATCTGCCCATAAGATCTGCCCAAACTCGTGTTAGCAACATGGAAGAACAAATCGGGAGTTTATCCGGCACCGCCGCTCTGGCGAATGATGGACAAGAAACATCACCGACTGGAAAAACAGCCTCGACCCTGAGTCGTCCGCCACCGCCAGCTAGCTAAACTTGGGCACGGCGCCGGGCAGCCTGAAGCCAGCGTTCGACCTGCTAAAGGTCCCCCGCCTCTACAGTGCTTCTCGCAGCCAGTAAGACTGTGAATACTAAGTGTGTGGCCCTATCGTTATAACAGTAAAAAAACAAGTGGCACAAACCAAGTAAAAGCTCGAAGACCGGCCCATCAAATTCGTCCCTTTGGCCCTCTCTGGCCGGGCACAGCTCTGACATGTCACAACTCAGAAAAGGAATGGTCTGTCTGCCGCTGTACCGCGCCAATCTCCATATGTCTGCCCCAAGTCTGCCCTTACAGCACTTTCCCAGTCATGCACCGCCGTCAACATGACCCAATAAATGACCAATGCTGCAGTGCACAGCCAGCAGCAAGACACGAAGACAAGACGGGTGCAAACTTGGTGAGAGAGGAGACAGAACTTCTTCTGCGAGCAGGCGAACACAGGTATACGAAGCAAGGTATGGCCTGACCGTGACGGTACGTACGTATGGTAATACAGATTATTCAACGTGAGGTCCGAGGAGCATCCAGGACGATATCAGGTTGCAGAAAATTTTGCAAATACCATAACACATTATGTGAGCGGCGCTCCCGTCGATGGCCGTGCGAGATTTAGATCTACTCAAAGGTGATCGCTAACCAGAAACTTGAACAGCTGGCTGGCCGAAACAGCCTAACGCCTCCTAACGCTTGTCATAAGTGGCGCGGACCGGAAAGAGACCGAGCTCACGCACAGACCCAGTAAAGCTTACTGGGTCGCTGCGTTGTAGACGTGGTGGTGAGCATGACTGGAACCAGGAGCGTAAGGTTGCACACGCAGATTCTGCGAATGATATTCCAATGAAAGAACCAAGATAAAAGTACACCATTTCGAAAGGGTGATATGTCCGAGGAGAAATACACAAGTCAAGTTGGAAGATCCATCGAATGGCGGAGTAGCTTGCATGCAATTCTGCCAATAATGTGGGCCATTCAAGAGGTCGGGTCGTGTAATACGGCCAGAAGATAGCGATCGCCTGACAACACAGCTAAGGCGAATTGCGCGAGCAGAAATCGAACGAAGGAGCGGGTGCCCACCTGGTGATATCATAATCTCATGCCGTTTAGTGCGAATACGCATGAAACGCATATCATCCTGTCAAATCTCACGTCGCACGATGCCTGACAGCGTGAACGTTGAAGAGACTCACCGGTTCAGATTGACCTTCGGTGACCTCTGCGAGACCCGAGTGGACGCTCTCAACGATGCGTGAGATTGCGCTGGCATACCTCTTCCCTTGCTCGCCCTCAAACACGACACCAGAGTGGCGAATCATTGTCACGGGGTGGCTCCGCGAAAGCAGCATGTAGCCCAGTACCGACCGGTGAGACGTGAGCATTGTGAGTGTCTGCTCGAGCTCTGGCGTCGTTATCGACGCGGCCGACGCCACCGTTGCACTTGTGGTGGGCTGAGGTGAGAAGGAGGGGTGCGAAGATACCGTTATTCCTTTGGAAGACTATTCTAGTAAGGTAGCACTTCTAGCAAACTCCAGGCAATGGAAAAAGCTCGTACTCACCATGGTGTTGTCGAGGAGGGTAGTCGCCGTTGAAGTCAAAAAGTCTGGCAGCATTGAACCGACCGTCTGGGAGCAAATGTTCTCTTACGTAAGTAGCAATTTCCTATTCCCCCAACTGAGTCTGACGACCTACTACACTGTGTTCTTCCTTTAGCTCGCTGGCACTGCAGCGACCATAACGCAAGGTCTCAAGTCTGAAAGCTTGAAGAGTCTGAATTTTGAACCGCTAACTATTGCAACCTAAGCGTGAGGGTGCCCGAACAAAACAAACACCACACCTTAGACCATCCCTCCGAGTCCAGCGCGCTACGCAAGCAATAGTCTAACACAACTTCATCGCCCGACACCGCGCTAGCTCTAGGGAGCGAACTGAGAGAGCCGCGCGAGGTATGTATCTGTCATTCGTTGAACGTTCCTAAGCTCAAAATCTCGGTGTCGCCAGGCAGCACAAGGGACGATATCTCGTCGATGCAATGTCGCGTAGATAATATGAGATTGTCGACGTCGACGCGGGATCGACTGGGAGGACACGGACCTCTTCGTGCGGTCCGCGCCTCATTCGCTCCGTATACACAAGGTATACGCTGGAGCCGATTTCTTTGACAAAGACCTTACCCCTTGAGATATGTTGAATATCGACGCAGGCACGCGTGGACCAATATGATAATCTCTACAGCAAGATGTTTCAACGCCGGCATCCAGTTCGAGTGCTCGATACGAAATCCACGCCGGCGGCAATGCCGCACCTCGAAAACGGTAACTGATCTGCTACGCAGTTTACTTACCTTCCTCATCTACTGATTCTCTGACCCTGGGACTCAGGCTACCAGCCCCCGCGGAGACCGGCTTGCTGGCTACTCACTCGGTATCCGTTCGACGTATTCAAATGATAAGAAAGTTGTGATCACATTGATACCCTCACGGAAGATACGCTAACGCATATTTAGCATTTCAATGGACCAACAAGAGATGCCAGGATCGCGTCGGGCAATGATCGCTGGACCACGGACGTGCCCGAACGTAACGATGATACGTTGCAGTCGTGATACTTGTTAGGTGAGCCGCCAATTCAAAACTGAGAGTTTGAAGTCGTATACTCGTGAGGGGCGATTTGTCGCACGAAATAATCGTTATGGGAGTCAGACAGCGCGAAGATCCGAGCATCGGTCTGTGTAATCTCCGAGATTACAGTACATTATAAGATGCCTAGCACGACGTACTAGACCACGATTCTAGATGCCGTGGTCATGGTAAGTGTTATGTCCCTGATGGTGAAACATATGGTTCTACTGAAAAAGGTGCGCAGTACATCCCCGGAGCTTACGCCATGTTGCAGGATCATATCTATCAATTTGTGGACGCGCCTAAATGCTCTACCCCCGGTCTCGGCGGTGAATGTAACTCTCCGCACGTTTGGCTGCATGATGTGAAAACTAACTCTACGGTAAGCTATGTCAGACTGCTTCGCTGACGCTTGCTGCTCAGTAACCTTCGATAGACCAACGGTAACGCTTTTGGCCCCTGCGGTTCCAACCACGCAGACTGTCGAAAGCTCACAATTTATTATCCTGACCTCGACCTTCCGTGGGCGGGAGTGAGGTGTCCAGCCTTTTTTGACCTCAGCCTGTGCCCGTCGTTCGTCCATACGAATGGCGGGGGCGCAGGCATCCAGTCTCGTTCATGGAATTGATTAGCTTCTGGCCCCTCTGGCTTACGATTTCTGTGCTATCTCGTCTGGGAGCTCGAGCCCAAGCTCATCGTCTCATGTACATACCTTGTCACTTGTTCATATTTTGTAGGCCTACAGGCGGGTAATATCTCCATCCCATCCTACAGTTTCTGTCTTCGAATGACTTGCCTACCTATTCTGTCTTCTACATGCCTTTCAACGCATCGTGATGCATTTCATCTTTCTATCCAGATTAGCTAAGGTGTGTTTCGCTTGTCTGAACTCTCATGCAAGATCACTCACTTGCACAGTTGCCAGCGTAGCGACATCTATCGTCGCCCGTGAATACGGACACCTAAAGCGGTCGATGAGCCCCATCACTGTGTTATAACACATTTAGATATGTCTCAGTCACTCGTTCGGTTTTTCCCCATGCCATGATCGCTGCGTCTCTAAGCGGGGGGACGTTCTGTGAAAGCAGGTCTAGAAAGTTGGGGTTCACACGCAGCCACGATGTTAGCGATTTCTCTCGCTGCAACTTGTGTCCGCGGTATCACTGACTGCGTTCTGGCAGGCAAAGCTGATCCTAAAGACCTTCCATCTGGGGAAATTCATTCTATCAAATACTTCCGATGCCATCTTCTGCCTGTCGGCTCCGGACCACCACCACGTTTCGCTGAATGCTCTGAGTATCACTCCATCCCGTCGGGCATCCGCGCACTGCTGCACGTTGAAGAGGCCCGGTTGCTACTACCTACGCTAGTGTCCCATCAATAAATGAAACAAGCGAGACTTACTTAGGCCGACGCTGGGATAGGCTTGCAGCACGCGCCACATCACGGTGTTAGAGCTTTCGTCGACGAGGGCGCGAGTTGCGCACGGCGACGTCCGAGCGAAGCGAGTGGTTATGGATTCTCACTACTTTGCGCTCTCTCTGGCAGTGGAGTATGGATTCCATCTAACGTGGAGAGAGTACGTATATAATTGTATTATTCTCGCACGTATCGGATGATAGCAGTGATGACCCGACTGATTTGCACCATCTTCGCGCGAGGGACGCCATATCATCAGACTAGGTTTTCTATCGGATAATTTGCAACTCGTTGCACGGTCATTCGCGTCATCCCGTCTTCTCCGGCCAGGAATTTCTGCAGATGGCGGTAGTCGGTTGAGATGCAGATATGCCCTCTCGAAGATTATTCGCAAACTAGCTCCCCAACCTGCATAGACGGAGAAGTGGGATCTATGATATGTACCGTAACGGAGAAAGATAGTTAGGCTGGATTATGTCGTATTTATCCTCTAAAGGGGAGCACACTGTCTTTTGTGCCAGCGCGCGAAGATTTGCATTCGCCCCAAACCTTGCGGAATTGATCATGAACATCCTCAGTAAGCGACCGTAGTATGTCTGGGGCATATTAAGGTCAATCACCGAGGACCAGTGATGTTGCAGCGTTTTCATCTTTAGACGTACATATAACGATAATTTATCGCATGTATTCTAAGAAGACATGGGAAAACCACAGACGTATCCATATGTGGGCTCATCGGTACATAGTGGATACGCGAACGCAGCACCTTGGGCACTCGGCAGGCTGATCTCCGAAATGACACCGAGTGGCGTAGCATGGATGCACGACAGAATATTTGGAACATGATCAGTTACGCGGCGGGTAGAACGGACCAGCAGACGCGACTCAACGAGAAGCCACAGTAGCTTCCTGATTGCCGTAACCCGATATGTCCGTGACTGGAAGATACACTCAGCGTCTTCACGAGGTGCGGGGGCACACATCAGACACGAGTTATGTTCTATCAGACGTAGCCCAATCTTACAATACACCTGCGAATTGAGATCTGAAAATACTTTCTGAGTTACAGCAACCTCCCGATCGGCTCTAAGCCCTTGAATCCTTTCGCAGCATCGTACACTAGTTGCCCGCGGACGAACGTCTTCTCTACGAGTCCACGGAGGTTGAGTCCTTCGTATGGAGTCAACTTGTTCTTGAAGTTCAATGCCTCCTTCGTCACCTGCAGAGTAACTATTAGCCATGACCGCCACCCGAGTTAAATTTTTGCTTACGGTAAATTCCGCCTCAGAATCCCAGATAATGATGTCCGCATCAAAGCCTACAGCAAAGCGTCCCTTCCGATCCTGCAAGCCAGCATGTAACGCCGTCTTCTCACAGACCCATGATACAACTTGGCCAATGCTCACGCCTCTCCGCCTCCCTTCCGTCCACAGCAAGCTCAGGCCAAGTCCGAGCGTGCTAATGCCACCCCACGCGCGCATGATATCGCCGTCGTCGAGGCACTTCAGCGGCGCCACGCACGGGCTGTGGTCGCTCACGACACAATCCAGTGTACCATCCAGCAAGGCTCCCCACAGCTCTTCGCGATTCGTCGCATCGCGCACAGGGGGACAGCACTTGAACTCGGGACGCCCGGCGGGAATGTCTGCTGCGGCGAGACAGAGATAGTGGAAACACGTCTCGACCGTCAGTGGCAGACCGCTTGCCTTGGCTGCGCGGATCAGCGGGAGCGCGCTGGCTGCAGAGAGGTGCACAATGTGCAGGCGGAGCGAAGGGTATCGCGCGTGCAATGCCGTTATAAGCTTGATAGCATCGAGTTCGAGCTGGTCTGGCCGTGAAGAGAGGAACGAGTCGTAAAGTGTTGGGTCTGGCTGAGGCCAGGAAGTATTTGACGAACGTGACGGTGACATGTCGAGCTCTGCGTGGAAACAGAGCACTGTCGACGTGTCCTGGACGGTGTGAGCACGACGTGTCGTAAGTTGTATCGATATTAACGTGACACACCTTCAATTCTTCCATCGCATGCACTACGTCAGATTCAGCAACACACGGAAACTCCTGTAGCGCATCTCAGTAAGGACATGAAAACGGAAGATGTTATCAGGCGTATGCAAGGAGACATCTTCGCACGACTTCCAGGACACGTTGACTGAGTTCGGCTTTCACTCAAACAGAACAATCCCCCAAAATCGAGAAAGATCACTTCTTCCTTCACATAGTAGAAGGAGTGTCCAGCTGAACATAGAGATTCAGATCGCATTACGAGGCATGGTCATCACCGCTGGAGCAGGAGGCATGACTCGAAACATTGACAGGATTATTTGATTCCAAAAATCAGGTCTCACAAGACAAATATTCCAGAGACAGGCAGAAGGATGAAGTGGGAGTGACGTACATCTACACCACTTTCAATGAGAAAGCACTTGAAGCCCTTCACGCCTGCGTCTATCAGCGGCCGCAGATGTGCCTGTCACTACTACGTTAGCTACGATGTTGGCCTCGACACACTGGGTGAAAGCCTACTAGTATTGGTATCTACGTACCTGATTACCAGGTATAACGCCGCCCCAGAAAGCGACGTCAGTCCAGCATTGACCACGGGCAGCAGCACGCTTGTCTTCGAGATGTGCTACCGTAGTCGTGGGAGGAATGGAGTTCAACGGCATGTCAACAACCGTGGTAACGCCGCCAGATGCAGCAGCACGGGTGCCTGTCCAGAAGCCCTCCCAATCTGTACGTCCAGGCTCATTGAGATGTACGTGTGCGCTGTGTCACGAGCAGGACGATATAGAGACAGCGACAGCAGAAGAAACTAACAGCACACACTCTACAAGACCTGGGAGAACGTAGTGATCGCCGGCTTCAACCCACTCGGCGTCCTGGTGAGCTGGAAGGCTGGATCTGCCATGGATGCCAGTGTGGACGTCGGTTATCTTGCCAGAGGGGATATCAACAATAATGGTCGCAGACTGTAACCTGTCACCACCGAGGTAAACGTTCCTTCCCGTGAAGATGCGAGTCGAGGGCATTATTGCTGTTGTCTGCAGATAGCTCAAGTCACGGTAACATCCGTAGTAGTAGGCCACGCTAGCCGCTGGCGTGCGCGAGCCTCGAGGATCTACACATCCTTTTCAGGCAATCGACGTTGTTTGGATACTCAGGCTGTTATGATCATGACCCTGCGTAGCTTCGACAAGTACTACACTCCATGAATTAGCCCAGCAGCACGCTCCTACAATCGGAAATACTGGAGGGATAATACTGTCGCTGTATGTACGCTAGGTGTGCTTTCGAGATTGATCAATTGCGCGACGTTCGGTTACACTACACTAGATTAACACCAAGCCAGAGGTGAGCTCGCTTGATAAGTTCTTCTCGCAGCTCATTCCTAGGCACAGACTTATCTCCACGCCACTGGAACACACTCTCCTTCACAGTGTGTCTGGTACATCAAATGCGGCGCGCGGATCCCAAATATGGCGAGCGACGGGCCGATGGCGGTGTTGACGTTGATGGCTAGTGGGTTTCGGGCTCGCGTGTCGAGAAATATATCAAAAAATCAGCTTCACGCTGTCGCCCACTCGTCTCAACTGCCATAGCCCTGATCGCCCACAAGCGGTGTGATTGGATACTCGAGACTCGCGCGCATGGAACTCGCCCACGTCTCAGCGCCTGCCGCGACAAATGCCTATACGGGATCCACTATTTAACACCGGGCTCTGATGGCCATAAGCCGGGAACATTCTCTGTCTACGTGAGCCCTCTCTATATAACCCGCAGCGGCCATTGATCATCATCCATCTCGACTTTACCCACACCGCTCCACAACATGCCCGACTTTGCGCTCGCACCCGTATATGAAGAAGGCAATTATTCGTCCTCGCATGCTGTGCAGTGCACACTTACGTGTAAGACTTGTCATTCTTCAATTGCTTCGCAGGATTGTCTTCTCTCAACGGTGCGTTATAATTCATCGGCGCAGCGTGTACACCGCTCAATAACCGTTACTAAAGGCGTTTCGCGGACACACCGGCAAAGCCGCCCTATATTCGGAAGTGTGAGTGATCGCGATAGCGTTAGGGTGCTCACAGCAGAGCCTCAATTTCTAGAAGGCTGATCGTATACTGATACGACATTTGCAGGTCGAACGTCACCTTCAACGCGCCATGTATCCTCCTGATGAACACCGGCGCACACACCGTCCAGGAACTTTCGTGCAAAAAGTGTACAGCATACCTCGGGTGGAAGATCGTCCGCGCGCACGAGAAGCCAGAGAAATGGAAGGAGGGCCACCATCTCCTCGAGCTCGCGCTCCTCGAAGAGGTGGCCGTCCAATCGCTCCCAGGAGAAATGCAGCAACAACTAGACACTGTTGTCTCGAGGTTCGCAGCGAGTCTCGACTTCGGTGGCTCTCAGCCAAGGCGGGCGTCGTCGCCGGATCCATATTCGTACTCGCAGCGAGGGAAGCCACTTGGCCCGCGCATTCAGCGGTCCAGTCTCTCGTCGCTGACTCGCAGCAGCGCAACGCTGTAGTTCGAGGTGCAGCACGTTATGATACTATACTATTATTCGTTCGACCACGACCACGACCACGAGCAGCATACATTCACTCGCGACTCACGCATACACTCATTCAATTAGTACTCACGCAATATTTATCTCCCCTCATACTGTACGTACTACTAGTCCACATACCTATCATTATTGTCATTCATCCCATCTCACTGTCCAACACTCAGTAGCCGATGCAATGATCTTCCATTCGTTCCATGCCTAATGATACACGCATAACACATACTATACGATGATCGACCATTACCCAACAAGCGAAATTCAGCAAACCAACAAAAGCCAAGGAGAACATTTTGCCCAAACACCCCTCACTCAAAGACATCGGTAGCGAACCGGCCTTTAGTGGCCCTACCGAACAGCTCAGCCGCCTCCGCGTCGTCGACCTGGCGGTTCACCTTGATGATCTCGGTCAGCTTCGCCTTGATCCCCGCAGCCACCTTGCTCGAGCCGCACACGAAGAACTGTACCAAAGTGAAACTTGTCAGTAAGCACAAAGCGGTGCGCGGCATCAGTGCCACATGAACGACCCGCACCTTAGCTCCCTGGCCGTACGCCTCCGTGATATCTGCCCTGTCGTGCCAGACACGGCTAGAGCGCACCAAAATCAGCATCCCACGTCAACCACGACAGCGGACATTGCCCAGCACTCACTCCTGAACATACTTGCACCCCTCCGACTCCCCCGAGGCTCGCGAGAACGCGGGACGGACATCGATGACGCCCAGCTCCTTCCATTGTTTCAAGTCGCTGTCCGCGTACAAGTAGTCCTCCGAGGGCGCCCGGCAGCCGAAGAACAGCAGGGAGATCGCAACCTCCCGCCCCGCCTCCTTCTGCATCGCCCGCTCCTGCAAGAACCCCCGCATCGGCGCGAGCCCCGACCCCGCGCCGAGCAGCACCAGCGGGATGGTGGGATCCGCCGGCGGGTGGAACTCCGCACTGGAGGGGCGCACTGTCAGCTGCACCTTGTCCCCGGCACGCAGACCCGCGAGGTACGTCGAGGCGACGCCGAGGAACGGCTCCGTGCGCCCAGACATGGCCGCGGCGGCGATGACGCTGATAGTGAGCGAGGCACAGCCCGGGTCGGCGAGCGGCGAAGACGAGATGGAATATTGTCGAATCCGCATGGGCGGCAGCAGCCCGAGGAACGCGCCGACGGACAGCTCGATGCCCGGCGTGCTCTCGAGGATGTCGAGCACGCTGAGTCGCTTGGCGAACACCTCGGAAGAGTACGACGACGAGAGCGCGTTGAGCGCCTCGGTGGCGGCAGGTGTGCTTGCGGTGGACGAGAGGATGCGCAGGTCGCGCGGCGTGGCGGGCTGCGACAGCTCGACGTATCCCCCAATCAGGGTGTACAGACTGAGGGGCTTGTTCATGGGCAGGGAGGTTGGCCCTGCTGACGTGAGAGTAACCTGGTATAATTATCAGTCGGCAAAAACCTGCAGCTAGTATGGGGATATACCCACCTCCTGCTCGGGAGACAGGCCGAAATAAGCGATGGCACGTCGGACGTCCCTGGGAGGGTTCGTCGGCAAGCTAAACAGAGAATCAGCTTCGAGAAACACATCAACTCTCTGAAAGGAACCCACATCGCCAAGTAATCGCCCGCCCGGAACGTCATATTCTCCGGGAGCTTGAACTCTGCCGCACAGTCAGGAGTGTGCGCGTAAATCTACGCGAACCGGCTCACCGAGATGTCTCTTGACAGGCGCATTCGGCGACGTGAGGATCCTGTTCGCGACGACCGTACCCAGGGCAGCATCAGGCTGACGCAGCAATTCCGCACGCGCCGTCGCATGCGCGACCATCTGCACCTGCACTCCCGCAGCCTCCTCCCCAATCTCTGCAGCAGCAATGCGATACTCCTACCACCACACCCACTCTCGCGTCAGCCACACACCCCTCGATCAACCGCACACGCACCTTCGCAAGGATCTCCCACGTCTCCGCCTCCCACTTATCAAACGAGTCAAAGAACTCTCCCCCGCTCGCGTCCGCCTCGCCGCGGGGAACAAGCCGCACGCCGCCATGTGCGTCCAGCAGCTCGTCGCACAGCTTCGGGATGCGCTGATACGTGTGCACCCAGTCGCGGTTCCCGCACCCGAACACGCCGAACTTGACCCCCTCGAGCTCGCGCTCCTTCAGCTGCGAGATCCACGCGACGAAGTGCGCCGCGTTGTCCGTCGGCTGGCCTGCAAGCGCACACATCAGTGCCCGCCGCTGCAAAAGGCGAAGATGGGTAAGGACGCACCTTCAACCGAGGCGGTGACGATCAGCACCGGCCCGTCCGCGGGGATATGCTCCACAGCAGAGTCAAGCGTCCCAATCGTCGCACGGAAGCCTACGTACGCCCAATCAGCTCACCCGACCGCACTGCGTGACACTACGGCACCCACCATGCGCGGCCGCGTCTGACGCAAGCCGCTGCGCAAACGCCTCCGAGCTCCCCGTATTCGAGCCATACAGCACATACAGCGGGCGCTTCTCACGCTTCTCGTCCACCTCGGCGGGGGGTGGGAGGACGACGGACGCGGGGTGCGCAGGCAGCTGCGGCCTGCGCGAGCGCGGGATCGCGTAGATGCGGAAATTGTGCGGCTTGATCGTGAGCGTCTGCTTGAGCTCGAGCTCGTACGACGGGTCCTGCATCGTCAGGTCGAACTTCTGCAAGATGGATACGACCGCGATCTGCACCTCCTGCCACGCGAACGGGCGGCCCTGCGGAGGAGGCGGTGAGCGCGCGGCCTGCGAATGAATGAATGGGGAACGACTCACGATGCAGCCGCGCATACCGAACCCGAATGGCTGCCAGGCGTGCGGCTGGAGACACACAGTCAGTCACCGACGCATCCTCAGCAGAGATGGCACACTTACCGGCAGCGCCTCGAACTTACCATCCAGCATGCGCTCAGGCCGGAACTCGTTCGCCTGCCCAAACCAACCCGCAGTCAGCAACGCACACCGAGAAGATAAAAGCAGGAAAGGGGAAGTGGGAAGCAGGAAAAGGGAGGAAGGGGCACACTAACATCGTCGCCCCACACACGCGGGTCGCGGTGCACGACTATCACATTTACGACGACCGTCGCGCCCTTCTCGACCGCGTACTTGCCGCCGAGCGTCGTGTCCTCCAGGGGCGAGACCGTGCGCATCGGCGCGGACGGGCTCAGCCGCAGCGTCTCGCGCATCACCGCTGTGCCCACGTTAGTCGGCGTTATCACTTTCTCTGCGAAGGAGGGAAGGCGCACCGAGGAGATACGGCAGGCGGTTGAGGTCGTTCGCGGTCATCTGCCGGTCGCCGATCACGCTGTCGATCTCCTCGCGGAGCCTCCGCAGGCACTCGGGGTTTTTGAGGAGGTAGTACGTGATGAATGTCAGCATCCCTGCAGCGCATACAGTGAGTGCCTGGCTATGCGGGGGACGACGCCGCGCTCACCGGATGTCGTCTCGTGGCCTGCGTGGGTCGAACGCGAGTGAGTGCCTTCCTTCTCGCAGCGAGTAGGCGATGGCACGTACCAGCAATGAGGAACGTCAACAGCTGGAGGGGATAGAGTCAGTTTCGCACGCATACACTCCACATCGACAGCACAGAAGCAAAAGCGCACATTGAACTTGATGTTCTCCTCCGGCAGACCCAAGCCCGTCTCCTTATCGCGCCCATAGAGCATCGTATCCAGCACGTCCTTCTTCTCCGTCGGGTGCGCCTTGCGGTTCTCAATAACTGCGCATACAGTTTCAGCTGGATGCTAAGGGCAGCGGGACCGAACGCACTCTCGTCGACGAGCGAGCGCAGCACGCGCATGTCCTCCTCGTACTTGGCGTTCGAGCCGCTCATCATCGCGCGCACGAACGCGGGGCGGTTTGCACGGAGCCCACTTTCGATGAGGAAGTCTGCCATCGCCTTCGCGAAGGGGTGTGGGCCCTCCTGAAGTCGGGAATAGCATCGTGTCAGTACTGATTGAGGATATGCGGATGCACTAGGGCCTTACGCGGTAGAATGAGTTCAGTCTGAGAGCCACCATGTGAGCTTGCCGTGTCTCACGCGTGAGGGACGAGATGAACGCACCTGTAAGACATGGAACACAGACATATAGCATCCATGGTCATGCGCGTATAGTCCTCTGCAGGCTCGATCGCATGGTAGACCCCGAAGCTGGAGAGGAGTATTAAGTATGTGGAACAGATACAAGCATCACAGAAAACGCACCGCTCCCACTTTAGTATGAGCTGCGAGACGATGTCCATCATGTCGTCGAACATACCGCGGGTGGTGACGGGGCTGAACGCCGGCATCAAGAGGCGATCTGCAGGACATTAGCGACATTCGGCACCAGACTGCAAACTGTGCTTAGGCTCCACTCACGCGCGATGTACCAGTTTTGCTCTCCAGGAGCGTGCGCCTGCAAGTCATTAGCCCAACACGTTATGAATCCCACAAAAACGCGACGTACAGTGAACAGACCGTCGCCTACTCCGTTCCGGACCTGATCGAGCGCGCCGATGACTTTTTTGTTGAACCGCTTCTCGTCGGAGACCTCGTCGAGCAACGCGTACGAATTGATGACAATAATCTCCCGGTCTGAGAAGTGGGCATCGGTGAGCAGCGGTGACCGAATCGGGTGGTAACTGACTGATCATCTTGAGCTTGTAGATCTCGCCATACTGCTCTGCGAGGAGACGGAAGGAGCGGATGGGGACTTCGCGCTCGATGCTGGTGACATGTCCGAGGAAGGGGACGGAAGGGGGAGAGGGGATTGGAATCGACATGTTGATGCAGGTAATGACAAGAATTGGGGAGAAGCAACGCGCCCTGTGCGGCCTTATATACAGGGTGTCGAGAAGTTGACCAAGCACGCATTTCGCCGCGCAGCCTTGCTAATCAGATGGAGTGGGCGAACAGAAGGGGATAGCATGGTGCGCCGAATGAGAGTTCAAGGGCATCCTCCAAATTGAGGATGAAGAACATCGGAAGTAAAGCGTGTCGGTCACATGCGGTGTTGATACCGAATAGGGGCGCAGTATGTGACGACGTACGACGGGGAAGGACACACAGGGGCAGGGCTATTACGCCAGACAGTTGCCCACGGAGCGAGCGTCAAGACGATTCGGTCTCAAGCGGGCAGTAACACGTGTGAGTACGTACAATATTGAGCAACCGGAATCAGGCGACTCATCTCCATCTCCCGCACTGTCATTTCCTGGTCAGATCAGCATGCAGCTCCTCCAATTGATTGATATATCTACCCGCCACAGAGGTAAGTACATTGCACGTTGCAGGAAGACGTCGACCTGATTAGGACGGGCGTAGTGCGTCAGGCCTTCAATGAGCTCCAGTTCATTCAGTCGGATCGAAAAGCTAGGCAATGATGTCAACATCCAGTGGTAGCAGTACACGCCAAGTCGCGATCGATATCGCTGCAAACCTTCCCCTTGAATCTCGACGGAGATCTCGTCCCAAAACACGTGCACGTGACCGAGTCCCAGAAATTCGACGACGAAATTGTATTTCAGTGCTGCTTCACGTCTGGGAACGCGCTTCTATGGCCGTAACAAGGAAATACTGTCCATCTCACCGTGGCCAACGAACCAACCCTGGCATCATAGGATACCGTATGGTTCAAGCTCGGCTACTCGTGAGACCATCTCCTGCATCTCAACGTGCGGAATGACATCCTTCGTCTCGTGCAAGACTGGGCCCCACCCATTTCTGCAACGCGTGAGCCCCGGCACGAAAAGGCAGACCGTGGACAAACACGCACCTCCGCGGTAGAACTAGTAGAACGACGAAGGCAGCTCTTCTATCAAGTTCTTCAACTTCGCAAGGGCACCTCCAGGCAGGAGCGCGCTCAGCATGCTGGAATGACAGCTCTCGCACTGCGCGTTCTTCACCAAGTCCTTAAGGAACCCTGTTGCGCACACGACCTCTCTCGTCGGGACCTCCATCAGCTCGGCCGCGCAGCCTCCACATATATTGCTTCCACCACACCGGCTGGCCATTCTTCCGCGTCATGCATTAGCAAGTACCCAGGCTGGTAAGCACGCTCGGATGGGCAAGACACGCCACCGCCCCGCGCGCGCGCTCCCGGTGCAAACTCAGGAGCATATGATAATCATACTCCGACACATCCTTGAACTCCTCGTAGTTCGGCCAATCCACAGGAAACCTGAGCGCGTGCGCCGCCGCCTCCCGCGCGAGGTCCTCCAGCCCGTACCGCAGCGCGACCGCGTACACACGCACGGGCTCGTGGGCGAGGAAACGGGGGGCGGCGAGCATCCGGCGCAGCGCATGCAGGACCTTGGGCATCTCGTACCGCGCCGCCGCGGCGCACGCGTCTAGCCCGTCGTCGAGGTCGCACAACGCCGGCTCGGGCACGGGGTAGATGAGCCGCAGGAGCGTCTCGATCGTCGCATCCGACTCGTCCAGGGCCACGACTGCGGGGTCGAGTACGGAGGAATCCTTGCTCGCCAGCTGGCGGCAAGGTACGCGGACCGGGAGGTGAGGAGGGCTCGCGAGACTTTGAAGCGCGTAGGGAAGGGCATTTCGATTATGAGGTCGGCATCGGGGGCGTTGAATGGTTCTGGCGCTGTGAGGCGCACGCAGACGAAGACGACGGAAGGCGAGCGTGCGCGGCGAGAACGCGTTTAAACCATTGCTGCTTATACGTGGAAGGTTTGAAACGTGTGAGCGTTGAGCTAGCAACGATCACGCTGGGTTTATATGCGAGAGATGGAGGACTTTCGCCTATCGCTGGTCGTGGAAAGGAGACAGGTGGAGAATACTGAGCGTATGGTGTCGGCGGTGGCGAGCTTCAGCGAACTCCGCCAAAGCGTACCCTCATGTCATGCGTAACACATCACGTGAAACGTCACAGCGCGTAGCACTTTCGTCACAAACAATATATATTCGTAGGGTAGCGGTTGAACAAAGGGATATACTACACAGAGACCTCGGTTAAACAGCCCTTCAAATTCAAATGCCGGAACTCGAAAACACGTTAGAAATTCCCCGTACAACGCGATATTTCGATCTAGGTCCGTAAATATCCCAAGCCAGTCCGACCAACGTTCACCTAGACAACGTTAACAGTAATATTCTGGATCCCCCAATACGGGACCGACTGATTCTGCAAAACACACACCACGCTCAGCAACTCCACATCAGTTCAGAATCAGAATCAAGACGCACCCCGACAAGCTCGAACTGCGAGATCTCCAGCAGCGCTGCGCCGGAGTAAGACGCAGGGACCTGCACGGCGAAGTTCTCGTGATACGTGAGCCACGGTGCCTCGGGGTTGACCGTCGGTGTGAACGGGCCCTGGTACAGCACCACGCCGAGGCCGTCGTAGTACGGGTTGTAGCCCGAACACCCACTCACGGGGCACTGCTGCATCGCAATGACCAGCGCGACCTGGTTGAACCCGAGCATCGGCGGCTGTCACGAAGCGATATTAAACACATGTCGACGTATCGAAAACAGAGAGGAAACGCACGCTTTGCGAGACGGTTACGTTCAGCGGGCTGCCCACGGTCAGGTTGCTCCCAGCCGCGGGTATGCCGATCCACGCGGTCTGTGCGAAGGCGGAGGCAATGAAGGCGGCGACGGTGAACAACGACTTCATGTTTGGTACAATGAGGCAGTGTGAGATCCCATGCGTCAGTCGGGGAGAATTCTTAGGACTCTATTAAATGAGAGTCTTATATCTGTCCAGTCGCGATGCGGTCAGGCACGTCCGGTCTGTCTGCAGAGGTACGCAATGCATCCGACGCCGCTGAATAGGCTATTGAAATGTAACGACAGGTCAGGTGCTCGAGGCTAGCCAAACGGTCATAAAAGACCATGCCAGCGGCATTGCGAAGAAAGGGACTAGGCTAGAGCGAGCCCAAGTATTCTCGTCCACTGCGAAAAGCTTGTTGCCGTTCTACGGCAGAGGGAATGTCTCATCAGAGAATTATTCCAGCCACACCCACAGATTCGGCGAGGAAATCCAAAGCGATGCATAGACGATGATGAGACTGAGGCAGCACCAAATATCAGGACGACATTACAGCGTCGAGGTTCGACGGTCCCCAGCACCGGAGCTTCAACAGCTAGTTTTCGAATTCGACAGAGTCCGAATCGGAGCCATCTTCAGTGCCGTGAAGACCGGGTATAGCAAGCTCGTAGATGTGTGCGCAATAATTGGGTATGTACGTCAAAGTTCCAGCGGAGCAGATTCATCGGACGGTGTTTGCAGCGGACTCACGTAGCATCAAACGTGGCAGATGACCAACCAAAAGAAAACACGCGGTAGCGAGCGCTACAGCGCAGAGTTGGGTGCATGGGATTTGCGTCTTCATAGACAATGTACAGTAGACCGGAATTTTCGAGCACGGAGCTGTGGGTGGTGGGAGGTCGACGTCGACTCGGCGAAAAGATTCCCATTCAGGATAACGTGAGTCTGTCACAAATCACGGGATGGTGTCACGACGCGCAATCACCCCAGCCGCATAAGGGAATCGGGATTCCTCCGGATGGAGGATAGATCTCCTCGGCTCCATCCGGAGCTGGATGGAGATTGTACCTCTGCATGGAGATGCCAGCTACAGACAGAGAGAGCTAAAGGCCCAAAGCAAGCAGATGTATCTAGACAGCATTGATATCTCTTCCTACATGCTCTATGAGTATTTTCTGAGAATATCCAACAACTCGAGCCTGTCCCTGGTGCTCGCGAGTATGTCCCACGAGCCACGTGCTGTCTCCATCCAGCTCCATGCAGAGATGTGATCTCCATCCGGCACGGCACGGAGACGGCCTGCTCCGTATGATGGGGGGGATTTCCATCACTCCGGGGCTCCGTCCGCTACCATATGGAGCCTATGGAGCTATCCCAAGTTCCTGATGCGCCCCTCCAAAGCAAGGGCATCGTGTTGGTTTTGACGGTGCCATGCATTGGCCTGCAGAGAGGATCCTTCATCAGTTTGAACTTGTCCCTCCGAACCCGGATGAAAATGAGTTTCACGGGCCTTATCTATAAGATATGATCGTGCTTGGAATCGTCGCCATGTGCCACACTCATACCTGACAGGGGCAGTTTAGCTGAATCGCGACAATTATGTCTCCTTTGAGCTTATTGAGGTTATCGCTGGCGAACGTGCACGTTGAAAAAATTACCGCTGCACTAAATTCACAGGTACATACGTACTCAGAAGAGAAACATTGAGATTGCTAGCTGTAGAACAGCGTCATCAAGCTCTTTTCTTTGGTCCCAGTTTATTGCCCTCGAGGCCCTTTGATAAAAAAAATAGCTAACTACTTTTTTAAAATTATGCCTGCACATGGAGTGATGGAGGATTTGGTAAGATATGACACGCCTGCAAGCACACATCCGACACCCTCGGCGAGTGAACGCTAGAGACTAGGATCTAAACCTGCTGCCCTTATGAGTGGTAATATGTACCCCTGGGCTTTAACCTCTTGCGGCAGTCAGGGATCGATCTGGTGGTCCCCCACCAGCCGTCAAAACTCACTTAATCTCTAGAGAGGGGATGTGCTGCCAGGCTGCCAGTCTGTATGGTAGAACTGCGACGTAGGAAGATAGTAAAAGAAAGTGTGTGGTAGGAGAGTGCAGGCCTGTGGAGTGTGATTGTTAACGTTCTATGCAGTCAGAAAGCATCCCTAGCTTACTACTTCCCTGGAGATGCCTACTAGTGGAGATCCTGCCATGTTCCCAAGTTAAAAATTGCTGGGAGCACGTTCCATAGGAATTCCCGTCTTCTGAGACCGCCTGAGTACAACAACTGCTTGCATTCTTGACACAGCTGTCCGCCGATTATATTATCCACCTGCGCCTCCAGGCATGATAGAGTGTCGCAATGAATATGTTCGTTGTATGCATTGCGCCAATGTTTAAAGTACGTTTGAAGAGCCTCGGCGCATACCGGTGAAGTCAAACACCGTGGTCTGCTCTCGAAGCATAGATGCGGCACTCCAGCACTCACCACGAAGGAGAACACTGGAGCGCCTCGCATACATTTCTCGAGATCTGTTACGCTTAGCCGCTCCAGAACCCCACTGGAATGAGGGTAGTATCCTTGGAGTAATGTGGGTGGTCCGAAGATGCAGCACAAGTATAGCGCTGCGGGCATCATGGAAGAAATTCCGATACGGTGGACCAGATTAACGGCAGTGATGACCTCCGTCTCCTTAATGCGCAAAGTCTGGCTACTGATGTGACGCACGGCGATGCCATTTGCCACATTCGTCTCACCCCAAATGAGCTTTTCCCACTCAGCTAAATTGGATGTAAGGACAGTTTTGATCCGGGCAACTTCGTCGCAAAGGAGTGTGTCGATCTCGTATTTGTGAGAAAGGCGCACAACAGCCGCCACTTCTGTGAAGTCCAATTGCTCCTCGCGCCTGGAAAACAAACTGAAACAGGTATTGTGAGTCTCAAGTTCAAGTTGCAGATGAAGAGAAAGACTTATGCGCCGTCGTTGTAGAGCATCTCCAATAGATATTTAAGATCTGTTGGGGCATCTGAAATCTCGACGGATGGACATCCGAATATTCGTCACTGGACAGCAGGCTGAGGGAGTGTAAAAAAATCCTTAAAAAAATCCGAATGCCGTGAAAGCACTCCTCTGTGAACTCGGAAGGCAGCTCGTCCTGCAACGAGGACAATGTTCCTGTCAGCAAAGAAGAACACCTCGTCCTGCTGCAACCCATCCGTAGACACTTCCTCTACTTCTGCCCTCTGCAAGTCCCCCTGCAGGTGAAACTCCGAATGGTTTTGCGCGATGCCTTGAGACCACGGGAAAACATGTGTAGCCACACGAAAGTCTCTTACATCCAGAAGAAATTTCATCATCACAAACAATAGTATCAGAGCCAGCGTGCGAACCAGCATCACCTTGAAGAAAAAAAGGGACAACATGGTGGGGAGAGTAGGAGAAAGAATCTGAAAATTCTCACTCCCACATCGCTGTAGGCGGATCAGAAGTTTGACACAATGAAAGCTTAGAGAAGCGCCTTCGGAGGAGCACGGTATAAGCGCAAGAAACTGCAAAGAGTTGTTTTGATAGTCATAGCATAGTATTCCGGAGGAAAGGACATTTATGATGTGAAAAACAAGAATTAGTGTATACCCAGAGCACAGGGAAGTAAGCACGTTGTAGAGATCAGAAAAATCATCAGGAGCGCACTTCAATACAAAGTTTAAATCCATGACCTATCTGCGACGATTCGCAACACAGAGCAAAACCACGAAAGGGATGACCACGAACACATGAGTGCAGAAATCGGTAATATTGGCACGGGTGTCAACCTCACGAAAACTGATATAGGTTCAGCAGACATTATGCCATTTGTCGTATGGGCACAGAACAAGTGAAATAGGACCATTGACTGCATGGATGAGACCATAGACGTGCTCATGCGCTCATGAACGAGTTCGAAGACAGCCAGCTAGAGCAGATCGGAGTGAAAGTGAGTAGAGGCTAGTAGACGACATGCAGGCTGAGGATCACTGACAGTACTTCTCCTGTAATAGGCAAATATTGCTCATACCCATGGAACAAATAGTTATAGCACGTTAAGGCTGCTCGATGAGGTGTTGCAGACGATAGAGAGACCGCCGACGATGACTCGGACTCAATCCTCCCGAACAAGCTCAACCGGTTTATGTAAGAGGAACAGGGCGCCACTGACCACCCACTCCTCAGACCTTTCGCTGAGGCACACAGTTCATGGGCATTGCAATATCGGACGGTCTCCAGCAAGACGAGGAGTTCTGGTTGCACGACGGCAACGCTGTCCTCATTTTGCGGCGCATTGCCGTCCACCTAGTCTGCTTTCAAATCAGGGTGCTTCACCGTAGTACACGATTTCGGAGTTACATAAGCAACTTGATCTCCGAAACACTTCGAGTAGATCTGGTGTAACGCGACGCGTCGGCCTCCGCAAGACAACACCCTCTGCGTTGCGTGAATTTTCCAATAATTATACATTCCACCATCCTCATAATGTCAGAATGACTTTTATATTCATTGTGCCACGCTCGTTTCGATTCAGTTCACCTGAGGGACTCACACTGTGCCGGCAAATACTCGCGAGATCTCTACCTTATGATTCACACCACTATCAACTCGAAGGTGTCTGCAAGGCATTAGATGGCAAGTAGACAATGCAATCCTCTTGTGCAGGAGGTGCAGTCCAGGTCGGAATGACATCTTGAAGCACATCGCAAGAAGGTGATGTTGAGCCTGGCAGCTGTGGATGAGGAAGTGAGGCTGTCTGAGTAGGGCAGGTTGAATTTTGTAGTTGAGCATCATGAGAAATGTAGCGAGGAACTGGCGTCAAGGGTGGACCATCGACAGGACTGTGGAATGGGAACATCTTTGCCTTGGGAAAGGTGAGCGCGTCTTGACGCGACGCGACGACCCACCGTTTCGGTCAGGAACCCTCGGCCGGCATTATGGTCGGATCAACGGCATCTCTTCGGCATCCGCGTTCACGAGTGAAATCCTGTACTACGGTTAAGGGGGCGCGTTTGAAAGCAGACCTATATCAGTCCGTCCCTCCAACCTCTCATAGGACTGATTTTGTAGTCTGGCTTTGGGAGACTACCGTCCACCAGAGTGTGCTCTCCAGACAATCCGATGTCATTCGGGATCTCGCAGTGCCCCAGCCTGCCATGGAGGAGATTGTCTCTGTCGAGTCGTCCACCTGCCCTAGTCTCGCGTCGATCTGCCGTATTTGTTGCAAGTGCTATATGATGGCACACGGTATGTTTCAGATTTGAATGTTACGTTGACCTTGTACGACACTGTGATGTGGTTTTATCTCGGCCGCGAGGAACATCGATATCTGCGGTTCGAGGAGGTCGCAATGCTCGTCTACCTCGCTCAGAAGTATCGAGGATGCAAAACATCGACATATTACATGTTGTATCATCCTTGAAGATACCTGTGAGACTAGAACCTCAATACTACCAAAACCAAGGTAAGATACAATACGACAAACGCGGATACACTAGGTGAATTCTCGTGTACTACCGTGACTGTATACTCCTCGTATTTACACTGCACTCACTGCATTCACCGCTACATTGATCATATCTTTCAGAGAAGCTGTTGACACGGTGAGAGTATTGGCAGGTAAGAAGCCGATGTGTAGTAGCCTGAGTGTGCACTCATGAACTTGAATTTTGTCCGTGGCAGCGATGGCATGTACATTGCCTTGCGACTAATTGGAGCTCATGTAGTCTCCCGATCGAAGGCAGATGGTAGACTCTCTGCTCCAGCGTTAACCTTCGTGTCCATTGCGCGAAAATCGACTGCCGACACCATAGCGTGCATCTCGCATAAGGAGGACCATTTGAACATGCCACCGTATGTGCACTCTTGCATGCTACAAACCGATAGTGTTCACGCCGTGCAGGCGATGTGCTTCCGTGCGAGTGGGAAGAATTGCCGAGCAGTGCGATTGGGGCCGCGTGAGTAATGTATTGTGCATCCATTCATTGTGGTCGTTCTTCATTCCGTTGGTGATAAGTAGTTTTGTTTGCTTCCCGACTACTTTTTTCGAGATGCCATCTCTGCCCCATCTCAGTCCCATGTACTCAAAACTCGACCCTCTGTAACCGTGCAACCTTAGCTGCTGTGCGTTCCGGTAACCACGGTAAGAATTTCCGAGGATGAACGTCTCGCGAGACGTACTGGCACGACCGCTACGACGGCTACCTCTACGTGAAGGCGGAGGCAACGAGAGTAGCGACGGCTAAAATGGCTTTCATCTCGAATGACAGTCAAGAGAGGTATCCGCATGAATCGTCCGAGGAAGTCTTGCAGGATGGAGGACCTGAGGACTCGACGAGCCTCTTATATGCGCATAGCAGCAGGCAGGACCGCCTCGGTACCAGTAATAACATGTATGCTTCGGGCGTTATTTTATGGGAGGTCGCAGCGTGGAGCCTGCCAGACGGCCAGCAATCCTCACCATGAAAACCAAGGTCCATGTCTATAAGTCTGCATGCCTATGGCGTGCGTAGCGGACATTGCGGTTGACGTAGTAGATCAGGCCTGAGGCCTCAGGAACAATAGATTGGCTGTCGCCTGCGCAAACTGCAGCCGAGTTGAATCCCAAGGGAGTCGTCGTGAGACGTCCAGGCCGCAGCGGGTAGGCTATGCATGCAAATATTCCAGGGAAAATGTCGATGCTCCCGACACCTGCGCAGCGCACACAGCTACCCAGTGGGATGAAAGAACTGTCAGGGCGCCTTCGACGCTGCGGGACCGGGGAAGAACTCCTGCTGTTACACCTGCAACATTTTGACTCTGACACCTGAGTCCGGCCTGAACCGGGCTACCAGGGTGTCTGTAGATACGCGAGAACGGAAGCTGCGGCAAGATGCCTTAGGATATATGCACTCGAGACTCACCACCGGACTGTACTTGCTCCTTTAGCAAGGGTTCGAGACGCAGGATGCGCGACAAGCGACTCAACCATTTCCCCAGGGGTCATACACCTTCCTCCTGGAAAATCGGACATGGCAGCTCAGCGAAACGTACACGAGGAACACTTTGGTTGAGAAACGTACGTGTACAAGACCCAGATCTCAAACATTCCGGTCAGCGTTGTACCGTGCATATCACGTAGTATACAACTCTACGGAGAAAAGATACAAATACAAAGAAATGGCATAAATTGAGAACGACGACGCTTTAACGACGCCCGTAGGTCAACAGAAAATCGTGAACATCGAAACAGTTAAAAATTTTAACAACCCGCGTTGAAGCGGGCACGGTTCTTCCTCTCCCCCTCTTCAGAAATCAAAAAGTGAACGACTCCCACTCGGGCATCCTCGCGACCTTGTACACCTGCCAGGCACCGCCATCGAACCCGCGGCGGAGGACGTACCCGCCGAGGAGCTGCACCTCTCTGAGCGATGGGCACCAGCGGTTCCACGGGATGACGAGATTTTGCAGCTCCTCCTCGACGGAGGTGTATGACGGGTCGAACATGGACGTCGGATACAGGGGCCGCATGCCCCCGTCCTGCACCGGCATCACGTACATCTGCAACGTATGCAGGTGCGGGAGGCGCGTGAGGAACTCAGGGCCTATGCTCACGAGCGTCGTCTGCACACCACGTCCCCGTCAGCGTCACATGTCCAGTTTCTGAGACTCGACACGCACCTCGCTCGGGCCCCCGTGATCGCACACGATCCGCAGGCGGCGCAGCTTGCGGAAGAGCGTCGTGACCGCGTGCAAGATCTCGTCGTCCCACGTCCTAAACTCAACCGCGAGCATCTCGAGGTCCGGCAGCACCTGCGCGACCCCCGCGAGCGCGGTGACGCCGTCCCGCACGCCGTACCCGCACCTGAGTAGCACCAGTGCGTCGATGGGGCGCTCTGGCGTGATCCCGGCCAGGGTCTCGATTGGGCCCGCGTAGTGCCGGAGTTGCGGAAGGCTCTCCGGCGCCCACAGCAGGTGCGGTGCGGCGGCGTGGTACGTCGAGTACGTCGTGATCGTCCGGGCGCGCCGGAGGAACGTGTAGAGCGACGGGTCCGGGAACGTCGACTCCCCGGGGAACGTCGGCTGCACTTCCCCCGCGAGGCTACGCTTGCGCAGCACGTACAGCTGTTCGAGGTGCGGCGGGATCGTGAAATCGTGCAGCTCCTGCTCGAACCCGCTGAAGACGTTCCGAAAGACGTCCGCGGTGGAGTCGATCCGGAGAATCCGGAGGTTCTGCGCGGTGGCGAGCGAGAGCGCGTGCACGATGTCCTCCTCCACCGTCACCGAGCGGTCGCCGTGGTTCTCGGCGATGCGCCGACGCAGGTTGAGCATCGTGAGCTCGGTTATGGGTAACGTCGAGTGGTCGAAAAAGCGAGAACGTGCGCGGTTTGGGAAGACGCAGAGTTCGAGCCGAAGAGTACGCAGTCCCGGTAGCTCGTGGATCAGCGCGAAGTGGCGGTTGTAGAAGATGACGTTATAGAACGTCAGGTTCTGCAAATTCGTGAAGGATGAAATGCGGGTGAACATCTCGTCATAAAGGGGCTGCGACGCAAAGGAGGTCTTGTGCAGTGCATAGTACTGCACCGTGTTGTACAGGCGCACGGTGTCGATGCCGATCAAATCGTTTCGCCACCGATAGGTGCTCGACCCGTCCAAGTGGACTACCCAGCCGTTAAGTGCAGGAGGGACGAAGGAGAATCCTATCTTCAATGAGTGTGTGACAGCATCCATTCCTTGATTCGTGTCCCATGCGGGGAGGTCCTGAGCGAACTCCTCCGGCTTATGCCAGGTAACGTCGCGATGGAGGGCGCGGACAGTGAGAGCGCAAAAGGTCTTGCATGTCAAGAGAACGTTGTAGAGGTCTGCTGAACTGGGCAGCCACTCGAAGATCTCCATCCATATTTCGGCAGGAACATCATCAGGGCCCCACGGGGCATCCATCATCGACACGCCTCTGGAGGGCATTGCGTGTGAACGGAGCTTCTTGAACAGACGTAGATAATCTGAAAGCACTGATAAGATATTGCACTGAGCGGCATAACGAGACACAAAACCTGACACTGACCCTAAGAATTGACAGATTGGCCCGAACTGAAGTAAAGCCGTCTATATATGCTCCAAAAAAAGACAGATACTCAGTGCAAGATGCCTCTCGCGCGCGCTGAAGGGGAGTCAAGGAGTCAGAGGATGAAGGCAGAAGGTGGAGGAAGGGACAAAGAGCGAAAGTTAGCTTGAGAGACTAGTGATGACCGAGGCCGGTGTACGTGACCCCCACGGGCGCTTCTCTGAGCTCACGCCGGCGCGCTGGCCGACGCCACCTCAAGTCCACCATTCACCAAATGTTCACGTCGACCGCTGCTGAAGCGCTGATCAGCGTACATGCGTATGTTTCTAGACTACAGCATAAGATTAGTTTATGACGAGATGACTGGAAGTACCAAGTCCCGTTCTTTCGTGCGCACAGATTCACAGTAAACAGACATTGAATTCTGGGATTACGGTGGGACGGACAAGCCGACGGAGATCGAGAAGTACAAGTTCAGCGAAATGGCTGCGGATATTATTTACGTGCTTGACGCTGAGAACGTCGCGCCCGGGAGGGCGGTCGCGGTCGGGTATGACTGGTATGTCTCGTTGCTATCGCCTTTCCTATCAGTGATCACTCATGAGTAGGGGCGGCGGGCGTACAGTACCTACCGTATCGCAAATTACTACGCCGAACCCTTCCTCGGTTTTGCGTTTCTTTCGGTGGGATGTTCTCCGTTGTCGACCTCGGGGACGTATACCTAATTTCTTGAACCTTTCAAAGGCCTCTTTGGCTATGAGCTTTTCAGGTACGTGTCCCTTTGCCAATCGAATGCGCTGTTGCTGATCGACGGATAATCTAACAGGTTCTTGTCCGAGGAGCGCAGATAGGATCATCGACGAACATGTGGGTGCTATGCGCTTCAACACGACTTCTCCCCGTCTGATCCCGCAACGGACTTGGCGCCGGCCGGCGAGCTCAGGGCATTGGTCCTTGCAGAGCGAGCGCTTCCGCCGATATCTCACCTCACGGAGGCTGTAAGCACGTTTTTCTCCTATTCGCACTGTCTTGATGCCCAGTATCCCGCCCAAACATGACAAGAAGCACATGGAGGATGCTATCCGCGAGCATCGCTGGCGCACTCAACTGATACAAAGCGATGATGTCCGCTCTCAATGCTGAAGATAACAAACGTACTTTCGGTTTACTTGTTTCTTGGGCATCAATTCCATACGCGTCGTACTATAGAAATCTCGCAGGAGTACTACACCGTGCAGCAACCGACAATCTTCGGCGCGGACTATTGAGTGCAACCAGCGAAGCCTGACGAGGTTAACCGCCAGTTGTTGGCAAGGATCGATGGGATTGCGGAGGTGAGGCCTGAAACACAGATATGAATGGAGGAGTCCTTACTGCGTTTTTATTGTTCGTCTGTTCAGTTGGCCGGGTACGGTTAAAATCTATGAGTGCTCCTCCTAGACCACGGTGCCAGTGCCAAAGACTTTGGCCATCTCTCCTCCGATCAGTATAAGCGTTCCGACCCTTGGTTTCCAAAGATGAACAAAATCATCGGATCCCCAGAAGCGCATGTCCATGTGCTCGAAATTTCAAGTGATGTCTTCAGAGTGCGGGATGTGTTGCATAGGGCCCCTCTACGTCTTCCTATGGATATTATCCCTTCGGGTCTTGGACTACGCGGAGTACTGGGTGCGGTTGACCGTCACCCGCAAAGTTAATATTTATGTCATCGACAAAACTGAAGAGACACCTTACGTCTCAGTCAAAGTTACCGGCCATCCACACTTTCCCCTCTGCGGAATAATTTTTCCAGACGAAGTCACATGATCAAGGTATGTAGAGCAAACGATTATATGTTTGCCCTGTTCAATTATGTCCCTCCCTACTTTCCCTACTCTCGGCTTGGCACTCGTCGTGATCTTCGGCATTATGTAAAAGATGTGCCAAAAATATCTCGACACTTTGCATGCAAGATCATGCATGCATTCTTCATAGGAAAGGTTCCAGTGTTCTTCGGGGCATGAGTAGCTTTCAAACCATCCAAAATTCAAGCAAAATGAGGGAAGCCCGCATCCACAGAGCAGAGCGCGAGCAACCGCAAACTCCGATCTAGCCGAGATGCGGGTCTAAAATAAGGCACCTGCCGAGGCGATCAAAGTAGGGAAATTAGGGAGGGACATAATTGAACAGGGCAGTTTTCCCGATGTTTACTTGATGTCTCCGGGAAACAGGCTGGAGCAACTATCTGATGCATATGGCACGTACCGACTCTCCTACACCTGGTTTGACGCGGGGGCGCTGTTCACTGCCTTTGATGGCCCGCAGCAGGAAGAGCCACCACGGCACATGATTCAAGAGAACGTCATCGAACGGCCGGGTGCATGTATGGGACGCGCACGACAAAACACCAAGGCTGGCGGAGTGGATGGAAGCATTCCGTCCGGGAGACGGGCTGCATGTCTAATCCCGCGTGTTTCCGGGCTGGAAACATAATGTGAAGTCTGTGAGAGTGGACGCTTTCTGCGCTTAGGTATAATTCCATTGCTTTCAATTGCTGTCTAAATATCTAGAGAACAGCATCAGGTTGTACATTCGCATTCCGACTCGAGTCTAATGTTTTGAATATTTCTGGGGATGATGATTACTTACGACATTAACACTAGCAGCGACTTGCAATTAACGTGTACATGTACTTCCCCAACTATTCTCGAACGTGACTTGATGAGCCAAAATGCTATAGTAGCAAGGTTCGTCATCTCTTTCCGATGAAATATGTTTCATACCTCAGGTTTTCTGACACACTCTGCGGACTATGGACTCTCCATGTGCAGTTTCTGGGTAATCGTACCGTACAAGTAGGCGGAGATTCGTACTAGCTAGCGTTACGCGTACAACTGTGTGCAAGTAGTACTGATAGTGGTGACACACGAGGACGCGACGGTCACGTGTTAAAGGTCACGTCGCAAAGTCTTATATGATCACTCGAACGTCGAACCAGCGTAAGAACATAGACGTGAGCAATAACTCTGTGCTTGACTAGAACTGGACTAAATTGTTACTAACCCAGAGTCCTCGTGCTTGTACTGAGTACAACGGAACATGGACAAGCCTACGTTCATGCAGAAAGATGGCAGGATGGTGTGTGATACATTCTATAACGTTCTTCTTTCCCTGACCTTGAAAAGGCCGCGTCCCACCAATACGATCCATGTAATGCCATATCTGGCACCTCGTCCACCAATTTTAGTCCGATGATCTCGGTGAAGACGAAGCATCGTTCGATCACTGACCTCCCAATCGACATCCTGATCGAAATATTCAAGTATATTTATTCTTTCTCACAAATACTCGAAGAACATGCCGAGTGGCCCTACCAGGATAATTCGTCAGACTCGCACCTCAAACTTGTATCCACACGCTGGGATGAACGTGTCGATCTCCGCGGATCGACGCTCTTCCCTGATGCGCTCGCCTCTGTGTGCCGCCTGTGGCGGGACGCCCTCCAGCTTGTCTCTGTGTTCTGGACACGCGTCGTCGTCTTTGTCGACGACGATCCTACCCCAATGTCTATGCTAGGCTCTCGCCTCGAGCTGTCCGCCAGCCATCCTCTCCACATCACTATAATGCGTCGCCCGACCTCACACCGGGATGCTGACCCCCTCGAAAGGCGGCGCGTTTCTGACACAATGTGTCTCCTCTATCCGCATATCTCACGATGGTACCGCTTCCATATCAACGTTCTGCATGCATCCTCGCTCCCGGTCCCACACGTCGAATTGCAAGGAGATGCATTATGCCTCTTCGAAAGGCGCTTCGAATCCCAAATCGACGAGATTCAGTATGATGTCGCCGACTGGATGCCACGTTTCAACGCTCCCGCCCTCACCGAGTTACGCATGGACGGTCTGACATTCCGCCGCGCGTTCCTCTTCTCACCAGCGTCCATCTCCCACGTACAAGAGCTTTCTATAACGCGATACGCCCGAGGTCATCGCTTGCTGTTCACCTTTCGCAATCTCATCGACTGCCTGTGTGCACTACCCAACCTTACGTGGCTGGACCTCGTTGACTTGGATATCTTGCCGGAGGTGGGCACTGGACCTATCCTAGGGCTCTCGCGATGTCGCCCAAGATACTGCAAGTTCGAACTGCTGTCCAGCGCGATTACGCGTTTGCTTTCCCTTTGCCTCCAGAACGCCATCTATGACCTGTCGCTCACACAGTGCACCATCCCTCACAGGATAGATCTCAGTAGCGTGGGTGATCTACGCCTGCAGAATATCGACCATGACCAGGACCTCGAGCCACTTTTGCTCAATTGGGACTCGGTTCACCTGTGTGTGCACTCGTGTCCGGGCTTTGGCGCTTCCCTTCTGAGTGCCATGGCGTACGAGATCGACGGGCACGATAATTGGCTATGTCCACGGCTGACAATCCTCGAGCTGCTCGATTGCACCAACTTCACGAGCGCAGATATGCGTGCGATGGTTCAGGCGCGCCACAAAGCCCACGCGGAAAGTGGCTTTGCTGATGATTTTGACGATGAATTCACCGTTACATCTCTTACTCATCTAACGGTCGTCGGCGATATGGAGCTTTGGTTGGCGGACAGGGAATGGCTTGACCAGAATGTTGACTATGTGTCGTGGAATGGGTGGTGTGGTGGTTACGCGCGTCAGACTGTGTATCACAGGTCATGAATGTAAGCCTATATGAGTCTTATTTGGTATGTTCTGATTTAGTTCAGCATGACGTAGGAATACCAATGTGCCTGGAGGCTTACTGTAGCTGCCAGTGGCGAGAGGCTTGTCTTCCCACACTTAAGACTAGTGGGTGAATAGTAACACATCCTTTCCTCCGCTGCACAGAAGCTCACAGGTGAATCTTAGGATTGTGTATTTGTAAGTATTGTGTGTGTCGTCACTGATGAGGGCAGACGCTTGAGAGCGATATCTGAGACCGCGTGCGATAGCTATGGCTTTCCATCTTGAAGCCATCTTCCTCTCAAATCTCATCCCGTGAACCTTGTATATGGTAAGTCACAATCTAGCGTGCAATCGATATCAACGTTTGATGGTTGACCCTGATGACAATGTTCTGGCAAATCGCAGGCTACAGCGCTCACCATTGGGAAGAGTCCCGACTCACGCTGCATTACACACATCTTCAACGACAACAGACAACGGAACGATCAATGACGGCCCCGCTGAAACTCATTGAAATATTCAAGCACCTTTTTTCTTCGCATGCAAGTATAGCAAGATGCAGACCTCTGCTTCCCTGCACTCTTCCGATCGACAGGAAGCGATATCGCTCCGCCGGCATCGCGAAGCTCTACTTCTACGCATCTGGACTCACTGATCTCCACATCGACTCCGCCGTTCATTTCTCTTGATACCTCAGTCTATTGCCTCTGTCAAGCGACTTGTCATCACGCACTATGCACCAGGTGCTCAATCACGTATGTTATTCACCGTACGCGTCCTCGCCGAGTGTGTCAGTGCTCTCCTGGAAAACCTTTCTCTCGTCCACCTCGATATATCTTCATCGGCCGGCGAAGCGCTTCCCCAGGAACGGCTAACATGCCACGCCTTTTCCTTCGGCCTTGAAGCTCTCTGGCGAGGTCCTGGGGTCACTCTTTGACCGACTCGGGATGGAAAACCTTGAGGAACTCAACCTGATACAGCGCACCATCCATGACTGGATCGCACTCAGCTATGCTTTAACCTGTACCCGAAGGACATCCAGGCTGCGCAACACATTGCACCAATCCTTCTCGACCGGGAGGTGCTCTTTCTTACTGTGCAAGGGAGTCCGAGCTTCGATGCGGGCCTTCTACCTTCACAACTTTACGGGCGGAGATATGCGCAGGAGGATGGAGGCCCGTTACATGGCACGCGCTGAGACGGGATTTGTCGACGACAAATCCTGCACGGTGTCGTCTGTCAAGCATCTCGCGGTCTATGGCGAGCCCGAGCCCGCACCCGAAGACAGGCAATGTTTTTCGACTGCGCTGTTAAGTATGTGCTGCGGAATGGGCGGTCCGGTGGCCAAGCCTCCGTGATATATCACCTTGATTCTTCACGCCACCAGGAAATTGAAGTATTCTTGGCAATCTCATCTGCGATGAATACATCCGATGAAACTCCCTCGGTCGGCGTCATCTCAGTCAGCAGAATGTGTCGGATATAGTCGACGCTCGTCTATGTGTCTCTCGGTATCCTAGGCGTCGCGAAGCTGACTATTGGAGGAGGTCTGTCGGAGGTAGTCTGCCTGTTATTCGCCTGCGCAGAAAATGCCTGTTCCTGGCCCTGGCGCATCTCGGTAGGTGTTCTACTCTGCGAAATATTTCCAGTCTCATCCCATCGAATTAGTCTATTCAGAAACCCGGTTTACGCAGAAACCCCCCCTGCTTTTGGTAATTCCGTGATGGGTCTGAAAAAAAGTCGAAGACGCTCACCTGTCAATGTTTAACAGCGGTCTCCTGGGTCCGCTGTCGAGCTCGGTGAGGGCGCACGCATTGGCCGGGTGCTAGCGTGGGCTGGTGTACCCCATGTCGTTCATCGGGTGCCGCTCATTGCCTACTACGTCGAGTAGTGGTGTCCCATCGTTGTAAAGGTGAGCTGAAAAGGCTTTGTATAAGTGGACATCATGTCGTACAGAGCCAAAGAGATGGTACACACCTAAATTCGGCGACTGGCCATTGCTCGTCTTCTCCAATGACAACGCCGACGCGGTCCACCCTGTGCGACACTGTGAGCAATGAATTAATGACGCGCGGTAGTCGGTGTCAGTGGTTGACGCCGTCATTGGCGCTCATTGACATTTCTTCGATGGTATTTCCGTCTTCGCATTTTTCTCTTCAGCAGTTCCGGGGGAAGGGGGTTTATTTTCCCGCGGGGGGTTTCTGAATAGACTCATCCCATCCCATCCTGCCAGTGGAAATCTTCTTGTTCGGAGGACCCCGTATCACATGCGAGCAAGTAGATCCACTGCCTCGATACCGCAATCCGGAAAATCTAAGCCGGGAAGTCTACTATGCTTTGGAAAATGAATCGATGACATCACAGGCTGGCGCTTCGTGGCTCATTTTCTGTGACTGACACAGGTTCCAGCGTCGTCACGTTCGTAGTAAAATTGTACTGGAGCACACCGCGTGTCCCTGCGGGTCGACTGAAGTAGAGTTCGGTGATAGTGGCGCGCCGTTGTGGGTCGAGTCTCAGCGAATGCCAAGATGTCGCCACTATTCGTGCATCGCGCACACAATGTGGTGAGGCCTCCGTCCATCTGTCCATGTCAATGCTGTCACTGAACCTCAAAATTTCTCGTGGATAGGTAGGCACTGTCCATGCGTAGCACTCTCACAGCCATCTGTCTTCCAAACTCGTCAACATTGCTATCAAGACGGAGCTACGGGGACAGCACCATTCCTGATGGCGCGATGCTGGCCAGCTAGCAGCGTGCGTGGGTGTATTGGCAGAGACTAGTACCGCAAGGTGGACAGACAGTGAGTCAGGACGTCCGAATTCGCAGGAGACGGATCATCTACTTGCCCATATTAGTGCTGGAATGCCACGTTACGACACGGTGGCTTATCCCGCTATCAATTTGAGATAGAAGAGGATAGAACCCAGTGGGAAGGGCTTGGTGAGTTCTTCACCTTCAGCCGCACTTCCTGAGTGCCCTGATTTTCATTAAAACGATCGTGCAAACCAGCTCTTTAGAGTGCGGAAGCAGGCCGAAGGAGCCATTCGAGTTGCAGGATGCAGATTCATCGATGAATTGACATCGATAAGGGGCCACTAAGGGGCACACAATTCGCGACCGTACGACGTGCGTCAACAAGGAGTTTACGGGGAATGGCGAAAAGAGCTCAGAAGCCCACATTGGATGTACCGCAGCCGAGACAGATCTAGTTCGAAAGCGGCGCGGTAAGCATAAGCCCCTGTCCATTCTCTATTCCGCCAAAACCGCGACAGAACCACGGCGTTGAGTTTGCGCAGTGCAATACCGCAAGCTGGAGCGTCGACGAGGAGAACCTCTGTGGCGAAATGACGGGCGCTTAACTATTTGGGGCTAATATTAGCCGTGATCGGACTGTGACGAGGCCCGATATGGCGAACCAAGATGATGAGGAAGAAATGCAAGCGCGAAGTGAGGGGAATGGCGAAAACACCTCATTCGAAATATTCGCCGCGCTCAACAATTTCACTATCATCCGGACGCCAAACTGATAGCTCGGCGTGCCTTGCGAGGCCCCACATTTAAGCTGGTCGATGAGTCCTCTCGTTCATCCTCCTGTTCATCCATCCCTCTCCCCCGCTATGGCGGACGCAAAGGTCAAGCTGGAAGTGTCGTCCCAGTCGGAAGTACCCAACGACTATGATGTCCAAATCCGGTCTGTTTTACACCGTTGTTTCTCTCCCTATCTCTAATCATACAATTGCCAGCTATCGCACCCTCTCCATCCATGTCGACGAGACCATAGACGAGAAAGTGCCGGCAGGCAAGGGTGGTGCTGACCCTGCCTCAGCTATCCGCCAGATTGACGCACACATGATATCCCCTGAGGATGTCTTCAGCCGCTTCTCGACGTCCCCTACGGTCGGTCTCGAGTCTGAGGCCGTCCAACGCAGGCAGAAGTCCGGTGGGAAGAATATCATTTCCCCGCCAAAGACCCAGTACTGGAAGAAGGCGCTGAATTACATCTTCGGCGGTTTCAACTTCCTCATGTGGATCGCGTTCATCGTCACGCTAGTATGTCCCTCCCACCGTCCCCGCTGACAGTAGTGCTGCATCCGTATGCTGTTCAGCTGTCCTACAAGCCGCTCGGTGATCCCAGCCCGCAGGCGTTCAACCTTGGGGTAGCCATTCTCTTGGTACGTCGTGCCCTCGGTCGATCTCCGTCCGTCGGTAACTGACAAGCCGGTTAGCTGTTGGTCATCATCGTGTCTGCAACTTTCTACGCATGGGTCGACTGGCATGCTTCGCGGATCATGAGCTCCATCAAGACCCTCATCGCCGAGGAGGCCCTCGTCGTTCGTGACGGCAAGCAGCAGAGCGTGTCCGCAAAGGATCTCGTCGTGGGCGACCTTGTGCAGCTTCACATGGGCGACCGTGTTCCTGCCGATCTCCGCCTCGTGGTCGCGTCCAGCGACGTTCGCTTTGATCGTGCTCTGTTGACCGGCGAGAGGTAGTGTCAGTTCACTCCCACCGTGACTGCAAACTGACGATTTTGTTAATCAGCGACATGATCCCCGGAACGCTCGACATGACCTCCCCAAACGCGCTCGAGACGCGCAACCTCGCGCTCAGCTCGACCTTCGTCGTCCAAGGCACCTGCACGGGCGTCGTGTTCGCCATCGGCGACAAGTCCGTCATGGGCCGCATCGTCGCGATGTCGGGCGAGACGAAGTTCAAGCTGACGACGGTCCAGAAAGAGGTCTGGTTCTTCACCAAGATCGTCTCGGGCCTCGCACTCGGCCTCTTCGTAATCTCCATCATCGTCTGGGGCGCGTGGCTCAGGAAGAGCTATCCTGGATACGAGACCGCTAGTGGAGCGATCATTAATTCTATCGGCTGCTTGACCGCGTTTGTCCCTCAGGTGCGCTACTTCGGTTTTTGTGGCGGTCCGTGCCGCCCATCGCTCACCGTTATATCAGGGTCTTCCTGTCTGCGTGGCATTGTCGCTCACCATAGTTGCCAAACGCATGGCCAAGCGCAATGTCCTGGTCAAGAACCTTGCTACTATAGAGACATTGGGATGCATGTCTGTGCTATGCTCCGATAAAACTGGTACGCTCACCGTCGGAAAAATGGTCAGTTAGTCCTGTTCCTCTATTCATGCTCTTCTGCTGACACCGCGACAGTCGCTGCAAAACGTCGCCTTCCTTGATAGCCAGCATACGGTAGAGGAGATTCACGAGAAGTTCTCTGCGGAAGAGAAGTCCGATGCGCCTGCTGCCTTCAAGGCTCTCCATATGATCGGCCGTCTGTGCAACGGTGCCAAGTTTGACTCAACCTCTGCGCACCTCCCAGTGGACGAGCGTCCTGTCAAGGGCGATGCCACCGACACCGCCGTCCTCCGCTTCTCCGAGGCACTCTCCATCCCGTCCCTAGACATCGACACTGCTTCCCTCCTGTCTTCCCACGACAAAGTCTTCGAGATCCCGTTCAACTCCAAGAACAAGTGGATGCTCACAGTCGTCCGCTCGCATTCCATAGCGGAGAACCCGCCTGCCGAGAACTGGATGCTCGTCAAGGGCGCGCCTGACGTACTGTTCCCCGCCTGTACTACCATCATGCTGTCCGATGGCTCCGTCGTCCCTCTCAACTCGACGCGCCGCACACAGATCTTCATGCTCCAGGAGAATTGGAGCAGCCAGGGTCAGCGCGTTCTCGCGCTCTGCCGCCGCTCGCTCGCCGATGTCAAGCTAAATATGGATACCATGTCGGCCAACGACGTCGAGGAGCTCATGTATGCGGAACTCCAGGGCCTCACATTGGTGGGCTTGGTCGGCATACGCGACCCTCCGCGCGGGGACGTGCCTGATGCGGTCAGAACCATCCGTCGTGCTGGTGTTCGCGTGGCCATGGTCACTGGGGACTTCAAGTTGACGGCGCTCGCCATCGCTAAGCAGGTCTGTTACAGACCGAGTCATGACGCATCGTGATGCTGACCGTGTCTTATAGGTTGGCATCATCACTACCGAGAAGGTCGATTCGCTTCAGCAGATGCGCACTTCCGACTCTGCACAGCGTTTCATCAGTCTGCCCGCCCCACGAATCAAACCTGGCGAGGACGACCCGATACGTGCGCTCGTCCTCACCGGCGAAGACGTCGAGAGTCTCACGGCAGAAGATTGGAACATGGTCGTTGGTAACTACACGGAGCTCGTCTTCGCTCGTACGACGCCAGAGCAGAAGCTGCGCATCGTGGAGAGCATCAAGGCGCGCGGAGACAACACGGTTGCAGTCACTGGTGACGGTGTGAACGACGCCCCTGCTCTCAGGGCGAGCGATATCGGCGTGGCTATGGGTAGCGGCAGCGATGTCGCCAAGGAAGCTGGTGAGTTTGCGGGTGTTTCAACTACTCAGGCAGTAGCTGAGGCTCTTCCTAGCGGCTATGGTCCTCCTCAATAATGACCTTTCCTCGGTCGTCGTCGCTATCCAGATGGGTCGTCTTGTCTTCGACAACTTGAAGAAGGTCATGATTTACTTAATGCCGGTGAGTCCGTCATAGATGCATTGGCGGTGCGCATATACTGACGAGGCTGTAGGCTGGCACGTACACCGAGTTCATCACGGTGTTCTGCAACGTCTTCCTTGGGATGCAGCTTGCTCTGAGCTCGTACCTTCAGGTTTGCTTCTCTATCACCAACGATGTTGTCATGTCTATCTCGTTGATGTATGAGCAACCCGAGGCCGGTCAGTCTTAGTATGCCCAACATTGTTAAATGTGCTGATCTTGTTGTTTGAAGACCTCATGCTCCGCAAGCCGCGCAATGCACGCACTGATCGTCTCACCGACTGGCGCTTCTTCATTCAGATTTACCTCGTACGTGTTTCGTGACCCCCACATTTATCCCCTCCTAATGCGAGTTATCGACCGCAGTTTATCGGGCTCATGATGTGGCCTTGTGCGATGAGCATGTGGTTCCTGTACATGAACCAGCAAGGCCTGCACTTCTACGACGTCATGCTCGTCTATGACAAGTGGGCCGACGGGTGGCAAGGCAAAACCGCCGCTCAGCTTCAGCAATACGTTTATGTCGGCCAGTGCATCTAGTACGTGCCGTCGCACTTGTCCGTTGTGTGGCTTGTGACTGAGACCACCCGCAGCTACGTGACGATGGTGTTCATGCAGTACGGCGGCCTGCTCTCCGTGCGGAACCGCCGCGTCTCGATTCTGCAGTCAAACCCGCTGTGGGGCCCGCGCCGGAACCTCGTCGTGCCCATGGGCATGATCGGCACCATGCTCATCGCCGTCGTCAATTTGTATGGCCATGGCCTCCAGCATGTTTTCTACACCACGCCGATTCCGGGGATGTACTGGGGCATCCCCTTCGGCTTCGCGTTCGGGATCTTGACCATGGACGAGCTGAGAAAGCTAATTGTAAGGACGTATCCCAAGGTGGGTCTGCTTCCTGCGCATCTGCGTGTGATTATATCTCTGACGCGTGTTGGATATAGTCGATCGTTGCGAAGATGGCTTGGTAACACCGTGTACTTTCATATGCTGACCAGTGACTGGGATTGAGGCTGCACCATGTATGAGATAGAGACTATCTGCTCGTCTTCAATTCTGCGAGGCTGCATATGTATATTATTTGGTATACAAGGGTGGCGTTCGACAGAGCGTCAAAACAATTCACTCTTTGGACAACGCTCTCACCTGCACTGCGCGAAACGTTTCGGGAAAGGCACGATTCCCTCGAAATAGTTTACTCTAGCTCATGCATAGGGCCGGCGCTCGGATTCTACTATGCATCAGGAGTTTTATATGCTATGACATGATGGTATGAAGTGCTTCAAGTTTTTGTCAGTAGTTATTGTCTACCATAGGGCTTCGCCCTCGAGAAACAGGATTCAAATTTTCTTTAAATGTTTGTATGGAGATATTCTGCATTACCATGTTCTGAGATAGTGTACCGCATTGCGGGTGGCCGGCTTTGCCAATCGTGGTGACCGACTTCCTCCGCCAGATTGACAGTCCTGTCACGCGGGGTCACGCGGCCAATCACAGACCATTTACGGTCCCTCCTGCCCATTACTGTACCATTTCGATCTATTCGACAACATGTAGTACTGTCGGAAGGTCTTTGCATGTCACTGCCCCAAAGGGCACCCAAAATGGGGGAAATTGCCTAAAAAGGGTCCGAAATGTCGAAATTTTCGGCCGGTCACGGGTGTCCGGCCGAGTTGTCTACCTGTCGAATCGGTACCATGCTGTCACGCGTCACACTAGGTGTCGAATAGATCGAAACGGTATAATCCGTCCACGCGCGTAGCGCGAGCGCGAGTCCCCAGTCAGCCTTGCTGAACGGAATAAAAACGGTTGTTGAACGCGGGAGGACACCGTACGCGAAGGTCGCGGTGCGTTCGTGAAGATATGATTAATTAGGGAGAGTATATTAGCATCAGGAAAACCCAACGATTCGTTGCTGACTCACTGGCTGTGCATAGGTCAAATGAGGAAGGTGGCGCCTAGCCTCGACGCTCAGCGCTCAGCTCTCAGTTGCAGCTCGTTTCGAACTTACTCTCAACAATATTGCTTTCGAGTATTCTGGTTCCTTATATTCGTGCTTGATCATCTGCTCGCTGTTCACTCGTTCTTTTATTCGCCATCCATCCTCACTCGCTTTCTGATATCTCCTGCCCTAACAAGGTCCTCCGTTGCAATTACGGAATCCAACATATTCTCGTTTACTTCATGATAATTCCACTCGACTTGGACTTCACATTAATCTGAACTTCGGAGAACTTAGCTACTGAACAATTAATCTTGCGGGAATATATCGGCATGGAGTGCCAGAATTGTGAGCTGAAACAACGCCAGTTCTACTGCGAGAGTTGTCTTAGGCAGCAGTACGTTCTAAGCATATGAAATGGTACTTCAACTGACCCCCTAGCAGCTTGTTGTCTTTCCGTCTCCAAACGAATCATCTTGCTACCGATCGGGACGCTCACATTGCCTCGGCGCAGCGTGCACTAGTCACTGTGGTTGACCCTGCCCGACTGATAAGAGCTGACCTTAAGGGCACCGAGGAAAGAGTGCGAGAGTTGTGGGAGGGTGTCGATGAAGTCAGGAAAGTAAACGAAAAGAGTGAGTCGCGAAATTCTCTCGTCCTGGCTGAGGATGTCAGTGGGCATGGGTGTCACGACCTCAGGGTTGTCAGGTGGTGGATGTGTCTGTCATGCAGTAACTCCAACCCGTATTTCCCAAGTGGGTAGGGAATCCTGAACATGTTCGTAAATCATCGAAATCCCCAACTTTGAAGCGGAAGATGTGGGCCCTCCTCTGCGGTATTTCAAGGTTGTTTTCAGAATTTCCACTCAATCTTGAGTCGTTGAGGTTTCCCTATCGGTTCGGAAATGCTATGAGAATTTCGCAGTACAAAACCCTTTTGTATATGAACACAAGCTGGCATACCATTCTTCGTGCCCTTTGATGCAATATGACTTGCATGGCTGCGGTTGATATACCTCGCCCTTTCGCGTCCCTTCTGACGTCTCTGAGAAAATTGAATCTGATTCTTTTGAATATCGTAGCACGAGAACGGCTAAGGAATCGTCGCAGTACATTTTCCGCCCGCCGGCGGACTATCGCGATCGCGTCTTCTACATTCAACCATCCCCCTACGCCTTCAACGTCCGCCTCTCCTCCCCAGGCCTTTACACCGACCCCTCCCGGCTCGTATCCCTCCTCACACGATCTCCCGCACTCTCCAGTTTCCACGTCTCCTCAATCTTCCCGGCCCATAGTGCACCGCCGTGGGTCTTCGTCTTCTAGCGTACCCGGTTCTAGCACCATCGTCCGCCCTGCAATGTCCGGATCCCGTACAGCGCAGCCACTCCCCTCGCGTCCAACACTTTCCATCCTCTTAACTTCACCGCACGCGCCACTCGGTGTTAGCTCGCCCATCCAGACGCGTCCGGGCTATGCGGCGTCGAACAAGAGTGCTGATTCACTAACACGCCAGATTGACGAGGCAACGTATCAGCTCGCTGCTTTGTCTGACACGCTTGCGCGTGCACGGTCTGGGTTAGTGCAGGAGCTAGTGGAGGTCTTCAGCATTGTAGAAGTACGCCATTTTCTGGCACTGCTGTAGTATCTCTGGCTGACTTTGTGCGCCGTCAGGTTGGCGGTCGTCCACCATTAGGTGGTAAAGCGGGTACGAAGGGGGAATGGACCATTGGGGGGCTTGTCCTACCCGTTCCCGGTGACATCAGACGTATGCCACCATCGTCCGCGTAGATCGCTTGAAGTCTGACGAGTTCGTGCAGGATATCCTCCAGATCATATCAACGCAGTGCTCACGCATACGCTTCATTTTCTCTCCTTGCTTGCGTTCTACCTCGGTATCAAGCTCCCATTTGAGGTCATTTGGAGCAGATCTACTACACCGCCATTGCCGTCGAGCAGCAATAGCAGCTCCTCTTCGGCGAACCTCAAGGGTAATGGACTCTTGGGTGTAGGTATTCCATGGCTCGGTGCGTGTAAGGGCGGTGAGAGCGGAGGATGGGCGCGATGGTCAGCGAAACATCCTTTGCATGTCTCGTCGTCCTCTCCTGCGACACCCTCCACCACAGCTGCTCCCCCAACCGGTTCTAACGATCGGGCTTCACGGCCTGGCGGCTATCCGCGTCCTGCCAGCAAGTCATCGGTGCCGTCGTCCTCGTCTTCCGCCAAGTCTACACCTACACGTTCCAACGCACTGTCGGCGTCGCTCGCGGACTCACAACTTGAGGATCTTTCGGGTACAGGCGTTGGCGCTGGTACGTCGACTCATAACAGTTCGTTCACGACAGCCCTCGCGATGCTGCTGTACAATGTCTGCTACCTTGCACATACACAAGCAGTTGACGTACCGCTCGCGCAGGCGGGCGAGGTGCTCGGGAACCTCTGGGCGGTGTGTTGCAGCCAGGAGCTCGGGAGGTGAGTTTTCCTTGTCTCTGATAATTTATCTCTGCTGAAATCTCATGCATTCACAGGAAATCGCATGAGACACATCCGCTCCTTCCTGCTCCCACTCCGCCGAGCTTCCCGCTGGACTTCGCGCAGCTTCTCCAGGCGACTGCAGCGAACCCGACACGCCCACGTGCGCGGGGAACGACGGGTAGGGAGACGCATCACGCCGAGCGCATTGTGGAGGAAGACGAGGATGGGTGGGATTTGGTCGATGCAGATGGTGCCGACTAGTGAATGTGGCTAGGATGGAGTAAGTAACGTGTGCATAGCCATCTTGACGATGGATTTATAGATGTGACATTAGATGTACTGCCGGACTAGTACTGTAGCGTCTCGGATTCAAGTTCGTGGATGTATCTAATAGTTGTAGGTAGATTAAAATTAGTTCGTTTCAATGTTAGGATGTACCTTCCGATCGCTCAACGTTATACACTACACTGAAAGGAGCATACTGGTCAAATGCGCTGCGGAGTTGTACGACGCAGATATGAGATCCTTAGCACATTCAATGCAGTTGCCCTTCACGCGTCACGTTTCAACGTGCAACCAACACGTCGAGCCGGAGCAATTCTGAGTATCTGGCGGTGCGGTACATTCGAGATGCAGCTACACTCTGGCTCGAATCCACGGTGTCAAATGGCACTCTAGATCGTTTCTGCGTTTGATCTCTGCCTTCATATGCAAATGATTCCGATAGGAACAGTCGGTGCAAAGATTGTTCATTCGAGGTACGCTCGACCCTCCTTCGTACATGGCCGAATTGGCTTAAGCTCTCTTATGCGTGAGCATAAAGCTCCGTTAATATGTACGATAGAACTTCGATAAGACGGAACCTATTCGGAACGGTGGGACTACGCGGAATTGCATTCGGAATGCCGGAAGAGTACCGGAAGAGCACATTCTTATGGTGTCCTGGCTGTTGTCTGGCACACTGGCATCAAGATCTCGTCCGAGCGGGGCTCACACACGTTCCGTCTTGCTATCAGGCTTCCCATCTGTTCGGGTGTTTTTCAAACGTGACTTGGACCGTTATAAAGGCTTCTGCGTTCGAATATCCTCGCCAGTCTCAGTATGGCCACTACTACCGCTCCCATGACAGAGGGGGTGATCCCTTTCACCTACGAGGGGGAAGAATACCACACCTACTACAAGGTCTTTGGTGACCTCACCCCTCCCACCAAGACCCCATTGGTTGTTCTCCATGGAGGCCCCGGGCTCTCTCACGACTACCTCTTACCCATATCAGATCTCGCTTCAGAGTCCATTCCTGTCATCTTCTATGATCAGATTGGCAATTCTCGGTCATCGCACCTGAGGAACAAACCATCTTCCTTCTGGACGATCGACCTCTTCATCGACGAACTCGTCAATCTGCTCAACCGTTTTTCTATCCGAGACTCTTTCAGCCTTTTGGGACATTCCTGGGGAGGGATCCTGGCGGCCGAGTATGCGGTCCGTCGGCAGCCGCCCGGCTTGCGACGCCTCATCCTTGCCGACTCTCTCCCTTCATCTAGCTTGTGGAACAAGTCGACCGCGCAGCTCATATACACCATGCCTAAGGAAGTCCAAGAGGGGATGGCATGCGGATTAAAGAATCCACGCAGGTTCAAGGCGGCGTTGGCGCAGTTCCACGCGCAGTACTGTTGCACCACGAAGCCATTTCCCAAGGAGCTCGCGCACTCATTCGATCTTGTGTTCGGGCCCCACGGCGATCCTACTGTCGCGCACGCGCCGTAAGGCGTCTTTGATTCCACCTTGAGCCTTCCACTTACGTTCATCGTTCTGCAGGTTACTCAAAAAATGGTCCATCATTGATCGCCTCCATCTTCTGCGCATGCCCACGTTGGTGATAAACGGGCGCAAGGACATAGCCCAGGATTTTGTTGTTGAGCCGTTCTTCGACAACATACCCAAGGTGAAGTGGGTCACTTTCGAGAATTCGAGTCATACACCGTTCTGGGAAGAGCGCGAGAGATTTATGCAGCTCGTAGAGAGATTTCTCACTCCAGAGTCGTACGCAGAAAGGAATATTATGTAGACCGTCGACCGCCTAGTAGTGTCAGATCTTAGCATACCTTACCGCACTTATATTCAGTTCCAGGACTGCAACTAGATCTTACAAATCATCTGCATTCAAGAAAGCAAAACGACGACAATGACATAGCAATGCAAAGCTAGCAAACATATAAGTAGATAAGTTCATAAGTTGAGGCGAACGAAGAAATGGAAGAATGCATGACGTTGGTCTTAGTCAAAAACTGGGCTGTCCATACATATGATGTGGTGTTGCAGATGCCAATGTCCTCTAATAATACACATGTACTCACTGCCGGGTATCGTGCATACACATTGTCGATCGAAAGACACATCGACACGATATGCGCTGAGTGTTCACATTCACGCAGGCACAGCACTCATACGCCTTGGCGTCTTCTCCGGTGGCGCAGTGTTTTCCTTCTCCTTCTCGTCACTCTCGCTGGAAGCGCTGACGGATGCAAGCGTTTCACGGCTTGAAAACGTTGACCGCAGACGCGAGGGTTCCGCAACTGAAGTAGAGGCGCGGCGTTGGGCAACGGCTGTTCGAAGGCTACTCGGGGGAACGCGCGAGCCAGATGGTATGCGCGTTGGGGTTGCAGCAGCAGAGGTCGCTCCAGTACCACGGCCAGGTGGAGGACCCATCGAGCCTTCCACAGACCGTCTCGCTGTGAGTGTCGAGACACCATTTTGACGCGTAGTCTTTCCGAGCGTGGATTTGGTGATTGTCGAAGGCGTCTCGACCAACTTGCGATCTTTAACTGAGCTCCCTGCATCAGACAGAACGGACGGTGGCCGTGAGCCTGCCAATGCGGGAGTGCCGAAGATTGATGACTCTCGGCGGTGGTGAGGCGCCTTCGGAACTTGTGCAGGTGTACCACCTGCTGTGCCTCGTACGCCAATCCGTCGCTTGAGCTGGATCGAAGGTATCAGGTTGGCCAGAGGCTAGGTGTCCTAATATTGAGGGACGTACCAGTTCCAGTTCCTGCTGCTTGGAATCCAGAGCGATATTAAGGCCCTGCAAGTCTTCTTTGTCCTGTGCACGCTGCTTCGCGAAGTTGGTGAGCCGCACTTCCTTGTCGGCACTCTCCTGCTGTAACGCGTGCACCTGACGCCTGAGGCGCTCCGTCTCCTCCGTCAGTGCACTGACACGCTCCTTGAGAGAGCCGAGCGACACGTCGGTGTCTGCCTTCGAGCGGATAACTTCCTCGAGTCCTGCACGTGCCTCCACTTCGCGGGCGACGACTTCTTGCAGCGTGCGGCTTTGTTCGTTCACAATGCGTGCATGATCGCGTTTCATTCGCGACATCTCCTCCTGTGCAGACTCAGCTTCCGCCTCCCGTGTTGTGAGACGTTTGTTGAGCTCTGCAACATCCGCATCGCGTTGACGGATGTGACCCTCCAGTCGGGAGACAGTATCAAGCACGTATTGTTTTTCTTGCTCGAGTGCCGTAACGCGATCTTCCCGCTCTTGAAGAGCTCGTGTGAGGTCATTCGCGTGTTCGTTTTCGGCACGGAGCTGGTCCTCGAGCTACATGAGGAATGAATCAATGTACCAAAGTTGGGCAGCGAACGGTACCACTCACATCATTTCGTTCATGTTCCAACTCCTCCTTCGCAGTCCACAAGTCCTGGATCTCGCTCTCCAGCTCGTCCTTCTTGTTCTCCGTTTGGTTCCAGTCAACCTCCATGCCGGAGATCCGCTCGTTGAGCGCGTCCACTTCGGCTTTGAGACTGTCCCTCTCTCGCACAAGCTCCTGCTCCTTCCCGCCTGAAGTTTCAGTATGCTTCCACTGCGCCTCAAGCTCCGACTTCACGACGCTCATCTCGCTTTCCTTGCGTAAAGTTTCCTCCCGTGCGTTCGCCAGCTGACTCTGAAGAGATATCTGCTCATTTCGTAGAGCGTCATTCATTCGCACGAGCTGGGCTCGCTCTTCCTCCCAGGCTACCATCCGCTGAGTGTCGTCCTGCTTCAATGTGTCCTTATTGTCCTCCTGCTTGCCCATCTGCTCCATCTCTTCCTTGGCTGCCTTGATACCAGCCTTTAACTCTTGCTCGCTCCGGTCTCGCCGTTGCAGCTCCTCTCTGGTCTTCTTGAGCTCTTCAACCCCACTGCTCTTCTCACGCTCCAGCTCCTCGATCTGTCGATGCAGCATGCGCAGAGCCTCCCCACTGGCCTCGTCCATCACGCTTCTCTCGACACTTTCCTCCCGGCTTCGGTCGACCTCGTCTTGCAGACCCCGCACACATCGCTCGAGCTCAGACACACGCTTGCGCCAGCTGCGGACGGCGTTCTTCCTGCGTTCGCACTCCTCCTCGGAGGCTTCTAGCCGGGCGCCCAGCACGCGAACGAGCTCGTCGCGTGCGCCGAGATCGACCTCGAACTGCACGCATAACTCTGATTGCAGGGCAAGTTGTGTACGCAGCGACCAGATGATATCCTCGTCCTTCGACGCGGTGCGCACGTGCATTGGTTGTGGCGGTGTCGGGGGAACGATCGTGCCGGGAGTGTAGTAAGTCGTCGCATTCGCGCCGAAGGGGTCCTTTTCCTTTTCCTTCTCCTGCTCAGGCGGAGCGTACACGACGACCGCGGAGGATTCGTCCTTGATATCCTCTTCGGGGCGCATCGACCGAAAGACCGTGTCGCTCAATGCGCGGCTACGGCTCCGTGAACTCTCCCGCAGCGAGTGGAACATCGTCTGGCCAAAGCTGAACGATAGACTACGGTCGTGTGATGGCGGCACTGGTGGCTCGTCTTCATCGCGGTCGTCCGTGTCCGCGGTCTCCAATGAGCGGTCGAGCTGCGGAGTCTCCGCGCGGCTCTGAGAGCTCCCATTCCGTACGTGGAACACCCGCTGGCCGAAGCTGAAGGGTAGTATCTGCTCGTCCTCCTGCTTAAGCTCTTGCTCATGAATTTCAGGAGCGCTCTCAAGCACAGGCACCTCGGTACTCTCCTTTAACGCCGTGTTCTGTGTTTCGTCCTCCTCGACCTCGATGGCACTGTCGAGTAATGGTGCCGCTGCAGGAATTGTGGGTTGCGACAGATCAAACGCTGATGAAAACAGATCTTGCGCATGTGGACGTGCTGGTGTGCTTCGTTGAATGCCAGCCGAGAAGCACATGTCCTCGGGCGTTGAGTCCTCCGTCGAGTCTGGACTAAGAACCTTGTAGGCATCGCGCGAGAAGAAACGTACGCTTTGGCCCGTCGCCGGCGTATTTCGGTCACGTAAGATAGAGCGAATGGAACCAAATTTCGTATCTGTGGTAGGTGTCGACGGGAGTGGTTTGTTGTCGGAATCTATGGAAGGACGACTAAGTGAGACTTCAGAGGCTGTAGGTCCAAACGACAGATTACATCACAGTACACGGAGAGTTTCATGTAAGCACAGGCAATTGTAACAGTAGATGAATGCAAAACTGACCGTTAGGATTACTTTGTAAAGAGGACTTTACTTTCTTGGGTAGTTGGATCTTCAACGGGGAAGACTCAAAAATAGGACCCTTGACCTTCTTGAGCAGTGCATGACGGCCTTGCTTTGACGGTGAAGGCGGAGGACTCGGGGATGGGAAAGGTATTTCCGAAGATTCGCGGAAAACAGACAAGTTGGGGTGTTGTTCAAACACACCTGCCAGGACATCGGTATGTGGCTCTTCGTCTTGGTCGAAACCCAGTGATGGTGCTCCAGGACGCTTCAGTACGCCACTAATCTTTGACCACATACTAAATATTGTCGTAAGATATTAGGGAATAGGTCAAGACAATGAGCGCGGTAGTCGTAGGAGTGACTTTGCTTGAGTTGATGCTGAGATAGCCGATTGTTCTGTTAGAGTTTGTTATGCCAATCAGTACAGAGAAGGCAAGATACGGGCGAAATAATGAGAGATATTCTGAGGGCGATACATTTGTCGCTCAGTCGTACGAAGCTGAAGACGAGCCGGCGGCGACCAAACTTCAACATGTACGCTGTGATCACATGACCGTTTACCGTGACTGTGACACTTTCGTGTCGTTGTGACCTCGTGTGTTCAACCGCCATGAGCGCACCGCCACCCAATGTTCCATCCGTCCTTCTTCCAGAACTCCTCGGGTTTGTACCACAATTACTACTCGATGACATCATAAACATCGCCAACGATGCTGCACGGGAAGCAGTGGAGGGAATGCAAGAGTTCCTTGAACGGCGAGACGCTGAGCGCGTGAAGGAAGCCGAGGCAGCAGGCAAAGACAGAGATGCAGCAGACAGACTCGAAGCAGAGAGTATGGAAGAGCTGGAGAAGGGCATAAATTCATTCCAAACATTGCTCGAGTCGCACGTCGACATCGCCTTCGACTTTTTCGAGGCGTGGTCGCTACGGAACATCTTCGCCATACCGGCCGACTTGCAGATCGTCGCACCTCACCACAAGGGAACCAACTTGGAGCAGCCAACAGAGAAAGAGGCGGAGCTGCTCGCAGATATAAGAGATCTTCGCAGGAAGATTCATGCAGTACGTTGCACCCTTCTACATGAGAATTCGTATCGTCTTATGTCCCACAGCAAAAGAAACTCCAGAGACTTTACACCCGCGCGGCGCGCATGTCCTCCACACAGCTCACGCACTCGCAGAAACGTCTCGAAAGGCTCTCCTTCCTTCGCGCACCGCAGCTGCAGGCGCTGCTCTCGCTGTCGGACGAGTTCCACGCGATGTACACGTCTGTCGCGGGACTACCGTCGCTCGACCCGTCTCTCACGGCCGCAGAGCAGGCGATTGCGGAGCCCGGGAAACGGCCGTGGGAGACGAGTAAGACCGGGTATCTGAACTGGGCGGTCGAGCAGCTGATGGCGCGGGCGAAGCGGAGCGTCAAGGGCGGCGAAGGCGAGTTCGGGAGGGGCAGCGCTGCGGCTGCAGATGCGTACGGCGTGGGTAGTGCGGACGACGTCAAGGAGGCATTGGAGACCGTCGCGGGCGCTGGGGCTGTCGCAGAATTAGGCCGAAGGGAGGGTCAGGACGAGATGGATACCCAGTGATGCGTTGGCGTGAAGTATGGACTGTAGTATAGTGAACTGTTGTATGAACAAGATGAGCATATTAATGATACAGATCGAAGTGGGTACGGACTGGAGTACTGAAGTCAGACGTTCTCCTCTTACCTGCCGGTCCCGCCCTTCCCAAAAAAAAGGTATTCCGGACCAAAATACTCCGGAGGACCTTGGCGTAGCTTCTACAGTTGCGAACCACGGTACGGTCGAATTGCCCGACAGGACGCTCTCATGGACACGAAAATGAACTAGATCTTCGCGACGAGGACGATATTACCGTTGGGTAAGTAAGCAACATTCCCACTCCTACCGCCGCGCATGACCATGGTGTATATTTGGGGTCCTGTAGGCGTGATGATGATGAATCAGTTAATGTTGATAGACATGCAAGAACATCGAGTGACACAATGGGCGCTAGCATGGTAACCAGTGTGAGCGCAGCATGAGCGCTCATTAATTATATGCACTTGTCATTCAACTTTGTTAGAAAATGCGGGGGCTCGTAGCCCTTTTGGGAAGCGAGGAATTTAATCTGAGAGAATCGGACCGGACGCGAGGTAAAGGATCGGGACGAAGATGTGGCTGCGGAGCTCTCATTGCTCCAAATATAGATATCCTTTTATATAATAACCACATTATGTAATTAATCTCCGCTGTGGCGCATCCCTCGGATGCCCTCGGATTGCCTCTTTTCCGGCCATTTCCAACACTCCCCCTCAAGCCGACGGGCATTCGAGCATATTTATTTGCTTCTGATGCCTTGGCTTAGGGATTGTTTTTCTTTCCGGGATAGGACAATAAATATTTTGAGGATCGCATGCGATTAATATCGCCGTCTGATGGTCCTCAGATACACACTCCCGACCATCCTACCTTCTGGTAGGGGTAGACCAGCAGTTAAAACCTCGCGGGAAAAAACCCAGTGGGAAAAGCCCGCTGTCGGAATCTGGTGAGGGTTCCCCCAACACCAAATAACACTCGCTACTAGCCAGAGTGCGATTTTTCATTTTTTCAATTCTGAGCATTTTTAGCTCATATGCGTGCTTCTGTTGGCGCGCGTTCTCCGGATCGTCCTTCTTGGCATCCAGATCATTCGGTAGATTTTACCGACTTTTCTGTCTGTGGGCCTTTCCTTTTTTTGTGTGCATCAGTCCCACCTTCTTCGCGTTCTTCGGGATCATCATCCCATCTGCGCTGCGCGGATTTGATGTGGCAGTTGACTGTGGTGCGGAATTCCCTAGCTCCCCCTCGCGCCACACGTCTATGGCTGCCGAGGTTTTAGGGCTTCGGATCTCTCATCCCCATATTGCACGTCTGCAGTATTGGTTGGTATGGGATCCGGCAATTTCCTTTTCTTCCCCCTGGCACTGCACATCTGCAGTTCAGCCTAGTTTGGAGACTTCGGGACTCATCTCCGCACGCGGCACGTCTGTCACGTTGCTTGGTAGTGGACCCGGTGCTAATATGCTCCCCCTGATTTCCCCTCGCACTGCACGTCTGCAGTCGCTTTGAGTTTTATGGGACTTCAGATCTCCTTCCCATGCATGCACGTCTGCCATGCTAATTGGCGAGGGGTCTGGAATTTTTCATTTTCTCTCCCCCTGGCGCTGCACGTCTGCAGTTCCGCCTAGTTTGGGGACATCGGGCTTCTCCTTACCATGTGACACGTCTGTCCATTGGTTCGCAGGGAGCCCGGCTAGGTGGTCTTGACGCATTCATGCGCCCTACATTTCACTCCATCCATGTAGCTTACCAATATATTTTTGTAGCCCTGGATGCTAATATTGTATTTGAGGGTAGCATCTTTAATTGTGCTCATAGGCACATTCAATCGAGTAGTGTTCAATTTAGACATTCTACGGCTTTCTTTCTGGAATGGCGAGTGCAGCGCAGTCACACTCATCTCACTCTCATTGGCCGGGTACTGAGCAATTACTGTAGATTGCCCTTTCGATACTCTCGACCATCTAAATTTAGTGCCTTTGCTCACGATCAGCTTTGGCTTCTTTCCGGTGATATACCCATTATACCGGTTGATTTTATTCTGTACTCCGTTAAGTACAGTACTGCATACAGCTTCACACTGTTTTTGGCCCGTAGAAATATATATTGTTGGGCCTTACATTTGTGTTTATAGGCCCCAGTCTCCGCATCCCGCTCTGCCTTGCCTGCCAGATCTAATCATCGGCTATGGCCTCGGCTTTTCTCCGGTGATACAGAGTCTGCTTCCTGAGCTTGGGGCTCGAAAACGTCTTCTGGCTATGGCTCGGGGGTCCACGCATTGCAAGTGCATCTCTCACCACTAACGCACATTGCGTCACAGCTTCCGTGCATCTTTGCACGTGCCATATTCCTCGAGGCTCACCATGCTGATGTGCGCAGTATGCATGCGCATCATCTTATCTTATCTCGCTTATCTGCTTTAGGCGCTCTGCGTTCCCAAGGCGCTTTGCATCCTCATCTAATCTTATCTCAATGACACATCTCGCGCCTCGGGTTTTCGAGTTTGGCCTCTCATCTCTGGCTCTGAGTCTTTGACTCGGGACTGTGGTCTCTCTATGGACTCTCAGTCTCTGGTCTTGCACTCTAGGCTCTGAGCTCCAGGTCTTAGCACTCGCATTTACCGCAGTTCTGCCTCTTAGGACAGCAAGAGCGCATCTCATTCTCGCACGCTCCTATTTAGGCGCGCTTGGCCTCCCAACGCTTCTCTGCGCGGCTCTTTTGACCGCGTCTGCCGAATCATTATCCGGCGAAGTCTTTAGGCACAAAACAATATTATTTTTCCTCAGTAGTCCTAAATCATACATAGGACTGCTGAGATCTCCTATTACTTGTTGTGCAATGCAGTATATCAGCCTTTTGGTGAATAGGGGTCAAGGACTCAGCTATATATTCAGAGAAGAGCCTATGTCCGAGGATTGCAATCGTCTCGGGGCTCATAACCTGTTAGAAAATGCGGGGGCTCGTAGCCCTTTTGGGAAGCGAGGAATTTAATCTGAGAGAATCGGACCGGACGCGAGGTAAAGGATCGGGACGAAGATGTGGCTGCGGAGCTCTCATTGCTCCAAATATAGATATCCTTTTATATAATAACCACATTATGTAATTAATCTCCGCTGTGGCGCATCCCTCGGATGCCCTCGGATTGCCTCTTTTCCATTTCCAACAAACTTTATACATCAGATTTTTCTCTTGATTTCCCATAAGTACTGTTAATGAATACCAGCTTAATCATTATAAGCACTTGTCTCTCAGTATCACCATATTTTACAACTTGAGGAACTCAGCGACGAGCTTCATGAACTTTTCTCTCTCCTCCCAAAAAGGTGTGTGGCTGGAGTTCTCGAAGGTGACCCACTTGACCTTGGAGATCTTCTGGAAGAAGGGCGCGACGACGAAGTCTTGCGCCATGTCCCCGCGCCCATTGATGAGGAACGTGGGCACGCGGACAAGGTGCAGGCGGTCAATGACCGTCCAATCTTTCATGATCTTGCAATCGCGCTAAACTTCTACTGCACGGAAAATTGATCTGCGATGACTTACGGAGAGCTGCTAACAGATGTATCAGCGTCGTCCGCAAGATTCTGATTCAAAGAGTAAACCAGCTCAGCCGGCACTGGCTTCACTGTGCATCCATGAATGGCGTGACGGTGGAACTGCGCTTGCGCGGCGAGGTATTTCACCCTATCCTACTTCTGCATCGCCAGCCCCTCCTGCACCTCCTTGGACATGTTCTGCGAGAGCTTCGCACACGGCTCCTTCCACAAGCTGAGCGCTGCGAGCGAGTCCGCGAGAATCAAGCGGCCAGCCCTGCATGTTGCATGCGCACCTCGAACTCCGAGGCGAGGATCCCACCCCACGAGTGCCCGAGGATGTCGTAGGAGTTCTGGATCGAGACGACGCGAACGTCCAGAAGGAGGGCGGCTTCTCGGGGAGGTGAGTGGAGCGCGCGTTCCCAATGAAACTTGCACCACGAGTAATTCAATAACACTCACCAGGCCATGGGAACTCCTGAGGCTATATTCCACAGCAGGCTTCAAGCAAGTCCAGACAGGAATCAGGTTCAAGTACGTGGCAAGGCAGTCAAGACAGACCTTCAGAAATAAGACAGTTCCATGCTGGTGAGCCGTTCAGCGAGTCCTGTCATCCTTACAGCCTATTTCACCCCAATGCTTGTCATGATCAGTATCCAATATTCAATATTCATGTTCCGCACAGCACAAAGTTTCATAACTCTATTATTACGAAGTCACATCCGAGACACTCGGACAGTCAGAGAGGGCGCCGGCAACTGCCTGCCGACGGTGTCCGCTTTGGCAACCGTACTGTTCGAGTGCTTTCGGCACGCTTTCGGCGTCAGTTTGCCATGTCCTCGTTACGCACCCGATAATAGTTTTCCTACTCAATCCTTTCGACGTCGTGGTACAACGCAGACTGGGGCCATCAGAATCCTGATCAAAATCAGTATTGATAAGCTCAAGCAGCCCTTGCCAGCTGGAGGTTCTACCGAATCAGGAATAAGTGCATCCTTTCTCTCTCAACGGCGTGGTAGGTCTATTGCTAGATTTTGTAACCAGGTATCAGGTAACAGACCTCATGCTTACAGGGACTTCGCAGGGGTGATGTTGCCGCCGATTGGATTGCGAAAACGCGCCGCTTGTCATTTTGACAAATGCAATCAAGGCATGTCGACTTCCATTACAACCTGTTCTTCTGCCGCCTGCGCGTAAACGCAGGCACGATTGTTGCGTGCGGCTCCAATTCCCAGTGACATGCTAGTAGGCCTTACAGGACACGTACGGCATCAGTGTACTGAAGTCTCTGGACCCTTCGAACACCGACCTAGTCTCCCGCTGGTCTTCACCCTCTTATGCTCTAAGACTTCTTAAGCTTCGACGGGCGTTAATTGAAGGTGTGAGTCTTGGAGATGTATGGTAACCCAAAACAGCGCAGCGCCCATCCCCTCGTGTCTCGGTGATAACGTCAGTTGCCATGTAAGCTCCGTTCTCGGATGCACATCCACATGTGCCCATAGTTCTGGTCTACAGCATCTGCTATATAAGTGCCATCAGCGTCGAGAGATGTGCGAATCCTCTCTTCGATAGGCGCTACCCAGCCAGACAGATCCACCGTAACTCACCCCGCGTCGTTGCCAATCCGCAATTCTCGGTCACCTGGAATTCGACCGTGCCCCACCGTTCATGCACCATGTATAAGAAGTCCCGTCTGCGAAGACTTGGCACCACCTCTCCACTCTCGCCCTCCCAACATTTTCACTCCGACGATATGCGAAAAGCCCCTCCCCACACTTCGGTTACTAGCGGCCGCGATGGTGGCTCAGCTGGTGTCGGATTGTCCGACAAGCAGTATTCGGCAGGGAGACGCAAGATGCTTGACCTGATCAACCGCTTGCATAAGACCGGGTTAGTGCATCGTCCGGACCGCATTCAGTTGCGAACTCATTGATATGCGTGCAGGGTACAAAAGGAAATCGACTTACCTGTGATAGCTGTCATAGGCTCTCAGAGTGCGGGGAAGTCCTCGCTTATAGAATCCATCTCCGGCATCACTCTACCCAGAGCGAGTGGGACGTGTACAAGGTACTTATTCTCGCATGATTGTTTGTTGCACTTCCTCACCAAGGACCTCGCAGATGCCCGACAGAATGCACGCTGTCATTTTCCGCAGAACCTTGGAGATGTGTTGTCTCCCTGCGCTTCACCACGAATGAGAATGGCGAGACCATTCCCGTTCGCAATGACCCCTTCGGTCCCCCGATCTTTGACAAGCCCGACGTTGAAGAGCGGCTCCGACGAGCACAGCGCGCGATCCTGAATCCGAGCATTCATGCTCGTGACTTTCTCGAGGGTGTGGACGAGGATCCCGTCACCCGGGAACGCACTTTCTCGACCAACTGTGTGTCTCTAAGTATCAGCGGCCCTGATGTCGCAGATCTGTCGTTCTGTGATCTGCCAGGTGTGTGCCTTTTTTGACTGTAAATATACTCAGTTGACAACGTCGTTTAGGTCTTATCGCCACCGAAGGAACTGGTGCCATGAAGGGCGACATACAACTCGTGAAGAGTCTAGTCGCGTCCTACATCGAAAAGCCAAGCTGTATAATTTTGCTCACTGTCGCCTGCGAGAGTAAGCAGTGATTACATCTTCTTCTGACATGTTCTCATGGCCCTCACTCGCTCAGCGGATTTTGAAAATCAAGGCGCGCACCAATTGGCTAGAGAGTACGATCCGGATGGGAAGCGCACGATTGGTGAGGATCCCTGGTCGTTCCGTACTAGCATACATTGGACTGACGCTCCGACCAATAGGTGTTCTAACCAAACCCGACCGGATACCCTTGGGAGAAGAGGAACGATGGCTCCGATTCATCAAGAACGAGTCTGAGCCTCTAGAAAACGGTTGGTTCGGTGTGAAACAACCAGATTCACGTGCTCTAGCGGCTGGCATTACCTGGAGCGAAGCACGCGAACTAGAGCGAGAGTTCTTCTCGTCGACGTCGCCGTGGGCTGGTGTGGACCTGCAGATCCAGCATCACTTCGGGACGGCAAACCTGACGGATCGTTGCAGCTCGATCCTGTCCGGTCTCATTGCAAAACGGTCTGTTCTCCATACTTAATATTAGTTGTGCCTTTCTGAATCCGTCTTCATCAGACTCCCGGAGATACAGAGCGAGCTGCAAGACATGCTGCAGAAGACGGAGAATAATCTTCGCCAACTGCCGAAACCCCCCTCGAGCGACGCTCTGGGCGAGGTCTTCAACCTGCTCACGCAGTTCTCGGGAAGTCTTGCTGAGTATCTCGAGGGAACCCCTGAACCGGACGGTCTTTTGCAATCCATCAGGCCCATAAAGGAGGTGTTCCGCCAGGATATTCTCGCAACCGCGCCGGACTTCCGTCCTTACGGGAGGTTACCGTTACCGAACGAGCCGCAGGATAATCGCCGTTTCATTGCTCCGGAATTCTTGTCTCACGAGACCGTGTTCGTACCCAGCGACGACGCAAATGCCGTCTACATCGACGATGTTATGGAGCGAGCAAACCAGTACGTCTACTCTTCTTCTAGCGTGAGGCAGAAATCTGAAAGATTTGTGCCTATGAAGGTCTATCACGCGCCAGCTTCCTGGCTATTTCCCCTTCGTTGTGGTGGAACAGTACATCCAAGATGTCATTGGGACTTGGGAAGGGCCCACGAGAACTCTCTTCGATGCCGTCCAGCACATACTCATCCAGAAGATCAAGCAATTCATCGAAATTCACTTCGAACAATATCCTCTCCTACAACAACGCGTGGCGTAAGCAACATTCGTGTCTTAGGTGCTCAACCTTGCTAACAACTGCTTTCAGAGCTATCGTCACGTCATACATTCTAGAATGTTCAGATCAGACGAAGAGTCACCTGGACTGGTTGCTTGCGCTGGAGAAGCGCCCTCGCACGCTGAACGAGCATTACTACAGGGACTACAGAGACAAGTTCCTAGCGCACTACAAGGGTGCCGCCCGCAATATGGCAACACGTCCTTGGTGGAGAAGCTCGCGCAGTATAATCCATCCGGACAAGACGCCTCGCTGAATGACAGTGTCTCTCAAATTGTGCAGGGCTTTGCTGGGCTCGGGATCTACGGCATCAACCCGGTTGATTTACCCAAGGTTCTACCCACTGATCCCTTCGAGCCTGCTATCGACGTCATGGCAAGCGTCCGCGCATACTTCCAAGGTGAACCCCTTCGTCCTTGCGTATTGGGAGCTCTGTACTGATGCCCCGCAGTGGCGTACAAGCGCTTCACAGACAACATCCCGAACGCCATCGACCACGACCTGATCCTTGGCCTCAAGCGCGACCATGCGTTGGAAAAGGCATTGCGGAAGGGGCTCGGGATCGGGGGCACTGATGCCGACGTCCAATGTGGCGAGTACATCCGGGAGCCTCCTAATGTCCTGTTGAAGAGAGAAGAACTGCAGAAAAAGCGAGAACGATTAGTGTCGGCGAGGAAGGAGCTGATGGATCTCTGGCTTTGAGCTGCGAACGTCGTTACTCCGTATATGTCTGATGCGTTATCTCTGAACGTGCGATGCTTGTCTTTGTCCCATACAGTGCCACACCGTTTACATCTTGAGACCGTTGATCAGAGGGGAAGTTGACCGATACACTCTGTACGATGATACGTCTTCAATTATTCGGCCTGCAGAAATAAGTAAGCAGTTTGATAGCAGCACAGACTCCTTAAGCAATATATAGCGACTGAACTTCACAGTTTTACTTCTCAACGCCTCATCGACATCTGCAACAAGTGTGCGGCCGTCTTCCTATCTGCCCTTCAAATTCAGCGCCACAAACGCGACCGTGACGTCGTCACGCGTATTGATCACGTGCTGGGAGTGAATAATCAAGTACGCGGGCGTTACAATCATAATGCTGAAGTGTTATGTCATGTCGAGCAACCAGAGTGGCGACGTCTCGCAGTCACAGAGGCATCCCAATGAAGATGCTTCACCAGGGTATCGAAGTATTTTCGCGGTAGACGGCTCAAATAGTTCAGTTCCTCGTTGGCTTCCACTCTCATTAGTGCGTTCTGCCGTCTTCTGGCAGTGAATGTATCTTGACAGTCGCAAAACTCTTAGCTGGCATTGACCACGGCGGCGCTGGCTGTGCCTGCCGTTATGCTTTGGTGCCAGCGAGGTGTCGCGCTTTCCAGGACACTGACAGACCCACCTCCACCACCACCGCGGCGGACAGTATCAGCAGGCACTATCCTTTCTCGCAGGACAGCATCAGGAGGTGCTCCTCCACCACGTCGAACGGTCGCTCTACCTCCCATAGTGCCCCAGCGAGCCTTTCCATCGTCATCGCAATCGTCTACCATGCAGGCCGGCGGACCGACTTTGATTCCGGATGCAGAGGATAATTTCAATGGCGCGCTATACACCATGAAAGCGTTTGGCATCGCTACGCTACTCGTTACCGTCGGAGCCGGGACGGCGGTTTGGGGCATAAAGACCGCACTGGGCGTACGCGACGTGAGTGTGCTCAGCCTGAAGTTTTCGTGTATTCTCATCCTGTGCAGACCCAGGAATTCGCGGATCGCGTGCGGATGTTCATCGTGAAACGCATGCCTGTGTTATCTTACCGGATATACCGACCGCTAGGCCTCGAGGACGAGGAGCTTGACGCAAAGTCGGTATCTACCTTGTCTCAACCACATCCTGATGATGTGCTTCAGTGGTCTTGGCCGGACGCAGAGAAACGGCTGAAGGCTGCGTTTGAGAGAGATGGTTTTATGGGTTGGGCGGAAGCCGCAGTGACAGAGCTGGAAGCCGAAGGACAGGTAGAGCGTGTCCGCAGGGGCCATATATCCTGATTACTTGTCCATGAGTTTCGAGTCTTTTTAGGGAGGTCCACGCAGCCCACGCGATACAAGTCTCTCTCCTCAGGCGTAGCACTTGAAAGTAGTGCAGCGGCCTGCCAGCTGCAATATTCACCCAGATAAAGTTACGATTCAAACAACGCTGACTGTGCAGGTTACACCGGGTCACAAACGCTATGTGTACACAAGATTGGGTACCAGACGGTATCATACTAGTTATCCTAAGCTATGCCAAACGGTTAACCGTCATATCCGAGGCCTTAGTACGGAGATTGGGATACGATCCACCCTTGAACGTCATCATCGACAGGTCATTTGTGAGATCAGTCCCGCCAGCGGTCGTCGACCGTCCCGTCTCGTCGCGGAATCTGAGTGCGGAGAGGTTTGCCTCTGTGACTGTCTCGTTCGACCATGCACGCCCAAGACTAACACGGAGGATCACCAGCTCCGGTGCGATACACTGTATGACTACGTGAGTGACCTTTACACCACCGGAACCAGAGCAACGAATTGGCGCACTGCAATTTGGGAAGCCAGAGGAATGAACAAATTCTCTGCCGTATTCCCTAAGCCGTAGAGGATAATGAAGACCAAAGAGACGAGACCGTAGGGAAGTGCAGATTCCAGCAGCATCGTGGCAATGCCAGTGTAAGTCTTTCCGTATTTCTTTCCGAGGGGCGTATTGATAATCTTCCGACGCATCCAGAAAAGACGCGTGATTAGGAGAATGGTAAGTAGGATGTTGAGAGACATTGACATCGACCAGTAAGCAATGGAGAAGTTAAGCGTTGCGCTGGCCCAGAGGCTTGAAGCGGGCTGAGCAGCCTGAACGGTAGTGAGTATGGATAGAACTGGATGATAGAAAGTGGTTAATCAAGCGGGCCAATGGAGAAGGACATTGTGCCTCACTGGTCGATGCCAACCACATCAACGTTGGAATCACTACGATATACCACCTCCTCCAGATAACGTGGACGCGGTAAAGCTTGATTCCACGGTAAATAATCGAAATGGAAAGTTTGCTAGGTAAATTTCCTCACCAAGGACCCGTCGGCTAAGAAGGTAGAGACGAGAGTAGCTGAGTTACCGAGGGTGTTTATGGGGAGTGCTTGCTGCTGCATTAAAAATGCAAGCGGGCCGCCGGGATAGTTACGATCGTCAATCCATGCGAGCTCGCTGAAATGCATGTTGATACAGATGTTGATGCTGGCCAAAACGAACAACATCGTGACGAAAGCCAGCCATTTCCAATTGTTCTTCTTTTTTTCGAGAATTAGATAGTATACGCATGCGAAGTAGACGACGATGTGTACGCCTACGGTGAAAGCAGGATCATGAGCGGATGCGACGAGCGAAGAGCATTCACCGACCGTAGGCGACACAGCCAATGAAGACAGCAGCAAGGTTAGTCTGCTCAAACCAGAGATCGGGGGCTGGTTCATCGGTAGCATACGGATTGGTCATCGTGGTGGAACGCAAGGAATATCCGCAGCCTACAGACCAATCTGTAACCGCGACAGGAGATCGAAAGCCTTATACCACAAGATGAGGAACTCAGCGTGAGTACCACCAAGCTTCTTTCCCGTCCCCTCACGATGAGCCACCTGAGCGACAGATACATCATTCGCCGCCGAAAAGATAGTTAGGTTCTGACTGCTTGCGCCCTGAAGCTGAATTAGAACTCCTACGCCTCTGTGCGCTTGGACCGCATGTTTTAGTGAATGATGACTTCGACTTCTGATGTGTCCAGATGACCGAATGGCGTAAGCTACTTCCAGCCGTCTAGCGGTAGGGACAGTTCATAATTCTGAATGATTATTGATCCCCGTCCTACTCCGCAAAACAGTGAAGACAGGCAGCGCTTTGACAGGACTTACAACATTTAGAGGCTGCACGCCATGACGACTCAGCGCCCCGCCGATCTAGGGAATAAATGTCAAAGGCTCAATTGTCCGCGTGATATTGGGACTACATACGATTTTATTGACTTGATGTATTACGCATACTGGGCAGGAGTCCAGAGATTCCAATTCCCATGCCTGAACATCTTTTGTAACATCTTCAAGCTGCCATCGCTTGGGCGCCGTGTATTGCGCAGAAGGCCCGGATAACAGAGCGCCAAACGCAACGGCGATTAAGATCGAGCAACTACTTGATTAAGATTGAGCAACTACTTGTAAACGGGAAGTTCAACCCAGTCGGAATCAATAACTGAGGTCGCCGCGCCATTAAGGATGGCAGCTGAGATCGAGGCGTTGTCACGATCACTGTCTTGCGCGCTAAACCACTGACCAGGCCCTCCAATTGGAATGCTGAAGCTTGAAGCTTGAAGCCCCGCTTGCTCTACGAATATGTTTCATTTTACATCTTGCTGGCACATAATATATTTTTACTTTACAAACGCCGTAGAATGCTGACGTACAAAGTGCTATGCCTGCAGAATAGTATCAAGACACGGCGAAGAATGGACCAGAAATCAGAGACCCGGAGCACGATATTTACTGTGCTGCAGGGGTTCAGCTACTGTACAATATCAGAAATTCCAATACCAAGCCATCTCCTCCGGGATGTCTACAGGTCGAGAAACTCGCCAACGAGTCGCATGAATTTCTCCCTCTCCTCCCAGAAAGGGGTGTGGCTCGAGTGCTCGAAGGTTACCCATTTGACCTTCGGTATGTTCTTGAAGAAAGGTGCGACAACGAAGTCCTGCGCGATGTCCTTTCGCCCGTTCACCACAAACGTGGGCACGCGCACAAGATGCAGGCGATCGACAATCGACCAATCTTTGAGGATGCTAGATTCGATTAGAGTCAACAGAGCTACAGAACAGAGAAGGAAAGCCTTACGGTGCAGTGGCGACAGTGGGATCCCCATTTTCTCCGAAGACCTGGTCAAAAGAATACGCAAGTTCCTTCGGGAAAGGCTTCGCCGTGCAACCATGAACTGCGTGAAACTGCGCCAAAGCAGCTCGGAACTTCGTCGGGTCTTTCATCCCACCAGCCATACCCTCCTGGACGTCCTTCGGCATGTCTTGCAACAGCTGCATATTCGACTGGTTCCACAAGCTGGACGCTGCAAGGGAGTCTGCGATGATGATGTGTCGCAAGCCAGGAGGCTGCCTGCGCACTTCAAATTCGGAACCAAGCACTCCGCCCCATGAGTGGCCCAAGAGATCGAACGAGTCCTGGATCGAGAAGTGAGAGAGGAGGTTCACGAGCTCGTCAATGAAGAGATCGATATTCCAAAACACAGGGGGCTTGTCCTTGATATGCGTGGAACGCGCGTTCCCAATCTGATCGTAGAAAACTACGGGGATAGACTTGTTGGCGAGGTCGGAAAGCGGAAGGAGGTAGTCGTGCGAGAGACCTGGGCCACCGTGGAGGACGACAAGCGGTGTATGCGTTCGATTGGCAAGATCTCCGAAGACCTTGTAATAGGTCTGGTAGGTCTCGCCCTGGTAGGCGAAGGGTATAGTGCCCTCTGAGACTGCTGCAGTAGTGGATGCCATTCTAACACAGTGTGAATGCAACAAATCGCACGCAGGAGTTGAGATTCCTCCCACCTTTCTGAGTGAGGGCGACGTGTGGCTGGAATTGAACCTGAAGGTGCAGACAGATGAATACTGCGAAAAGCTGGGAGGGAGAGCAAGTTCCTGGCCGCTATATGGAGAACACAGTAACCGGAAGACAGCGGCTGACACTGGGTGAATAATTGTAAAATATACTAGCGGTGGTGCAATTCCTTCACGCTCGAGATACTTCCATGATCTCTGCGGGCTGGAATGGGGCAGGCCTGTGACGAAAACGCCTCATCGCCCTGCGAAGCACCGATGCAACTGTTTGCAACGTGACTCACTTCTCATACAGCTTCTTCCCACGAATCGTTGACTTGCAGAAATGATCATCGAAGATGCTCATCTGCAACACCGGTAACTCGACAGAGATGGGAATGGGGGATGCGTATTGGTGGGACAAAACTGGGGTTCGTTAGAAGTCGCGAAGACACAAAGATGCGAAGATGCGGCACGTCTGGAACCAGTCCGTCGTTACAGTCCTGCCCTCAGAACTCACTCCGGTCATATGGCGAGTACCTACCTATCAAAGTGGACGACGGCGCCGGAAAAGCTGCTTCGCGGGAGCTATCGAGTGGCGGTTATCGATCGTTCGTGGCGTTCCTGATTGGGCGCCCGATATACTAATCAGAGCTTAACCATTTAGCTAAATATTCTGAAGAGAGACGCTCCGAAATCTTGGGAGAAGCTTCGTCGACTAACGCTTCCTGTGCTCATGATCTCGGGCTTGAAGTATATGGTGCGATTGAGTGAATATTACGGAGTGACGGTGCGTCACTACATGCACGCCTAAGATTGAGTGCAGTCATCATTGAATATTATTGAACGTTGAATTGGAGGGGCGATTGCAATGGAAGCAGAAGCAAATGCTGGTGCTGTTGGCTGTATGGATCCGAAGCTGTGGGGTCCTTATGGATCCGAAGTCGTGGGGCCCCGCCGTGGTGCGGCGGAGTACTGATACTGAACAGGTTCGGATGAATACCGTTGCACACAGACGTGTCAAGCCTTTGGACAGCAGGGCTACTATTATTCGCTCGTGAGTACTTGAGTCTCGATTGAGGTTAGCATCCAACAATTCGTGACTTGATACATCGAGATTTTAGTAACCGTGTTGACATTGCGCCGAGTGCGTCTGGTAGATAGCATAGGACATCACCTGCCCTCGACGATTGAGCTCTTCGTTTGTTGCTGCGTCACCGTCATGCGTCGTACACCAGAGTATCTTCCTCTGTCTTCGTCTGCCGTCGATTTAGATTGCCAGAGCGAACTCCCCGAGGATGGAACAAAGACTTGGTTGCGGGCACGCATCCCAGGTGAGTGTCCACATCCAAACCCATTTGTACACTTCATGTCGTGGTCAAACAGACACTACGAACAGCCTTGTCTTCTGGTCCTGCGTTTCCGTAATCTGCTCGTCCATTCTCTCCTTCACCCTGTTCACGTACGGCACGGTCATCGCAGCGCCCCAGCATCTATCGTCCTCTAGGGGACAGGCATTGCGCCGACCGAACCCATACGTGAATCTCGACAAGGTGCTGCAGAATGTGACATACACCTTCCCTCCAATCGTCAATTTTCCACCTCTCGTGTTACAGATCAGTACCTCTGATCGTCATCGCACTATGCGCGAGGATAGTAGACAATGGCATTCACGACTTGGTACGGTGTACCCGCATGACCGTCATATTACTGTCTCTCATGAGGTGCGCGCCCGCGATGCAGCTGTCGTTCCAGGATGTCGGAAATATGATGAACTATTTTTCTAGACGTCCACGATCCTGCAATTTCGAAACCTCGACTATGCCATGGAACGTTGTGTACTCACTCTCACACTTCCGCTCAAAACGGATGTGCTTGATCCTGCCATTTCCATCCACGATCCAAGTATTTTGGATGTGTGGGTGTTGAACGCTTCCTTGGAGCTTTCGCCACATATCACAGGCACATGGAAACATGCACCGGCGCGCCGATCGCTACTTGCTACGTTCGCAGTCTCTCTGGATAATCTAAGCTTATCTGGGGAGTTTCATTGCCCATCGGAGGAGTTCACAACGCTGGAGCTCGCTTGTTCTTCCACCGTCTCAGCATGCCGCGTCGACTTTTGGCAAAACCTGAGGTTGGTTCCCATCGGAGGTGAGCGCTTGAGTATCGAGTATCCTTGGCGAACAGGCAAAATGCTCAATTTTCCGCAGGAATCTACATCACGCAATCGCAGTCCGTATTCGGTGGCTCGGGGTAACCAAGGAAGCCGTCGACTCCGAGCTTAGACAATCGATCGTTTTATCAGTAGAATTGGAAGAATGTTCGGCTAGATCCGCGTTAAGTGATTGCATAAAAATCTGTCGGAAAAAAATAAGGTGCCGGATCTTGCCTGACAACTCCTTATTTGAGACTTATAACTGTCTTGTGGGGGACAACAATGGTGCTAAAATTACTCAAAATGCCCTAGGGAGGTCAAATCACGCGTCGCAACTGCCTTATCAGGCATGAAAGGTTTTTCCGACACAGTTCACAGGTTGAATTGCACAGGTACTCACGCGTACCTCCTGATCTGGTATTCACATTTATGAGCGTGCCCCGTCAACGCGGGATCCACAAAATCAGTAGGTTTGCAAACAACGATGGACAGCGCGCCTAGATACCGAATTTCAATTTCAGTATCCGGCGCGCAGTTGGCATCATACGTCTCGTCACTGCATCAATCATATCCTGGCCACAACGGACGCCATAATGAGCGCCACGACGTCGTCGGTGATATCAGTCGATTACACGCGTTCAAGCATTGGTGAGAGGTGCACTATGAATCGGTGCTCAGCATTTGAATAATTTATTCTGTCGGACTACTCCGTAGTAGATAGACATCAGGGCCCCTCCCATCGGATATATATCGAGAAGTTCCTTGGCAAGAAGCTACCTACCTATAGCGGGTAGTGGCCAGGAACTTTCTCCTTGTTGTACGGGAATGTAGGCTCTGGCGTGCTGGACCGCCGAGTGACGCCCATGGCACCGAAGAGTAGGTGTATGGGCGTACGGCGGCGATGGCGACTGACAACATTTGAACTGCCTTCATAGAGTCTGGTCTGTCCGGAAGTTCCTTTGCAATACCGAAGCTTCTTGGGGAATCGGTTATCAGCGGGCCTCCTGAGAATCACCCTCAGACGACAGCAATTCTACAGTAGCACTCACGTTTTCGCTCTCCTTTAGTGCTATCAGCGAGTCGAGGATCCTGTCGACGCGGTGACTGACTGCGTCCGTCAACCGGGCGGAAGAGTAGAAACCTTTCAAGCCTGGGTTTCGATTTCTCTTTCGGGTTTCTCAACTGAATGCATGCCAAGGATCAACTTTCCTGATATCGAATCTTCCACACCATTCATTTCTATCGTCAACTCCATGGATCGCGCGGATGTCCTCGCGTGTACTGCGCACTGACGCAGAAGGTCATGAGTGTATCAACCGGCCTCCGAACTATGTTTCTACTGGCCGCAGTTGATGTCGACAAAATTATCTCCCCTAGATAGATCTCCTCATCCCAATTCCCTTGAACATTTGCCAAAATATTGACCGCCATGCGCCAGCGCGTCCAACTCCCCTTTGCACTCATTGTTTGTGGAGTTTGCGCACTCACTGTATCCCTGCTTGTGCACATCACCAGCGCGATACAGTACTTACACTCACAGTCCTCACTTGGTCAGTATCTGTCTCCGCGATGTGGACACATGATGTCTGACTATGTACTTCGATTACAGGACAGACCCGTGTGGCCGAGTTTTCTATCCCCATACGCTATGCTGCACTCTCCACGGTTAAATCGCCTCGCTTGGGCCTTTACGCTTCGGATGCGGAGTGGCGCTCTTTACTCCCGTCTGGTGAAGGCTTCCTGTACCTCCCGAGCGATGGCGAGCATTACCTCGTCTCACACTACCATCAATTGCACTGTCTGCGGTCTCTGCGGATGTACTTCCTTAAGCATGACAATCTCTCCGAGGCCGACTGGGGCCACGTCGATCATTGTCTCATATATTTGCACCAGATGCTCCTGTGCAATGTCGACCTCACCCTCGAGCCAGCTAATCATAAACAGTTGACACCTGACGGGAGGCTCACGAATGCGGTAACAGGGATAGATGTCACGCATCGCTGCAAAGATTGGGCGCAGGTCAGAGGTTTCATGGAGAGTAACTACGAGCAATGGGGCGATACTTACAAGACAGAAGGGACGTCACCGTAGAGTAACTGAAGCCGAGATAGAGTGTAATTGCAAGCTTGCTGTGTATTATTTATCGTAAAGTTTTTCAGGTCGAACACTGCGGGTTTCTTGTTTGCATTCTCTCATTCGCGAACACTGGTTGCTGCTGCTCAGTGCTCTCCGAGAAATTCATACTGCGGACGAAAATCTCAATCTACATATTTCCGGCGAGGGGTACATCAGAAGTACCGTGTTATCTACATAACTTCTACATACTCACTGGAGACAGTCAGGGTCGCGATTAATACGCAGACATGGGCGATGGGACAAGAAACTCACAACGAGACCGAGCACGACATACAGCTCAATGTTCTACGCGGGGCAGACCTGCAAATATGTCCGGGCGCGGTAGGTCCTCGATGGCGACGGCACCGGTGCGGGTATACTGAAACCCGTCGATGGTAGCCGCAAGATTGATCGCAGCGAAAAGCATCGTCAACGCGCAGAGGATGTACAATAGCACTATCATCCTATGGGATAAATTTGCGGCAGGAATACCGGGCGGGGCGAGCTCCTCGGATGAATGAACCAGCTGTTTCATTTCGTCGTCATCGTCGGAGGTGCTCGGGAGAGCACTGTAAAGTGATTTCATGGCTGAGAAAACTCTACGCATATCAAGGGGAATTTGAATGAGCCTAGTTTCCATGTCGTTGGTAAGCATTTCTACTCTACAACACAGCAAGGGACATACCTTGTCTGCGAGCTTGCGATGCAGATGTAGAGCCTTGGTGCTCGATAATCCTTTTAACAGCGTCTTATCTTCAAATGCTCGAACACAAGTCTCGGGGAACTAGCACTTAAGCAAGAACGTACCAGTGAATGGAGGTGATAACTTTCGATCTGGTAGAATCACCACATCACCGGAAAAATCCACGAATCATTATCATATATGGTAGTAACGTTACATACGCATTTTCAGTCGCCGCCGTATGCTCTACGTGTTATCAAATGGAACAACAGAGAACTCCGGAGGAAGACCGCTTCGAGTTAGAGTAGTATACAGCGTTACCAGACGTAGAAGACCGGCCAACTCGGTCAGAACCACAGCTCGCACCCTAGTAGATTTAGATGCTCGAGTTACTTACTGTAATTTCAATGATCAGTATAGCTGCCCCCGAATACCTACACTGGCAGATATGATGACTCTGAGCGGCGTGGAAGCTAGTTTAGGAGATATTTTCACAACTCACAGTTCACGAGTCCATGCAAAGCCGTACATAATACTTACGTAAATTCCAGCTCTCGCGGACTCTCACGGGTGCTCCGTCGCAATTCTAAACGAACTTTCTCCAATATATACTGCTCTTCATACAATTCGAACCACTGGTCACGACGTACAGCCAAGGAAAATACAGTACTGAGTGTGTTGACGCGTAACAAGGAAAGAGAGCAGTTATAATCAGTTATGAATTTGTGAGAGGTGATATCGCACTTAAAATATATATCCTTGCTTTTGCACAACAGCTGAACCAGAGCTTGAATGAGACAATATAACTTAAGCTAGTCGAGGCTCATGATTTGCTCTCCCCGGATGTATTTCTCCCACAAATTCAGCATACAAAGAGTCCCACTCAATATAATCTAATCACAGTGCAGGATGCGCGAGACACAAATCGGGTACATCCGGTCACAGTAGTTGAACAAATATGTGACGATTTTGCCCCCCCACTCGGCACCTGTTTATAACCTCCCTCCACTTGGGTCCCTCCATTTAGCTACTTCATAGATATCCTTCATCGTACATCCACAGCATTTTTGAGTGCGAACGAGGGTGAATGGCCTAATATTGGATGAGTCTCTTATCTTGTGCACGTCACGCTGAAGTCACTCTCCGGCTCACGCTGTGATGGAATTTGGCGGGGCTCCAGCCTTTTGAGGTGTGTTACTATGTGTGACACGAGCGTGACGACCGAGTAGGCCAGGCATAATTGTGGTTTCCCCTGATAACACTGTATCATAATCGAGATCTCCGATCATCTTCATCCACAGAGGACCCGAGAGGGGCCGGCAGCGAAGCCGCGGCGCCCAAAATTCCCTTTTTGGTGGCTGACGATGAGGTAAAACGCGGACATGGACCGAAAAAATAGGTAGTGATGCCTCTTTTTTGCGGACATTTCTGGTCACAAATGGCACATTTCTAACGGACAATTTTTGGTCCTCCGGATCAGGCATCTTGGGGGTTCCTACCCGCAGTGAATCGGCTATACTCAATCAAAATCAGATAAGGTATTGCTTCCTCCGTTAGTAATGTAAGAAGGGTCCACATCTTCTGTGATAATGCGTGGCATCTGTTGGAACGGTATACACACGAATAACTGTCGGCTGAAGGCTGGAAGCCCTAGAGGTGGACCACTAGAATTCCACCTCCATCTGATACGTTCATCTAGAAGGTACGTTGATATGATATTGATTCTTTACAGTGAGACATCATGATTTGTTACTTGTTCAGGTCGTGAGTATCGCACTCAAAAGAGGACTGAACATGTGGTTGAGGTCCGGTACCTCTGGCTTCGTGCAATTTACATAAAGTTCAGCTCAGTCTTGGATGTTCTTCCTGGAGTTGTCACCACTGCCTGCGTACTTGTCCTCTTATCCTCGCTCAACCCAACATGCTTGCATTCCGCAGCCTGATGTTTTTCATTGCCTTCATTGCCCTAGCCAAGGCCTCTCCGGTATCGCAAGGTGAGAATTGTTCCGCAAAATAGTGGATTGGCAAAAATCGCTAACATCATCACAGTTGACGATGTTGACTGCGACGCCGAGGATATTGCGAAGCGCGGGGAAATTGTTGGCCCTGGTCTAGCACTGTGTTTTTGAGGTGAAATGGTTGACCTACATTCACAGCATCCTGATGCTGACCCACTTCGTTTGCTGTAGCACCATGTCTAGGCCTCGCCAGTACTAGATGATAGGTCATGCATTTGAGGGAGTTAGTTCCGGAGTCAGTAGCGCACCCGTGTATCTCCGCCATTAAGTGATGTTCCCTCGTGACTTCTTGTCAATAAACAACCTGTTAAGAGTGTTTCTACAAACATGCAATGATATAAGCGCTATTCTGTAATTCCATAAGTACCCAGACTCAGATAAGGAGGGCTATCCCGTCGTTCGCATAATATCCACGAGCACAAACTTCTCGTGCACAGTTTGGTGAGATCACAACATTGTATTCTCGCCCCTTGTTCACCGACGACTGATATCCAGACACATTCATGCAGAGAACAGCATGAATTTATCATTAGCAATGTTCCGGCTCTCCGCCGCGGTTCTCATGCTCATCGCGACTATTGCTTTCGCGATTTTCATGAGCGGTCATCATCTTCAGCTACGGACGCAGGAAAGAGGCTCAGAACACTTATACAGTAAGCAAGGCATTTTTTGGCTTCCTCGGCCATGGTTGACCCCTCTAAACTGGCTAAGCTTTCCTAGGGAATGACTATCCCCAAGCGTGGCCCCTCCCTGCATTGATACCGGTTCACATGTCTCACGAGGATAGCGTGCACTACGACTTCGAAACACCAATAGGTGACGCCGAATGGAACGCCACCTTGCCTAGCGGAGGAGTGCTCCTGCACCTCGGCCCCAAGCTCCGTCCCTTCTCGCTCTCCATGTTTCACCAGATGCGCTGCCTCAACATCATTCGCGGGGGCCTTGCTGCCCTTTATGCAGACGGGACTCCGGGTGCACGACTGCGACAGCCAAATCTCACGAGGCACTGCATGAATTATCTGCGACAAATGGTGCTTTGTCGAGCGGATCTGCGGTTAGAGTCGGTGAGAGCGCCGAGGGGATATAAGTTGGCAACATCTGAGGTGACACACGCGTGTCAGGATTGGAATGCGGTGTACTCTGCGGCGGAAGAGAACTATGCTCAATATCTGATCACGCTGGAGGAAGTAGACGAGTAGACGCTAGTGTTTACTGCATTGACTACAGCGGAGGGAGAAGCTGGAGACAGAACGATATTGTAGACAATCAATATGGCGTAAGGCGCACTATGGCCTTCTCACTCCTGTTCAAAAAAGTAAGGTAAGCAATGCTGCAGTACAACACAAGGGACAGTATCTCACAGCACTGTTCTCCCAATTGTAATAATTCTCGTCCATCATTTGGAAGACTATACTCCAATCCCTGCATGTATGTGTCGCGCCGAGTCTCTCAACTTCAAAATCCTTTTCCTCGAAATTCCCAGGCTCCAGGGTCAAGTCAGGAGCGCACAGAATCCCTTGCCGAAGGTAATTCAAACAATGCTTAATGTGCGCTGGAGTCGCAAAGCGTGCTTTGCCGAATGCAAGGTTGAGCACGCGAAGACAATGTAACTCGTGAAACATTGTGACCACAAACATGCGGTCTTCGGGCCCAAGGCGTACGTAGCCAGATCCGGGAGACATCGACGAGAACCACTCGATGTCAGAGGGAACACCGAGCAACGGGTAATGCATGCTTTCCTCCACCGTCATTGATACTAGTGGAAGGTCAGACATGTTCAGCGGGAGTGTCTCCGGGAAATCGTGCCCGTAGTAAGCTGTTGCATTCAAAATTGTCATCCGATGCGTACTTCAGAAACACACACTTACAGTATGTTTTGGCCTGCCGTGCAGAACGACCATGGCTAACATAGTGCGCGATGTGTATGAGGTTCAAGCCGCTGATCAGAACGAGGAGGGACGCTACTGCTCGTCGAGAGAACATACTCGGTGGTGACATCCACGATGCAATGCTTAGCTAGCACGCCGTCGTCGGCTACAAGAGAATATCGTCAGTCGCGCCGCCTAATTCAGCCGTTCATCAACTTGATGAACAGCCGAATGAAGGTTGTGACTGTGGGTCCAACAAACCTTACTGAGTCTTGAACTTTATTCTGTCATTGTTTGTTTGCCCACAGAAGGATGCGCAAAGATGCGAAGCATCCGAACAGTGTCAGTGCACGGGGACTTCAAGAGAAAGTCTGCAAAAGGCATACGCATGCTATAAAGGTCTACCATTATCTTGCCACATTAACAGCGCTACAATGATCCAGAAGAATCGTTACTGCACCAAGTTGCTCGCCCTCTTCTCCTCCTTCGCTTGCCTCGGGGGAGCAGTCAACGACATACCTATTACCGAAGGCACCATCCCCTTCACGTACCAGGGAGAGACGTATCAGACGTACTACAAGGTCGTCGGTGACCTTGCCACAGTAGACGGCTCCAACACTCCACTCGTCGTTCTTCACGGTGGACCGGGCCTATCCCACGATTACCTCCTCCCCATCTCCGACCTCGCCATCAAGGCATCCATCCCTATCGTTTTCTATGACCAGATCGGAAACGCGAGATCGACGCACCTGAGAGATAAACCGTCCTCGTTCTGGACCATCGACTTATTCGTCGACGAGCTTGCGAACCTCATCTCCTCTCTCTCTGTTCAAAACTCGTTCGCACTCCTGGGACATTCTTGGGGTGGTGTTCTCGGCGCCGAGTTCGAGGTTCGCAGACAGCCAGAGGGACTCAGGTACCTCATTCTATCGGACTCGCTCGCTGCGTCGGATCTGTGGAGCCAGTCCACTGCGATGCTGGCGCGGTCCTTCCCGAAGGCCGTGCAGGAGGGTCTGGCGGCGGGCATGACAAACATGGAAGAATTTCGCCCGGCATTGGCGCAGTTCAATGCAGTTCATGGTTGTACTGTCAAACCAGTTCCCAAGGAGATGACCTACTCCTTCAATCAGATATTCGGACCGAATGGCGATCCCACTGTCGCTCGCGCCGAGTGAGTGTAATTCTAAGATTGCATGGCTTGAGCTGAACGAGTCCATTTGCACAGTATATTGCAGAACTGGACAATTATCGACCGCTTAGATCTCGTGCGCACATCCACGCTCGTGATCAACGGTAGGAACGATATCGCACAGGATTTCGTCGTTGCGCCGTTCTATCAGAACATCGCGGAGGTGAAGTGGATTACCTTTGAGCAGTCGAGTCATACACCATTTTGGGAGGAGCGAGACCGTTACATGCAGGTTGTTAGCAGCTTTTTGCGTCCGTAGACGTAATATTGTGTGGCCACACCTCATAGCAAACATCCAAATATGACGTGAAGAGATACATTGCTGGTTTCAGGACCCCGACAAACTGTGCAAACAAACTGCGTCAGTGAATTGTGCACAGAGATATTAATTGCAAGAAAACACCCAGAGAAGGGATGAAAACTCTCTACGCTGGAGAGTTGGTCCTATAGACCCTACAAGACACGTTACATGTCGATGTTATCAGACATGGAGCATATGGCAGCTTGATAGAAGACAGATGCCACGTACAAGTTGGATTCTTCAACCCGGGCACAAGTAGCGCGCCTACTAGATTGGAACGACATTATAGAAAATGTAGCTCCGCCAGTCTACGGATTGATACCGGGGAGCACACAGGTACACCCGCTGCTTGCCTGTTGGACACGTGTTCCAACAGAAGTCTGTTCCAAGGCGAGAAGGATGTCTTCAGAGTTCGTCTCTATACAGCGTCTACTCACCAGAACCCAGAATTCCGGTAGAAAAATCAGTTCAACTAACCAGGTGATGTACATTAGACCGGGGATACTGGAACAAGACGGGGTCATCGGGTAACGCGCATCTAACTACTCTTGGCACTTCATAAGACTTACAGAAGCTCGAGCACTCCCCGCCTCGCACATCGTCACGACCCAAAGCATGCACAAGCATCACATCCTCCCCAACAGCGTGATTCGAGCAGTGATAATTGCGCTCGTTGTCTCGCTGGTCCTTAACACCATCGGCACGTTCGTGCAAAGTGAGTTTCGCTCCCTAGTGCCGCGTACAGTGTAGTTAATCGTCGCGCATTCAGGCGGCAAATCGAGTACACACATCCACGCACTCACCAGATTGCCCATCAGGGTCCGCCCTGTAGCACTGGAAGTTGTCGACTCCGATCGATATGGCATGGATGACGACAACGACTGGGCATCCGTCATCCCGTTCGGACACGGATTCGTCCGCCTGGGGGAAACCGACGCTTATTACGCGGTTTCGATGTACCACCAGATTCACTGTCTCAACAGCTTTCGCAAGATGTTTAATGGACATCGCAACGAAAGCCGTGCGACACACGACGCTGGACACGCCCTGCATTGTCTCACATACCTGCGGCAGATGGTACTGTGCAGTGCTGATGAGACGCTGGAGCCCGCTTTCGCTGCCCTCAACGTTGACGGAAGAAAGACGCAGGCGGCTTACGGTTCAGGGGTAATTCACCAGTGTCGGGATTGGGTCCAGGTGCGAGAATACGTCGAGCGTAACTACGAGGAGTGGAAGGATGATGATCATTACGCGGTTACAGAGGCTAGTGCAGTGGCAGAATAGACGGTACCTTGCTTACTATCATAGTCACAACTTACAAAGTCATGATTCAGAACATCATGAATAGCCACACTTTCTTGATTCTCGCTGAACTACTATGCGTGCGCGCAAGTACTGGCATCATCATGATGGTGTTGCGAAATATCTGATCAACTTTCCGGTAAGGCTGGTGAAGTTGTTGTCGTCTATTTGTGCACTGAGCCAGTCGGCGGTGGGACATTAATATTGTTCTTCTCCTGCCTCATGCTACCCACAGGCTTGCTTTCAGTGGATTCTTCGGAACCCAATAAATGCATCCCGATGCTCATACGCCGAATGTCCATCTCATCATTTACCCAGGTCACTGTCTTGTCAAGGATTTGGGGTTATGATAGCTTTCATCATCCGTTATAATGGAAGCCTCTACGTTACGACACCCGCGAATGTGTACTACTTATGCATCTGCGAAGCCGTATCCGTCGTGGCACACTGTACGTGTCTTCTAAGAATATCAGATCGTCCGATGGTACGGGATGGAGTACATCCATACAATGCAGATGTGGGTGTGGTTTCTGAATATCCGAAAACGTGATGTTCTCACCCCAGTTCCGCCTGGATGCGATGGTCGCATCTCTGTCAATTGTCAGAAGGGGTCTTACATAATGATTATCCATGCAACATCCTCTTCGATGAGATGGAGGCTTTGATACCGGATTTACTGTGAATTCCGTATTCCCAATGCGGTTTCAATATGAGCGGCCCTGTATGTCCAAAGATGTTTGTCAAACCGCGCAGAGACGAGCTATATCATGCTGAAACTAACGAGTCTCTGCAACCCCATGCGCCTCGGGCCCTCGGAATGTCTACCTCGTACGCCACAGATGAGTCTCCGTCGCAGCTTTGGTATGAGCAATCTATCAATGCTGCCGTCTACATCGGCGCAATGGCATGGGGTATGTCGTACTGTTATGCTGCCCTCCCATGGTTATTGATTATATTTGACTGCGCAGGGGTACATACGTCGGTCTTCTATACGGCCGTCAGATGTATCCTCCAGAATCAGAACCAGAAGAGGCGTTTTATATGGCTTCCCTTTGTTTGTGCACAGTTCACCATGTCGACGGTGAACATTATTTGCAGCATCAATTTCAATGAACATGCGTGGATTGACGAGCGCAACTATCCCGGTGGCCCACTTGCCTTCATCGTCGAACGGCAGTCTCTACCGGTCAATACTGCTTCCATTGCAGCCTCGGTCGTCACAATCTTCCTTGCTCAAGGATTCTTGGTGAGCACGATTATCTCCATTATCGTTCTATTCCTTATCACAATATCCTAGATTTTTCGAGTGCACGAGCTATGGAAGAAGGCTTACATCACACTTTGCTTGATCCTTGTCTTACTTGCATCGACAGGTATGGTTCTCAAATTCTATACACAGTGCTACGGTCGACGCGTTCCGCAGTCATGTCTGTCCTCCACTGCATACAGGCGTCTCGTACATCTTCTGGCCTATGGGATCAATCTACCCTCAGCCTATCGGTACCCTTCGCATCGCTAGCCATGTCTCTGAACATCCTCCTCAGTATCTCCCTTACGTGGCGGCTCCTGGACCTCCGCCGTCAGCTTCCCTCTGTGATCACCGATCACTTGAAGGAAACCTACACCGGCTTTGAAGCTCTACTGGTAGAATCCGCACTGCCATACGGTATTGTCTCTTGCATATTTGTAGTACTATATGGGCTGCAGAACGCCGGTGCAAATCTCTGCGTTCCGTTACTCGTGCAATTGGAGGCAAGTCATGCAGCTCGTTCATTTCTTCCTGCGCTCATGGTTGGCGACGGTGCAGGGTATCGTTCCAGGATTGGTTATTCTGCGCATTGTCCGCGGATACGCTTGGTCAATGGACATTGTTCGTCGGGTTGGTCCGGCAAATATTACTTTCCGGGGTTCTCTCGGTCGCCCTGTAGATTTTTCTGGGACGGACGAAGTGTCATTGGCGATGCTTAACCTCCCGTCGGGACACTCGTCGGATGCGAAGGTGCCCTCTGATCTGGTCTAAACGACTGCCGGTGTTTCGAAATTACGCACCTGTATTATAATGGTATGGTTGTACTTTCATAATGCGGCAATTATCTGTGGCTATGGTGCTTTAGTGCTATTGAGAATGTGAATTCGTGATTTAGTCCCCATTCTACGACAGGTATCAGCAAAGGAGTGCTAGTACCGACGCGGACGCGCGGTTGACGTGAGTTTATTGCTCTGCTTGAATACGTTGTCATACTCAATATTAACTCAATATATGTACGTAGCTCTACGGCACTTCACGCCTTTGATCAAGAGGATCCTGCGTCCCACCTTCGTTCAACGTCGAGTCGACTCTCTCAATGAAAGTTCTGAAATAGACCATATGAATGCAGTGGAAATAACAATTTCGAACTCTTCAGAAGATGATACTCACAGTTTCATGGACGCCGGCCAGGACACATCAGACTAACAGCTATTTTATTCTGAACGGTTCCAAAATTCTAGTCTCCCAAGGCAGACTACAAAATCATCCCTCTTAGTGGGGAAGGGGACGGGATGATACCAAAACCCCAAATCATTGTCCATGGTAAGTTCTAAAATATGTATGCTCGGTTTGTCGTTCTCATCGTGACGTTTGTCTGCTGCTAGCACTGACCCACGGCTTTGACTGTCTTTCTGCTTCGGCGCCAGCGAGGTATTGCGCTTGATAGGACACTGGCAAACGATCACACGAACTCTCGTAACATGGGTAGAAGCTTCTGCATCGCGTCGAATGGCTGCCATTCCTCCGACGCAGCCAATTTTGACCCCACTGGCAGCGGATTCCCCCATCGCCACATTTATTTTCTGCTGTGAAAGGAGCAGGGTATAATATCGACCTACCGCGAAAGCGTTTTGCATCGCTAGCCTTCTCGTTCGCGTTGGAACCGGGACGGCCGTCTGGGTCCTAGAGACCGCGCTGGGAGTACGCGACGTGAGTGTACTCAGTCTGAAGTCCTTCAGTGTTCTTATACTCTGTAGACCCAGGAATTCGCCAGATCCAGAGGACGAGGAGCTTGACCCAGAATTGGCATCTACCTTGTCTCAACCACATCTTAAGGATGCGCTTCAGTGGTCGTGGCCGGACGCAGAGAAACGACTGAAGGCTGCATTTGAAAGACATGGGTTCATGGGTTGGGCGGAAGCTGCACTGCAGGAACTGGAGGCCGAACGGCACGTTGAGCGGGTTCGAAAGGGCACGCATAGCACGTCACGAAAAATGCATGACCGACGCTCAGGACACTCTAGTAACTAACTTCTAAGCAGTGAGGGATGCGTTCTCAGCATTGATCTTATCGTAAAAGAGAAGAATAATCCTGAACACATAAATTCGTTGCGTGGAGTCGCCGCATCCCAGTGTGGCAGGCCAAAAGGGTATTGCATGCTCCATGTCATATTCATGTGGTGTACATAGACAACAATGCCAACATACGATGCGCGAGGCAATCGAGGGAAGACGCCCCAACCGTTTTGACACCTGCCCGCCGCCAATCGGCGCAAATCACTGCACAGCGTCGGAACGCCCAGCGCCTAAGACCCTCACGTAGACTTGCTAGCGGCAGCGACGCCCTTGCGCACGGTATCTCTGCGGGCTTTCTTCGCGAGCAAGACACAAAAGCGCTCGAAATCGTTCAGTGACCGCCGCTTCTCGATCGCCGCGCGTCTCTGTGCCCACGATGACTTCTGCCACTTCTCGACGGTGCCCTCCTTCTCGAGCTGCTTGCGGATGACCCCAGAGCCTGCTGCGCGGGGCAGCTTGGTGAGGACAAATGGTGTAAGTGTTAGGTGGCGGTAGGGGAAGGATTGCCGAGGCACGCCTGTTGTGGGACCGTCGATGATGGCCTAGCATTGTCATGAGACACTCAGCAAAATATCTTAAGCAAAGGACGGCGGGAACGTACTACTCACGCGATTGTGGTCAATAATTTCCGCGATCACAGCGATGTGACCTGCATGCGGGCCGCCCTTGAGGAGCACAACTACATTATGCAAAGGCCAAATCAGTTCTACACTTCCAGATTATAGAGAGTCGAACACACCTCGGCCAACCTCGACGAAGCGTTTGAAGTTTGATTCTTGTGCCTGTAGACGGAGAGACAGTCAGTCCTAGTACCACTCACTTCAAATTCGGCCGTTCTCATAACCAGCATGACCCACTCCGGTATCCAAATCCTCCAACTGAAAACACCGCATCATGCGAGAGTATAGGTGACACTCTATACCATGCCCTCATCTCCCATCTGAACTTCATCCGCCGTCATCCACCTCTCCGAACAGCAATCCACCTCTAGAACTCGCAGAAACTCCGAAATTTTTGCCAGTTGTAGGTCATGCAGGATCGAACCATCATACAGACGATAAGAGGAGCTCACCGGCATGGTAGGTGCTTGCGGATGTCAATTGCGGTCGGTTTTCTGGCGGGCGTCGAGAAATCTCTGTTGACTGTTTCGGGAAGTCGCGAGAAAGTGGTGTACACGTGATCACGTCGCGCGACGCGACTCGCGTTGCACAACTTGCCGCACCCGAGCCTCTGTCTTCCGTCTACTGGCACATACATCTTGCGGCATTTCTGCTGTTGCTGATCCAATTTCTTATAAATTATTTGAATTCAGCCTCTCAACGTATATCTGCAAGCTACTCAACCCGATCCACTGTCGAACGCATCAGCCTGAGGATCAGGAATCGGGCTTTTCTCCATCGGTCCATTTGTCTCCATCTGGCTCCAAATGGCGTGTATGAAAGCGTTCACAGAATGGTCCGTGATATTTCCCCCTCAAGTATTTGTATGATCTGCTCGATTTCAATGGACTACCATGGGTTTATGGAAGAAGCAACTGGATTTACTCACCTCGGAAGGCTTAATTTATTTTCAGGCGTCAAATCTGGTACATACGCAGGGGCCTTAGTGGACGCGACTTCTTCATCGCCACTCAAGAGGCCGACACAGAACACGACCACACGATACACGGGTTGCAATTAGAGTATCATTGACGGCAGGTACGTACTAAGTAGAATGTGCAGAGTGGAGGGCTAGCTGGGACTGAATGGCCTGAGTGGAGTGGTCGATACAGTATGTAGGTAATAAGTTAGACGTGTACAATCCAGGTAAGCGCAAAGTTCAGCTCATGAGTCCCTTGACTCGACCGTTCACCCATACATCCTTCAATTCAACGGCACCAATTTCCGCCGAATGCTCCCCTTGCCTCCACATCTCCACCAAGCCTCTCGCTTCTACAGGAAGGATCGACGAAGTCCCTGTTCCCACGGTTATGTGCAATACCTTCTTGAGGTCCGCAGGGAGATGTTGCACGAAATCCAGGCCCTTCTGGTCCGTACCCTGTTCGTCCTGACACACGGCCATGTCTACGACTGTAGCAGCCATAACACGGTCATTCCACACCAGATGTCCGAGCCGGAAGCTGAAGAGCGGCGGCGAGGCCATCACGTCAAGTTCACCGCACCGCTCCCACAATGGGGTCTCAACAGGCAGCGAATTTGAGTGCACAATCGTGACGTGTGGACGCTGTGCGACACGCTTGTCGGTGACTAGACGGTCCCAAAACTCCTGTGCCTTCGTGGGTATGCCTTGTTCGGCCAACTTCTTCCGTAACACGTCCTCCAGATCCACCTCCGCTAGAATGCCGTAGTACCGCGGCGTCTTTTTTTTCTTCTCCTGCTCGCTTTCCGGTCGTTTCGTCTTCGGCGCGTACCCGCGTGCGACCGCAAGCGCCTCGCCTAGCTTCTCTTGGTCCGGCATAGGCACACCGAGGATGCGCACGCAGGCGTCGACGGCCCGCTTGATCGCCTCTTCCAGCGTTTCCTCAAGGTCCATCTCGACCGAAACATCGACCTCGCTGTCCTGCAGCTCCTCCGCCTGGCGCAGGAACTGCCAGATGACGTCCTCGTGCGACTTCGTGAGCGCATCACCCCGGAGCGTCTGGTGATTGGCACCCCGCGCCAGCACGCGGTCCCCGCAAATTCGGTGGATCGTCGATGGTGGCTGGTCGAATGACCAATTGAGCGCCATCAGCCGGACGGGCGGATTGAAGTCGCGGACGGCGTCGCGCAGCGCCTGACGGTGCTGTTTCAGATGATTGTTTCTGGTGTTAGCGTATGTGAGTGGAGCACAGCCATGGCAAACGGAAGGAACTTCACCTGTCAGCGATGACCACATCATGAGTCTGGAGGAGTTTGACGACATTCTTGACAAAGACCGGCGCTGCTTTCTTCACGTGTACATCATCGCTCTGTGTATGTGCAAAACCGAACAGATGTGCCAGCGCGACTGCAACAGACGTTTTACCTTCACATGGATCATGAGTTAGCGTGAACACATCGCTACAGAGGTATAACATACCGACGCCCGGAATTGCCACTGGCACTATCACTGTCTTGCCAAACTTCTCCCCCTCCTGCACGATCGTCACCTTTTCCTCACTCACCACTGACACAGCTTCCTTACCCTCCTTACCTTCCATCCACTTCAAGAATCTATCCCTGGTGGCGATGATTCCCTTGCCCTTCAGGTATTGGGAAAACTGCGACCTGTCACGTTTGATCTCATCGATCACCCATTTCACATACACCACTGTTTCCGGGCGACGAAGCTTGCTCTTGGGCAGATTCCCTTGGCTAGGGCCTTTCGAGAGCAGGATCTTTGTCACCTCCCGCCAATCACGGTACATCATGTACGGCTCGTCAAACTTGACCTTGAAAAAGAACGAGGAGCCCGGGGCGTACGGCGATGGCTTCGCAGAGGCTCTGTCCTTTGGTGCAACTACGTGCGTCCGCACGACAAAACCCTCCAGCGCCTCGCCCCTCCAGCTTCCCGACTTCCCAACTGCCTCGGTGAACTCCTTCACCTCGGGTATCGACTTGAGCACGGTCGACGGGGTCTGGATGAAACCCCACTCTTTCGCGAACGTGTCTACCGTGTCCTGCAGCATCGTTTTGAATTGCTTTGTGCACTCGTTTAGGCCGTGCAGGTGGAGACCTGTCTTGTCCTTCGAGTACGGAAGCACATGCTCCTCGAACGAGTCGTCGCAAAGCTATAAGCGGAATGAGATTGGGCGAGAGAGAAACGCAGAGTTGTCTCGCACGTACCTCTGCCACCGCGGTCCAGTTATTTCCCCAGAGCGTAGACGCGAGCTGCTCCTCGGTTTTGCCTGCTTCTGCGAGGTGCTTGCGGAGCCACCGCTCTCCTACCTGCGCGTGGCTCTCGCCTGATGCAGAAGCCGAAGGACCGAGCGAGTGTTTCGACGTCACCAGCAGTTTCGAGGGCGTGAGCGCGGCGATAAATATGATGCAGCCGTTTGACTTGAGAGTAAGGACGTACGGAGCCGTCGTTTGTGCCTCTAGAGACGACCACTGATAGTAGATGAGAAACTATGAATGTTCGAGTAGGAACTGGCTCACTGTCGTCCAAGGCACTTCCCCGATGTTGAAAAACTTGTCGTACCCTCGCGCGACGATGCGGTATTTGACATCGCCTGACGGGTGCTTTAACTCCTGTGTAAAGACACCTCTCGCAAGAGTTGGAAACGGCGACGGCACGTCATAATACTTGAACTCGTTCATCTTCCAGCTCCGGATACCAATGCTCGAGTCGGCAGGCGCCTTGTACTCCGAAGACCTGACAAGCTTGGGACTCTTCTTCGACAGCCTATACAAGTCTGCTATGAGGTGAGAATCCTCCTCTGGAACCAGATCCGCCTCTGGAACATCTGACAGGGTAAGTCCGTTCGACGAGTCGGCGAGTTGTTCAGGTCGGGCCATGGTAGTGAAGAAAGGAAGTCTTCTTGGAAAACAAGAGAGTGTGGGTGGGCAAATGCCCCTTCGAAGAAGTTGTAGAAGTATTTTGGTGTAATGACTCTGAAGTGAGTCAGCTTCACCTGGAGGTATGTGTAGTATCTTACCAAAGGTAAGTTGCAGTTGCGAGCTCGGGCCGGCGGCCGGGCTGCGATCTAAAGATGAACGACGTTGACTTCTAAAAACGACCGTGGTCCGCGAGGCTCTCATTCCTCGGTATCATTGCGGTATCGCGTCCACCAACTCAGGAGGGACCAAGATATCGATATTCCAGACTGTTGCACTCAGATCCGACTCCAGGCACGACTGCAATCTCTACTGGCCGCTGGCACGAGGCCTCTAAGTTATCCATCACCACCGTGAGTGGTCAATCTCAGACGACTCTCGAGGAAAAATTCTCACAGGAATCCTAGCGTGCATGTGAAGATGGTAGTGGCGCGGCGATGTCAGGCCTCCTGTCAGCCTGAAACAGGCCAGGACATGAAATTGGCACCTTCTGCCATGCCCCGTGCACGCGGCACCTCTGCACCGTATCCCGAACGTCCCCAGTTATCGCTGAGCCTGCGCTAAGTGGCAAGCGTGGACCAGCCTGTCAGGCTGTCACAATCTTATCGCTTCTTCCAAATGCTCCTCGTGTGAACGCATAGTATAAAGTCGAGGTACCCCCAACGTCGTGCAGGAAGCCTTGCTCCTCTCTGCCGGTTTCTCCAGCGCCCTTAGCAGGACAACACACACTTCCCGAGGCCGGCATGGTACAGATCAAGTTTCCGCAGTTCTACACGTCGGTACCGTCTCCCCAGATGCTGGTCGTGCGATGCTGACACCGAGTGTATCTCCACGTGCAGCACGCCTATGGTGCAGGTGGTCTTGGTTGGCATAACATGGTGCGCATTGCGTTCCTCAGTACAAGTCCGTGGTGTAGTGACTGAGGACGTTGCTCAGTTTTGCGACAGTGGGCATGTTCAGTGCTGTCTCCAACTTGGGAGCTGGAGGGACCCAGGATGTTACACTGAGTGACACTGCGAACGGCGTGCTCTATGGCATGTTCGCTGTCACAGGACTGATTAGCGGCGGAATTAACAACTGTGAGTAGATCCTCTTTATGCCATGTGGTAACACTCACTTTGATGTAGTGCTTGGTCCCCGACTGACCCTTTTTTTCGGGACTCTCGGATACGCACTTTATGTTGGGGCGCTGTGGTGGTGAGTTGCCGGAGGCTTGGACACGCAGGGATATCTCACACCTTCTCCGCAGCCACCAGACGCAGGGGACAGCCTGGTTCCTCATCTTCGCTGGCGCACTGTTGGGTATATCTGCAGCTCTGTTGTGGTCGGCCCAGGGCTCCATCATGATGAGTTATCCGCTCGAGAAAGATAAGGGAAAAGCATTTGGGATCTTCTGGGCGATCTTCCAGTTTGGTTCTTTCATTGGCGCAGTCATTGCATTAGCCATCAACATCCGTAGCGGAAAACTTAGCGCTGTATCGACTTCGACTTATATAGTGAGTCTATTGCACCCACATATCCAGAGTCCGTACTGACCAGCGTGCACGCAGGCGTTCCTTGTTATCATCTTCGTCGGTATTGCTTCGGCGTTCCTCGTGCTGCCGCCAAACCAAGTCGTTCGTGGCGACGGAACGATTGTTAAACTCGAGGCTGCGTCTGCTCCTCACGAGGAACTTATTGCAATGTACCGCTTGTGTAAGGACTGGCGCGTCATCGGTGAGAGGCATGCATCTAGCCTATATCTCAATTTTGAGACGCATCCCAGCCCTTTCACCCATGTTTTTCGCGTCCAACTACTTTTATGCCTATCAGGGAGCTGTAAACGCCGGGAAGTTCGATGGCCCCACGCGTGCTCTGAATGCGACGCTCGAAGGCGCAGGTGCGATCATTGGTGCGCTCATGATCGGCTACCTTGTGCTTGACGTGAAGTGGTTGCATCGCCGCACCCGCGGTTATCTTGGGCTCGCTGTCACTGCTGTGATTACTATCATCGTTTGGGCTGTGGCGCTCTCATGGCAGGTCACGTTCAAGCGTGAGCCAGCCGCTTCGATTGTCCTGATCAACTACAAGCACGCGAACTACAGAGGGAAAGGCGCCCTCTACTTCTTCTGTATGTCGAAGTCTTCGATACTCGAGTATACGCGTGCGAGCTGAGTTGCGGTCCTTTCAGACTATTTCGGCGATGCGTGCTATCAGGCCCTGGCTTACTGGATTATGAGTGCGCTCACGAACGATCCGTTCAAGCTTGCGCGCTTTGCCGGTATATACAAGGCCTTGCAGAGTGCCGTACGTACTCCTTTAGCCATTGTAATTCCGTGTTCTCATTACTTCATTTGTCTTAGGGAGCAGCTGGCAGCTTTGGTATGGACGCAGTCGCGACGCCATACCTGAACGAACTTGTACGTCGTCCGTTTCTTCTTAGTCTTGCCTACGATCCGTGCTAACATGCGCGTTCAGCTTGCCAGTTGGATCTTGATGCTGGTCTCTTTCCCTCTGGCGTATTTAGTTATCCGCGACATCAAGGAGACCAACTACAATGACGAGGAGGTACGTACTGATTTATATCTGCCTCTGTATTACTCATCGTCTTCGATCAGATGGTGTACGTCGACGATATCAAGAACGAGAAGATGGAGCAAGGTGCTGAGACAGCCGAAGCCGGGTCGATCGAGAAGGGTAGCATAAAGGGTGCGGAGGAAGCTATCACTGTGCCTGCGTGATGCGGTCCCTTACCTGGACTTGGTTATCATGAGCTGCTACTGATGACTTTTTACTGAACAACGGACCATTTGGCCGTTCATGTGACGTTCTCGGATTGTTGTGTAATTGCTAGGCGTAGATTGGGTATTTTGGGACTGTAGATTATGGCTCGAACGTATGAGACAGAATAATGATCGGTAAGGTTTTGTGCCCACCTACAAACTACGTCACCTTCCTTTTTAAGACTGACACTTGCAGCCGCGATCTGGATCTATGGCTGCAGCGTCAAGCTTCGAAGACCACGATGGCAGTTGGCCTAGCCACCGGTACCAAGTATCTCTTAAGGCTGAGCCAACAATCTCCCCAAGCAGAGGTGTCAACAATATTTATCTTGGTATCAGGTCGATACTGAGTAACCCACACCCGTTGGCCTTGATAACGGCAAGCGCTTGTGGCGGTACTGACCGCATGCCTCCCATGGCGCCATCACAACCTTCTGCAATTGTCTAAGCGCCATGATAGTGAGCCCAACGTGACTCGAGGCTTGGAACCGCAGCTCTTTAGGCAGGCACCTTGTGGGGGGCCGATGGGAAGGTCAAGTCATAGCAAGTCATCCAAACGGTTGCGACGCGTCCGTGCACCCCATGTCGTCCAAGATCCGAGGCGCGCCCTCCGGGCACAAGGCGCGTACTCGGAAGACCGTTCAGACTGTTGACATCAACCCGCTCTCATATGACCGCACGGACCCATTCACTGCGCTCAATGTGCTGCGCCAGCTGTTGGCGTTGCTGGCGTCGCTGCCGGCCAGGATTGGCGGGTGCCAGTATAAGCTCTCTCCGATCCTGGACGAACGCGGGACAGAGCCAGAGTCTATTCCATCAGATATTCTTACAACCGATACTGATCTCGAGTCTACGGACGATGAGCTTGGGATGCATGTCAAACAGGAGCGCTTCTTGGCTGCTGCTTTGGCGAGAATGACTGCTCTCGACTCCTTGACCTAGTCTTGCAATCACTCTCCCATTTCTATTGACGACATATGGCCCACACTGCTGAAATGTCAGGGCCTGAGACACCTCGAGATCAATGACAATCTCGTATTTACTCCCGACGCACACCCTGATCATGAGGGAGGCACCAGCCGAAACACCCGTCGTACCGTTGTGAGTCGACTTCCATGCAGTCCGATCAGACTTGATCATCCATCTCCATTCAGTTACATGGACTGAAATCTGCTGGTCTTCATGCCACGAAACACAATTACGGCACGACTAAAATTCCGGATCTTTCTCGCATGTCTGCTATGCTGAATGACTGCCCCAATCTGAGGTGATTTCGGCCTCTTGGCGTTGCTCGCTAAGCGCACATGCTCACATTGGTATCAGGTCCTGCATGTAGATTATACCCAACGCCGTGGTGCCGGCTATCTCAATCCCACCGCTGACGACTTCCTGCTCTGCGGCCGCTGGCCTTATTTGAAAAATCTGGTTTTGACCAACTTGTGGTGTTCCCCTCATGCCGGTCTTGACGCCGCTGCGACCTTCCTTTTCACTCACGCTAACATCGAGGTCCTTCATCTGGATATTTCATTCCGTACTGCTACCGGGGGTACCAACCGTGCGATGCTCGCGCTCCCGCCGAACTCGCTCTCCCGCCTCCGCGAGCTCAAGGCAAGCAAGGAAGTTGTATGCGTAATCTTGCAGTGCCCCTGCGACAAACCAGGCTGGAGGCCACTGGAGACCATTAAGGGCGTGCAATTGACTGGGTCAACGTGGGATCATGTATTCCTAGCGAGCCTGAAGAAGTATGGCGCAAATGCGCTCAAGAGGTTAGAACTCGCTGGGTGGAATGAGATGGATGATCTGAGGCGGCTTGTGGAGTGCGTACCGAAGTTGACCTGGCTGGATGTCGGCAAACGAGGAGGGCCCGGAGCCGCTAATACTCCGCAGACGACCAGTGCGAGCAAACCTGTTACGGTCATAAACACCAATGCTGTGCGCCGTTCTTTTTTTTGATACCGATGTTTTTCTTAATAATGCTCCGCGACAGGTCGAATGGGCGACCCTGCTCTCGAACATGCCTGAGCTCACTACGTTCTACGGCGTCCGCTTCTTCTACGAAGTGTCCGCCCTCGCTGCGGATCCATCTATCCTCTCGTTATCCGACCGCAGTCGCGTGCGCAAGAACGATGAGGTAGCGTCCGTGTTTGCATGGAAGTGCCCCAAGCTGCGGCGGCTGGACCATTGGGAGGAGGGCTCAGGCAAGGTCATTGTCCTACTCAGAGATGGCGAGAAGATCCGGTACGAGGTCAGACGTGTCAAGGTATGACCGCCAGATCTCCGGAGCTTGCAAGAAATCTTGATTATAATGACGGCATCTTCATTCTTCTCTGTTGTCATATCCTTGTTTCGAACGCACATATCAATTCTGTCACAGCCCAAGTAATCAAGGCAACGATCGGGCACATATGTAACTAGCGCGCATATACCGATACAACGACAAGGAAGCTGCTACAATTACATCCCCGCCGAAGGGGGGGCGGGTTGGGTTGTTGCAAAATCATACGACAAGCTTGCAGCTGTTCTAGTGACTATACCAACGGGTGTTACGCAAAGAGGGTGTGGAACGTTCACGAAGTACGCACTCAGACCATCAACGCCCCAAAAAGCCCGCCATCGTGAACAGGTATACCTCGCAGGAGGCGTGCTAGTTCCGCATGCGAGAGGTGCTCGGCCCAGCGATGGCATGCCTGAGTGCCTTTAGAGATCATAATGGCACGCACCCCGTCTTGCGAGAGTGTTGTATCAATGACGTTGCAAATCTCCTGCAGACAGCTGATCAGTACCCATGCTCCGAGCTATCGAGCGGAAGTACACGTACGAGAACCCACCGCTGAGCCATATCGTTCCGCACGGACATTATATCGTGCTTCGCCTTCCAAACGATGGTGGCTCGGATTTGCTCCAGGAACTCCCGCGGGACGCACTCACCGACGTGCAAGGACGCACGCAGGAGAAGGAGATGGAGACCGCGGTAATGTATCAGGGACCATGGCACGTCAATGAGTACTGATATGAGCAAACACATGTCTGAAGGCGGCAGAATGCCGAGCGCGAAAAGGTCGCCGACGAATGAGGTTATGCTCAACAGCTGCGACCTCATGTTCTCCAGGAAGTCAGTGAGAGCATCCAGGCCAGTTCCCGAGCCGAAAACATGGAGGTCGGTCTGCAAGGATGCTACGTAAATACTATTCATTCCCAAGAAAAATGACATACACTACGCCAACTGATGATGAACGCAGCCATCGCAAGGTCAAGGAGCTTTTCTTCGAAATACCAATTCTTATCCCATGAGGCCCAGAAGAGGTCAGCCATAATATCGTGCACGATTACAGCAACAGTGCGCGAATAATCAAGGCGAGCGATTGCACTGAAGAACAGCCTCTGCGCCCATTCCGAGATACATCGCCGCGCGACCCATGGTTCGCTACACGATATAATGGAGCGGACCACACATCCGGCTTCGGCGTGGATCACTAGTGGGTGGCAGGTCTCGCTGATCATACATTGCATCCGATAGAAATACACCTGGAGGCGAACGTCAAGCACAACCAGCGGTACCGAGGGCAGTGAACGAAGGCGCATTATGCCCGGGACGCCGCCCGCTGACCGTGACGAGCTGGACTTCTCCGAGAAATACTGGACTCGCAAAGTAGCACCGCATCGACGGATGGCGGAGTGGCCATCGACTTTCAACTGTACACATGCAACAGGCTTGCGGAGGGAGACAAACCAGTAGAACTCCCTGGCGTACGCGTTCTTTTCCATTCTTGCTACGTCTTCCGCGGAGATCACGGATACTGGGCTGTGAGCGCTGCGCTCGACAAGTGTGAACGCAGACGCTGCCGACGCGACAGACATCATGCAAGATACGAAGGGAAAACAGAAAGGACGGTGAAATAGATGGGCAGGTTGCGGTGGAGGAGAGGAGCACCCGACGGGACCGGATATATAACCATGACAGAGATAAAGAAGTACCGTTGCACATTTCATTGCCGATGCACTCGACGTTCAGTGGATACAGAGTCTGCCGAATGGACAAACAATAAAAATACGAGCCTCACCGCAGTACGTCGTCACTTTCGATCATCGAACAATGACAACTATCCCCTTGACATCGAGTTCAAGGCAACCAATAGTTCATCGTAGGGTACTGACCTTGCCTACTAGTCATGGCTCCCACATATCCATATTGTACAAAAACCGAAGGACGTAGTCATGTCGGGATTTCCTTGAACAAGACTGCTGATTGGTAGATGTCAACAAGAAGAGGGCCGCCAGGCCGTTTGACATAACAAAATAAGTTCTCTGATAATAAGCCAGTTGTTCTTCCCAAGAGAAGGCTTGTTTTCGCAAGTCCATGATCCAGAAAAGGGCACCCAAAAGGATTCGATTCGTGGTCAAGGAAGGAGTTGGGGGTGTACATGATGTCACGGTGTCGCCGCTGGAGCTGCCATAAATGTCAAGGGCGCTTACGCTTACGGCTGTTACATTTCAAGGCCTCACGGCGACGGCGCGCGGACTCACAACGAAGCTCAGTTGTTACGAGTTCTGTTGTTCGCTATAGGATCCAGGTTGACAACCCTGTAAAAATAGTTAAGGTGTGGTGAGTCTTGAGTCATCCGGTTACAGAGTCTCGTCAGTCACCACCATCCGTGAGGCAGCCAAGGAACCGCCGTTGTTACCTAGTCCTCCAACAGTTGTCCGAGAGGATCCAAATATTAATATTTCAAGAAAACCTAAGAGCGACCGCGGGCGGAAATATCCATTGAATACAGTTGACTGTTCGCTCCGCTAACCAGCGCAATGGATGACGAGTCGGCAGAGATTGAATTGGTGCGTGCAGTACCTCTGTATTCTGCGGATACTCACGGCGAACGTAGCTGGAGCAAAACTTGAACAAGACACGCCAGATTTCGCAGAGAATGACCAGTAAGCCCGATTGAAATGTTTAGAATGCGCATATACGTGACTACTTCTCAGCCATCCTCACCAGCTTCGATACCAGGCTGGTGAAGCTCGAGAAGTCCATTCTGCCGCTGTATAACTCGACACAACTCTTGACGAGAAGGGCAAAGAGTAAGCCTGACGTTATAAACCCCTCCTGTTTTTCCTGAATGGACTAGATATCGAAAGTGCTTTGATGAAGATCGACGAAATTGCGAGTTACCAAGAAGGTATTGCTGCAGAGGAAGCCCTGGTTCTCCGTGGGTGAGTGAATTTACGCTCGCTTGTATATTAAACTCCTCTCTCCAGCCCACCTAACGTTCATGCAGTCCACAGCCTGGTCAGCTTCAAGAATACATCGAGACCATGCAGAGAATGAGCGCGACGCTCGCATTCGGGTCGTTTGAAGGTGCCTCCCGCGACACGGTTAGGTCTCGCTCTACGAATGCGATGGAATTCTTCTGATGCCATTGATATAGGCTCGTTTGATCGAGACGGGCGCAAAGAAGCTCATTCAGCTGTACACCACACTTGTCGCAGAAGGATCCTCTGGCTTGCCTCTTAGCGGAGTGGAATTCGCCTACGCACCCTTCCCACCCGATCTGCTTGAAACATTGGAACCACTGGTGACGTTCCTGCGGACGCTTCCTCTCCCCGCAACACACCCCTCACATCCTGCCGCACCCGGCATCTTGGCTTCGCTAAAGGAGGCTCAGAAGGGCTACGGCGATATGCGCGGAGCGTGGGGTCGCAAATGTCTCGAGCTGTATGGGAAACGCGTCCTGGACCGTGCGGCGACAATCGACGGGACTGCTGCTGGCAGAGAGTTAGGAAAATTCGTGGACCACGTTCTGGACGTCGCGGAGGTCAGCGTGTTCTTCTATTCGCCCAGCGTCCTGAGAGGTAGCTGAGGGGATTACGCAGGACGAATATAATCTTCTGACAGAGCTCGCACCGTTACCTGCCCAGTCACTCGTTACGTCAACATACACTTCCCTCATCACACCGTTAACAACGCTGTTTACGTCGACCCTCTCATCACTCAATTCCATAATCAAGCGATCTCTACACAAACACACAATCCTTGCATTGTCAGCATACTCCTCACTGACTGCTTCTCAGACACGATGGGACGAGGTTATGTGCCGACGTGCTAGTCGGAAGGAGAACGAGCTGAAAGATGGCGTGAACACCATTCGTTCAGCATGCCAGCGTAGCTTCCCGGAGTTCATTGCCGATATCAAGGCAGCTGCACTGAGCAACCGTGGTGAGGTCAGCACCGGTGTGATTGATATAACGAGTCGGGTGAGCCCAATACTGCATCGTTCGTTCCTTGAAATTATTTACCGCTGTGTGTGCAGACTGTGGAATACATGGAGCGTCTTCCGGAGCTACGAAACGAGGCCGCTTCGGTGTTGCTCAGCCTGGGCGATGGCAACTGGAAGATGGGTGAAGGAGCGCAGGTTGTCAGAGCTTCAAGGACTGCAGAGATCGACGAGAAGACAATTCTTGAGCATTTCACATGTATGTCAATTCCATCTGGCTCACAATATTGCTCATTGACTTGCGTGCACAGACGATGTGGTGTCTACTGTCATCCAAACCCTCCTCGCGCTGTCTCGTGCCAACAAGCGCCCCGCCTTTGGCTCGATATTCTTGATCAACAACATCTCGTACCTGCGCACTCATCTTATCCTCGAGCGGCGCGCAGACATCCTCTCACTACTCTCCAAGCCGACGCAGGACATCTTGAACTCGAACTTCCGCACAGCTAAGGCCGGGTACTTTGACTCGAATTTCTCCCCGCTGCTGCAGACACTTGCGGATGACAGGGACAAGAGCAAGAGCGCGACGAAGGAGAAGTTCACGCGGTTCTTCGATCTGCTGGATGAAGTGCTTGAGCGGCACCAGTTGGCTCGAGTGCTGCACTGGGATGATGAGGGAAGAGATACCATCTGTGACGAGGCCATCAAGCTGGTTGTCCCATCCCTACAGCGGTTCATACAAAAGAACATCGGGAAGGAGTTCAGCAAGAGTACGTCTTTCGTGCTATATACAGCATGACAAACACTCATCTTAGCTCTCTTGGCTAGATCCTCAGAAATGTGTGTTGTCAAATAATGCTGTGTTGTTTATGTTATTGATCTGATCTTGCAGATATCAAGATGTCGCCGGAGGAAGTCGAGTCACTTATAAAGACATTTTACATGTAAGTCAATTACTATCTTACCATTGATGAATCTTGCTTACACTTGTCGTGATTCCCTAGTGAGAGGGATCATAATGCAGCACCTGCAGAAAAAGTAACAAATAACTTACTAATTCAAGCTGGATGGAGTCGTTAACACTTTGTGCTATGGATCTCCGATATTCAGTGGCAATATACAATTAAAGAGGTTTGGGCAGAGTAATGATATTCCTGATGTAAGATAAATCATGTAGCTGGCCAATATTTATCTCCGTATGATAGCAGCAACTCTCTGCCCCTTTTGATTCTTCGCTCTACAGAGGTAGAAGGATATTAGTTGGGCCAACTGTTTGCAATTGTAACTTACCACAGTATAGCCCAATTCTGTGTTCTCCATTGACCCACATCACTGGTAAAAGTATAAGTTTGATCAATTGTTAATTAGAGACATTTTACCTTCTGCTTTTACATTGGGGTTTTCTGAATGATTAATATAGCGTGTCTCATTACCAACAGTTGCACCATCTAAGACCTGAGCTTCATTGAGTGCAAATGCATAATTCAATTTGCGATAATCATTTAGTGTTCTGACAAACAATATTATACTGTAAGCAAGAGGAATGAATAGAACCTCAGATTGTAGACATACTGTACTGCATCAACCATATTCTCAATTCTATAATCTGGAGCAATCTCTGAAATATACTCTAAAATCACTAGACATTAGATCTTGTCATAAGGCAGCAGAAAGCTTCATACCTCCAACTAATTGATTTAATGGAATGTCCTTAACAGCAAAGGCACCTAGACCATATGATCCACTCTTTACTTCAATGTACTATAACACTTTAGTTTATAACATAAATAAGAGAAATGTGATAACACTTACTGAACATTGACTACACTGTAATTTCTGGTTTTCACATATATGTGGAGTTTTTCTAGAATTCTCTAACATGCCTGTGAATATGAGTGATCAAATTTATAAAAATAGTGAAATTACTTCTATTAGATCAGAATAGTTAGTAGTGAGCTATTGAATAGACTAAATGTGTAATACTTTTTTTTGCCCTTCTGATTAGAGCATAACTCTGGGTCACATTCTCGACCAAACTTCATACATTTGCATGAGCCATTAATACATCTTTTATTGCATCTGCAACCCTTGTATCTGAGTTTGCCTAAAAAGAGAGTATCAGTGAGTGTTTATTTAAGTGAAAAATTATCTGCATACATCGCTGATCACATCCACAGTTTTTTCTGCAATGTAAATTGAACTCATAGCACATACACCCAGTCGAGTTGTTACATGGTCCGTTATGATGACAAAAATCAATTCTATAGTCTTATGGTTAGCTTTAGACTAGCCAGTGTGAATTACCACATACGATGAAAAGTTTAGGTTAATCACAGAATTATATTCAGATGTATACTTTGGAAGATCTTCTGCAAGAATTTCATCATCTGCTCATATACTGTCAATAACTCACAGTTCATAGAAATATAGAAAAATACAACATACAGAAGAAAAGTGGTGCTTGACTCTGAGATAATTTTTGTGGAATGATCTGTTCATCACTAAATAATAAACACCTTTGCCTGAATAGCTGTAACATAAAGATGTTGAAATGAAGAATTTGCTAATATTTCATAAGAAATTTACCTCAAAGCATGGAACATGACATAAAATAGCAAGATGACAGGGCAAGGCATCTGGTAGAAGACCAAAGATACTTCTGTAAAATGCTTGCTCTGACTCATTGGGTAAAGTTATAATATCCTGAAAGATATCTGTGTATAAGTCAAGTTATTCAGTACATTGAAAACAGACCTTATCATCTTCCACAAGAAGAAAACAATTAGATCCACAAGATGGATGTTTGGTGCCCTTCATATCAGTGCTTCTCAGTTGTGGTTGTAGAATATCCAGTGGATAACCAGGCAGCTCTGAGACTTGTCATTGTGATTTTAATGCAGAGATGAAAAATACCTACTGTGTGTTGCACAGAATACATTAACACAATTTAGGTTAGGGCAGAATAAATCCATGTTCTCATTGATTTGCTTCCAAATATCCAAATCTCTTGAATAAACTGAACGTCTACACCATTCCGAAGTCTTATATCCATGCCAGAGCAGTGGATCTCTGCATGATACATAACATTCCATCAACTTGGAGTTGAATTGAATCAACATACCTTTGTTTCATGCGCCAGAGAAGCCCAGTTCCACCCGGATTGTTAGACAACAGCAAACACGGAAGGACGGTGTGTTGGTCAATTACATTGTAAGATAGCCCAAGGTTCTTGGTCAACCTTCGCGTGACTTCCAATGCAATGACATCGACTTGATCAGAAAAAAGATCACTGATCAGCATGAAAGCTCTGGAACATCACTGGAAGTAAAACCTCACCGTCGTTGTCGCGCCAGAAGGCCTGCCAGACGAAGTGGTCGAACAGCATGGCGTATTCGACCTCGTTGAAGCCGGGTTCGCCGGCATACTGAATGTATCGAAGTGGCACAGCCTGGGTTCCATCATCGGCGTCATGGTCAGATTTGAGATTTCGCGCGGATGGTGTGCATGCTTCATATTTTGGATGGGGCTTGACATGGGAGCGGATCGAGGTGACGGAGGATATCACAGTGGATCGCGACCCTTGTTCTAAGTCATATACAGAGAACGAGAGATCGAGAGCTTCATCCAGAGCCATGTCGTCGACGCCAGGGCCACAGCACAGCTCCAAAGCGTCTTCGAAGACAGGCTCCACCGCACGGCGAGAAGTTCTAGCCAGCCCGCGGATGAGCAGTTGACAGCTCCCCAGCTCCCAGAGGTAGAACTCCTGCCAAACATCCCGGAACGTATCAATAATCTGATCGCGAACAGAGCGTTTCTTGCGAGCGGCCGCAGCGAAGCGCTCTCGGATTTGTTGCTCTATTAATTCGTCGGGCTCCAGAGGCTCGCGGTGGACGATAAAGAGAGGCTGTTCCTCATCCATATCAGCAGCGTATGGCACGGAGGAAGGTTTGTTATCGAGTTACGTCAAGATGATAGCAGTCAAGATATACGGAAAGGTGAGGGACACTGCCTCGGAGACTGAGTGAAGAGCAGTCAAGAAGTTGAAAGCCGCCAAGTCTGTTGAAGAATCAATAAAGATCGGCTTGTTGATCGTCACAATTCGATCGAGATCAAGTCAGGTTGCATCCGCGACGAGGACTCGGACTCGAAGAACCCCATCTCCGCGGTATCGTACTACGAACATTAATGCGATCATGACACTAGCTAAGCGGACCTCGACACCGACAAAGTCCTGATACAGGAAAGCTACCGGATACACTCGAAACACGTATAGCTCTTCCCACCATTGTGAGCCCGCCTCTACGTTCATGGAGCGCAGGTTCAAAAAAAGGGCGGGTGGCGCAGCATCCATAGAACCACTGTTTCCAGTCTTCAACAGCAATCACTGGAAGATCGCTGCGCTGACGCGAAATCCTCCCAGAGTTTCAGTCAGGACATCCTAATCATTACACAGGACGCGTCGATCCCACGGAGTATGCAGCAGAGTATCATAATTATCACGTAGAACCCAGCAGCTCAGTCGTTGGCAGACTCATCATTCGGGTCTAGCAAGCTGTTAAAGCGTTGGCATGAGTACACAACAATACAGGACTGCAAGCTGGGGCGACGCGCCTATATTGCTTTAGTAGCGAGCATTCCCCACCATTCTCTAAGTCGATGTTGTATGAATAGAAGTAACCTTCTGACGATATTACCATTACTTGCGGCATCGTCCTTCAGAAACAAATGCATAAGAGATGTCACCAGGAAGGAACCATCGACTCACCCGCTGAGAGCAACAATACACCGCGCACCGCTCGTCGGTAACCTAAGGAATGCGAAGTCACGCGAAGGCTCCCACATCTCCGTCAAGGTGTTCGGGAGGTATCCTCCAACAGATGACGTAAGGTTCTTCGTTAGATGCATCGATCTCCGTCTCAAAGCCGATCTACATACAAACGTCACGTCAATAATCCTTCCGAAGAGAATAACGGAAGACGTTGCTTACGAGACGCTCCCGGTCTTCTTCTTGTCAACATACGCCTCATAACCACCATCAAGACCCTGCGAGCCCTCGCGGCTGTCCAGCGACTCCGACGGGCTCGACGGACTCGGGACAGACTTCGAGCTCGATGTCCCTGACTTCTGCTGCTGACCAAGCTTGAAGATGTGTACGGTATCGTGCGCCGAGCTCACCGCAAGGAGCGTTGAGACAAGGTTGAAGCTGATAGAGTATATGCGCGCCTCGCGCGTGCCCCTGCGGAACTGGTATAGCTTCTCCGCGCCGGGGATGCTCCATACACGGATGACGGTGCCCTTGTCCGACGCTGTCGCAAGGAGCGTGCCTGTGCTGTTGATGGAGAGGAACGATATTGGTGACTTGTGCGCCTGGATCACGTTTGCCACGGACAACGAGCGCGTCGAAAACAGGAGTACATCGCCCGTCTGTTGGTTTGCAGGAGGTGGTGAAGAGGGCTGCACAGATGGCTGTGCGAGGGGGGAGGTAGGCGATGGAACGGGGGACGGATAAGCGAGGTAAGAGTTGTCGGACGATGGTGAGAGAGCAACAATAGCTGGGGGAAAGTGTTAGGGATTTTATGACACAAGCTTGAGATCGAAACTGACCCTCTTCGTTCGGTGTTGTTTCTATCACATGTAACAGTCGCATGTTGGAGATGTCATAAATGTAGATCTCGAGTTTGAGCACGATGACAAGCGTTTTGCGGTTCATCTTGACGGCAAGGATGGAGGAGGGAAAAAGGAGCTCACAAATCATCGATTGCCGCTGTGGGTAAATGCGTGAGAAAATGAAATGCCCACATTCAGAGACATAGTTGAGAATATGAGAGACTTAGGAACAAGGATCACGACCTGCCTGGCGACTGACTGGCATAGTTCCATCTGTCCTGTGCAAGAGGCTCCCCATGAGTCACTGTAGCCGCGCGCACTTCAAGATGCCTCTGCAGTCGAGGGCAGGTCATGAGCCCGACGAGACACTATCTGTCAGATGCTGTTATGGCCTTCCGTAACTGTTGGCGTGTAGCGAGATTCAGTGTGGAATGATGCATCTGCAGACCATGGACCTGACATCACCACCGCATAAAGGTGCACATGGGAGTGTGTTCTGCAGGAATGCGCATGGGTTGTGGTTGAATCCGTCAAGGATAAATGCGTATCGTTGCTAAATTACGCATCGACGGAGCACCACCAATTCCACTCCTCCCCAGTTCTAGAAGACACCCTGCGCGGGTGCCACCAACTGGGACGTAAGTCATTGGCGACTACTACGTACCTTTGTATTAACAATCTGCAGCTTGCGTGGACTTGATTGGGGGAAGTCAGCGGCGCCCACCAGGGCGATGAGGGATGTACAGAACAGCATCTCGACGATTCCCCGCGCGCCATCATCTGCAATGGACCCTGTCTCAGCATACCGAGTAACGAGCATGACAAGGGAGAGCTGAGACTAAAGTGCACACGCACTCATAGTGTAGACTCTGCCAAAGGGGTCGCAGTTAATAATGCTGTAGCCTTTGCGCGTGCCAACGGAGATGCACCTGCGGGGATGAGCGAGGGCGACGTGCAAGGCCTGTGTACTCACGTAAAGTCCTGATTGAAATTGGCAAACAGCATGTTGGAGTTGACGCGCTCCACCATCGTCACAGACGGTGCCCTGGTCAGTGGTCGTAGAGGTCGTCTCAGTTCTCTGGAGTGAGCAAGCTCAGCAGGGGCAACATTGGCGCTGGACAGATGAGCCACGTGATGCTAAGAACTGAACCAACCGGTTCAGTTGCATTCCATCGGAATCAGACCCCGGAAGCACGTGTTTGTCGTTGCGGTCACCCGGCATGCCTTACTTGCTAACTTAGTTGCTACAGACTGCCACGCCGAATTTGTGCCCCCTTCATTTTGACCTTCACGACCCTACACGCTATTCAAGGGTACAGGTGTTTGCTACCTTGCGCTAAGGGTGTGTATTCAAGGAATTATTTGAACCTTTACGCCTGCTGATCCGGGCACGCAGCATTTTGTTCTGCAGAGCACGATAATATTGCCATTTTTTTCCCTCCATTATTTGCGTCGTAGTCGTGAGCACTGTAGCGTGGTATTGACTCTATCTCACTCTTTCTGGTTATCACCGCAGTACAAGCTCATCCACAAACTATACATGGCCAGTTTCTCATGGTCGGACAGCGTCCAAGCTGCCTTCTCTTCTTGTCTTGTCTGCCTGCACTCTTCATCAGATACAGATCATACACAGTCACCAAATTCCAACTCGCGCCCCTCACGACAATCGAATGCCTTGATCAGCACTATGCCGCCACCACGTGCGCGGCCTGACGAGCTCGAAGGCCTCCTCGCGGACTCGGACTCAGCAGACGCAGAGACGATGTCGCTGCACTCAAACATCGGTGAAGAGCATAGACGAAAAAAGCGCCGGCGGCCAAGGAAGGGCATCAGGCTCTTCGGGCTCGACCTGTTTGGACGCCCACCAATTCACCTATCGGAGTCAGAGTCCGAGGGCGAGCGGTCAGGACGGAGAGATCGTACGATCTCATCCTCTACACTTGACTCAGACGCTTCCCCGCTGGATCCGTCTGCCATCGAGCAGTTCTCTGCTACGCGTCTCGCTGCGGCGACCGCGGCTGCGGACGAGGAGCGCAGGCGAGCGAAAGAGGAGCGGAGGATGTTGAGGAAGGAAAGGAAGCAGCTCAAACGAGTAGCGATGGAAATGGGGCTTGGACTGCAGCATGGAGGCGAGGAGTTTGAGGGTTTCCAGGTGAGCGAGCTTCGATCTTCCTTGGTCTGTGATTACTGAGCAAGCTTTCAGGGAAGCGGGAGTGGATATCCCACCTCATATAACAAGGGTCCTGGCTCCGGTTCAGGCTCTATGTCATTTCCTGGTTCGCCGTTTACAGAGGAGTTTGGGCCGTTCATGGAGGGACAGCAGGTTGCTCCCGATGACGACGGCGATGCCGGTGCAGACTTCGGCGCAGAATCATACACACGCCCGGCTACCCATTCCACATCATCTGGCACGGGATCAGACTCGCGCTCGCGCACTTCTGCCTCAGTCTCTAACTCAAACTCGACGTCGAATGTAGACCCATCGCGATATAATCACCATTATCTGACGCAGCAGCCAGCGCCGCTCGCTTCGCCCACTTTCCGCAGCTCACCTCAGCAACCGCACAAGAAACAGAAGCGCAGATCGACGAAGTCCAAGTCTCATTCTGCCAAGCAGTCCGAGTCGTCGGGCTCGCATTCTCCGTCCCTTCTCACTTCGCAGTCGCCGTCAATTCAATCACCTCCGGCAGACCGCGCATTCGCACAGCCAGAAATTGCAGCCCCTCCGTTTTCCGAGGATGCTCCCGAAGCTCAACTTAACGGGTTTTCTAGCGCTGCACTGCGTCCTCAGGGACAGAAGGTCCTGTCAGTCCCCTCACCTGTGGATGAGGGATTCCCGAGCGTGGGTCTCCGCGGTCTACAGCGCACGAAGAGTGACATGGGTGTATTCTTGGCACGTCGTGGAGACGACTGAGCCTGTCACATCTTTGCTATTTTAAAGGTTATCCTTGGTGATATAGTGAATGCATCTGCAGCGGTCACATCTGTACCACCGGTATCTATCTTGTTCATTGATATCTATGCACATTTTACTTACAAGGACTATGTCGTGAATTGCGGATGGAATGACTGTTGTTACTATTATTGTTGAAGCTTCAAAGCTTCAAACTTCTAGGCTCCCATTTACACTGACTGGGTCGCGATGCATCATCATGGGGTTGTGTTGCACAACTATTCTAAGAATATCTACAACCTGCCTTGAACGGAGACTAAGTATGCTCGGCGAACACACGATATAAGGAAAAACAGGACAGAACTACAGTGAGCATGCGTGCAACTACTGCTACAAATTGAGTACAATGTTTGATAAATTACCACATAATACAGTACACGGTCGACCTCGCCCCAGAGACACCTAGTCAGAGTTACTACTCCTCCACGCGAGGATCGGTGGCTTCGGCGGAACGTGCGTTGTTTGTGGAAGTAGTTTGGTGCTGTGCAGGACACATAGTCAATTGTGCGCACGTAACGCTTTGAGATGTTCAATACTCACCTGGCGCAACTTTGCGAGGTGAATTTTCAATGTCTCTGCGTAGTTCTCGAAACCTAGTGTCGCCATAGCGTACAGGATATCTTCTCCCCCTATCGTCTTACGCTTCTCCATCTGGCACTTCTCTGCGGCCTCAGAGGTGATGAAGCTGATGAACTCCGAGACGCACTCCTGCACACATTCTTTGGCCTCTTTAGAGATCTTAGCCGTACCGGGGACGGCGGATTTCATGATGCGTGAGACGTTCGCAATCTTTCAGGCATGCGCATGGCTCTCAGCGCGGTCAACGCGAGAGAAATGGCTGAAACATACAGGAAGAAATCGGTCTTGCTCGCGATATTCGCCCACTTCCTGCTCCGTGATGGGTGCAGGTTCCGGTGCCTGCACAGGTTCCGGGGCAACGCCAGTGCCATCATCTTGGGGCGCAATGGCAGGCGGAAAGTCCGACATACGGTATCACAACTTCCCCTCTAGCTTGTTCGAATGTGTATCAGGATGCAGAGGGACTCAAGAAGTAGCTGGAGTTGCTGCAGACCGTGACACTGGCATGACCGTGGACATCATCATTGGACTGTCGCGTTCGCACGTGACCAAGCTCCGTGTGCAGTGCGTAGGTAAGTACTTCTAGGTACTATATTGTAAGGGCAACCAGCTCGTGAGAGTCAGACGCCAACTTATGCGCTTGCAAATCGACAAGGACAAGACTTACATACAGTTCCTCGTTGCGCGCTGCATGGAACCGAACCGAGGCACTTTCATATGGGAGCTCCCACGAGGAAGATTGGTAATTCACAAGATACATATTGCAAGTGATCAATTAAACATGGCAGTCACATCTGAGTTGTGAGATTCTGCGCTTTCACCCACTGCATCCCCTGGATGTGACTCAGCAGAACATCTTTATTTGAACATTGGACGCCGAGTAAGTCTCACAAAAACTGCAGTGGTGTATATTTCTGTCGTTTAGAGTACGGTCACGCACTGGCGCAGCATCACTGATGGGTGGTATTACAGTTATTGACACAGGAGATGGTGCCGCCATCTAAATTAATGGAGGTAACGATAGAGTTCAACGTGAAGCTATGAAGGTAATAAAGATCAAGAAGGAAGACTCCAACAGCTGTCCGGCGGGGATGCACATTGTACATGCGTTGACCAGTGTTCAGAGCTTGTGTAACTTCTTGGAGGCAGTAGAGAGCCCATATACATGTCAGATTACTCAGAAAAGAGGAAGAAAGTGGCCATTGATCCGGGGGGGGGGGGGGGGGGGGGGGGTTAGGTTAGGTTTAGTTGGATTGAAGAACTTGATATGCATGAGACGAGGTGGGACACTCTGTCTAATCACAGTGAGTCAGAATCTCAATGAGTTGACGGAGATCGATTATACCCACTGACTCTGAGTCCAGTCGCTCAGAAGTAGAACTCCGGCCCGTAGTCCAGAAAAAGTTCTGCGCCCTTTGCAAGTGATTTCTCTGTTCGCAACGTCGTCACAGTATGGGTTATCGCACTTTAGACACTGTGTCTTTACTCACTTGCATAGATTCCGATACGATGGTCCCCATGTACAATACGGACTGGACGAGAGTCCAATCAGTGTGCACTCTACAGCAGGTCTCTGCAAGACGTACTGCCAACGATGCAGTTCGCCTTCTTTTCAGGCGCATGGTTGATGAACCGTGTAGTATTGCCTGCATAGGTGCTGTCGTTGCTCAGCGAAGGGTCTATTCCAAAGACGTAGCTGCGTCCTCGATGGTTGGAGAGTTGGCTATGATAATACGTGAGCCAAGGAGCACAGTGAGGAATTATGAGAGTTGTACCCTCTTGAATCAAACGTCGCCTCGTAGATCAGCTCCCCGATGTATTCTAACGTCGACTCTTAAATCTAATAGAGAATATTCGAAATGATCTGGAGGCGTACCAGCAATCAAATCCCCCTCTTTGGCAGATTGCATAAGAAATACTCCAAGGCCGAAGTCGCTGTGCTTTACTCCGAATCTCTAAATAGGCCATTAAACTTGTGGGAAAATGAGCGAGTACGATAAAACTGACCTTTTGTCGGCCCTTCTGAATTTGAGAATTTCTGCAGTAATCGACATGGATGTCTGCATATCAGGATAAGTTGATCGCGGAAGCGGGAATGCAGTTCAGGCAGTACTACTCACTACTGTTAAAAGGAGGGCTTCAGTGTCACTGAAATAGTCATGTAAAGATTGCCTCTCACTTTATTTCGCAGGACAAGCACAGCTCCGGATCGCACTCACGGTTGGCGCGGCGACATGGACAGCGATCAGTGTCACACGCTCGAGTTCGCATATGCTTGCGGCGTGTACAGCGGCATCCACGCCATCGTCTTGAACCTGGCGTCACCCCCGGTGTCAACGAACATGAATCTCAGTGACACTGCGGAAGGCTCACAGTCTCTGCTACAACGGCATTCCCGTGCACAGTGCGCTTTGTTTCGTGAGCAAGGACATTGTGCATCGCATGGTCCCTGGTGAGTGCATGGTTCATTTCTGCCCGAAAATGTGAGCAGGATGTCCTCGGCAAAGGGGATGTCACAGCTTACGGGGTAAACTCCGAAGGTTGATCATCGGCTAAGAGTTGCCATGAGTCCGGAGGAAACTGCAGATATCACAAGAGGCTCACCGAAGTCACTGGAGGATGAGATACGTATTATTGGCGCTTGTTCTCGTTTCAGCTCATTGACTTTCTCAGACTCCTGGTTGTATAATAGACTACACATGGTGGAAACCTGCATAGGAAGGATGAAGACTTCTCCGGGCTTTCACTGATAGACGCTGACCTCCCAGCATGGTTTCCGACAGATAACTGCCAGTTCACATGGCTTCGAGGCGGGGGCTATCTGTAGTATCACGCGCAAATTTTCACAGTCTTGCAGAGACCATTGTGTTTCCTAGTTCAAACTGCTTCAGAAGAAATGCAATAAATGTTTACAAAACGTACTATTAGAAGACCAGACTTGGAAACAAAGCAATCATTGCCACAAGTAATATGGGATGATTTGTCATTTACATGGGGAGGCAGAACTCCCGTTTCGTCAAGATTAAGTGCACACTGATGGTGGTCTATCGATGGTTCAGTGGTCAACGGGAAATTTGTGAACATAGCGCTTACTGTGGGAAGAGCATAGAGCTTGCACACAACTGAGCTTCGGACAACAGAGCGTCAAATAATTCTGTAGACGATGGCGCAAGTCATTCCGATCAGGTGTGGGGTAGTCAGGCAAGGCTGGAAACAACACGTGCGAAGACCCTGGCCAATCAAGCGAATCGCTTGGAAAACTATGTGAGAATTCGGCGTGCGCATGTAGAATTGAAAATCTAGTCACTTCTGTGTATCCGTCCATATTGCGCCCCAGACTGTCGAGGAGGAGCACAGCATACGAGGCAAGATTTCTGTTTCTTCTATTTGGGCTATTGAGATGTGATGTTTATAGTGAAGTCGCCGGGAAGTCTCTATGATGATTGCGCTTACTACGAGAGATATAAGTGCACCACTACGAATGACAGATGACCGCTCACAATCTGGGTCAACGTGACCGTCCTGCCACGCTAGATGCTCGTATTCGAGCATGTGTTTATTTGCGTCAAAAGTTGGATCGTCCGCGAACGGCACAAAGGGCATGTCATGGGAATCATCCCCGTGGTATATGTTGGATGAAACAGGAGCACAAGCTTCATACGGGGTGTACTGTTCAATGTTCTGGACTTGATGAATGGTCACTTCAAGTTTGTCAACGGTTAAAGTATTATCGTGCAAGATCTGCACTGTGAATATCTCCTCGTCTACCTTTCCCGCTTCAACTAACAAGGTGTCTTGCATCTGATGCATGTTTTCGCTTGGGAGTGGTGTCACTCTAAACCGGTGGCCCTCAACGCATCTTCTCCGATTAGGAATACCGCAGTGACAAAGAGATGCGATAGCTTGCTGAGAAAAAATGCGCTCCCAAGTGTAGAAGTCTCTCCAAACTTCACGGAACACAGAACGAACGATTTCCGCCGTCAGCTCAGGAGCTCGAGGGTTACTGAGGCGCTTCCAGAAATCGTATGGCATGGTTTCCGGAGTCTCTGACTAGATATAGCCAATATGTTGAATTTTGCTTATATAAAGGGGGGAACAACGTACCTTTGCGGAAGTAGCTGATTGTTAACGGCACCCAATTTATGTTCGTGGGCTTGATCAAACCTCCACCTAAAAACAGATAATATAAGCCCACTTCTCTCAGTCAAAAATCCACTGACTCTATGGAAAATACAGCTGGTCCTAACGTGCAACCTGCCAGAGTGGCCGAACAGACGGTGGTGGCGCGGCAAGTTATCTACGATACCCTATAACTGAGTGTTGAATCGAACCATAAAAAATGTACCTTATTTCAATGATAAACCCTGAGTTCGTTACGTTGAGGCTTCTCTTTCGCTATGAAGTGGTGAGTATAGAGTCTAAGAGTCATGAAGTTCACCGTTCCAATAGACTTTCCGGAAATGGGATTATGGCCTCACATTACGTAACTCCATTGCTATGGCAGTCCTCCTTCGGTCATTCACCGCAAATTCGAGGATACCGTGACCGCTCTGAAGGGTTTTCATTATATCGTAAGTGTGCATGCGGTTCCACCACATGTTTCTGGTGATTGAATGATTGTTGCCAGTAAGAAGATATGGCAGCTCTTTCGAGGTTTCTGAGCTTCATCGATCAGAACGCTGGTAGGTTTATCCAGCGCCTTGCAGATGCTGTGTCTATTCAGAGGTGAGCACCTTAAGTTCACGGTCATGTTGAAACCAGTCGATCAGTGTCCTCTTCAGCATAAGCGGCAACGGAGTTCATCGTCAGGATGTGTTCAAGATGGCATTGTGGTTGCAGGGCCAGCTGGACACTCTTGGTGTGCAGACCAAATCCGTAGACCTTGGAAGACACGTCATGGACGGTCAGGATCTTCCCTTACCCCCTGCAATCTTGGGCAGAATTGGTGATGATCCCAAGAAGAAGACCGTGCTGATCTACGGACACTACGATGTGCAGCCGGTATGTGATTTTGTATCAAGTCTTCCGGAATGTAGTGAACATCCATTTTGGTTCACGACAGGCGGAGAAGAGTGATGGATGGGACACTGAGCCGTTCACTCTCGTTGTAGATCCTGCCACAGACAGGCTCATCGGGCGAGGTTCCACAGACGACAAAGGTCCAATCCTTGGTTGGCTGAATGTGTTAGAGGCACACAAAGCCCTTGGCCTTGATCTTCCAGTAAATTTGAAATTTTGCTTTGAAGGAATGGAAGAAAGCGGTAGCGATGGATTGGACGAACTGATCACGTCCGAGGTGGCGAAGGGAAAGGACGGCTGGTTCTGGGGTGTAGATTGCGTCTGCATCGTAAGTGCAAGATAAAGTTCGGCATTGTCTCTGTGACGAGGAAATTCTGACCCGATCACAGTCGGACAACTACTGGCTCAATTCGCGAACTCCTTGCATAACATATGGTCTTCGTGGACTAGCCTACTTTAAGCTCACCGTTTCTGGACCTGCGCGTGATTTGCACTCTGGTTCTTTTGGCAGAACCGTGCATGAGCCAATGACTGACCTTGTCTTGCTCATGAGTAAGCTGGTGGATACGAATGGCAAAATTCTGGTCCCAGGTGTTGACGAGATGGTATCTGTTGCTAGTCAAGAAGAGAAGTAAGTTGACCTTCGCATACCCCATGATACTTCAATCTGACACGTTCGCCTAGAGCACTATATGCGCAGCTTGATTACTCTGTCGCCGATGTCGAGAATGCAGTGGGCGCACCAATTGCTTTGTCTGATGACAAAGTGGAGGTTCTTATGGGACGTATGCGCTACCCTTCGCTGTCTCTGCACGGCATTGAAGGGGCTTTCTATGGCGCGGGTGCTAAAACCGTCATTCCTGCGAGTGTCTCGGGTAAATTCAGTATCCGGTAAGTTTGGTTAAAGTTCTTTGGGAAAATGTTTCTGACAGCCCATGCAGCTTGGTGCCTCCGCAAACCCCAGAAGCTGTAGAGCCTCTAGTGTTCGCATACATAAATGCAGAATTTGCAAGGCTGAACTCGAAGAACAAGCTGAAGATTGAAAATCTTCACGGCGGCAAGCCCTGGGTCGCCGACCACACTCACTGGAACTATGAAGCAGCGAAGCGCGCGACAGAGGTATGCCTTGTCCCTTTCCTTCAGACCTTGTCCCTTGTTGCGAATGTTTTGACGTCGGTCCTTGGAATAGGCGGTATACAAGCAGACACCCAACTTGACTCGTGAAGGCGGCTCTATTCCTGTCACTCTAACCTTTGCGGAAAGTCTTGGTGTGAATGTCCTGCTCTTGCCGATGGGAAGAGGGGATGACGGTGCTCAGTGAGTTCTTGAGTTGAGGGGGCGGGACAAGTACTGACTTGTTCCACTTTCAGCTCAACCAACGAAAAACTAGACAAGTCGAACTTCATAGAAGGAGTACGTGTAACATTATTTCTATTTCATGCATGCTGCTCACCGAATTACGGGTTTCGCAGAGCAAATTGCTGGGCACATATTTGTATGAAGTCGGCGCCGTCAACGCGTAGGGCCATCGGGAATGAGTTGTTGGCTTATGGTCAGTGCGAAGAAGAATTGAACAATGTAAATTAGGGTAGAGCGGGACTGTTGTTGTATCCAACTCAATGCAATAACTACAAGGTGTGCTTTTCGAAAGGTTGCCGCGCGCGTTGGTCAGTTAGTACCGCTATTTGCAGTCCAGTTTGTTCTTTGGTGCCAAGGGTCCCCAGATCTGGAGCTTAGATTTCTAAGCCACGCCGCGCTTGCTCAAGGTCTTGCTCGACGTCGTTTCATATTTTCGTCATGTCTGCCAAACGCGACTTGTCTGGTTACAACTATGCTGCCATTTCTTCGCTCGTCTTGACAGCAGACAGGTCCGCTCTCCCCCGCCGTGATAAGGAGCCAGATGGTGCGCCAACATCTCTCGCTGGTCGTATCGACCCTCGCGAAATGGGCTCTAGGGTGCAGCGCGAGGCACCCAAAGACCTAGAGAAAAAGAAGAAGAAGGCTGCGGATAGGCAGGAAGGTACCGAGAAACAGACGAAGCGGAGAGCGGCAGAGACAACTGGGTTCGGTTACACCGACATCATCGAGGCTACTCAGGACGTCGAGGGGCTCACATATCGCCCGCGAACGGCGGAGACTCGCGAAGTGTACGAACTCATCCTGTCGAGTGTCCACCAGACCCTGGGAGACCAAGCGCAGGACGTCGTGCGCAGCGCTGCGGACACAATTCTGGAGGTGCTGAAGAACGAGAATTTGAAAGACTTTGACAAGAAAAAGGAGGTTGAGGAGATTGTCGGCTCAATCTCGAACGAGGCATTCTCGCAGCTAGTGAACCTGTCGAAGAAGATTACCGACTATGGTGCCGAAGACGAGACAATGGCGGATCCTGACTTGGAGCGCAAGGACGCCGAGATTGACGATGAGATGGGTGTTGCAGTCGTGTTCGACGAAGAGGAGGAGGAAGAAGAGGAAGAGGAGGGATATGAGATCCGCGACGAGTCCGAGGAGGAGGCAGAGGATACGGAAGAAGGCGCAGAGGCACCGCCGGAGTCGTTGGAGGGAGAAGATGAACTTGTCGTCGGTGGCAGCTCGACAGCGCAACACGGCAGGACGCAAGTGGACAAAGACATTGTCTCCCCACACGTCATCGACGCGTTCTGGGTACAGCGTCAAATCTCTGAAGTGTACCCTGACCCGGTGACGGCCGCGGACAAAGCTTCGTCGGTGCTCACGATCCTGGGTTCCGAGTCGAGCTTGCGCGACTGCGAGAACCAGCTGATGGAGCTGTTCGAGTACCAGAGCTTCCATGTGATCACCAAATTCCTGAAGAACAGAGACGTGATCGTGTGGTGCACGAAGATCATGCGCAGTGACGCGGACGAGCGGGTCAATGTAGAAGTTGCCATGCGGGAGAAGGGTCTGGGTTGGATCTTGCGGGACCTTGCAGGCGACAGGAAGGCGAAGGGGAAGACAGACGCAATGGACGTAGATGAAAAACCACAGGTGGAGGCGGTGCCCAGGACGGCGACTCTTGCGCCCGGATCGACGGTGCAGCCGAAGCGCACGGTGGATCTCGAGGGCATGGCATTCAGCCAGGGCGGTCATCTCATGTCGAACAAGAAATGCAAGCTGCCAGACGGTTCGTTCAAGCGGGCTAAGAAGGGGTATGAAGAAATCCATGTCCCTGCTCCCAAACAGAAGCCAACGACCGCGAGCGACTTCGTGCCCATAACCGACCTTCCTGCGTGGGCGAGAGAAGGCTTCCCAGGTATCAGGACGCTGAATCGCATCCAGAGCAAGCTCTACCCTGTCGCCTTCGGAACTGACGAACCAATTCTTCTGTGTGCACCGACAGGTGCGGGAAAGGTGTGTAATACTACGCCTTGTTTTTAGCCTGCGTCACTCATACTCGCATAGACCAATGTCGCTATGCTCACTATTCTGAACGAACTGAGCAAGCATCGCGATGAAGAGACGGGCACATTCGACCTTGACGCATTTAAGATTATCTACGTCGCACCGATGAAGGCCCTTGTGCAAGAGATGGTCGGCAACTTCAGCTCTCGGCTAAGCGCATTTGGCGTAAAGGTTGGCGAGTTGACGGGTGACTCTCAGATGACGAAGCAGCAAATCTCGGAGACGCAGATTATCGTCACAACTCCGGAGAAGTGGGATGTCATCACGCGCAAGAGCACGGACACTAGTTATACGAACCTCGTGCGTCTCATCATTGTCGACGAGATTCACCTGTTGCACGACGAACGCGGCCCCGTCCTGGAGAGCATCATTGCTCGGACGATCAGACGGATGGAGCAGACATCAGAGTATGTTCGGCTGGTTGGCCTTTCCGCGACACTTCCAAATTACCAGGATGTTGCCACATTCCTCCGCGTCGATCCCGCCAAGGGCGTTTTCTACTTCGACGCTTCGTACCGACCGTGTGGACTGCAGCAGCAGTTCATCGGCGTGACGGAGAAGAAGGCCATCAAGCGCTACCAAGTCATGAATGAAGTTTGCTACGAGAAGGTCCTTGATCAAGCTGGCAAGAACCAAACGTTGGTGTTTGTGCACTCGCGCAAAGAGACGGCGAAGACAGCGAAGTTCATTCGTGACATGGCCATCGACAAGGAGACCATTACGCAATTTGTCAAGCCTGATGGGGCCACGCGCGAGATTCTTCTGGAGGAGTCGAATAATGTGAAGGATACCAATCTGAAGGATCTACTCCAGTTCGGTTTCGGTATTCATCATGCTGGAATGTCCCGGGAGGATCGTGGTCTCGTTGAGGAATTGTTTGCGGACGGGCATTTGCAAGTCCTCGTCTGCACTGCGACGCTTGCTTGGGGTGTCAATCTCCCAGCACATACAGTCATCATCAAGGGCACGCAGATCTACAATCCGGAGAAGGGCCGTTGGGTTGAGCTATCTTCACAAGATGTGCTGCAGATGCTTGGACGTGCCGGTCGCCCGCAATACGACACGTACGGAGAAGGTATCATAATTACCAACCACTCCGAGCTACAGTACTACTTGAGTTTGATGAACCAGCAGTTGCCTATCGAGTCGCAGTATGTGTCTAAGCTGGCGGACCACCTCAATGCCGAGATCGTGTTGGGGACCATCAGGAACAGGGATGAGGCCGTCCAGTGGCTTGGATACACATACCTGTAAGCATTCCGTTTTCCCCCACAGTTTCTAAATACTCACTTCACCGTTACCAGGTATGTTCGCATGCTCAGGGATCCCGTGCTGTATAGCGTCGGTGTCGACTATCTCGAAGATGACCCATCCTTGGTACAGAAACGCGCTGACATCATCCACACTGCTGCCGTCCTCCTAGAGAAATGTCATCTTGTGAAGTACGAGCGCTCATCAGGCAGGTTCCAGAGCACTGAATTGGGTCGAATTGCTTCACATTACTACGTGACATATAACTCGATGGCCACGTACAACCAGCATTTGCGATCAACTATGTCGACGCTGGAACTGTTCCGAGTATTCGCTCTGTCGAACGAGTTCAAGCTGTTGCCCGTGAGCGCTCTTTCCTGTTCTTCTCACTCCATGACGGTCGCTGACTCATCCATGACCATCAACCACAGGTACGCCAAGATGTACGTGTTACTCTAATCCTCTTGAGCCGTAACACGAAAACTCACATGTTATTCTCAGGAAAAACTAGAGTTGAGCAAATTGTTGGAAAGGGTTCCCATACCAGTGAAAGAGAGTGTCGAAGAGCCTGCGGCTAAGATCAATGTATTACTTCAAGCATACATCTCTCAGCTTAAGTTGGAAGGCGAGGAGATTTGTATCATTTTAATGGGCAGTTTGTTGACACGATGCATATAGGTTTCGCTCTGGTCGCAGACATGGTGTATGTTCAACAATCGGCCGGACGGTAAGTGTTACCTCTGGTTTCGTATGATTGGCTTAACTAATTCGTTGCGTATGGCAGTATTTTGCGTGCGATGTTTGAAATATGCTTGAAGAGAGGATGGGCAATTCCAGCCAAGGCCGCTCTTGATCTCTGCAAAATGGTGGATAGGCGAATGTCAGTATGATTCCTCACTTTCCACGAATTTCCTAACAGCAGTCCTCTAGGTGGGGTTCCATGACTCCTCTGCGCCAGTTCAAAGGTGTCCCTGCCGAAATTGTCAGGAAAGCTGAAGGGAAGCAGTTCGTGAGTACACTGTTGGAAAGACAGTTGTTTCTGGCTCTGACGTTGTGTTCACAGCCGTGGTACCGTTACTTCGACTTGGCGAGTACTTTGCAAGCTCAAATGAGAATATGCTGACGTGTGCACCTAGAATCCTCCTGAAATCGGCGAGCTCATCGGGGTCCAGAATGCGGGAAGATTGGTTCACCGTCTCGTTCACAGTTTCCCCAAACTTCAGTGCGTAATATGACGTTGATATAAGACGCGCGACGCTCATTTCTTGTTTTTCCCACTAGACTGCAAGCTCAAGTTCAACCCATCACTCGGTCGCTCCTGCGTATTGACTTGACTATCATACCTGACTTCCGTTGGGACGAGAAGATACATGGCACAGCAGAATCGTTTTGGATCCTCGTGGAGGACGTTGATGGAGAGATAATTCTTTTCCACGACACATTCATCCTCCGTCAACGGTATGCGGAAGATGAGCACAACGTGACACTGACTGTGCCAATGTTTGAGCCAGTTCCACCCAATTATTACATCTCCATCGTCTCGGACCGTTGGTTGCACTCCGAAACCCGACTACCTATCTCATTCAAGCACCTCATTTTGCCAGATAAGTTTCCCCTACCGACCCCTCTTCTGGATCTCCAGCCTCTTCCTCTCTCGGCTCTGCACAACAAGGAATTCGAGAGCATCTACTCGTCGACTATCCAGATGTTCAATAAGATCCAAACGCAGGTCTTCCAAGCGTTATACACTACCGACGAGAATGTTTTCATTGGCGCTCCCACTGGCAGTGGCAAAACGATCTGCGCTGAGTTTGCGTTGATGCGGTTGTGGAGTAAACGCGAGCAGCAGAGGGCAGTATGCATTGAGCCATACCAGGAGATGGTAGAGCAGCGCGTGGCTGAATGGCGCATAAAGTTCAGCAATCTTCAGGGGGGCAAGGAGATTGTCAGTCTTACGGGCGAGACTAGTGCTGATTTGCGGCTTCTGGAGAAGGGTGACCTCATAGTTTGTACGCCAACACAGGTGTGTTCCGCATCGCATTGCGTTTGCATCATTGATCTCACTCGACTCTGTAGTGGGATGTTCTTTCCAGGCGATGGCGGCAACGGAAGAACGTCCAAACCATCGGTCTGCTAATTGCTGATGAAGTCCAGCTTGTGGGAGGCGAAGTCGGTCCAACTTACGAGGTCGTGATATCTCGTACACGGTACGTTTCGGCACAGACGGAGATTAAGACCCGCATAGTAGCCTGTGGTGTATCGTTAGCCAATGCGCGGGACCTCGGCGAATGGATGGGCGCACCATCGCACGCGATATTCAACTTCCCACCTAGGTACGTACTGCGCATAGTTGTTTCGATGTGGTTAACTACATCAACTGACCTTTACCTTCGACAGTGCTCGTCCGCTCGACATGGATATCCACCTTCAGAGCTTCACCATCCCTCATTTCCCTTCGCTCATGATCGCTATGTCAAAACCCGCCTACCTAGCCATTGTCGAGTACTCGCCGACCAAGCCAGTCATAATCTTCGTACCATCTCGACGACAATGTCGACTGACTGCAGATGACCTTCTGACTCATTGCGGTGCAGATGACAACAGCAACCGCTTCCTGAACGTCGAGGAGGCGGATCTTCAGCCACATCTGGATCATGTCAGTGATCAAGGTCTAGTTGAGACGCTGAAGCATGGCATTGGGTACTACCACGAGGCTCTCAACAAGCAAGACAAACGCATTGTCGAGAGACTGTTTCAGTCAGGTGCGATTCAAGTATTGATTGCCTCTAAGGTGAGCGGTGTTGTCTGTGTTGTTCTGCTGTATGACCTCTGACTTTATGCCCAGGACACCGCTTGGAGCCTTCCTGTTGCGAGCTACATGGTGATCATCATGGGTGTCCAGTTTTACGAGGGTAAAGAACACCGCTACGTTGATTACCCTGTGATGGATGTCCTGCAGATGATGGGACGTGCTTGCCGCCCAACTGAGGATGACAAGAGCCGTTGCGTCCTGATGTGCCAGCAGACACGCAAAGACTTCTACAAGAAATTCCTTGCGGAAGGATTACCTATCGAGTCCCATCTTCCGACCCATCTGCTGCATGACTATTTCCTCGCAGAAATTGCGGTGAAGACAATCGAGAACAAGCAGGATGCTATGGTACGCGATCGATCTGCTCCAGATTATGAGTTTCTGATTTATAGTGTGTAGGATATCTTGACCTGGACTTACTTTTACCGGCGAATGACGCAGAATCCTAATTACTACAATCTGCATAATGTCAGCCACCAACATCTATCGGATCATCTGTCGGAGCTCGTTGAAAACACTTTGAACGATCTGGTCAACTCCAAGTGTATCGCCATCGGTGAGTTCTACTAATGTAAGGAGAAGCAAACATGAATGCTGATCCTGTTGTTAGAGGATGAAATGGATGTTTCGCCGCTAAACTTGGGTATGATTGCCGCGTACTACAATATCTCGTGTAAGTTTTACATCCTAAATATCACTGTTTTAAACTTACCTGATTGTTCTATCAGACGTTACGGTGGAGGTGTACACGCTCTCTCTCAAGGAACGCACCAAACTTAAGGGTCTTCTCGAGGTCGTCTCTTCGTCTGCAGAATTCGAGACAATACCCATCCGTCGACACGAGGATGTGCTACTGCGTCGCATTTATGACCGTGTGCCAGTCAAACTTGATCGCGCCGACTTCGAAGCACCGCACTTCAAGACATTCCTGTTGTTGCAGGCACACTTCTCCCGCTTACAACTACCGCCAGATCTTGCTGCGGATCAGGTGCTTGTGCTTGAGAAGGTCCTCAACCTGCTCTCTGCATGCGTGGATGTGATGTCTTCGAATGCATGGCTGAACGCGTTGGGCGCGATGGATTTGTCGCAGATGTGCGTGCAGGCTTGCTGGGAGACGGATTCGCCACTCAAGCAAATTCCACATTTCGAGCCTGATGTACGTATCATTTCTATCGTCGTGACGGGGCTATTCCTGACATTATTTCCAGGTGGTCAAGCGGTGCAAAGCTGCGGGCATTGAGTCAGTGTACGACATCATGGAAATGGAGGATGACAAGCGAAACGATGTTCTCCAGATGGATGCACGGCAAATGTAGGCCTTCTTAATCACTTCTTAGTCCGTGCATAGACTGAGTCCCTCCTCAGGCGTGATGTTGCGACATTTGTCAACTCGTACCCTACACTGGACGTCAATTACGAGCTTGCAAAGGGCGATTACACCGCAGGCGCGCCTATCACCATTCAAGTTTCCCTCACGCGAGACACAGATGAGGAGGCTGAGGCTAGTGGTGGAGACGACGAGACGGTCGTGGCACCATTCTACCCGATGAAGAAGCTTGCGAATTGGTGGCTCGTCATTGGAGAACCAAAGACGCGTCAGCTTCTCGCGATCAAGCGAGTGACGGTGCATCGGAGCCTCGCAGTGCGGTTGGAGTTCTCACTTCCGCAGGGAGAGCATGCCCTCAAGCTATACGTGATCTGCGACTCGTACATGGGCGCAGATCATGATATCGACCTTCAGCCGCTCGAGGTCGCAGAGGGCGAGGAGAGCGAGAGTGAGAGTGAGGAGAGTGATGATGCGATGGAAGAGTAGTGTAGGTCCTTTCGCTTTGTATCCTGCTTTCGCTCCATGAGCATAAAATGTATCATTAGCCGTATCCGTATACTATACATCCTCGATTGTGCAAGATGACTGAAATTTGGCAAGCGATACGGGCAATATATGACCAGAGTGTATTATCCTCATGGAGGTGGTGGCGAAGAGATAACAGTCATCGACTCTGTATTAATCTCGCCACGTTTTGCCTCCTCCATGCGCTGTCTGAGCAAGGTAAACAAGGCCGTCTTCTGAGGAAGCTGGAAAATATGTGAGTGGCATGCACAGCACCGCAGACCGTTGTACGCACCTGGTGACTAGTTACCCGCCCCGAGGTACTGGGCGTGACGAAGAACAGTGTCTCCAGTACGTTATCAGTACCTACAACAAATACCCAGCCGTTCAGAAAATTCGCACTGAGATGCTGAGAAAGGCGGCATATACCGTCATTGGGATGCACGACTTTGTACGGCTGGATATCCCACTGGAACGGATTTTGAGCGGCGAACAGCCGCTTCCGGACCTTGCGTTTCGAAGGAGATGGTGACGGTGTTGGTGGACTATCGAGTTGAATTGTCTCCCTTCTCACTAGAGGCAGAGCGCGCTCGAAGGCATCCCATATGCCTTTGCCGACGAAACAGACGACCTGAGGACGGAAGCGTGCGATCTTCTGCAAGAGCACAGGAACGCCTGTAGTAAATTCTGATGCCGCAAGCTCAGATTCCTGTAGCGGAGAAACATAACAGTAAGACATAATTAATGTACAAGAAAATTGGACCCGAGGACGTCGAGCTGGAGACGTCCTCACCTGTTTGCTGGGACGGTCTACAAGGTTAGTCTGCGTGATGGTCATATCACGCACAGGAACACGGCCAAAGGTATGTGATTAAATTGCGGTAGCATATGGAAGATAATGTGAGACTCGCCAGACCGAGGTTAAACCTATCCGGAAGCATGAAATCTTCGGACGGCGACAGGAGGCGGTTGGTCAATTCTGCAAACAGCGAACAAGAGAAGTACTCGAGATGAAATTCAAATCGACTGTGGAGAGACACCTACGTGAGCCAGCGAGACAACGCCAGAAGTGGTTCGTCGGGTTGGCAAAGTGATGGCCCAATTGAGCAGATTTCTCCCCCGGACTGAGTTCCTGACGTATGAACATTGAACAGAGGCAGGACCGGCGGCACTCACTTGATACCACAGAATAGAACTAGAAGCAACAAGTGAGCGGAACCACCTTATTAGTATTTGCAAACGGCATACCATCAAGCTCTTCCTTGAGGTAATCTTGAAGAGGCAGAAGGTGTGCATAAGTCTCCGGTGAAGCAAAGCCACGCTTGATTTGTACCCTCGACTTGAGTTTCCGCCTGCTAGGACTTGTACTGGACTGGGAGCCAAGTACGCCATCCTTGAGGCTGATGGAAACCGACCTTTCGGGTGTTGTTTGCAGAAAGAGCTCTGCGTTGCGATCTTCCACCTTTGCGACCGACTTTGGTTTGCGTGGAGAACGTCGGAGTGCGGGAGATTGCTCTGTTCTTGGCAACGGGGTACTGTAAGACATATTTGACGACCCGGTGACATTGGAATCTAGTGCGCCGGTAGCATTCTGGAGTTGAGGAGATGTCTTCGTGCCACCAGGGTTACCTACGAATTTGAAAGCGGTGAGAGTTGTTCGGAGGTGCTGGATGGAGGCCGCATCTCCCTCCACGACGTCTGAATCGTCAGTCTCGGACACCTTCATAACACACGGATATCGGAGGCAAGAAGGTTAAAGCACAGTGGCTACAACTGCCTTTGGGAGAGTTTGAGAAGGATCTAAGTACTCTGAGCCTCACGTAGAAATCAGTGGAGCGTCATAGTGACCGTGTACAGTACTCGAAAAGCCACGACCCGTTGACACATCTGAATCATCGAATCCATATTGATCATCCACGTTATGTACAAGCTACGAATATATGCCACCGCATAAAACTTTGGTGGTCATAAACTGAGTGGACTGAAGTCAGTGAGTAATACTGTGAAACATTCTCAGAAGCAGTTCCCTTTTTGGTGGCCTAATTGTGTACGTACGCTATGTGAGGAAAATCTGCACTTGTTATGCATGTACCAATTCACTTCTCTAGGTATTACTAAGCGCCTGTCGTGAACTGAGCCTGAACTGAACGATTTGTCCTCGGTCTGAACCATACAGTACCGCTCATTGCTAGATGGCAAGCTATCATTTTCGGCAGAAATATCTATCTGGTTACCGTACGTTGAGGTGAGACTCGACAGACTGCAATATCATGCAACAAAGGTCGGTGGCAAGAACGTCAGAAGTAAACAACTTTGGCTTTTGTGACCGCAGGCTGCATGCCAAACGATCTTACAACGCCCGTATGCACTCCCACCTTGACGTCCGCTTGTCGCTTAAGCCGTTGCTCCGTCTTCTCCGACTTGTCCACCTCAGCATTTCGCCGTTTGAAGGTGTGGAAGTCGTCTTCATCTGCGCCCGCTTCACGGCCTGTTCCGAGGAAAAGCATTGTCGATGCGACCTCTGAGGGCGTACAAGATTTACCTTCAATACCTAGACCAGCCTGCAAGCATTGGACTTACCCTTCTTCCTCAGCGTGCAATCTTTCGCGAGATGAGTGGTCTCTCCACATAGCTTGCAGCACCCTCCGTTTGGATAGATACCCTTCGACTGGTTCTGCGGACATGACGAAGCCAGATGTCCTGATCCAGAACATACGAAACACGATGCAAATGGCAGGGGATTTGAAGGATCAAATGGCTCCTTGCATCGGGAGAGATTGTGTTTATGCGAGCCGCATCTGCGCGAGGGCGTTGAGCATCATACCTAAGAGCGAGGGGGACACTCACCTGTAGCAAATACCAACTGTATTTTTCCCCATCTTGCTTCGAGATCTGCCAGCTTCAGGTGTTTTCTCTGTACCATGCAGAGTGCTTGAATCTATTGCTTTCATGCAATCTTTGGCCGCATGACCCCTTTCACGACAGGCATAACATATCGTCTCCACATGACGCAGGTCTTTGCGTTTTAATCTTCGCTGCTCTGAAGCGAATTTCCGCACATCCGCGTCTAAGAAAACAAGGGGGTTGAGACGCTCAACCGTAGGACCAAGCTCGACGGACACAAGAGCTGGCACGGAACGATTGGGGCGGTAGGCTTACCCTTGGCTCCCTTCCGCTTCATTTTCCTCCTCCCTTCATCCTCCCTTCTCGGAGCGTTCTCCTGAGAATTAGCCCTATCCGCTCCTTCAGCATCCCGCGAACTACCCTCGTCACCTTGGGCTGGGTATTCAGGTGTCGAATTGTCATCTGGCAAGGTCACGTCACCATCTGCTTACGCATCAAACCCACCATTAACTTTGGAAGTACTGAAATACATGCCAATCTTTTCTGTCCGACTTCTCTTCCGTTTCCTCTCCCGCTCGGTGGCTGCGCTCTGCTCGTGCCATGTTACGTCTGGTACGGGTAGCGATGTGTCTTGCTCGACATGGTGACCGAATCCTGCCTCCAGGTATGGTCGTTTCCGGGAAAAGTTGGTGTATCTTGTCATGCTGCGCGCGTAGCGTAGATTGAGACGGATATACTTCTTGCGAAGTTCAGTAGCTAAAGGCAAAAAAAGGATAGGCTGACCTAAGATTCCCAGAAATGCCAATCGGGTTGCCTGCTAGTCATATCCTACCACTATAATGAGCTCGAGACTCAAGATCGAAGATTCCTCAGTAACTCAGAACCTCAGAACCGCGGGTACAACAATAATTATTCCAGAACTGAAACACGATCATTTATAACATCATCGGCCAGAGTACACTAGGATGAGACAAGCCTTTCGTCCATCTCCGTACGTAACTTTTGACATGCTAAGACAACATCCTGAACAATATCCTGCCGAAACCAGTTGGGTCAAGACAGACCATTACAGGCGCATGATGAGCTGCTTGATTCCGGACATCCACAACGCAATGTCATCGGTGAGCGAGCCCGTCGTCAGCAGGTCCATGTGTAGCGCCATCGCGGCATCGCGGTCGTGCGAGGCCATCGCTGTGGCGGAAGTGAGCAGGACTGCCACTACGACAGAGCGGTAGAAGACATACCACTCGTGAGGACGATCAATTGCTCGCATACCGGCTTCGACAGCGTCTCGCAATTGAGAGCATCAAACAACGCATTGACTCGTCGCTCCAGATCGTCCACCAAGCGTTTCTGCTGTGCCTATCCAAAGCATCTCAACATGGCAATCACATAGATAGAGAGGATCCATACCGGCATGGTCTGCTTCATCCGCTCTAGTTGTCCCGAGATCACGGTGAATACCGGACGCATCTCTTCGGGTATATGACTACGATCACCAGGGGCTAAGTAGACATCTCGTCAACCAAAGCACACGTACTTGACAACAGCGAATACTCACGATATTTCGCCGGAGGAGGGCCAGCGTTCGCACGGGCGGCGGCTGACAGACGCACACGAGGACCTGAACCAGGTGTTGATCCTCTGGGCGGACCCTGTGGAGGTGGACCGACAGCAGGGCCGACTCGTGCTGCACCTTGTGAGGTAGGCGCAAATGTTGCTTGCTGAGGCGGAGGACGCTGTGTGAAGCCCGCACCTGGGGGAGGAGGACCCAAGGGCGGTGGGGTTGCGTGAGCATATGGTCCCGAAGGTCCTGCAGCACCGGAGCCTGAGGGGTGCGATAGGTGTCCGTGGCCGTGAGGAGGTGGCGGAGGTGACTGCCCAGGCGAAGACCCAACAGGTGAGTACGGCCCCGGCCCTGCCGCGGGCGGAGGAGGTCGTGACAATCCAGGACCTGGCGGCGGTGGTGATAACATGATCCGTCCGGGTGGCGGAGGTGGCGGCAAGTGCTGAATCCGAGGGCCAGTTGGCCCAGGCGGGCCAGACGGCGCCCTCGTGTGGGGAGGGTATTGTCCCGTCGGCGGAGGCAAGTGCTGACCCTGGAGAGGAGGCGGCGGGTGCGCCTGTACACTCCCTGGCCGGGGTGGCGGAGGTAGCGTAGCAGGTGGTTGCCCTGATGTGGAGTAGGGCGAAGTGGGCATCGTACCGGGCGAAGGCATATTCGGGAAGGGAGAAGTGATCGCCGCTGGCCTGCCGGAGACAGAGTTAGCAGGCGTACGCCGCTGTCCAACGTGATGCGGCACGTCGTTCCATCCACCGTTCTCCCGTTTGGAAGGTGGCACAGGCTGTACAGATGGAGCAGCGCTACCTGCACGTGGTGGAGGTGGGAGGACATGAGGAGGCGCAACGTGTTGAGCTTGTACAGGAGGCCGCGCATATTGATTGGAAGGATACGACATGGGTGCTGTAGACTGATATGGCTGCTGCTGGTATGGCTGCCGCTGGTAGGATTGCTGCGAAGCAACTGCAGCAGTCGCTGCGTAGGGGTTTGTTACCTGGGACGACGCTGTAAACCCAGATGAGTTGTATGGCTCGTATACCGAGGTCGCTGCAGGAACCTGCGGAGCAACAAGCTGCTGGACCGGGGCAGAATATTGCCCGTAAGAGTACACCGAGCTCGTTGAGGCAACTTTCGCCGCCACAGCCGTAGCTGTTGCCGAAATTGACACGGTCCTGGTAGAAGCTACACTGACCCCTGCGGCCTTCAACAATCGCTCTCTACCAGCCGCCAAATCAATCATAGCACCCGATGAACCATCGTATCCTTCGGGAATGAGTCTTAGGAACGCGACTGCCTCCTGGAGGAGGCCTTGGGCAGCGAGGAGCCCAGCATACTCGAAATACCGATCGTACAGACCCGACAGTTTGTATGCCTTTGTGGCCGTTTCCTCGCTCTCGGTCTTCAATGACAGGTCCGTATCGTCGTACTTGATCGCACTGCGGAAGACAGTCACCTTCTCAATGAATGTCTCCAAAGCCAACGCGTGAGCAGTGTATCGCGAACCGTCGAGCTGGCCTTCGTCCGTGCTCAACAACTTCTCTTCCTCAGCCAACTCCTCAAGCCAAATATTCACCAATCTCTCTAGACGACCGGCAGCAAGATACGTCAAAGTTGCGTGACGCCTGAACTCAGCTGCCTTCTCTCGCCCATCAGAAGAGCCCGACACTTTTGCGAGGCTGGACTGGAACTCGAGGCGCCGACCAAGCTGCTCTGCGAGTCCGGAGAATTCTTCATGGGTAGCGAAGGTGCAAAGAACGACGAAGATCTCCTGCCATTCCTGTAGGTCGGCATTCTGCACGATATCCGCCAAATCATTGGTGACAATGGATTGGAACAGACGAAGATATGGCAAAGCGGTCGTTCGCCGTTCGAAGTAGGCCTTCTGCGTGCGCTGCAGCAGTTCTGGGCCACCCTTGACAGCCAAGAGGATGGCGTCCGCATAACGGCCTGAAGAAAGACAGAGGGACACAGCAGATTCGAAGTCACCGAGCACCAACGCCCTCGTGACAAGCCTGTCGGTCTCAGACTCGTCACTGGGGTATATACGGAAGGTGTTGCTCTTCAGCGCTTCCGAAGCAACAGAGGATGGGCCAGAGCCAATCGTCGCTGCGACTGAGGAGTCAAGCGCGTAATTGTGATGCGGCACCTGCATCTGCTGGTCATCGTTTCCCGCCCCTATCGTCCCAAAGAAGTCCGCCGCCACATCGTTCTGGTTGCCACCGAGATTGTCGTCACCGAAGAGACTCGGGGCAGTCGTCGTGGATTCTCCATCAGCCTGGGGAGTTGCATTGGTGGTGTCCGAGGCAGCGCTGGCGCTCACTTCAGATGGAGTAGTCTCCGCTCCGTAGGTACTGGCATCCAGAGTCTCGTCAGCTTCCGGATCTCCGTGATCAGAGTATGTCTCGCGCTCTGGCTCAGCGAAAGACACAACAGGCTCGTGTCGCTTGAGATCCGAATCAGTAACATCCTGCTCTGTGAACGACAATGCACTATCAGGTACGGCCTTCAGGTTGACGATGGCTTCGGCCACCCTCGTCGCGATCTCCGCTTTCGAGAACCCAAGGAGGATGATGAGTTCGTCTCGCGAGTTCGCCTTGAACAAGCTGAGTAAGGCCTTCCAGCTCGCAGATCCGGAGTCCTCAGGCTTCTGTCCGTCCTCTTCACTCTTGTCCTCTGCGAAAGCACTCAGATTGTTGCCTTCAATCGCCGCCTGCAGCTTGATCGCGCGTTCCACGATGTTCGCCTCCGTGACGACCGTCCTGATATGGACGACGCAGCTCTGGTTCCGGCCCTGCGCTGACGGCAGATTGGATACCGTAATCAGCTTGCCTCCATACCCGAAGGAGTTCGACGCCGGGCGGCGCAGCCATTTCGGAGGGTGCTTGAGAGAGAGGGTAGCATGGTTAGAGCGGGGAAATCCTGGTGCACCGAAGATGTCGGAACCATCAGGCTGAGGCGTAGCAGGCGGCAACTCGGCAGCCTCGTTCGTCGACTGAATGGAGTGAATACCAATGGTACCGTCAAAGAATGCAGCCGCAAATAGGTCAGGATTGCGCGGGCACCACTGGACTTGGAAAGCCCAGCCATCTGCGGATGGAAGCTGTACAGAATGTTACAACAAGGTTGGAACAGATGACGCGTAACTTGCCTCTCCAATCATCTCGGAAGTTTGTGGGTTCCAGCAGAGTGCACGATTGTCCTTGCCGCAAGAAAGTAGCAAATCCGGATCTTGTGTGCACCATGACAGTGATAGGACACCTTTTTCATGGCCTGTAAGAATCTACTAGCAGGTAAGCAACGATGATACGTGCAATATCGTAATAGTATACCTTCTCTGGCGCGCGAGTGTTACGTAGATCCCACACCATAACGATTGGTGAAGTATCGTCTTCGGAAGACGTCACAAGACGCGTAGCCTATCGTATGCGAAGTCAATAGAGACCAATACGAATGGTACCTGGTACTGACATTGTCGGGGTGCCAAGCGACGTCGCTCATACCCCGCCTTCCGCCTGCAGCCATGCCAGGGACTGCGAATCCTTGAATACCGCCCGAAAGTGTGCCGGCGCCTCCACCATACGCCAATGCAGCAACCTCTCGCTTGCCTCTCAAGTCCCATACAACAGTGTAGCCTGTGTTGCTGGATGCGGCAAGAATGTAGTCGACGTGGTGGTTCCACGCAAGTGACGTGATCTCGTCAAGCTTTGTGCTGCGAGTGCCGGGGGTGTACGGCTTGCTTGGGTCTTTGAGATCCCAGATGTAGATCTGCAAACACGGTTAGTAGCGTAATGCAGAAGAAACAGTGTATATACCTCGCCATTTATTGCCCCTGACGAGAATATATTGGTCCGCATAGGATTGAAGTCAAGCGCACGGACAGTGCCCGTGTGCGTCTTGTTTCGCAGTAACAGCGATTCCGACGGTCTGTTAAGGCGGGTTATATCCAGACGAGACGCATCGCACAGACCAGGAAAGCTTACTTTGAGTCTGCGACGATCTGTGATGGGTCCCAGATGTCCAATTCCCCGTTCTCCATGCCAGCAACGATTACACCGCTCGGGCGGCTCCCATCCGCATAACCCCATGCCAGACGGTTGAATCTATCGTGTTCTCAGTCTCAGATAGTGACATAGATCAACATTCGGCATTGTACCCACCTTGAGGTGGTCTTCACGGATGCTTTTGGCCCCGGGTGACCCTCCGCGCCGAGGTCAAACTCATTCTTGTCCAAAAAGTCCGGTTCCCATATTTCGAGTCGGCCATTGTTGCTGAACGACTCATCCAGGGCATCCGCGAATGTACCCGTCGCCAGCAACGGTAGAGACGGCGACGGCGACCATGCGAACGTCGAGGTCCTGTGGATTTCCTTCAGCTTCATGGTTAGTTCGAGTTATGCTTGGTGGGTCTGCGTTTGGGACGACGTGTCATAGCAGGCGGTTACAGCACCAGACCTTATCCCAGCTCTCAGGAATTTCCCCATCTGGATCCCGGAGTCTCAACCAATGCATTAATGGGAGGATCTAATTCGGATAGCGCTCTTGCTTGCAAATGACTCCTCATCGCGCTCGTTCTCAAGATGACACAACATCAAGAAAAAAATACAAGAGGCTTGAAAACATACTTTATATGTTAGAGATTATGTGGGGAAAATCCAGGGGGTCCAAATGCATGGTGACATAAGTGCAAGACTTGCACTACCAGCCGTGGGTCAACGATAGTAACTTCCCTGTCTGAAACATTTCGCAGACGTGAGATATATCAGCAGTGTTGCAGCGGATATGTGGTGAAAGCGTATTAATATTGCCATCTGCAATAACAAGTAGGGTGTACAAAAGTAGTTCCAGCATTGGAACTTACGGCTATGTTTTGTCCTTGGGGTTTCTCTCCCTTATTTTACTCTTCTTCGCCGCTTCCTGTACCAACTGTCCTTCTCGTCTCCACTGTGCCTTCTCCCACGCATCCCACTCCTCTCTAGCATCCACCCATCTCTCCTGGACATCGCGCACGTCGCTCCGTGGACCGCGCGGAGGTCCAGCAGCAGTGGTGAAAAGCGCGTATGCATTAGGCCGCAGGGCTGATGGTGCATCTGTCGCTTCCACTGTGCCCTCAGGCTGTTGGGCGCCTGCCGATGGAACGAAGACACACCCTGTGGCTTTGTCGATGACACGCATGAGATGCAGCATGGACTCTTTATCCTGCGCAGCCATGATCGCTGAGTGACGAGCCATAATTGATCGTCGAAAACCTACCTCTACCGCCAAAGTTTCAAAGCCTACGAGCCCATAGTCTTCGATCAGCGAACATATCGCCATGTTCAGGGCAGTGTACCGCGGGGAGGATGATGATAGGGAATTCTCAAGATAGGATAGATCTTGTACCTCTGTGTAAAAATCCAGGTTGAAATCTACGCGGAAATAAAGTGAACGAGGCAGCAATGAATCAACACGAGTGATGGATACCGAGATCGCCGTACTGTTTAATCAGGTCGACCTTCGACAACACGTTAATGTGAGGCAACTCGAGATGAAGCATTGCCCGCAGGGATAACATGAGCACTGAGATGTACTTCGATGCATCGGTCACGTAGTGCGCATCGCACAGATGGACCGCAGCTAACTGACCACCTGTCCGTCAGCTGCACAAGCCATGGAAGACTCGCTCACACCCACCCGAAAGCCACTCTTGGTCAGCTTGTGCACGATGTTCTTCACACTGTCGTGATTTGTGCTCAGTTCCACCTGTCCAGGAAGATCAAACAGCACGTATGCGTCCTTTCCCAGTTCCTTCAGCCGCTCCTCTAGCCAGTCATAGTTGGCTTCTAGGTATTCCATGCAATATAGCATGCCACCATTGGGTCCAAGGCCCTGGTCATTCATGGCATCCTCGAGCGTAATGAGAGAAAATATATCAATTGCGCATGGATATGGGATGTTCTCGTTTGCAGGATCCAAATTGACGACAGCAATGGGACGATTGAGAGCACCGAACAGTTGGTACTTGCCATAGCAATATGTGGACTTGCCGCTGCCAGGCGAACCACATACAACCTCCCCGAATGCCATTTTGGTGGGCGCACCGTGTGGGGAGTAGCAGATGAGTATGGCGGCAAGGCGGTCACGGTCCCGGTGGTCCGGAAGAAGGAAAGTCTGCACGTGACTTATTGTGAACGCGTCAAGCGCGTGCCTTGAGAATCGAGATGATCTTGACGCCGACGTGGAGAGCTCGAGCAAGTACTGGCCGATGGTTATAAACCAGGTTCATCCACAACCACACAAGTGACGCATACCACCTTTGTTATCTGCGTTTTCCGGACAGTTGTAACGATGCCTTGGTATCCTTCCGATGAGGTGAGTACAGATGCGGTGGGTCTCGATTTGGATCGCAAAGTCAGATGGATTATGCCCTTCTCTGACATATTCATTGCGACAGATTGACGGCGTACTTGAGATGTCGCGTGCGGAATATATGGCCACGCAAGGCAATCACAGCTTAAATGCTGATGCAGGTCCATCGCAGACGCGGAGAACAGCGTCGTCGTCGCACCCTCGGCGTATGACATCAGACATTGGTATAATCAACGCTGGAATAGCAGAAATCGACGAGGAGATGGAACGACTGAAAGCTCGGCGAGCATCGCTCATTGTGCAGAAACAGACTGCAGAGAAGAATAAGAGGAAGCTGGATGCATCCATCCGAAACATCAGTGCACTCCGAGTCAAAGATACAGGCAGAGTCTCAGAAAAGGGCATAGACTACACCACAGAATTTGAATGGACAGGTCCCCTTCGATACAAGATGAAGATGGTATTTGGGATTGACGATTTCCGTCTGTGCCAACAAGGGTGGGTTGTCTTCGGTGGAATTCGATTCATACTCAGGCGGTCACTTCAGGGTTTGCAACGCGAATATGGACGGTCGTGATATCATCTGCGTGATGCCCACAGGTAAGCCCCAGTCCAAGACATGCGAAGTAGCTTACTCAACCGGGACTACAGGTGGGGGGAAATCTTTGACCTATCAACTTCCCGCTTTGTTGTCGAATGGGTGCACTTTGGTGATCTCACCCCTTATTGCTTTAATGGAGGACCAGGTCCTGCATTTAAAAGAAGTGGGAGGTCGGTATTCTGTCTGTCGTTCCAACGCTTCATTTTAAGAGTAGCCTTAGTTCGAGCGGCAATGGTCACGGCTGAACTCCCTAGGGCAGAAATGGATCAAATCACTCGACAAATGAAAATTATGGCTTCCTCGACAGAGACAGATCGATCCGACATCAAGCTCCTTTATGTGACAGTATGTCTACTACTTCTCCGCCCGTCAGCCCTGTGCTAGAAATCTGAGACTATCTTCTTTCATCAGCCAGAGAAGGTAGTTAACAATAGAAATTTCTTGAGTTTGCTACAAGCTCTGGCGGAGGCCGGCAAATTGAGTCAGTGATAACTTCAGTCCCCTCACCCACTATATTGAAGTGGTTTCCTGTGGCAGATCGTTGGGTGCTAGACGAAGCACATTGTATCTCCCATTATGGTCACGATTTCAGGTGGGCTTGTCGAGTCGTTGACTGCTGTGTGCATTGAAATTTCTCTCACTTTGCCAGACCCGATTATCAGCGATTGACTATTCTTCGTACCACATTTCCTAATGTTCCCATTATAGCGCTTTCGGCGACATGTCCACCAGCTGTGCTCGAAGACATCCGGAAAGTGATGAAAATGGGACCGATAGTCAATGGATCATGTATGTCGCGCATCTCTTCGCTTCAACGCTCAATTATCATGGGCATTGTAGCTGCACCTCCCGTCGGAACAGTCTACTTTTCTGCCCCATTGTATCGCAAGAATCTACACTACGCCGTGCTTCCGAAGCCCTCGACATGCTCTGCAGCGATTACCATGATGAAGAACTATATCTTAGAGCACCACAAGAATCACGTCGGTATCATCTATTGCTTAGCCAAAAAGGTGCAGATTTGCCGCTTACCATCGTCACAGAATCCGGAGCTGACCTTTCTCGGCTTATCATCTTGGTCAGGATGCGGAGGACGTTGCCCAGAAGCTGAAGGAAGAGAGTGGCCAGGAAATAAAGACAGAGGTGTACCACTCTGATATCACGCGCGATGCGAAAGAAGCCATTCACAAAAAATGGCGGGAGGGACAGGTCAAGGTCGTGTGTGCTACCCTTGGCGAGTCATCTCACACGCGTCATACACGCTCGTTCTCAATTCCTCTTCTTCTGATAGCGTTTGGACTTGGGATCGACAAGAGTGATGTGCGATTCGTGCTGCATCATAGCGTACGTAAGCGGCGGCATCTTATGTGTTCCCCTCTCGAAGGCTCAGTATCATATTTTGTTCCAGATGCCGGTCCGTGTCGTCGCTTTAGTGGAGTCGTTAGGTTCTGACGCCTCAGCATGGACAGAAATCCTTGGATGGCTTGTATCAGGAATCCGGACGTGCGGGACGTGATAGAAAGGATGCAGATTGCGTCCTGTACTACAGGCCTCAGGATGCCATACGACTCACCCAGATCGTGGACAAGGGAGCAGGGGAGTTAGATAAGTGTGCGTCTACGCCGTGTTCCTGTGCATCTGTGAGTTCTGGACTGATCCACCGTGGCGGCTGCCTTGCACCACAGTGCACGATATGTTGCGGTTTGCGCAGGACGTGGAGCAGTGTCGCAAGATCCAATTTGCCAAGTATGTCTCTCCCCACGCTGCCCTCCACTCCCCCCACGCGCTGTGCATGCGCACTGACTTGTGCGATATGCACTCCCAGGTACTTCAACTCTTCTGCAGACCTGTCGATGGACGTGTGGACGACTGGAGACGAGGATGCTGAGACACCATGTGGACACTGTGACAACTGTACACGCTCGGCAGAACTAGTCGATCGACGGGACATCACTCTCGCTGCGTGGCGGGTGCTCAAGGTGGTAGAGATAGTGAACAAAAGGGGGGGCTTTGTTACCGTCGCGCAGCTGGCTGACCTGGTAAGGGGGCACGGTGGAAGCTCGTTCCATGCGAAAGTCAAGAAGGGCAGGAAGACGGTGCGAGAGAAAGTCCACCTTGATTTGAACGAGGTCGCCGGCGGCAAGCTTGAATATTCAAAGCAGGTATGATGAGTGCTCTGCGTGGAGTGACATACTAATTCACCCACACATAATATTGTGTTAGGATGCGGAACTACTCTGCATCCACCTCATGGTTGAGGACTATCTGAAGACGTTTTACAGTGTGAATAACTTCACTACCAACACATACGTCAGGTTGGGTAACAACGCAGATCGTCTCACTCAACTATCCAAGCAGGACGTCGAGCAGGGCAAGACTCCAGCCATACATCGTTCCTTCCTCATCAAAAGTAAACGAAAGCCAACGTCAAGGAGGATTGGCGAGACAACCAGTAATAGACAACATGAGGATGGTCCTAGCAGCAGTAGGAAAGGAAAGAGGCGTGCTATTGAATTTTCTGACGGAGAGGAATCCGACGACGAGAGCGAAACTGCCAGGGACTCAGACTTTATTTCTGCCTCGACATCCGAGAAGCCTCGGTCCAGCTACTCCTATAGACCTTCGGAAGGGAAAGCACCGCATGACGAAGATGTTTGGAGCCGCTCGATGCTATCACCTCCACCGAGACCATCGAAACGGCCTCGCAGGACGTGTAGGATTCCCGATATGGACAGAACTGTGGATGTTGAAGTTATATGTATATCATCGGACTAATTGCTATACATTTTATCGTACAGGACCACTGTTGTAACCCCCGTGTAAAAATCATAGATATCATGCTGTCGCACTTAAACATACTGCCGTGGAATATATACTGAAGCTCACGTAGCGTCCATAATGACTACTCACTATAATATACATCTCACTGAGTTGGAGAGGCCTTGGGGCGTTTCAGAGCTGAGCGCAGCGGCGGCTTTGGAATGAGATGATGCTGCATATCAATTCGCACACCATTCTCGTTCATCCACCCCGAGTTTGGTTCAGGATAGCCCTGTGAAAAGCACCGAGGATTAGCCAACAAACGGAATGATCATTACGACAGGGAACACTCACGACAAGGTCCGGCGGATAGTCTTTCCCAGCCTCGACGGACTTGTATCTCCCATCGTTCGTCCACAGCTGATCCCTATGATACGGACAGTTGGAAACATATAAAGAGATAGAAATCAAGCCACTGACCCGCGACGGTTGAACCACCCTTTGCGGCGCTCACTAGGAGGCACCGGTGAAGGGCAGACCAGGTTCTCAGTCCATCTGACGCAACGTCGTGATGTCGTTCCAAAGCCTCCTTCGAAAGCTGAAGTAGCTCGTGCGAGCGGAATGGTCGACTCTGCTCGGGCATCCCTCTCCACTGTGCGCGAGGGCGAGTCACGATTATTGTGAGGCGTCCCTTCGCCAATACGAGTGAGGACTGCCGGAGCTGATTCAGAGATGCCGCCAGTCCGATTCGCCACAGGTAGGGGAATGGCAGGTGGTCGTTGTGGTGGGCGCACATCAGAACTGTTCGAAGTGGGATGCGACGATGATCCAGCGGCCACTCTGCGAAGCTGATCGCCACCATCATACGCCGTAGTGACCGCCAACCCAGGTGGAGCGCGTAGGCTTGATGAATCCTCGTACCGACACTTGGCAGCAGGCGCTAGAGCGGTCGAAGTGGTGACCTGCTGGGTCTCCGGAGAGTCTCTCGAGCGCGAGACCTGCTGGCTGCTCGAATGCCCATCAGTGTCTCTCCTCGCAGAGAGAGCGGCAGCGGAAGGAACGACAGAAAAATCTCGTCTCCCTTCGTCCCTGCCACCAGCGTTGGCCCGTCGTGGCCTCGTTATATCGACGATGGGATCGTCAATGACAGTGTCGCTATCGCTATCCGAAACCGTTTCTACGGTTGCCAGGTGGATAGGAACAGCAAATGTGGGTGGAAGCGCAGCGAAGCGTGGGGAAGTTTCCTCGGAAACTATAAGGGGTACTCGAGGAATGGTGCCATTGTTATCTGGTGTAGCTCCCGCAGACCCCGACGAGGGAGTAGCTCTGAGAGGCGCAGAGGGTGCAGCTCCCACGGCGTTTGAAACATGCGCGCGGACGCTCAGCGCGGTCGTCTCCAAGGTCTCTGTGCTACTACTAGCACGTGTAGAGGAAACCTCAGTAGAGACGGCAGATCCCGAGATGGAGTCATCAGAGTCGGAACTTGATGAAGAGTGCGAACTCGCCAGAATATCAGAGGCAGAGGAGACAGAGCGTTCGTAAATATATGTGTTATTGTCGGTAGCGCTGGGGTATATTCCATAGTTTTTCCTCGGTTTCGATCGATTCAGCACGAAAGCCGCATCATAATCAGCGGGAGGCGAGGGGTGGATCAGCGAGTTCTTCCTCTCGTTATCAGGACGGGGAGGATAGGCTGGAGGCTTTGAGCGGACAACGGGACGACCGTGAACTGGGTTAGGCTTTCCTCCAGCAGGAGTGTATGTGTGAGAGGAGGCCGTGGCGGGGTTCTTGAAAACGTGAACAGAGAACCCTCGAGGGACCTCGAAATACTAGGGAAAGTTAGTCTACTCACTTGAGGAACTAAGAGCGACATGCGCACCTTCGAAGCCCCATTCCGACCATTCCGAGCATGATTTTTTGACTCAAAGCCAAGAGACGAGAGCATTCTGCATGAACTCGTTCGTCCAAGAGGAACGCAGGAATAACTCCCTTACCTCGAGTGAGTTATACGGACAGAGACACGCACCTACTGGCATGAGTCTTTCATATGTATGACATGTGAATTTCGCGGAGCAAAGGCGTGTCGCACATGGGTGAGTGCTACATGGCAGAAGTGTGGAAGGCGTCGCAGGATCGAGCATGTGTAGATGCGGCAAGGAGATGCCCTCACACATGTAGTGCTCGTAACAGCTTTAACCACGCTGCAGTTACCCCAATCGTCACGGAGAGAAGCTTGCCACGGTGACGAACGGGCAAACTCACCATCATTAGGGTCTTCGATTCCTAAATTTACATCTTTCATCATGCCTGCAGGCCTGACGTGTGAAGCAAGAAGTTGCAGCACACCCATTCGTGGCGCGGAGACGATCAGGTCGGATTTGTGTAGAGCATTCACGCCACAGTCACACCGGCGTCGAGGATCCGCGTTGAACGCTGCGCCTGTAGGAAATGCAAAAGGGTGATAGTTAGATTGGTAGCAGGATGCACCAGCGAGGCGGCGTCACCGACAATATTATTCTACATGTGTACGATCATGCATGTACGAGTTCGTAGCCTGCCAGTGCCATGCGGCCCGCCTGCAGTATTTTAACTTCAAGTTACGGGAGGTTACCCTTACCGAACGAGCTTCAAGCATCAGCTTGACTGTAGCTGCAGTCCAGAAACGAAAACACCCCTCAGGATTAGGCTATGTAACAACAATCGTACAATATTTTACCATACACCGCTGAAGTATAACCAATCCTTCAATATCGTCGTCCTCTCTGTGCCAATCTGGCGAGTCACCTCGATTTGACGAGTGATTGGGAGTTCCTCGAAAGCTGCCAAAACATTACCGTCCAGTATACCTTTAGACAGGGGCCTTGAGACATAGTCGTTTCGAACGATGCTACTTCATGGATCAGAGATGGTGCGAGGGACGACGCTCACTGCGCTCACCGGAATGCTTTAGGATTCAAACCCGCGACATGCTGAACATTACGGGTGAGCTGACCTTGTAGAAGGTGCAGTCTCTTGAAGGCGGATTCGTCGACGCAAGTCAAAGACACCAGAGCGCCGTCAGCGGTTCCTTCACAGACGCATTAGCCCATGCTTGGCCAACAGTCGGAGTATCTACATACCACAGAGTAATTTGGCCTGCGGTATGGCAGTATCTGTACCTATACGACGTGCGATCATAACAGAAGTACGGTATTCTGTCTGCCCGTGGTACTCTGTACGACGAAGTAGATGTTGACCGTTTTTGGATTCGGGATCTGCTTTTGGTTGTGAGTGACAGCATTGCGAAGCATGTCGGTCAAACCATGTCGTTTAATGACGCACCATGAGGATCATACTCATAGATTCTCATTACACCATCTTCGTCGCACGTAACCATGGACACGCGGCCATCCGCGAAGAAGAGATCGGCATTTGTCACACATGCATGCAGTGGATCCTTCCCCAACACGACGAGTTTATACGGATCCTCCTACCAAAAAAGTCAGTACACGAGTAGGACTCTCATATAGCCACGAATATACCTGGAATGCCACGAACCAGACACTCTTGACGGCGTCTCCTATGACAAGCAAGTTCTTGATGGTGCGAAGGGATGTAACATAGACACCGACGTCCAAGAAGGCGACACCGACAAGCCGTTCATCCAAGTCGAATGCCCTGACAAATATCTACAGAAACCTGGGTCATGAGCTTGGGTTTGGGTTAGAACGAAGATACGAAACGCACCTTCTGCCCCATCGAGGAGACAAGATAGCCATCCATCCCACAAAGCGCTGTGACGGGACCCTTCGCATCATCTCTACACCGAAGCTTCAGCTTATACCAGCGCTTATGGCTAGAGCTTAGATCAGGAACAACTTCCACGATCTCGAAGATGTAAACCTGAGACATTGTTCATCAGGACTGAACGTCATCGCATGCGCTTATGTGAACACTCACGACACCCTTGATCGCCAGATCCTCTCCTCGGTTCACTGTTGTCCCGACGGCTATGAAGTCTTTCGTGCCGGACTCTGTGCTCATCGTTTCTAACGTCACACAATCGAGGCAGTTCACAAACTCGTTGGGAGCAAACTCGTATCTGGGCAACATCTTCAGCCAGATACACACAGGAGAGCACACGCGAGACTCACCCATCCATGGTGATCCAGCCTTCGGGTGAGATGAGCTCCAGCGTAGAGCATTCACAGCTCGGGAAGGATATGTTCGATGCTTTCACCACAGATACGACTGTTAGATGTAACGCCATACAAAGTGCCAGAAATGAACTCGCACCATCTGGCTCCCACACAATGTTGCCATCTTCATCATATGAAGCAAATTTATTTTGCAACGAGGATGCAGCAACGAGCAGTGACGTCGAAGCGTCGTACACGACATTCGAATAAGATTTATCTCGCGGGATGAATTTCCACGGCAGGTGACCGTCGAGCTGGAAGTTCGGGATCCATTCCGCAAGGCTCGGCCCCTACATGGTCGTCAGTTGTGTTCGGCGAAACAGATGATATGAAGGCACCCTCACCTCTTCGGAGTACAAGAGAAAATCGCCTTTCGATTCCCATAATGAGGAGGCCGTAAACGCGTGCACGACAGAATGGCCTGACGGGAACACCTTGACGCCTCCCTGGTCTGTAGACAGAATCCAACATGGACGATCGCCTGTAAAGAACACTCCAGAAATCATCTGCCCTGGAGCAGGAGACGTCACGAACGGAATGAGATGCCGCGAGATCCGCTTTTGCTCAGCAAGCACCGACTTCTCCACCTCCTCGGTGTGCTGTATGTCGAACGCCCGAGACAGCACCTTCACAAACCGCACGAGAAGCGCGGATGATCGAGCAGCAGGAAGAGGTTCCACAGGCGGTGGCGTAGGAAATGCCTCGTATATGGCTAGCTGTCCGGAACGCAGGAAGACCTAGCGGATCACTCGTGAGCAGCTGTGTCACGGCTCGCACAAACAGCGTGACTCACAACGAGGTGCGGGCGTGGCGAGGACTCGCCCAACGGAGCGAGCAAGATCTGCTCGATATCCAGTTCCTGCGGCTTGCGGGTTGACTCCTGAGGGGCAGAAAGGGCGGGTGGGTCATATGAATCAGTGAACATCGGTTCCAGGGTCGCAACTAGGGTGGTCGAAAATGCCAAGGTGAGCTTGGGCAACGTCCAGATCTGCAAGGCACTATGTCAGCGCTCATGAAGTGTAACAATGAGGCTTTCATACCTCGACCGCACCCTGTGGCCGGCATAGGAGCAACCACTGGCTCCTGTTCCCAGCATTCATAGCGGCCTGCAGAGTTGACGTAACGTTCTCAGTCCCAGCAGCTTGCATGTTAGCGTGGCTTTGAAACACGCCGGTCGTATCTGTGAAGAAACAGCCAGCCAGGTATCGAGACGTCTGCACGACTTGTCAGCATGCTGGCGCATCACCGATGTGCAGAGAACTACCTTCTCGCCCATCGGAGACATGTCCTTGCGCCTAATCTTCCCTCGCTCGGTCTCTCCAATGAAGAGACCGATGGAGTCATCCTCTCGGATGATGAGTACGAAAGGGTCGCAGATACTGCAGAACCTGATCTTTGGCCGGGGTACATTCCCATCCCAATCTTTAATAACCTGGCGTTCCGTCCCATCTGTGGATGACGATATGATGAGCACTCGAGCAACGCGGAAGAGGCGCGACGCACCAGGCTCTAACACTCGGATGACGTTGGTGACATTGACCATCACATGCAAGATAGCAGTCCCTTGGAAGAATGGTGCCGCGCCAATCGTAGTTCCCGGGATACGTGTGGTGATCGAGATGTCTGATTGAGGGTGGCGGGAGGCAATCTGCTCGTACGCGGTATTAGTTTTCTTCGACACGACTATGGGCGAGAGCTTACTCGAGAAAGGCCCGGCGAAGGATTCGCATCGGTACTGATGATAATAGAGTCATTCTCCGTGTAGAAGGGATTGACGGCGCGTTCATAAGTCGAGCCGTTAACCTTGACAGCTTGTCGCACGGGGAGAGACCACATTCCGCGACCGCCGCCTACGGCGTGCAACTTGCGTTTGGTGCGTGTCGGTAAATCCCGCTATGGACAACATTAAGATACCATTGTGACTCATCCCCAGAGAGCACACCTGAAAGACAGTAAAACCACCCAGCTCGCCAGCGCCAGTGGCAGTAACAAGCTCTGGTACGTACCGATCCTAAATCTTGATCATTAGTTCATAAGGTCGTGACGCAATAGCAGGATACACACCCCGTTCTTGGCTAACGCGAAAGTCATATCAGAGATGGGCCCGTGGGCAGGTAACGAGTCGCACAGAGATAGATGCACGACCGTCCGCCTCTTCGAAGTAACAGCGACGCCATTGAGATTGCCATTGCCGTTGATAGACAGCACTTCTTGCACCTGGGAACTTCCGTACAGGTCTTAAGACAAAATCAGACTCGAGACAGTTGTGTCGGGAAATTTCCACTTACCATCGTCATCGTCAAGGTCCATACCATCGGTCGAGTCAACAACCGTGGCGGGCGCAGAAGTCATCTCCACATCCTCCTCGGGGATATCCTCTTCCACCCGAATAGTCTTCAACAATACAGAAGGGCCTACAATGCTCCCAATGAACAGATAGTTGTCCTCGACTCTCCTGACGCATGCAGGAATCGTTGTCCGTGCCACGGGCGACGCCATTGACAGCCGTGACACCGTCTTCCCGTCAACGATGACTTCTACGGGATAGACTGTGCCATCTCTAAGCACTACGAAGAGCGTCCTATCGTCAACGAAGGCGAAGCGCGCTCCCTCCAGTTGCAAGTCCCGTAACTGTTCTTGCGGCGTGAGCACCGGCATGGACATGTCGCTCAAGCGTGGTGGCCAGCCATTGACAGGCAACACGACCCGGCGGGAGGACTGATCCACGTATATAATGGAATTGCTAGCCAGGACAACGACACCGCCCAGCGCGGTCGAGCACGCTGTGATGGCGAGGCAGTCGTAAGACAGGCCCTCAACCGCAGTGATCACAGGATAATTCCTCGTGATCAGATCAAGAGTGAATATGAAAACACCAACTGTGTCTTTATACTCCTTCAGTCGCCTGCGCATACGGTCAGTAAAAGTTAGCAATTGAAGGACATGATGCGCACCCTGTCCATGTCTGCTCATGTTGGAAAAGGACTGCAATGGTCGGATTGCTGAATCCAGGCAAAAAAACGAAGTCTATGACATTCCGTATGCGTGGATCAACTTCCGTCGACATGCTAAGGATGAAACTCGGAGAGTACGGCACATCCCTGCATTGCGTTGAGCACGAAGATAATTATGCTCAGTCTCGACGCACCTTGCTTGGCTTGTCTCCTGCTCCATAAGGTCAAGCTCTGCTTGACTTTGATAGAATGGCAAGATGGCTATCGAGTCTTTCGGCAGAGAGAGCGCAGCACACCGAGATAATGGATCGACACGCAATTCCGAGCGGAACAGCGACGAGTCCAACGACATCTAGAAATAGCTCAGTACAGAATCATTGCAGCGCTTGACTTACGACTTACAAGTTGTGGTGCACGCTCGTATGTGTGTATCGACACGGTAATGAGGTCGTGCACGGCCTCTGACCACTCCAAGAGTGCAATCTGGAATAGCCATTCAGGTTTCGCGGTCAAACTTTGAACTGAAGTGACAGAAGGCACACCTTCGCATCTTTAAAGGACACCAGCAGACGGTCAAGCTTGTCTTCAATCGAGGTCACAACACGAACACCTTCAATGCCAGTGACAACGCCGTGCAGGCGATGCTCCCTGACGAGGTAGAAGCGATTGACGGTCGGCGGATGCAGAACGCCGTTCTGACCGGTGGACTGAGGACGACATGAGAACGGTCAGCATTGACTCTGGAATGTCGCACACACGCATCTCAAGACGACCAACGAGACGGGAAAGCTGGCATCTCATTTGTTCTCTGCGACAAAGGAAGGACAAAAAACTGGGTATTCGAATTCACCTTGACCGAGCCCATGTTCACAAACCCTTCCCCGGACGCGTCCATCTCGATTTCGCCTTCTACCGCCTCTGTGCCTTTCCGGACACTGGCGCGCCTCTCCCGTTCATCCTCCTTGTGTGTGGAGATAGGCGCAGGATCCTTCCTGACCTCGAAGATACGCAGGAGGTTGGAGCGCGCCACTACGACATTGAAAAGAGCGCATCCAGCAGGCTCAGCTTGAGCGCTTGTACTTGGAGATCCCGGTAAAGTCGAAGGTGTAAGTTTGAGGCAAGCAGCAAATTCGACGCCGCTTGGAGGCAGTATTTCCTGACGCAATGCTTCCATTCAACGGAGTCAACGCAGCAGAAATAATCTTTGCACGCGTGTCGCTCCTGCTTAACAGTGGAAGACGGTCAAACGTTTGAATGGCCCGGGAACACGACACAACAGATGCGACCTACTGAAACTCAAAACGAGCTCCTCCTATCAATTTCCGCACGAATGACCCGCCTACTAAAAACTTGTCCCCGATGATGTACTGTATGTCCGCCAACGTTGGTGGCACAGGCTACAAGCGAATGTCACGGCGGAGGTTGTGATTGACCATCACACGTCACAGTCTAGTCACATGACTTCGGGAAATCCCGACCCGACTGGACCTCGACGCCGAAGTCTCGCCTGTAATGTCCTCCGCGTTCACTTCGTTGCTCAGGCCAGTGTCGGGATGCTGAATAATGTCTTCAGTCTTGGACCCTCTCGTTCTGTCTGAGGCTCAAGGTCTGATGCTGCTGGATCAGTCGCGATTCGTTGGAGGCTCGACCAGAGCTCTCCCGACAATGCTGGCAGCAGAACATTCTAGAGATTCTGACCAGCATAAAAGGAGGGCGTCTGCGCTTTTCCTTCTTCCCTCAGGCAAGCACAGTCCTAGGACGTCAAGTGGAGTCGCCGTTATATGGCCGACCGAATCGGATCGATGGGATGTGGGTTGCCGGTCTGGGACAAGTCTTTTCATTTGGGTCCATGGGATGGATACTAACCACGCGACATACATGGTAGGAGTAGGGATAGGATCCTCCTTAGGCGTCCTGTGGTGGTCGTGAGAGGGTTTTGACTCGTCGGTGTTACGTGCTGTTTGGTCCAAGGGGTTATGAGTGCGGTTTAAACTTCGGGGCCCCGATGGAAGCGATGAATGCGTTATATATTATCGCGGTTGAAGTCGTCTGGCCATCTCGTTGTCGGTGCAAACTCTTTCAGTGTCACCTCAAGAGTCTGGTCGGGTTTTCGCGGATCTATGGTTGAATATTCCTTTTCCGGAGTTGGTTGGACATCTTGATTGTGATGGTTTCCGTGGGTTGGGTTCTTTGGATATGGGTGCTCCCTCGCGCTTCGAATGGGCAAGATTGGACGGCGAATGCTTTGGATATCTCGTATTTCGATGGGGTGCCATCGCACGGGCGAATACCTCGCACTTCGAATGGGATGGGCGATATCGCATGGCTGAATACCCTTAAACTGGGCGAATGCTTTGGATATCTCGTATTTCGATGGGCACCATCGCACGGGCGAATACCTCGCACTTCGAATGGGATGGGCGATATCGCATGGCTGAATACCTGGCACTTAAAGTGGGCGAATGTGTTGGATATCTCGTACCTTGTATGGGCGAATACCTTACGCTTCAAATGGCTCACCGTGTGGCGCATATCTCGAGCCTTTCGAATGGGTAACATCGTACGGGCAAATACCTTGGATCCTGAATACTTAGGCAAGATCGCCCCGGTACAATTACTAGGATTTTTCGGAAGGACATCGAATTCGCATTGAGTAAGACTCGATCGGAGGATGGACATTCAAATTGCGGAACATCGTGTAAGGACGCGGAGGATTTATGCCGCTTGATGGCTTTAAATGGCGAATAGTGGGAATGAGGGTTTTCGGAGTCGGTGCTTGCGTTTTGAGGATCAACTTTTCGGATTGCGGTTATGGCTACTCTGGAGCTTTCGGTCAGCTTTCGGTCTCGAGGTCGCTCGTGGGATTCCTCTCTTTGCGAGAACTGCTATTCATGCGACTTGCAGTCTGCCGGTGTTGCGGAGGATTGGGTTGACAGAAGGTCCGATGTTTAGTCTCGTTGACTTTCCTACAGAACAGAGTAGTGACTGTCTGCCCATGAGATCGTTCGTTCGTCGGCGACGCGTCGCCTTCTCGTATTTCTGGCTTGGAGAGGAAGAGGAAGGTTGGGTAGTTTGTCGTCGTTGAAGGTTTGTTTTGACGAAGGTATGTGGTGGTTTTCCTGTTGCACTATGTTTGATACTCAACGATCAGTGCAGATTGAGGGCTAGCCTGTATTCGGCGCCATTCGTCTAAATGGCGCCAGGATTGGTTCCAGGGAGGAGTGTAGAAGGGAAGTGCCAGGGTAGGGTTGGAAATATATCTTGCCTTCGTCTAATTCGTTTGCGTGTTTCCAGAGAAGATCGATTCTAAGGTTATGGTTTGTCACGTCGGTTGACATGCTTTTTAAGTGGAATGGCGTCACAGGTCAGACTCGTATATAAGAGGGGACTGCTGTAGATCGGCACGCCGAAGGCCTTCCATCGATTACCCTCCAGCATTGACCAAGTTCTGTAGCTATGCCCGAGTCGATTACTCTGTACACGGCCAAGGTGACTTTTAACCGTTGATCGGGATCTAATAGGATCGACGCTTACTTATATCATTTCCCTCCTTAGATCTGCCCTTATGCTCAGAGGGTGCATAAGTATCAGTGCAGGAATATGAGACGGACCTTGACCATCCCAATTAGGTTGAGCTAGCGTTGGAGGAAGCCAAGGCACCGTATACCAAGTTCCAGATCAACCTGCAGAACAAGCCCGATTGGTATGCTCCCCTCGTCAACCCGGCAAGTAAGGTACGTATTTACCATACCTTCGGCTTGCTGTGGCAGTTCATCGACAGTCCTCCTAGGTTCCAGCCATTGCATATGGTGGCCCTGCGGTCGCCGCGGACCAGCCATCCCCGAAATCAACCAAGTTGACAGAGTCGCTCGTCTTGATTGAGTTCGTCGCGGACTCGTTCCCCGATGGTCACTTACTTCCGGCAGACCCCGTCCTCCGTGCCAAAGCGCGCTTCTTCATCGACGTCGTCTCCACGAAGTTCGTCCCCGCGTGGAGCGCATTCGTGAGCGGTAAGGGCACCGCAGACGCCTTCGTCAGTGCCACAGAGCAGGTTACTGCACTCCTCCCGGAGACTGGATTCGCGGTGGGCGAGTACTCGACCGCCGATATTGCCGTGACGCCGTTCCTTGCTCGCGCGCTCACTGCTTTGAAGAATGATCTCGGACTGTATCCTGCGGGAGAGGGGAAGAAGCTCTATGATCTCTTCCACACCCCGCGCTTTGAAAGGTTGCAGAAGTACTGGCGCGACGTTAGCTCGCGGCCTAGCTTCAAGGCTACGTTCGATGAGGTGCGTTATTATAGTTGCATCATTCTATCTTGATGGGCGCGCTAACGGGATGCGCATTCTGCAGGCATACATCGTTGAGAAATATAGTGCCAGGTTCGCAAGGCAGTAAAATGAGGCGCAGATTGAAAGAGAGAGCAAAAGTTGATTCCCGAAGTGTACCAAAATGACTTGGTGAAGCAGTACATGTGAACGCCATTTGACCGATCTCTTTGTACCGCAATAATTTAAGTGTTCTGTCGTCACAAACACCTTGAAGCGTTGCCTCCACGGTTGAGTCGTCCTTCTGGTCACTCAAGTTAACCACTAAGAGCTTGCATTCAATACTAAGGTCTAACGTGCTGATCTACTTTCTCAGCAAGACGTCGTCTCTGACTGTGACTTGACATGCCTACCTACCCGGGACGACAGTACCGGCGAACGATTTGCGATTGTTGGCAACCGTCATGGGAGCGCTTCAGACAGGCGCGCCTTCCGCCTGTTTATTACCAAGATCTGGTCATGTCATGCCCATGACTGCGGCAAGCCAAGGTATATATGTGCTGCGACAATGGGATAGACGTCCTCCTCTAGCATACAATCCCTCTCAAAGCCATACCATATCGTCAAGTCTTTCATCGTCCAGTGATGCCAGAGTCAATTACTTTGTACTCAGCGAAGGTGATCACCCTTGCAGTCGTCGACAGGGTTGTAGAGACTTATACGAGGTTCTTTATCAGGTCTGCCCCTTCGCTCACAGAGTACGCTCAATTTGAGAGGAAAAGGGTACGCAATTGATGTATCAATTTAGGTTGAGCTCGCATTAGAGGAAGCTCAGGCGCCATACACCAAGTTCTATATCGATCTGCAGAATAAACCGGAGTGGTACGCTGAGCTCGTCAATCCAGCAGCCAAGGTGTGTCTCCATATCGTCGCGCAACACAATGGCCGATCGACCAGCTTTGTAGGTCCCTGCATTGGCATACGGTGGCCCTGCCGTTCCGCCGGACCTCCCTTCTTCAGAGTCCTTCAAACTCACAGAATCACTCGTTCTGATCGAGTTTGTAGCGGATTTGTTCCCCGACGCGCACCTACTCCCGGCGGACCCCGTTCTCCGCGCCAAGACGCGCTTCTTCATCGATACCGTCTCCACGAAGCTCGTCTCCGCGTGGTTTCCGTTCGTGAATGGGGTAGCGTCTGCGGAGCCCTTCCTGAACGGCGTAGAGCAGGTCGTCGCTCTCCTGCCCGAGACTGGATTCGCCGTGGGCGTGTACTCCCTTGCGGACATCGCTGTGACACCGTTCCTCGCACGTATGTTTACAGCACTGAAGAACGATCTCGGCCTATATCCCGTAGGTGAGGGGAAGAAGGTGTACGACATCCTCTGTGGGCCACGCTTCGCGAGACTGCAGAAATATTGGCAGGACGTAAACTCTCGGTCAAATTTCGAGGCTACCTTTGACGAAGTGAGTTTTCGCCAATGGCCAACCATGTGCGCGTTGATTCATGCCTTCCACAGGCGCACATCGTAGAGAAGTACACTACCAGGTTCACGAGGTCAGTTGGGGGGCAAGTGTGAATTCGGTGTACAATTACCCGTAGAAACACTGTGTTTGGTCCGCAAATTTCCAGGAAACTACCTGCAGGAAGTCTCGTCGCGCTAGTTGACCATTAATCCGTATTGGACAGTGTGCAGTCGTATTGGATACCCGCTTATAAGCAGTGAATAATCTAAGTAAAACCCTTCGTTTCGCCTTCAGGCAGTTTTACGCGTCGCTATGCAGGCTAGCGAGCAGTTGACTGCCGAGAAAACTGCAGGTAAAAGTCGTCGTATATTTGTATCGTAGCAAAACGCGAGCTGAGTTTGCATCTGGAATAAACTTATAAGAAATCCCAACGTCGCCGATAGATATGCGGACGAACTCACTTCTACATAGGGATTATCTGAGTTACGAGATACTGGCTTGCAACATGGCTACAGTAATAGTTCGCATACAACATACCTGTAGGCAAACTTCAATCAGCACCCGTTAGGTACGCATCTGTACAAAATTCGACATACATGCTACTCCGCATTGTTATGTAGATCCCCAGTTCGGGACAGCATCCCGGAGTCCCACGATATCAGGCAGTCTGTTCCACAACCGTTCACGGGCCTCCACATCCCTGGATTTGAGCAGAAGCTGGCAGTTGTCACAAACTTCACAGAGGGACGCTTCTTGGGAAATAACGTCGGACGACGACTGCAGGGGGTGTATGCGACCAGAGGGTATGCTCAACTCGTCCTTGCAGTGATCATACATGGCACTCAAAATCTCACCCATACCCTCCTGGCAGATGTAGTGAGTTCTGCAATAAACACTGGTCACCGGTGCGGCGATGTCGCGGAGCATGGCGATTGCTTCGTGGACGAGAACGCCCCTGGCACCTATGCATCTAGCAAGATCATCCGTTGTCAACTGCTCGACGACACGGTCCCCTTCGCCACTTCCACTCAACAAGTCCTGCGGTCTTAGCTGACAACACCGGTAGAGAGCCACTGGGAGTAAGGATAACGTGTTGGTGAGACGCCCCAAGTTGACCACAGTGATGGCATCCGTGGGGGAGAAGGTCATGACCGAGCTGGAATCATGCTCGCCGGTCTCGGATTCCCAGACATCGAAATCGTCAGGGAAACATGTGCGGATTCGAGCCAACGCGTCTTCTAGAAGATCATCAATCTCATACTTGTGGCTCATGCGAACGAGGGCGGCAATGCGAGCGAACGCAATGCGGTCATGCCTGAGATAACTGCAAGCGCAATTCAATGATGAGCGATCCACGCCACTCGACTACATGAACACGCTCATTGGACAATGACAACTCACTTTCTGCCATCATATACAGCGCGCAGGAGATGTAGGAGGTCGTCCGCAGAGTCGGATAGGTGGACGAGGGGACAGCCATCAATTGTCTCGGATTGCCTCTGCTCGACGGGCTGAGATATCGAGAACAAGTCTGTGAAAACCTGCGAGTTCTTCGCGAGAATGCTTTGGTGAACACGGAAAGCACGTCCCTCCGCAATGAGAACAATGCTGCCGTCTGTGAACCAGAACTCGTCCGAGCGCTGGGGTAGTCGGACGGTGTCAACTTCGTCAGTGCGACACCGCTTCCTGCCAGTGGACGAGGCTGCGATGTCACCCATTGGCAGAGATGACGACGCTTAAATGAGAAGTGGATAGAAATATTTTGGGGCAGGCGTGCGGCAACTTTAAAAAATAACAGAGATCCCCCTACAGTCGCAAATATAAGCAAAACGCAAGGCGGACCGCCAGCATGGTGTCTCGATCAGGAGGCTCTCTGAGACTCTGATCATGACAAGTTGGATATGTTGAGGCACGAAGGCAGACAAAGGCTGGGACAGAGTGTCGTACTATCTGCCTTCTGGAGGCGATGGATCAGACCGATGATGTTCGTCGAGCCGGCCGTCGCTCAACTGCCAGCGAAATACAAAATGGTACTTTAGTTCACAAGTGTGGTGTCACGGAAATAGCTGTACAAGTACTGAACGGATAGCGACCACATAGCGATGATAGTGGCATTCATGTCGCTCCTGGGGCATTCAAGAATAAATACCGATTACTCGGTTTGCCCCTAGTCTGACTGGAGTTAGACAGCAGTCGACGATGCGATACTAGCAGCGCCGGTAGTGTTCTTCGACAACAGCATTGTATCCGAGAGCTGAGCTTCATCCTCCATATCATGGTCCACCGCCGATAGCGTCGGGTAAGTAAATTTGTGCGGGTACTGCGAGGGCAACTGGGAGGACGATTGCGCGTGCATCGCATAGCCCATGCCTACGCGGATGTTTATGAGCATGAAGGCAATCCCGGAGACGGGTGGCCATGTGTCCTCAATGAAAAACCCGAGGTTCGCGTCCGTCTCGTAGGTGACCATGAACAAAATGGTCCATCCTCTGTAGGGTCAAACGACCAGCAGAGTTAAAACTTATGCCAGGAGTTGAAGAGACTAGTAACATACACGTGAAGCGCAGCACTCTCTATGAAGACTGCAAGGATCCACTTTCGAGGGATGTCAACTGAAAGCAAGGTAGACACATAGACACATTCGGACTTACATACAGACCACGACTCTGTGGCCGCTCTATGAAAGGCAGAGCTCGACTGTGAATGCGCCATAGTCGCCAGGCTATGAACACTGCGTTATCCAGCAAATCAGCAAGAAACTTATCGTCCGTGGTAGGGCAACTTCTTACCACAACAAAAAAGGTTCGTACTGGGTAAGGGATGAGTTACAATTTCACATACCGACTGCGGAGGGATCGACACACACCACATAGTAAGGACCCAGTCACTTTCAACCCAGGCATCAACTTCATCTGTATCGAAGATACTCCGACCCAACTGGAACCGCGCTAGCTTATAAACAACAGCCACAGAACATACTACACATCAAGTTGAGAAATGACGAGTCATCTCAAGTGGAAGTGCCTTACCAACGCTGCCAAGAAACGCGGATACAGGGAAGATAATGACATGTATGTTCCGATTCCAGATTACCCAAAGACGATAAATCTGCCATAATGGGAGAGACGTGTGAGCACCGTTACCTTGCGTTAGAGAGTAAGACATACAATTATTGCGTCGCTTATAACCAACGCCGAGAGCCATATGGCGGTTTTGACTATTTCGGACGCGTTCATTATATTATAGTACTCAGTCGGCATTGTTCCATTCTTGTGGTGTACGAAGGCCATAAATGCTCGATAAACGATGATTATCCAGTTCTATCCGGTAAAAATAAGTCCAGTCCCATCTAATGCTCAACAAATGTACTGACCGCAGTCACGGTGATAAAGAAGCCAACCCCACCAATAAACAGTGGATCCTTGCATGCGGACCTGTTCACAATAGAACCGGCAGCACTGAGCTCGCTGTGACGCCGAGCCATAAAATACATGGACGCGCAAAAGAGGATGAAGAAAATCCCATAGAGATAGCTGGAGAAGAACACGGATGCGAGGTTGGCAGAGACAAGGGAGACGTGACCCATGAAGAAAGCTGAAAATGGAAGAGGATAGGCTTAGCAGGATAGTTCGGCTCGTTGCAGGGGGCTGCTTAAGTTGGTACTTGGTCGCTCCTTGCATGGATAATCTGATCACACTGTGGGCCTCTTCTCTAGATGTTTCCATTAATGATCGTTCCTAGAGCGCTGAACCTGCTACGAAACTGACCTTATCAGTGAGCGAGCGCCCGCTCACTGTGACGGGCGTGGAAAGATCCACGCACGCGCAAGCATTGCCCGGGTATAGTTGAACATCGTCGCAGCTGACCCAAAAGTTTGTGAAGAGCCACGAAATTTCAAAAGAATATGGGACGACAAAGTGTTTGTGGATACGACATTAGCCCGTCACTGTCTTACATAGACTAAGCCTAGAGGTTGAATGTATTTCGAGCAAATTCCGAGTCAGAATACAGTACTTAAGTTGTGCACGGAGTATCCTTCTCGGCATTTCCCGAGTTGCTTCGGAATGCGGATCGCTTTTCGGCGCTTTGCCAGTCTGCCAGCCGTGGTCACGGTGGACTATGCGGATACACCAACTCATCTTTCCCCAGATCTTGATGAGTCGCCTTTTTACTGGATCCCGGTGCTGAAGATACGCACATTCTGATACTCGAGGGTGGATAATTCGCAGAATGCACTGTCTAGCTGCAATTGCAAGGACGGTTCGCGAAGTTAAGGAATGGCAGGGATATATAATTGTTGCAGTTTAAGATCGAAGCAGAAATTGGTGCTCACTGCGGAAGAACCTGACTCTGTCCGCTCACCCTGGAGACTTGGTTGCTCTCTAATATCTCCAGGCTGCGTCTGCGTCTACTCTTACCATCCCTCCATACTCTTACCATCCCTCCATACTCTTACCATCCCTCCATACTCTTACCATCCCTCCATACTCTTACCATCCCTCCATACTCTTACCATCCCTCCATACTCTTACCATCCCTCCATACTCTTACCATCCCTCCATACTCTTACCATCCCTCCATACTCTTACCATCCCTCCATACTCTTACCATCCCTCCATACTCTTACCATCCCTCCATACTCTTACCATCCCTTCATATTCTGACCACAGTCACTAGCTGTGCTAAGATTATGTGTTGCACTATCTTTACAAGCGATACTCATTCACTGAGCCTAATTGACATCCGAGAGGCATTTGTGGTGGACGTTCGTGACGTTTCGACCCAATTTCCACCAATTGCCAACCAAATGCTCAAGGTGAGCACAGGTGTGTGTTTCTGGGTGTTTCAATGTGTCACAAAAGACAGAATTACGTGAAGTCTAGCTTTTTAACTCTAGCTTGGACGTAAATCATGATCAGCTCTCGTAAGCTCCAGTTGACTCGTCACGGTTACACGGTTGTCGTTTTTTCGATGTGGTGGATGTCGCAGTGCTTGGACTCTCGTTCAATCGGTTGACGGTGAGCACTTTAATCATGCATCCCTATGTTCATCGTCATCTCGGCTAAGTTGGACATTTGTTTATCGAATTCTTCACATTGTGTGTGACCGCGCAATAAAATTTGATAGCACGAATGGAGGTTTTGAATGCGTTCGAGAATTTTGAACTCACTCTCGCGAGGAATACTCTGGGGAGGCAACATCAAAATATAGCGGAACACCTTCGGAAGCTTTGACATCTGCGAGAGCATGAGCGGTCATCGGCATCGACAAGTTATGTATTGCTCCAGTACATGACACGGCCTAGAGTACGCACCTCCAAATATTCCACTTTCATGCCGTCGCAATTCTCCATCTCGGTAAGAAGCTGAGCTGCGCGAGGGACGTCCTGTACACTCTCGCTTCAGGACAACGAAAAATACCACAACTCAAGCATCCTTGCCTCGGGCTTGACGGGGTTTTTGGAGAGAAGTATCTTTTGTATGTCATGCCGCCAGTTCCTAGCTTGAACAGGGTCAACACCTACGGGGCATACAGTTAAGGATTAATCTTGGTTCCTAAATGGCAATGATATCCTACGTGGAGATTGAGTTTCGCTTGATGTCATGATTGTAACAGATGAGATAATGTAATAGTGGATGACTTTCCGTAACGTTTAGAACCAACTTTTCTAGATTTTGCAAGTTCCAACCGGAGCGTGAAAGCGTGACCCGCCCGTGACCAAGTGTGACAATCAACCGTTAGACCGGCCCAAGTGAGCGGGACGGGCGCTAACGCCTCTGATGCACGTCTGGAGAGGGTGTCGACCCCCTCTCCAGATTGGCCTGTCTGGAGAGCATTTGGTGCAATCGACTCAAGATGGGCGGAGATTCGGCTATCCGGGACATTTCCCGGAACTCCGCTGGGTCACGGTTGTGATTCCTTTCTATGGCAGGTGGTTCGGGCGTCTACAGAGCGACTAACAATCTGGAACGCAAAATCTAGAAAAGTCGTATCTAAACTGCGTTACGGAAAGTCACCCAGTATTACAGTAGTTCTGCGAACGAACAGAAGAACAGAAGGAGAACGGCGGCCGCTAAGGGGCGTATGCGACCCGGCGGCCATGATCATCATGATGAGCGCTCTCTGTCACGCTGTGTGACAATGTGTATCCAGCTTAGGTCATGCTTCCCTTGAAACTGTGACACAATGAGAGCGTGACACCATAGAGCTGTGACTGCCGAATATGGGCCACATCGCTCTTTTGTTCCCGATTTATATCATGCTTTTGTTCCTTGTGAGTGCAACCGAAAGAACAATGAGGAGGCTGGGTAAAATAGACGAGATGTGAGCCATTCTTCAAAGAGATACTAAAGCTTCTGCTGGACAGAGTGATACACACCGCTCCCATTTGAGCTTGCTGGATAAAGTTGCACTGAACTTACGACATTACGATGAACTCCAGTGAGTGCTTGCCGTTCTCTACTTGCCTAGATACTCATTTTAGTCGACAGTACTCTCAACCAGTCGTATTTTTCCTGGCATGAAGCGTCGCCATCGCCCCAAGAGCAAACCAGAGATTTCTTCGCCCAGAGCTAAACCCCTTGACATTCTCCCCGAACTCTCAGAGGAGGACGAGGGCCGCCAATCGTTCTCTTCGGTATCATCATTCGATTCTACGCTACCGAAGTACTATGCTAGCCGTAGCGTGGGTGGAAGCGCTACCCTTGGAAACCGCCTTAGCGTGGCGGAGCGCAAGCGCGATTCACGCCGAGTCGTACTCACGGGAGCAGAGGGTCTTTCCTTCGAAGACTTCTTTCCGAGCTCCAGCGCTCCCCAGCGACCTCCACCAGCACCAGCACCTCTGTTGTTACCAGACAATGTTTCCTCCCGCGAGTCCCCGCTGGACGACATCAACCTCAGATTCTCCGGCCTCGGCATCTCCCTCGATTTTCCATCACCACCACCCGACAGGTCGAGCTCTAGCATTCACCCTCTCGTGCCGAATCGTCCAACTCACTCACCCACTCCATCCATGTCAAGCATTCACACATACAACACCTCCTCTAGCAGCTCTAGCTCTCGGTCTAGGGCAATCGAGCTCACCCCACCTACGTCGGAGGATGAGTGTCTTTCGAGCCTCAAACGAGCGCCGGCCCTTAAGTCCCGTCGCGCGTCAGTTTTGTTCATGAAGTCGGTGCCAGACCTCAACCATGCCAGTGTTAGCGCCTCTGCAGCTGAAGAAGACGTGGACGAAGATGCTAAGTGGTTCGCGCACGACATTAGCGACGTTGTCGCGTTTTCGTCCCGAGATTTGCCATCCTTTTCCGCATCCTTGGCCGCCAGTTCTTCGCGTGCAGATCCATCGGCTCGCCCGGACTCACTTGTATTACCGACTCGCACTGGCCGTAGCAGACACAGTAAGCCGCTCCCGAATCTGCCCCGCCGGCCGAGTCTCCAACTGGATCCGACGTTCCCTCACCGGCGGAAATCCTTCCTGATCCCCGATCGCCCTCCGCCGCCTCCGCCGATCGTGGTATCACCCTCGTCTATGGAGGAGGAGACGGAGGAGCTGCTGGCACAGCTGGCTAGCGCTGCTCTAAACAGCGGATTTGTGGGAACTGGTCTCGTCTCTCGTGGCGACGGCTACTTGACACCAGTCTCGATGCCTCCGACGCCTAGCAGCACCTACATTGTCTCGACACCGCATCTGCGCCCACCGCCACGTACGTCGCTCCCCGCGGACATTCACGACCTCCCCGACGAAGCACCGTGGACACCGGGCGCGGGAGAGGTGGAGGTGGAGATCAGTCCTGAGATCGAGGGCGAGAACGCGCAGGGCTGGCCATCAACGCCACAGAGCGTGAGCGTGTACTCGCAGGCGAGCATGAGCGTCGACACTCTACAGCTATCGCCTATGTCGTCGTTCGATTTTGAAGTAGAGATTGTCCCTGGCGAGTGCCCTGCCATCCCGGACACACCGGCGGCACGGATCCGCCCGCGGGAGGGCGCTCAGCCGGATCGCGTGCTACGTTCGCGCTGGTCCTCGTCGACTCTTGGGTCCGCGGTTGAGCGACCGTCGTCTGCATCGTTCTGGATCCCCCGGTTTAACCTCTCGCCGACGAAGAAGAACGCAGCCAAACGTATAGACCCACAGAAAACCCCCGTGAGCCCGGGGAAACAGTCCTTCGAGTCCGACGCAGGGATGAATAGGCGGGAAAGCAGGAATTCGCGGATGAGCAGCGATAGTGGCGATAGTTCCGCTAGCTGTGGACTCAGGAGGAAACCGATACCTGTGGAAATCTTCATGCGGTGACGATGGCCATGACGACGCGACTTACGACCTTTCGGCGATGTCTCCCGCTGTATCCATAACGTTGGCCTTCAAGACTCTTCATACAGTAACTTTGAGGATAATTGATATTTCGTTCTTCGTCGCCCATGTTCTACTAATATGTTTTTCAGCAGCACGTTTTGCTCTCTATCTCACGCTTATCTCCACGTTGGGGCTTTATAGCTGCATTGTTGCTTGTCTGTCATTTGTGTTGCTAGAAATATGTATTTTTACCGAGCAATCTACGACATCTCTATATCCTGGCGGTGAGATCTGGAGATTTCTGACTGAATCTGTCAAGCTGTGGCACGGCTTCACACTTGTATTTCCATTTCTGGCTCCGACGAATCGAAGAGTCCTTCTCGTTTACTTAAATGAGGCCAAGAAAGATAGCCCTCGTTGCTCAACAGAATTCTGGTTCTGCGACGGCAGTATCGTTCTCATTGTACTTAGCAGGAGGACCTTTCCTGTATATCAGAGAGTGCTCTCGCAAAATTCCGTGGTGTTTCGCGATCTCTTCACACTAGCTCAACCTATAGGCAACATGATCGATGGTTGGCCAATCGTTCACTTATCAGATTCCGAAGAAGACGTCCCTGTGTTGCTATCATCTATGTGCCATTTACAAGAGCAAGAGGTGCGTATACCACCTACAGAGAAAGTGGCACGCGTTAACCTTTCCTTATTGTACTCTCTTGGTTTTGGATGTACGATGCGAACGCGGTGGAATACTCCGCTGTTGACGGGCCAAAATTACCAGATTGACCATGGGTACGATGATGCCATGGCTCCGGTCCTGATCTTATTCACTGATGATTTCGACATTTGAGAGAGAGAAGAGGGCGCAAATGGGACTGGTGAGGTATCCACTAGCCTGGAAGATGCTGATTTCATTGCAGCAGTGAAGTTGGCGTACCTCTCCAACACTCCCATGCTCCCCGTGGCCCTGTACTAATGTTGTTGTCAACTCGATACGAAGATCCTACTCGACGGCATCTGCAAAGGGGACAAGGTCGCCGAACGCATGACTCCCGAAGATCCAGAAAGATGCGTTAATAGGAAGAGCAAGCTTATCTATAATCATGTGGCCTTACTTCGCCACCTATTTTCTACGGACAACGCTCCAATCTGCGGTGATCCTTCTCAATGTCGGATCACTCTGCACAATATCTCTCTCTGATCATGATTACTGCAATGAGAGGATGACCGATCGCTCCACTTCTTTGTCTTCTTGCTTGGATGCCATTCATTTCTGAACTCGCTGGGGAGTTTGACCTCGTTCTAGACTGGCCGAGGGATTAACAAGGTAACACCCCATCTCGACATCAGACCGTCTCTACTCGTATGCCGTATTTAGCACACCACTATGTTTGCATCTTTGCGGAATGTCAACGTGGCGCCAGGAAATGAAGGTCCATGCTCCGGGAAACTCGATAAGTAGAACTAAGCTTCCCTCGTCTCATTGACGTTCCCTTGCTCTGCGTTCGCTCGGCAAAGACCGTCCATTTTACGGGATCAGCTTTCTTGTGTCCCGGGGTCCTTACCGCGCGCGACTCAAGCGAACCATCGTGAAAACGTCGAAACGTTCACGGCGCTTGGCTGCAACGTTGAGCATTGTACTGACAACGTTATACCCTCAGTGTCAACTTGTCGACTCACAAGTCCGTCCCGTCAGTCTCCTTACGACTGTCGAAGATTGGTTGGAAAATGAAACCCGATTGACTGGGAGCCTAACCCTCCTCCATCCCTCACGCTCACGTTACGATGTGCCCCAGCACCCTGCCAGGATTGTATGACACCTCAATCTGTGCCCCTCACATGCAATCTTTATTGCGGAGGCCAACTCCCCGTGCACGTCTCTGATACACACTTGCCCCTTCTCCTGCATTTTTTGAAGAAATCCCCAGATAAAATGTGCACTGAACGTTTCGACATCCAAATCAGGTCCCCGATTGCCCATATCGCCACAGCACACAAGACGGAACCGCGAGGCAGCGCGCTCAAGGGATGTGTTCGTTGCTATTTTCGATGGTTTATAATAGTTTCCCCAACAGAAGGAAGGATCGGAGAGGAGGCACCCGATCAACCTTCACCACGGCTGTGCGAGTAAACGTTCCTGCCGCTGACCCGCCAACGTTCGCTTCAGCGCCGTCTAATGTTGACTACCTTGTTGACTACCTTCTACAGTTATCATCGGTTAAACCACTCGGCCCTCCAGAGCTCCATGGTAATAATAGCCATGACTAGCTTGTTCACGTGAGTACTCAAGCTTGGCAGAGGTATTATTCCTCTCCAGATCAAGAGATCTTGCAGGACAACAAGTCAGCATGCAGCTGCCGCAAATCCAGCAAGCAGTGGCCGTGTATTGTTGGCTTTCGCGCTTCCCGGGGTGGTAGCCGCAGAACCTGGAAGTCGCAGATGACCGCGGTGGTATGCACCTTGAAAAAACACCAGATACAACATCAGCCTTCGGACGCGTTCAAAAAGAGTGGTCGCCGCCGCCGTCGTATTGCATGAGTAAAAACTCCTGCCGTGCTTCAACAACGGATAGCCTCATGAGCTGCGGACGTGAAAGACCTGACAGCTGGATAGCCTTGCTAATCACAATGCGCTCTAATGATTCCTACCGGTACTCCGTAAGGTGACGAAACACAGAACAATTACGGTAGATCCCGCATCTCGAATCTGCACCAACATCGGAAATAAATGTGTTCGTGTCCAACTTACGAGTATCGTATTCAGTAAGGCCATTCGAATGCTCCACATTTGTCTACTCGTCGATCGAGTCAGCTCGGGTCTGTTCAGATCACCTCACCTATGTAGGATGTCCCGTTCGACACCGCCGCCCCCGTAGCGTTGTTTATGGTGTACGGATTGAGCGCGTTGTGGCTACTCGTGTCGGCCCTCTTCCGTATCGGATAGGTTTCAATAGCTGAAATTCGGAGTATTTGGGTCCGAATGGACGGCCGTCAGCGCAGGTGAAGGCTAGTTCACTGCGTGAACTCGAGTACGGTGAAACAGAAGGAGTTGCATACTGTTGTGCAGCGGGATTTAACCAGTCTGAAGTGATAGCCAGTTGTCTACCATGTGAAGAAAAAGGTTCGACAAGTGCCGGCGAACCTGCGAAATGAGATCAGCATTCAGTTCCCTTGGACAATATACCAGACCGTCCGTACCAGGCCATACGACTCCGGAGAAGTCGCTACCTTTCGCCGCCTTGAGCCAGACGTCGGGCGCTGTTGCATCGTATCCTTCCTCAGACAGTTATGCAACAGCAGGGTCAATCATCGTAGCTGAGACGCGGATCAGCGATTGAAAAAGTATGCGAGAACGACCGATTGCCTACGCACCATAATGCTGGTTGTGAGCATGGAGATAATGGAGCCTCGGTAGAGGGAAGTGTTATGTCGTAGATAACGGGCGCTTCCCACTCAGAATATACGCGCGTGTTTTGTCTGCGAACGGCTATCTAGTTTTTAACGCGGGGGGCTTATCGGTAGGTCCCCAATTTAGTTCGGAGCTTGTAATGTGATAGTGGGCACACCCAAACATTTCAGTCGGAGTTGTAACCAGAGTGTAGTGAAGCGCACTTCAGTATTCGGCTACAGGCATCCTCTAGCACCATGGCGGGTTCGCAAACGGTTTTCCTATCTGGCGAAGCACAATGGGAAGCAGCCCGTGCGGCTTCCATGGATCGTATCTTGCTCGCAGTCCAAGAATCTGGATGGACCCTTGGCGAGTTTCTCAAAATTCTATTCACCGTGCCGCAGACTCAGAAGGAGAAGGGAAATCCTCCACGGCACGCTCAGATGGTGTCAGTTTTTCTTCAAGGTCGCTTGGCTATCAAGGCACAAGATATTGTGGAGCTCATGTATTCGAGCCGCTACAGTGCTCCTCTCTCTGTGCGCAAGTCAGCTAACCGAGAGGCATCTGCCGTCAGGCGTCCCGATCCGAAGGTCATGGCCAACTGGTGCCTTCGAGAGTGGGCTATCTCGAAGGCTGAGGCTGTCGTAAACAAGGAAGCTGAGGAGCTAGCCTTGAGGTCTACCGGTTTCCATTTAGATGACAAGACCGCTACATGGGATTTTATACTTAATTTCTCAATGGAATCCGTGCTTTCCACTCTTCATCTTAAGAGTCCTACACTTCTACGCCTTTTAAAAGCTGCTGCTGTCCCTGTCAAATCCAGTATGCGAGCTTCTGGTTTATCAGCCGTCCCCCTTCCCACATCTCCGACTCCCAATACATCTAACTACCCAATGCCATCCGAACCACATGAGACGGTCTACAATCTGTCAGAACACTTCTCCAATCCTCCTCCATCTGGGTCAGGGCACAACCGGCATGACCCATTGGTGGTACGTGACATAATTGATCTGCAGTGCGTAAATTCATCGGTGTCATTCAGATAATTGCTGTTGCATGCATGTTGCTCCTGAGTGCTCGAAATTCACATGTGACCATGTTTCAGAAGATGGTAGGGGTGTGGCTGTTCGCACATACTGCACCGCACGGTATATATTCTGTCCTGGGGCGTGTCGGGTTATCAGTATCATATACAACAGTCTTGAAGTTACTCGGGGCCCTCTCAGACTCAGCGAAAAACTCAACACGGCGCAGCGCTCAGTCTCGTGCATTTTTACTGATATACGACAACATCAATCGGATGGCGCGGGCATGGGATCCCGACTTAGGTCAGAAGGACAAAATACACAATGGGACAGCTGCAACGTATGTGGAACTGGCCGACTGTGATGTGGAAAAGGCTTTTGATGTGGGGTGTCTGCGGCAAGCACAACAGGAAGAGCGTAGGAAGAAGTTGAGCCTGGACGTGCTCTACAAGCGAATTGATTGGGAGAAACTGAACCTCTGTGTGACAACTCACATTCTTCGTATCCTTGTTCAGCATGTTGATGGCCTCGCGAAGCATCGAGACTTCGTTCAGCTTCGCTTCCGTACTACTCTCGCAATTCATCGCATGCGTGCAGGCCGCCAGACGTCACTACATCCACTGGCGACCTCTGATTACAACGAAGGGAACACGGCCGAAAATGCCAAGGTGCTCGATGATCTGATTTTGAATCAGCTCAAGATGGGCAAGGATGATGTGACGAAGTATATGGTAATTGTCGGTGGGGATCAATCAACTGTGGAGAAGTTGCGCACCTTGAAACGGCTTGTCGCAAGCTGTCCGCATGGGTACCCGCAATATGGATGGGTACTCCCACTTATCCAGCTCTGGCATATGGGCTGGGCAGATTTGGAACGCGTTCTCAGCACACATTGGGGCAAATCCACTGGAGATGACTTATCGTCATTGCGTGCGGCCAACGTGCTACTGGGTCGCAAGGTCAAGGACCAGAAACGGCCCGATTATTATCCGGCATTGCACTTGGTCTTCGATAACTTGGATGCCGAGGTCCTGGACTGTTGGCGGTATGAGCTTGGACTTGTGCAATATGAGGTTGTCGCTTACACAGCACAATTACAGAGTCCACTTGAAAACGTCGTCTTCTGATTGCTCCTCCACATGTTGTGCCGAGGTTTGTCTGGCTTCGCCCCGCAAATCTGCTTGTACAGATGATCTATAGTCTCGGTCATTCAAAAACCGACTATCGGGCAAGCTTCCTTCCACATACTGCTTAGCAGCATCCAAATCTGTCTTCTTCACGTACACGATAGCTTCTCCATGGGAATTGGCTTCGCGTGCAGGGCGACCCGCAAACTGTACCAGCGACGCAGCTGCTTTCGGACTGGGAAACATGACCACACTGCGAAGGCCGGGAATATTCAACCCGACTTCACAGACTGCTGTTGTCACGAATATCCCAGTCTCTCGCTCTGCTCCAACTTGATACAGAGCTTTGAGACCATCGGCCTTGCAGTCTGAGCAGTTCATGGAGTGAAGGTGACGTATGACTGTGAAGCCGAGCTTTTGGAGAGGGGCGGGAAGGAGAGATCGGAGATAAGTCACGACACGATGCCCCATTTCGATTGTAGGACAATATACGAGACGTTTTGTGAGATCTGATGCATTTTCCATGGACACAGGAACAAGCCAATCGAGATCGCGAAACTCGTAGCCAGAATAAGGGAACCGGATGTCGCGGAAAATGTAGTCGATATTATGGCGCTCACAATCTCGTCTGTCCATATAATAATTATCTTCGCGGAACCCGAGGGAGTGCAGGATTTGTTTCTCCTGATGCCCAGGCTCCACACTTGCTGAGAGAGCTACAAAGACGGTATGCTCGGGTGCACGAGCACGCAGAGTCCAGATTTCTTCAAATGCCTTACGAAAATTGGCTCCCCATTGGTCCACCAAATGGGCCTCGTCAATGACGGCTGTGCCCCACCGGGCACGAAAACTTGGGGTCCGAATCATTGTGTTAAACTCTGGGGAGTTCAGTGTCTCCGGAGCGAGCGCAATAACTTGGTACAAGCCTGCCGTTGCGTCCTTCCAAAGACTGCGACCTTCCTGCAGCGCCAGATGCAGTGTGTCGGCATTGATGACAACTGCCCGAATGTCCTTTGCTTTAAGACCTTTGACCTTATCCAGAATTTAATGAGATTACACTGATATGGACAAACGACGACCCAAACATACAAGATCATCCTCGAGAAAATTAGTTGGCTCAACCACCACAGTGATCATCTCCTTGACAATCAACACCGGGATAAATATCAGGGCCGACTTGCCATCTCCAGTAGCAGTGATACAGAAGACATCCTGCCCGTCAAGAATGCACGCGGAGTCGTGAAGTTGAAAGTCGCGAGGTTCGTAGTGTAGCAATGGCCGTAGGAGATCCTTGAGTTTGGCGAGACCTTCGTTGGACGTCCAGCGAAGCCGCGAGTAGCCAGATGGTGTCGGATTAGAGGACATTCCAGACTTAATTTAGACAGAATAAATACATTGTCCAAACGAGGGGAGAAGAGCGACTGTCGCCAAGGATAGTCGGGGCGTACTACTCAGGCAGACGCGACGCGACGCGTCAACTCACAAATTTGCGTGTGTTTGTATTTACACGTGATGTCTTCAGCGTCAAGCGGAGTTGAATAATCCGACCTACCGATAAGGGCAGCCTTATGGATAGCAGACGCCAGACACGGATATCCTGAGGCACGAAGGTTGAAGCAGAGTGTCAGTCTGCCTTTGGGAGACTAGCTACCTGCTAAGTTTTATGAATTTGTCTGCGATAACACATTGGTCCTGCCCCCCCCCTCGAGACTCTGTGTCTGTCCCTACAACCCAGCATGCATTACAGAACCTTTGTGTCAGTCGATCGACTTCGGAAGATCGACTTTGGTCCTGATTCTAGTTTTCTGAGCGTTATGCAGCGTTATGCTCACCCTGCACGGACTGCTGCAGCCACTGGACATGTCTTTAATTCCATCTGCTGCTCCTGCGGTGATCAATCCATCCGTTGAGTCTTCCAAGAGGCAGTCTCTTCCACCCCAAAGTGTCCAACGTATCTCGTCTGTCCCTCATCGCCAACCTCCTCCTCCTCTGAAGCACAATGCGGACTATAACATACCAGGCCTTCGTGCACATCCAATGAGACCTGCTGGCCCATTTGATGGACCCAGGCTTTTCGACAACCCGCCGGTCGCACACGCATGAGTGAGGACCGTGTCCTCCTACGGTTGTGCTTCATTAGAGTGAGTATTTGACTGCGCGTTTGCAAAAAGCCGAACCTGTACTCATGGCTTTTATTTTCTCAGGTTTCCATCTCAGTTTCCATGCCACAACAATCGTCCGTACGTGTGATTCATGCCGCCATCACTCCTCATACTCGTCTCATCACATTGCTGATAGAAGTGCCGCGGGGAAGGGCAAAGTCGACGGGAAAGCGAAAGCGAAGGCGAAGGCGAAGCCACTGGACCCAGCAGTAATACCGAGCGTCAGTACTTATAGACCCATAGTCTCTGCAGCGCAGGAGACTGACTTCATGGCTTTAATTTTAGGCGACATGGATTCCTTTCTCGCCCAAGCCGGTGGGAGTTTGCGCAAGCGCAAAACACGGCCGGAACCTGTATATGATAAGCCGAGAACATCACCCCCTCGCGCTACTGGCGATCACAGGGACAGCCATCCAGATTATTTTGACGCCTCATCTGACAGAATTAACGACGATGGTGTCGGACCGTCAAGCGATGACCAGTTTCTCAGCCCAAAGGAGAAGACGAGGAAGGAGGCCATTGATATGACGCCCGCTACCAAGAGGCTTGAACGGATGAACGTCCATAGCGGAACGGACGAAGGCGACACGTTCATTTGAAGGCCTGGACATGGACGTGTTCATGGACGTCGACGACAAAGACATCAATGGCGACATGTCACTCAAACCGAAGCCGGAAGACTTGAGTGTACGCAAAAAATGCTTAAGTCTATTGACCGAAAGCTCAATGCGCAGGACAAGAAAGTCAAAGAGGACGACACCCCATCGTGGCCCTCTGTCTATGACTCTCTCAGCGTGATGACCGATGACGCGCTGGGCCCACTCTCCACTTCTACATCTACATCTCGAGTACATCTGTCCTCGAGGAAGATGGTTCTCTGCGATTCATCTGACTTGATTATCTCGAACATGAAGGGCATCCCTACTTCGTGGGAAAGACCCGAGACAAGGTCTTGAAGGCCTGGTTATCATGTTGCGTCACTGTCGAAAACCTGCAGCGTAATCTATTCGTCCTATCCTGAGCGCAGCGCATCGAGGAAGACGAGGCGAGGAACACCTACGAGACCGACGTGGTGCCCGAGATGAAACACGTATATGAGGACTTCGATTGTGTTCACAGGAACGCTGGTATCAAGTGCTGGAGAGCAAAGTTCATCAAGAGGAAGTATGTGTTCGGAGAGGAGGACGTACCGAAAGGAGAGGCACAATGAATGAAAGTTGTGCATGGCTTCGACGGTACGTCATCCCTCTTTTTGTCGCAATAAGGTATACTCTGAAGTCGCCGCAGAACCACAACTCTAGAGTAACGTGTCTAGCCCGAACTTTTCACGCATCTTCGGTACCAACACAAGTGCCTCCGAACTGCTGGTGTTGAAGCACAGAAAAATGGGTCCATGCTAGCTGCAAATCAAGAAGCCTCACCTGGAACACAAGGGAGTGCGTGCATCCAATTCCCTTCTTTGATGCTTAACGCTGACGTGTAGACATGCAGATATCGTGGTGCAAAGTCGAAGCAACGGTGTCGGACCCGAAAGACATCAATGCATTCTCTGATACGGACGTCCAAGCTCCCAAGGAAACACCGCCATTAACCGTGATGAGTCTCAGCCTCAACACCATTGTCAATCACAAGGAGAACGACCGCGAGATTGTGTGCCACGGCAAGGATCTGGTCGAACTGTGCGTTCACGGATCTGTCAGCACATTCATACTAAAAAGTATCCTGTATGTAGTGCAAATTGACGATCCTACGCCTCCAGAGGCTCTTCCGTGTTCTGTACATACGTTTGTTCCACCTTTGGACCGCTTCCCGCCAAACTTCGAAGTACGCGCTGGACGCAATGGCAAAGGAGTCATTTCTCCCATGAAGAACGAGTGGATGCTGCTGAACAGGTTGCTTGGTTCGTATTCTCTGGCTCTCAGACATCTCCCGACTGAAATATTCGCACTCCTAGTGACAATTCACAAAGCAGACCCTGATGTCATTGTTGGGCATGAGTTCCCTGGGGTCGCTCTGGACGTCTTTCTCCACCGTATGAAAGAATTGCAAGCAGACCATTGGTCACGAATCGGCCGGTTCAGGCGATCGAGATGGCCGAATATCGGTAGGCAAGGGAGCAACCTGCGATTCATCAATGGGAGGTTGGTCTGCGATCTTGCTAGTGATGGTGCGAAGGTGCACAGAGCGTCCACGCATTGAAAAACTACAACACTCACGGATATACTATTAGGGCATGATCTCGTCCACAACGTGGTCGCTCACCGAAATGTGCAAGACTCATCTCAAGAGTGAGAGGCAGGATATTGACCCCGATGATACTGCCAGCTACTTCGACAGCGGCGTCAGTTCGCCGGACAGGCTTCTTACTTTCGTCCGGCATTGTGAACTAGATGCTTACTACCAGATGGTGCTGGCGGCCAAGGTCCAGATGCTTCGTTTGACGAGGCAACTGACGAATTTGGCTGGAAACTCATGGTCAGTTATTTTCGCTATTTTGCATGATTCCAGACTGACCGGCTCTGGTAGGAACAAGACGCTCAACGGTGGACGTGCTGAGAGAAACGAGTACATCTTGTTGCACGAATTCCATCGCTTGAAGTACATCTGTCCTGACAAGTCGTACGGCAAGAAGGCTGCCACTGCTGAGAAGATCGAGGCACAGGATAATAATGCAGAAGGAGGCAAAGCGACCAAAGGCAAGCGGGATAAGTCTTCGAACCCAAGCGTGGATTGTGGGACAAGTTCATACTCGTCATGGACTTCAACTCGCTATATCCGAGTATCATCCAGGAGTACAACATCGACTTCATGATTGTTGACAGGATAGAGGATGGAGTGGACGTATAGTTGGGGAAACTGTAATATGCTGATGAATGAACTGATCAGGAGGGTGAAGAAAAAATCCCAGAACCGCCGAGTCCTGAGGTTGCCCAGGGTGGTCTTCGCCGTCTCATTGCTACTCTTGTCAACAGGCGTAGGCAGGTCAAAAGTCTAATGAAAGACCGCAAAGCGACACAATCACAGTTGCTTCAGGTACTATCAGTCACATCACGGGCAGTGGCGTGCCACTGATTATTTTCTGCAGTGGGATATCAAACAGATGGCATTGAAGCTTACAGCGAACAGTACGTGCGGTTGTCTGGGATTCGAGTACTCCAGGTTCTACGCCCGCCCCTCGCTGCCCTCACGACGTTCAAGGGTCGCGAGATTCTGACGCATACCCGTGAACTAGCAGAGAGTCTCCAGCTTGAGATGCGTGGGGTCGAAGTTGTACTTGAAGGCTCTTCTGATTACGTTCGCAGGTTGTCTATGGAGACACGGACTCGGTCTTCGTTAATTCCAACGTCACTGAGCTTCCAGAGGCACTCAAGATATCAGCAGAGTTCAAAAAGCGGTCAATGATCGCTACAAACTCTTGGAGATTGACCTCGATGGTATCTTCCAACGTTTGCACCTGTTACAAGAGAAGAGGTATGTGGCCATCAAGGTCGAAGATGGTGGACGACCATCCACAGAGGTGAAGGGGTTGGACATGAAGCGCAGAGGGTATTGTGCGTTATCTAAGGCGGTGTCTCAGTATGTCACCATTTCTTCTAGGAATGTGCGTAAACCAACACATTTTCAGATACGTACCAGACCAGATTCTGTCGGGAGAGGCGACCGAAACTGTCGTTGAACGGATACACGAGTATCTCACAACTATGGGCGAGGATATTCGCGCAGGCAAGATCAAGTTGGACGAGTTCATCATCCCAGAGGACCACCCTAATGCTAAGAGCCAGCCACATGTCTAAGTTGCTTTGAGGATGAAGGCGAGGGGCGGCACCGCTCGATCGGGTGACGTTATACGTTACGTATTCTGCGTAGGTGAGAGCGGCGAGGTAGGCAAGACCGCTCAAGCTGAGTGGGCGAAGGATCCCGATGAGGTACGAAGGGCAAGCGACGAGTTGAAGATTGGTGAGTCCGTCGGAGGCCCTCGACATGAAATAGACACTGAAATTGTATTAAGACTACGAACATTATCTGGCACACCAAATCTTGCCTCCGATCGAACGTTTATGTGAAGGGACCGACCGGTCACGATTGGCCGAGTGCCTGGGTAAGCAGTGGAACGAAGAAGAGAACGCTGCGTATATCCATTTCTAACTTAATATGTCCCAGGGCTCGATGCAAGCCGATACCGCAATCCGGATGGGGCGGAAGAACGGCCTTCGGCACTCTGGATTCGTTGATGTCAGATGCCGAGAGATTCAAGGACACGGATCCGTTCGTTGTGCGATGCCGCTCGTGCCAGGGTGAAGTTGCCTTCGCGTCTATCAGTGACAGAGAGGTGCCATGCCTGATCCGCCATTAAATTTGGGAACTGCAGACTTATGTCTTATGGAATAAAGGCTGCGCTGTTGCTCCCCGCTGGCCCGACATGTTCTGGGTGCCATGGCAAATTAGGGACAGTTAGTTTGCAAGTGCAACTGGAGACGCAGATCCAGGAACACATCGCAATGTACTACGAAGGCTGGACTGTCTGTGATGACCCCACATGTGGTAACCGGACACGGATGACGGGCGTGTATGGGCGAAGATGTCTCCGGCATGAATGCCACGGAACAGTGATGTTCGAGGTGCGTCGCATGGCTCGAGGATGCGAAACTGGTGCTGACGTGTCGTAACTGATGAACCAGATCCGGTTCTATCTCTCTCTGTTCAACGTGGAGAAGGCGTTGAAGAGTGCAACGGGGACGAGACTAGGTGCGCTCAAGTCCATCGCAGAATAATGGGTCCATGCTGGCTGCAAATCAAGAAGCCCCATCTAGAACACAAGGGAGTGCGTGCATCCAATTCCCTCCTTTGGTGCTTTGTGCTGACGTGCAGAAGTGTAGGTCTCTTGGTGCAAAGTCAAAGTAGACAACAGATGCAGATACACGACTTCAATACTAGTAGCAAATTTTCGGTAACCCTTCCAATACATGATTACGGCATTAGATAACGAATGGCACCTTCAACTCCCAACTTCTTAAGAACAAGGGCAGGTACGACCACACGCATAGCAACGCTTCACGAACCCACGTGCTGGATTGAGGAAGTCCTCCCGCGGTTCGAGGGGCTCGTCGTTCCAAGAAATTATGTACCTGATAATAGTCCTGTAGCTCAGATCAAGGGACCAACCTCCCCAGTCGCAAATCCTGCGCAGGGGCCAACGACAACCACTTGACAACCATTGACAACCTCCTCGGCGAAAGGAGTGAGTACCGTATGGATCAGGATCACGGCCGACATCAAGCAGATTGTTGCGGAAGAACTCAAGGAACTTCTCCTGAGACTAAGAAATGCTGTCAGCTAGAAGGGGGATTCTATGCATGCAATAAAGGAAATCTACCATGCGTTTGTTGGTCATACAGACACGATCATGGATATCGATATCACGAAAAAGATACCCGGAGGTAATTTGGGAGCAAACAATCCACTCGGCGAGGGCGCGGACGGGACAAAGATGAGCCTCAGATACATGGAATAAGTGTAAATAGAATGGCTTGCATTCTGGGGACGGCAAATTCAGTAGTATATCGCATCCGATGAACAGACCTACTCACGCCCAAATTGTTCTGTCTTCCGAAAAGGCAAACTTAGCTTGACACACGTAGGGGAAACGCGTTCGATGTCGTGAAGTTGAATGTTGAGCAGCTCGTCGAAACGTAGCAGACACCAGAAGGCAAGGGTGTAGCCACAGTGTAGTGCTCGTCGAACTCTCCCGCCTCCCCAGGTTTTTCTAGGGCGTTCGGGAGCATAAGGCTGAATAGTCCAGTTTTCGGGCAAGTGATTGAACACCCATAGATCCTCCAAGACCTCCGGCGTGATAGCACGAGAACTCATTGCAGCCTCACCACTATGCGCCTAGATCGAAGATGTGACAGATCATTTCGTACAACCTTAGTAAGATATATTCACCTTGCGTCTGCGAAGCGAAACCATATAACGAGAAACTTGAGTGGAAATGGACGGATTGCCTCTCCAACTGCCGCCTTCCGTCTGATGCCATGGGAGAGTACCACGCGAGCACAATCGACCGTAACCATAGGTAAGCGAAGCCCGCATTTTCATCGCATGACTATATGTCGCTCGAGTCATGTCTTTGGGTTTCCTCGATCCGTCCATGTTCATTTCGTCGCAACTTGGCCACATCAATTTGTGACCACATAAACAGAGAAGAGCCTTACGCTGAAAGAATCCACATCGAGATCCATTCAGGCGTCTTCTCAGAAATAGTATTTCCGAACACGTCGTAGTTGTCGCTAACCAGTTTGAGCTGGTGGACCCAGTGGGAAAACATATGCATGAGGCTTGTATCGATCAGCGGCCCGTGATTAATTGGACAAATGGGTGAAACGAACATACCGACGATATTCCTTGTCTGTGCCATCCGAGACACCACGAGAGGCAGCGTCAAGCACTGCACTCCAACCAGGACTATTCCCTGGCCTATCACCGTTCCCACCAGCGACACTGCCATTCGTGGCAGTGGCGCCGTAGCTCGCAGTGGTAATACCACCATTGAAAGGAGAGGCACCACCGTTCGCGACAGATTGTTCAGATTCATCTTCAGCCTCTTCAAGAGGGACAAGCTTAATGACACTCCACGGAAGTGGGCCATGGGCCTCTGCCTCTCCGGTAACGTCGTCCTCAAGATCATACGATGACACATGTTCGTCAAGTGCCTCTTCGAGCCCAGTACAGGAGACAGGCGAGGACATTTCGAAGGGGCACAGAGGGGAGGGAGTACTGGGGCTGCAAGAGATGTGCAAAATACAGATACCGCGGACGTGCTCTTCGGCTTCACCATGCCATGGCTCGGACCGCCTTAAATACTCCCTGGTGTAAGCGCACTATTCCTCATCCATCCAGACAACGGATCCAATAGGCATAGGTAAACCGGTGGCCGCCCAAGTCCACGAGATGATTGATTGGTAATATAACGAACTTACACTGGCAATCCATCTGCTTGTTCGACCCGTGAAGTAACCTGAAGTAACGTTAGCAGACGCTCTAGGAAGTACTTCTCCCGTTGACGGGTTAGACTCGGATAAGAAGAGAACCGTCAAAGCTTAGGATGATCTATTCGGAAACCCCGTTACAGCGGAACTACTGCATAGAAACATGGAAAGACGGAGGTGCCATCCAAAAAACCGACTGCAATACGTCAGCTTCGGTCGCCAGCTCTATGGAGTAATCCAGAGTATCGAAAAATTCGAATGTGTTGTCGTATTCGGAGTAGTTACTATGGTAGAGGAAAGTAGACACAACCTCGATTACGGGCTTTCTGCCTCTGATAGCGAAGCATTTAACTCGCACAGTCTTGCCGGCATTGCTGTTGATAACGGAGACAATGTGTGTCTCAATCTTGAAAACATCACCCGCCTGAAGATGCTTAGCGTCATCAACAAGACGTAAGCCGTACGACAGATGGACGAGTTCAAGAAGATCGCCGTCAATGGCCGAAGGGAACATCGCATCTTCTGTGTGAAGTCCTGTAACCGCTTGTTAGCGAAGTTGACGCAGAACTGATCTAGGGAGTTCGGCCGGCTAGTCATGTTCTGGGGGCCAGGTAAGTCAAACAGTCCGATGAACATATTGAAGTCGTCGTGGCAAAGGCGTTGGCTGACGTGTTCGTTCAACCATGCAAACAGGAGGGAGTATAGCGGCTTCACGAGTTCGTCTCAGTTATCAGAGGCACCGTCGGGATCCAGGAAGATTGTACATAGCTCCTTCTTCACCATCTTCGTTCGGTACGATAGCGCAGCCTCCAAAGCTTCCGGCTGCACGCCCAAGAAATCTGCGACGATATCGAGGACATCCGTGTTGCACACGACAGCAGCGTCTTCGTTGCGAGAGCGATCAATATGGAATTCCAGGTTATCCAGATGGAAAATAGCAGCAGCAACCAGCTGGCACTTCTGCGCGACATGTCTTTTCGAGAATCCCACGCTCTTCAACACCACCTTCAACTGATCTAACCGCACGGCATCCTCATACCAGATGCACATTTCGCGAGGCACATAGCTTGAAATGGCGGGGAGATGGACATCGGTTGGACAGGTGACACACATGAAAGAGTCCCTTGCAGACAGTCAACGCCGTCGTGTCCACAGGGAACCCCATCAAAAGGAATCAGCTGGGGACAATCGTACCCGACACGCCAACTGTCCAAGTCGCAGGGATGCTGGACCTTCACGAACCGGTCATCCAATGGCCAATGGCGAAAGTGAACCGTAAGGCGGGGGTGCATTTAGCGAACTGGATCTATGATGCACGGACGGACCATACTACGAGGTGTACTTCTCGCGGAGTGCCGTGAGCGAGCTCGATCGCACGATCTGCTCTGCACACTGCAAGTCAGACATGTCTTGCGACGCGCATCACGAAAGGTTTCTGCTGAACATAATCCGCAGGCTAGAGTCAGCGAACCCTCTTCGATCTCTCCCGAAAGATGTCACGTACCAGTAACAGCCCGCTCACGTTGACGTCCTAGTCCCTACGGTCCTTAGCGGACCTGGACGTTCCGTGGTGGCCTCACGGAAGCACTCAACCTCTACTTCCGCTCCCTCGCCACTACAAGTTTGCCTGACAGTGCTCTGATGGTGACGGTCTACGTGGCCACGGCTCACGATTGAACGACGGACGGCGCGGTACAGGCCTTTCTTGCAAATGCACAACGACGACGAGAATACGTCTGGCAGTTCGAGTTTCACGACGAACTCGTTGCATAGTCCACGCACCGGGCCCCCAAGCTGACCGCAGCCATTGAGAACGCAAAGACAGAGGTTCTGGCTCGAACTGAACGATGGACATGTTTGTGCAACACGTCATTTTTCTGTTGAGCAATAGTGGTCTCGATCTCGATCGCATCTTGCGCACCTCTGTAGTAAGCCTACCAACAATAGTCTCCGCGTCACGTCGAACGCAGTGAATTCTGCATGCAAGGAACGCAGGATAGGGATGAAACTGCAGTGGCGAGCCTGAGCTCGGTTCCGTGACATAGGTGTTACCTTCGCTCGTACACTGCGAATGACGGAGGCCGTGATCCGCAGCAGCGTCTGCTATGGAATTTTCGAAATGAACCCGTAGACGTTTCGTACTGGGCATCGAATTGGCCAGTAATCCTTCGTCTTGGGGCATCCGAAGGTCTTGCGCACTCGAGCTAGGTTCTGTGTTATGAGCCGTAATGCCAATTTGAGGGGGTGCTAACGGCTGTGTAATATTTGCATCGTCGCCCGCAGAAGTTTCCCCTTTACGCTTAGTGCCAAGCAGTGGTCGGTGCAATGAAGTTTCGTCGGCCAGAGGCTCTTCAGAGATAGCATCTCTCCCTGCGGCACCTGGATTAACTTGGCGGCCACTGAGTAAGTTCATTCGACGACTTGAAGACACAACCTTCATCGCTGAGTGGGAGCGAGTGCGCCGAGCGAGTGGTGGGGAGGATGACACTAACTGATCGATCTCTGCATCAGAATCCGACTCGATCGACTCGATCGCGTCGTCCCCTAACAGGTAGATCTGCTGCCACCGGCACCTCCAGGATGGGGAATCCTTCTTCGGTTCCAGAATTTTCCTCAGCATCCTCGTCGTCACTCATTCGGCGGGAACCTCGGTTTACACTCCTACCATTCCGAAACAACCTCAAACCCGTCTTTCCTTGGGAATCAGGGCCAGGAGAACCACCGTAGATTACGGGGACGAGTGACGATTGTAGGTCTACAGGTAGAACAAGATCAGACATTCATCACACGGACAGTAACGCTGTCCGACCTTCGAGCTTCCCCTCATATTTCTGGATATCAAAAGGGTTCCTTGTACGCGTCATTGCCGCGTGGAGCATGTCAATCTCGACCTTCGTCAGTTGAGTGATGCCTTTCTTCGCGGAAGTAGGCAAGGGCAGCCTGACAACCTCAGGATAGTTGACCAATATGGCTCCAGCATCAGCTAAAACTTCTAGCATCCTCTTCCACGGAAATAGGTCGGAAGTGGTGATACCAAGTTTCTCCATCAATTTTTGCCCTATGGACTTGATAGATACAAATTTTTCATGTTTTGTGAGGTTTTTTGAATTGCTTTGCTGGTTCACAGGCCCAGTCGTGGTAAGTGTTGCCTTGGGTTCGCAATGTAGCATCCTGGACATGATTCTATAGCTTATTCGTCTGCGCCCTATTTAGGATCCCAAGAGATACATTGTTGCTTCAATAAAACAAACCGTTAAATTCCGTGCAATTTACGGTCGGATGTGACGTACTAAATATGTGCCTTCAGGTGGGAGATCAAAGTGTTGTCGTCTGAACCGCAATGCATTTCAAAAAACTGCGGTCAAGTCAGAAGAGTGTTGGATGGTTGACATTGAGCACATACTCCTCTTGCTTCTTTCGCACCGGTCATCTGGATCCTCGCCGATGCGATACCGTGCAGTACCTGCGGAATCCACAGTGAGGTCGACGCCTCGCTCGATTGCGACATGCCTCAAGACGGCCTCCCCGATGGGACAAATGTTGCCAAGACAGACAACCAAGACGGACTGCGGCATGGCAGAGAATCCTTCTGGGAAAGTATACGACGCGGCTCAGACTGGCATACTGTACGTAGTAGGACTTAAAGCAGTTCTTACAATCGTAGAACGCGTCCAGTCACGGGATTTACGCGAAAGCACGGGCGCCTAGCATCCAGCTTTTCCCTTGAAGCCTTCGTTCCCAATTCGTTCCACTATCTGATTCTTTCAGTCGCGATGAACCCGAATTTCGCGCCGCAGAACACAGGCGGTAACACCGCCGATCATGCTCAATTTTCTGATCTGCTCTCCCTGTATGCCCAATTAGCTGGCACCAACAACCCCTACGCGGCTGCGGGGGCCCGAAAATTGGCCCCCAACCGGTGTGACACAGATCTGAGCCAGCAACGACGGGGTTGTGACTTGTGACCGGAGGACTCTGCAACGGACCTCTTGTGACGCGTGACGTTGCTACCATACACGCGGGTACAGTAGTAGTATGCGTCTGCGACATGCTGACTAGGTCTGCGGGTAGGAAAACTCGCTCTTCCACAAAGGGGGTGAATACTGGTGGCGGTGATAAGGAGGTATCCCGCAGCGTCTCTTCTCGTTCGAAACCCGCAGGTCAGTCACAGCAACACCCCTTGGACGTCCATTTATATATGCATCTGACTTTACTTAATCTATCCAGGATCAAGGAAAACAAAGAAGGCACTAGATGATGACGCTCGTCCTGCCAAAAAACCCAGAATTTTGGAGAAAACCATTCAGGAACCTGTTGCAGAAGTCGCTAATTCTGGTCGACCCAGCGGACTGACTGAATCAGATTTCCGTCAGCGCGAAGTAACTCACCCAGTCGCAGGCTCGTCCCGGGACCAGGATGATGCGATACGGAAGAAGATAGAGGAGTACGAGCTGCGGCAGAGGTCCCTGAAATGCGAGCGCGACGAGTTTCAAGCCGAGGTTGCGGAGCTTAGGAAGTCTGAAGATAGCTTGAACAAAAGGGAGGAAGACGTCACGAAGAAAGAGGAGGCGCTTGCACGCACCGAGGCGAAACTGAACGAACGCGATGCGGCTGTCGTGAAGAGAGAACAGGAAGCCGAGGAACTGATAGGCAGCGTGATAGGCAGTCCAGCAGAGCAGGTTCTGGCGCAGCTCGAGGAGAGCTTCACTTGCACACTGTGAGCTTTTATACGTCTGTCGTGTTACAAAGTGTGACAACCATTTTCAGATGCTTCGACGTTATGTACGCTCACTTTTTATTTCCAGGCAAACTCCACGCTCAGTATATTGACATGTTCGAATTTCAGGGCGTGCCCATATGCGCTTATGATGTCACAATGTGGACACTCTTACTGCGCTGTATGTATCCTTAAGTGGTTCTTCTCGCACCTTCACTACGAGTGCGGCCGCTGGCACGAGGTTCTGGAATGTCCGCTTTGTCGTACTTCGTTACCTATGCCGCGGGATGGACCGCGCTCTGTTTTCTCGTGCCCTTTTTTGCCTAACAGGCTGGTGGACAAGCTCCTCACCGATCTCATCGATGTGCTGCACAAATCTGGGCCCGCTGTGGGTACCAGTGCGCATGCAAAGAGGAATCAGAAGGCCGCTGAAGCAGGAGATCCTACGGCAGCATGGCGCGAAGGGGGCAGTGCAAGAGCCGAATGGAAGGAACGAGAGCGGTACGTACACTGCCTCGTTCTCTGCTGCTTGATCAGCTCACTCAATGGTTTTGATGCATATATTGAATGGATCGCCTTGCGACACCCTATTTTTGCTGATAGGAAAGGAAGAGATGAAATGAGATTGCTAACAGCCAACTGGTCCAAGCTTCGGCCTTTGGACTTCAGAGCCATTAGAGATCGTACCTCAAGCTGAATTTACTAACGCATTAGTCTTCTGGCATTATACGCTCTCTTTGCACACGCCCATAACTTGTGGTGGCATTTAGAAGACGGTTCCATTTCTGACACTGGCGCCTCGTCATCGGTTCAGTTGCCTGTCAACATGATGGGTCATCATGTTAAACCATGTATAGTACAGAAAACCGGCGTTCCTGATTGGGACCCAAGCCGGAATATACCTCCCTCCCTCCCTCCCCCAGTCACTCCGTAGGACCGCAGGTCAAGCAATGGGAGCTTTGTAATCTCATAGAGTAACCGTGGCTGGGCAGATACTGTGGATACGTAGGACTAGTAATGACCTCCGTGGTGAACATATATGCATGCCTTGGCCTACTCCTACTACAGCCTGTCCAGCTTCTGCTACTTCATGTCATCCGCATACTCACTGGCAGGCCAAGAAAAAAAGAAGTTCGATCTGCCCTGCATACCTGCCTGCACCCTAGGTCAATATGAATACTCACCGTACAACTCACCGCACGAGCTCCACTAGAAGGGAACACGCTGCCTAGAAAGTGAGCACACAAGTGCCGGAGTGACATGGCCTTCGTACTATAGCCAATGTCCAAGATAGATGGTGCAAATTCCGGCCCAACACACTGTCAAGCCACAAGCATATGCAGAGATGAGTGCGGTGTCAGCAGTAGAGCCGCATCCCACGGAAGAAATTGAAAACCATCGGCATGCACGCGGTAATGTTACTGGCGAATGGGGGTAAGTTCTTACCGAGGATAGTGCCAAAGTCGAAGACTGCGGCACAGAGCGCGAGGAGGAACATAACGAAGCACATCTTCCCATTCCACGAATGCTCGAACATCTCGTCGAAGACGTCCCACTGGTTCCAGAGCGTCGACCCCTACGCCTTCCGACGTTCCGAAGATACCAATCATGACATCCTACGCGCACAGTCAGTGATGGCTAAGTGCAGACTAAGTGCTGGAGAACGGAGGCGACTCACAAGTGCAGCAGTGAAGGGAAAAAAGAGGATGTAAGTCCACCTCGTCGCTTGGGGTTCTTCGCGCATCGCGAGACATTGCGTACGATACTCCACTGCATTGTCGGGAGCCGATGGAATAATCTCGGCGTGCAGTTCCACGCCGCCTTGGTAGGGATGACAACTCAGCGAATTGCCGTTCTGCTCTCTCCCCGCCCATATCGCCTCAAGTGGCTATACACCTTCAAGGCATGGACACTCCTGCCCTCCGATCTTGCCTCATGGACAACTGGGAATGTTTCTATCTTACCGATGTGAAGCATGCGGCTGAAGAATTTTGCCGCAATCGACGTTCATCGCGCCACTCCGGTACACCGTTGCGCTCCTACGAACTTCCAAAGGCATACCATCGTCATCTGACACGAGGGTCGGCGCCAACAAAAGGACTGAACAAGGGGAAGAAAAAAGGCTTCGCGCAGACTGCCGCTCGTTACCGAATCGTCGTCCGCCCTGAGCACGCCCGTGTCCGTATACGAGCGATGCCGCCCTGCCCACGCGACCGCATTCGCTGTCCCCTCCTCACATCCACCCCTACACGCCAAAAAAACTCATTCTCAGCTCGCGCAAGCACAAACTATAGAAACAGCAGGCCGAGAGAAATAACGGGACGCACCGAACCAGATGACGAGGCTCGCGGCGGCGCACAGCGCAAAGAGGAACGGGAAACCCTTTCAGTTGTCGCCCGTGCCGTCGAGGATGGCCTGGATCACGTTCGGGCCGATCATCAACGCGTGGTTCGACAGCCCGAATATAGTGAGTCTATGATTACTCAAGCAGGCACATATTCCGCGTGACACCTAGCTGACTGCTACTAGATCGGCGACCTGCAGATTCTTCATGCGAGTTATAAACGCGGGAGAGAACGAACGAAGGATGGAAGAAGCTGGATCGCGAACCTTGGAAAAGGATCAACGTTGTCGCATCTGCACTATATTCGATGTATGACATCACTGACGTTGAGAAACACCATGGCACTTATAGAAACACTTGGTGGGATTTCTGCCAGTGCAGCTGCGGGGACCTAGTCTCGCTGACAGCTGGCAGTAATGGGGTGCGAGGATAATACTTACCGTAGTCCGGAGATGAAACCTAGATGCCGTACCACAAATATACCAGCCTCTAATAGTCAAGACGAAAGGGTCGTTACTCTCTATAAACGCACATAAGCTTTGGATCTCGAAGTCAGCATTCACTATCAGATACTATGGCCCGACCGGTACGTACTGTCAATGTCCTGTAAATACTGTGTCCCACCAGAATTTTACTTGGAATGATGTTGACAAAGGCTGCATAGACTCCTGAAAATGGAGGTGCTACCTCTTGTGAGCAACGTAACTAGAACAAAGGAAGCAGGTTTTAGTTTCACCTGTGTGCATATCTTCTCTTGTTATCCCAGTTATTTCGGGCCGGCTATCATAGGCGGGCCATCTAGCACAGGCTAAGTTAAAGCCGGCTCATGTACCAAAATCTACACACTGCGGTTGGCTGAAAGTATTTAGCAACGTATCGCCTTCAAAATCCGTGACCAATATACGCCTAACAGGTGTTAATTGAGCTCCAACAAAGAGATATCGACGAGGTTCTAGTCCAGGTGTCGACGAGCAATCGCCTGCAAGTTCAGCGTAGGCTGCATTCACTAAATGTCAAGTCTTCAAGCTCCAAGTGTCTACACTGATGACTCACAATCATCCGATGAATCGCTCATATTATGTTCTGAACCAGTATCCGTGCAGTTCGAACACCACTATATAAGATACCTAAAAAAAGACGCGTTTCCACGACACGCCGTTGGACCTGTCAAACGATGCGCCGCCGATCTGTCAATGTTTCAAATTTCAATGCTCGGCGGGTGGAATGATGACAAAAGCATAATGGGATTGGACTTCCAGATTCTTTGCTGCGTACTTCCGATATCTTATGGTCTTGGAAGAGGCGGCGTAATGTGGAATCTCAAGAAAAGGGCTGACAATGATTACGTACTTTCATACCTCTCCACTTACAGAAGTGTCCGTTGCAGATCCACCATTTCCAAGTGGCACGTGCACCACGGGAACAAATTCGACTTGCGCCCCTGGGAGAAGACGTCGCCAACCCCCGCTTTTCTATTTTCTATTCTCTATGCTTTCTCCGTTTCTCTCTAATTTATTGGATATGCATCATGATTTATGGTCTACGCTACGGCGCCGAGGCTCGCCTCAAACCCGCCCCCACACCCCACGAGACACGCAATATGCCTAACATTTACCTACTATCCCAATCTCAAGCTACCCACGCCATACCCTCCCCCACCTGGACGTTCTCCCTGTCGTACAGTAGATATTCGTGTACAGACCGGAGGACGCCGCGTCTTAGCACATGACTTGCTTGTTGCGGTATATAAATGCCGAATTCATTCATTCATTGGATGCCTTCCCGTAGGATTTGGAGCACTTCTAAATCACAAAGCGGACTGCGAAACACCCCACTGTGTCGGAACAGCAGGATTTGTGAAACCGTAGCGTCGCAACATGATGATGATCAAACCAAGTTCTAGAGGGTCGGAGGACGAGCGGCAGCATGATGTAAGCAATATGCAGCACCAAATATAGGCAAAGATGGGCATTGCGAGTGGGCGGAGATCGAAATCATCGTTTAGAGAGACGTTTAGAATCTGGAAGGGGGGGTCGACCCCCCCTTCCAGATATAAGGTTTAGAAAGAGCTCACTTTGCTCTCACGGTATGCGGAGATCAATTTGCCGACGTGCCGGCCAGATTTAGAGACGAAATTTAGTTTAGAACGTTTCTAAACGGCTACGGGAAGGCATCCATTCATTCAAGCTCGTAGCGGCACGGCGGACCATAAGGGTAGAATTGATTATCTCGATCGATCGTTATACGGAATTTCCCTAACTCTCACGACAGGCTTACCACCGGCCGCAACAGGCAGATTACAGAGAGGGAATTGTCTTAAAAGCATCTTACTGGTCTTTCTGATGACAGGATACGTTCGGCCTGAGACGCCAAGCGTCACCGGCTAGTTGCCCATGGAAGGTGATCGGAGGATAGTACAACAGTCTTCCGAGTGACAAGTCATTGCGATTGATCTTTTGTCCACCTATGCAGCGCGATGGACAGCTGATGTTCAATAAGACAATTCCATCTCTATTATACCCCTCCATTGATAGAGACTCGACTCGTTAGTAAGCTAGACACGTGCTTTACGTACGTGTGAAACTGACCCACGGTAAACGCAAGGCAGACTCTGTTGGAAAATATGGCACTAGTTTGAACGTTCGTCGCGACAGACGCTGGGGTTATGTCTAACGTTCGCCCGCATGTTCTCCCAAACGGTGGAAGTGCGGCCTTCGCCACTCGTCTTTTCCTTTTAAACGTATTCAGATATCTGTAAGGTGGTAGAAAGTATCTGATACCTCGCCTACTGCTAACATTGACCACAAAGACATTTAGTCAAAATTGCTTCGACCAGTGCGAGCTTCATATATGTCGTAGCCCACGGTGCCAACGATGGAATCCTACATCTGGATATACAGCATAGCGCGCCTTCGCGACATAGAACATCTGATAAATAATGGACGTACAGTACACTGCCAGCAGTGGCGCAGCGGTACAGAGCAGAAGTTACAGCCAGTACGGTAAATAAACAGCCTACGCGGAATGCACCAGACCAGCAGGACGGAGACCACGTCAGACACTAGGTGCCAGATACTAAATACAACAGGAAGCCGGGGCATGGAGGCTAATAGTCGGACGTATAGAGCAGTGGTGAAAAGACCTCAGATAGGACGCTTCAAGCTGCGGACTGGCGCGCTACTTGGTTCTGGAGGTTAATAAACTGTGCAGTGACGATCAGACCGTAAATGTTGAGTGAGGGAGTAGCTTACAGTGCGTTCATCCTCCAGCGTCTGCAGGTGAAGTTTCCGGACCTCGTCTTGCATATGAACGAGGAGCGTCTGCGGAACATAATCAGACACTAGGTTGCTGAAGTCGTCAAATATGGTACGCAACGCGGAAGGATACGCTGTCGAGTCCGCGATACAATGAGATGCACTCGAACTCGACAGGCTCGCGCCCTGCGTGCCGGATCCGCTCACGAAGCCACGGCACATACTGTTCGAGACACTCCAGATAGCTCCGCCTCTTGGCATGTTGAGTAATGTTGTCTCTGCAAATGAAGTCAGTACACCGCTGTCCACTGGGGAGGTTGGAGCTTACGGATCGGTCACCTGAAAACCGATGCCATCCGCGACGGCGCGGAAGTATGCCTTGCGTCGCGTCTCAGTGTGCTTCCTGCCCGACTTCGTCTTCTCCGTTGTCAGCACGGTCTCCATGCGCACAGGGGGCCGAAGGTCAGACAAGCCAGTTCCATTTAGACTGCGTGCAGGGAGGTATGCAAGAAGCTGAGCAGGGGTCGGGAATGTGACCTGAGGCGCATTCGCGTAATTGTCGAGCGGATTCGTGTCGGATGACGAGCCTCGCAACGGAGGCAGCGGGTCGTTTAGCGAGGTGGTGGGCGAGGTGCTGCCGACCTGTGTGGGCGGAGTGCTGGGCGAAATGTTGGGGAGGATCAGAGTGGAATATCCGGAGATGGGTATTGACGCATGGAGGGGGAGCTGCGGAGGACCTTCCGGCTGTGGCTCTTGTCGTACATACTGAGAGGGAGGATACGGACAGTAGTCGAAGCTATCGTATGCATATGAGAAAGTCTGAGACAACAGGGTGAGGGAATAATGCGGTGTGAATGGAGACGGAACGTATTACCCCGAAAGACGTATCAGAAGAATTTACGGAGGAGTAACATATTTCGTCGCAGGGGGTGCAATAAGAATCCATGCCTGGGACAAGGCGTGGTAATAGAGCATATGCAGCAGACGGTTTTATAGGAAGGAGGTCGGGGTGTATCCGATCGATATAGCGTTCGACTCTTGTTACGATGGGATCTCAGGCTTGCCCAAGATTGTGGGTTATTAGGCCATAGTTGGCACTCCTGCGCCGGGCTACTGCATTTTGACGAGTCAAGGTTGATTGACCTTATTGAACCCTTGATTGAGCTTCCTTGATTGAAGGAGGGGTATGACGCACTGGCCGGGGCCGGCTGGATACGTGTACTTGGGACGCGTCAACATCCTCACACAAGCGAGTTTAGCACGCGTTCAAAGCGACCCGCATGCCGTTCAAAGACACCAACAATACCGTCAGTGTTTAGTGCCAAAGTGTGGCATCCTATATATTATAAGTACGCTGCAATTAGTAAGACCACTTGGTATCTCCCTCGCGTGACAACGTGCCCGAAACGTTGCGTGAGCTAGCGCAATATATATTTCGGGTAAGATATGCCTCATTCATACGCGACCACTCCACGTGGAAACTGATTCGCATTCTCTTCAACAACAACAACAATGAAAGAACATCGGTTCCGGCAGAAAGTATTGTATATGCCGTAGCTAAAATCGTGCATGAACCGATTCTTCAGATCGTTGAGGTGCGAGGAGGAGAATGGAGAAAACCGGCCACGTGGTAGTAGTCGTGTATGAATGAGGTATATCTTAGATGAAGTGCTCAGACACACTGACGAGGAGGAAGTAGGCGAAGGTGCCCTGCAGGCTCCAGAGGCCTGGATGCATAAACAGAAAGCTGTAGTGAGTATGGTGACCTGTCCCTTTAGAACTCGGCGGGAGTCTCCACGATCTCTCACAGACCCTGTAAACGGGGCTGGAGGAGGCACCGCTCAAAGGGCGACGCTCCCCTCTGCTCTTCGGCTAGGATGCTCCCGCGGATTATAAACGGAACCGCGCCTTGAAGTCCATACCCCCATCGACATGGATCACGTCTACGCCGACGAGGCGTGCTCCTCCCCGGATGACTTCCACTTTCTCTATGATCTCCAAGGTCCACAGAGGAACCCCTCTGACTCTCTGCCACCCGCCCCGCCGTCCCTCCAGCCATCCGTTCCGGGTTCGGAATTTCCTGTCACTTACATTCAATCCACGTATTCTTCCCTCACAGACAGCTGCTGTCCTTCTCCCGTCAATTCCTCGTTCACCCCTTTCGCCCCCTACCCTCTCGCGTCCTTTACGGAGCAGCTCCCGGCAACCTCCCTTGCCCCCGACCCGACCTACTGCTTCCAGGCCGAGGAGAAGCCATATGCTAAGCCCTCCCCCAGTTCCCCTCCTGCACGCACCATCACCTCACGCAAGCACGAGGGTTCCAAGCGCCGTAAGGTATGGAGTCATGCTCTCGAGAAGGCACTCTTCACTCCGGAGGAAATGTGCGCTCATTTCATTCTCCTTCTGCAATGTCATCTACCTTACCTCATCTTTCAGATGCACGATGGGAGCACCACACAGACGCACCATTTATACTGCCAGCCTCGAGGCTCATATCGACCGTCTCCACCACCAGCTTCTCGATTACTCCCTCTTTCCAATTCCTTTCGAAAAGCTCGAGTCCTTTCGCGGTCTCGACTCCAGGACGGCCAAGGTAAGTTGAGCCCCATCCGTTTAGCCCTTGCTGCGTAATGACAGGCACATTTTTCCACTCTAAGAGTATGATCGCGGGTCTTCAGCACGACGCTTCTGAGCTGTGGCTGAAGCACCTCGAGCTTCAGTGCACCGTATGTCACCCCTTCATCCTTCTTCTTCTGCCAGGCTGATTAAGACTCTTTGCAGAACGAGGCACTCCGTGACGTCCTTCGCGCTCACCCTGGTATCCTTGTTCCACCTGTGGACAATCCCTCAGCACTTGGTCGGTCTGCACCACCACAGGCCTGATCCTAGCAGCTAGGTTGTAAGACTCGAATCATACGTCTGCGATCACATTGCTCTGCTTCCATTCGCAGGCGTGAGGTCAGATAGGCCTAATTTTATGACGGTCACTTCATACAAAAAAACTTTTCACATGCACTTTTTTGTCCCGCAAACTTTTTCGACGCTTCCAAGACTGTCGGAGCCCTCGGAGCTTATGACGGTCACTTTTTACAAAAAATAAATTCCCCGTGCATGCAACTTTTGGCAGGGAAAACACATCGCCGCGCACGAAATGTAAGTCTCATTTGGCAATCCCTCGGCATCCAAATTAGGTCGATCCGACCTCATGCTTACCGCCATCCACGACGAGCAGGACACTCCTGAAGCGGGGTGGATTTTACAAATAATTTCTTCGATTTTTTGCACTTCTCTGATTTGAACGAAAGTATTAAAGTAATAAATACACATGTACACTACCAAATGTGAGGAAACCATCCTCTAAGGGAAGGTCACCGTCACGCATGACATGCAAAGCGTTGGAAACATTGCGCAGCAACGGCGGGAGGCCTCTGCGGCGGCAGTGGGACATGCCCGACAAACGAGTCACGACAGAAAGAGCGCCGGGCACTTCCGACTTATCCCCGAGGGTTGCGACAGCTGCTTAAGCGCCAAAGTTCAAAAAGTGCGCGGTGACAGAAAAGTGTGTACGCAAAATGTTGTTGCGCGAATAAATACGGCTCACGCAAAAAGATACTAAAGCACTGCGAAAAAAAGAGATGTACCCGCGTGTATATGTAAAATAATAGTTGTACACTTTGAACAGCATAGTCACGTGGCAGGTAAACCTAAAATTTAAGATCAACTGCTTTCCCGAGGAATGTTGAACGACTAACTACCCCTACTCCCTACCATTCCCTGCCGCTGTTTAGCCAGCCGCCGCTCGTTGTGCTCGTGCGTAGCTCCCAATGGCTCAGTGATGCAGCCAGAGGGTCGTGATGCCGACACGACTAGCTGGTGTGCCGTGCGTAACATGGCGACGATGGGATACTCGCCCTCGTCGATTATTTCGCAGACATAGCGTCTATGAATCGACATCTACACCTGTTGGTCTCTGGCGGGCGATGCTGCTCGTCCGATCGTCAGCATGCAAGCTGTATGCCCTCCCTGTAGTGAGTCATTTCAGCTACGCGCACATGTCAGCTTCAAATTTCCATCGGCTAACGCTCGATGTAGGACTTTATGCCGGCGATAGAGTCGATCTCGAAAAAAGTCGTCGACACCGAGTTTCCACCGCGTTATCTTTCCAAGGCGTCTCGGAACTCGATCTTCAAGAAGCAAGGCATAGGCGTTGAACTCTCCTGCGCGGACACTGCCCTTCCTCCGCTTGCCGAAGATGCCGAGGCGGAGGCGTGCAGTGGATATATCCCTCCCACCCAGCGTGCCGTGCAAGAAGCAAACGAGGATCTCGATCAAGATGGCGTAAGCAAAGTCGTAGACATTCCCGACATGTGTCTCATTTTTCCAGACGATGGATATCTCGAGGTCTTCTCCGCAGGTAGAGAAGGAGTCCGTCGTTCAATCGTGAGCCGTGGCCACGTAGACCGTCACCATCAGAGCACTGTCAGGCAAACTTGTAGTGGCGAGGGAGCGGAAGTAGAGGTTGAGTGCTTCCGTGAGGCCACCACGGAACGTCCAGGTCCGCTAAGGACCGTAGGGACTAGGACGTCAACGTGAGCGGGCTGTTACTGGTACGTGACATCTTTCGGGAGAGATCGAAGAGGGTTCGCTGACTCTAGCCTGCGGATTATGTTCAGCAGAAACCTTTCGTGATGCGCGTCGCAAGACATGTCTGACTTGCAGTGTGCAGAGCAGATCGTGCGATCGAGCTCGCTCACGGCACTCCGCGAGAAGTACACCTCGTAGTATGGTCCGTCCGTGCATCATAGATCCAGTTCGCTAAATGCACCCCCGCCTTACGGTTCACTTTCGCCATTGGCCATTGGATGACCGGTTCGTGAAGGTCCAGCATCCCTGCGACTTGGACAGTTGGCGTGTCGGGTACGATTGTCCCCAGCTGATTCCTTTTGATGGGGTTCCCTGTGGACACGACGGCGTTGACTGTCTGCAAGGGACTCTTTCATGTGTGTCACCTGTCCAACCGATGTCCATCTCCCCGCCATTTCAAGCTATGTGCCTCGCGAAATGTGCATCTGGTATGAGGATGCCGTGCGGTTAGATCAGTTGAAGGTGGTGTTGAAGAGCGTGGGATTCTCGAAAAGACATGTCGCGCAGAAGTGCCAGCTGGTTGCTGCTGCTATTTTCCATCTGGATAACCTGGAATTCCATATTGATCGCTCTCGCAACGAAGACGCTGCTGTCGTGTGCAACACGGATGTCCTCGATATCGTCGCAGATTTCTTGGGCGTGCAGCCGGAAGCTTTGGAGGCTGCGCTATCGTACCGAACGAAGATGGTGAAGAAGGAGCTATGTACAATCTTCCTGGATCCCGACGGTGCCTCTGATAACTGAGACGAACTCGTGAAGCCGCTATACTCCCTCCTGTTTGCATGGTTGAACGAACACGTCAGCCAACGCCTTTGCCACGACGACTTCAATATGTTCATCGGACTGTTTGACTTACCTGGCCCCCAGAACATGACTAGCCGGCCGAACTCCCTAGATCAGTTCTGCGTCAACTTCGCTAACAAGCGGTTACAGAACTTCACAGAGAAGAAGCTGTTCGAGCGCCACGTCTGCGAGTACACGACAGAGGGTATCTCCCGCTTCGTTCCCCAGGTGCCGTATTTCGACAACTCCGAGTGTCTCCGCTTATTGCAGCACAAGCCTGGGGTCTCATTCACGTCATGGATGACCAGGCGAGGCGTCAACGGACCACACCATGACCGAGTCGTTCGCGAAGCGATGGGGTAATCACTCGTCCTTCAAGGCAGGCACGATGGATCGTTCAGGTTTCCCCACGTTTACTGTTAATCACTTCAGCGGTCCAGTTACTGCGTGGACGGACGGCCCCGGCCCCGATTGGTCCTTCGAATAGACAGTTCAGATGCGATGGAACAATCGTATGGGATGGTCCACCACAGAAGAGCAGCCACGCACACGATACGCTTCTCCCGCAGGCCATATGCTCTGTGAGGGGATACGGGCTGCAAGTTTCTCTGAATTTCAGTAGATCGGGTTCGCAAACGGGTTCGCAACTTGCTCGAAGTCGTCCATTTGCCCCGAAACTTCAAGGTGCTCACGACCTCAACCTACAGAGGGGATTTAGGCAAATTTTTGGCGACGATGCGTTCGCATAGTTCGACCGCTCCTACGTTGTAGACTAGTAAGATCATTCCCCACTCCAAGTAAATCTGTATGAATAATTCGATTGTACGCTACTTCCAGGACTGTCGCCACAGCGGCATGACTCGTCGCATGGGTCATCTCAGAGCTCCCACCATACGAGCGCGAATTCGACCGCAAAGGCCCGACCATCGACTTCAAGCACTGACACAACCAGTGCGTTCCTTTACCTGCCTGCTGCCTCTCCCTAATGGCTCCTGCAGATTGACTATCCCATTCAATATGCAGGATCAGCAGTTTCCTCAACTGGACTGTTTCGCTTTTCGTGCCGCTCACGGTGACTGGAGCGATAGGCTGCTTTAGGCGCTCAGTTATGGAAATTCACCCACTATGCGGGAGCTGTCCAACATGCCGCCAATCCCATCACTTTCGAGTCTGCGACTACCGCCGGACTACATGGGGCTGCCAACTCCCGACTGTGTCGATCTCCTGAAGATGATCGACGGCGCGCAGAACGACATTTCCAGAACGCGTATATGTCTTCCCTCGGGCCTGGCTCTGGCTCTGCTGCAGCTACCTCCACCCCTGCTACCGCGCCGACGTCCATGCCTACCGCGTCGCTCACGTCCACTCCCGCAGCAGCGCCGCCGACCTCAGACATGCCCGCCTCCTCCGCCTTCCTGTCCTTGACATCCGCTCCGGCCTTCGTTAACTTCCCCGAGCCCTTACCCTCAGTGGCGCCGTCGTCCTCACCGATCGCTCGACCTGCGGCCGTCCTCCAGTCTAGCTCTGCACCTGCACCCGTGGAAGCACAATTTTCAAGTTCAACCTGCACACGGACAAGTGGACCATCACCGCGCAGCTCTGCATCGTGTGTCTGATCAAGCGCGATGCGTGCTTTTATGTAGTGACGCGGGTACTACGCAAGGCGGCCTGGAGTTGGCATCACGACTGTTGGTTCGACGCGTCGCGAGCGGGTGACACAATGCGTACGGTGAGCCTTTGCGTGGACATTTTCATTCGACGGTTCGAGACTGATCTCCCTTCTCGCCACTGCCCGCCTGTCACCGCATACGTCCTCCCCTGTACCAGATGTCCGTCTTCAATCGCCTTCTCCCCCAAGCTAGAAACGGACCCCACCTCTCGGGCACAACGTGCTTTGGGAGACTAAGTAGAGTCCCTTTGTCCGAGAAAGAGAGGGCGTTCATTGGGGAAGGGCCGGCCGTTGCTCGTCGTCTCTAATGAATTAATGACGACTACAACATGGCCCCACCCTTTGTGGCCTGGTGGGCAGCGTTAGCAGCGCACGGTACTCTCAGTCAATGGCGGCCATTGGTTTTTTGGATGGCACCTCCGTCTTTCCATGTTTCTATGCAGTAGTTCCGCTGTAACGGGGTTTCCGAATAGATCATCCTAAGCTTTGACGGTTCCCTTCCCTCGTCTCATTGACGTTCCCTTGCTCTGCGTTCGCTCGGCAAAGACCGCCCTTTTTACGGAATCAGCTTTCTTGTGTCCCGGGGTCCTTACCGCGCGCGACTCAAGCGAACCATCGTGAAAACGTCGAAACGTTCACGGCGCTCCACTGCAACGTTGAGCATTGTACTGACAACGTTATACCCTCAGTGTCAACTTGTCGACTCACAAATCCGCCCCGTCAGTCTCCTTACGACTGTCGAAGATTGGTTGGAAAATCAAACCCGATTGACTGGGAGCCTAACCCTCCTCCATCCCTCACGCTCACACTACGATATGCCCCAGCACCCTGCCAGGATTGTATGACACCTCAATATGTGCCCCTCACATGCAATCTTTATTGCGGAGGCCAACTCCCCGTGCACGTCTCTGATACACACTTGCCCCTTCTCCTGCATTTTTTGAAGAAATCCCCAGATAAAATGTGCACTGAACGTTTCGACATCCAAATCAGGTCCCCGATTGCCCATATCGCCACGGCACACAAGACGGAACCGCGAGGCAGCGCGCTCAAGGGATGTGTTGCTATTTTCGATGGTTTATAGTAGTTTCCCCAACAGAAGGGGCGCTCCTTCCAGGTAGGCAACTGTCAGTACCGGTGGGGGAGCAACAATCATTACTCACTGGCATCACCACTGATACAATCCGTAATACTACTCCAGGTATTGCGATAAATGCCGCGTGCCACACGGCGGACAGCCTGACATCGGGAGCCTTGACCGATCAGACGGGGAACCCTTCTGACTTTCCAGTAACAGGCGTTTCTCTCAGTACTTAGGGTTTCTCTGTCTTTAGGGGTCTCTGATTTATACCCACGGACGGTCTATTTGCAATAAGAGTACACCGCAAATTCGACAAATCAAGTGTAAAATTTGGACCAAATGTACTGTTGCGGTGACTAACGAGGCACGGGAGGACCTGTCAAAGGATGCCTTCCCGACAAACGGGATAAAACATGCGTAGGAAGAACGTTACACGCACATCCCCATTATTCATCACACTCCTTTCGGCGCCTCTGACACTCGCTCTCCTTCTGCTCATCATGGAGTCTTCTGATGCCACGGTATCACCAGTAATGGGATTTTCTCTAGGTCAGTCTTTGTTGCAATTGAAATCAAAGTTCATTCACGATGTGTATCAGGATTCGCCTTCGCGGTTTTGGGCTACAGCGGCGATATATGTAAAGAAAAGCAAAATATCCTTTCATCTATACTTCCCGTATATACTTGCTACGTCGGTGCTCCTTGCATCCTCCATGGGTGTGAGTGATCATCTCCCTCTAAAACTCGTGCGAGTCTCTGACAGTAGGATTAGTCACCCGTTTTAGCGTCAGATTACCACTTCTTGACAGGAAATTCCAACAGTGGCTCAGCAATTGCGGTCGTTTCTCTGTTTGTAGCAGCAATCACCGCAAGTGATGCGATAATGGTGACATTTCTCCTGTCTACGTCCGTTTAACGAACGTCATGTCTTCTTCAAGGTTTTCAGGGCTTATGATATCTCCAACAAATCAAAATTAGTTGCTGTTTTCGGGCTTGCTTTACTTCCCAGCCTTGGTTAGTGCGTCATCCTCCTAGGTCCACAATTTAACCGTACTGTCCATATTTGATGTATAGCTTTCCTGGGTAAAGTGATATACGAATTGCAGAATGACAATGCCGGCCTCCTCAGTACCTCTGTATCGCACTGGATTATCGCGTCTCTAGTGCCTAGTATTTTGTTTGTAGTTATTACCCACATTCGTCACGCTGAGTCTGACCACTCGTGTCCTGCAGAATCAACGTCCTTGGTACTAATTGGATTTCTATCCTTCTGTCAAAGCTCGTGGACGAAGCTTACGGACGTATGCAGGTCGTATCAGTTGGAACATCTTGATGATGGCCCACGAGAACAATCGGTCATATGCACAGGCATGCATTTTCAAGGTGCTCTCACAATGTACAGTTCGTGATGATATTCAAGAAACTCGTTACGGTTCTCGTTTTCTGCGCATCTATTCATCTGTAAGTTGGATTGCATTTCTATGTCCTTTTGATGCGAGTGAATATGTAACAGGGGGTGCTTACTGTTTCTCATGGTCGTTTGTGTCGGGAGGCGGCCGCTATGTCCGATGGCACTCTGTATGTAGGATTAGCATCATGTTGTAGCATCTGTGGTACAAAAGTGTTACTTGGCTAGTTCTAGCGTTTTTTGGCAGATCTCAAAATTTACCGCCGGTGGAATTCTCCACCGTTTGTCTCAGGAAATTGCACAATGTGTAAGTCTACCTAAGGGAGAGGCAAGGACAAGTGCGAGATCGAGGGATAATGATGGAGATCAACCGTGGGGTGAAGGATGATAAAGAGACGACGGCAACAGGACGATGCGACGGCGAGGGTGACAACGCGAGACGAACGGCGGGTGACAGCGGCGAATCGATGTGAACGGCGAGCGGAGAGACGATACGAAGGGCGAACGACGGCGACGATACGATACGGACGGCGGACAGCGAACGGCAATTTTGGGATGATGCGAACGGCGGATGGCGGCGGCGAGCGAATACGGTAAGAATGGCGGTGGCGAGACGATACGGACAGCGGCGAAGCGACACGGACGGCGGACAAGAGGTGGAAGAAATGAAGTCTACACGGTGGTCCTCCTGCTGAGTTGACTCGTGCACGATGGCGGCGTTGCGGCGGGGGTCAGATCTCTTCGATAATCCAGGTGATTGGACTACCCAGGCACTAAACTTCAAATTGTCAGCACGTCTTTGCATGTACCACAGCCCCGGTGGCCACCACGGTAACCTGGTGACTTGCCCGATTGAGCGCGAGCAAAAAAAGAGACTCAGCTGCACGATGGCTGGGAGTGCGAGGTGCTCTGAGAGACGTTCCCAGTAACCCCCGCGGCCTTGCCCGACATGTCGACCCCCTCCCCGCGCGGGCATTGGGGCTCGGGGCCTTCCAGCAGTGCTGTCACGGAGTGATGTTAGTCAGCGGTCAAGAAAACTTCCTGATCGGGTAGAACGTGTGATGCATCCTTCAAGTTTTGATCGATGATCAAACTTACAAGCTTGACAGCTTCGTGGTTCCACGACTGTGGCTAAAAACCTTATTGAGTGGGGGAAGGATGGACTTTAAAGGTTCCTCTTCAAGTTTCACTGCCCTCAGTCGTCCATGCGTCCTCCACCTGATTTGTACCACAATAATGCTCGCACTCACTCCGTCTCATCTACCTTGTCAACTGCCATCTGTCGTACACCCCACACCGCTTAGGTCCCATATGTCGGCGGCGACATCAGAGTCATACAGGCTCCCTGATCATCTGCCACCACAGCGGAAACTACAGTCTGCCTTCGTTCTTCCAATGTATGCTGCGGCTTCATCTTCACATTCTTCTGTACCACCAACTACCACTTCACAAGATAGCCCGGGCCCCTCTGCGCATCGACCTGTGGCACCAGCGACAACCCCGTCACAGCGTGGACAACGCTCATTTCGACGTGAGCAACTTAAGCACGAGGAGGAGGGCCCAGAAACACCACCCGCATTCGACTCGGAAGACAACCACAGCGAGGCGGTGCTACCGGAGTTGTCTGACATTGACGTCAACGACTATGACTCCGAGACACTGCTGGGCATGCTCGCCAGCACGCTTAGTCGTATTGTGAAACTGAATAGCATTCCCCCGGCGAATACATACATGTCGACGCCTCTTCGGCCACCACATTCATCTGACAGCGAGCATCACGGCCCTATATGGCAGACGCTTACTACTACATCGCGTGAATCTCTGGCGCGCTCACGTTCGCTCACTTTCCACGCACGTCAAATACCCACCATTGCACTTGACAGCTATCTCCAGCGGATACAGAAATACTGCCCGACAAGCAACGAAGTTTTCATCTCGTTGCTCGTGTACCTCGACCGTATGACGAGGCCGGGGAGGGACACGTGTGGGGAAATCGTTCCTATTGACTTCTACAACATTCATCGCCTGATTATTGCTGGTATCACTGTTGCCGACAAGTTTTTCAGTGACGTCTTCTACACAAACTCTCGGTACGCCAAGGTGAGTTATTGTTATACACCCATTTTCTTCGTCCGTGAGTTGCTGACTGGTGTGTTGCACTGTAGGTTGGGGGACTTACCCTTGCTGAGCTCAACATTCTCGAGCTGCAATTCCTCCTATTGAATGATTTCCATCTCACGATCTCACCCGAGGAAATGCAGTATTATACCAAGATGGTAGATCTGCAATCAAAGATTGGGGATGACATTTCACTCACCCAATTTCTCCCTTCGACGTCGTCTCCCATGACTCCAGACACGCACATACCCATTGGGCCGACGGAGTATTTTACGGCATTGAGCGCGTATTTTGCCCACCAGCGGGCTCTTGCACATCCGCACCGCGCATTCCACCGCATGAACGGTCAGAGCGAATCGCCTTTGTTCTGCCCCGCGATGGACTACCACCTATCAAAGAGGCAGTCTGTGGCAAGCTCAGACACAGCGAGCGAGACAGAGCCCCAGGCGGTCGCGGACGTCGAATGCTACACAGACGACGAGCCTACCATCCCCGCACCGCACGAGTCGTCCGAGTCGTCACCGGAAACAACGAGCCTGCACAGCTCGATGAGCGGCGATACTGACTCCATATTCACGGATGAGGACCGGAGTAGGGACGAGCCTGACGTGCGGCTATTCGACGGGCGACACTCACGTCAGGGTGGGACCACGCAGCTATGACGGGCTCCGCCCGGCGCCATCTTGGGCAGATGTTCTTTGGACCTGTACCAATACTTTTCGTTGTCGCAACTGCTGGACATCGCTAATATTTATGTCACAATACAGTACAGGATTCAGTTTATAACGAGTGTGCACCCCTACTATGATAGGCATAGTTTTGCAAACATGCATCGATATCCAAAATTGTGCATAACTCATTCCCTCATTAGCAAAACGGCTGTGGGACGGTGTAGTAGATATGGTCTTAGTCAATACCACAGTTCACTACTGTACGCAGATGTCGTAGCTATATGGTATACAATACACATTATGGTAACTCTGCCGCGGCCACTTCCGTATGTGGTGCAGAGTCTCCTTGCTGGCGCATGTGCTGACAGCGGAAAGCTGTGGAAGTCGAGGTAGTCATTCAAGTAGAAGTCAGAGGCTCCGTGATGTGTCTCCAATTCCTGGAGTGAGACATGGCGGTACGTAGGAGTTTTTTGTGACCTGGTAGACTCCTGGTAGGCGCGCGAGACGGACAAGTTGACGAAGCGCCCGAACGAAGCGCCCGAAATCCTTCCACGCCAGCTGCCAACGTTCTCGTCCTCATCCTCTGCGTCGTTATCTGTATGTGGAGCCCCGCGATTCGAGCACCAACAGATAAGTCGCCGCCCTTACTACGGAGTCCACCAAGCAGGCCTAGGCGCAGGAGTATAAGGCATGGATGATCCTACTTTGCATCTCGAGTTGGAAGGACAGCAAGAGCTACACAATCCCGCTGGACAAACACCTTACTGGCGATAGCCGTGGTCTCAAGGATGTGAGTTAATGTATATTACAGTTGTGGGTTTAGCGAACTCACGGAACGACATACAGGTAATTCCTGAAAAAGCTAGTAACAATCGATCAGGCTGTCGCTCGCCATCCCCGTCTACGAGTTCAGCTTTTCCTGCAGGCGAAGAACAAAATAATTATTTCATTGAGCGGAGAAGGACGTTGTATCAGTCGGCGTCCTGCTTAGATAGGTCGTATGCCATGGAGTGGATTCTGATGCGGTTCCAGGATTGGGCGATTTCTCGACGGTGAGATGACCCCCATCAGACCACAGTTAGTCTGTTCCATTCCCTGCGTATCGTAGAGCCTTCGGAGTTTCGGCGTCTCAAGGAACGGCGTCAACCATTGTTCTACTCATGACTTGTTTATTCATGCATGAGAGGGACCTACGCTGGGTGACTTTGGCTTGAGCAGAGATCTGCACATTCCGGTTGGTGGTGGTGCGTACCTGCGGTCAGGGGTCTGGACCTCTGGCTGCGTCCGAAACTTGCAGCTTTCGGGCCCCTCAGATTCCTTCTCGTGGGCACCTCCAGCGCTATTGAAGGGCTCGGCGTGGAACATGTTTTCGTGCACGGACGATGGGACTGTCGTGGAGGCTTGCGCGGATGGTGCCGTGGGTGTTTGCGCGCACGCATGAATGTCGACCAGAGCTGAATGGGGCAGTGGAGAATTTGCCGCGGGCGTGTTTGCATGCATGTACTATGGTGGAATCGGTGAGGAGGACTACGCCGTGGAGCACACGGGCTCATTCGCATGGTGAGGGCGGCGAGTGCGATGCTATCCTCTTAATGTTCGAGTAGAGGTGCATTCTTTGGTTTGTACTTATAGCGCAGTGGGAACTGCGAAAAAGGTACTTCCACTGTCGCTGAAATGTCGTGCTACAGTGTACTCCGAGTTAGCACAGCGGTGGTGACGCGTTGCGTACCCACACATGTCGACATCGCCTCTCCGCGCAGGAGAAGAAGCGGCCAACGCTGGGTAGGGCAGATGGGCTCGCTTGGATGTGTCCCTGTGCACAGCGCTTGCAATCCAGCCAGCGAGAGGCCACAGTGCGGCGTGTTCGAAATCGATGGGACGGATGTCGATAGTGCAGCGTGGCCAGCATCGTCGTCATGCCAGTCTGTGCACCATCTAGCAATTTCTCGTGGTGCTGGAGCATTGAATCGGGCAAATGACTCAGTACCTAATGCAGCTGCACATACGCTCACCTACTAAACGGCCGCGGCTTAGTGCGAAGGCGCGCTCGCAGTGCACATTTAACGATTAAACGTATTTGCGAGCATTCTCGTCACGCATCCGTCTGTGCTCGATCGCTTGGTCGGACAGACATGCTGTATGCAAATCCAGTGTGATGAAGCGATGATGGCGAGGGGTGATGGAGAGCGGAATACAGAGAGATGAGGCCAGAGAGCATTGTAGAGGGCAAGGAAGATGACAAGACAGCCGAAGAGTTGGAGCAGAGCTCGAGGGCGACCGTCAGCTCAACCCACAGTAAGATAGTAGCAGTATAATCGGCGTCTGAGAAGCACCGAGGAACAATGGAGACATGGCGCGCTCCCCTCTGCAGATAAGGAACGTCTGTCTACACGCGAACTGCGCACCTTGCGCAAAAAATGACCGTCTTCACGAGACGGCGAACGCACTCGACGACTCTCGCCAACCGTCTTCAGCCACTCGACCGTGACGCGTACTGTCAGGTACCGGTCACGCGACCGATCGAGATCGAAGGCCGACCACGAAACACGATCTCGGGCGCTTGTCTCGGGTGTGTCGTTATATCCATATGTTACACACAGTGGGTCGCAAATCTATGATAAGTAGGACAATCACACACGCACTAAACATCAAGCACCAAAAAATAGACAAGACATGACCCTAATATGTCACTGGAATATAGCAGTTATCATCTAGATGAGTATGTCGACTAATCACTCTGTTGTGTGGAGCCAAACTGCTTGCTCCGAGGGCATGGCCTACACCCTAGGTACCCAGAAAGGGAGCCATCGCGGCGCCCTGCACTGCTACGAGAACATTCAGCCATCATCCGATGGCGGGACCATGTGTTCTCCACGGAGGCAGGCAACGAGCCGTCGGGCGCGCCGAGGGCCGATGCGAACGAGGACGCGGAACTTGTGGGCAGCGAGGACGTAGGGTGCAGGGATGGACTAGTATGTATGCACAGGTGGCGCGTGATGGGATGCGGGAGAGGCAGGTGCGGAGACATGTTGCGAGGGCTAGACGGAGTGAGACCCACAGTCATGTCCCTGCCCGAGCTGTTGTTGCTGTTGCTGCTGCAAATGCTCGCCCGCGAGACTCTGCCACCTAGTGGACGTTGTTCAAAGAGACACTACTTGTCAACTGCATTGGAAAGACATAAAGAAAGCATGCACCTCCTATTCGCCAGTGCGTCAGAAATGGGACACTTGCATCCGCGCCGTACTGCACTCCCCACTGAAGGCTCTGCACCGGGGTCATGATGGACGCGAATAACGGGCAGGGCGAGGCCACCGGACTAGGGGGATACTCGAAGTACGTGTCGCCGAAAAGTAACTCGCGATCGTCGCCGAGCGCGTTGTATGTGTCCCAATGGACGCTTGACGCTGGCGACAGGAGGTGACCCGAAAGGGAATGATCGCGCATAGACATGCGGTCGCGGGTGTACTGGTCGTCAGGCTCCGGGGACTGGGGGACAAGGGGGTGCTCCAGGTAGACCTGGAACTCCACTACAACTGGCTCCTCGGTGAGGGGCCCGACCTCAATGGGGGGCACTGCCACAACGGCCATGCTGTGACCGTCATGCATTGCGAAGGGATCAAGGCGAAAGGCCCCCATCATCGTGCGCATGGTGGGGGAAGCCCATTTCGCTCTCACTGGTACGTCTACCAGCGGAGAGCAGGAGGTCTCTTGAGGCGGGGATAGTGGTGCGAGCTCGAAAATGAACCTAAAGTCCGGGTTGTTGGGCTCTGACTTGATATCCTGTGCCGTGGAGGGGTCGCGGGGGATGCGGTGGTCGATGGGGCAGCCGATGGCAGGGGTGGGTTGGCATGCGGTGGCTGGCTCAGGGTCGAGGATGTAGAGCTTGTGGCTCCGAGGCCATTGCTGACGGGAAGGGGACGAGGAGTCAAAATTCTCGGACGTGCCCACAAACGAAGAAGGGGGAGAATGAACGCGCTGGGACGACTCGGAGTAGTTGGTCATCGCGCCGGGAAGACTGGGAGAGGTCAAGGGGAAGTGAAGGATAATTCCGCCCTCGGTCTCTGCAATCGTATTCAAAGAAGCATAGAGGATATGTGTGATACACCACCCTGGCGGGACCCACGCTGGAGGCGATGGTAAACTGTTGGGAAAACAAAGAGTTATTGTCGTCGTCCCCCGAATCGGGCGCTCACGAACTAGAGCTCAACTTTGCTGGTGAGCAGTATGGACATGTACGCCGCGTACCAGCCGTTGTAGTGACTGGAAAATATGCGGAGATGACGGTGGGGCGGCGGCGTTGACGAGGACACGACCGGTGCTCCAGGTGGGGAGGCGATGGGAGATGGGGCTGCCAGTAGGACGACGTTTGAATTCCTACAATAACACCATCTCTTGCCGGCGTTGACAGTGCATGAGGCACGCAAGGTCCACGAGCTTTATCAGCATGCAGTCATCCGTCCATTCAGGGCGGCGATGCCCATTATTTGCCAACACAAGCGCCCTGTACTAAGGATAACGCTCCGCGGCTTCTGTCACCCTTCCATGTCGCATCAATCTGCCTCCGTGTTTCGAATGACACCAATTCCCCCAGCATTAGTCTATTCAGAAACCCCCACAAGAGCTAAAACCCTCAGACTCTGGGACTGTTGCAGAGAAAAATGCAGAGGCTGGAGAGCGGCCTCAAGGAAACGTTAATGGGCCTCAAAGACTGCAGCCTTGATAATGGTCCACTCGATGTTCATGATGAGTCACTCACAGTATTGTACCGGGCGGTGGTCATCGCTGGAGATGAGGTGCATCCTGGTGCCAGCTGAACCTCGGTGTTGACCTTGTTCAGGAGATCTACAAGGTCACAAAGCTTGTCCATATCACAGCGTCAACGACGTTAGACACCATGCCGACGCCCGCAATTCACCCTGTGCTCAAGCACTGGCACGGACTCAGGGGCCCGTCGCCCAACACTGACATCACCGCTTGAGCCGTCGTAAATGCGGGGAACTTCTGCATACACCCGCTTCTTGCCACAAACTGCTGGAGAGAAAAATGGGAAGGAGGTGACAGGCGTCCTCATTGTTTTTCTGAGACGTAAACAAACCACCATAGGCAGTTTCTAAAAATACAATTCCAGAAAACAGACGGTTGGTACGCACCTGCAATGCAACTTCCGGAAATCACACTGCCGGTGAGATGTCGTAATTGTATCCTGGGAGAACCACGATGAAATTGCAAAAAAGCATGGCTCTCAGTTCGCATGCACTTGAAACGCTGCGCGGCGCATGGACGGCTAGCTCGTTCTAGGATATAGAAGTTGTTCTATGGAGGCTGGATCCTAGTGTGGAAGCGCAGCATACGTCTCGTGTCAAATGGCTGGCATAACTTTCAGGCAATGGGGGCGGGGATTTTTTCAAATTTCGCCAGCTGAACAAACCCTCATGGCGTTGATTTTCCCACTATACACGGAGGGGGCTTGGCGTTCACCGCCCAGAAGCTCGCATGATTTTATGAACCTCTGTTGCGCCGACGTCAATATAACTTAATTTTCCCCCGGGCGACCTCTCAGGCCAGTTACGGAAATAATTAGCCAAACGGCGCCGCTGCGTACTCCTTCAAAGTCTCTGCCTCACCAACTCCGGCCGCGGGAGTAATAGCAGGGGATGTAAATCTCTGGCTATTGTATAGCTGCACGCCATGAAGTAAGCAAAGACCCTGTACGCGTTCCAGAACGCTAGTATGAAGCTTACAACACTTTGAATGCTTCAATTGTATATCATGGCCGGAGGCTCCGGTAGGGTGGCCCAGCTCAATGGGTTAGCTCATGCCCTCTTTGTGTATCACCAAGTTTCGCTTGTGGAGCTCTGAGCGCAAAACAGCGCCACGGCAGCGTAATTAATCACCGTGTTTCCTCCGACAACTCGTCGTCCACCTGCACCACCGACACCCACGCTTTCGGTGCACTAGATCCACATGTTTAATCTAGTCAACCTTTTTGATCGATTTGATTTGCAATATGCTCGGACGTTCTTGCCTCTTACATGCAGAATTGATCATTGCAGGATCAATCCCGCAATGATCAATCCTCTTTCAGTCCCCCTTCCCGAGTGCGCCCGATATGCTCCGCGGTAGCAAACAAGGTCTGTGCGGCGGCGAGGAGGCGGTGTTTCCCTTGTTCCCCAAATAGCCAGTAGTTCACTCGTGCTAGCTGTCATATCACGGCCCCCACGACATCGGATGCACCTAACGGCACGGCCCTGCACGCCCTTACGTACACTGGCATTCTATGAGTCAATGCAATGTAGAGATAATGTCCCTATGGATCGCACGCAGAACTGTCTCGCTCTGCTTCACGGCCCATGCAGAGTTGCTTGCACAGCATCTTTGTCCACCGTGCCTGTTTTTATCCGATGAGTTACTCCTCTCACACTGTCGAGAGTATGTACAAGCATCTGACCTTTCTCTTTTCAGCTAGCATCGAGCTTTGGAGGAAGCACCGTGACTCTTGGAGACAGAAGCCGTCAAAAGGACACGCTGAGGTCGATGAGCCGCCACTCAGAATTCCATGTTCAAGTGCACCACTTATCATATCAGAAATCGCCATTATCAACAATGATGGTGAATGAAATGGACTCTAAACAACGGGTCGAACGAATGATGAGTGAATCTGGAGCGGGATCATGCTAGTGAAATAGACGCATGTCTGAAGGTAACCGTATGTGTTAGAATTATGGACTTGGATGAAAGTAATAATACATCTGTTGGTATGAAAGGTGACAAATATGCTTGATCTACTTCCACCAGAAGATGTAACTGAACCGGTAGATGGTCACAGGAGCTCAGATATGGTCCTTGAAAAATGTTGACATTCATTAGACACAACAATGGAGAGACTGTGCAGGGTTACCTTTTGTCAGGAAGCCTTACTTTTTCAGTAGCTCTCCGCTGATAGCAGTTAGTGACTCAGTGCATTCCTCTGTCAACAACCAGTGCGTGTCCAGAAAACAGAGGATGAGCGCAAAGATTCCCACATACAAGTATCCCAGAAACCCCCCATGTAGGCGCGGCTTGTAGTCTCAAGAGAGGGGAGCCCAGGACCTCAAGGATTACAACCCGTAAGTTGAACAAAGGATGATGATATGATTTCGGACCGTGGCGAAGATTCTTCGCAGACGCAGGATCTGATCTGTGTGATCGATCGAAGTCCGAACTTCTCGGCATTCTATTGGCGCCCAACGGGCGCCTGAGTCACGCCCTGCCGAGCGGCTTCGACGGCGTGCGTTAGCTTTGTAATCCGTACTTAAGTGCCATTAGAGACTTTTGTTCAACCAAGAGCACCGGAAGCCTTCAAGCCAATCCTATCTACAGTTCGTCTTGTCCCATGACCGCGCATCATGACAGGAATTTGGAAAAAGCCACCTTTTGTGACAGGATGAATCCAAATCACAAATTGGAGGGTGAAATAATCTGTTTCGTCGGAACAGCAAGATTTACGGAACCACAGCAACGCGACACAAGGACTCAGACGATAAATGGATGATGGGAAAGGTGGGATCCAACGATGTTGACACGGCGGAGGTCGAAATTTGCTTCTCTTTCGTCGCACTCACCTCACTGTGTATAAGGCTTTTGCGGCCTTTGGTGGTCCTTAAGTCGCGGGAAATGCACTGAACCGAGTTTATTCGGAAGGCAGGTTTTCAGCGAGTAAAGTAAAGACGAAAAACCCATCTACGCGGTTGAGCGCGTATTCAACGCCTCGGCTAACTCCGACGCCTCGACTACTCTATTCCTCTAATATCCTTACACCCTCCTCCTCCAAAGCGAGTCCGGGGGGGAGCGAAATACAGCAGGCTGTTGAACCTGCGATTTGAGTAGGGGTTTGAAGAGAACCGCCCGACGAGCGAGACGGATTGCATAATTCCCGGTTTAGGGCCGAGATTCCTGATTAACGTCAAGCACTCGCACACACTCGACGCGGATAAAGGAGCAGTGACTGCGCGGGGCGGAGGCCAGAGGCAATGGCGGCCTTAAGGTACAGCGGGGACCCACACGGATCCATCGCCGCGCGATAGGCATATTTAAGCCGGGTTGCCATTGACCGCTGCAGGATTCACATCCGTCATCACCGCGTCCTGTCTGGGAACGGGTTCAGTCGGCGTGTTGCCCACAGGATCGCCGGCTATGGTGGCATGGCCGTCCTGGGTGCTGTCAGCGGCAGTGGGGGCAATATTGGATGGTCCCGGAGCAGGTTGCTCCGGCGCCGCCTCTGCATTCGGTCCGGGAAGAGTTCCGCGGGCCCAAACCGACAGTGCGTCTTGTGCCATCTGCATAGTGACGCCGCATTTCGCACAGTGAATTGCGACGTCGCGGAGACGATAATTGTTCGACTCCGGAATAAGGTGTACATAAAGTGTGCTGGCTACAGTCACACTGGCAATGTTATCCTTGAGAAGTTGGCCCATGAATTGGTGCCAATCCTCATCGAGGTCAGAATACTTGTCAGGCAATGGAAAATTCTCCAGGGCAATCCTCTGAGGTAATGCCTGCCTGACTTTCTTCTTGTGGATGATTCTCACACCATCACGCATAAATGGGTCGTCAACAGCGGGTAACGTATATCCCGGCTGTGGCTGTTGTTGCTGACGAGGTACACTACCACGGGGCATGCTATGTCTACCCTGTAAGTAGCTGGGACTCCGCGTTGCATGCCTGTCAAGATTACGGACAGACGACCTCTCGGAGCTCTCGTCGTCATCTCCGTTGTCTCCATCCGAGCCGCTACCGTGCGGACTCGAGTCGCCATCGCCATCGGGAGGACCGCCATCACCGCCTCCACCAGGGAATCCACCAGAACGGAATCCCCGACCAGAGGAGTGTGGTCCGCGACCACGCGCGGGCAAACCTCCACGACGCGGCGGGTTGTTGTTACCACCACCACCAGGTGGTTCCGGCGGCGGTGCATCACCAAATGCGGTGCGCAGCGTGGTGAAGGGCATCGCACTACCCCAACGCGCACGCATGTCTACGCGGGACTCGGCCTGCTGCCAGGTCTCGTTGATGCGGGCCTCGCGCTCTCGACGCCGTTGTTCTGCCCCGCGTGCATCCAAAAAGCGGGTTTGGCCATCCAGACGAGCATTGTAAGTGGCATCCGTCTCGTTTCGGTCGCGGGGCCGGAACAGCATGTCGAGCGACCTCTCGACATAGTCGTCCGAGTTGATCGGCGGAGACTGCGGCCGATCGCTTTCAACGCCAACGGGTGGCCTCGATAGATGTGCTGCTTCGTCTGCAGCATAAGGAGGGTACTCACGCGGCGTGTATAACCCGTCAAGTTCGGGATTCTCCCGCTTCTTAATGCGGAGAATTGAGGTACGAATCTTGCCAATCGCTTCCTCAAAATCCCTTCGAGCATTTGCGGCTCTAGCACGGGCCGCATTGGCCTCACGAATGGCCCGGTTAGCATAGCTGATAGCCTGCTGAGACGCCACATCGGACTCATCAAGCCTCGCCGAGATCGCAGCGAGGAGGTCCTCTGTGTGGTTCCACAACTGGCTGAGCTGCGGCTCATCCATGTTAGTATCAGATACACGGTGCTGATCACCGACCGTGTTGTCGTCTGCAGCGCCCGTGCGAGCATCACGGTCGCCCGGCGTATCGACGACGCCATCGCGCTCTGATCTGCCCGATCGCGAGGGATCAGCCTCACGAGACGGGTCACCGGCGTCATCATGAACGTCGGCAGGTGGTACCGGTTCATTCTTGTCAGTGGATTGGCCGCGATCATCGACGTTGTCGTCGTCATCGGCGGCGTCCTGAACGGTACTACGCCTTGTCTTCATTCCACCAGCTCCAGTGGTGACGGTCACAGTGGAGCTTGTAGGGTTCCTCTTGGCCGGCATGTCGACAGAGAATATGGTAGAAGCAAGGTTTTTTCGAAAGAGTGTAGAAAAGGGGTTTGTTGCCTAGCTAGAATAGACTTCACTAATACCGAGGTGGTATCAGCGGCGAGTGCAAAAATGTATAAGGCTTTTGCGGCCTTTGGTGGTCCTTAAGTCGCGGGAAATGCACTGAACCGAGTTTATAATTTGGAAGGCAGGTTTTCAGCGAGTAAAGTAAAGACGAAAAACCCATCTACGCGGTTGAGCGCGTATTCAACGCCTCGGCTAACTCCGACGCCTCGACTACTCTATTCCTCTAATATCCTTACACTGTGTTTGCGTAGCTCATATCTCGTACCATGTCTTGGATTTTGCCCCAAGAGGGCGACGGCGGCGGGCGGGCACAGCGCCCGACGGAGCTGCCACCTTCGCGCAATGGCCAGACTGCGCCAACCAGCCCGGGAGCAGAGGTACCTGCGTCTCCATGGGGAGAGTTCCCAAAAGACGATAAGTATCCCAAGGTCCCAGATGCTGTGGAACGCGACAGACTCGTATCAATGAAGCAGGCGAACCGACCATTCCTCGGGTGCGCACGATCGTTGCTCGTGTATTCGCAGTATCCTGAACTAGCACCTGTCTCTGAAGACATTCACAATGCCGCAAGCAGCAGGAAAAAGAGCATGAAGATTGGGTCAAGCACAAGAAGGAGCGCGAGGTGAAGATTGCGCGAGGTTAACCTGTAGGGCCGGAGGAGCCTGAACCCACGGAGGAACCTGAGGTCGGCTGCCTCGGCCTCATGAAGTTTCTCTTCTATACCGCTATATTCGTCCTTCTGACTGGCAAGTTCATCACCGGAAGTTACTTGTGGGAGCTGGAGCCCCCGAACTGGCAGAAACTTATTCCGGTGAGCATTTCCGGTCCAACTATGTACTCATAATGCGTGTCTGATGTCTAATATTACGATATCGTGTCGGTAAGACGAACCAACGGTTATTTTCAGAGGGCACACTGGCAACGTTCGATGGTTCAAACACTGGGAAGCCCGTTTATCTTGCCGAAAGTCGCCTTGGAGCTCTGTACCACTAGGCTGCCAGGTTCAGGCCATACTCCCTGCCTAGATCGATGGCGACGTGTACGATGTGACCGTTAGCCGCGCGACATACGGGCCTGGTGGCCCCTACCCTATGATGTAGGAGAACCGTTATCATGTAGAGCTGCGCTGACCGAGTCTTGCAGGGCCGGACAAGACGCCGCTCGTGGGTTCGGAACGGGATGTCTCGCCACGCAGCTAATGCACGACCTTCGCAGATTAAGCGAGCAAGAAATGAAGGTGATTCCAACCTTCCCGATCCTTGTGGCGCAAGCTTGTTGATCCCTCTCTTATTTGCCTCGCCGCTCCGCCCCGCACCGCAGGGCGTGCAGAATTGGAAGGAGTTCTATGCTAAACACAAGAAGTACGTCACGGTCCGATGCGTTTCTCATCCGCCCGTTGATATTGCGAGCCCCATACCGGAACGCTGTGATCCGAGCAAGGCGAGACCGCAAGCACCGTGGCTGAAGAAGCGACTGAAGGAGGGCGACCCGCACCGTGGTGAACTGTAAGGAGAGTATATATCTCACTGACGATCTACGTGGAGGAGTCCTGTAACTACTTATTATAAGGCTCTATGTAGTTACAATGTGTGATGCAAGGTCCGGCTGGTGCGAGCGTGCGCGATAAGAACGAATGTACATGTCCAAGAAATAGTCCCCAAGGTTCGCGTGATAGCCTCGGCAATGATAACAAGAAGCTGTGCTCAGCTGGTCAAGGGCATAAGGGACGGTTAGCGCATGTCTGACAAGCGACACGTATGTTTATTTACCTTCACGGAGCCGGGCAGGTTTTGAGATAGTTCTTGAGGATCGGGAAATCGGCCATCGACGCTTCTGCCATCTGAGAATAGTCTGCGTCGCGGTATTTGGCGACAACGATGTTTCCACGCCACGCTTTAGCCTCGTTGAAGCAGGAGCCCTGAATCTCGCGGATGCACTTGTTGACTGGGAAGGGCATCCCATCGCGGGAGACAATGGGGTAGAACAGTATGTACGGAGTGGTGAACTTCTTGTTCATGCCATCAAGGGCCTCAACAAGCTAAAGAGGTGTGGGAGGCGGGAGAACACGAGTGAGCGTCATGGCCGGTGTTTAATCTGGGGGAGAGATCGCATTAGACGCACATGGTACTGCCAGGACCGGAGCCCCAAGCCTTCGGCAATATAGTCGATATGAATCTCGGGGTATGGCATGCGACCACAGCGGTAAGGCTGGGACGGATTGGGAAGAACCACATTGAGCACTGTGGTCATCAGGGAGACCAAGTGGGGGGGACGGTCGTCGGCAGGAAAACAAATCGCGTCGTAGGGAATCATTTGGTCCATGGCGAAAAGACGAGAAAATTGCAGTGAAGTAGAAAATTGGACGAAGAGCGAAGAACGGGAACTTGGTGCTCACCGAGGAGGACCGGGGGAAATATATACCACTGGGGGTGTTGCAGCCATATCGAGGGATATAGCCCACCGAGTGACAGGCTGGGAAGGAAACAATGGGCTGGAGGCTCATGCCGGATGCACGCACGAACCTCGCGACCTGGCAGATCTTGGCAGCGTCGCGTAACGGTTGCCAGAAAAGGCAGGTGTGGGCAGCGTCGCGTAACGGTTGCCAGAAAAGGCAGGTGTATTGGCCTCAAGAGGTAAGCATGACTTGACCGTCACGACGCGTGCGTGACAGCTCGCAGGGTTAATATCTAATGTTAACTGAATGTTAACCGAAGGTTAACCTTTTGCCCGTCTGCCACTCGCGTCGCCGGCTCGCTGCTGTGTTTTTGATCAAAGGGAGCCCCCAATCTAGATTCCAAACTAATACTACTGCGCTACCCTGCAAACCACGCCATCGATGGAGTGCGGCGTGCTCGTCGCGTCCCATCTTTCCTCCCTCTTCCCGTCGTCCTTGCCCATCTCCGTCCCCACATCACATAAGGATACTCTTAGCCTTTCCATGGACTCCTCTGCTCCCCCAGAACATGCCAGTTACTCTTTCATACCTCCCGAACGGGCACCATTCTGCTTCGCCTCACACACCGTGCTACCCTTCTCGAACTTATCGCTCTCACCCGCGATGCTCCCCAGCTACGCTTTGATTTTCCTGGTGCCATCTTACCCTCTCCGGCAGTTTTCTTGTGGGAAGAGCGAGAACTACGCGTTATTGCCGTCTCAGTCGTGGGCTCTCTCTATCGCTTTGTCCTCCCTCTTCAACGTGGCGCACAGCTCTGGCACCCCAGCAAGTACTGGTTTCGCCAGTACGACATCCAGAACATGCGGTTACACATGGAGGGGTTGGTCCAAGTGCATGGGCCACATTGTGTTGTTTTGAGTTTGCCCGGTGGTTCCTTGCTACGTTTGGAAGCAGAACTTCTCGGGAATGATGACGAGGACGGTACGGCTCTTGACTCGCCCCTGGACTTGCTGCGGCCATTATTAACCCACTTATAGACGTTTGGCAAGAGACAAAATTCCATCCTCATTCACTCCTTACTGCGATCACCTCGTTGCTGCCCTTGCAGGGCGGTCCTCCAGGGAGCCCCGACATTATCTCGATCGCGTCCTTCCCCCAGCCAACCGACATTGAGCACGTTTAGACTCTGTCAAGAGACCGGACCCTCCGGCTATGGACAGCAACGAAGCGGATGTGTCGCTGAGAAGTCGCTCGCTGCGATCATTCCAGGAAAGGCCATGGGACCTGCTTCGACATCCGCCTCAAGCTCCGGAAAACTCTCAAATCTTCTGCCTGCAGATGCGCAGAAGCTTCTCAGTGTATTTCCAGAGTTCGAAATGGAGGACCCTGTGCCTTATGTTCTCGTGTTCATCTCAGCTGAATCATCTTCGACTTCGGGAGGTTATTTCCATCTCTTCAGCTCGCATTCCAGCGATCTACATTCTCTGAACTACTTGAGTGCTCTGTCACAAGTGCACATTGTCATTTACAGGACTTCGTGGTGATTGGCTCCACCCTGTACACTGTTTGGGATAAGCAGGGCCAGTCCATGGTAGAATACGCCAAGATTTCATTTCATGATGGTAACAGGATCGAGGTGGTGTGGAACACCGCGACTTACGCCCATGAGGCGGAACTCATACCGGCGTACCTCGAAGAATTGCTTCTGCCAGCAGGCTCCATGGCTGACAAGTTTTTCGAAGCAATCTCGAGACCTGGCATATTCTCGCCTGTGACGCTTCGGACTGTCATCGATCAGTACACTGACGCATGCCGCCCGCTATACACGCCACAGCTGTTGACCACGTACGGCAGCGTGGGCGAGCAGATCGCTGCCATAGTGGGCTGCACGGTTGAGCTCACCCGCGACCACAGTACCGGTGCTCCGCAGTACGACAGGTACTGGAACGTGCTGAAACGCGACTGAGAGGGCTTCGTAGCGCGGTGTCGCGAGATCGAGCACCATGCGCGCTGGCCGCTGGCGATCGGCATGGGAGAACCCAGGGAGGGCATTCTGGTCGTCGAACGCGAACTCATCGCGGCGCTCGTAGACGAGGACTTTCCTCTTGGGTCCCGCCGGCTTCTCGCGGCGTCTTCTCCCCTGGACCCCCAATTCACCCTCCTGGAGATCCTGTGGACGCTGCGTGCTAAGATTGGCACCGGGCCCAAGCTTGTTTTCGAGGATCGATTGGTCGACCTTGTGCGTCAAGAGATCGCCTTCCCATACGCCGATATTATACAGGACCAAGCCGAGCAACATCCGCGAGGAGCTCGACGAAGGCATGGAGAGTTGGATTGCCGGGCGCTTGCAGAGCATCGAGAACATGTCGGACTCTATTCAATCGGTGCTCGATGTCATTGGTGGCTTGGAAAAGAACGTGAAGAAAGAAGATGAGGATGGAGATGCAGCGTTGCGGCTTCCACCCGCCTATCCGGAGTGGTGGAGGGCGCTTGTGTCTTCGTACGTTGCAATTTCCGTCCAAACACGATATGACTCGTGTCTGTCGCCCGTTACGTTGCTCTTCTTCGTATGGGAAGATTTGCCCTAATGGGATCCTGCGTTGCTAGCAGAAATCTTTCTGGTATTCCGTGGGATCGCCATGCTCCGGTACGCGACGCGCCAGCCAGCTGTGGACAGCGTCAGTACGCCGGCTGCTGAGCCCTTGGCGGACGAGGAAGTCGCGAGGATGAGGGACTTGCATGTCTCGTCAACGGCCTCTGGATTCACGCCGAGCTACTCGCTCATCCACCGTCTCCTCATGCAGTACGACAGCGATGCAGCAGGCGTGCCTGCCTCCGCACACCTATTCTTAGATTCTTCCGGGCTGCTGGAATCCTTATCTCCTACAAATGCGACGAAGCTCGAGGTGCTCTTTTGTGAGCGGCTGCGTCTTCTGGGATACCGCGAGGCTTCCAGAGAGAGCTTAGCGTGGCTGCCCAGGATAGCTGGGGTGACGACCGTGCTTGGGCGACTGGTTGGATGAGGGTAGGTACAATGATACAGCTTCGGTAATGGAGGGTGTCGCAGTCAGCTTCGGTAAGTGTGTTGGAGGGTGTAATCCCTGTACTGCGTCACTAATAACGGTATCGCCCGCCAGGACGTGACAGGCGTTAACCACGGAGGACCACGAGGCTCTGGCCGGGGTACTGCCAGGCGCGGCGTTCTTCCAATCTGTGTTCGATTTCGATTTGCATGTCGCCGGCCTCTTCAAGGCCGTTTCTGTGACATCAAGTGAAGTGGTGTTTTCCCAGCTCGCTCTGTCCGTGGCACCGCCAGGCGTGTGGTACGCGGTCATAAGAGGCCTCACGGACTTGGGGTTTTATGAAGATGCGTATGCCACACTAGTCTCCACCCCCTATGAGAAATTGTGTGTGGACGTCTTCTTTCTGTCCCCGTCCCGTGTGTCACATGATAACCCACCGTCTTGTGTTTACCAGAAAACGGGAATGTGTGAGCCAACTGATGTACCGGATGTGCGAGGATCACGCCGTCGACCGGCTCATGGCCCTTAATTTCACGGGCTTCGTGGATGAGGTGGAGGAATCGCTCTCGTTTAAGGCCCGGAACGCGGACTCGCGAGTGCGACCGTCCTACTCAGGGATACTCTACACGTAGTATATCTCTCGTGGCGATTATCGCAGTGGTCAGTCGTCATCCTTTTCCCAAGGGAACGTCATTCTCAACCATGTTTCTCGGACCTCAGCCGCCCTCACAATGTACCAGCGGGCGCGGAAGCTCGCCAGCCTGTTCGGAGACCCGGCGAACTTCATTGAAATTGCCGAGCTGCAGTTTGAAACTTATGTTGTTGGAATGAATGCTCTCGCACTCACTGATCAGGAGAACGCGTGGATCGTCCTGCCCGTCACGGCCGAATCCGAACACGAGGTAAACGGGGCTTCCTCGTTCCGGATCGCTTCCCCATGATGCTAATTGAAAATGATCTTCTCATCGCCGAATGCCTTGTTCACGTCCATAATGAAATCCTTCCAACTTCCATAAGAAAGGAAGTTGTCATCGTGCAGCCTTGTAAGCGTCGTAAGCTGTCGCGATATATCCCGGAGGACAAGTACGGGCCCGGGAAGCGGGACATGGAGGTGGTGGAACTGGCGGACATGCAGTACGAGTATACACTTTTGGCTATCCGTCTGGAGTTAATCCGCCGGGACCCCACACTTCTGTCGGCTGGGGGTAAGTTGTGTCCGGTTCCCAAGCTTGACGTCCTCGTGAGCTGATAACGAGCCCGCAGAAGCGCTGGTATCGCCTCCGTCCGTCGTATTGCGTCTGACACAAGCGAATCGCTTCAACATGGCCATGGCTACCGCACGCACACTTAACGTCGACATAACTGATCTCTTCGGACATTTGACCGGCCTCTGTTTGCGCCCCTCCCGCAACCCGGAGGCTGTCATGTAAGGCTGCTGTCTGCCTGCTCCAAGCATGCGCTGACTCACCATTGATAGAGGTGAAGACACGTCTGACTGGCTGCTAACTGACAAAGTGACTTCGTGGCCCGGTACGGCAGCAGACCGAGGCTGGCGATACCTTCGAAAGTCGCTGGAGCGGCACGATGGTCCGGATACGGATTACAGATACACCAAGGTGACATTGGACCATCTTAGAACTCGATCGCACATCACCACCCCCACAATGGTTGACTCAGTCGCGAGAGGCAAGTTTTCTACGCGCAGCCATTGTGGGCGCATCGCTAATTCCCCCGCCGCAGGTGCACCGCCCTGAGTATCTGATTCGCACATGCCTTCACTACGATATGTTCGAAGGGGCACTGGAGCGCACGTTGTCGCTAATGCGGAGAGTGAGTGTCTAGACCCTCTCCATCGTCGTGGTCACCCTTCTGATTAAGCTGCCTCCTCGCAGAGTGACGCTCACCTCGCACAGGAGAAGCCCGCGGCCGCGTCTGTGACCTGCCTACCATATACCTTGATTGACCAGGTTCTCGCCGCAGTGGATACCCAGGAGGGGTTTCTCATCCGTGCTCAGTCTCTTCGCAAAGAATTGCGGACAGAGATTTCCAACCGCATAAAACGCGTGCAAAAATTCGGCCAGTAAACTTTTACTTCCAAATATCGGCAAATCATGGAGGTACGTATCGGAAGTATGTGATCCAGGTGGGATCCACAGGATCCCAAGACTGGCAGGTTCTAACGTTCTTACGTTCGTACGTTCGCAGGTCCGAACGTCAGCAGGCCCTTCATTTGTTCGCGCGTCCGAGCATTGGCACGTCCTTACAGCTTCAAAGCTTCACAGATCACTACATTTGCACGTTCGTACGTTCGCAGGTGACCCCGTACGTTCGCAGGTGCGTACATTTGTAAGTGCGTACGTTTGTAGGTCCGAACGTCCGCAGGTTTCTTGGTTCGCATGTCCGAATATTAGCACGTCCGTACGCTCGCAGGTCCGTACATTTTGTAGGTGCATATTAGCACGTCCGAACGTTCGCAGGTCCGAACGTTTGTAGGTGCAAGGCGGAGTAGGTCGAGCAAAAGAATGGTAAGTCAAAGAGTGGGAGGTAAACGAAACCCAGGACGCAAGGTTTTATAGGCCGACTTGTTCGTCAAACGCGTCGATGTCACACTGGTGACGAGGCGCGTCGAAAGTCACGCGCGGAAGCAAATGAACACTTGCGGAAGCATATCGAGCCACCGAAGCGGTACGTTAGCAATTGTTCACGGGAGAATCTATTCAGGGAAGGCCCTCGGACAAAAAGACTCAACTGATTTAATCAAGATATGGGTGAATGGGTTCGTTCCCTGGGAGAAGGCTGGGTGCGCTTTCCTGTCAGCAGAAGGTGCTGGGTGTAGAAAAGGAGACGGAGCCTGAGGGTAGTCTGCTTTCATTTGAGGGGTGCTCGCCATTTCGGAGTTACATAAGCATGTTGATCTCCGAAACGCGTGGAGTGGATCTTGTAGAACGCGACGCGTCGCCTACAGCCTGAGGGCGTCGTCCTCGTCGCGTAGTTTCATTCTAAGTGTTCACTCAGCTACCATCCTCGTAATGTAGTAATAGATACTACATTTATTGGGCCACGTTCTTTTTAATTCAGATCACCTGAAGGTCAGCTCTTGTGCCCTCAAATCCTGGCCAAATCTGTACACTGTGACCCCCACGATTATCAGCTCGAAGGTGTCTGCAAGGAACTAGATGGAGCTGATGTCCTCGCAATCACACCAACGGGCCCCGGAAAAATTGTGTTTCTCATGATGTCATCGAGGGCAGTCGTGTCAAGTCTGCGATCGGGACGTCGTGACGGATTGGTGTAGAGGACTCATTACCGACAGAGTACATAGTATTTTACCAAGGCATACAAGGCCTCAAGAACGTGTTGACGCGGCAGGAACCCGCGGCCGGCAACACGGCCGGAATCCCGGCATTGCTTCGGCATCGTCGTTCACGAGTGAAATGGCGAGCGACGGCTAAAGGGGCGCGTTTGAAAGCAGACCTATATCAGTCCGTCCCTACCGGCGCCCCTCGTCACATCACATCCGAGGGCCTCCCCCGCCAGCCCTGCGACCAGAGCTAGCGTCGCAAGCAATATTAAAGGGATTGGAATCGCTGTAACATAAGTTATGACCAGCCTTAGGCCTCTGAGAGCGCGCCTTCCCACGGGCGGCGGGCAGAGCCGCACGGTGCAACATTGGCAACAGCGACGCACGATCCGAATGTCGCACCGCTGCTTTCGCATATCAGGGTTTATTGCTAAATACTTGTTCAAATGAGAGAACGACCGACGGACTGTACTTATACTCCAGGCAGAATGTGGCAGACTTCGACGGCAATCACTGTCAGATAGAGTGTATCAGCACCCCGCGTTCATGACTCGGTCCAGACGCATCTAAACTCTCATGTCACAGAAGCTTGCATGAAGTCCGTCAGGATCTTGTTTTTTCGCAGACCGCCCAAAGGCCGCCTGTGCACGACTTTTTAACCAGGGGCCTAACGATGTGATCCTTGCTGTCAGCACAGGAGCGAAGTGGTGTCTTCACCATCTCCAGAATGTTTCTTGTGGTTATCGCTCCTCGCACTATTTATTCCACTAAGTGAGTTGGATTCCTACTTAGTCTTACATAGACTAACGCGTTTCCAGTGATAAAATTCCTTTGATACGTATTAAATGTGCAGATGAATCCACAGCCACCCAAGTTTCTGCACTGCAAGCTTCCGTTTTCTCCGAATCTTTTATTGCTGGCGCAGAAACCGACTTCCGGGAATTTATCCGGAGCGTTGTCGCCAATAAGACCTTGAAACAATTTCCCGTTCCACCAGATATCTACTCCATCTGGCAGAACGTGACGCACTCCGGGATGATATCATTCAACTACTTGTGAGGTGATATATATATTGTCCCGAGTACCAGCGCTGATGTTTCCTGGATACAGGGTCGATCTCAAGCCCCTTTTTGCATCGAAGGGTCGGAAAGGATGCAAGTTTCGAAAAATGGACAACCTAGGACAGGCAATAGCATTCATTTTAGTGAAAGGGAATATGCAGACATTAGAAGATATGGGGTTTGCTTGGGCACGTCCTTGTGATGGTCAACTGAGTGATTATGATGCATCTCTAAACGAGCTCGAAATCGTATGCTAATTTTTTGTGGTTTCTTCTAAGCCAGTGGTGATGCATCTCGGAGTTTGCCTGTGCTAACTGTTGATGGGCTACAAGGTCATCAGGATAATTCTAGTGTGCCTTTCATCGTAATTTCACCCAACTTGCCTTTTGATATCACTTTTACTAGCCAACAAGGTCCCTCAGTCTCCTTCTGCCGTGGGGACCAGCAATATTGCATTGCTTGGCAGTCGCCCTCATATTCGTGACAATCGTAAGCAATTTTGAACTCGTTCTGACGACAACAGAATTTGCTTACAAGGTGTGGTCTTCGCGTGATCGGTAAAGCTCCCGATCACACATCAGGATTGACGGATGTTGGAGTGGCATTCGGGGAACGTTCTCAGGGGAATGGTAAGTGATTATATTGTGATTGTTGACGGCTGAAGCTAATTACATAATGTTTCTGAGTCGACAAAACTCCCCAGCCTCCATCCACTGCGATTACTCGACTAGAATTGTCGGATGCACTGAATTTCGGCACCGGCGGTAAGTTGATTCGCCTCCATGAATTGTCCAGTGCGCGGCCACATGCTCAGTGTCTACCTATCCTATCTTAGATATTTATCGGTCTTGCGGACTGGATGAACAGACCCAGACGTCAATATTAGTGAACTCGCCCACCGGTGGGAAGAGTCCCCGGAAGAAGCCGCATTGCACAAAGTGCAAATTGCCTATGAAGAACCACAAACATTCATCTTGCACGAAACACTCAATCACCGCTCCTATGACTGACACGTCTTTATCCGCTAAGATGGAGGGACTGGCTATGCACACCTTGTCAACTGCTGCACCCCAATCTTCCACAATCAGGATGCTGCCCTCTCAGGAGAAGGCACACAATTTGGACTGCATCAACTTCGAAGGTATTTTAGACGTTGCACACATCCTTGTGGTACTTCAGGAGGATATCCCACAGGTTGAGCCCGCGACGATGGCACATGGATGGTGACGATACCGATGAAACAATACGAAGGGAGGATGACGGCGGCGGCGAGCGGACACAACGAGCGGACGAGATGCGAGACGAAAACAATGTCTATACGGTGGGAGATGCTCCTATCCTACGGTACATGGGGCTGTATATATGCAGAGTGCCATGGGTGAGAAATGACTGCCGCCAAAGCATTGAGTAACAGAGGTCTAGCCAAGCATCTGCAGACGAGGTGTCGCAGAGTGCGATGCGTATGAAGAAACAAAGTGTAAGATGAATTGAGGCACAAATCGAAAAGCGCAGCAACTAGACTATATAGAGGAACGACTCTTTCTTCATATATACTAGAGGCTGGTTAACGAGCCTAACACAAAGCACCCGATAGATACGAGGCAAAATCAGCCGACTTCGCTAAAGTGAAGTGCACGTCGGTCGATCAAATGGAGGAGCCCGGTGCAATGGTCGAGATCATATCTTCTGCCGCCTACCGTATGTTTTGACAGTCTCCGAGGCATCATAACGGTCTATTGTATGCCGGTGGACCTACATCGTGACATGGGACTATGTCGGCATAAGTAATTGTCATCCTAGTGCGTACAGCTTAGCACCATCATTCGGAATTCGCTTCTGGATGCACAGCGCATCTGAAGCTCTCGTGAGATATTTCTGCTGGGTGTAGTATGACGAAGCGGTCCAGACCTCTCCGATTCAGACGGCTGTGGTACCCGTGGTCGCTGTTTGTGCGTCTTCGCGCGCCGTGCAGGGGTTCGTGATGGTCGACCATTCTGTGATTGCCTTGAAATGCACTGTGAGCTCTCAGAACCGTTATTCTGTCGGCTTTTTGTTCGATTTTCATATTCTCTGCAGTTCCAGCCTCTCTACCATTGTTTCTCGGGATTCCGATCAGTCACAAGCCTTTTGTGGGCACCAGGCTTGTAAAAGTAACTCACCTGGATTTACCAGATTCCCCACGACAAGAGACCAGCATCTCGATCCCGGACATGTTACGGGAATTCGAACCCTACCACTTAGACTCAACACCAAGATAAGGGATAGGAATTCGCGGTATCTGAGAAATAACAATGCAGCCCCGTTATGGTTAGCGGCTTCCACAACGTGTGAACCCGTAGGAGACAAGAGGTTCGAGGTTTTTGGTGCGTTCTGACTATCTCTCACAGGATGATGCAACTGGGACTACAGAATAGTGAACTTCGTGCACGCTTTAGCAGCATTGCATACGCGTGCACTGCGGTATCTTTTCAATTCACTTCAGGGATGACTTCATAGGCAACATCCAGGAAAAAATAGCGCAAGCGTGCCGCTGTGGAGATAGGTGTAATGTGGGCCGTTTAGGCGATCTGCACCAGCGCGGCACTTGCTAACATGGAGCCTTTCTTGGGTAGTGGGTGAGTAGCCTTCCATCTCGCGTCGAGCGTGCTTTTGTGTACCTCCAGTATACTGCAGCTGACCGATCAGGCCGCCACTGCCGCAGGAGAGCTCCAGCGTGATCACGGCTGAAATCCCGGGAATGTCTGTACTCGAGGAATGCAAAACTCAACACGCCACTCTAGTTACTAGTGCGTTTCGACGCTCCGCCCGAGTAGAGTTAAGTGGAGCTACGCCGGTTGACTGTGGCGGACCACCCGATGGGTGGTGTAGCTGTCTGTCCCACGCAACTGTTGCAGGTGCAGCCCCCGGAGAAAGGCTCGAAAATTCAAGGATCCTTCGAGCCTGAGCTAGAAGTAATCAGCTATGTGCTAGACTGTCCAGCCACTGTCCAGTCAGAATGGATCGTAAACGATTAGTCGTGAAGTTGGCAGCGGCGAGGTGTAGCATCGAAGGGGATCTACACGAATACGGGAAGACGGTTAGTTCCGCAGATACGATCAAGGCACGACGCGGGTAGTTGCAATCAGTGCGCGCATGTTTTCTAGGGTCTCCGTTACTTGTTGTATCACCATGTGCAGTTTTGCGACTTACCGCTTTCCTTGATTCGCCGCGGTGCTGAACAGCCATTCTAACCGCCCATTATCCCGCATTCTGGGGTAACAATTGCTCAAACTGGTGCGCAAGTTTGTGGTCCCATGAGATTTAGGTTCGGACGAGTACAAGCGGCCTCGTCATCTATTTTCCGCCCATCGCACGAGCAGCTGTTCTCCATATAAGCGTGCCCTGGCTCCGATCCTCCAACATTTTCCAACCTCGATCACGTTCGTACCCCGTTACATGACGCCGTCACCTTCGTTGTCCACTGCTCGTGCTTCCTCCGAGCAGCGTTCCGAGCACTCTGACAGACCTGAACGCTCTCGGAATGCTAAAGGCAAGCAGTCGTTTCGAGCCTTACCCGCTCATCACTGACTATTACATAGCCCAAGCCAGGCACCGTGCGAAGCGGAAGGCATACATTGATCAGGTAAGAATTGCGAAGGTCTTCAAAGGCGCAATGCTGATCAAATTGAGGTTGCAGCTGGAACAAACAGTGACGAAGCTGCAGACAGTGCTAGCACTTTCGCCGGACCAGGTGGCTGCGCTGCCTCCGCCTCTGCTCCGAATCCGTGAATTGGAGCAGGAAAATGAACTCCTCCATCGCGAACTGGACGAGCTGCGCCAACAGGTCGAACTGCGCAATGCGCAATTGCGACCAGACGTCAACCGCCGCGAACACTTCGCGGCGAGTGATGACCGTCTCTCAGAGCGCGATCTCAGACGCAGGAGGACCGTCGAGTCCGGTGATATCTATCTAGTAGGTCCAGTCGCCTACATATCCTGTGCGCAACCGACTATCTATCTTCGCAGCATTCCAATGAGCCTCATTCACATAGTCCACCGCCTCCGCTGGTGATACCCTCCTCGACTCACTTTTCTCAACATTCGCCACAGGCCATACCATACCCTAAATCTCAGTCCTCTACGCTTTATCCTTCGTATGGACTGTCTTACCAGATGCCTGGCACTCCGTCGGGATCGAGTACTACTAGTGCTTCAAGCCCTTCGTTCTCGGCGAGTGTTTTTCTGTATCCTGTGACCCTGCTGCAGGCCTCTGCATGCTCAGAGCACGGACTCGGATCCTAGTGAAATTCTGTTCGACAGCCCTCTGATTACATGCCCTCGCCACATTCTCAACATCGGGCCGCGCCGTCGCCGATTTCTAACGTGCTGTCGCAGTACTCACACACACCTACCCAGTACGAACTAGTCAAACTTGAAGAAGACCCCTACTCGGTACGTTCTCGTGCCCTGCGCTAGCTCCGGTTGAGCTGATGGAGTACTTGGCGAGCAGCGTCATAATAAGCCTCACGCGAACGGCTACAGCGTTTCCTTGCCCCCTTTTGCCTCCAACCAGCCGGCTCTCAATCACTGGCACGCGTACTCGTCGGAACGAGCGTGACTGTATAGCATACCCTTGGGCGTGTGGCCTATCATGTAGTGCTTTCGTCTGCTATGCGTCCGTTGCTTTTCTCATAATGTAATGTGTTCCATGTACTATGATGACATCCATGTCCTTGCAATGCTCCTCAGCAGACTGGCTACGCGGAGAGGCGCTCATAAATCCACAGGCAGCCGAGCGACTTCGAGCCTTGTCCCCCTTATTACGGCGACCACCCCGCAGCTGGATATAATTTTCTCCATTTTGTTTCTACTAGGGAAAGGCCGCCTGCCGACGGCGGAGACCTTGCTTGCAAATTATGTAAGGGGGGACTTGAATTTCTGAAGTTCGGTGGTGACGGCCCGCCGCCGTCGGTTGGTCGATTGTAGAAAAACACCAAACACGCAGTTGCGTTGGTTTGTGGATTTGAGCCTGGAGATAGCGATAGCACACACATCACGGGTAGTGGGTAGGATCTAAGACTGTATGCATGAACCTAAGATGCACGACAATAATGACGAGACAGTCGATCATACCAAACCAGCAGCTTGAGGGGTGGAGGGATCTGGGGCTCAGTGCTTGCCGCTGCATCGTCGAGTATGGGCGACACATGCATCGGAAATGGTCGATGTCATTGACATCGACGTCCATCTTCTTCTCGTCTACCTCGGCTTCTTGGACATCAGCTTCACGCGACCGCCTACCAATAGCCCCCTGGGGCCACCAATCCCTGCGACACGGTGAAGTGCAGCGTTTGGCCGGCCATACTCCAGGAGAGAGCCGAAGTTCAGGACAGCCATCATGATCCTCGCGCTCCTCCACGAGTTCACCACCTAATAGACATGAAGGTCAGTATCTACGTTCGTGTTCTGCACGACTTGTTGCAGAAATTGCTCCCGTCGCATGGTGCTGTGCACACAGTCCGAATAATTTACAGTGTCAAGGTTGGTATTCGCGGGGCCCGGTAGGTGATGGGAGCGGCGTATCGGCACGAGTGATCAGTGTTAGATCAGGTAAAGATACATCAACGTGAACATACGGCACCTCAAGGTGTGCAGTTTCCTCCGGAGTGAGGTCCACGCCCTTCACGATCACGTCCTCCAAGCGCGAAACAGAGCTACAGCCCACAATTGGGTGGGTCACTTTCATCTGAATCCACGCCAACCCGATTTGCACCATCACGACGCCCTTCTTCTTGGCGAGTTTCTCCACATGGGGGATGATGACCTTGTCGGACTCCTTGACCTTACTCTCTAGCATCGCCTTGATGGAGTCTGAGTGGAGCCCAGGAGATCAGCCCATGCCATTGAAGTTGCAGTACACGATCATCTCATGTTCCTAAGGTGCGTCAGAGATCATGTCGGATGACAGAAGTGCAGGCGACAACCTACCTCCTCGCGGTACAGCAGAGAGTACTCATCCTGCATGCTAACGAATTTGGTCCAGCCCCGCTTATCCACTGTCCACGAGGTCGTGTAGCGCCTTCATTGTCTCCTCTACGGGCAACGGTGAATCAGGAGGAGGTCGATGTATGTGATGTTCAGGCGCTTTAGAGACCCTTCGACCTGCTTGAAGATCGCGCCGTACGAGAGGCCGGAGCTGGGTGGCAGAGAGGTGCTCGCTGTGCGGGTTCGGGAAGGGCGTGTCGCAGCCAGTGGATCTAGATAAGAGATGTACAACACTTACCCCATTGGGAACCCTACCGATCCATGCAGACGAAGTAGCTCTGTAGGTAGCAGTTATGTATTGCACTAGCAATTTATTTCACTGAAACAGTCGGCACACGAACTGAGTAAGCTATCACGGGTGTACTTTATTTTATTGTAAATGAGTATTACAATCAAAAGTTACCAACAAATGCACTCTCACTCATTTGCTCACAACATACGCCGGGAACTTATAGTCCACAAACCATCAAGACATGATATTTGAATGACCAGTATACTAGATGTCAGTATCATGGCATACCAATGTGACCTCATTGCCTCATTGCTGTTCAGTCAGAGAGGATTGTACACCAGAGATCGGAGGTTTTTAATTATTGGGTTAAATGTGCCAGTGCACGCATCATGCCCAAACTTAGCTTGCACGATGTCATACTAACTGGGACAAGACAAGCAAAATATACTTAATCAGATGGAACCGACGTCGCGAGCTAGCTATGCACCAGGCATCGTCGCAAGTCCGCGAGCGTACCAGTCCCTAGCGATCGTGGCTGAGCACTGGCAGTTGTGAGCAAGAGATCGCAATGTAGATCGAGATTAAATCTGTTTCCACGCCAAGCTTGCTCCTTATTCAGCCAGTAACGTTAGAGCTCCGTTGCGCACTGCCTCTGTAGAAAGCGCATCCAAAACAGGATCCAACATAGGCACGGTCACGAATCTAACCCGTTCCCAATGGAGCTCATTTGATTACCAAAGTTGACGCCAGTATGGGTAGCCTGGGAGGTAGTGGTGTGTGCCTCTCGATGATATCTCGTGCGCCCTACCGCTGTATCTGTACTCAACGCAGTTGCACAACGACGATCTCCAGCTAATAAATCAACGCCAAACGACCAGAAAATAGAAATAGTCTTTTTGCACTCTATCTCAAGCCGACCATTTTCTCACTCACGGCTGAAACTGTGGCTGAAACTGTTATCTCCACTTGTAAGTCCCATCTCGTCGTGCTCACTCTGATCTTGAGGATATACCATGATGTTCTCTAATCTGTCCAATATACACACAATAGGTCGATGCCCAGCAGCGGAACAGACATTGTCGTTCGCCCTGGCCACCGTCTAGAACGTCTTCGGCTTGCTGAAGAAGTGGCCCAGCTTTGTAAAAGTTATGAAATCCCTCTTCAATTTGCCACTCAAGGCAAGCCTGACTCTTTTCGAGAGGATGCTGAAGTTGACGACCGTATTCATGAAATTGTGATGGATCGCACTTTGGAGACTCACTTGCCGCAGATCTCCCTCACCGAAGGAGATGTCTGTCATGACGTCGTTTCATGGACTTCTATTGTCCCTACCTTGGCGGAACCTCTGTCGCGGTACTTACAGACAACTAGAGGGGAGATCAGGCATCTATCATCCAATATGGATCTGCAGTGTCAGACTGCCTCATGCAAAGCGCGCGCCGCACCTCTGCTGTGTGTTTTCATCGACTGTGAGTAATAGAATCCACTTGAATCGCCTATGACTAACGAGAAAATTGGTTCACCTACGCATTCAGGTTTATTTGTGACAGAATTATCTACCTGTGCATGCCCAGGTACCCTCGAGCTCCTCTTGGAGAATGGGTTATTTCCAATGTCTCCTCAAAAACCTCGTGTCGCATTTGGGATTGACCTTCTTGAATTACACTCTGTGCTCTGCTCGTCTTCCTTGGGTGATCTGAACAAGTTGATAACTGCTTTGAGATCCTTCTACACTTTCCGAGGTTTTCCGAAAACTGAACTGGAGGTGCGACAGCTGGTCAATGTCCCTGGAACATGTACTCAATCAAGTTCCTCGACAGAAAAACCTTTTGGATGAGGCATTTCCACAAGGACTTACCACTGCAATCCGTTGGTATCGTGTTCTCCGCATGCAAGTCAGAGGACAGTTGGTTGAAGATACGAGCTCAGGCCCAGATTTGGTGCTTAACCATTCTGATATTGCTCCCGCTGGTCCTGATGAATGTTAACCGACAGAGTCCGGAATGCTGGGTAAAATTTTTCTCTGATCTTCCTGTGCGTCATCCATTGTACCACAGGTAGTAAGTGTCTTCGCTCACTCAGTACTGATAGCCTCAAAGCTCAGCGGATAATATGGACGACATCAGTCACATTGAGTTCAATACTACATCATCGACAGATCTCGGAGCCAGGGTTCGTGCAGGTGCCAGAAACTCTATCCAGTTATACTTCGACATTGGAGATATCACTAGGCTCTGCAATCCCACAGAATTCTTGAACGATGGATGTCTCAATGGCTGTTGCCAGTTGTTGAGGAGCTATTTTAGGACAGACTCTTCCGATCATTTTGCTATTCTCCCCACTTATGCCTTGACAATGTACCGAAGCAAATCCGAAGACGACGCGCTATGGAGAATGCTGCACAACTCCAAATTCTGGGATTGTGATGTATGGATCATGCCGATACATAGACGTGCTGCACCAGGACATTGGGTGTTGTGTGTTGTCTACCATACCCAGCGGAGAATCCACCACTTCGATAGCCTAGCTATTGAAAATTCTTGGAAGGTGGATGTTCGGGTGAGTCTTTGTAGTGATCCAAGTTGATCTCTACTTAGCTTCGTGAGGCTTGCAGGATACGCTTGGAATGATTTATCGTTTGCGCAGGATCGCCGAAGAGCGTGGAAATCCCATGAGGCGAGCAACAAAGGCATCCATTTGGCATGCTCACCCACTAGCTGTACGTGGTCCCTTCCTGTGCTTCCGCATCCAGTTCATCTCACGCGTAGCCTCTCACGTCAGCTTTCGCCCAAGCAAAGCAATTCTCATGATTGCGGTGTCTGGGTGCTTGCATGCATAGCCGCTGTCCTAAGGGGATACACAGGGACTGGACTTCACCAGGACCGTATGCGCTGGTTCCGTCGCTTCCTTTTATCGCTCGTGCTGTCTCTTCCTGTTTCTAAATGATCTATTGCAATATGAAGTAATTACTGACTACACATTGATATCTAATCACTCTATTGAAGACATGTTGTTGCTTGAAGCTCGAAGCAGAGCGAATCAGACTACATGCAGGAGCGGTGGTACTACGGGGATGGGGTCTTTGTTGTAGAGCAATTTCTGCCGCATGCCCCTACGCGACACGTCGGGATAGACACACTTGAGGCTGCGATGAGCGCACTGACTAAAGTGAAATAACAAGAGGTCAGCGACGGAAGTAAGCATGTATCACCAGTATCGCAAGAAGAGACGCACTTGCATGTCCGATCCTTCTTCTGGGGGAGTGGACTTACACAAGCGATCTTGCGCCTGCGACAGAAAAAACACGCCAAAGTGAGCGGCTTCTTCGGGTTGTACTCTACGAGGGGTAGAGAGTGCGTTACTGTCGGAGCAGAGGAGACGCCGGAGTGCATGGAACCATGAATAGCGAGCGAAGGATCCTCCGCCACCGCTGGAGGTGGGAGCATGGGCCACGGATGCGGCTGAGGTGCGTGAACGTGCGAAGAGAGTGGAGATTCTGTCTCGGTGAAGCGAGGATAGGAGTAGGCACAAGGCGGAGAGTTGTGCAGTGCGACGGTATAGCGTCGCTGCTCGGATGGCTGCGGGATTGGCTCAGATTGGGACTGAACAGATACGAGAGTAGGATAGTTCGCAAGCGACTGGGGATATGGGTAGCGGTGGTCATAGCTACTGGCTGCCCAGCGGTCAGTAGAATCCTTGTTTGCGCAGTGACCTGATGTAAAAGTGTGAGGCCGTATTTTTAGGCAGTCGTTCATTCTCACTACACACCTAGGTTGTCGTCACACCGCGTACGTCCCATAAGAAATCCTGGTTGCGAATAAGCAGGGACATGACTCCGATCTTGCGAGTTCGAGTAGTCAGAAGAGCCCGAGAAGCCGGCGGGTACGTCAGGACACGGAGAGAAGCTGGTATGTTGTAACGAGAGTGAGAGACCAGAACCCTTGATGATGAGGTCAAAACGACGTCACTAAGAGTAAAAAAGGATTGACAGTTATTTACCGAGTAGTACTGAGCGTACGCTTCTCCAGGAAGCTGAGCATTGACAGGAACGCAGAAGAACGTGCTTGCTTCAGCGGGAGAATCGGATAATATCTGCGAGTCGGAGACTGTGGATGTCGACGGATAGCACGGGGTGCGAGACGCCTCGCTGTAGCTCGAATTGAGCACGTGGTCTCGAAACGCTCGTACGGAACCAGAGACAGTAGCAGAAGAACGCCCATCCACCGTTTGCTGGCCCTGAGGTGTCTCGCTAGTAGATATGCACGAAAGCTGGAGTTCCTCGTGGGAGGAGAGTCGCTGCAGCAACAGGCTGCCCTCCTGGTATTCCTGCCAGTGTGGCCAGATGCCGTTGTGCCCGGGCAAGAAGTTCTCATAGCCATGTTTCGTCCACTTGAATGAATCGGCACCACATGGATCGACGCGGCCACAGTGAGCCTGCTATAGAATAGCAGACTAAGCAAGCTCGGGAGGTGAATGGGTGACCCAGTAGTCACGAACCTGATCGAAGAAAATCAACCTGCCTTCCTGATAGAAGTCGGGATGTGCGACGTTATGCGAAGGGCTACAATTGACGGGTGACCCGCCGGGGGCTGCCCGGTCGGGACTGTGGCAGAACTGGTGTCCCGCAAACTGGTATGGGTAGGTCCTGTCGTCATACGACATGTCCACTGGAGTAGGTAGAAACTTCGGGTCAGACTCTACGTCTGTGGCGGAGAGCGGAAGTGAGTGTTGGGACATGATGCTAAAAGGGTAAGTTAGTCGTTGGAGTGGAGCACAGTGAGGAGTTGGATGTTGAAGGCACAGTGGGGACTGGACGGACGCATCCCCTGAATTTATCGCTCTCCATGAAGAGACAAAGCTTAATAAATGGGAGACGCAACAACTCCGAAGCGACAAAGGGTCGCGAACTTGCGCGCCGGCAGTTATCTGATGGCCGCTACTATGCCCCAAGTCGGCAGTTGAACGCGTTATGTCATACATCAAGAGCGTGACAAATGTCGTCCACGGGAAACCCCCGATGTATCCACTTGAGGAGTTAGCTTTCCCAGATTGGGTCGGATCCAGCCACCATCTGCGGCCCGGCAAACCTTTGCATCTTTCCAACCCTAGCTAACCCTAGTGAGCGATCGTAGTCACGGCTAGAACACAACAACGTGCACATGATTCTCAGGTCATGTGGTCTTAAGCAACAGCGACGAAAAGCCGCTTTCGCAGATAACTGAACCCCCCTAATTTCTAGCTTTGTATGTAACGCGCTAACTACGGAAGCGCCGTGAAATGAACAATTTTATTTCGGAGTAAATAAAATTGTCCGCGGGAGAGAACGCGTGTGTATGCGCCACGCAGTGTTGCATACAAATTTCGACGGGGGGGGGGGAAGGTTCTGCGGGGCTTCGTGAGGGAGCGGAACTCGGAGGCGCGAATTCCCAAAAGGGGACCGCCGACGAGATCGGCCCGCAGAACCTTCGGAGCCTGGCAAGTTGATCCCGCGGCCACACCATGGCGGGTCAGCCTGGGAGACGAGACCATACCTAATGTAAGGATATTAGAAGGATAGAGTAGTCGAGGCGTCGGAGTTAGCCGAGGCGTTGAATACGCGCTCAACCGCGTAGATGGGTTTTTCGTCTTTACTTTACTCGCTGAAAACCTGCCTTCCGAATAAACTCGGTTCAGTGCATTTCCCGCGACTTAAGGACCACCAAAGGCCGCAAAAGCCTTATACATAACCAGGCTAGAGAAAAGAGAATGGGAGGTGGGTGGGTAGAAAAAAGCGAGACCGACGTGTAGGTGAGGAGACGTGTGCGCTCTTCCTTCCTACTTCACGGTTTTCATAAGAAGCTCGTAGACATTCAGATCCTCTTTGTATGAGTATGTCGTCTATGCTTCAAAGAAGAAACCTTACCCAGCTCTCCATAATCACTGTAGGGACTATGCAGTGAGCTATTCTCTTGACATTCACCGGCCTGCGGCACTGAATATTAATGTGTCCACACTTGCAGACCATCCAGCAATTTCCTCAGCTAAACGTGCCTCGCCGACACCTGCATGACTCACTTCTATCATAACAACCAAATACTGTCCTCCATTCACGACCTTCCCCTCCTCTGTCTTCGCATCTGTGTTTGCCCATCATGCAAGATTCTCTTCCAATTGTCCCCATCGCCTCCAGGAAGGGCAAGGAGCACGAGCCTGCCTAACCAACTGACATTGCCGAGAAGATGCCCTACAGCGGCAGCGCGCAGCGTACGGAGCCCGAAATTTACTTTATGAATTACTTGCTCAATTTTCCGTATCTCATTTTCTTCACAGTTCGTCTCGTCCAAGAGAAAAGCCGAGCGGTCCTCCCAACCGTGTTCCACTGCCCGTATACCACCGCCTCGCCCACCGTCACCCCGGAAGCTGCACGCACCCCTGCTTCCGAATCCCAACATCATCGTATCGCAGCCATCTTCACTGCATATGGAGGCCGACACTGACAAAATCTCCCGCTGCCTCAAGATCTCAGCGGCTTCCTCCCGTGCCTCACATTCAAAACCACACTATGCGAGCGCGGTAGGAGGAAGCAGCCCGAGCAGGGTGTTGTACAACCCGAACGCGGACCCGATTCGCAAACCGGTTATCTTCACCACGGAACCGGACACTATGTCGGACCGCGGCTCGAGTTTGTACGCACCTTCCGGACCTTCCGGACCCCGCCGCAATGGACGCACCATCAGGGACAGCAGGTGTGACTGCGGGTGACGGACATCGACAGCTATTCGACCACAGAAAGGACGATCCTGTCCGGTTCTCCGTCTTTTCACGTCCTTGCGCGTCCCCAAATGGGGCGAACCAGAGCGCAGTCCTAGGCCGACCGACTCCAACGCCCAAGTCTTCTGGGGACTACGTCTCCGCGTCTTCGACATCGTCTGCCTCTTACGCTCAGTCGTCTATCTCGTCTAATTTTAAGTTGTCTTCTGCCACTACGGACACGTCCTCTGCAGCCTCTGCGCTATTCGACTCTGCGAATGCGAAAGGTCACGGGCGACGTCCAGAGGGAGAGGATAGCGCGAGCGGGGCGAATGCGTTCTCTACGCAGCTGAAGAAATTGTACCATGCGATCAGCGCGCTTGAAGCTCGGATCATGGGAGAAGACTGAGATCGAGACGAAGAAGGTGAGTGAGAGGGCCAAAGGATAGGTGTGTTGATAAAGGGGCGTGCCGGCGAGGAAGCGAGATGAAGCGTGGGGACGAGGAGGCAGAGCGGTGGCGGAGGCTACTTGTGAATCACAAAGAGTGAGTTGTTTCCCTCACGATCATCTTCATTCTGCTGATCCATCGTTCCGATGACAGGCTGGCCGAAAAGATGCACAATCTCCTGCAACTTACACTTGCGCCTGCCGTACCTTCCTCACTCTGTGACATCCCGACCAAGTACAACATTATTATGCACCTTTGGACGACTACGTTCAATCGTCTCCTGCAGTCCCTCCGTCGCGCTTCGATGCCACCTGTAAGTTCGGAAATTGCGCGAGAAGGTGATCAACCTCACCTTCCATATATGGATATGCACTAATCACGTGCCAGGATTTCATTTACCGCGCGTTCACGTTCTACACTGGGAGAGCACAATCTCGCTGAGTTTCGCGCCGGTTGAGTCGAGGTGCTCTGATGATGAGCACATCCTTCGGGCCAGTGGTGGTCGGCTCACCGTTTCTGCAATTGCTACAGCTTCTGCAATTGCAGCGAGCCATTCTCTTGACACTCCTTGGCTTGCTACACGGAACGCGTCTGCGCTTTCTGACCATCCGGAGATTCCCTCGGTGAAGCGTGCCTCACCGACGCCCGCAGCGCCCATCGATGACTCACCGCCATCCTCACAACTGAATGATGGGCCGAATGCTAACGCCAACGCTAACATACCCAGTGTTGGCCTTGCCGCTGCGCGTATGAATGGAGATGGAGCCGGAGAAGGAGCAGCGGCGGATGATCGCTAGGGACTGGTACGCTTGCGGACTTGCGACGATGCCCGGTGCGGGAAAGCTCCACCACCACCTTGGATTGCTCAGCCGGGACAGGGACGGTGGCGGGAGGATTTCCGTGGCGTGCACCATTTCGTGAAGAGGTGCGTGGCGGTGCTGTTTGTTTTTCAGGAGAGGGTGCTCACGCGTATCTCAGCATGATCACACTGCATCCGTTTTCGACTTCTCGAGAGTCTGTTCTCCCGCCCTGGTCACCATGTGCGCAGGCGAGCCGTCAAGCACCTGATGCGACACTCGTGGACCAATTTGTGTTGTTGCACGGGATGCTCTTCACGAATGTCCAGCTCGACGACTTCAAAGGGGTTCAGGAGCACTTCCATGAAAAGCTACAGATCGAAGGTGTGCATTTATTCTCTCAGGCTCTGCAGAGATGCAGACACGCAACCACGCTGGAGTTGGAACAATAATCCGAACATAGCAAGAGTACTGCACTAAAGACTCGGAGAAAAAAACATGGGAAAAAATACAAGCCGCAAGGGTCTAAGATAATATGCCCGCTCCGTTATTCTCTTTCTTCGACGATGGAGTGATTGGTCGCGTGCCACATGATCTGAGACGAATACAAGGAAGACAAACCAACGAATAAATGTTGCCCACAACAGATGAGGACGTATTCTTTGAACTTGATCTGACGGCCGTTGACCCCGCTTTGGAAGACGTGCTCCGGGGCTACTTTTTGTCTCCAGTTGAGTCTCCCGTGGTCGCTATCGCAGTCGATGCAGCTGACGACATAGTCATATCTCCATCGGAACCAGGCTTGAAACGCTAGCAAGTATCTAGAGACATTGACTGTCAATCAACCAATGGACTTCTCCAAGATATAGTGTATACCAAATGTCCTCGGTGATCTCCCCATTGCTCGTAGCCTTTCTGGAGAACGTGGACTACATCTCCGAATCATTACCAACAGCGCATCATTTCCACCGACTGATGACCAGAATCACGAGTACAAACCGGACGCATACGAAGACATTCCCTCCAATCGTCTCGTACCACTCTCCTCGTGCGCACCATTTTGCCACAGGTATTCTGATGTCGTACTAGTCGAGGGCTGTGGGCCACCTGGCTGTCAGTAGATCATTCCCCAACATCACATACTCGGCGTCACTCGCCAACGCACTGCAAGGTCACAACTACACGCGGCATCTGTCCGATCACCCATATACCCACCGGTTTGTCCTATGGCGCTTCAATTCAGAGTCGATGTGCGATCTTTTGGAGGGTCCTCACATAACAGATGCCGCTCATACTCACACGTGATCACTGTCTTCGGACTGCTGTGTTGTGCGCCGCGGTGTCAATTCCGCAAGCAATTTGTCCATGCACGTTCTCGGGAAGCAACGTCGCTGCCCCGGCGTCGTTTTGTTTCTATTGACGTCATATATCTTACCGTAGACTTTTTCGTTCTGGGACAATCTTTCGCGGAGTTCTACCGGGACACCTCGTTAGCTCTGACAGATCCCAGCCGAAGGGCGTACGAAGAGGTCTCTCTTTTCTACGCCATACTGTACAAGAGGTATCGTGTTGGCCCCACCGCATCAGTTCCTCGCCCGCTTTGAAACTTAGCAGCTCAAGGTTTACAAGGCATGGGCCAGCGCGTTCCTGTGATTACCTTCCGTGACCTACACTTACCACCTGATCCGTGTGCATTCTGCCACACGGACTCTATCATGTCGCAGTGGTCGCAAGCCATGTACGTACTTCATTACCTCAATGATGGGCTGGACTTGTGGTCTTGTGTAGCTCAACACGTCCAGCATGTAGACTCTCTGCATCAAAACACAGTTCATCTACCTATGTCTGTAAACCCCAGCAGGAGTCTGCCATGATATGTATAGCCACCTCTGAAAGGCTTTGAGTTGCAAATATAAACCACGTCGCCTGCCCTTTACAGCACCCTGCATCGTGATACAATCTGACCCGCCTCCTAACAAACCCTGCCTGGTGCTGCAGACTTTCGACACCTTTCTGAAGTTTCCTCTATAGAATTATTGTTGTCCATGGGCACTCTGCTCAGATTAGGATAGTGAGACGGTTTGAGGGAAAAGATCGAGTTACAAAGCGGCGTCCAGTGACCTGTTGTGCAAACGTTTCGGCGCGAGCAACCGCGCCTGTGTCGGTCCCGTCAGAAATGGTATAAATCTAAAGTTCATCAAGTCTCGAAATCCAGACGAGCGAAGCATCATGAGGGTAGATATGTCCTGGTTACCTCACTAGTCTTGACGCAAAGACCTGCAATCAAGAGCGTCTACACTAAAACAACAAAGATAAACTCTTCCGTGGTCTTTCCGGGGTTCTAGGTTTCCCAAGACACTTCGCGCCGTACGCGCTGCACTCGACGTGGCTGCTCTGGAGTGGATGCAAGATAAAATCCATGTTTCATGTCCCAGCAGTACATAAACATGGTACATATCGTATCAATCAGAGATGGTAAGCATAGACTCAGTAGCAGGACTAGGGAAGGGAGTTGATGGTTAACAGGAGCAGGAGAGGCCGGACGCTGTCCATACGTATATCGAAGTTCAGATATGAGGGTGAAACAAGACCTACACACAGATGAATTTTCAAGGAATTTGGCAACGGAAGTAGCATCCAAAATTCCTACATATTTTCAGTGCCTCACGAGGACGGCTAGAAAACTCCAGCTAATCAATATACGTATACGGCGGTTCTAAAGCTAGACGAGTTGCAGTTTAATGGCTCCGGTGATGTGCTGCTACTGGCCCGTGTTAGCAACTTTTGGGAACACAACGTGGCCAGCAGCCTGTATGTGAGTTCTGGCTGTTTGAGCCTGAAGCTGTAGATACCTCTTGGCAATAGCTGATGGCTTCACCATGACACGAGGAAGCGTCTCGCCACTTTTGCGGTACGAAAATGACTTGGCAAATTCCAGCCCATATTCTTCTTTCGCTCGTTGGGCTAAATTTTCGTCCTCTTCGCCACGCATTGTTGTGAGGGAGTCTAGTATTCTCGTGACGGATTGCCTTCGTCCATTGTCAGAATATCTCTCCCAGAAGCCGTCGGGTTGAAAGCGACGGTATTCCGCCACTAGAAACTAGAAACCTTTGGTGACTTAATAGACTCTTCGTAGATGATCTCAGTACACACCTTCCACTGTGACCAGCGCTGCTTAATACCCGTCCACTGAGTATTTGATCGATACTGATAAATTTTCGGCCAATATTTCAATGCAATGCTTACGCCTAAGATGCGCAGAGGCGACGATAGGTCCCAAAAGGATGAGGTGTCATCCCACATACGGTTCAACCCATCGAGATCATGCACAAAAGTGATTGCAGGAGGATCAGGAATGTCGTGTGGATAAAAATGAAGTACGCCGCTCGCGAGTCTCACGCTTATTAGGGCTGTTGCGCACAACGGTATTTGCGCAGGAACAGACCGCGGAACGGCGGTAGTGCAATCTGGATTAAGAGGAGACGGTCTCTCTGCTAAGTATGGAAATTGATGTTCCTGCACTCGTCCATGCTGATAATGTGACAAATAGGATGCGGGAGTCAGATCAGGGTAGGAGGGCTGACGGTGATGAAGTGAAAATGGATTATTAGGGCCAGGAGCGAAGCCGCGGTATGTTTGGATAGTCTGGCACAAACCCTCGACTCTCTTCAAGAGTTGATCGACTAGTGGAAGGACAGCAGATTTCTCGTCGGCGCCGCAAGGTACCAGGGCTGTAGGGACCTGAGCGCTGCGTTGAATGGTCCTATTAAGAGGCCCTGATGTTGACTGCAATGAATTAATTTGGGCCACGGAATCCTCAAGTGCTGGCGCAACTTGCTGATCTGGAACCAGCGTGGTGGCAGCGACGATACTATACGCCTCAGAGAATAACAAGCGTCAAAGAAAAGTCTTGTAGCCATGGAATAATGGACATACCCAGTCAGAGAACGCGTCGATATCTTTTTGCGTCCTCAAGTCCGCTGATCTCCCCGTAGACGGAGGTGGATCAGTACGCTTCGCTATGTTTTCTTGCCGCCGACGAGCAGACGTTTTTACACGTTTTGGTGTTCCTTTGCCTGAAGCCCCCGCATCATCAGCGCTTGCAGGTTTCCTGGGGCCTTTATGCTTTCGGACTGCAGGTGTCGTCTTGTAGCTACAGGGTTACCACATTGAACGAACTACTCTCGGAAGACAAATTCGCACGCACGTGTCCCAAGCTTCCTTATTCTTGCTGAAAGCCCGCAAAGCTTCCTTGTAGGAATTTTTATTCCGTCTTCCTGGCTTTGGAATATCCCACCGCTTTATAAGATCTAGCAACTCGGAGGCCCGCATGTCTGGCCTGAATTAAATGGGCTCACTTCCCTGACTGAAAATATGGTAGGCCTGAGCTTACAGATAGAATTGCGTGGTGCACCATTCGCCGTTCGCCAGCTTTTCAGAGGGAAGGGAAATAGTTTCCTACACGTGATGATTGTAAGGATAAAGCAACTTAGCAAAGGGGAGCATTACTGGCCTGGCTCTCGTGAAAACTGGGCGCATTTGCAGTCAGTGCAGTTGATGCGGTTGATGCCATCAAAGGGAAGTGAAGCCTAAATACGGAATGTTCGTTTACAGATGGTTGGAGGAACTTTTGAGACTTGGGAGGCGCAGATGGGATGCGGTCAGGGAGGCGGTCAGTGATGGTGAGTGTGAGAGGTGGAAGTATGTATAACATCAAGTGTCGCTGAGTGACACCGAACGTCAGTGAATCGGATCTTGATAGGGATGGTCTTTTATTGGCCGGTGAATGACAGCCACCTGACAATGCACACAGTAACAAAACGTTTGCTGACCACCAACTGCAGGCACAATCCCGCGGCAGGTATTCTCCAAGTGACATACCAGGATGGTTGTGGAGGTCTCGCTATCACAAATCATCACTAGTTTTGGGACTATTTACCGAATTAGTCAAACAGGCTTCAAGTAAGCGTAAATGATCGAAGAAATGCATATTTACGAAGAGCGTTGCTGGGAATGTAAAAGATATACGTATATTCTGGATGCGAAACGACGTTGTCAGAGAAGTCGACTGTTACTCGCTAAACGGTTGCAGTCTTGATATCGTCGGCTAGATTACCAGGGCAATGAACGTTGATGAAGCGTCCACGGTGTCCATGGCCAACGTTGAACCTGAGGCCCAGTCAAAAACCCGTCTGTCCGGAACGGATACAAACCACGACAAGCGGAATAAGTCGGAGGAGATCTAAGCTTATAGAAGATGCGACAGACTCGGCGCTTATATATGACTTGACATCGCCTTCTCAGCCTGTTCTTAGCAGCACGTTTTTGAATTACTAGTCATGTAAGGTTTCTCTGTCCTGGAACAAACTGTCGCAGATGCTAGGACCATGACATAATCCCGGAGAGCACACCGACACGTCCAAAAGTTTTACTCTAGTGTCGCTAGCCCTCCTACTGTCGGTGCAGTCGACGCGCCATCGACGTGTCCCACCTCGTCTCTCGACTACTATAGTACCTTCAATATCACTTCAGTTTTCTGCTCTAACCGTGCTTACGCATCTGAGTGCAACCATGCAAACGGAACCGAGATTATCAGCAGGCTACGACGGCTACTGCAACTGCAAGGAACACTGCGATGGAGTGGAGAGGCTGGTATCTCGCTCAACCTGGTACTCCCATGCCGCGTATCGCGCGAAGATCACCCAGACGTTCACTGAGTTTATTGCGGGCCAAAGAGGTCTCGACAATCCTGCTCCTGCACGGAGACACGAGAACAGTTCATCCTTCCTATGCAAACGCGAACGCGATCACCAGGGAGCATCCGGATCCACCTTAGCCAGAGATAGCCAAGAGCAAGTCCCCAAGCGGAGGTGCATGAATAACAACTACGACGTACCGAATGAGGGGGTCTGTTTCATCCATTCTTTTTTATGTATGCAGCTTATTGTTAGACTCGACAGAATAAAAACTCTGCTGAACGATCCGCAGGCATCGCTTGCGAGCACGAGACTTCGAATGATGACCTCAATGCAGCAGCCAACGATTCATCGTACGAAGACTCGCGAGACGACAGGGATGCAGCAACAGGGTTCCAAATCAGCACACACCAGCTCCAGAACAGCGAACAAGATTTCCTTGGCACACAGAAACACCTCAGCTTGAGAGGTAAATCCATCTCTCGTCTTGTTCCATGGTGTCTGATGTATTTGTGCCTGGCGAACGAAATCGTCTACTCTCCAAATCATTGGATGTACCACGTCTTGTATTTAGGTGGGCTGAAGGGGAATCATGCTTCCAGTTACAGTGAGCTGAGAATACGCTAGTGAGATAGCTGTCAATTCATGGTACGTTGCAGATACATTGAACGGGGCCGAAAGACCGTCATGCCTTCGTTCTTGTGTTCTATGAGTCATGACCCGCGACTATACGTTAGAATCTACCTCCGTAGAAGTTATGATCAAGCTTTTCCCAGCGATATTTCATCTCACCGTGGCAGCCGCAGCGATAGGTGCATTCCCGAAACGAGCGTGCTGCGATAATTAATGGCAACGGTCGGACCAGCTCATAAGTATAAAGGGCTCGTTCGCCGCCTTTGAAGACATACCTTCGACTCACACAACCTCGACTCAAATTGAATATGGATGCGTGCGGATAATGTAGATTTCAATTGTCATTCTGTCCCTGAGCTGAGTGCATTCCTCCCCTAAATCAGAAAAGAATAGCTGACCGACGATCGCAAGCTGGCTGGACTGTCAATTATTCTGCGCAATCATGCTGCCAAGTGAGATCAGTTGCAGATCCCTGCGAAGAAGATAGAAGGGACACACATGCGTAAGAGACCTTCTCCGCCAAAAAATGACGTTCCAAGGGTGAACTAGATGTTCCGCGGGAGCAGATAGACATTCGAGTTTAGTCCAGCTATGGAGTAATGAAAAAGTTAACACTATTACCATTATTATTCTTCATAACTGTACAGTTCTAAGGGTCGAAATCAATGTATAGTGAGTGAAAAGAGTAGGGAGAAAACACGCGGCAATTCAGCCGACGCAAAGCCACTGTAAGAAGACGAGTGTCCTCCGTATATTCGGACCAATTTAGCACCGGAGGATCACGCCATCCTTCGTAGCCACATGTCACACTGTCGAAAGACGGCCGATATAAACGGAACGTATGGGTCGACGAAACCTGCTACACGTCTGCCAATCGTTGAGCGCCCGGATTTTATGATCACTACGGTGTTTGACAAGTAAAATGTTAGCATGAGACGTCGCGCATTCGATGGAGAGTCCAAAGGAACTTCTAGCACGGTCAATCTAGGAGTAATGAATAGTATTAACTTAAGAATCGCTGTCACAGACTGTGATGTTTTGGAGAGTGCAAATTAGATACCGTCACGACGTCCCAAGTCGAATCTCGACTTGTACGTGAGGAACCGGGAAATCGATGAGTGCGATGAATTTATGCCACAACTATTAATCTCGGTGAGAACTGCCAGTGCCAGTGGGAGAGAACGTTCCCGGAAACTAGAGCAGATAAGGGACCAGGTTGGCGAGATAGCTCGCCCAGCTCCGCTCATCGTGCTGACTCGGCGTTTGAGCAGAACAATACTATGGGTTAGTACCACTCACTCGGCGGAGCCTGTAAGTCGGCAGCCCGGGCGCGCATCTTCTCAGGTCAAAGGCGCACACTCCGCCGCTCTGCATACGCGGCTATCCCGCTTTGGACGTGGGGGCAGTCAGTGGACTCGGGAGGGCAAATGATGGACTCGGGAGGGTACCGCCACGAGACTCTGGGAGCGAACGCGCACTTGCACGTTAGAACCGCGGGCGCTTCCACGTCTGATCGCTTTGTGTGCGCAGGGAGATATTTTGCTCCAGTTAGAACTGATGGCGGGTTGTATAATGTCTGAAATATTGCGCATCGAAGACGCGTGAGTGCCGCTAGGCGTGAGGGAACGACCGGTGCGGCCGACATGAGGGTTTGACCATCCGAAAAAGGAAGAAGGCGACTGTTACTCGCTAAACGGTTGCAGTCTTGATATCGTCGGCTAGATTACCAGGGCAATGAACGTTGATGAAGCGTCCACGGTGTCCATGGCCAACGTTGAACCTGAGGCCTGAACGTTGAACGATTGGCCAGGGTCAGTAACATGAATTCGGGATCTTCCGAGCGGCATACACGGTGCGTTACGGTCACCAGCGGCATATACCAGGGGCACCGGCCCGCCGTGGGAAGGTACCACGCGGTGACCACCACAGCCCAGGGACATAGATATAATCTCCTCATTATGCCGTTCAGCCTCCGGTAGTCGCTGCAGGAACCGCTCCTCAGGCTGTTCCTGCGTTGGTATAGCAGGCAACTCTACGTGAAGCCGATGGTCCGATTTGCGAGCGCAAGGCTTCCCTGTCTCCGCGAGTGTCGCTAGAGCCCAGAAGACGCAAAATGCCGGCTACTTATGAAACTTTCACAATGGACACACGAACACTAGAATGACCGTGGTGATTTCTACATCTGGTCGTTCATAGTCTATTGTCATCGTTCATTTTGGTGCGCACTAGTCTGTGATACTTACTCGATATTGGTTTCGATTGTGGTGTGTTTTTCGTTGGCGATGATAGTAGGGAATGTACTATGATTTGAGTCGACGACTATAACACTGACTTCCTTCACAGGGGTTGCAAGTGTGCCCTGGCAGACCATGTCAGGCCTTGTATTCATGCATATCAATTTCCTCAAACCGCGTTGGCAAAAGGACGACGTCCCGGCATATGGCAACGTCGTTCCATTAATATTGCTAAGAAATGACCTAAGCCATCGCAACCTTTCCGGCTTCTGAATCTGAAGCATTAAGGAGTGCATCCTCCGCTGAACGCTGAGCCTCTGCTTATTACGAATATACGATTGCTAAGCCTTTTCTGAATGGCTACCTATCCGTGTTTGACAACTGAAGTACTGACGGACAAAGGATCCCAACAGAGCCCCGCGTGTTCATGTACCGCGACATCACTGACAACTATTGCCTGATCATATCAAGGGGCACACGATTTGGCCGGTGCGGCATCAGCAGGGAGACATACGAGTCAATTTGGCTTCCACTAGTCAATGGCCAGCCAAGTCAGTGAGTGGCGTGCCGAGCAGTATTTGATGAAGGCGGACCTCGCTGACAAGCTATCTTCCCTTGTTCCTTGTTTATATACAAGGCGTTTGCAATCACAGATAGTGCCGTCACAGAAGGTTTGATGTCTGCGTCGAAGTTCGCACTTCGGTGAATGCAGACGTCATTCAAAGCCTCCAGGGTTGTAGGCTACCCTGAAGCATTCATGCGATGGCCTGTCGTGACAAGTTCGCCAGCAGGTCTCCATCGGCTAGAAAAGCCAGCATCCCCAATTTGTCTTTCAACTCCGATAGAGATGTACGTAGCATTCCAATCATGTTCAAACAACGCGTGCACTAGGCACGTTTGAAGGTGTGGCCCCTCGGGTAGTGGAATGGTAAGTTTCGTTATCACTCCGTGCGATCCGGAGGTCTTTGGCCAGATTCAGGCATTCTAAGTGCTTCTGCGACTACAGTCAGCATTCACCGACTAGAATGTCAGTTTTTTCGACGCCATATTCCCTATTATGGGCATCAGAATATCTAGATTTACGTATCAAGTTCCGTTGAGACAGATTCCGATCAGTCTTGTCGAAGGTTCGGGTTTGCTCAATGTGCCATTCCCTCGTCCTGTTGGTGTATTCCATAAACTGTTTCTGGCTGGTATAACCTCCAGCCAGCTGTGTCGATAGTCGTACGTTTGTCACACAGTCTCTTATTCTAGATCCACATTTGTCTGTCTGCGGGTAATTTCATATCGTCTGTGATATTCCAGTATCTCACTGATTCATGCATTGTAAATTAAACCGCATATCGTTCTAAATCATCCCATGCATCGCATATCCTATGCAGGTGAATATAACGGAAATTTCGTGCCTCGTCTACCTAGAGCTAGAGGTGAGTGTGCATTCAGTCATGAATTGCTGTCAACTTACGGAGCATTACAGACGTGACTGGTGGCTGCAATGACGGTGCGCTGATTTACTGAAATATTCCATACGATGTCTGTAACGATGCCTAATCTAAACAGAGCAATGCAGCAGAGCATCGTATCGGGTCTTCGCATGAGCCTACCACTGTTTCAAAACTTGATGGGCCTTCTGCACCTCAGACTCCACGTCGTCGTCGTTACCAAGATCCAGAACCCGAACACACCCCTACGCGACTTCGTACTGTTATCAAGACCCCAAAACAAGCTGCCAGCTGCGAATCAGCGAGAAACAATGCACGACGGCGCGCCGCCTTGCCCCCAGATCCTGCAGGAGCTACGCAAGCGGTGAATGACAAGATGCCAGGTACAATTAAGAACTCCCGTAAGAATGACTCAGGACGTAGACGCGGAGCTAGTACCAGACGCGGACGAAGTGCCACTCCGGTAGCCTTGCTCGAGCCTACCATGGACGTGGAGGATGCAGCGGCTGAAAGTCTTTCTCAGGCAGCACTGGATGTCTCACCCCTCAATCGTGATGTGCGATCTCCCAAGACATCTCCACTACCTTCCATCATGATTTCTACTGTTTCTTCTCCTCTCTCCTCTCAAGACCGAGATTCAACTCGTCTCCCAGTGCAAATGCGTCATTATAATGACGCCAGCTTCGGTATGCCTCAATTTCATCCTTAAACCATTCCATAAGTCAATGTCTCATCCATGCACAGTGTTCCCTCATCACGAACATGGCCTTATGCCATCAGACCTCCAGGCCAGACACGTCAAGGAAGGTAGGATCGAACCAACTGCAGGACCATCTTGGGTGCCCTCAGAGGCTCATGGGCTACACAGCACCTCTCCTGGTGCTCGTACTGGGAATCTGCCTTCGTCTAACATCGAAAACACTCCCATCGAACAAGTGTTTCAGGTCGATGACGAACAAATTTTGCAACAAGGTTTCGTAGAGATCATGAGCATAGTCGAACGGCTGTCTGCAAGGACACGTTTATCTCTCTCTAATATACTTGCACGATGGACTCACAAACTGTCATCCGACCACATTGCGTCTCATTACGACCACGCTTATCAGCGCTTTTGTCAACATTATGTGAATACTTCGGACGCTGCTTCATGTAAGTTCTTTGTGCTCATTATGAATCAGTCTGATACTTTCATTTACAGTGCCAGGTGAAGGAGTTCGACTATTTAGTCCAAATCGTCATAGTAGTACTAATACTTCTTTCCATGATCAAAATCCTACGAACGTGCAGCCTTTCCATCCAGCTATTCCCTCTTTCGCATGGCACAAGGTGACAAGGTTGATAACCTATTGGAGAAATTCAACGAGTTTGAGCTCGTGTCTGGCCAAGGATACACTTCAACCGAGCGTCGTCGGGATTTCACCCAGTGTTTCAATCAATTAAAACACCTGGTACGCATATCTTTAATTTTCAGTTGCACTAGGAAGGGCACTTATTGAAGACACAGGCCGAGATTCATTCGAAATTATATGGTTTCGAGATGGCGTTTGTCATGGCCGGCAACATACCGAATGCTGACTCTGACCTTGCGGACGTATTCGCCACGAAAGAAGCAAGAGGAGTATGTGCTCAATGTCAACCATCCAACACTCTTCTGACTTGACCGCAGTTTTTTGAAATGCGTTGCGGTTCAGACGACAACACTTTGATCTCCCACCTGAAGGCACATATTTAGTACGTCACATCTGACCGTAAATTGCACGGAATTTAACGGTTTGTTTTATTGAAGCAACAATGTATCTCTTGGGATCCTAAATAGGGCGCAGACGAATAAGCTACAGAATCATGTCCAGGATGCTACGTTGTCAGAACCCAAGGCAACACTTACCACGACTGGGCCTGTGAACCAGCAAAGCAATTCAAAAAACCTCACAAAACATGAAAAAATTGTATCTATCAAGTCCATGGGGCGAAAATTGATGGAGAAAGTTGGTATCACCACTTCCGACCTATTTCCGTGGAAGAGGATGCTAGAAGTTTTAGCTGATGCTGGAGCCATATTGGTCAACTATCCTGAGGTTGTCAGGCTGCCCTTGCCTACTTCCGCGAAGAAAGGCATCACTCAACTGACGAAGGTCGAGATTGACATGCTCCACGCGGCAATGACGCGTACAAGGAACCCTTTTGATATCCAGAAATATGAGGGGAAGCTCGAAGGTCGGACAGCGTTACTGTCCGTGTGATGAATGTCTGATCTTGTTCTACCTGTAGACCTACAATCGTCACTCGTCCCCGTAATCTACGGTGGTTCTCCTGGCCCTGATTCCCAAGGAAAGACGGGTTTGAGGTTGTTTCGGAATGGTAGGAGCGTAAACCGAGGTTCCCGCCGAATGAGTGACGACGAGGATGCTGAGGAAAATTCTGGAACCGAAGAAGGATTCCCCATCCTGGAGGTGCCGGTGGCAGCAGATCTACCTGTTAGTGGGAACGACGCGATCGAGTCGATCGAGTCGGATTCTGATGCAGAGATCGATCAGTTAGTGTCATCCTCCCCACCACTCGCTCGGCGCACTCGCTCCCACTCAGCGATGAAGGTTGTGTCTTCAAGTCGTCGAATGAACTTACTCAGTGGCCGCCAAGTTAATCCAGGTGCCGCAGGGAGAGATGCTATCTCTGAAGAGCCTCTGGCCGACGAAACTTCATTGCACCGACCACTGCTTGGCACTAAGCGTAAAAGGGAAATTTCTGCGGGCGACGATGCAAATATTACACAGCCGTTAGCACCCCCTCAAATTGGCATTACGGCTCATAACACAGAACCTAGCTCGAGTGCGCAAGACCTTCGGATGCCCCAAAACGAAGGATTACTGGCCAATTCGATGCCCAGTACGAAACGTCCACGGGTTCATTTCGAAAATTCCATAGCAGACGCTGCTGCGGATCACAGCCTCCGTCATTCGCAGTGTACGAGCGAAGGTAACACCTATGTCACGGAACCGAGCTCAGGCTCGCCACTGCACCCAGGCAACACTAGTCTCACGGTTGGAGCGACGCATCTTCCTCAACCGACGCGCGATAACACTGTTGAGGCCACTGGGTTAGATGATAGTGGGGGCGCAGACCAGGAGCTGATCGAAGAAGTGGACCAGAGAGTGACCTCTGATCCTGGGAGTCTCAAATTCATGGGCGGCACTCCTCTCACAGACAGACGCAGTCACGACGTCACCAGTATTGGTTCTGATCTGGTGGAAGGCAAGCCATCTCTAATGGGGAATAGAGAAGCGAAGACCGACCATGACGGTATTAAGCCAGTTGCCGGTGGCTCAGTCATGCAACACAATACTGACGTGCATGCCAGTGGTCGTGTCATGACTGGCGAAGCTGTGGGTGCGTCGAGGAGCGTTGTCAGCGACGTCCGAGAGGCTCAGCACCCTCCAGCATCGATCCCCCCTTACAGTCCGGTGATGCCGGAACGTGCGCAACCCACCCTCCTCGACGAGGCTAGCCACCCTCCCACATCAATTCCCCCTCATAATTTGGTGATGCCGCATGCACAACAATTATGGGCACCGTACGCTGCACCTGGAAATTATATGCATTCGTCATATCGCCAAGCGCGTCCTCTGCCCACATATCCGGAACGAGGGCGCCATGACGATGCCCCTGCAATGGCTCAGTATCAGGGTACAATGTATGAAGACGGACGAAGTGGTGGTTATGTGCCGTATTCTAGTGGCGCAGCTTATCCTGCAGAACTCCAGTTCCAAGGTCCACCATATGGCTATGGTCCCGACTACACTACAAGTTATGTCTCACCTCACGGATACCCTCCACAATCTTATGCGCCGTACCATTCACCGATGTACCGAAGGTATGGTTCTATGCCTCCTCAGGGATTAGGAGATGCTCCGCTGCAGCAGGGCTATGGCGCGCTCCACCCTCAAGCGGGCTATCTATCGCCATTCCCGTACAAACCATCGCCATCTCCAACTTCCTTTCCTTTGTTATCTCCACGAGAACCTTTAACTTCGTGGCCTCCCATACCGCCGTCGACCACCGGAGAGCCACCGACAGCTAAACCCCGGAAGTCTTCGCTGTATACTCCAGAGCATCTAGCAATGCATCCCGACGAGCTACGAGAAACCTCGACATCGTACGCTGACAAGCCTCCGTCATTCTCTCGGGACGATCCAGCGCCTCCTCATTGGGATGCTGCTACCGATGCCCGCAACCGCCTGCCAGTTGTGCAACAATAAACTGCCTTCTAACATCATGATGTTCAGGAACGTACGTTTATCTCTGCGAAGATTACCGTCCTCGAATCCAGAAAGTCTAACCATAGTGGAGGAAATCTAGAGGTACAGACATATTTCTTGGTATTTCACATTGCGTATGCTACGTAGAATGCATGCTGTCTTCAAAACGATGGATGTGTGGTCAATCGAATATTCAAAGAGGAGATAATGACGTTCTGATGTTTTTCGCGGGATCGTGCATGGATGCGAAAATACATAACTTGGGGGTAAGCGGCGCTGCGTTCGCACGCCATGTCCGATTCCCTATTTATTTTATTGGTAAAGCATGCATTTAATACAAGATCGATATCAATACAAGCGTATAGAGTACAAGATCAATAGAAATACAAGAGAATATAGTACAAGTACAAGCTAACATAGGCACAACGGGCATGATTCAAATAAATGATGAGACTTCTGCACGCGGAACAACCGTTCTGACCTCGGGCGGTCCATCATAAAGACGAGCTACGGTGATGAGTTCCAACCCAGTTCGCCATTTGGTCCAAGTCTTCTCGTCAACGTCTTGCAGAGCGCCGCAACCATGCAAAGCACGGCGGCCAACCCGGCGACGGGCAACAAGTGAAACCGTGACCATTGCCACCAAGACAAGATACTGCACAGGTGATGGGTGAAAGAAACGGGAGCTGTGAACACCAGCATCAGCAGGGCATCTCCGAACGGTATTCAAGCACACTCACAATTGCTCACGGGCTTCGTAGTCATACACATAGCTCAAGATGCAGGAGCGACGACGGGAGGAGGAGAGAGGAGAAAGAGGGGCCTGGTTGTCGTTTCGGCACTGGCAGCAAGGGCGGAATGTTCAAATGCTAAGGCGGATATCCATATTGTTCGCGGAAAGGCCAAATTATTTCGACCGCGGAAATCTATTCTGAGCGAGAATTACTATATGCGGCGCGAGTACAACCTCCTAACAATCTTCTTACGTCAGCGACCACCATACGTGCATTTAGGGAATCGGAAATGGACTGTAAGTCACATGGCAGGTAAACCTAAAATTTAAGATCAACTGCTTTCCCGAGGAATGTTGAACGACTAACTACCCCTACTCCCTACCATTCCCTGCCGCTGTTTAGCCAGCCGCCGCTCGTTGTGCTCGTGCGTAGCTCCCAATGGCTCAGCGATGCAGCCAGAGGGTCGTGATGCCGACACGACTAGCTGGTGTGCCGTGCGTAACATGGCGACGATTACTCGCCCTCGTCGATTGTTTCGCAGACGTAGCGTGTATGAATCGACATCTACACCTGTTGGTCTCTGGCGGGCGATGCTGCTCGTCCGATCGTCAGCATGCAAGTTGTATGCCCTCCCCGTAGTGAGTCATTTCAGCTACGCGCACACGTCGGCTTCAAATTTCCATCGGCTAACGCTCGATGTAGGGCTTTATGCCGGTGATAGAGTCGATCTCGAAAAAAGTCGTCGACACCGAGTTTCCACCGCGTTATCTTTCCAAGGCGTCTCGGAACTCGATCTTCAAGAAGCAACGCATAGACGTTGAACTCTCCTGCGCGGACACTGCCCTTCCTCCGCTTGCCGAAGATGCCGAGGCGGAGGCGTGCAGTGGATATATCCCTCCCACCCAGCGTGCCGTGCAAGAAGCAAACGAGGATCTCGATCAAGATGGCGGAAGCAAAGTCGTAGACATTCCTGACATGTGTCTCATTTTTCCAGACGATGGATATCTCGAGGTCTTCTCCGCAGGTAGAGAAGGAGTCCGTCGTTCATGTGGTCACGAAGTTCTTGGTACCGCAGCTTGCAGCGTTACGCCCGAACCTATCGACTATGAGGGCCTTACCGCACAGCTCACTCAGGCGGTCAAGCCTCATATATCTCAACTCATCGATTTCGCACCGGACAAGCGGGGGACAGCAGGCCTCATCGTTGACAGTTTCATCCCTATCCTGCGTTCCTTGCATGCAGAATTCCCTACGTTCGACGCGACGCGAAGACTTATCGTTGGTAGGCTTGCTACCGAGGTGCGCAAGATGCGATCGAGATCGAGACCACTATTGCTCAACACAAAAATGACGTGTTGCACAAACATGTCCATCGTTCAGTTCGAGCCAGAACCTCTGTCTTTGCGTTCTCAATGGCTGCGGTCAGCTTGGGGGCCCGGTGCGTGGACTATGCAACGAGTTCGTCGTGAAACTCGAACTGCCAGATGTATTCTCGTCGTCGTTGTGCATTTGCAAGAAAGGCCTGTACCGCGCCGTCCGCGGGCCGATCGTGAGCCGTGGCCACGTAGACCGTCACCATCAGAGCACTGTCAGGCAAACTTGTAGTGGCGAGGGAGCGGAAGTAGAGGTTGAGTGCTTCCGTGAGGCCACCACGGAACGTCCAGGACCGCTAAGGACTGTAGGGACTAGGACGTCAACGTGAGCGGGCTGTTACTGGTACGTGACATCTTTCGGGAGAGATCGAAGAGGGTTCGCTGACTCTAGCCTGCGGATTATGTTCAGCAGAAACCTTTCGTGATGCGCGTCGCAAGACATGTCTGACTTGCAGTGTGCAGAGCAGATCGTGCGATCGAGCTCGCTCACGGCACTCCGCGAGAAGTACACCTCGTAGTATGGTCCGTCCGTGCATCATAGATCCAGTTCGCTAAATGCACCCCCGCCTTACGGTTCACTTTCGCCATTGGCCATTGGATGACCGGTTCGTGAAGGTCCAGCATCCCTGCGACTTGGACAGTTGGCGTGTCGGGTACGATTGTCCCCAGCTGATTCCTTTTGATGGGGTTCCCTGTAGACACGACTGTCTGCAAGGGACTCTCTCATGTGTGTCACCTGTCCAATTGATGTCCATCTCCCCGCCATTTCAAGTTGTATGCCTCGCGAGATGGTTCGTGCATCTGGGATGAGGATGCCGTGCGGTTGGATCAGTTGAAGGTGGCGTTGAAGAACGTGGGATTCTCGAAAAGACATGTCGCGCAGAAGTGCCAGCTGGTTGCTGCTATTCTCCATCTGGGTAACCTGGAATTCCATACCGATCGCTCTCGCAACGAAGACGCTGCTGTCGTGGGCAACACGGATGTCCTCGATATCGTCGCAGATTTCTTGGACGTGCAGCCGGAAGCTTTGGAGGCTGCGCTATCGTACAGAACGAAGATGGGGAAGAAGGAACTATGTACAATCTTCCTGGATCCCGACGGTGCCTCTGATAACCGAGACGAACTCGTGAAGCCGCTATACTCCCTCCTGTTTGCATGGTTGAACGAACACGTCAACCAACGCCTTTGCCACGACGACTTCAATATGTTCATCGGACTGTTTGACTTACCCGGCCCCCAGAACATGACTAGCCGGCCGAACTCCCTAGATCAGTTCTGCGTCAACTTCGCTAACAAGCGGTTACAGAACTTCACACAGAAGATACGATCTTTCCTTCGACCATTGACGGCGATCTTCTTGAGCTCGTCCATCTGTCGTACGGCTTCCGTCTTGTTGATGACTCTAAGCATCTTCAGGCGGGTGATGTTTTCAGGGTTGAGACACACATTGTCTCCGTTGTCAACCGCAATGCCGGCAAGGCTGTGTGAGTTAAAGGCTTCGCTATCGGAGGTAGAAAGGCCGTAATCGAGGTTGTGTCTACTTTCCTCTACCGTGGTAACTACTCCGAATACGACAACACATTCGAATTTCTCGGTGCTCTGGATTACTCCATAGAATTGGCGACCGAAACTCCATAGAATTGGCGACCGAAGCTGACGTGGGAGTATTGCAGTCGGAGGAGTGGTTTGAGTGGGATCGCCCGTCGAAACTGCTTCAGGCTGTGTGAAGTTCGAGGTCACCTACCGTAGCAAGACATGTTGCAAGTCGATACCAGTCTCCAGCGACATTTGTGTCCGCGACCAGATCAAACGTCTAATCTAGGTCGGTGCCGTTGATTTCCTGCAGGACGTGACAGCGGGGGTAACCCAATTATCTCGCGTCCCTGCAAGCCCCAAGGTCTCTGAGTGCCTCTTCTGAATGGGTACACCATGACGAAGGCGGGTGCAGCCGTCTTCAACTTCTCGGCGACGAACGAGCCTTACTCCGAGGCCTCTGGTAACTTCAATCCCATCCACGTCAACTCCTACTTCGCCGATTTGGCAGGTGTTTCCCCCACAATCACGCACAGCATGTGGTCGAGCTCGCTGCCAGGCGCTACGTTGAGACGGTCGTTGTGCAAGGTCGCCCGGAGCGAGTTGTCGCGTAAGTCCGTCCGATATGACATGTGTAGCTCTCACTGATGAATGCACCAGATATGACGTCGCCTTCGTAGGAATGGTCATTCCTGGGGATGAGCTTCGGATGAAGACCAGGCACAGCGACATACAGGATGGCAACACTGTTGTCAAGGTCGAGACATTCAATGACAAGGGTGAGAAGGTTTTGGAACGCACTGCCGAAGTCGCGTAGCCTAAGACCGTCTTTGTCTTCACTGGCCAAGGTTCCCAAGAGCAGGGTATGGCTATGGACTTCTATAAGTCCGCTCCAGCTGCTCGATCTGTCTGGGATGCTGCCGATATTCATCTTACTGCTGTCTATGGCTTCTCTATTATTGAGATCGTCAAGGACAACCTGGAGGAGAAGACTATCCATTTTGGTGGCATCAAGGGTCAGGCCATGCAGCAGCGGCACATGTATATGAACTACGACAATATAGACGGGGACGGTAGCGTGAAGACTCTTCTGCTACACATTCAGTCATCTATCTGGACTCTTGTGTGCCACACAGTTTGGCCGATCGCGCAAGTCATGACCGAACGTGCCGTCTTCGAGGACATGCGTTCGAAAGACTTCGTTTGATCAGAAGACTCCGCATTCACCGGATGCTCTTTGGGAGAATATTCGGCTCTCGCATCTATTGCTGACGTCCTCCCCATCTCGTCCCTTCTTGACGTCGTCTTCTACCGTGGTATCACTATGCCACGCGCTGTTGAGCGTGAAGCTCAGAACCCTTCCACCTGTGCGCGGTGAGCCCAAGCCGCATCTCGAAGACTTTCACGGCTACTGCGCTGCGCGAGGTTATCGACGATATCGCTCACCGCACACACAGTGCTTGCTCGAGATCGTCAATTACAACGTATGCCGTGGATAAAACTAATGAAGTTGACATGGTTCTCTCAATTCATACTTTGTTTCGTTGCCAGGTCAACAATATGCCTGTGCCGATGAATTGGTCGCTCTGCAAACCATGACCAACATCTTGAACTACCTGAAGATGAGCATGGAGAAGGTGGGGTATTGCCCACCACTACGATTTCGAGCGTTCCATCGAGAGCGAACCTTCGTCAGCGCTTACAGGCATGGCGACGAGGACTCTGAAAGCGAAGTAGGAGGTGCAAGAGGATTCGGTTAGCCGAAGTCGTGCGATCCTTTGTCATGCGAAGAACACCAAGGAGGTGTACTACCAGTTCACGGATCAGGGTGAGGCTGCTGCTGTCGAGTCCCCTCCCGAAGCTGTTGCTACTCCCGCACCAGCAGCTGTGCCCGTTACTGTCCCTGCTGCTCCGGTCTCGGCTTGCCCATTAGGGTTGAAGATGTTCCCTTGAAAGCCGTCGAAATTCTCTCTGTGGTCGTCGCTCAGAAGCTCAATAATAAGGTGAAGGAAATGCCGCTCTCGACCTCGATTAAGGACTTCGTTTGGGGCGAGTCGACTCTGCAAAACGAAATTCTCGGCGATCTGCGGCTGGAGTTCACGTCTGCTCCTGAGAAGGATCGGCTCTTGGCACTGGCTTTTCGGGGTCACTGGGCAAGTATAGCTCTGGCCTCGTCTCCCACGTCGTGGGTAGCAAGATCCCTGGTGGTTGCAATATCTCTGCAATCAAAGCGTGCTGGTCGAAGATGTAGGGCCTTGTCCGACTCGCGCGGACGGAGTCTTACTATTGAGTACCACCACGGAGCCTCCCAAATGCCTCGGTTCAGACGTAGAAGCCCAGACGTGGCTTGATACGGTCGTCACCCCCTATACAGGCAGCGCCCTGGGATCTCCCTCGCCGGTGAAGCGAGCGGTGGCGGTGGCGGTGGCGCAGGAGGTCCGACGATCAACGAGTTCTTACCCTACCTTACGGCGCGATTGTTTGATCCCAGTTTCTCAAAGCAGACCGGCAACTCCATCGAAGAAGCTGTCGCTGCTTCGTTTTGCGCTACAGATACCAGAAGGGTTGTGGCTTCCCTTACCAGTGGTATCGAAGTTATATCATGAGCTGAACAGGAGCCCTTGTCAGCAGTGAATATCTCCGTCATCGTCCTTCAGTTCCAACCAAAGTTTGGGGAAGCTGGCGAGCCAGACGAATATCAAGTGAACGGAGACGTCTCTGCGTAGAACGCGATCGCACCGCGTGCACGCTCGCCCTATCGCAAACGGCATACATCAATTCCATCATCCACAGGTTTGGTTTCGAAGATTTGAAGCTACTCACCACGCCTATGGATCCGAACACGACGCTTTCGAGTGCGCAGTCGCCGCAAACGACTGCAGAGGCCGCCGCCATGCGCGACATTCCTTATCGCGAGGCTGTAGGCTCGTTGATGTACGCGTCGCTCGGTACACGGCCGGACATCACATATGCCGTCTCGTCCCTTTCGCGGTTCTCAGACAACCCCGGGAAAGCACACTGGGAAGCTGTCAAGCGTGTCTTCAGGCATCTGTCGGGCACAAAGGACTTGAAGCTTACCTACGGAGCGCAGGAACTGGACCTGGTGGGCTACACGGACGCGGATGGCTCCATGCACGAAGATCGGAAGGTGTTCTCGGGCTATGCTTTCCTCATCGACGGCGGCGCGGTCTCTTGGAGTTCCAAACGCCAGGAGATCATTGCGTTGTCGACGACCGAGGCGGAGTATGTGGCAGCGACGCATGCAGCGAAAGAAGCGCTTTTGCTACGCTCCCTAATGGTCGAAGACAAGGAGGTTCTCGCCCATCTCACGCCTCTAACGTTGGACTTTCTCCGGGAAAGTCGATTGGTGAAGAGACGGCGGGAGGGGAGGACTACTGACAGATCACTTTGAGAATAGACAGTTCTGCGCAGCGAGGCCTACACCGTTAGGGTGCGGCGCGAACATGTTGCTCGCGGTCAAGGCTCTCCGTCGATCAACGACAAGGAGCCCAACAAAAGATGGAGAGCATCAGAGGGGGTTTTGCCTGAGACATCGTCATTCAAGCATGCCAAGTGACGTGTACCTGCGCGATTTGAAGAATGTCTGACGGATGATCAGCTGGCGCAACGCTTGCAAGAGGTGCATCATTTATCCTTATTGCCTCTGGGCACCCTTGAAGCAGCCGGAGTGCTCATGTTGTTATTCATTACTTTTATTAGAATCACGAGGAGCACCGGCAACATTGGAGAAAAGGTTCATTCCTGGGGACAGTTCGTTTTCGGTTGAAGGGTGCGAGCCCACTATTTTAGCAGATGAAGAGACCACTGCTATTGATAACCGCGCCCGAATGATTGCACTAACCACGGCAATGGGATAAAGGGCTCCAGTTCTGTTTATTAACTATGTCGTTGATAATTTTCCGGCTGGACTGATTCAGCTATCGAGTCTTTCGACTGCGTCCAAATAGACACAGTTCAGCTCCCCCAGGTTGACCTTAGCCATTTACGCGCGCTCTCATCTGTGGGAGGAGCCGTTACTTCATCTCCTCTTCTCTTTCTGCCACCAACTACTGCTTCATCCATCATCCTCGCGTATCCTCTCTCCTCGATGGAATATCAAATTGTCGTCAATAACAAAACTTTCAAGGTGAGTTAAAAGTACTAGATGTGACCAATGGCATACTGACACTGCGCAGACGATGACTCGAATCTTAACGAGAGATCACACCCAGAGGAGGAACGTGAAGTGGGAAGCATTTGTCAATGTATCTCTGTTTCTGAGTGTAATGTCTGCTGTGCTCAGTAACTCCTACAGGCGATGTTGGGGATAGGATTTAAAGTTAGCGGCACTGCCGGCTCGAAGTTTCGCTTTGATCCTCCCGGCCATATGCAACGTCAGGCAATAGTGATCCACGATGTACGTAGCTTCTTGACGTTAGAGAATTCTCAATTGCTGACGGTTTGATAGTGTCACGGCGCGGACATTAGAAAAGACAGGCTACTCGAGTAAGTAGTCTTACCGGTTCCCCCATTGGGTATTAACCTGTTTTCAGGCTGCGAAGTACATTGGAAGATTGTTACGACTGGACGGAGGAAACTTTTATCACAAGGTCTGAAGTAGAAGAAGACGATTGGATTGTTATTTGATGCGACTTGCGAAAGCATTAATGATATTCGGTGCTCCTTCGCATCGAATCGAATCGCAGCTGCTTTCCGCCGCGCGGATTTTGGAGGTCGATGCCGAATTCATTCGCATTCCCGGTGTCATTATTTGCTCCTTCGGTGACCAGGATACGAAGACCTCAGAGATGCACTTCGTGAAGTGTGCCGGTCGTCTCGCGCTTGGCAGCCTTCATGAAGTCCACCAAATTTATCGTATCAAGGCAACGGAACAGCTCAATGTGCTGCTTGATTCGAATCCGCTCTATGGCGCGATATTTCGCAGTTCCCTGGCGTTCTTCATCTCCGCCTTGATTTGCCCACTTGCATTTGGTGGATCTTTTTGGATATGTGGATTGCTGGAGCAGGTGCCACCATCCTGTCTATCACGCAAATTGGAGTCGCATCCAAGAGTCAGTTGTATGCGAATGTCTTCGAGTGAGTGCTCAGCTACTCATACGCCAATTGGTTCTAACGATCGTTTCAGAATCACCGTCACCATCTTCATCTCCTTCCTCGCCCGCGGTCTGAGCAGTATTCGCAGTCAGATAATCTGCTACACTGCCGTTTCCTCTGCCGGTATCGTCGGTATTCTTCCGGGTTATTCTTCCGGAATACCTCATTCGTAAGTTTCGGTCTCATTTCTTAGTAAGATCATACTGAACTTTCTGCAGTGAGCAGTTTTCTTGAACTGGCCTCATAGAACATTGTTTGCGGTAGCGTGAAGATGGTTTATGCTTTGATTTATACACTATTCTTGGTGAGATTACCCCCGCACATCGCTTATTTCAACTAATCCAATTACAGGGTTTCGGCTTACAGATTGGTTCTGATCTCTATCTACTCTTCGACCAAGGTGCCCGCCATGACCTCGCAACTCTGGCGGCTCGCATGACGACTGCGGTCACTATCGCCGGTGCCTTCCTCGCCGATAATGCCACCACAACAACCAACGCTACTGACGGCGCGAGCGAGTTACAAGGAACCTTCACTTTCACGAACTCTACACCTTACATCGTCGAGCACATCATCACAGGCTGCTACACCTCTTTCCCCATGTGTGACGTCATGTTCTCTGCTGGATTTACTTACACGCAAAGTTCGACGTCTTTTATCTCGCGCGTACTGAAATATAAAATAAAATCGTAGGCTCTGTACACAGATTACTGCATGTGCTCCATGGCGCTAGTGTTCAAATTACTACAACTTGGTTGCTCTTCCTCGGTCGCCTCTGTCTAGCGTCTCAAAATTTGTTCCCTCTATGAGCGACGGTATCTCTGCCTCCACATCCGACAGCTACGCCGTTTGGTAATTCTGCCTGGTGAGAGTGCAAGATCTCGTCTGTGCGGGGATGGATATCTACGCCCCTTCATTGAAGGTGTCTATGTCCGTAGTTTCTTGGCTAGCTTTTTCTGGACTGTAGAAGGTAGTTCGCAGAAATGCTCAGAGCACCGACCGTAACACGGGATCCCCTGATATCGCTGGTCAGCGTGGCCTAGTTTCAGAATGTTTGGAAACCCTCTAGGGCGATGCCATTCCAGACGAGATCACTTCACGCTGCATCGCTATCATGAACCGCGCTGATCCCGAGCTCGTGATATACATGCAGTACTGCATCGGTCTAGCAGCGCGACCCTCCCCGCGGCGATACTTACAAGCTCGCGAAGCTGTTCGGCCAGCAGCTCGTCAATAACTGCCGTGAACTCCCGGGGCAGCCGCCCCTTTACCAAGATGGTGGGTTTATTATCAACTGTGTACGTACCACGATGCTGATTGTTTCACTCCAGCGACATCCCCCGCTACGCCGTAAACGGAGGGAGACACCATTTACTCAGGGATTGTCCGCGAGAACGTTCCTCGTGCTCGGCCTGCGCCCACTCATGCTCCTCCGCCATCCGCCGGCTTTCCTCGAGCACCCGGCTCAGCACCTCGTCTTCGTCCTCACTGTCCCCACCACCGTCTCCTGCACCGCCGCCGTCTGACGACGCCCCTCCTCCGCCTCTTCCTCCGCCGCCTTTCTTGTCCGCTCCGCCCGCTCGTCCTCGACCAACGCGCACACCTTCGCGACCAGCTCCGCCTTCTACACCGCCAATCGCGCATTCCGGGGCACCGACAGCTGCCTCAGCTGCTACTCAATCAGGTCCCCGCGGCGCACGAGCTCGCGCATGCTGCGAGTTCGCCTAGAAGCCCGCGCCGCCCGGGAAGAGTTACCGGTAGGGCGGCAGGAAGCGCGGCGGCTGCATGGAACGTGCTGCTCTAGAAGACATCCATGATGGCCACTGCGGGGTCGCGCGCGAAAAGTCAGTACAACCAGGCGAAGGTGGAAGGGAGACGGAGCAGGCGCGGGACATGCACCATGGTAGCCTTGGCCGCGTACCGCGCGGCAGGGCTCATGTTGAGCAGCGTGAGCTTGAGATTCTGCTCCTCGTGGGTCCTCGAGGACGGAGGAGCAGATGAGCTGCACGGTGGTGACCGCGACCGCGTCAGCATGCTGCGTGCCGTGCGCCTTGGCGCGCGATATCTGCGCGAGTACCTAGTAGTCGTAAAAGTACAGTGTGACTGCCCATCCAACGCACAAATTTATCTCGGGCAGGTGATACTCGTGTGTGGATGTAGTCCTGAGGGAGCGCCGCACGACACAGGTGAGTGTGACAAATGAGAGAACAACACTGCAGAAATGATGCAGTAGGAACGATATAGGATTCCTTCGAATTCCTATCTGCGAGATGACTACATACCTGCTTTAGACTCCGTTGCCTATAGTTTCACGTAGGTGGGTTGTAGATGCTCTGCATCAATCTTCGTGCTTAAGCTGGAGGATAGCCCTAGGTTCGACGCAAACCCTCTGATAACGTCGGAGGTGTTTGTAACAATGTACCGGGTACAGTACTGAAGGGGTCTGCAGAGTGGCGCGGCGGGTTGTTACCGGTTTGAAGCAGGCATTACAACCGGATACTGATCGATAAGAAAATCCAATTGTAACTCGTGGTAACAAATTTGTAACGAATCGCCCACCCTACAGACCCTTAGTAACAACCGAACTTTGATACAAGACCGTCCACGCGGAACGCGGACGGTGTTGATATAAGGATAGCCCCTGGTGACTATATAGACCTGACTGAAATTGGATTGTTGCTTGCCACTGCACACCGCGGGTCTTTGCTAGCGGATATCGTAAGGTGCTGTAGGTAGTATGCTGTAGGGTGATATTGACTCAATGCAGTGGTATAGACGAGCTCCCTTCATTGAAATTTTACTCCAGCGTTTGTCGAGCTATTCGCAATTACAAAGAAAAGAGAGCGTACATCAATGTCTATTCCTATGTTGAGTTCATTGAGAACCCCATTTATCTCTGCACGCTGGAAAAAGGAAGAGGCGCTTCAACTTCGGGCGACCGACTGAATATGCTCTCCATCATCTCCATGCTCTAATATATGCCCGGTCTGCGTTCTCAAAGGTAACTGTAAGACAGGATAAAACATGAGATTCTGGTACGCTGCCGATTACGGTAAGCCGCTTTTCCGAGTCTGGCAGTGTGTTGACTAGAACTTACGATCTGGTGTGTCGTACACTCCTACCGACTCTTCGTGACTCTCGTCGTGACGGTCGTCACGCTCGCGAAGCATTGTCTCCGCAAATGTCAGGCGTCTTCGCCTCATCATTCTGACGTTTGGTAGGCATAGGCGATTCTCTGCTCCATGTTTCGCCAGAGGAACGTCACGCCACATTGCTGGACGAGAGGATTCCTCTACTGTGCCATCGGACTCCCTGAACCTAGGCACCTTTTGCCTGTCGATGCGACGTTTAAAGAGCTTCGCATACTGTGCAAGGAGTTCAGGATGCGAGATTTCGGTTGCCTGTAATTCTCTTGGCATACTGGTTGCGGGACCTTTGGTCATTCCAGTTCTGTTGGCTTTGTGCCTGGCCGGGAACGATGGGTAAATATTGCCACCATTTCCTGGTTCCGTTCGTGCGAGTTGAGCAGCTGGAAGACCATACACAGTAGCACGCCAGCGATGTGTCCCGTCGTTCCAGCCAGGTATTACAGCTGGTAAGCTGGGGGGATTCTCCTTGAACTTGATAGTGGCTTCGATACGCCGAGCAATCATCATAATACCACACTGGTAATCTCTCTGTTTAGCTGGTGCTGTTGTCTTGCTCAGTTCAAATTGGCAGGAAGGTTGTCTAGAAGGCGCACCGCTCATGTCTTTGTTAGTGGAAGGGTTTGCCCGTTCACGCTTGCGACAAGAGCAAGGGAATATATCCTGGTGAGTACCCTCTGCATCAGAGAATGTAGAACTACTTCTTGATGAAGCGGAGGACCTTCAATGTCTCACTAACACGCGTGTCTTCATCTGAGTTCACCATTTTTACGCGCGGGTCGAAACATCAGAATATCGGAAAGTTCTTGCATGCGAAGACGTGGAAGAACGATCAGAACATGGTTCACTGAATGAGTAGTAAGCTTACGAACCTGTACCTTCGCCTATCCGCTCTACAAGTCTTTTTTTCAGGTCAAAGAGCTCCAGAAAGCGTGATTTCCAAGACAGTTACGGACGAAGATGTTCTACCACCTTCTCTCCGTCGCTGCCTCCAGCCCCACAAGGTAAGGTATATACCTGTCAACGACGAAGCGCTGACCCCACACCATCCAATTAGGTGCTCTCCCGCAACGTATCTGGTCAAATATAACACGTGGTTCACGCGGTGTCGCAATGCATCTAACTAGTATTTTCCCAAGTTCTTTTGCGTCAGCCGCTGCGGCCAAAGTGCGGCTTCCGGCCGTTCAAAGTCTGCTGAGATTCCCGTGGTCAAGCTCCACTTTACCTGGCTTTGTCTATGCAGCCCGGCGTACTGTCTGGGTCAGAGGGACGCTGCCAGCCTTGCAGGTCATTGTGAGAAGTGACGGAACATCACTGGCCCCCGACTTCGCTCTCATACATGTACAGTACTATGCTCAAAGTGAAATGTCCATCTCAATGGTGAACAAGTACTGGTCTCTGAAGACATGAGTGACATAAACGATTTCGGTCTTGCGTTCCAATGGCATGAATAGCAGGCACCTACAGCTCTTCTTGTTCATCAACACGCTGTGTCTATGCCACTACCTGACCAGGCCCATGAATGCATGATGGGCGGAATCTCGCGAACAAATTGTATGTCAAAGTTTGGCGGAGAACCACAGTTTTGTGACTGCAATCCAACCAGCAGCCCATGTATGTCAATAGGTCAAATAACAGTCAAGTCTAGTCATGACCCCAGGGGATTAAATGGTGACTTGACTCGCACATGTACAGCGCGAAGAGGTCCCATTGACATGTGGCGGACATTTGATCGGCCACGGTCCGGTCATCTCCGGCGATGGGATCTTGGTTGGCAGGTTCACTGGATCGATAGACACATTACATGCTCTTGGAGTTCTACCCGTGATTCTCAGGCTGTCTCCGTATGCCCCTGGCACCAGTCAGTCTAAGCCGATACCTTCGCAATCCTCCACTCGCTGCTATTGTGGAGATACTTTGAAACCGTGAATCCATTTTGCTCTAGTTCATTCGTTCGCTTGTCTGCGATCGGTGCAATGCGAAGCTAGTCCACCGACGGAGCTGCGAGCGCCGAGAAACCTGGGCTATGTTCGGAGCCTGTCGTCTGGTCAGTGCCGTCTGTGTCGCCGTTCCCATTCCCATACCTTACTCTCCACGGTTTTCTAACAGCTGCTTGGTCCTCCTGAAATCATAGACCGGTCGACTGTTGAAGTGCCTTTCTAAGAACCTGGTTATCTATAATTCTATTAGCCAAACTGCCAGTACGTGTCTCGGATGAACCGGCAATGACGTTCAGAGATCTCGGGCGAACGCTTCTCCACCTCTCGCGAAGCAGGTACGGATAGGCTAGGTACGTTTAGGACTTACGCGAAGTTGAGCCTTGGGGGTCTCCATGAGATAATCCCTTAGGTGAGTCTGTGCCAGCAATGCGTGCCATTGTTCAGCTTGAAATCGCAATGTCAGCTTAGTTATCCCGCACAAATTTTAGCCTCTTGTCAATCACCAGCCAGCAATGCCAACGCACTGATAATTATGGACAATCTAGTAGATCTCTTAGTCATCCTACAGGCAGCAGAAGCCATCAAGTGTTATATCTTCCGTACTCATACCAAGATGCTTCAGGAAGCACGGGAAGTTCAATTTGCGCAGCATGAAGCCGACTCTGATCCTCTGGCGAAGGAATAGGGGATCAAGGGGGTACTGCTGTTGAGTGTCTCCCATCTCTCTCATTTCCACAATCATTTCCATACAATTTCATGCATTTTTTATGGGAAAATGATGCGAAGAGCTTAATGAACCTCTAGGCTGGGTCATACAAGGACCTTGACGTAGGCGCGGAGGACTACGGATTCAGTTCGACAGTGTGGGAAGCCATTGGAGCAGCTAGTGCAGAATTGGGGGACTACATTCCCTACGTGTTCGGACCATGCCCCACAGACGTTGCTAACGTCAAAACGTCGTGGACTGCGGATACCCGGTCATTCTGGTTTCAGTTTGTTGGTCCTGTTCTCTTAAAGGGCCGTTTCCGTCACCGTCGCTAGTATGACATCTGCAACTGGTGTTTTTCTCGGGGGTCTACAGCCGCCTATGTAGGACTATGTAGGCTCGGCTAGCACTCTCTCCGCTGTGACAGTATTTACCAGCATGACCTGCAGCATCTTTCAGCATGCCTGCTGACAATCCATGCCCTTCTTCATGTCGTGGACAGCATAGAAGCTGCAGGGCCTGTTTGGACATCATGGGCATATCCCATGGAACGGTGTTGTGATGCATTTCAGCCAGCGATACGAAGCCGTCGACATCCGTACGCCTGCCTGAACGCTACGTGCTCGACAAAGCGTGCCTCAGCCAGATGAAGCTCATCCACGGGATCAAGAATGAGCTGTCACTCATGGCACCGCACGTCGAGACAGGTACAAGTATACCCGAATGTACGTCCTTGTTTCGACCTCTTAGGAACGGTTTTTCATCTCACGATGCCACGTAATCAGATCCCACTTGTGTCGTTCTTCCCGCGCACCACACCACATCGCTAGACCAGGGATTCCTCAAGCAGCTCCTTAACACTCTGTGCATTAGATTCTCTGCTACGGCTACAATGCTCTGAAAGGCGCTGTCGCCGCAGGTTGAAGAACGGAGTAAACTACGTATTCTGAATGACGGTGACACTATACGGGCAGCCGAGTCAGGTTGCGGCGCGGAGGATGGATGGGATGCTTCACTTGTACGAGTGAGTGACTCATCTTTGGGTGTACAGCGAAGTTTGCTTACAGTTTCTTACCACAAGTACGAGCTCTTGGTAGACAAGAATGTGAGGTACCGCCTAAACATTGTTGTCATCAGCACTATCTAATGTGCGGTATGCCGTGTTCATGACAGGCAACGATGGGCCGTGATCGATCGTAGCGGCGCCCTTTCGCGTGCCATCTACCTGGACATTACGGCGCC